CCCCCCCCCCCCCCCCCCCCCACCCCCCACATTCATACTCTTTCCAATTGTGAATCACCAGCTTCGTCTTTTGAAGCGTGGCTCCGTTCACCATCGCGCATGGAAGCGGTGCAAGGGATGTCATTCTTGGCACTCCACGGGGACTTGCGTAAAGAAGAGGCGCAAAAGCAGGTGACCTGGACGAGAGACATGCAGGTTCCTCTTTGCGTCGAGTTGACATTTCCTTCAATACAAAGGAAAGTGAATGTTGAAGTCAATAAAGTGTAAATCACGAATGCGAATGAAATCAAAAATGATGAGAGGAGACGGGGGCTCAAACGACGATCACGTGATCAGTTCTCGCGACTCTTACCTGGCGCTATCTGTGTTGGTCTTGACCGGCTGCTAGACTGGTGACTGATGACTTCAGCAAGGTCGCTTGGCCCAATTCTGATGGTCTCATTCCTTGGCTCTCTCATCCGATCTAAGCTCGATCAAGCAACCTTCGCATGAGCACGCATAGATCGTAAGCACGCCGCTCGCATGTGCTTGCTCGTACGTGCATTGCTGGTGGATGCTGTCTTGATTGTCTAATGGTACATGTATGGATGTTCTAGGATGCCGTGAGTCAAGGATTGCGCCAAAGCGCCTCATATCTATCTAAAGCCTTCTCCCTCCATCTCCTCTTCCCCATCTCCTCCCTCTATCCACTCCTCCGCACTGAGTCTGCCATCTCTCGCGACGAGCCTGTATCTAGCCAGCTCGAACGTCTCATACGCCTTGGAGCTCTTGCTAGCCGCTTTCTTGTGGAGCGGCAGCGCGCTAGCCACTTTCGCAGCTTCTCGACTCGTCCACACGCACGTGGCCAAGTTGCTGCCCAGAGCGTCCGGCGTGCCGTACCAGTACATCATCAGTCCGCCCGACGAGACTGCCTCTTCGTGAGCTAGCCGATCAGCTTCGTACAGTCCGATATTGTGGACAAAGGGTCGACGTTTTGATCGGAAAATCACCCCGTACCACGTTCCATCTAGATCGGCAGGAATGGAAAGCTTGTCCCACGCCAGCACTCTACGAATGAGAGAGAGAGCGGGCGAAGCGTCCGAAGTAAAGGCGGGACACGACGAGATGTCAGTGCCTGGAGCTACCGGATGAGGTGCTTCTCGAGACCATTTGATGGGCTCCTTGACTGTCGAATCGACGCAGAAGCCCTCGTCTTCGACGCCAAAATTCCCAGCGTAGTCGTACGTGTTGGGTCTCAGCTCGTGCAGCGCTTTCCAAAGTGCTTCTGATTTGGGTCCGAGCACGGGCAGTCTGGATCGAGTGTACTTGTGGTGCTCCCGTGTAACGTCTTTCGTCGACGTTACTAGCCGAGTACCGTGGGGATACGAGGCGGGCAGGTAGGAGAGACCGACTGGGAGTCTCTCTTGCACCGAGTCGGGTGTACTAGCGGGGAGTCGCGCCATGATGGGACCCATGCTGGACAAGGTTGGTTTGGCATCATAGTCAATGTCCGTCGAGGAGCTGATTGGTCGACTGAACGGGTCGATGATGTTATCATCGTCATCATCCGCCTCTTCCTCTTCATCTGACAATCTCAAATCGAATTGCAGATCCACATCTGGCAAGTCGTTTTGTTGCGCTTTGGCGTTCGATGCAGCCCTCGAAATCTCTTGTTTGACGGCGGAAACCGCCGAAGGAGCCTGCAGCTCTGCCACTGTCACCTGTTTGGTCTCCGTTCGACCGTCGCGGGCAGCGCGTAAACGTCCCCTCTCCGTTGGCGGCCCTCTGCGTCGGCTTGTACCACCCGGAACCCGATGCCTGCTCCTCCCTCTGTTCGCATCATCGCTCACGCGAGGAATAGCCAGCGGGGGGGAGATGCTCAGGGATGACAAAGATTCGTAGCTGGTAGTTGCGGATGCCTCTCTTGCATCTTCCGCGTCTGAGTCGTCTAGCTCTGCAAGTTTGGCAAACGGGCTCTTGGCGCTGCGCGCCGACGAGGAGAAGGATTTGGAGTAGGCATCCAGCGAATGGTCTTGTCGGCGAGGCGTGACCGATGTCGGCGACGCTGAGGCGCTCGATGAAGATGAGCCGGAAACAGTGGTCGCAGCCGCGGCGGACGTGGAGGCTTGAGCGCTAGAGGCGCGAGCTACGGGCCTGCGCGTCGAGATGGTCGATGAGGAGACGTTGGAGGCAGCGCTCGCCATGCTGGTAGCTGCCGGTGTAAAGTGCTTGACTCCCAGTCGGCCTCCCAGTACGTGGTTGGTCTTGGGGTGAGTGAGTGGATCGCCGGTGGCGTTGAAGGCGCCAAAGTCTGGTCGATACGGCATGTTGAGTAGACTTGTGCTGCTGATGGATGCGATGGTCTCGAGTTGATGACTTTGGTCTGCTTGAGTTGCAAAGCGAGAGTCGAATACGTGAAGGCTTACAGCTTGACTCTATGATGGAGGAGAGGGGAGTACATGGGTGGCAGGCATGGCTTTAAGAATCCATCCGTGTTCCTTCGAGTCACTCTCCACGGCCATCTCTACCCCGCACGAGTAGGGGAGGATTCGTCATTCCACCAAAAGCGTGCGTTATGTCCACCCTTTGCTCCTTGCCTACTCCAAATTGCGAGCGTTGAAGTTACAGGGCTGCGTAATTGTGCTCGCTTGCGTGCGTGCGCATGGGCTCGATCAGCCACTCGACGGGGAAGGGTGGAGATGTGTATAGGCATGGCACAAAGGCCGTACCACGGCTTGGCGGCACCGAGCATCACATCACGTCTTTGCCCCCTGTGTTGCGACCAACGGCAGGTACACGAGATCACACCATCGGCTCGCTCGCTTGCGGTGTTACACACAAACTGCGGCCGGAGGGGCTGGTGGATGCGAACGAGGCATGTCACTCGAACTGTACGGGGGCGGGCGGGCTACATCACAGGTGCATCGGAGACTGATCGACCGAACGCAAACGCTAAGAAGATGCTAAAATGCGCCACAATTGAGTTCGGACTGGTCGGCGTGCACGCTATATTCGGTCAACACCCGGTCCTCTCATTCACAATTTTGATATCCGAGGTGATTTGCACGCCTCGAATGATACGGGGCGGGCCCCATGATGAGCATAGACACGTTGATCGTCGCCACCCGCCCGCCCTTTGCTGACCCCAGTCGCGAGTCTGTGAAGGGACACGATGGCACAACAAATTTGTAATTGTTCTGGTCCTGGTACAAGATCATCGCATCTATATCTGGAGGCTGCACCTTGGACACAACGCGCGAGCTGGCATGCTCAGACCATGCAGCAGCGACCAGCTCGACGATCGAGCAACCAGATGACGTGCTCATGAATGAGCCTTTGCCGGCGCAAGCAGCAGCTTGGACCGGCTTTTCTTGATGGCCTCATTCAAGATTGCCACGCGGCGGCTTGCGGTATTCCATATTGAGGGGTCGTCGCAGCGGACGCAGAAGGCAAACGAGGAGTCCGCGCGACGATCGAAGACGAGTGCGGTGCAGACATGAAGCGAAGATGGACGTAAAGGCGACGAGAAATTACGAATCAGGAAGCCTCTCGGTCCACGGTCAGGGTCACACCTTACGGCCGTCACGCAATGACCGGTGCCGATGACGTGATGAAAGTCATTGGCGCTGCACCGTCACTTGATCGCCCAGTCAAGAGTCTAGCGTGCTTAGACGCGTGGTGCGTCACGGACGAGATGTATTCAAGATTGTTCTAGAGCTTGCAAGTTGGACGCCGCCCTTCCGCGTCCTGGCGTGACCTACACTCTGATGAAGTTTGTCTTCGTATACTGTTCTGTCTGTGTACCAGGACATGTGAAGCGTGCGCAGATCTAGCAGTGATATGCGAATGCCGATTACAACAGATTTGACTCAAGCAGCTGACGTGGAATATAATGACCGCAGATACTGTTCCTCTAAATGTTTGGTCAGCTTGATGCTGTGCGGCGGGCGTACTGCTATTTTCACTACTTGATCAGTTCCATACCCGTGCTGCGTGGACCCCGGCAGCATCGATGTCCGCTTCGGAACGCCTCAAGGGAATCCGGGTAGCCTTGCTCTTGAATGTGACGACGACGCATCCCTATACTTACGCACGCGCGACGACGCTTCTCCAAACACGCGGACGGCAGGGAAACGAAGCATCGACGAAGCCTCACCGTTTCCCATTTCGATTCCATCGTCTGCGCAGCGAGCTAGAGCGATGCGAAAAGTCTCGGGGGCGCGCATGCGTTGCACGCGAGCTGGCGATGGTGGGAGTTTTGCGAGCGATTGCTGGCTTGGGAAGCTATGCCGCTTTGAGCATTTCGGTCGGTCGAGCGGCGCAGGGACAGGTCGAGGTACGCTTGAGCGTGTGTTGTGAGTACAGGTACGAGTAGCGCTGCTTACTGGCGTGCATTCAGTGGTCATCGTCTGAAAAAGGAGAATTTAAAAAACGAGCTCGAGTTGTGCTGACGGAAGCTGCGCCTTGCGGGGGGAGAAGGGACGGTGCGTCGCTGCAAGCCGCTGCTCTGCTCTGATCTTCATCATCAGTAGCTTGCGTTGATCCGGACTGATTCGATCGAGGTGGATGCTGAACTCGGTCAGTCTAACGACAGGCGAGCAGAAGCGCGTCGACCGCTCTCAGCGATGCCGGGCGCACGCGCGTCCCCGCGTTGCCAGCGCTTCACGCTTGCTGCGTAGGCTACATTCAGAGGGTGATTCACCTGGCCTTACCTCGCGTTTCCACTCCGGTCAAGCGAGACACCATCCATCGCGCAACACGAACAGCGAGCAAGAGAATTCTATTTGATTGTTGAAAGGTTGTTGGGCAGCGAGTCGTGCCTCAGAATTTGTAGACTAGAGACGTGAGAATGTCAGTTGCCAATCCAAAGCGTCATGTCTGCGCTGGCGCCCTCTCACCTTGGTCAGCTTGGTAGCCTGCGTCTGCCAAGAGTCCCTTGAGATCGCCTTGGCTTCCCTTGGGACCCTTGCCACCCGAAATGGCTTCGTACATGGGTGGCGGGCCGCATACGAGAACCTTGACCTTGTCCGCCTTGCCGGGAAGCTTCGTTGGGGAGGGGGTGAGATATCAGCCGTAGTCACCTACTTGACTCATCCTTATACTCACAGGCAAGTTTTGCGAGATGATCTCGTGGGTAATGTAGCCCTCAAAGGTGCTCGCAGGCACGCTTCCGCTCTTCTTGTCCAGACCGTAGATGATTTTGAAGCGAGGATCGCTCTTGGACAGTCTGTCAAATTCTTCCCGAAGCAAAATGTCCTTTTCCGACTTGTTGGTGTAGATCAACGTCACGTTGGTCTTGTCATTCTTGTCCGACGCAATTTGCTGAATGACTTGCCACATTGGAGTGATGCCGGTACCCCCTGCAATCATTCCAATGTGCTCGAACTCATTGGCCTTGTACTGAGTGTGCGGTGTGAGCCAGGATTTGTCAGCCGTGGCAACCTATCGCGCTCGCACTCCTCGCACTCACGGGAAGTTTGGGGAGGGGTCCCTTGATGGCCACCTTGTCACCTGGCTTGAGGCCGTGAATGTGACTCGTCATGGCTCCGTTCGGCTGCGAGGCAGGGGGGAAAGCGCCAGATCAGCAAACGGGGTCGACTGGGAGAGCAAGCGCCCGCGCGCCACGCTCACGTATCTCTTGATCAAAAAGTCAATGTGGCCAGGAGTGGCGGGAGATGAGACGGGAGTATAAGGACGAATGACTGGCTTGCCATCCTTGTCCTTTGCATCGTCGCCAGCGCCCTTGATGAGGACGGCAGATGCGACACCCATTCCAGGTTTGGCGTTGTCGGGCAACTCGAAAATGTAGAATGCGCTATCGTGATTGTACGGCTTGACCTCCTTGAGCGTAAACTCTCTGAACTCGTCCTTGGACAGGGCGCCCAATCCCAGCGCACCCTCGGCTTCCGAAGCGACCTTTTTGACGTTTCCAGAGTCGAATCCGCCCAGACCGTACCATGCTCCCAAACCTCCAAGACCTCCTAAGGCGAGCAAGAGCGGCAAGTTAGAAGATGATCCGGAAGAGGGAGCGGATGCGTAGCCTCTGCGCGCTGAATGAGCAAACGAGGTGCGAGCGACTTGAGGGAAGGGCTGTGCGGAGGAGACTGCGGGAACAGCGGAGCTCCTAGAGACTCCGCGAATGGACGAGCGTGCAACGGAAGAGGCAAACATGTTGGATGGGTCTGCTGGTGGTGATGATGGTGGGTATGGTGGTCAAGAGAGTGGGAGGTGCAGCGCAATTTGGTCGTATGGCTTTGAAACACAACTTCTATTATCACCATCCATGTACTCCATGGGTATACCCACCCGCGTGTATACATTCACATTCACATCCACATCCACATCCACATCCACATCCACATTCAAATGATTCAGATTCACGATTACGAATCACTGGATCACAATCACGAATTCGTGATTCTGAAGGATTACAGCAGCGCAGCACCCACCCATGCAGCAGCATCAGCAGCATGCTGACGTCGCCGGCCTCGCTTCCCGATCTCTTTCGTTCGTGCGCGACGTACGAAATGCGCCGCCTCCACTCACACTCGGGCTATTGCTTGGGTCGATCGTGACTGTGACAATGCGCACGCAACGCAGCATGCAGTCGAGTCCGTGCGGCCGGCGCTGCAGGGTCGCTCATATCGTCGGTCGCGTTAGGCAGGGGATCCCACGCAAACCACGTGGTCGCTATGGCGCGCGAATGCCGTGGCGCGCGAGAACACGCCCGTGCCGATTCCTCGACCTCGGATGCGCGCTGATCCTTTGATCCTACTCGTGACTAGACCCTTGCGTGTGCTTGCCTCTCTTGTCTCTGACCATTCTGTCCTTGCTCGCTGCTTGGCACCCGGCCAGCCGGCCCATGCACACGAAGCTCATCGCCTCGCTTACGAAACGCAATGTCCAGTCAGCGCTGCCCCGCATTCGTTCCTTGGCACTCATCATCGATGACCGCGACACACACCCTCGCCGCGCGAGCGCAAATCTTGGAAGCTGCACGATGGTTCGAACGTTCGTGAAGTCGAAGGGCTGCCCATGCAGCATGCGTGCGTGCATCGCCAGGCATCGACGACTCGTGACTTGCGCGCTCAACGGCAATCGAATCGCCGCTCATCGCGCTGCGTCACGTACGTAGGCGAAATGCATCGCTTGGGGGGAAGAGGGCGTGCATGAGAGGAGCAGGAGCAGCCACAGGCGCTCGGCAGGGCTGTGCATTTGCGCTTGCCAGTGTACTGTACGCGTGTGTGCGTGTGTGTGTGTGCGGGGGGGGATGTTGCTTTGCCGGGAGCATCCTGTGAGCGTCTTCTGTCTCTATTTAGAAGTTTCATCGCTGGGACGCTCTTGACTGGGCAGGCAGGCAGGCAGGCAGACATTGCCTCACCTACTACGCCGCCCTCGCCGCACCCTTCCACCTCTCCACCACCATACCTTCTACCGACGCTCGACGCTGTCTATTCACCATGTTGTCATCCGCCAAAATAACCACCACGCTGCTGGTCAGCGTGGTCATTCTCAGTCAAGTCATCTTTGCATTTCCGAGTCCCTCTGGCAAAGACGCCACCGCAGCAGCTCTCCTCGCTCCTTATCGCGGCAAGATGCCCTTTTACCGAAGGGCTACCAATTGCAACGGGGATTTGTCTCTCTGCGAACGTAGCTATGGCAACGTCACCTTTGTTGGCGCGCACAATAGCTACGGCATTCACGCCGGCTCCACCAACGTCGCTGCCAATCAAAATATCAGCATCACCGATCAACTCGACGCAGGCGTGAGGTTGCTTCAGAGTCAAGCCCACAGGAGTTCCAACGTCTCGGTGCAAGGTGCTGGCATCGACCTGTGCCATTCGGACTGCAGTCTCTTCCAAGGGGGCACGTTGGAATACTGGCTCTCCCAGATTGTGGCGTGGAGCAATGCGAATCCAAACAATGTGGTCACGCTGCTCATTGTCAATTCGGACAATCTGCCAGCTAGTCAATTCGCTCAAGCTTTCGAATCTACCGGCGCAGCTGCAAAGTCCTACAACCCCTCTTCGGCCGGCGTGGGGAGCAACGGGGTAGTGTCTCGCTCTCAGTGGCCTTCATTGGGCACGATGATAGATGCGCGCACACCCCTCGTCTCCTTTCTCTCCACTCAAGCCGACGACAATAATCCCGGCTATCTGCTGCCCGAATTCTCCAACGTGTGGGAGACGCCCTTTGACCAGACCTCTGTCCCATTCAACTGTTCGGTGGATCGCATGGCGCAAGGTTCAGACTCTTCCAACCTCTTGGCCCTCTCCAACAACTTCCGCAGCACGCGATTGTTCGGCGACGTCACCTATCCCGACACTGGCAATCTTGGCAGCACCAATTCCGAGCAGACGCAATTGGACAGCGCTTACACGTGCGCAGCGCAGCACGGAAATGCGAATCCCAACTTTATCCTCACCGATTACAGCCAGACGGGAGATTACGGTGCGCTCAGAGCGGCCGCGCAGCTCAATGGCGTCAGCTACACTCCTCCAAGGTCGTCGAGCGGAAGCAGCGCTTCGGGCAATGGCAGCAGCAGTAGCGGCAATGCCGCTTCGTGCCTCTTGCAAAGCAGCTCCCTCGCGCTGCTCGCAGTAGCTGTCGGTGGGATGGCTCTTTTCGCATAAGTGGTCAGGATTGTCTGTTGTACATTTTTTTAAGAAGAGGAACCGCCGCATGTGTGCTCGTGACTAATGTAGAGGAATGCAACGTACACATCAGAGGTGTCCCCAACACCCAGCCTTACCCCCATCACTCGCTCTGCCCAATGGACATTTTTTACCTGCCATCGTGCATTTCGCACTTCATTGTTGCTCGTCTCGGCACGCATGTATACCTCGTGCGCAATCGTCGTACAGTGGCGCACGTTTTGACGGTGCGTGTGTCTGGCGCCGCCCCGGAAGCAACAACAGAACGCCTGTAATGGGATTACTGATTGCATTTCGTGGTAGCAGGCGGGGGAGAGGAGAGGGAAATGGGCCCAGCCCACGCACTTCCGCAAGAACAAGAGACGAGTCGACGGGCTGCAAAGCAAAAGGAGTGTGTTGGTGCGGGTGCGGAGAACGACGCGCAGTACGAAAGTTTTGGAATCGATGTCTGGCGAGGAACGCGACGGCGAAGAAGGCAGGTTTCGTGCGTGCGCACGCGCGAGATGGTATGGATATGGTCCTGATCGCCGTACGATGACGTGGCGAGGCTTGCGTGCGAGCTCCTTACCGAGGCGAGGTAAAAGTACACTAAGATGGTGGCGACGGAACAAAAAAGTGTTGTAGGGACTGTGGACGCGTTTCGAATCAGATGATCAAGCTCGCACCGACAAAGGTAGCCGCCACGAACAACGGCATGCCAAATGAAGCCAACGCGGAAGCCGACGAGCTCGCTCCGTCTTCCGTGTCGATCGTTGTTCCGCCACTGCTGCTGCTCGTCGACGATCCCTTTGTGCCGCTCTTTGATGCGGCGGTCGTGCTGTTTGAGCTCGAGGATGGCTTGGCGACGTAAGCCGTGCCAGGTGCTCCCTTTGGCGCATCGGGTCCTGCAGAAGCAATGGTGCTGGAGTTTAGGACCCACTGAAGACCACCGAGAATGTGGTTCAGCATATCGTCGTCCCTCCAAGAAGCGGGCGTGTGTCCCAAAGCGGTGTAGAAGGACCTTCCATCGCCGCCCTTTCCCTGCTGGCTCTTTTTGGTGTGCGGTTTGTTGTCGACGCCTCCACCGACCGATTTCTTGGGTGCATCGAGCAGGTTGCCCTCCTTGAACCATGCGATGGGGTGAGGTGATCCCTGAACATCGTTGAGCTCCTTCATCGTCATGTCATTGGAAATGTAGGAGCCGTGGTCGACGGTGAGGACGACGGTGTGATCCAACTTGCGAGGATCGCTACTGAAGTGATACACCTCGCCGTACACGTTCCAGCTGGATGGAATGTTGTTGACTGCCGGATGATCCTCTTCACCATCCACGACCATGTACTTGGCAGTTTGCGGGAAAGGATGTCCTCCAAAATAGGCGCCCACCAGTCGACCATACCACGGATACTCGTAGGCCGTGTCGGACGCCTGGGGAGGGAGACGTGATCCGTCGTGAGCTCTCCTGCTGTGTGTTTATCGGAGGGATGGAGCACGCGACCTGACACTCACCTCATGGATGCCCATGTAGCCACCGCCAGCTTCGATGTACCTCCTCATCGCACCCGCGCCCTGCGGTGTGAGAGCTTTTCCGCTGGTAGAGATAAAGACGAGAGCATCGTACTGGTTCAGCCAGTCCTCATCTTCCATCTGAGAAGGGTCGTCTAAGTGAAACGTGTCAAAGTTATTGTCCTTTCCCAACTTTTCAATCGCGTCTGCGGCGTCGTATCTGGAGGGATGCTGGAAACCTTGGGCGTACGTGTACAGCAGCACCTTTTGAGGTGCATCGGAAGAGCCTGCTACGGCGGGCGAGGCTGAAGCGACCAGCAAAGCAGCTGCTGCGCAAAGCACCAGGCATCGACGCTTCATCGTGTTGCGACTGAATGCGGAGCGAATCCGAACGTGGAAGTGTGATTTGATGATGCGCGCGCGGGACAAAAGAGTGTCGGTCGGGAATGCGTTTGCGCGAGCGTCTTTTGTGATGAACTGAGGGGCCGGTGGGCGTGAGGCGAGCAGCGAGCAGCGAGAAGGGCCAAATGAGTGTACTGTGGTGAGGAGTTGCGAGAGGCAGAGAACGCGATGGCGGTGTGGTGATGACGATGATGGCAAGCCGGAGCGACGTCTGAAGTTGGTGTTTCGAATCGATCGTTCCAGCGAGTCAAACAACACACACAAAAGAGGGCTGAGAAACTTAAAAGTGGTCGCGGCGAGCTTTTCGGCAAGCGTAATCTGGGCTCTGTGCCCGAGCGTCGAGAATGAGAAGGAGGACGATGGGGTGAGTGGATGGAGACGATGAGGAGTCTGTCAGGAGCGGTAAGGAGGTCAACGTTCGCAAAAGAAGACCTTTCCGCTGTTAGCTGCTGGTAACGGAAAGCGGAGCGACCCGCTCGCAAGGCTTTGTTTGGCCCATCCCCCGCTCCGACCCAAGCAGCTACTCTGTTTGCTTTCTACAGGCACTCTCACTGACTCGTGACCAGAGAGCACACGCTCCACAGCGCAGCTCTCCTCTCGCGTTCACGCGAAGTGTCGTCGGATCAGCGAAAAAGCCCTGATTGAAGCTGCAGCAGCAGGGCACGTACAGTAACAGGAAGCGGTGGGGGCGGAGATTTGCAAACACTGGCGATCTGCCGGAGCTGACCATGCAGTCGCCGTCGTGTATTCAAGCTGCCGGCCCAGATCTAGCGGAGTCCGTACTTCACCGCTTAAAGTGGTCTTCTGTGCGGCCCTCCATGCATGGAGCATGATCGAGTCGACCGCTGAGGAGGAAAGGGGCGAAAATCAAGCCGGTGCCATGTATGCATGCAGCAGCCCGGGCTAGTGGGCGATCGAGGGGGGGGCGAGGAATTTGCCGCGTATAGCGGAGGCCAGCGAGCGAGCGGGAAGAGCAAGAAGCGGCTGCATGGTTTGTTGATTGCGCGTGCGCAACCAGCATGCATATGCAGCGTGAAGCTGAGGCTGCTGCTGGCGCCCAAAGCACACGCAAGCATCAGCATCCATGATGCACCATGCATCTTTCAGGTCCCGATCCATGACCCGCGCTCCGTCAATCGTCTCGCCAAAAACACGCGCACAGGCTGCGCGGGTGCGAGCGCAATTAAGGCGTATTAATGACTGCGCAGGCCCCCTCGCCTCGATCGCGACTCGAGCGGAGCGAGGCACCTCGATCATGAATTAATTAAAATGCACGCGCGCAGGGGGAGCCGACGTGCCGGCCGGCTCATGCGCGCGACTTGTACAGAATGAAAATGTGATTGACTGTGGATGTCCAGATACCTGTAATAATGAGGCACCACGCGACTCGTAATCAAGATCAAATCCCTCACATTCACGGCCTGCAGCTTTTGGCCCGTCTCGAGAACGCTAGAACGAAAAGCACGACAATGGGAGCGCTCGGCAGCAGCTCGTGCACAGGTATGCCAGCTATTATTATTGAGGTAGCTGGACCCAAGCAGCATCAACGTCCACCCGACCAAATCGAAGTCGACATGTGGCCAAGCTTTTCGCGATGCCTTTGCGGCTTTCCACGAAGGAGGTCGTTGCAACATCTCAATCATCACGGGGATTCGCTGTGCAGGCATCACCCCCCATCGGGAGCATCACCAGCACCGCCTCACAGATGACAATCTTGAGTGAAAAAAAAAGTGTCCATTCCACCGCCGAGGCGAGACGAGAAGGCGGGGCTGATAAAAGAAACAGCGCGTCCATGTATGTAGCAGTGACAGAGGGCAAGGTGAATGATGTGAAAGTGACCATCTGTGGAGGGGCAAAAAGGCAAGAGATGTATTGGAGACACGACTTCGTCGCGCGGTATGCTGAACCGCTTCTCACGACCCGCTCAAGCAGCTCCTGGTTGAGGCTTGCCGGCGCAGGTCCAGGTGCTGTCGCGCACACCGGGCTTGCCAACAACCTTGTAAGGGTTGTACCTCAAGTTGGTAGCCACCGTCTGAACGTTTTGGGGAACGTAGCCGTTTTGCTTCACAATGTTGATGGCCTTGGGCAGCATGTTGTCGGGAGTAGTGGAAACGGTCTCGTGGTTGAGGACGATAGCGTGCTTGGGGGCCTTGATGCCGCGGTAGACATCCAGACTCTGGCTGACAGAGGCACCAGATGCGTCCTGAGTGTCAAAGTTCCAGTTGACCACCACCAGTCCCCAACGGTTGTTCAGGTGGTCCACGACGCGCTGGTTGGCTTCGCCGTAGGGAGGGCGCACGCAAGCAGGAACAACACCAAGAATCTTGTAAAGGGCATCTTCGACGAACTGAATCTGACCGTCGATCTGATCATTGCTCAGCGAGTTCAGGTGGGGGTGCGACCAAGTGTGCGAGCAAATCTCGTGACCCTGAGCGTAAGAGTACTTGAGAGCCTGCACCTGGGGCTCATCGTAAATGCACCTGCGTGGCGGAATTGGCGGGCGGCGGCGGCGAGCAGCAAGCACGGGGCGCGTCAATGCGTGAGACCTACCACATTCGACAAGCGCACACCAATACACAACACTCACCTGTAGTTGTTGCCATTGACGAAAAACGTTCCCTTGTAGCCCTCGTTGTTCAGACGGTCGGCAATGTCCCTGTGCTTGTTGTAAGGTCCGTCGTCAAAGGTGAAGCTAAAGCAACGAGAAGCGGTGCAGCGCTCTTGAATGCCGTAGAGATTGCTGGGAGGAGCTCTAGCACCGAGGGCAGTGCTGTTGGTGAGACCGTACACCTCGTACTCTGAAGGGTCGCGGGCCATGAGATCCCTCTTGACGGCCTCGGAAAGTGGAGGAAAGGCGGCGCCAGGGGCAGCGACGACGCTAGACGCAACGCCGAGGGCGATGGCAACGGCAACGACGAGCTTGCTGAACATGATGAGGATGATTGAGGGGAGGAAGGATGTGGATGGGTGGGACGAGTGGCCTTAATCAAAGGTGAGGAAGAAATGCCGACAAGGCGAGGACAAAGCGCAACGCCTTTTAAAGAGCAAACCGAGTGAGTGACAGTGTGAGCGCGTGCGCTTGGAAAGGAAAAACGAGTGTGAGGGGCTCGGGAGAGCGGAGCCGTATGGAGAGCGGGACGGGATGAGAAGGATGGCTTGATGAAGCTGTTGTGGGGTCGTGGTTGGGGAGTGCGGGCCGAGTTGAGAGGCAATCCGAAGGTCAATAAAGTGGGCAGTCTTTGCGGTCCTTGCGGATACCATCTGTGGCTTGTACTCAGACTGCGTACAGTATCTCTGGCTGACTTGCATTGCTGCAGCGACGGAGACCCGCGGTCGCGAGGATCCCGTGCACGCAGGAGCGGAGCGCAAAGGGTGTGCTACGACTCGTGACTGCTGTGTAGCCTCGCCTGCCAAGAATCCACGACCGCTGGGCGCGACGAGGCTGACATCAACGGCTCAGACCTTCATGCACCCTTCATTTGACAAGTGAGACGCTACCACATTCAATTGTGCGTGCTGCCGATGACAATTGCAATTGCGACACCTGCGGTGATCTGTACGTGCGATTCGGTGGACTGCCCGGCCGCCGTACGTGCGAGCGTGCGCACGTAGGTCGCTTCGACACGCGACTTTTCTTTCCGTTGCCGGCGGTTGGACTGGCGACTGCAGCATGGGCCAACTCCGACAATACAGAGATTGGTTGGCTGGTGCGACTTGCGAGTAAATACAGGGATGGGAGCACATCGTTGATGGAGGCCCGAACATTGAGCGCAGGATGGGAAACTGCCTCGTCCTTCATGCTGCAAGGATGCAACAATCAACGTCAGCTAGGCTCCAACTGCTCTGCCGCTGCTGCAGGGTGCCTGAGATACAAGTGTACGATCACACAGCCAGTCACCTGCAGCTGAGCTGCACGGAAAATCGCCAACTGTCATGCGCGCTCAGCGCCTTCGTAGTCCAGCACTCGTCGTGACCCGAGCGCAGCTCAGTGCACCAAGGGGCGGCCCAATCTGGACGCGTCGTACCTGCGCAACGCATTTCCAAGATCTTTCTGCTCCTATCCTGCAGAGGCCCCATGAGCGTCTGCGTGGGTCAAATCACCCGCGCGACATCTCAAAGGTATAGGGAGCGGAGCTGACGTGACGTGACCTGATCGAGATGCTGAAAGGGCTCAATTAAAGCACTCGAACTGCTTCATAATTCCCAGCCTCGCGCTTTTTGGATGTTGATGATCTTGAATCATCTGGTCCATCGCGAACTAAATCGCTGATCACGCGCGGACCCAGGTAAGAGGAAGCCGCGCCCCACGCCCCATTTTGCGCAAACGCGCCATCAGACTGCGCTCCTGTATATGAAATAATGCTGGTGCCGACCACGTTCAAGCCGCCTCCTTGCGCGCGCGGCGGCCACACTTAATTGACAAGGTTTGCAAGACGAGCAAGCTCCGAGGATGACCCCGGGCAAAGCGATCCTCGCTTTGATCGCGCATTGCAGGTACGTGCGCAGCCAAGCTCGAGGCCAAGAACCTTTTGTGTCCGCAAGTGCGTCATTGCGATGTCGATAGCGACCGCGAGCCTGCCAAGGTCGAACGAACGAACGAACAGCATCGAGGGAGCGAATCCGCTCAGACCGTCTTCGCACAGCATGGCGATTCCCATGCGATGGCAAGCGCATCGAGTCAAGTGTCTCGGGTCAAATCCGCCGACCCCCAATTTCGCGTTTTCGTCCAGCATGACGTTGCACCTTTCGGGCGCGTGGATCTGGTGTCAGCCAAGCAAGAAGAGCTTCGAAGCAGCTAGTCAAGCACCCTGACTCCTTCCATGGTGAGACCAGATCATTTCGCGCTCGGGCACAAGGCAAAGTGATGCTACACCATTCGCTCAAGGCCACTCTTGCACTCCGAGCAAATGTGAGTGAAGTCAACTACGGACCCTATCATCGGATCATTTAAACCCCTGCTGGCCGCCACGGCGGAATTTGTGATTGAAGGGATCAAGGTGGAGACGTTTGTTTGGCGCGCTTCTTGAACCGCGCAACACAAGACTTTGACTCATGACTGCATATGCGGGATCAACACTTTCACCACGTGCCGAGTATGACGCTCTCGAATATTCTGCGCCAGCCCCCCGCACGCCATCACAACTTCATTCGCACGTACTCATCGTGATTCGCGATTTGCCGTGCCGAGATTCCGCGCTCCGCTCAAAGTAAATTCTCCCGGCTAAAAGGGTTTGCGGCCGCACTGCTGCTGCTGCTCCTCGTGTACGCGCAGAACGATCCCGCGCAGCGCTCTTGTGGTTCGATCGAGGTGCGTCGCAGGCTCCACGATCAAGTCAGGACAGTCAAAGTCTGATGAGTGGCTTCGTCTCACTCGCCACAAACAACAAGCGTGAATCGTGAGTCGGAGTCAAGAGTCAGAGGGTCTCAGCCAGATCAACAAGACACATGCGGTCGAAAGTCAAGGGCATGTTGTGATCTGTACGAGAGGCACATGGCAAGCCAGCAATCGTTGCCAGGTCTCGTGACGCAAGGCCAAGATCACCACAGCTTGCTGAGTGCGATCACACTCCCGACCGGGATCGAGCTGCCGACGCGATCAAGTCAAGCGTCGTGGCCGGCCGGTTCGTGGCTTTCCCAGGCCCTCGCTTGCGCGACGCAAATAGCGTCTCGCAAAATTTGGCCAAAATCTCCTCGGTCCGGCCTCCGATGACCGTTTAGCTAGTCACCCGCGCAGGCTGCGCAGTGAGAGCTCGGCAAGCGTGAGTGCTCAAGACTCACACTGTATGCCGGGGCACTGGGCTGGGTTTTTCTTGGCGCCGTCACTCGAAGGTGCTGATGCAGCGCGCATCTCAAGGAATGCCGAGCGATGTCCATGCATCCATCCTACAATCATCGCATGGACGCGATCGCTGTGCGTTGGAGGCCTACGGAGACGAGGTGTGATTCTGCAACCTCCACTTTCTCGCTGAGTTTGGCGAGCGAGGCGAGATCGTACAAGCGACGGAGCTTCGTGGAGAGAAGTACGTGATGGCTGTCCGACGCATCCCGGGAGCCAACTGCATCGCGACACACGCACACGCACAGAGCGGAAAGTGCCAAATGACAATCTGAATGCTGTTTGAGCCATAGCTTGCTGGACAGCAGAAAGCCGTCAAGGAGTGGAAATGATGCTTCATAGCCAGCCCGAGTGGTGCGCGAAAGGATGGATGAAAACGTCTGTTCGAACAATCGTGAATCAAAATGCTTCACGACTTGTGCTGACTCGTGACTCGTGACTGCTTGGTGAGCCGTGCAGCCAGCCAGCCATCCACTCGTCGCGCAATTCCCGGCAATGCGTCTCTTCGAGTCGAACCGTACGTGCATATATGCTGCATCTCCCCCAAAGGGGAACAGCCTACACGCCTCCTCCTCTCAGCAGCGCTTCGGGCCCCAGACGACTGCAGTAATGAGCAGCTGTAGCTGCACAGGTAACTAACTGCCGGCCTCTGACCCATTAGGATGCTGCATGGCTGCTGCAGGGTATCAGAACGAGATGCATAAAGGAAAACTCTGCGCGCGCGCAACTCAAGACGGTGTGGGAAGCCGTCAAGACTGACACTTCGCCCATCGACAGAGCCAAGCAACGAGATTCACGATTCGCACATCCATGCAGCCTTGCCTTGCCTTGCACCCCTCTGACTGCAACTGCAACTGCGCCTGCACCGAAAGCGTCGTATCGTCATCCTACCGTTGGAAGGGGCAGTGTTTCTATAATCAACCACCACTGCCAGCCTCACTCGCCACTCCTTGCACCACCATCTCCACCATCTCGCCCCTGGACTCGCACTCAGCGATGTCATGGCCGCAAGTCACCCCAATCCCTCGAGTGGCCTTTGTGCCGCTCGAAGAGAGGGAACCACAATTCGATCTGCCGAGCATCATCAGCAGCATTGGCTCAGGCATTTTCAATCCTGTGAGTGCCGCTCCCTCTTTCTTCGCTTGAATCGCCGCTCCGCTTTCTTTCGTCTTCAGAATGAGCTTCATGCTCATTCTTCATGTCTTCTTGGTCTTCACATACCGCGTGCGATGAAAGGGCGATGACTCATCTTCCTCTTCTCAATCCTCTACGCGCGACACGTCTACTGGCTCGCAGGGTGGAGATGATACGTCTACATCGCAGACTTCCTCGACATCCACCTCCTCCACCGAATCGACCTCTTCGACGTCGCGCTCAACCCAGTCTACTTCGTGTGAGTATGCCGCCCTTGCCCTCGCGCTCGTTTTCTCTTCTCTGTGAACCCATCGGGTTTGCTTTTCCGTTTCGCGTACTAAAGGCTCCCATTTGCGCATCGGATCCCACACCCATTTCATGCAACCATGACTGACGCTTCCCGCAGCATCGTCTACCTACGACTCTCAAACATCCTCTTCATACACCTCGCCGTCTTCAACGTACTCGGAAACCTCATCTTCACGAACTCGCACTGCAGCATCATCGACTAGAGAAACGACATCGTCGTCCAGCTCCTCTCGAACTAGGGAGACCAGCACCAGACCGACGTCTACCTACCAGCCACCGACGACGAGGACGACGTCCACTGCCAGCGTATTCACGTCGCAATTCACCTCTGGCGGCTCCACCGTCGTTCAGACCCTCACTTCGACCATTGCTCTCGTCGAGACTTTGGCACCCGATCCCAACGCTCAGCAAAACACATCCTCGGGCGGCGGATCCGGCAATGGCGGCGTTGTTGGTGGTGTGGTAGGCGGTGTCATCGGCGGTCTGGCAGCTCTCGTCGCTCTCGTTCTCCTCGGCATCCTTTTGAAACGTCGACGCGATCGTACTGGCCACGCATACTTTTTGTGCCTTGGTACTAAACCCAACAGACACCTCGATGGCGGCGACGGAGACTGGCCAACCTTTGACCCGAACTCTTCGAGCCTCGCGAGTGCAACCGGCGCTGGAGCGGTCGGGGCAGCGTTTGGTGCTGGCTCAAAGCGTGGCCGCCCAGCGACTCCTGGCGGCACTTTGCCCCAAGGTTTCGACGATCCAGAAGCGCTCGGCGGTGACGCCTCGAGTAACGGAGCTTCTGATATGCGCGAGTGGCATAATGGAGCGCCCGCAGCTGCCGCTGCTGCGGCGTACGCGAGGTCCAGACAAGAATCTCACGGTGCCCTGTCGGACGGATGGAGTCAACCTCCACTCTCGGCTTCTGGACCCAACGGATTCGGTGGTCCTTCGGACGACGGTCATCACGTTTTGCCCGCTCCTGCTCAACAGCAAGCCTTGGCGGGGGCTGGTAATGCCTGGGGATTGCCAATGGGCTACTCTCATCCTCAGGCCACTGCAAGCGTTCCGCCTTCGGCATCCCCGCCTCAGAATGGCGCTTCCGGTCCTGACTACGGACACCTCGATCCGCCAGAAGTGCAAGAGCAGCGAGCCAGGCAGGCAGCCGCTGCTGCTGCTGGACCTGCTAACCTCTACTCGAGTTCGGACCTTGCGCACCAGCAGACGGGCAACAGCGGATACGGCAGCGGCAGTGGAGGCAGACCAGCCACAGCGTCCTCCAACCACGGCGGCGACGGCATCTTTTCGGATGCAGCAGCAGCAGATGCCTACACGAAGACCGGTGGTGCGCCCGGCTCCCCTCGATCGTACAACAAGAGGCAGTCGAACGGATCCATGATGTCGCTTGGAGGCCTCGCGCCCCCGACCTACCTTGGCAACAACAACCAGTTCGTCGATGCGCATTCGGGCACGCCTACCCGCGAAGATGGCGAGTTCCAATTCAGCAACCCCAGGAGGCTGGCCCCGACCAACCCCGATGCTTGATGCGCACCATGTCCAAGCAGCCGTCTTTCTCCCATGCAACTTGCACCCTTTTGAGCACCAGCTGTACACTACAAAATAACGTATCTCCCTTCGTCTTTCAAACCACTCACTTGAGCGCCGCAAGGCCTCCTAATGTGCACATCACAATTGCGACGACGACGTCGATCGCATCTCGGCACGCCTTGTCATGTGTTTGTAGGCTTGACGAGCTCAAAAGTTTGATTTGCGCTTCATGACTGCGGACAGAGCACTACTGCTGAGATGTACATACATGGCGAGGTGCGCCGCTTCCGCCACAAGATCCGCATTGGATGGCTCAGCTCACCTCAAAATTTTACCGCTCCTCTTGGTGTTGCACAAATCGCAAATCTCGAACCTGACCTTGTGCTCGAGGTGTCTTTCGACGGCAAGGCGCGCATCTACACGTGCAACGGCGGAAAGGTCCATCTCGCTTTCGACGCCATGAAGTTGTGCGAGATTGCTTTTGAACGAAGAGCGGCGGAGTCTTATTACCCCAGCCTCTGCACCCTCGCTTGCAATTCGTCCAGCCTCTGTCCAACACTCTGCAGATTGCCTTGCACGCGCGTCCTGTTGCTCTCCAAACTATCCCTCACCCCGCTCAACAGCGTTCTCAGATCCGTCTCACCAGCGCCCAGAGTGTTTTGCATTTCTCTCAGGCCATCCAGATCCTTGGCGAACGTTCCGGCTGAAGAGTGCAGGTCTTGCAGAGTCTGCAACCGACTCAGGATGGCCGGTATGATGGGTAAAAGTCCATCGATCCTTTCCATGACCGGAAACAAGCTGTCCAAACTTCTCCTCTGCTCCAGGGACAAGCCTGACTTTTGGGCATCACCTGCCGCGTCTTCGTCCCCTTGATCGCGATGCTGCTGCTGCTGCTGCTGCTGCTGCTGTTGCTCTGCCGCCGTGCTGATCAGAACTCCACCTTGACCCACATTCGAAATGGAAGCGCTGAATCCCAACTTTCGACGAGCTTCTTGCGCTCGTTCGAGCTCGGAGACGAGAACCTTGATACGACGAGAGATCGAGTCTAGGTGACGCGGGTGGGCCAAAAGCGTCACGAGGTGCTCGACGCGTGAGAGCGTAGGCAGTAGGGGATGCGGCGGGCTTTCGGACTGAGAGCGAAATGGTGGTTACGTCTGTGAGCCAAATGGGCGCACAATTCGAACGCTGTAGCCAGATCGACTACTCACGCTTTCAAGCAAGGCTCCCACCCCTACCAGCTGTTCGAGTTCGTGCAATCTGCTCTCCAACCCTGCCAGCTCCGACGACGCGCCGACGTTGTGCGGCTTGATCCGCGCACTCGTGTCGCCTACGTTTGCGACACCTCGGGCATCCGTCAGATTCATTTCTTTCAACTGCCCTAACAAAGTCCTGGCCTGTGTCTGCCAAGCTTGAGCGTCCAGTGAATCACTCGCTGTCCTGCCAGACAAGATGCCATCGAAGCGGTTGAGATCTCCTTTGAGTTGTCTGAGCTGATCCAACATGCGAGCATCTGCTCCTTGCCCTCTCTCCCTTCCGCGCTCCTGCTCTGACGCGTTGTTCGAATCAGACCACTCTTGCCCTCGTGAGTCTTGCTCCTCCTTGAGTTCCTTTTCCAACTCTTCCGACTCCATCTTCAACCTCTGCAACCTCTCTGCTCGGCTCTCGGAAGCCGAGCCGACAGGCGAGACGCCCTGATAGCTTCTCAGCCCGGCCCTTTCCTGTCCGTAGTAGCCCACTTCCAAGACAGATTGAGGGGGGTACTTTTGCGCCCTCTTTCGACGAGCGGATGTCAGCTGGTCGGAAAAGTCTGCATGGAAGATCGGATGAGGAGCAGGCTCGGCAATTCGGGGCAAATGAAGCTTGCGATCATGACGCGCGCACTCACCTACACCGCTAGCATCCGCCCCCGTTCCTTGCCTAAAGCGTCTAGTAGCTTCTCCCACATTCATTCTCGACCTCTCGATCGCCTCTATCGCCTCTGTCCCCGCATCCTCCGTCCTGCCGCCTTTTTTTGCAGCAGCAAGTCCACTCAAAGAGCTGCTGCTTGGCAATCCGCTCGCTCCGCCCGCTCCACCTCCTTTGCGTTTGCTAGGCCGATCCGTTGCGCTGACAAAGCTGGCATCTGGATCGTCAGACTCGGAGCCGGAGGATGAGCTTGGGGTGACTCCGCGGATCTTTCGAGCGGCGCCGCTCGGTGAATCGGGGCTCGACGTTTCGAACACATCGGGAGAGAATGTGTCCTGAGGGGGGGATGTGAAGCGACTGGTGAGACGCAGTGAGCGTGCGTCGAATCGACGTCGCGGCTACTCACGATATCTGGCAGATCAGCATACTTGGAAGAGGACATGGAGGGGCAGGCGGCAGCGAATGGACGCTCCGGTGCTGGTGCGGTTGAAGATTGCGGTGCTTTGCGACCGATTCACCCGTCTTGTCAGCGTGGTTGCACGTGCCCTCACCGCCTTGTGTGGAGCTTCTGCTCACGACCGAAGATGATCCAGACGGTCCTTGCGCGAGTCTTTGCACTGATCAGTAGCGAGTCGTGGCTTGTGAGCGTCGTGCACGATCAAGATGGCAGTCAAGGGTCAACAGTCAACAAGAGTCAGAGTCTCGATAGTCCGGTGTTGTGGATGCTGCATGGCAAGTCACGAGTTGCTTCGCGGTTGACCACGCGTGCGCGTTAGAGCGCCATCACCCTGCCGCGCGCCTGTGCAGTCCAGCGCTGAATCCCAAATGCATGCATGCAGTCTGATGAGGTGTCTGCGCTCCTGCATCTCGTACCAATAACAATGGTGAATCACGAATGACATTCAATCACGTGATTGCTGATCCATGCTGCCATTTTACCCTACTGCGAGGCGCACTAGTCACGAATAGCCGATTTGTATCTGTCCGTAGAGCAGGGATTACAACCGCTGTCTCCCCTCCGATGTGAATGGCATCTCCCACCATTTTTCAAGCGAAATTTGCCACGAATCAAGAATTGAATCAGCGACGCACAAAGGACACGTCCAAATCACGTGAATAGTAGACGTCGTTCTGCGTCGTTTGTGCAGCAGCAGCAGCAGGAGTTAGTTGTGCATACCCGCGCGCGGTAATAGGTATGCATGTACTGTTTAGGAGCGGGCCAGTCTCGCACGCCTCGCAGCTATATGTAGCGTCGCCATCAGCAGCTTCACAAGACGCATCCAGCAGCAGCACTCGTCTCTGACTCGTGGTGATTCGTGCTACCAGCATCTTCTGCTCTCCTCGGCTATCTATCGGAGGAACCACTCGGTCATACACTACTAGCTGACACAGGTCATTCAGGATGAGTATAGAGCACAACTCCTACCCGAGTCGCTGCTGTATATAGCTGCCAAGTCTGGCTACATCGCAGCATCACGCAAATTCGTGCTGTCTTCACATCAGTCGTCCATTCAATTCAGATCCTCGACTGACGCTGCATGGGTCGAGGATCACGACAAATCATGATAATCAAGGGAGCAAATTGGAGCTAGCAGGCAATCTTGGTGATTTTTGAGGGCGCAGCTTGCATCTCGCGCACATACATAGGTGAAATATCAATCAAGTGAACTGCGAGGAGAATCGAGAATGTGGAACTGTGTCAGCCCACGCACAGCACACAGCACGCATGCGCGCAAGCCCCTTCGAATATTGACTATGGATCAAGAATTGATAGGCTGCTTCGCACGGTACATCCATCGATCATCGATCGAGTGGCCGGTGCTATATGGTGAGGCTGCTGCTGCGTACAGCACATGTTCGTCTTCCGCCGAGAGATGATTCAATGGAAACAAAGTATATGTCTCGGAAAACCGCACGCATCCTATATATATGCATCGATCGAGCAGTTCGAGCGACATACGGGTGTACGCCTGGCGACGATGTTTTCCTGGGGATGCGCATCTCGACCGGCGGACACGCGCCCACGCCGATACTTGTGCTAAATGGGAGCCCCATCCACGATGGGATTCGAATCTTGGATTCCATCATGCATGCATGCTGTCTTGGCTGATGCTGCGCAACCCGGTTGCCTCGTTCTGCTTATTTCCGCAAGCAAACAAAGGAGTGGGCACATCAGCATGTGCAAAACGTTTGACCAAGTCTCTTCGTCTGTACGGAGAGGAAGTCGGAAGATATTCACGACGAAACAAGTGTGGGCCAATTAACAGAATCACAGTCAGAAGAGTCAAGACTCCTCCTAGCCGGACGCCTGACCACTCACACTTGTACAGTCGACGTGTCAGGCTGCTCTCGTCTCCTTTCATCAGCCGCGATTCGCCTCTCCCCTTCCCACACAGACTCACGACTTGGGCCAGACTGAATCTCTCTGCTAGCAATCCGCACACTTTTTGGAGGTTTCTGACGCGGGTATTCTAAAACTTTGCCGCAAAGCAGTCTTCGCGGCTCTGATCCGGTCGTCTCTCAGCGCTTCACATCCACTTTCTCTGGCTCGCAGATCGCCCTTCTTCCCCGAGGGGCCTGCCCTTGTACATCAGTGACCCTCAGAATGTTTTACAGCGCAGATATTCTCGGAGGCCCCAGACGCGGCCTGGGACTCGTATGGTGAGTCCTTTCACGTGCACCTCGCTATCCCTCCTCCTCCAGCCCATCTCATCGCCGGCATTTCTTGCATGCTCGCCCGTGCCTCCCTCAACGCAGGCTCGCGGCAACGCTCGGCGCCAAAAATGCGATTCGCAAACTCAACAAGCGCGACATCGCGACGTGCGATATAGGAAAGACTTGCGAAGCCGTCATGAATCCCAAAGAGCCAATGGCGTTGCGACTGTCTTCACAGCTCTTGTACGGGGTCGTGCGCATATACGTTCAGCAGGTGAGCTATCGCCAGCGTGGCATGTGCATGCTACGATGAGCACGAGCTCATGCTGACTCACCACGCTCTCTGCGTCAGTCCGAAACATGGATGGCGGAGGTTCAGTTTACGCACGCTTCGCTGCGCAAAGCGTTCACAATCTTTGCACCAGCTTCGGCACCGGGAGCGCCGCCTGGCGTTCGCGGGGCAATCGACATGCCTTTGGGTCGTCGCAATCAACAAGCTGGCAAAACGGCGCCAGGTGCAGCGGACGGCATCACTCTACCTTCCAACGACGCATTCTTTGCCGGAGATTTCGAATTCGATTGGTTTTGGGACGAAGACGGTGCTGGATTTGGAGACACTTCTACAGGTGTTGGATCCGCTTTCGTGCCTAGCGCATCTTTCGACACGCCCTCGCCAAAGCGCAAGAGGTACACGGCGGATGCGGAGGCCATCACGTTGCGCAGCGCCCTTTTGAGCCAGCGAAACGCATCTGCCGAAGGTCATGCCGGCTCGGAATTGGGAAGAGATGGCGGAATGATACACGACGCTCCAGTATTTCGGGACGATGGAGATGATGAACCGGCACACCTTGATCTTGGACTCGAGTTGATGGACTACAACCTTCCTGCTCCTCCGTCCGAAGGCGACGCTGCTCAACACCGCGCCATGCGCAGCAGCAGCGTTCTTGGCGGGCCTGAAGCCGACTTTGGAGCGTTCGATGACCTTGGCGATATGGGCGCGCCTGGCGATTTTGAGTGCGTAACGCGTTGCGTCTGCAATACATTGATGGTTTGCTCACCCCAAGAGACCTTGCAGCGTCGAGTACTTGAACAACCTGCCTGGAATGCAGTATACAGAGGTAGATAGATGCTCCCATGCAGCGATGCTCGCAGAATAGGTCCTAACGCGTCTGCAATTGTCCCGCATGGTCAGGCTTCTCGTCAGCTAAGCCCCTCGGCTTCTCTGCGCTCAGCTCTCAAGCGCAGCGCTACGCCTTCTCTCATCGATTCCGAAGAGGCTCGCGCGCTGGGTCTGCCCATCCCACCGAGTCCCAAGAAGAAGCGCGTCACCTTCAAGGAGGACCGTCGACTCGAGCTTTCGGACGATGAGATGCGTCGCAACAGATCTGACTATCTCTTGAACATGGAGAAAGCGCGAGCTGAAGCTGAAGCGAAGAGGAACAAGAAAGATGCGGAGTTGCAAGCGGAGCGTCTTGTCTTTGGACCCAGCAAGGATCGTGAGCAGAGGTGCATTGTGACGTCCTGCAGTCAATTTGGGGCTGATATGTCCACTGTATGCATGCAGTGGCGCACGGCTATACCCTCTCGACCTTTTGGCGCATGACTGTTGATGAGCGCTTCGCTGAGCTCGGTGAGGTGATCGTCGATCAACTGGACCAGCGGATCACCTTACCAACGCTGCGAGACCAATCACCCCCTTGTCATTGCTTAGCGACGATGCGTCGGGCATTCCAGACGCCAAAGGCACCAACGCTACCAAATGTTTTCCGCGGACCGTTACCCTTTGGTCAGGAGAATGGGCAGTATGATGAGGGAGTGGATATGTTCAACGATGATGCCGGCATGCCATCTGACGATGATGGCGGTGAGCGGCGTTCCGAAGTGCGCAGCAATGAGCCTGAGAGCTGATCCGAGCTACCTTTCGCTAGGTGGCTGGGACGATCTGCCGGGTGGACCACCATCATCAAGCGTGAGTCGCGCGAGACTGCGGCAGTGCAGCGCGCTAGAAGCAAAGACCTGCCGCCTTCGCAACAACGAGGATGCAGGAGATAGGACGTGCAGGGAGCGAAACGGCAATCGCCAACCTGCCTTGGAACATGGCAGCAGACAATCTCCGAGCGGCAGCAGAGCAGTCCAGTGAGTGCGCCGTCATACAAGCACGAAGGGCCACTGGTCTGATAGCTTCTTCGCAGCCGTCCTTTCTGGAACTCGAAGTGTCGGAGACGGCACCTTGCGCTCATTTGCGGAAGGAGATATCAGCGCTATTCGGTGAGACTCGAGAGTGTGGCCGTTCGTCTGGTGCCCCGCTGACCTTCTAGTCGCCCTTCGTTCCCGCACACTAGTGGAAGTCGCCGTGATAGCTCTGTGATCCCAACCAGTCCGCGACTCATCAGAGAGGACAGCCGATTTTTGGAAAGTCAGTCCGGCTAGGTCGCACGTCCGATCGAATGTTCTCACCTTGCATCTCTTTTGTGCCATTTTGCAGCTGGACCACGCGCAGCTCAAGAGAGCCAGAGCCAGATGGAGAGCCAATTGGTACGTCGCTACGGCTGGGTTGTCAAATTGTCCAGGCAAACGCAGACTGAAGGCGGGCGTGACAATGCAGGCCATCGATACGTTCAAGAGCGAGTCGAACAACTTTTTGGTCTTTGCACACAATACTGCTGCTGGACTAGGCGATCAGCCCTTGTTCTTCTCTGATCTTGCACCGGTCGCAGACACGACTGTACGTCCTAGAATTTGAGTCGAGTCGAGACGCGCGACGAGATTTGCTGATGCTGGTTCGTCAACCGCTTGTCAGCCTGGAGTGGCCGCCCAAGCCTTTTACCACCTGCTTGGTGAGCTGTAAACGCATAGATTGGTGTCCTGCCCATTTCGACGCGCCTGACCGCACTGACGCCTGCCTGCTTCTGTGCAGCCCTAGCTACCAATGACAAGATCTCGATCAAGCAAAACGAGGCATACGGCGAGGTCCACATTCGCCTAGGAGAAGTCTCGGGCATCCCGCCCTTTGCCCCTAATCTCTCTCGTTCTCAAAGTCTCAGCTCATCCCGCTCTGCCTCACTCAGGCCATGAGCTTGGCTGGAAGAGTCTCATTGTGTGCCAAGCTATCCTCGGTCAGCAACGCTTCTGCTCGATTCGCATGAGATGGCAGCGCGTGTACGAAAGTGGACCGCCCTGTAGACCCTAGTATCGAACGCGATGTACACCACACCAAATCAATAGTTCATGAGCGTCTGTATCAAATCTAGACGTCGTCGGCGCTCGGAGAGAGCCGAAAGCGCGAATCGCTTGCGTCGAGGTGGCAGACACAGCGAGCGGACTTGCAAAGTGTACAGAAGCGCTCTGCTGGGACCCTGCATTTGCTTGTCAGCAGCAGGCCGCGTTCGGTGACCCGGCCGGCCCTTCGTGGGAAGAAAGCGGACCGTGCGCAATGCAGCTTTCTCGGTTCTCGTAGGGGGGCCCGGCCCGCTCGGCCTGCATACGTGCCGGGTGCCGGCTGTGGGGAATGAGGTGCTCGGCATGTTGGATGATGACTTTGCCGCGCGGGGATGCCGAGACTTGTATAAAGTGGCACATGGTATCTGATTCAGCGTAACCAAAGTGAGGAGTTGTACGTATAGAGCTCATGAGTAAATGAGAGTTGAAGCTGCTTTACCCGAGACGATCGACAGCCATCTTACTGGAACATCAGCCCATCTCGACGACCTTCTCATTCGTTGAGCGCCCTCGCCGCTCCTCACCAACATCACCGCAACATCCCCTCCGTCATTGACCTTTGCATCCATCATGTCCCAGCCAAAACAAGCGGCGCAGCCTGCACCTCAAGCGGGCGTCAATTTCGATCTCACAGTGGGTCACGTCGGCGAGACTCAAGCGGTGTCGTGGAATCGACGAGACATTGTGCTGTACGCCCTAGGCATAGGCAGCAAGGAGACCGAATTGGATTACGTGTACGAACAATCTTTGAATTTCAGACCTTTTCCCACTTATCCTTTGGTGCTGGGATTCAAAGGAGAGGGAAGCGATACGAATGTGTTTGCGGAGATGATTGCCAGCAGAGGGGGTACGCCTGGCTTCCCCAATTTGGATCCAAACACGCTGGGTGAGCTTGAAGGGGGGTTGAGATCGACTTTGAGTTGCAAGAGGCGCAGCTCTGACTCACGCTACTCCGCATTGCCCCCTTTTTCCCTCACATTCGACGCAAAACAAAAAGTTCATGGCGAACAGTCTATCGTTATTCATGAGCCTATACCGGCCGTCAGTACGCCCGGATGGAAGTTGCAGAAACGCACAGTCGGAGTTCACGACAAGCCAAGCGGGCTCATACTCGAGGGCGAGACTGTCTTGATCAGTCCTACGGGTCGCAAGCACGCCACTATGACTGGTGCGTTTCCAAAGCGCCCTTGCCCGGTCTGCCTGCCTCTCCAGGTTGGACGGCCAGTACTGAAATTTTACCCTCTCGCTTCCCTCGCACGGCGTGCCTCCTCAGGCGCGAGCTTTTACAGAGGAGGCTCGCAAGGGACAGGGTACAGCAAGAGCATCGGTCAGAAGTTGCCAGTGACCAAACCCCCCTCCAAACCTGCAGACTTTGAGTTGCAAGAGGTGACGACGTCCACCCAAGCTGCCCTGTACCGTCTGAGCGGAGACTACAATCCTGTGAGTTACGACATGACTGCTATTCTGCTGCCGACGTTTCCGTAGGGGAGGGCGCTAGCTGTAAAGGGGGGCCAGACACAAGACTTGCACTTGCTGACCTCTCAAGCTGGTTGCCTGCGCCATTCCAGCTTCACATCGATCCATCCATCGGCAAAAAGGGCGGACTACCAGGAGCCATACTTCACGGCCTATGCTCCTACGGCAAGTTTCATTCCCACCTCCCCGCCCACTCATCGTTCCGGATGCATGGACTGACCTCCACTTGCGCTTTTCCTTGCCTTTTTTCCCAAACCAAATCCCATGCATCGACGTGACCACGCATTCACGAACTGCATGTTGAGGCACGCAGGCCACGCAGCCCGCGCCATCCTGCGCAGCGTCTCACCTCTCGAAGGTCAAGCAGCTTCGACGGACATCGTAGAGCTCAAAGCCATGTCTGCCAGATTCACCAGTCCCGTCATGCCCGGCGACACGCTCAAGACGAAGGTTTGGATCATCGGAAAGGACCAAGAGGAGGAGGATGGAAAGATCAAGATTGCATTTGAACAGGAGATTGTGGGTGGTAAGAAGAGCTTGGGAGGCGGTTATGCAGAAGTAATCAAGGTAGCTCGAACCAAGCAGGCCAAGCTTTAGGCCCGTCAAAGTCGATGATCATCGTCATTTTTGACTGTATGGTCATGGAAATGCGAATCTGCATCAACCCGTGCCCCTTTTTGCTCCGGCCGCACGCAACGAAAAGATCAGGGTCGAGGGCGCACCGATAGATTGCTAGAGCGCGCGGGCGCCTAGCGGTCGAACTTTGTGACGCACGTCTGTCAAGGTCAAGTGTCCGAAGTGAAAGCTGAGTGAAGAGTAAAGAGTACATCTTGACTGCTTGAGCAATGCTACAGCGCATTTCGGCACGAAGTGAGAACATGTGGGCTTTGAATCTACGCGATTGGTACGCAGGCTCGGCGAGACGCGTCGATGTCTTGGTCGTCGGTGATGCACAGGGCAGCGAAGCGCTCGTGCAGCCTGGTCAAGGTGCAATTTTTGCCGATGACTTGATGAGGGAATCGCACGAGCGTCTCTTCAAGGCTACCCAGCCCTTGAAGGAACACCGAGACGTCCGCTTTTGCAGCCTTTTGGTGCTTTGGAGGGATGCTAGCATCTTCCATCAAGCTCAGCAAGGTGTGCGCGGCGATTGCCATGGCCTGCACAACCAGAGGAGGGAACTGGTGCGCGGATCGGTGGGAATGAATGTCTGGATGTGCTTGGTGGAGGATCATCTTGGACGCTGCAACTCACGGGATGGTGCGTCAACGAGATTGCTGTTTCATCGAATAGCATCTGATTGTCCACCGATAGCTTGTGCGTGGTTCGCAAACGTTCAGCGTCAGCCACACGCATAGGCTCGTCTCGAATCTTGAGGCGCGTGACGGCTGCCAGGGCACAAGCGCTAGTGACTTTGAGGCGCGTTCTTCCGTTCACCGTGAAAAGCGTCTCATGCTCGGTGCAGAGCAGACGCTCCAGCAACCGAGGTCTGTTGCTGCATAAAACCTCTACAATGTCGGAGAGGTAGAGCAAGACTTGATTGGCATGCTGCGCGAGGTAGCACAAATGAGTTTCCGTCACTGTAGACAAGCGGCGCTCGCCAGCCATGTTGAGCGCCTGATCTTGCAAGGGTTGGTAAAGCTGCATCCACATGTGCACCGCTCTAGAAACGCTCGCTGCCATCTCGAACACCTGTCCGTCCGACATCTTGTGGAAAGCACGACGCATCTTGACGAGCTCGGAGAACATGGTCCAGAGCAGAACTTTATGTGCGGCCGCCTCTCCCAGCAAGCACTCGAGCTCCGCAAGACCGACCTTGCCGTTTCCGAGCAGCTTGATGGCACTGCTGAGCTTGCTTGCAGAAGTCAAGCTTCGTTTGATGGTGGCGTTCCAAGTCTGTGCAGCGCAGGATATTCGCGGCAGCTTTTCAAGATCTTGCAGCACAAGGACACTGCCCAGCAGGACGTTGCAATTCCCGTCCAATTGAGCGCGTAAAGCGTGCCTATCGGGTAGGATCTTCAACATCTCTTTCCAGAAAGTGGGCTTCACCCCTCTCATCGAGTAAATTCGAGACTGTCTGCTTTCCGTAAGAGTGCGCACTACTCGGCCGGAGAGGCCTTCGAACCATTCTGCTGTGCAAATAAGTTGACGACACTCTTCTCCGCATGTCCTGGTCAAAGGGCTCAAGGGAGGCTCAGGAAGCTCATCCTCGAGCTGGGAGCGCGCGCATCGTAGAAGTAGTACAAGTCTCTCTGAGCCTTCGTGTAGGGCATACAATTGATCTTCTGGTGGCCGGCGGCCTTCTGTGAGTGTTGCGCGGTCGGGTGGCTCAGTGGCGCCCAGCAGAATGAGTGCCTGGCATTTGCTCGAGCAGGGACATTCCATCAAATATCAGTGGACAACCTTGGGGCGAGTCGCAGAGAGCCTCTTCGCTACTCACCAAGGCTAGGCGGAAGGAACGGGCAGATATGGCGTGGAAGCAAGCGTCTCTGGCTTTGATCCAAGCGCTATCGGCAAAGACTCGTCGATCTTGGACATACTTGCTCCTCTCGATGACTGATTGTCCCTGCTTGCTGGGTTCTTGGTACTGAGCCATACACGCAATGATGCTCAAGACCAAAGCATATCCGACTTGGTCGGTCTTTCTCAGAGTTTCAAAGTTGTGAGGTCCAGCTGCTGGGCATTCAGTATCTGACTGAGGCTTCGAAGACAAGCAGTCGCCGAAGACGATGTCGAGCATGGTCATAACCAAGAGTAGTCCAGGCTGAGTCCTGACTTGCAACGACGAGGCAGCAGTTGACGATGTGATGCCCTTGTATGCTGCACTGACGTTGCTAGCGGCGCCCAAAAGTTGGGCAAACTGAGGACACGAATCCGCTCTCAGGACTTGGAGACCTGTGGTCGCCGGAATGCACCCAGGACTGAGCCAATTGGACATTGGAAGCTCAAAGACGTTCAGAAATCGGCCGTAACTGTCTATGGTTCCGGTGGCGAGGTCAAAGAGGAAGAGCTTTAACATCGCAGCAAAGTACTCTGCAGACTCACGAGATACCACATTACCTCTCAAATTCGAGTCAATGATGGCAAGCTCGGCTTTGCTGCTCAAGGCCAAAGAGTGCCTGCGCTTGCGGCTCGAACAGGTGTCAGTGGTCGCCTCGAGCATTGGAATAGCGAGACACTCCACGCGGTCCGGTGAGGTCCCGCACCGGGCGCCTGCCATTGGAGAAGCAGCTGAGCTACGCCGGATCATCTTCTGAGTGCTTCTCTGCTCCTTTTCCAGCTGTTTGCTTCGGAGCCTGGTGGTGATGTATTCGTTCGTGCAAATCACGTTGCTCTGCTCGCATGACCAGCATGTAGTGATGCCGGCTGGATCGTCTCGATCGCAGGCGCGCTTGCCCTTGCGACAAGGATCGCAAGCATGATTTTGTCGACGTTGAACGGTAGGACATGATAGCGGGGTACTGGTAGCCCAAGCCAAGTCGCGTTTTGCCCCTGGCGAGCTTTCAGTAAGCGGAGCCGCTGAGTCGAATGGCGAAGCATCATCTGCACACGAACGAGCTGCCGATATGAGGGGCGCAGAAGAGGGTGTCAAGCTTGAAGACGTCATCCAGGGCAAGTCCTCAACTGGGACGCCGAGGCATGTGCTCGAGCTGGTCTGAAGTGGAGCCATCGCAGCAACTGCAGTGAGGTCGCAGTTGCCTTGGTCCACAAGCTCGTAGGCTGCCGCATCGATTCCAAACGCATGGATTGCGGTCTGGCCATTCGTGCCAACTGCTTGGATGTTCAGAGCTGACTGATATGATGGGCCGGGTATCAGTGCCTCTTGCTGGACCTGCGCAGCCCATACTGCTAGGCTGAAGGGCTCGTCTCCGTGCTGTGCGCCAGATTCGGATCCGGCGCGGGCTGCTTGAGTAGCTTGTTGGAGCTCCCTCTGGGCTCGATCAGCCTCTGGAGGCGCGCTTGACTGGGGAGCAACCTCTTGGCGGGTGTTAGAGTAGCCGTGTTGCTCACCCGAAGCTATCGAGGGCCATGGCCCATCCTGACAATGCATAGGATACATCTTGGCTGTGGAGTGGCTGCTCCATCTGAGGTGCCAGCTGTCGAAGTCGCTCTGATGGGGACGCTCCTAAATGCAAATGCGGTGGGATGCCTTCTGGGTGAGTGCAAGGCACTTGCTCGTCTCGAATAGTGAATGGCTTCTTGAATACGTGCAAGAGCCTGTGGTAGTACTCCCACCCACACAGTTTCTCGTCAGTGTGTCTAAGGGGTGGGGGCTGCGCAGCGCAGCAGGCTTCACCCTGGTCGATGCTGGGCACGAATCCGGATACTGAGTGCCGATTGCCGAGTAGCTAGACGGCTTTGCTGAGCTCTCTGACTGCATCAACATTTCCTCAGAGCTGGTCACGAGTGCATGGTGAGTGCTGAGTCACAATAACCCGAGCGATCTGATTCGTGGTTGTGACTTGTGCGTCTTTACTCACGACTGGATGGGCCGTTCGATGCAGCTCGAACAAGTTGCGCCCCCGCTTTGGCGGCTTTGCACCACTTTCGTGATTCATGATTCAGATTTCAGAATCACGATTCCGATGACTCAAAATTCTAAATTGTTGGTCTTGACCCGCGAATCATCTGGATCTTGATCAGGCTCAAGTTGTACCCGGCACCGGTTACTGGTGTAGCCTGGGCGCCCGGCGATTGGTGACGTTCAACTGCTCAGTGAATTTTCGAAGTGACCTATACCACCATGCAGCAATGTTGCATAAGCAAGAATCTCGAATCAAGAATGGAGACAAAGTTGCGTGGCCTAGGTCGTCAGCTGAGTGACCCTCAAGAGGTGGGAGCTGTGTAAATTGTTCAGGTTTCAGTTGAGGCCAGTGTCAATTCTCGATTGTTAATTGTATAGCCGTCAATGCAGCGCAAATAATTCGTCAAGACTGATCAATTTGGTATCCTGGGCGGCGCTAAATTGAATCTTGTGACTCGTGCTATAATTCCGTCCCAGTCGCTATAGCCGATTCTTGATGCAAGACTGGAAAAAGATCAAAATCTTGAATCCCAGATGCATGTTCGACTTTTGACTCACAATCAATGAGACGATGTGTGAAATGACGTGAGCGAGCGTTAGAATAAGTCGGGGACTCACATGGATGCATTAGCCTTGCCCCATAGCTTTGTCTGGCCATTGAATGTAAGTGTTTGTCCGACACAGGGAAGGTTGCGATCGAAAAGTGCGGCCAAGTCGGAGTCAAAGTGAGTGATGGTGTATACAGCTGCATGCGTCATTCGATTAACTCAAGACTGTTGAGAGGTCGCTTGGACGCCCTGCCGAGCGCCCCATGCCACATATACTCGATCTGACTCTTGACTGCAAGGCACATAATCCTGATTGTGTCCAAAGTTGTCCATCAAGCTATAATCTTGAATGCGTGATGCGGCCTTCAGCTAGCATTCAGCCCAGTTGTGAACCTTGCATGGCGTCTCATGTACATTCGTGCTTGAGTGACTCATCAGCAATCATCAAAGCACTATATAGAATCGTGATTGCTGACGCAAGGATCGTGATGCATGCTGGGCATTCACATCATCATTCTGATTGTGACTGTGTGCGGTAGCCAGGAGCTCAGCCGCGGGTTGCCAAGATTCACCTTGCGGCTTGCGTCGTGTAGTGAGGCCATTCGTGCGTGATTGATTCTTGAGTCACGGGTCAAGCACGAAAGGCACGTCTGTTGCAGTCTTGAGTCTTGGCCATCAGCAGCAGCTGATCGAGCGATCTGGCAGATGGCGATATAAGGTGCGGCGTGGCAATTCAGCGCGATTCACGCTTTAACGCTATGCCGAAACACAAAAACGACCGCGGCAAGCGGCAACGAGTATAGCCGCGCGGGTGCCCAAGCAAGCTCATCGCAGTTCCATTAGGCATTCGTGATTCGAGTCACAGAGTCTTGGTCGAGTGACTCGACCCTCAGATATCACACTCTGCTGTTGGATGCGCCGCGGACGCCCGCGTAAGGTATGAATGAGGCGCTGCCCGCTGCGGAGCACGTTGTTTTGGTCGGTCGTACGGCGAGGCAGCGGCAGCCATGCTGGTGGAACACACGCGCGCGCAAGGATGACAGATCGTGAGTAGTAGTCACCAGTCGTGAGTCTCGAATCAAAGATTGGTGATGGTGAATCACGACCGAGGCTTCACGCAGGCGCGTACCACTTCACAAAAGACATCCGTCTACCCCGCGCACCCTACCATCCGGCTATCTATAGGCGCACGGCGATACGGTATACCTTCTCAAAAATGTACGCCGATCAAGACCCAACACGCGCGCATAACGATGCTGCACGCGCGACTTCACACGTGCGCGCACGGGCGCACGGCGCGGGCGTTTTGTTGCTGATCAATCGTGAGCAAGTCGTAGAGATCGCGCATACATCACCACCATGTCCTTGTCTCGCATCCTTCACGTCTAACACTTCAATCTCACCATGTCGGAGCAGCCTGATCGCGGTCTCGGTGTGGGGTCTAGTGGATCACCGCCTCCTCCCGCCGGTCCGCCGGCTCCCCCGCTCCCGTCTCCATGCTTTGTGCATTCGTATCTCGATGCGGGTCTAGGCTCCTCTGCTCGCAGAACGTGGCCAAACAGAAGCGATGCGCACGTCCATACATCGAGAGAGCGAGGTGCGGAGGTCTATGCTCCCGGGGGCTACTTTGAAAGCGAGCACAAGATGCGATCGAGTCCGCGAATTGCCGGCCCCAGGCCTCGTCGCAGGGTCCACATCCCTCCCTCCCATCGGCATTCTAGAGGAGCAGCCGAGCCGAGCAGCGAGAGCTCGCACAGCGGGAGCGAAGGCGGGTGCAGTACAGGCGGCTCTGTATCGGATGAGGAAGGGGATAGCGAGAGCGATCACATGCGGAGCTTGACGCGACAGCTTGCCGAGACTGCAGTCGGCGTGCGAGAGATGAGCAAGCAGCTTGGTGAGTATGGTAATGGTGCTTCATGCATGGCTCGTTGCTCACGCCGATCTCATCACAGGTCAAGCAAGAGTCAAGTCCAACATCCACTCGGTCTTGATCATCACAAAGGCGCGAGATAATCATCTCATCTCATTGACGCGTGAGCTCGCCATCTGGTTGATGCAGACGCCCAGGAGGGGCAGAGATACGGGACTTGTCGTGTGAGTCGTGGGCCTTTCCCCTCGCATTGATCTCCTAGCTGACGGTCGCTCATCGCTTCCCACGCAGCTACGTCGACTCGCAGCTGCGCAACTCTAAGCGTTTTGATGTAGAAGGCATACGACGAGACCACCCGCAATTCTTTGATCGCGTGCATCGTGGTCAGCATTCGTCGCAAGCCTCCGCCTCCACTCCCAAAAGTGCAGGCTTCGAGACGCCAAGTGCTGCATCAAGCGCTTCGAGCAGCTCGAGCCAGTCTCGTGAAGATGGGCAGCTCCGATTTTGGACGAGCGACATGTGCAGCCGTAGTCCGCACCTGTTCGATATCGTCGTGACAGTGAGTGCGCATGGGTGCGCGGATCGGATGCAGGCCCTCACACTCTCAGCGTCCTGTTTCACAGCTCGGTGGAGACGGTACGGTACTATTCTGCTCTTGGCTGTTCCAGCGAATCGTTCCTCCAGTGGTGCCATTCGCACTGGGCTCGCTTGGATTCTTGACCAATTTCGACTTTTCCAACTACGCCAAGGTGATGAATTCAGCCCTTGAGGATGGGATACGAGTCAACTTGCGCATGCGTTTTACAGCAACCGTATACGTGAGTCCTGGGCGCCTGGACTCTGTGATGCTGCTGCTGACCCTGTTCTTTTATCCAGCGCGCCACCCTGCCTACCGGCTCTTGCGAGCGGAAACGGCAACGCGCCATCAGGAGCGGCAAGACTGGAGAAATTATTATGCGCAATATTGCCGAGGGAGGTTGGGACAGAATCGAGTCCCCTGTTCCGCAGGGGTCCGACTTGCGGGGCCACATGTCAGAGAATGGTAGAGATCCGGGCAACAACGACACTAGGCCCGCTGGCCCTCCCCCTCCTGCTGCGGCGATACCCCAGCAGCGCAAAGACAAGGAGGTCATGTGCTTCACAACGCGCCCAGTCGAAACGTTCGAAGTCCTTAATGACTTGGTGGTCGACCGCGGGCCAAGTCCCTACGTCAGCCTGCTGGAGGTCTTTGGTGCGTGGTGCGCGTGCGCTGCTTTGCCCGCGATACGTAGCTCACCTTGTCTGCCCCTTGCAGGCAATGAGCATCACATGACCACCGCACAAGCAGACGGGTTGTGCATCTCCACGCCCACCGGCTCGACGGCGTACTCTGTGAGTAGGCGCTGGGGTGCATCCCTCCTCGATCCTGCTGATCCATCGCTGCCTTGCAGCTTTCCGCTGGAGGATCGTTGGTGCACCCGGAAATCCCTTCTATATTGATCACGCCAATCTGCCCTCACACGCTCTCATTTCGGCCCATGCTGCTCCCAGATAGCATGGAGCTACGCATCGCGGTGCCATACAATTCGCGCAGCACAGCTTGGGCAAGCTTTGATGGCAGAGGTCGAGTCGAGCTCAAACGTGAGTCGTGGCGCCTGCTGGCATGCGTAGGCCGCTGCTGACTTGGCGTGCGTCATCCACGTAGAGGGCGATCACATCAAGGTCACCGCTTCACGGTATCCATTCCCAACGGTCTGCGCCGAGAACCAATCCATCGACTGGTTCAATTCCATTTCTCGTACGCTCAAGTGGAACGAGAGGCAAAGACAAAAGTCGTTTGTGGTGGTGGAAGAGGGCGCGGAGAAGAGCTCGTCATCAGAGCCGAAAGAAGGTCAGCGAAGCGAAAAGAGCCAATCAGGTATGCAAGGAGCGGGAAACGAGACGGATGACAATGAAGACGATGTAGAAGCAGAGGCCGAGACCGAGGCATTCGACATTGACGATACCGATACAGCTGCGCCGACGCGAACAGCTAGCCCTGACCCGGATCCTCCCCGGTCAGCGGCATCGCTGAATCAATTTGTAAGGCGCAACTCTGTGCGCTCGAGGACGAGCAGCGGTCATCACCACCATCATCACCCCAACGGCCGCACAATCAGATCAGCGCCCACAAGCAATCGAGCTTCATCCGAGCATCTGAACAGATTTGGCATGGCTCCACTGACACGCGGAGACAAGCCAACGACGAGCGAATCCTCTCCTTCCGATACCAGCAGCAGCCCCTCCGCGGCCGGCCTTGAGAAATCCGAGCGCGATCAGAAATTGCTCAGTAGTCCGGATCGGTTCGGTTTAGCGGGACCGCCCATGCCTCCGCGCAGCATCAGCGAGCGTCACTTGGCCAGCGCCGACTTTAGGCTGGACGACCCTTCGCCGGGACCGAGCGAAGCGCCACTGTCCCTGTCTTCTCAAGATTCGGCTGGACTTCCTCGGCAAGCTGCAGAACTGCAGGCACAGACTCGCAGGTTGAGTGGAGAAGCGCAAGCACAGACGCGAGGTCAAAGCGGCGAAGGAGCAAGTACGGCATCGCAGCCGCGCCAGGGTACGGATGCAGCAGCACCTGCCGGCACGGAGACGAAATCATCCATTGCTTCCCGGCGCTCGTCCTCGCAGCGCAAACAATCTCGTCAGAAGAAGGTGGCGTCGGTCGACCCGAACGGACGTAGATCGAGCGGGGCGGGTGCCGCTCTGATCGTGTATGGACAAGACGAGTCTGACTCGGATGATCTGACCGAATGAGGCGATGCAGCCAATCTCATGTCCACGATGTGCATCATTCTTGTGGTCGTCGGTGGCGCATGTGTGGTGGTGTCATTGCGAGAGCGTCCAAGGCGAGCGTCCAAGGCACGGGTGCTGCCGTATGGTACAGACGTAAGGTTGAATTGTCGGGAGTCGCGCGTGCGAATCCTTGCCCGCCTGCTTCGCGCCCTTTGCGCCCTAAAGTCCAAAGTCTCGTCCATCCTCTGGCGCGTCGCTGATCTTCTTGCCGCCTCCGGACTTGCTTTTTCGACTTCTTCCCCACGCAACGCGCACTTCTTTGCCATCAATCAAGACCTTGACTGCGCAGCGCATAGCTGCGCTCTCCGCATCTTCTCGCCTTTTGAAATTGACAAAGGCGCACTTTGACGTGGGGACGTGGGTGATGGACTTGATGCTTTCGGGCGCTAGATTGGGCACCGTCGTCACAAAGTATGTCCGCAAAGAGTCCTCGGTAGCGGTGGGTGGCAGGGACGATAGGAAAAGCGATGTCTGCGGAGGGGGGGGGGGGGGGGGGCAAGCAAGAGATGAGCTTCGCCATCGCGCACCTTTACGTCATCCACGTCGTCCTCTCACAATAGTCTTGTCTTCTGGTGGTGCGAGGCCCGCTTCGTCGGCTTGCGTGCGCAAGATCTTTTTGGCGACCGGGTCATTGCGCCCGAGGTAGCTGTGAAGACGAATCTGTCAGACGTGACGGCATCGACATGGGCGCACCCGTGTACTGCTCACCGGTCTTTGATGTTTTGCTTGCTCAACTCGTTATCCACCGGCAACTCGTGACGAAAAGGACAGGCATCACCTCGCGTGCAGTTGCCCTTGGCGTAAAAGCTGCACAAGTGCGATCGGTTCCTCCTGTACGGATCTGATGAAGAGGTCCCACCAGCACTGCTGCTGGGCGCGGCCCCCATTGGATTCCCTCGCTGACGAGAAAGTTGCTTGAGCAACTCTGAGCCGGCACGAGAAGCTGGGCCGGAAGAGGGCAACAAGGACTGATCGCCACCTTGTTCAGCCTGATGGATGTGCGGCAGTCTCGACCTTCAGCACGACTAGCGGCACCACAACTTGGAGAGGCCAGCGACAAACTCACTGCCTGTGCCTCTAATCGCTGGACATAGTACAGCTTGTTCTTCTCCCCGCTCGGCATCTGATTCTGCAAGCCCATGGCAGTGTCTCTGACCTGTACCGGCAAGCCATACTGCAAGTCGAGCACACACGTCTGGCATACATTTTTGATCTTGGCGCACGTCGTGCACAGTTCCGTCTTTTTGAAGCGCATCCCAGAGCCAGGGTTCCATCGAAACACTGTGAATGGTCGGTCGCAGATCTGTGGGTCGCGCATGGCGTTCGTTAGGTGGACACGCAGTGATCCGCGAGCGACAAGACCCACTCACCTTGCATTCCTTTCCCATTGGCTGCTTGCTCATCCTCACGTACGGATTGGGGCCTAGGCACGTCTCGCAGAGGATGGGCGTCTCCGCCTCTTCGGCTTGATTGCTCATGCTGTGCGGCGGCGTGTGGTGCGAAATGATGAGGGGCTCGGCGCTGTGAGATGCGGGCGTGCGGGCGTGCTGCCGTACTCGCGACGCTCGTGGATGTGATGGTTGCAAAAAGAACGCTGGACTGCTTCATGATCCGTTCAGCCTCGGTCGATCGGTCCAAATCCGCGACGCGATACGTCCGAAAAGAGCTCCCGTCACGTGATCTTTACGCGGGTGTCACACTCAAGACTCGTAGGCTTGTTGTTCGACGCGGCCAGACTCAAGAATCACAATCACGAATCAAAAGGGTTACGATTACGCTCTCACTCCGCGCGCACTCCGAGGAACACGGGGCCCAAAGAAGGGGTGCGCAGGCGATGCGATTCCGGGTCAAAACTGCATAGACGTACGTGTACACATGGTTCGTTGCTACGGAAGGCCATCGGTGATCGAGCCCGCGTCTAGTGAGAGCGACGTTGCAGGACCAGCCTGCTTTCGAGGACGTATTTATCCTTTGCACTATCCAACCTCTCCTTGATCCATTTGCGCGTTTCGGCAAGGGCCTCCTGGATGGACGCGAGACGGACATCGCTTGCAGAGAGCTCTGCAGTGACGTCGACTCGATGCTCAAAGGCAGCGCCACACAGATCGCGCGCGAGTCGTCCGTTCAAAAATCGAGCTTGGGCTTCTTTGTACGCCTCTTCGTCCGCACATACGTGCAGTTCTCCGTCCAATGGTCCGCTCCCGCTGGAATACTCCACCCATCGTTCGCCTGCAAGCTCAAAGCACGCCACAATGGCTTGTCCTATCAGGCTCTCCACGCAAGGCTCGGGGTTTAAACCGCTTGCACACTGTCGCAGCGCTGCGCCCAAGCGCTCCCGAGCCGTATCAAAGATCCAGCGTCGACTACTGTCCAACGAAGCGAGAACATTGAGCATCTTTGTCGTCTTCTCGATCGCCCATGTCGGTGTGAGGGCGGTGAAAGTAGGCGATAGAGGTTGGTGATTCGAGGACGGAGAGGCAGACGCGTCGATGGATCGGGTGGGGCGATGACCAGCACGTTGCGCTGCATTGGTCGAGCTTTGCTCGCTCGTGCAGCTATCGGAAAGTGGCGACGAGTGCTTCTTCGCCCGTTTGTTGTCATGTGACTGTGAGCGACTGTGTACGACGGGTCGAAGCGTCGTCGCATCGCTAGACACTCTTGGTCGCTTGCGAGCAGCACGGTCAGCGCCGCTGGTCGAGCTCACGTTGGGCTTTGCGGGCAGTGCGTGCTGAGCCGAGCGCGGAGAGCCTCCGCCTGGATGACCCTGATGCAGATGGCTTCGGCCCAGCACTAGTGATCCGGCCTGCATTGTAGCAGAGTCTCGCTGCGCATCGTGATGTTGATGCTGTGGAGCCGGCGGCGGCGGCGGTGGCCTCCTCGGCAAGCTCGGGTGAGCGTTGCGGCCAAGCATGGCCAGGCCAACGTTGCTGCTGCTTGCACCCGAGGTATCGGAGCACATCCAAGGAGCTCTCGAAGGAATTGACGCGTTCGCTACAGCGTGCATGACGTTGGGTTAGGGATCTCCGTCTTGACGTTTTGCTCGTTGTCGTCCGATACGTTCTGCTCGGATCGTCGCTTGACTACAATGGCGCAAAGACGTCGTGGTAGCCTTCTGAAGCGTAAACTCATTCCCAAGAGCTCGTTCATAAGCGAAATGGGCTGCCCCCAAATATGTTCCCACCGTCCTAGAGACCGAAAGCCACTTCATGGCGCGCGACCCTGAAAGATGTCTTCCTCTCGCCGGGAGCCACACGATATGAGCAGCGAGCTGCATGAACCTCTTGATTGCAGGACGGCGGACGGCAGCTCCCGCTCTCCTCACGAGGCACGGCATCTTCGGCATCATTCGCAGCGCGGAGTTATCTCGTGTGCGTACTCATACCTACCGTAAGCGGGAGTCTGTACGAGACCTACGCTTGCTCTCGCGCCGCTCAGGCGCTGTGCGATGTGCGCTGCGCCACTCGCACTCGCACTCGGACTCAAGACCCACCAATTGTACCTCCGCATTCAGGTCCCCATGTTTAGAGAAGCGCAGACAGCAGGGTCCCGTGAATCACCATCGAGTTGCAGGGCACTAGCGAAGCGCGTTCGGAGGGCTGCGGGCGGGGGAGCAGTCGACCGCTGACAAGCCGCTGCTGCTTGTCAGCTTCACCTGCATGAACACACAACAGCACCCAAGTCGCGACCTTGACGAGTGCCAAGCTTGCTTTGTGCAGCAAGTCGTGGGCGCTTGCAGCTGCAAACGAGAAGTCGCGAAGTCTTGGCAAAGCAGCAGCAGCAGCAGCAGCAGCAGCAGCATCACGTACTTCGTGCAAAGAGCGAGAGAGAGCACATCCATCGCGCGCTCAGCAGAGGTGCAATCGTTTAGAGCCCTTGCGACATGCCATGCGTAGACCATCTTTGCCTCGATGACAATTAGTGTATGATCGGATTTTTCGTGGTCATGGACCCCGAGTCGCCGTGCTCAGATTCGATTGCGCGTCCAGGCATGTGTAGGCTACGTGATGATCCCATCCGCGTGCGACATGGTCGAAGATGCCTGCTAGGTGGATGCCAATGTCGTTCGAATGATAGCTCTCCCAGAGGCCTGCGACTCGGAGCGAAAAATGGCTCACCCTTACGTCCATTCACATTGTTGGGCACTCGAGGGCTTGCGATTCAGCACTTGTCATCAGCCTACGTGCCAACAGGCACGAGACTCGCGACTCTTCGCTCTGATTCGAACGCGCGACCTCCTCTGCCAGTCGAGGTGGATGCGGACATTCAAAGGTCGTGTGGTCGAAAGCGGGCCATCGTGCTGTAAAGCAACATTTTGATTTCGATTCAAGATTCTTGATTTCCGTGATTTGGCTCTTGAGCCCGTTCAAAAGATCCACCAAGTCACGTGCTGATCCCCAAGTCACCGCCATGCGGTGTAGCAAGATGGAAATGCCGACGAGGCTGTGTGCGTACTCCACGTACGCAACACCGTCGTGAATCTCGCTGCTGGTTGGTGCATTCCCGACGCAAGATCAACTACGGACCGTGCTAACGCACGCTGAGCGGAGCGCCATAGAAGAATGCGAATGCGTGATTGCAACGACCGATCGAGATCGCTGCGATCGCTTTTGAATATTCCAAGGACACCCACGCTACCGCGCTTGCCGTTACAGCACAGCCCGCCGCACCTAATTATTGATGCTCATGCCGAGAACGTCATCTGCTCGTGCTGCTGGGTGAACGCGCTGATCAAGAATGGCATCGAGATTGCGAACTTGGCAGTAAAGTCGTTGGGACAGCTGTCGATCAAATGGAGAGTCAGAGTCGTAGTCACGACTCGCTGGCGCTGACAAACCCTCGGCCCAGACTGAGAGCAGAACAGCTAGCGGACCGTTGCATGCGTTGCGTGCGTACTCGTGACTGCAGCATCCGCGCGGCGCGGTTCGAGAGCCGATGCTTTATGCGATCAAAGCAAGCAGGCAGGCCGGCCTTCCCGACTCCGCCTCCGCCGCGCAGCACAGCACAGCCGCAATTCAGGATGGCGCACTCACAACCGCGCGCGCCGATCAAGTCGCTTTGATACTCACGCAGAAAGAGTGTGAGTGTGAAGGTTCGAGATTGAGATTGCGATTGCGATTGCGATTCTCTTCGTGCACACTTCGCGTCACCATCGATCACATCGTCTTTCCTCATGCCAAACAGCACCCAACGCACTGGTGACTCGACTAGCTCACGACTCACGACTGTTCGATCGCCACTCAGACTGTCTCGCACATGCACAGCTCAACACCCACCGCGCGCGCTGTCATAAGCAACCCATATACTCACGACTGTAGCTCGTACGCGGGTGCGCCGCAATAATAATTTGTGTCTCATCCGCGGCGTCAGCACATCCTCATTGCGGCGCACGCGCGCGCATCGCCAAGGGCTGCACCGCCTCGTTCGTTTTTCTCTCCGCCGACCGGCCCATACATATGCTGCATGTGTACGCGCGGGCAAAGGGCACACACCGTGCACACCGGCCGCCGCTCGAAAAGGCTTATTTTGACTCAACACTCGTGACTCTTGACTGTCAGACTCTTCTCTTTCGAACGAACGAGCGACGCGCCTGCCTTCGCATCTCTTTCCCCGACCGCCTGCCAGTCAGATTCGCTCTCATCTTTCCACCTTCAAACGTCTTCGTCGCCAGCTTGGAACATTAGATTGCCTCAGCACGCATCCTAGCATCCCAAAGAATTTCCTTTGCCTCCGCCGCCTGGGCGAAACGACTTCTCCCACACGCACGCACGCACGCACGCACGCACGCACGCACGCACGCACGCACGCACGCAATGAACGATCTCAGGATGGCATTGGCTCCTCATATGGAGATCATCTCGGGTCTCTGTGCAGCGCACGGCCTGCAGCACGACTCGGGCGTCGACTTTGGGGGAAGCGGAGCGGAGAAAAGCTGGCAGGGTAGACCGCAGCAAGCGGAGCACGCTTCTGGACCCTCTAGCGCGCCGCTCCTTTCAGACGGAAAGCCAAAGCTGAACATTGCCTCATCATCCGCTTCTAGATTGGCTGCCAGTCCACTCGTCATGAGTCCTGCTCCCAGAAACGATCATGATGACGAAGCGGATGCGTGGGACGAGGTGGCTAGAATGCTCAAACCGATCGGAGATACGCTTAGAGGCGGTGAGTGGCGAGCGGTCCATTTCGACCCAGTGTTGCTGCCAGAGTCATTCTTTCTGATGCGCGCACCCTCACAGACCGCTTGAGAACGCCTTTGGGGAGCTCAGACTTGCCCAGCAGTGTCGTGCACATTCTCGGCGTTGCCCGGCGCCAGTCTGTACTTGCGAATGACAGAACATCGGCTAGCGAAGCCGATGCCGTCACGGAATGTTTGCGGATCGTCGCCAATCTATGCATCGACCATGGTGAGCTACGCGGACGATGCTTGACTCTACGTCCGCAAAAGCTGACTCCGCTCCTCGCCCCCATTTGCAGCCGACAATCGCACGCGCTTCTTGGACGTTGGAGGAGTGCAAGCCGTCATTTCGACTCTCGATGGCATTTTCTCCGGCGGACCCATCCCCACCGACCCTTCCGCTTTGCAATTCTCGCCCACTTCCCTCAAACTCTTGCGGACAAGCGCAGGAGCGCTGCTCAACCTTGCGCTGGAGCATCCGGGCGTGCACCAAGCACTGCGTTCCGAGCATCACCTCTCTACATTGGCCAAGCTCGCTTCTTGGCCTCGCCTCTACGTCCCGGGTGCTTGGTCAGCCGAGCGCGTCCACCTTGCCAGAGCTGCGCGGAGTAGCACAAGGGGGGAAGAGGACATGCAGAGGGTCAGAGATGCAGCTTCCACTGCTGGCTGGGGCTGGAGAGTCCTGTGCGACGTGTGTGCGGATCAAGAGGAGCCCGGCGAAGCAGATGGGGCAGACAAGGATCAAAAAGAGGCGGAAGCGGAATCAGAAGCGGACCACCCACTAGAACTCCTCTGTCGAAGCGAAGGCTTCAATGGCCTCTTCAGGCCCCTCGTTGCCATGCTCGTGGCTCAACGGCCCTCGGCAGAGGGCACGGTACTGCCTTGGACAGATGACGACGTGTCCGATCTAATATCGTCAGACTCTGACATTCTTACGTTGGCTGCAGAGCTTTTGGAGACTGCAGGTCGACGATCGAGCACCTTTAGGAGTCGCAGCATGCACGCGATCGACTTGGACACCCACTCTGCCCGCCTACTCTCCGATCTGCCAGCCTTGCCCACACCGCTGGCGTTGTTGATGCATTTTCTAGACGTGTCGACGTCTCCTCCATCGTGGGAAGGTCAGGGTGTTCCAGCAGCATCAGATGCGGAAGCGCTCAGCGAAGCTAAAAAGACTTATTCTCTGGCCAAGGCTAGCGTGGCTCGGGCTATCGTGGCTATCAGCGGCGAGGATGAGAACATGGACAAACTCTTTGCGGGCGGAATGCACGACGGTCGCAAAGAGGGATGGTTTTTGAGCACATGTGCAGACTGGATGGGAAGGCGGAATAGGGAAGATTTGGCTGGGACTGCTCTTTTGGCGCTGGGCAACTTGGCGCGCAAAGGTGAGCAAAGTTGTGGGATACCTCTTTTTCGCGCAACGTCTGACCTCCTCCCACACTCTCGCCCAGACGCCAATTGCATTGCGTTGGTCAAACATTCCGCTTTGCTGCCCACGCTCGTCTCTCACTTGCAGACAGCCGAGCCGGACATCAAGGTCATCTACGGCTGCGTCGGCTTGCTCAAGAACCTCTCCATTCCTGCGCCCAACAAGTCATTGCTGGGTGATGCTGGACTTTTGGAACTAGTGTCTCCATTCTTGGATGCCAAATACGACAACGTTCAGCCTCTTCAATTCGCCACTGTCGGTCTACTGAAACACCTCTGCGCTGGCGGTCAGCTCCAAAATGCACTCAGACTCGTACTTGGCAAGTCGAGCGACAGGACGCCGTTGGGGATTTTGTTGAGCGTGCTTGGCAGGACGGAGGATGTGCCTACCCGCATGGAAGGCACACGCATCCTAGTCAACTCTATCAAGACATTGTGGCAAGCTCAGCCTTCCGGTGATGCTACCTCAGACTCGAAGCGCGCCGAAGCCAAAAGTTTGTTGTTGGGAAACGAAGCCGTTGTGACAGCCTTGTCAGAGATGGTGCGAGCAAGTCACAAGTATCCGGTGCTTGTCAACGAAGGTATCTTTGCTTTGACACTGCTCTCAACAGAGCCTGCTGGAGGTGAGTCGAACCAGAAATTCGGATCTTTGAGAGTGTCTGCTGACGAGTGTTCGTGGCGTTCACAGCCATTGCGGTAGCCGAAGCGATGCTCAGGATAGGTGAAGTCCCATCTCGCAAGGATTCCGGCCAATCCGCATCCGCGACCATCTCCGACCTCTCCGCTTCCGAACCCACCACGTCCAACGCAGCAGCCGCTGCCGATGCGCACACTCAACATCCCCAACGGCAAGACACTCTGGACGCGTATCGGAAACAATCCTCCTCGGCATCTTCCAGCACTGCTTCGCCGCCCAGATCCATCGACATGGTGTACTCTGTTCTAGCGCGCAGGGACGCTAGGATGCCCCCCGCATTCGCAGCCAACGCTTGCTCTCTCCTCGAAGCTATTGCTGAACAAGCTCAAGCCGGACGGCAAAAAGGCTTGATGGAGAAGATTTCGAGGGAACTGTTGCCTGCGCTAAGACACCTCAATGAGGAGGGCCCTTCTGAAGTCATGCCACAGGCTGCGGCCACGCTTCGTGCCGTTCAGCGTGCTCAAGAGCAGTAGGGGGCAGCCCAATCTTGCCGGGGGAATGCGTCTCGAAATACCTCGACCGCGTCGCGGCGCCCCTTGCCCAGTCTCATTCCTCACCATCATCATTTCCTGTGTATTTCCGCACATGCCTATTTGACCATTTCGCTCTAGTGAGTGCGTGCGTGCGCGTGTGCGTGTGAGTCGAAGCATGAATCGAGGGCAGAAAAGCCACTTGTGGGCGCTTTGATATGAAGACACTTGTCCAAAGCGTCGGTGATACAGTGAAACTTGCAGGGCGTGGAGTCGTTGGTAAGGTATGGAAGGATGCATATCAATCTCATCTAAAGCTAACACAAAATCTGACGGGATGGGTCGCCAGTGACAAGTCTCTCAGGCTGTGGGTGCCGCGTCGCCAGCTGGTGCAGCAGCAGCAGCAGGGGCGACATGCGGAGCGGGAGGTGGTGCGCCAGGTGAGCGCACGATTTGTGCTCTGCATAGAGGGCAAGAGTTCTGCATCGGGGTATAGCATCGCATGTGAGCGCAGACAGCGTACGGGCCGATGGAGAATACAACGTCGCCACTCACGCTAGATGACTTGGCCCACTGATCAACACAATGAGCGTGGAACAGGTGCCCGCACTTGAGCAATCTAGCCTCGTGTTCCTTGGACGAGCCATCCGTTTCTCGCGCCTCCGAAGCCGCATTGCAGGCGCTCTCCCAATCCTCGAGACAGATCAAACACTTTTCGGCCGTATTCTCACGCAAGTCTCCTTCCGCTACGTGCTTTGCGATAGTGTCCCGTGTTGGCACAAGTCGAACGAGATTGGCGCTCTCGATCTGTTCTTGCGTCAAAGTGTTTGGCTGAGAGCGCATTCCATTGACGCGGGAAAGGATCTAGAAAGCAACCACTCGTCAGCTAGGCACACAAGAAGTCCGATCCGTGCCGCTGGCTCACCTCCATGGCCAACATGAGATCTTGAGCTGCGCGGGACGGGCTAGCCTGCAGCAAAGGATGATCCGAACTGTACGTTCCGCCTCCAATAAAGAGAAGGTATCTCGCGTAATTTGTGTCCGGCGCGCTCTCAGCCTCTGCGCTCGTGCTCGTGTCGACGTTGCTCCTCGCCTCGCCACCCGCTGATGGATTGGCGCTCTGAGCCCGCTCGCCTGTGGCAGCAGCAGCAGCAGCTCCAGGCGGAGCGTCTCGTAATTGAGGGTCTACGGGCACGCCAAAGAGACCCCCGGGCTCGTCTGCCCCCAAAGAGCGAACGCCGATCACGACGCACGGGACAAGGGCAGATGGGGATGTTTGCGCATTCTGCTCTCCAGAGCGGGGGGCCGATCCGAATGTCGCTTGTTGGCGCCACGGGAGCCTGTGGATAGCGTCTTCAGACCCTGAAGGCGGCAGACTGCTGGCTCGAGCGCGGCTCGGGCCCGAGGGCGTCGCACTCGGCTGAAAGGGCGTCGAATTCTGGTCGTCTGTCTGGGCAGACGCCGGCACGGGTGTAGGGTTGAATCTGAACAGACGGTAGAAGGCCAATTGGCCATGCTGAATGTCCTGCTGACGTCGCGTGCGCGTCTCGTCGTCAATGCTGCCATCAGACATGTACATTCTGGGCAAGCTCCCGTCAGTGTTTGACTCTTGTTCGCTTTGCTGAGCAGCACTTCTCTGCGACTCGCCCTGGGTCGGGCCACCTAAGGGAGGAGCAGGTAGATCCCTCACAGCAGCGGCAAGATCGCGCGACAAATTGTACATGAAGCGCTCCCAGGAGCCTTCTTGGCCCTGCTGCAGTTCCCTTCCCCTGGCTCTCTCCAAGAGCGCCGCCATTTCATGAGGACTCTGTCCCGTTCTCTCTGCCGCAGCATCGGAAGCCGAGGTGATGTCCAGCAGCGAGCGCCGTGGCGACTCATTCGATGGTCCGCGGGCGTGTCCGGCTAGAAACGAACCGGCGCGCGCGAGCGTCGGACCGATCCTGCTCTCATCAGGCGTCTGAGAGGCGAAAGAAGGTTCGGGGCTGGCAAGGAACGTGCCACGTTGCGTTCGACGAAAGATGTTTCGTACGAGGCTGATTAGCGCCAATCGAGTCGCGCCTCGCTCGCCGCGCAACATGGCTTGAGGAGAACTATAACTGCGCTCTTGCGCTGCAGCGCCATTGTTGGAAGACAAAGAAGTGGTCGAGACCTCCTCGCGAGCATTCGCGGAAGTGCGATTACGTCTAAAGACCCCACCGATACCGTGTGCAAAGTGGCGAAGGGCAGAGCGGACGACGCTCGAGGCAGAAGATCGAACGGAGCTGATCGAAGAACGGGTTCTACCGCTGGTGCTTCCAGATGCGCGGTGCAATGCGCGTTGGCCGGTGCTCCGGCTAGATGGCAAGAAAGGCCCCTCAAAAGGCCACACTGGCGGGACACCTGCGCGACGATGAGCGCCTAGTCTGTCTGACGATCCTTCTGGAACAGTGCTACTCGGAGAAGAGGCCTCGGCACGTGCTGCGCTGGAGGGCTGAGCGCTCACACGTCGAAGCGCAGCGGCAGCAGCTGAGGGGGCCATTGCCCGCCTTCCATATCCGATACCGTCCATATTTCCACGAATGCCCTGCGCAATTTCTGCGGCGGTCGATCCAGTACCTGCACCACTGTTGCTACCTCCAGGGGCTTGACCAGATGGTCCGGATATGAGCGAAGCCGCTGTAGCTGCGGCGGCCACGCTACAAAGATGCGACAGCATATCCGCCTGTTCCACCAAGGTCGCTGCTTGCGCTGTTTGACCTCTCGTGCCGCCTGCCTGAGACGATGATTGTGTAGAAGGCTCGGAAGATCTCGAGGATGTGGCGCTGGGACCAGCTTCTGCTTGGGTCTCGCTTTGAGCGCCCAAAGTTGATTGACTTTGCGTGGGACGGTTGGTGGACTCGGAAGGCCCGTCGACTGTTGCATGCGGACTACCAGAATCAATGCCTTGCGCACGAGGGGGTATCGTTCTGGAGATCAGGGCTCCTTGTACAATGACGGCTGGGAAAGAAAAGTCTGGCAAGTCAATACGGTAGCTCAAGGGCAGCCTCGCACCTGCTGATTGCAATAGCGATACTCACTGGTTCCCACGCGGGGTCTCGGCTCCTCTCTGGCCCCGCCTGTTGGCTGGGCTTGTTCCCCGCTACGGTCGTCCGAACGTGCGGCGCCTTGGCCGAACGGACCAGTCGCACCCATGCCACTTTCACTACCCTCGTGTGCGCGGTCAGATGCCGGATCAATGGTGGGAGTCGAGGCGTCATCCGCGGTAGGCGTCCCAGCAGCGCTTGCATTCCGGGCACCTCCCTGTAGCGCCGCATGCCCGTGACCTCTGAAGGTCGCTCCTCGTCCGAGGCCCAGAATGTCCTGCAAGAGAGCCAACAGCGTATCACTGGGATGGTCCAGCGGGTCTCCCTCTGTAGGCTGGAGTCTGCCGTTGCCTCCCGGCAATGCGCCTGGTGATTGCAAGGTAGGGCCAGCGGCCATGCTAGGGAAAACAAATGCGCGGCCAGGAGCTGGCAACATTCCCAAGGCAGAGAGAAGAACGGCTCGGGCGCGGTTAGCGGAATGCTCTGCGGATTCGACTGCTGTGCGAGTGGGCGCGCGCTGATGCGTAGCGCCTACGTTTGTAGTGGTGCCCTGCGAGCTGCTGAAACCTTGAGCCTCAGGCAGACTTGTCAATCCTGGCGCGCTGGCTCCCCCGCCCGACGATTCTGTCGTGCTGGAGAGTGAGGATGATGTGTCTGCTGCTGGAGACGTTGTTGGGGTGGCAGTGCGAGCGGTGGAACCATTTCCTGACAGCGATGCCGAGCTTGAAGCTGCCCCGCCTTGACCACTCTCAAAGCGCGGATGGCCTGATGGGCCTGCCTTGGTGTCTCCACCATGAAGTTGCATGCAGTCTGCATCCCTCGCCGACCTCTGCTTGCCCTTGGTGAGTTTGCAACCAATGTGAACTCGCGAGCTTCCAGGGCGCGCTGTCTGAGCCTCGTCTTCGCCCTGCTCGTCGACGATGATGCCTGTGTCAATGTTCGAACCATCTTCCCTGTCCTGCTTCTCGCTAGAACCAACCTGCTGACTCGTGGACCTGGTGATTCTTCTTCTTCGACTAGAGCGTTCAGGAATGTCTACGGCCACTTCTGTGGCCCCTTCAGATTCCGCCTCTCGCGCTCTGACTCTGCTCGAGTACCGTGCCTCTGCCATGACGGGTTCCGTGTCCAAACCGCTCACATTTTCTGTGGATCTGGTGCGAGGGCGAGGCATCTCTTTATGTGGCGCGCAGAACCAAGGAGGCAGGTGTGGGATGGATGAGCGGCAAGTGATGCACGCCTATTCCGATCGCAAGCGAACTCCCCAGGGGCTTGTGAGGTGGCTCGCAGAGACGTGGGACCCAGGGAACGCGGTGTGGCGATAAGCAGACGAGAGACTGTGGAACGGCCTGGATGGTCAGAGTAGCCCGGATGCGGGAGGCAATGGACGACCTTTGTCTGTCAATCTGCTATCGCTTTGGCCCAGCAGGCCGGTGCGAGGATCGTGTATAGGAGGATATGACGCTGCAACGCAAATGACGGTTCAAGATTGAGTCTGAATCAATCAAGGGTCACGAGTAGGCAAGCGCGTGCATGACCAGCTAGCTAGCTACGCCTCTCTCTCGATCATCGCGTCACCTCACCTGCAGTCGTGAGTCCAGCAGAGTCCTGACTTTGAACTCAGGACCGTCAGTCACAGCTCGATCCATGATTACGCCCCGGCGGCGCAAGTCACCGGTGGACCCAGCAATTCGTGATTGCGCACGCGCCGAGTGGAGAGGCGCTCGATCCATCCGTGCCATACCCGCTTGGCCATGCGACGCACGGCACCCCTTACGCCTCGTCGGTGTTCAAGAGTCGAGCCCCGCAGAATGGATCACGTGATACCTACTTTCGGCACCTCGGGTCCTTCGGCGAGCCGGCTTGATCCCCGCGGATCAGTCGAGCCTCCCCCGCGCTCGCTCGGCCCCGCTCGCCTTGACCAATAAGCAGCGGCAGCATGTGCAGCCAGCAGCAGGGTTCCCCCTCGACTCGGCGTAATTCTCATGAGCATTCATTCACGATTCTAGGCTTGCCTGCGTTTTGGCAGCAAAGGGTCCATCGCTGCGCACGACGACGACGCGCTCATTCTCTTCGAATCGTGCACACGGCGACCACGTCCATCGCTACACATTCCTAGAACATGGCTACCAAGATGCTACTGGGTCGCAGAGGTCCCAGCCTTGCGCACCTCAGCTCCTCCACACGTCTGCACTCTCTTCTCCCTCGCGCCTCCTCAACAGCAACAGCATCAGCTTCCTCTCCATCCGAGTCCACATTGGGCTCCTTAGCTCACTCTAAAGCGCAAGATGTGGATGCAAAGTGGAAGGGAACCTCTGCCTTAGGTGGCACCACAAAGAACTTTGTGCACGGAGAGTTTGTAGAGAGCAAGACGGATAGATGGGTCGAAGTTCGGGATCCTGTAAGTGGTCTGTCTCGACCCAAAATGACGTGTATGCGCTCTTTCGTGCTATGCTGATGACTTGAAATGTGCCCCACTGTGCCGCAGGCCACCCAAACGATTCTCTCTCGTGTGCCAGACACTCCTGCATCGGAATTCCAACAAGCTGTAGACTCTGCCTCGTCGGCTTTTCCGGATTGGTCGGCCACCTCGGTGCTCTCTCGACAGGGCATCATGCTTAAATACCAAGCCTTGATTCGATCTCATATGGATGATCTCGCAAACAGCATCGTGTTGGAGCAAGGCAAGACGTTCGAAGATGCCAAAGGAGATGTCTTGAGAGGTCTGCAGGTGGTCGAGACGGCTTGCAGTATTACGTCTACATTGATGGAAGAGAGATTGGAGGTGGCAAAGGATATGGATACGCACGCAAGGCGCGTTCCCCTCGGTGTCACTGCCGCCATTTGCCCCTTTAACTTCCCAGCCATGATTCCGCTCTGGAGCATTCCCATGGCTACAGTCACCGGCAACACGCTCGTCCTCAAGCCATCAGAGAGGGATCCAGGAGCTTCGATGATCCTTGCCGAATTGGCCACCTTGGCAGGCTTTCCCAAGGGTGTCTTGAACGTGGTCAATGGCACAGTCGATGTGGTCAACTCTATCTGCGATGCGCCCGAGATCAAAGCCATCAGCTTTGTAGGGTCCGACAGAGCAGGCGCTCATATTTACAATCGAGGCACTTCCAACGGCAAGAGGGTCCAAGCGAACCTGGGAGCAAAGAACCACGCAGTATTGATGCCAGACGCGAATCTGGAACATGCGCTCAACTCTATTGGAGGTGCTGCTTTTGGAGCTGCAGGACAGAGGTGCATGGCTCTGAGCGTCGTCGTCACTGTTGGTGATGCCAAACGCTTTGTCCCTATGCTCGTCGAAAGAGCCAAGAGTCTGCGGGTGGGAAGCGGTTTCGAGGATGTGGACCTGTGAGTCTACAGTGCTGGAAATGAGTGAATGACGTGCATGCGCCTGCTCATCGATCCGCCTTTCCCGCCCCCAGCGGCCCCTTGATCTCCCCGCAAGCGCGCGAAAGGGTTATCGAGCTCACCTCGTCCGTCGAGTCTGAAGGCGGACGCATCCTGTTGGACGGTAGATCCTACCGCAACTCTGCCTTCCCAGAAGGAAACTTTGTCGGACCCTCCATCGTGGAAGCTGGACCTGGTATGAAAGCGTACGATCAGGAGATTTTTGGGCCGACGCTAGTCGTGCTCAATGTCCCAACGCTCGAAGACGCTGTCGAGGTCATCAATCGAAACAAGTATGGCAATGGGGCGGCCATCTTCACAAACAATGGGTGAGCTGGAGAGAGGGATGGTGTCATTGCCAAGTAAGAGCTCGAGCTGACATGCAGGTTGATTCTTCGCAACGCGCTACAGCGCGACGGCTCGCAAGTTTGAAAAGGACATCAATGTCGGGCAAGTCGGCATCAATGTTCCTGTCCCAGTGCCTCTCCCAATGTTTGCATGGAGTGGAAGTGAGTCCGGATGTGGCGGCAAGCAGACATTTGCACCAGTGTGCATTGGGAGAAGACTACTCACATCGTGCGCTTCCTGCTGTGTTGTACAATAGACAAGGGCTCGGTCATGGGTGAGTGTGGCTCGGATGATCGCTTTTCCTATGGTCCGTCTTGCTGACCACCAGCGCCTTCCATGACGCTGTCATCACAGGCGATATCGGCTTCTATGGCAAACAAGGTCTCAATTTCTACACCCAGTTGAAGACCGTCACTTCGTGAGTTGTGCTCTACGAGGCATGGTCATTTCTGCATGCCTCACTCAACGTCTCGACATACTTCGTCGTCGTCCGCGCAGTCTTTGGAGGAGCGCAGATGCAACTAGCGCCACGGCCAGCGTCAACATGCCGACCATGTCGTGAAGCATGATTCGGCTACTCGTAATTCATTCTGCCTCTTTTGTCAACCGAGGCTAGCGGGCACAGTCAAGGTACTCGCTTAAAATAAATGACAGCACAAGTGTCAACCTCTTTAGAGGGGAGAGTGGATTCATTGATCGCTTGGAAGCTACATGCTCGCGCCCCTTGCCAGAAGAGGGCGACCTATCGGGACTTCTTTGGTGCGATCGAGCGTCGAGAGAAGGAGCGATCGAACGGGAGAGATACAATGGGTTGAGCGTTGGGAACGACTACTTTCACATTCGGAATTTTGGATGGATCTTCATTCGGTGGAGTGAGTTCACGACCGATGCTTGTTTCAAGTTGCTGTTCGACAAAGGAAAGATTGTCATATCGGTCAGCGGCTGCCCCGCGTCTGCGCTCTGGAGCCATCTCAAGCTCACTTTGACTCGAAACACTACTTGCCTAAAGCGAGGCCTTGTGCTTCAGAAGGAAGTCTTGCCAGCCGCAGATCTGCGCATCTTCTTGTGCTTCTGGTGTCTCTTGTGCTTCTGGTGCCTCTTCATGAGAGTCAGGTCGTTGGAAAAAGAGTCCGGGCCGATGCTTCTCTTCTGGGAGCGATCTGTTGCGTGTTGAGAGGGCAAGAAACGAGCACATCAGCAAGCGGTGAGCTTTGACATCGGTCCGAGACGTAGCCATCGACTCACCACGGTTGGAAAGGGTACCGGTAGCGTCCGAAGCCTTGCTGTTTTTGGGATCTTTAGTGGCAGAAGAACGAGGAGTAGTTTTCGAGCCGTGGTCAGCAATCTCGTCAACGCTCAGAGTGTCAGTTCTCCTCGAGTTCCTCGAAGAGCTGCTGCCACTGCTGCTATACGAGTTGCTGCGGCGGCGTCGGCGCTCTTCTTCTTCAGCGCCACTTTTGCCGCTCGACTTCTTCTTGCGGCATTTCTTCTTCTTGCTCTTCTTGCCTTTCGAGCCCGAAGACGAAGAGGACGGTGCCTTGTTGGCGCTAGCGCCCATACCACCCATGCCGCCTCCCATTCCACCGGGCATGCCCATACCGCCGCCCATTCCGCCGGGCATGCCCATACCGCCTCCCATTCCACCTGGCATGCCCATACCGCCGCCGCCCATTCCACCTGGCATGCCCATGCCGCCGCCCGTAGCCCCTCCGCGTCCGCTGCTTGAGCCCCCCGATTTACCACTTGAGCTCGACTTGCCTCCACCGCTTCCTGTGGATTGAGTGCCAAGCCTTTGACCTCCGCCCGCACCTCCCATGCCGCCCATGCCGCCCATCCCTCCCCCCATGCCTCCAGGCATACCGTGCCCGCCGCCCATCCCTCCCATGCCTCCTCCGACGAGCCTTCGACCCATTCCTGTGCTCAGTGATGTTCCCCCCAGTCCCGGCATTCCGCCACCCGAGCCTGCTTGAGGCATCGAGGCAGAAAGCCGAGCATCGGATCCTCCAGCATTCAGCGAGCTTTCGGCTCCGTTGCCAGACAAGCTCATCCTACCGTGACCTACTGGGCTTTCGGCAGCGCTCGACAGGCCCGTTCCACCACCGTCGCCGCTACCACCTCCTCCGCCGCCCAGTAGACCCATTCCGCCGCCACGACCGCCGTCACCACCACCCCCACCGCCGCCCAGTAGACCTATTCCGCCACCGCGACCTCCTCCTCCGCTGCCCAATAGACCAATCCCACCGCCATGACCGCGATCGCCATGGCCTGGTCTCATCGCCTCCCTGCCGTGCTCCTGGCTGGCAGGCACTTCGTGCGAATCGGCACTAGACATGCCCAGTCCGCCGGGTCTGTCCCGATGATCCCCTCCACCGCCCATGAGACCCAGTCCGCCTCTGCCGCCACCGAGTCCACCTCCGCCACCACCAAGTCCACCTCCGCCACCTTGACGTTCTCTCCCGCCACCCATCGAGCCCAGCCCGCCAAGACCACCAGGACGCTCCCGGCCGCCGCCGATGCCGCCGCCGCCAGGCCTCAGGCCCAGTCCGCCGGGACGCTCCTGCTCGCCCTGCGGCCTAAGCCCTGATCCCAACCCCGGCATGCCTTGCTGCTGAGATGGAGGAGAGCCTCCGCCGGACAGCATACCACCGAGACCCGCAGGCGGTCCTTGGTTTGGCGGAGGTCCTCCGCTCGGAGGTGGTTGAGCCGGCGGTGGCTCGCTTGGAGGCGCGTTACCATTGAGCGATGGCTCAGTTGGAGGCGCATTGCCGCTCGACTCCGAGTGCTCGGTACTCCCAAGCTCCGTTTTCTCTTCCTTCTCTTTGGGCTGCTCGTTCGGCGACGGGTGGTCGCTCATATTCAAGTTGCCCTGATCCCCGGGCGTATCCACTTTCTTTGGATCCTTTTCGCCCGCAGGCGGATTGCCTCCTCCCTTGTTCGGGTCTCCCTCTTTCTTGGGTTCCTTTTCGTTCGGATGCGAGCCGCCGCCAGGAGGCGAGCCTCCCTTACCCGAGTCTCCCTCTTTCGGAGGTTGTCCCTGGCTCGGAGGCGGATTCGCGCCACCAGGAGGCGAGCCTCCCTTCCTCGAGTCTCCCTCTTTCGGAGGTTGTCCCTGGCTCGGAGGCGGATTCGGGCGACCAGGAGGCGAGCCTCCCTTGCCCGAGTCTCCTTCCTTTTGAGGTTGTACCTGGCTCGGGGGCGGATTTGCGCTACTAGGAGGCGAGCCAGCACCACCCGCAGGTGGTGTTTGGCTTGGAGGCGCGCCACCGAGAGCCAATCTCTTACTCAAGATACGATTTCCAAAAGACGAACCGAGCGGCTTTTGCTGTCTACCTCCCTTCTTCAAGCATCCTCGAGCTTTCGCACCAGAAGTCTCACCTTCTTCGCAGTCAGGAAGGTCGTCCTCGGTGATGGTGCTGGTGTCGTCTCCTTTTCCATGTGCCGAGGAAGATCCAGCGGTCTTTTCGAATCCAGAGTCGCCGAGCTTGTAGCTGTTGTCTAAGCTAGCACCCGTGGTCTCCTTGCTATCCTTGCTGCTCTCCTTCTTACCCTTGTCCTTCGATTTGCTTCCAGATGCGCCAATTGGGAACTCGTTCTCGTCGGGGCCCTTACTGGGCGACTCGTTTTGCTTGGTGCTTGAGCCCTTCTTGGTCGAGCTGCCCGTCTTGCCGGTGTCTGCGCTGTTGTCGTGGCCTTTGTGTGAACCGGTATCGGTGTTGGAAACGCCGCCGCTGCCAGTGTTGGAATTGCCACCGCTACCAGTGTCGGAAGAACCGCCGCTGCCGGTGCTCGTGTTGCCGCCTTTAGTGGTGCCTTTGCCGCTGCCGTTGCTCTTGCCAGTCGTGGGAGCAGTGTCAGTGCCGGTGCCAGTGCCGGTGCCAGTGCCAGTGCCGGTGCCAGCGCCAGCTGAGCCGCCAGTGGTACCCTTGGCCGTTGCGGCTTGCTTTCCTCGAATGTTAGCGCCTTCAACACCAGTCTTTTGACCCTGGTAGGGCTTGCACATCGTTTCGGGCTTGCAACCTGGAACTGGAATCTGTTGAAATTCGGCATACGTAGGCGTGGGGCATCCGCAATTGAGACACTCTGCGCGAACCAAAGGTCTTGTCAGCCCAGCGTGTCGACAAGATCTGGCGTGAGCAACACGCACCGCAATACTGCAGCTCGTGGTTTTGGTCCTTTGGTGGCCAAATGTGACCGTCGTACGTGGGCTTTACGTTGGCAAAGTCGGCCAGCTAGAGGACGAAAAGTTGAACGGTGAGTTGGTTTGTAAAGCAGCGGACTGTCGGGCAGCTGCGCTCACCTTGCCGCCTGGGCTGTAATAATCTTTCTGCGAGTTCGAGAATAGAGGCGCGCTTGGCACGTATCAGCAAACTTTGCATACGCCCACACGCTCATGTGGCAATCTTGGGCTCACCGAGTAGCAGCCTTTCAAGTTGTGTGGGCAGATCATGGGCATGTTGACGTAAGAGCGACCAGGTGCTCTAAAGAGATGGAAGCAGGTCTTGTCTCAGCACAAGCCGTCGAGAACCAAAGTCTCTGCGACGCACTCGTTCAGCATGGCGCCGCCACGGTCCCAGAATCCACACATGTGCATTTCCGGATCGCCTTCGGCGAGATCGTCAGCCGTTGGCTGAACAGAAAAGGCGGTGCAAGTCCCTGGCAACGTGGTGTAGAGCAAGCGTCAGAGGCAGCATTCCAGTATTCTGGCGACCTGGCGACCAGCACGGTCAAAACTCACCGTAAGGGTAACCTTCACGCTTGATGTTCGAGTCATCGACAAGGAAATACGCGAAAGCTGTCCGAAGACTCTTCAAGATTAGCTTTTACGATGTTTGAAGCACTCGACAGCATCGATGCTCACCGTTGGGAGAGATGCTACAGCCGTACAAAAGGACAGAAAAACGTTCAAGGGACAGTCTCGGAATTCTCACGCATTCACATGCACACTCACCGACAGTTGGAAAAGCACTCGGCCATTTGAATGCCTTCGTTGGTTTTGCCTGCGCAAAGGGTGAGGACATAGATGAGCGCTGGAGCAGTGTCTGGCCGACACACGGTCGACACGCACTGTTACCTTTGTTCTTCGCGATGAAGGCATCGCTCAGCTTGCAGCCTTGATACGTGGCTACAGCAGGGTCGGGACTCTTGTCTCGTTTGTGAAGGATATGCATCCCCTCCTCGCGAGAGAAGATGTAGTGCTCGCCGCCGTCCCAGGCAGGACCAAAAGGATCGGTCTGCCCCGTGACAGTGTCGATGAGGCAAAGCTGCAGTGCAGCTAGGCCAAGCGCACTGAAGAGCAGTCGCGATGTGAGCTTCATACTGCTGAGGCTTTAGTGCAGAAATCTTTCCGTGCGGTGAGAAGAGCGTGCGACAGCTGACGTCGTACTCGATGAGCTCGCACGGGTAATCGCGGTGGGATGAGCAGATGGAGACGACCTACTTTTGGCTTCAAGCTGCGATGTGGGTCTGTCCATTATGTAGGATTGAGGACTAGTCGTAGCCACCGCACCATTGGAGCGCAAAACGAGGCCAGCGCAGCCCGACGATGGCAGCACAGGAGTGTTTTTCGTCGCATGCCCGACGCGGCGGCCGAGTGTCCAGCAATCGAATTGCACCCGGCGCCCCTCGAAAGCCGAAAGGCTACACACTGCGCGAGTAGGAGATCGACCTATACTGGCAGTAGGATCTCCAATTGGGGCTTCGAAGTTGCATCAATCGGCATGGGGGCCCTCCCAGTCTGGTTGCTTAATTCCGGTCTTTGCGTGGGTGAAGCAAAACCTTACCGAGGTCTCTCTTCTCAAATCTGTTGCAGGCAAAGTCGCCTACAGCCTTGTTCCGTCATTGACACTGGTCGCACAGGCCTGTGCTACTGCCACGGACCAGAGCAGCAGTCCTGTGAAGCTATCGAGACAGAGCAGCATGGCGACAGCACAGAGATGGTGTCTACGCACGTCTCATTTTCGTGGCAACCATGACCGACGGCGGTCAAGATTGGCAAATGAGGGCGAGCGCGAGCGCGAGCGCGAGGGGCAGAACGAGACGGCGGAGGCGCGCAACATGCGACCGGACGCGCTTTGTTCACGTCTTGATCTCACACCCACCACAGCTAGTCGAGTCGGTGATTCCGCCCGCCGGATCCGATGTGCGCCTCTCTTTCTGCGTGATCACTTAATTGATACACGGTAACAGAACCCCTGTTGGAATTCCTGCATGGCGATGTTGCTGGAGTAGCATGAAGATCTTGGTGGAGATTCTCACACCGCGTGTGCATAGATGCTTGCACATAACCTCGCCTTCGACATCGCGAGCAAGTTCATCGACTCTTCGCCCGGCCACTCTTTTGTTTCCGCAGCTCGAGACAAGCGCATCTCGCGAGCTCTTGACTCGATGCCGCCACCACGGTCGAACAGCATACTACTCTGCTCTAGAGCGCCGCTCGCCAGCCGTTGTGCTGGTCTTCCTCAGCATTCCTTCCCATTTCGGTCTGTGATGTGACGTTGCGATGCTTAATCGCGCCACTCCTTGTGTGTAGCCTGAAAGCTTGTCCTTGCAAATGGAATGTTTAGTATCTGAATTCCGCGTGACGCTCGAGTTGATGTTGAATCAAGAAAGCCATCTCTGTATTCATCCAGAGCGCCTGTCAGTCGTCCGAACTGAAATCCCGCTGAATGTCGACACCCTGACTCCAGCCTTCCTGGTTCCAAGCTCCCTTGCCTGCAACGGCAGAGGCTGTGAGGACCGCGTCGCACGGAACCGCTGAGCGGTAGCTAGGTGGCGTGAGGTACTAGCGGTGGAGCGCCTACTATTCCAATGCGACTTCTGAGATAATCAAGGTGTGCAGCTGCTGACTATCGTTGCCAAAGCATGGGGCGGCCCGCATGACAATGTCCCCCGCGGGCATTGCTGAAAACCACCCCGACATAAGACCGGGGGGGCCCGTGGTGAATCATTCGCGTTACATTTCCGGTAGTCCGCGACTGAGCTGGTGTCACGATTGGATGGCGTTCAGCTGTCATACTGCCGGGGACGTGGTAGGAAAGGTCCTGTGCAGCATACTTACCACCTTACGTATGCACACACGCGCCCGACGGCAATCTGACTGCCACTTCGGCGACTCGCGAAGGTGTGCGGCGAAAAGCAGCCTGTTTGAACCGCAATCTCATATAGATTCGTATGCGACGTGATCGAGCAATTCCGAAGTCAGACGTACGTTTGATTGTTGTGATTCGTGATTCGAATTGTCTGCGCGCCGATGGCGGCCGGAACCAGAGCAAGCCACTCAAGACTCACCATTCACCATGCAGCCAGTCAAGAGTCTGAGTCGTGAGGCTGCATGTGAGGCCGTTCGTGTCTTATGCGTCGGTGCCCTACTAGCTGAGTCACCGAGCACAGCTCCGCTATTTCATGCTGACTCTCCGCCTTCATCCGCCAATGCACGCATTGCAGCTAGACAAGTACGCTGCCAGCAAGCTCATGGTGGTTGTCGTCGTTGTTGCTGTCTGAGTGGCATCCAAATTCAAGGCGGATCGAGCCACTATTGCCTCTGATGACCGATCTCTGCGTGCACCATGCAGAAACAGCTGTGGCCTAGCTGTGAGACCGGACGCCGACGAGTGGCGTCGATTCGTGATTCACATTCAAATTGCTGCTTTTGCTTATTGCTCTGTGCGTGGCGCCGGCGGTACCGTAGAGCGCTGCATGAGATAGAGTGCTTGCTGTGTACCCGTACGCCTCCTTATACAAAGCTGTGACGCTCACACTGACAAAGGACGATTTTTGTGACTCAAGACTTGCTTGACCTGAGCGAACACTCTTGACTCGTGGGTTGCAAGCATATCTGGCAGAGAGCGAGAATGGAGCAGATTCCGTGAGATCAGAATGGAGCGTAGAATTTTCGAGACGAGTACACGACGAGTGATTCAGATTTGCCTAGGAAAGTAGTCGATGCGCCACCTCACATTGCGCCGACGGATCCGGCGTGACCTTCTCTGGTCTTTGTACTCGATCGTGACTGCTGCTGCTGCTGCATCGTGCATGTATGCGAACACACCACCATGCAAGACTGCAAGACTGCCAGCGCTTTTAGACCTAACAATTGCGCTGCGGAGAGCGATCAAGTTGCTCTCAGGTTACTTTCGCAGTTTTGCTGGCTCATCGGCAAATTCTATGAAAGGCGAGCAGTGAAGACGTCAACAAATCTCCAAGTGGTGTCCACGAAGTATGACAAGTGGTGAGCGTCGTTCGAGTCGAAGAAGGGTCAATCTTGTGGTGTAGGCGCATTAGCCCATAAAAGACCGTTCAATCTTCCTTCGCCTCCGCCTTGGCAGGCAAAGAACTGGTATGCGTGCGATCGATGTATGCCTCGCGCAGCTCTCATCTCGCTTGCTCCCTGCTCGAGGTGGACACATTTAGAGTTCGGAAGCACGCCTCCTCTTCTCATTGAGGCGCAAGCAAAGATGTGGGGATGATCGAAGTCATAGCATTCTTCGCAAATGTGATTTGAGCAGAGCGCGCCGAGTGAGCCCGACTCGAAGCTTGAGCTTTCTGCACGCCCTTCCTACCATCCAAAAGACTCGTTGAGCTGTTATCATGATGATTGAGGATCAAAGAAATCAGAGTCAGTCAACGCAGGGCGATGTTTCTCAACTCTAGCGAGGGTGGCGGCAGGGACTTTGCACTTCTGACTCACCAGCCAGATCTCGTCCAATCCTTTTCGGTCATGTTGCAAACGAGCTGTAGCGTTAGCAGCGGCATCGCTCATTCCTGCAGGTCCGCATACCACAACAGCCAAGCTTCGAGCCGACGAATTTGCCGCATGTTGCGCTGCATCTCGAATGATGCTGGGTACGTGAGGTCGTTCAAGACTTGCAGGTCTTTCTCTAGCAGCTCCTCGATAAGCCGTCCACTTTTCCGCACCGAAATCTGCTTCGGGCGCCGAGTTGGATCGAGATACAGCATCAGACGCGGAAATGCACTCGCGTGTGATGTGAAGAGTGAACGTGTAGGCGACCTTGGACGCGGCAAATCGCTCCGAGATGGCGTCTAGGTAAGGTTGAAACCACGCGAGCGAGGCTTAAGAAAACGCAGCCAGGATCATTAGTTCCATTCAAGAGCGAGAAGTGGCGTCAGGATACGTTGCAATCAGTATTGCTTGAGCTGAGACAACAACACGGACTCACCTCGGCTGCGGACGCTCCAAACCAAGTGGACGCTTCGTGTCTGAATGCGATCAGCGTTGGCCATGGCCAGATGCATGCACGCGCTGGTGGCGAATGTGATTCCGACGCCACCAGCGAGAATCAAGACGTGGTCGAAAGCTTGCAGGGAGGCGGAACTCTGACCATAGGGACCATCGATGATGGCGGGAACCATACATGCTCGAGTCGGGAGCAGAGGCGCGTCGCCACTGTCCAAAGCATACGCTTCCGAACTTTCCGGTACAGCTCGCAAAGGGTGGCTCGAGTTTTGCTTCGTCATGTAGATACTTTCGGACTCGATGTCATCTTCAGCTTCCACGCTTGCGGCTTTGGACCTGGCGTGCTTCAGCAGCTTCCGGGTGATCCCGTCGTGCACTCTAGCCACCAACACTAGTTCCGAATCGCAGTGATGATCCGGCTGTGGCAGATTCACAATCGTGAATGGGTGGCTTTGCAAGGGCGCAAGCGTCGGAAAGCGGATGAAGACGTGTGCTCCTCTGTCAGCAACGCGAAGCGCGGCAAGTCAGCACTCGGTGTAGCAGCTCATCCGCAGCTTGACGACGGTACGTACGGCCACCATCTGACGTTTGTCTTGAGCGCAATCCTGAGCATTTCTTCACCTGCAACCAATTCTTCTCCAGACACTTCCACGCTGGCTTTGGCCCCTACGAAGTATCTGCTAGCAGTAGCGCTGCGCGCCCATTTGATCAGCGTAGCGAAGCCCCAGACGCCCACTGCAGCCCAGAGCCAGATCCAGCTGTTGAGCGTGTTGTCGGTGTGGAAAAAGTAGAAGCCAATGAAGAGCAGAGTTGACACGATATGTTGCTATTCGCGAAATAGTACAAAGGTGTTGAGTCGGTGCCACAGCTGTTTGACAGTGGGATAGCGGTACTCACAATCACAAAGAATTCGTAGCTCATGTTTCGGAACACTCGAGTGGAGCTCAGCACCATCCAGATCATCAAAGAGAGGGCTACGGTGCCATTCCAGTAAGTGACGTAGTCTATGGAGAGCGAAGAGGGTGAGAGGTCTCAGCTCCGCAGTGCCTCTCGCGGCAAGACGCGATCGAGACGATTGCAAATGGCTCACCGCTCTTCCACCAAGCCCAGAGGTTGGAGCTGCCACCTTCAGTGAGTGGTTGCCAAATGAATGGAATGGTGTGTATCAAGCTGAGGGTGAGAATCAGCCTAGCAAGCCACTGATGGTACACCTAATTCGTAGATCGAAGGTGTACAAGGATGCTGAGCAAGTTGTGCTTTCGGCAGCATTAGTCGTCCATACCACGCACCTGAAGTCTCTCGTGCGATACTGCGGTAAGGATGGAGATGACGTTGACCTTGGTCGCTAGTGCGAGTAGAAAAGGGATCATGGCATTGGCAAGCATACCAGCTCTGATAGCAAGCGGCGGGGAGCCCCACTCTCTAGTTTTCCTATAGTAAGGCCGGACGCCCAGTGTCCAACCAAAGATGGCAGCGCAGAAGAGTGCGATGGCAATCGAAGCTCCAAGAGCAGGCAATCTAAAGCCTGGTAGGATGCGGCCCTTTTGTAGGTAGCCTACTGATCTTCCCCAGGAGACTAGTTTGAAGTAGAATGGCAGCCTTCGTTGCAGAGAGACGGCCAGCTTGGGTCGATGGACTCGCAAGCGATGTAGCAAGCCCGGACCGACGGTGACCAGGATTAGGATGGCCAGCATGAGCCATGTCACGCCTGAGAGCGATGGGCGGGCATCAGAAAGCGTAAGCTGGAGACGGGCGCGTCGTGTATGCGTAGCTAGCAAAGCTTGATCATCGCATCACACCACTCACGATTGGCATACTTTTGCATGTCGTACCAATTATCGGCGTGAAGCATCGCTGCCAGTCGCTCTGCAGAAGGCGGTCGATTCTGCCATATTTGCACAAAATGCAGCATAAGACCTCTTCAGCAAAGGTATACTACTCGTATCGACTTGCTGTTGGAAGTTTGTGTTGCAGAAGACTCACATTAGGCCCATGCTCGTCCGGATCGTATGGCTCGTCAGCGTCGCCATGCCCGCCATGGCGCTTGCTCAAAGGCAGTACAAGATCGATGAGGGTCATCGTTCCGTCGTTGGGTGGCGATACGAGCGCTACGCCTTGAGCGTTTCCGACTGTTGGTGTAAAAGCCGCGCTGTGGCTAAGTGTGTCCAAAAGTGAATGGATGACGGCGTATGGTATGGACCTGGAGATGGTAATGGAGGATGTCCGTATGGCCCAAATGAAAGGAGCATATGTGGATTCAGAATACCAACGAAAGTGCTAGAGACACGCTCCCCATTGGTCGTGAAGGGCTGAATCAAATAAGCGCAGTCTCGATACGTGTCTAGTCAACTGGTGACGGTCTAGCGCGGGCCATCGGCAAGTGAGCTTCTTTGCGAAAGGGCAAACAGTACCTTGCTGCGAGACAAGGTTGGTAACGAATGTCAGCGAGATCAAAGCAGCGGACATCTACAGGTCGAAGCGGCTTGTGCGCTGTATTCACAGCTGATACTCACACGCACAGGTGCCGGTGCCTATAGCAGACGGCGATGCAGAATGCATATGAAGTCGTGAGTCAAGAGTGGGCAGGAAAGGTACCGCCGGCAAGGAGAGAGATCCAAGCAAGACGAGGCCGCTGCCTACATGGAGCGTACCTGTACCAGGTACATGCAGTCAGTCAGTCACCAGTGGCTCACCGACGTCCGTCGCTTGTGGTTCCATTCACATTTTCGCTATCAATGCGGCCTGTTGAGGCATCGAGCGCCAAACGCTTTGCAAGGTAAAGGAAATCACGAATGAAGTCGACGAGAAACGCTCCGAGCGCTCACTTCGCCCTTGCGCACGCAACCACCTGCTGCGCGCGCGCGGTGCCTTTTGGCGCGACTCGGAGACTTTCGCGGTCAGCGACGCACCGATGCATGCATGGGCTCAAAGCTGCGCGCGCATGCAGCGCGGTGTTGAAGGCGTGCTTGTCTGATCTCGGCTCCACGATCACGTGCAGGGTATAGAGGGCATGGCATGTACATGCTAAGCGAACTGGAAGTCTGGAGTCCAGTCCATCCATCATCGTTCATCACTACGTCACAAGGAACAGACACATCATTCGAAGGAGACTAACGAAGTAGGGCCGTGCACGCACATGCAATCTAATGTATAACGTTGGATGCTCCCTGAGGTTTGTGTTCTCTCTGCGGCGCCTGAGCATGGCACAGCGGAGCTACTTGAGCGTTTCTTTGAGCCTCATGACCCATTTTCATCTTCCCTTCGATATCTTTGCCCTCCGCTGTGACCCAATTAGTCTCTGCCTGTGGCTCGCATGCAACTGCACGGAGCGTTAAGAGGGCATCTTGCCTGCGGGTACATTAAGTGCGATGACGTGCCTGCTGTGTCTGGGCCCCGAGTCCTGGTTGTGTCCGCCATTTTCCTGGTATCGAGGTTGGCCATACTTGGGGTGCCATCTTTCTTTGTGATGAAGATGTCGGAGAACAGTCAAATTGCTGCTACTGGCGACAGCCGGCGCGCAAGAGCAGGGGTCGGACGCTCCGACACCAGCCAGAGAGGCCGCGAATGCAGGATTGGTGTGTCCTGGACAGCCTTGATATTCAGACGGAAGGAGATTGGCAACCTCCATTCACTACGTCTCGGACTTGATTGGGATGTCATCGAGACTCCAGATCTTTTGAAGGAGTTTCGTCACAGGTCATGAGCGATGCACGCTAGTCTAGGCGAAGAGTGTGCAGTACATACCTTTATTGAAGGATCATGGTCCATGCTTGCCGAGGCGATGATGTCGAGCGTGGGATGCGCCTGAGGATAGAAAAAGCTGTGAGCATGTATCCGACAAGCCTAGGTCCTTGTGCAGCTGCTCAGCAGCACCACCAACTCACAGCAATCGCAATGACAACGTCTCTATGCCCAACCAGAATCTGATCAACTTTCTTGGACTGCAAGTCCCACACGTACACTCTTTGGTCCTCGCTCCCCGCGACGACGAATATTTGCTTCAGCCCCCTCTTCCTCATCTCTTGCTTTCTGGGATCTTCATCCGTGCCTTGCCCTCCGACCGATGTCGACGCGGGCAGCTCCCGAGGTGCAGTGAAATCTGCTGCGCAAGCAAATTTCCCATTCGTATAGCCATTCCCCGTATACGTCTTGAGCACACGAGAATTGGGAATGTCCCAAAGACGGATGGTGTTGTCTAGCGAAGAGGCAAGGATTTGAGAAGATGATGGCGTGAACTTGACGTGAGAGAGTGGAGCATTGTCCCGATGCACTAGTGTTTTTAGACACGTTCCTGTTGAAGTGTCCCACAAGCGTCTTTACGCACACCATTGCCGTAAAAAAATCTAGTCAGAAAGCGTCATCTCTCGCTGCGAGCATAAAGAGCACTCACAAGAGACCATCATAGGAACAGCTTACGATGAGGTCTCCATCCCTATTAAAGTCCACACCAGTCACCGCCTCTGAATGTGCCGGTATGGTCTTGTGACAAATTCCGCGCTTGACATCCCAAAGCCTAATAGTCTCATCGAAAGATCCCGAGACGATCAGACTGCACTGAAGATTGTAGGCCAGACAAAAGACGTACGATGTGTGCCCCTGCAGAAGGCGAACTTGGGCACCCTGAAGCGGACGTGTGCGTGACTGGGTGAGAAATACGACGCATACATGCTACTAGAGCATCACAAACGCATTTTCTGCACTCACCGTATCGCAGTCCCAGACTCTCACAGTCCTGTCATCGCTCGCGCTTGCAACGTAGCGTCCATCGCCGCTCCAAGCCACCTGATTGACACCCAGCTTGTGTCCCTTCAGGGTAAACTTCAAGCTCCCGCTGGCAAGGTTCCAGATCTTGATGGTGCGATCGGAGCCAGAACTTGCCAGCAGCATTCCATGCGGAGATATGGACAGCGATGAGACTGAACGAGTATGCCCTTGTAGCGTTTGGCGCAGCACATACCCTTCACGCTTGGTCGGGCCGAGAGGAGGGCTTGTGGGTGTTGTAGTTTCCTCAACAGAGTCGACATCCATTGCGCCTTTTCTGTCTCTTCTTCGCTCTGCTGACTTGTCAGCGCGTCGAGAGGCAGCCGACGCTAACTTTCCACCAGGGAGAGAAGAGGACAGACGGGGATTGCAGCGCGGTGAGAGGCCTGCAAAGAGGTGGTTGCCCGCTTGCTATTCTTCACGTCACCATTCGTAACTCGTGCTAACCCATCAGTTGGCCCGCGGCCTGCAACATGAACGTCGCGGTGCGCAAAGCCCTCGTGACTTGTGACTGCATGGTGGCATGTGCCGGTAGCAGCGCATGTCCATTTCTTGATTCCAAGCTAGTCAAGATTCGTGATTCATGGTGAGGGAGGCAGACCCTGCCCAGCGTACGCGGCGCCACGTGGTCTGTCGCGCTGCAGGTAGAAATGTGTGCCTCTTGATTGGCGCGCCTGTTCGGGGCTGACCTGACAGCAGCTCATTCGCAGGCGCATGCACGCACGCGCTCGGGCTTTCCCTCAATAACAGACGCGGGCGAGCTGTGGCGGGTGAGGTCAAGCCATCTTCCAGCTTGATGCTGCAACCACGAACGCCGCGCGAGGAAAGGTGAATGGTGCTTCTCCCTTGACACAGCGGCGCACTTATCACTCTCACACCAGTCACTCCAGCGTGCTTCCCACTCTGATAGCTCTTTTGCCAGCAAAGGAAGCTCACCATGATGCGCATGGCCCCACTCCGCGCCGCCTCGTCGGCAGTGGCGAGCACCACCAGCTCCACCGCCTCTTCTTCTCGATCCGTCTTGGCTTCCAATTCGGGTATTGCATCTCGAAGATGCCTCCAGACCTCGGCTAAGCTGTCTCAGGCATCCCCCGCCGAGCCTCCGAAGATGATCAAGCTGCAAGTCAATGGTAGGGATGTCGAAGTCGAGCAAGGGTGAGTTGGACGTGTCAAAAGCCGCACTGGAAAATTCGCGGTCAACTAAATGTATGCTTGCCACTCTCGATTCTCCCTCGTCATTGTCAGAACGGCCCTCATCCAAGCATGCGAAAAGGCTGGAGCACAGATACCTCGATTTTGCTACCACGAGAGACTTCAAATTGCTGGTAATTGCCGTGAGTGCGATCCATTAGTGCGCTGGGTTGCGAGTCGGTCCGTCTTGTTCAACCAGCTGACCCGATCCTCACCTTGTTGCCACTCAGGAATGTGCTTGGTGACCTCGCAAGGAGCACCAAAGCCCGTAGCTTCTTGTGCTATGCCTGCTGCTCCAGGCATGAAGATCTTTACAGTAAGTATCGTGGCCGAGCCCTATCGACCGGTACGCGCAGACGCTCATCTCACATGCGTTGACATCGCAGGAGGACGAAAAGACAAAGACGGCGCGAGCAAACGTGATGGAGTTTTTATTGGCAAATCATCCACTGGACTGCCCCATCTGCGACTGGGGTGGCGAGTGTGACCTGCAGGACCAGTCGATGCGCTATGGATCCGATCGCGGACGCTTTCACGAGATTGCAGGCAAGCGCGCGGTGGAGGACAAGAATCTGGGGCCCCTGGTGAAGACAATCATGACCAGGTGCATTCACTGCACCAGGTGTGTTCGATTTAGCAACGATGTAGCTGGTGTGCAAGAGATGGGGACATCGGGACGAGGCAATGACTTGCAGATCGGCACCTACATCGAAAAGGTCATCGACTCTGAGATGAGCGGAAACATCATCGACCTGTGCCCCGTCGGCGCCCTCACCAGCAAGCCATACGCGTTTACTACCAGACCTTGGGAACTGAAGAAGACGGAAAGCATCGACGTTTTGGATGCCGTCGGCTCCAACATTCGCGTCGACTCTCGTGGCGTGCAGGTCATGCGCGTCTTGCCCCGCACCAACGACGATGTCAACGAGGAGTGGATTAACGACAAGACCAGATTCGCAGTCGATGGTCTCAAGTATCAACGATTGACAACTCCTCTCATCAAGCAGGGCGACCGCTTCGTCCCCGCGTCTTGGCCAGAGGCGCTCGCCACTGTTGCCGAGGGCTTGGCCGCTAGCGGCGCCAAGGGAGACGAGATTCAGGGTGTGGCTGGTGCGCTCGCAGACGCAGAGAGCCTCGTCGCTTTGAAGGATCTGGTCAACTCGCTCGGCAGCGAGAACGTCACCGTAGATTTACCAGCTGGTCAATTGCCACCCGCCTCTGGCGTTGACGTTCGCTCGAATTATCAGTTCAACAGCACCATTGCTGGTATCGAGGAAGCGGATGCTCTGCTCTTGATCGGCACCAACCCTCGACACGAGGCCGCCATCATCAACACGAGAATCCGCAAGGCATACTTGCACAAGGGTCTCGATGTTGGATTGATCGGAGAAAAGGTCGACACAACTTACGAGTACGAGCACGTCGGCAGCGACGCCAGCGCTATCGCTGACGTTCTCGCGGGCAAGGGCAACTTCGGAAAGCGGTTAAAGGAAGCCAAGAAGCCGATGATTGTTATTGGAAGTAGCGTCCTGGAGCACGTCGACGGAGCAGCAGCGCTCTCCGAGGTGGCAAAAGCGGTGCAGGCAGACAAGCGGTACTTGAGCGAAGAGTATACGGGCTTTGGCATTCTGCAAAGGACAGCCTCGCGTGTCGCTTCCCTCGATGTTGGCTACAGCCCAAGCCAGCAGGCTAGCAAGACAACGCCCAAGTTTGTCTACTTGCTCGGTGCCGACGACTTTGCCAATGCGGAGGACAGGATTCCCAGGGACGCCTTTGTCGTATACCAGGGTCATCACGGAGATGTGGGAGCGCAATATGCTTCCGTCATCCTGCCGTCATCATGCTACACGGAACACAGCCTGACCTATACCAACACGGAAGGACGCAACCAGATCACCCGCGCTGCCGTCCCACCACCCGGAGCTTCTCGGGAGGGCTGGAAGTGCATTCGAGCTCTCTCGGAAGTGCTAGGCAGCCCGCTGCCGTACGACGACATCCTGAGCGTGAGGGACAGGATGTTTGACATTTCGCCCACCTTGACGCGTTACGATCAACGGGAAGCCACCAGTGCGGCCACCGCGCTCTTGGGTTTGAAGGACCTGCAAGCGAAGGCGAAGGGCAAGAAGATCACGGGCGCCCCTCTGCTCAACCCCATCCAAAACTTTTACCAAACGGACGCGGTGTCCAGATCTTCTCCCACTATGGCCAAGTGCGTCGATGCATTCATCAACAAGGTCGGCGACGAAGGCAGACCGGGCGCGGAGCTCGCCTCATTCAGCTAGAGAGACATAGTGTGCCGCTCTCGGCCTTTCTTTGACACGTAGACACGCATCCGATACGCACGCCCCCTAAGACTGTCCTTTCGCAATGAAACGCCTTCCAAGTTTGCTGTGCGCTGGAAATGGCCTTGAGCCCTCGTCTGTCTGTGCGCATTTGTTCGTAGGTGTGCAGAGTCAGACGGGCCATCCCCGACCAGCACGCTCAACTCGCTAGCCTGAGGCAGCCGTACTGGTGCTGGTCCTTTATGGTTGCATGCGTCGCATTCACACTTCTTTGATGACTCGTGATCCGACGCTGAGCGTGGGATTTGTACGTCCCGTACGTCGTGCTGGTCCATTGCTCGCTGCGTCCATGCAGAGGAGGCAGAGAATTGACGGGCACACATATGACATATTTTGGCGGGCTTTGGCGAACCCATTTCGTTCGTCTTCTCTCATCATTGATCGCCCGCAGGACGCGTTCGACAAGCACTCGTGACTGTGCTTGGTACGCGCCTGCATCACGCGCGCAATGAATCAGAAAGCAATTTACGCGTCGAGTATGGGCCACACGCAGATTCTGGTCCAAAGACGCGTTGACTGTTCTCGCGCTGCCTGCCTGCTGATTATTCGCTGTGCACGCCTCGTCCGCTGATGATCGCGCATCGCGCGCTGCCAGTCACGATGAGTGACAGCTATGGTGGCTGACATGAGTCACGCGCTCGCAGCATTTAGCCGCGAGATGAGGCTGCGAAGGGAGGAGAGGCGCGCGTGATGAGAAGTTTTGAGCCGTGAGGGATGCATGCCGATGTACTCACGATGGTGATGATGATGATGATGGTTGACGACGCGAGTCTGGGCATGAGCTTCGTGATGGATAGTTTGCAAGCCCACTCTGAGCATCTTTACCTGTTCGTCGTACACCATCCACAACCCATTCGTAGGAGTCTCTTTTGCTACGCAAGACTTGCGACTCAGAGAGTTCGTACAAGCATTCGCATTGGCTCTGAGCCTCGCTTACCCGATCTCAACATTGCCGCCAGCTGGCTACTTTCGAGCGCACAACCGCTCGTCCGGCCATCCATCATGTCGGCGTCGACATCCAAGACGAACTCCAGAGCCGGCTCTAGCGATACGATCAAGCTGGCCAAAGCTGCTGATGCAGCTGGAGATGATGGCCTGAACACACCTCCACCCCGCACATCTTCTCCTGCGGCTGCTGCCAATGGAGCCAGATCGAACGCGGAACAGAGTGCTGGCAGGTCTCGACCCAGAGCTTCGAAAGAGCAAACTGTCGACCCAAAGGTGAGCGCGCGGCCGGGAAAGCGTTTGAAAAGGCTCGGCTTCGCGTTGTAAAGCTCATCGCCTGACTTTTTGCTCATCCTACCACACAGGAGGAGGAAGCTCGACGCAAAAAGCTCAACTTTTTGCTTCAAAAGAGCGGCGTGTACTCCAAAATTATGCAGCAAAAGATGGACAAGGAGAGGGAAAAGCGTTTGGCAGCTGAAAAGAAGAAGAGGAGCGAAGCGTCTTCGAGCAAAGATGTGGCAAAGTCCGACGCTGACTCTAGCGAGAACGCGAAGCGCGGGGAAGCTGGACCCAATGGAGCGAGCGATGCGCGCAGAACCACCCGAGGCGGCGATCAACACAAAGCGGCGCCTCTGCCAAAGAGAACCAGGCACGATGCTCCACGTAAGAAAGAAGGCTATGAGCTGTCCAACTACATTGATGAGGATGTGGTAAAGGCGGCAGCAGCTGCCAAGACGGACGCGGACGACGCGAAAGCGTCAAAGAAGCGCAAGACGGAGAATGGTAATGGTGTGGCGGTCAAGTCTGAGGGAGAGGCGCAAACAGAATCTGCTCAGCAGGAAGATGAGGATGAAGAGGATGTCAAGGGCAGACAACCTGCTCTGATCACTGGTGCTACGATGAGAAAGTACCAGCTTGCAGGTCTGGAGTGGATGGTCAGCCTGTACGAAAACGGCCTGAATGGCATCTTGGCGGACGAAATGGGCCTGGGAAAGACTTTGCAAACCATCTCGTTCTTTGCCTATCTCAAATCCAAAAACGTTTGGGGACCTTTTCTCGTCGTTGCTCCCAAGTCCACCACGCTCAATTGGCTCAGGGAGATCCAAAAGTTCTCGCCGAGCATTCCGGGTTTGTGCTACATGGGTAGCAAGGAGGAGAGACGGGTGCTTCGATCTCAACATCTCAGAAAGCCAGGCACGGTCCAGGAAAAGAGCAGATTTCCAGTCGTCATTACGAGCTACGAAGCCGCTATCGCTGATCGAGTCGCATTGGCACAACATGATTGGAAGTTCCTCGTTGTGGATGAGGGTCACCGCATAAAGAACATGGAGTCAAAGTGAGTTGGCCGCGTTTGACCCCATCACGAAATCGTCTGGCTTGCGCTTGCTCATCACTTGCGCCAATTTGCTGCGACAGACTCATCACCGAGCTCAAAAAGTACAGGACTGCCAACAGACTGCTGCTGACAGGCACTCCTCTTCACGTAAGTCGAGCTTCTGCATGTGAACTGGAATGCCAAGCTGAAAGTCGCGCTGCCATGCGCACAGAACAATCTCCGAGAGCTATGGTCATTGCTCAACTTTATCCTTCCAGACATCTTTGATGATCTGGCGACGTTCGAATCTTGGTTTGACTTTGACGGATTGCACGACGGAGAGTCGTCGGCCTTTCTCACGCAAGATTACCGCAAGAATGTGGTGGAACAGCTGCACGCCATCTTGAAGCCCTTTTTGCTCAGACGCACAAAGGATGACGTCGAGAATTTGCCGCCAAAGAAGGAGTACCTGTTGTATGCGCCACTCACTGCTGAGCAGAAACAGCTGTACGATGCCGTCACTGATAGGACCATCAGAAGGGTACTTTTGGAAAGAAAGACGGGAATGTCGTGGGACGAAATCGTCAAGGTCAGACCTGATTGCAGAAAATGGGCCAGCTTGGGCAAGGATGGCAAGAGCATTCAAGGGCCCCTGTACGGCAATCCCGAGGATGGGTATGCTGTTCGCTCCGAGTCCTTGTCCGAGGATGAAGTGGAGGAGACCACAGCCGTGGGCAAACGAGCGCAGAGAGAGCAAGGCTCGGGAGATAGAAAGGGAAGAGCTAGACGAGCGAAAAAGAACATTACGTATGATGAGCATCGGTTGTCGGATGATGCTTGGGCCGACAAGATCGAGGCAGAGTCCAGCGACGAGGAGGAGGTCGACCCTATCGTCGATCCGGACGATGTTGCGCACCAAGGCAAGCTGCACGCGATCCAAGAAGCTCGTGAGTGTGTGCTCGTCTCACCCAGCTATGCAAAGTTGCCAATGTGCATCGTCCTGACGCGTTGCGCCCTCTACTTTCAGGTCGCGTCATCAACGATATGAAAATGTCCAATACTGCCATGCTTCTCCGACAAATTTGCTGTCATCCGTACGAAGTTGATTGGCCAAAGGACGAGAATGGACACGAAATCATCAGCGATGGTCTGATCAACGCGTCTGGTAAGATGCTCATGCTCAACCGTCTCCTCGAAAGGCTGTTCAAGGGAGGCCACAAGGTGTTGATCTTCAGCCAGGTTAGCGATGACTTGCGTCTCGGGTGATGTGCGCTTCGAAAGCTTACTCTGGTGGCCGCTTTCACAGTTCACCAAGATCCTTGATATCATCGAAGACTGGGCTCAGGGTGCGTATCTCGGACATGCGAGGAGATCGCTTTCAAGTGCTCACCGCGCTTCTCGTCTCGTTGCTGCAGAGGATAAAAACTGGAACACTTTCCGCATTGACGGGAATACTTCCTTGCAAGATCGCGAAGATCAGATGAACGCCTTTAACAATGAAAAGGGACCCGACGCTGTCAATCTGTTCCTTCTTAGCACGCGCGCCGGTGGACTTGGCATCAATCTCATCGCCGCTGATACGGTCATCTTCTACGATAGCGATTGGGTGAGTGTGCAAGATCGATCGAGGCTTTGATGCGACATGTTGTGCTGATGCTTGCACCTCATACACCTCTGCAGAACCCGCAAGCGGACTTGCAAGCTCAGGATAGAGCCCACCGTATTGGTCAGACAAAGCCTGTGCTGGTTCTCCGACTTGTCGCCGCCAACACGTTCGAGCAGCGCATTCTGCGTCGTGCCACTGCCAAGCGTCAATTGGAAAAGATGGTGATGGCAGAGGATCAATTCCGGGGCATTTCGCTAGACGCAATGAAGTCGATCCGATCCGGTCGACAGAATCAAAAGTACACCATCTCGGACGTGTTTATGAGGTTGGAACCGGAAAAGGTTCAGCTGGCTGGGAAGGGCGATCAGATCATCAGCGATGCGAATCTGGAAATGTTGCTGGATAGGAGTCCGGAAGCTTTCAAGAGGAAGAGCGGATGGGTCACCAGTAGGCAGGGCAAGACGCTAGCGGGCGGAGCTCAGAATGAGGACGATGAGGCGCAGATGGCGTTTGAGGTGACCGAGACGGACGCAAAGCAGGATGAAAGTGAAGGTGAGCTGAGACTTTGCGGAGCATCATGGCTTGCCCTTTTCGTCCATGCTGACCGCGCAGCGAACGCTCGATCCTTTAGATCGCGAGCTCAAGCAGCTGTACGGAGACACTTCGAAGGGCGGATACGATTAACTCGAGCGAACGCTTTTCAATGCGCGGTGAAGTGCTACGCTACGTCTCGACGATTGTCGTGTCTGGCCGCTTTTCATATCCCTATAGACTTATCCATACACAGCTACGTGGGCAAACAATCGTCTTTTGAACGCATTCACGTGCTGTAGCGCATGATATGAGTATACAGTGCAAGGTCTTGGGGAGCAGTCGGAATGATGGCTGATGCGCGTTTGGGTTGCGAGTGGAAATTGTGGAGAAGTTGATTGCTCGGAGAAAGTTGCAGCACGTCGGATCAAAAGCGTCATGCTTTGTCTCAAGCTTTGAGGCTTTCAGCCGCCTTGACGTAATCGCAAGTGTCGCCAGCATCAGAGGCGACCTTTGCCCACGTGACCTTGCCCGTCCTGTCCACTGCAAATCCGCCCGAATTCTGCCACCTCTGACTCCCTTTGCCCGTCTTGCGATTGGAAATGCCCTTTGTGGAAGCTAGCTCTCGTAGTCGAGATAGCATGGACAGATTGAAAAGACCGCCCCAGGACAATTCGCCGATGCCCCAGGTTGCGTATAGACGTGTAGAGGGATCATCGATCAGAATAGGGTGCGTCGTCGAGGGGAAATCGTCACGTCTGCGTTGAAATTGGCGAGGCGATGAGCAATGGAAGGAGAATGATGCGCACCCTCGCGCCTGTTCAAACACTGGCGTCTTTGGTGATGCGAATCATTCGCAAGCGTCGAGCACATCCAACCCTTCATTTCTTTCCTTACTCACCCTACTTCTCTGAACCAATTCTCGGCCACATCCCTCTCTGCATGCGTGATGACGACCACCCTGAGCCCAGGGTTCGTTTTGGAAGCTTCGATCAGGTTCTTGACCTCCTCTTCTGCAAAGGGACAACCGCAATGTCTTACGAAGGCTACAAGAGTTCCTGGGCCTCCTTGTGTTTGCCAAGAGTCTATGCCCGTTGGTAGAGAGGGTGCCTGTGAGCCTACTGCGGGAGAAGAATTCAATGCACCTTCTCGACGAGAGAAGAGCGATTGAAGGTCGTAGGGAAGCAGAGAAGTCATCTTGATGCAGCGCGTTGGATTGCTGGAGGTGGGAAGTGAAGAGGTGCGTGGTTGCTGTTCGATGACGAGGCGCTGAGATATCTACCGATGATGATGCTCTCTTCGTCACTGTAGTCGAGCCGAAGTGCAAGTGCGAGTCGTGGGTGCAAGTCACGAGTCGAGGGAGAAGCAATCGGGAATGTGAATGCAGCTTGCCTGCGCAGAGTCTGGAGTGCTTGAGCACCTCCACGCGGCGATCCCAACGACTTGATCGGGCGAATCAAGGATGTGGAGGCCGTGCACCTTGATTGACTTGACTTGATTTGGACTCCTGCCCTGATTTTGTCAGCATTGTCCCGGTCACGTGGACATTAAATTCCTCAAGAAACACGTGCTCTTGCTCGAAACCTATTCTTGATTCAAGATTTCATGCGCGGTTTTCCGGAAGTAAGTGCACACGCGCGACGTTGTGAGTCGCGAGTTTATGCACCAAGCACGTCAGATACACAAAAACACAACATCCCGAATCCCAATGGCGTGCTCGATCCGTGCATTCCGCTCTCCAACTCGCCAGCTGCTGCTGTTGCACACCTCGACTCGATTCTCGCTCGCTGCCGTCCATTTAGCACACTTGCATCCTCCTTCAATATCGGCTTCCTGCATGAGAGCACTACGGAAGCTGTTCAGTGATCGTGGTGGTGGTGTTGCAGCGTTGCAAGAGCAGATCTCAACGCTGCTGCTGGTCACGCTAATGCGACTTTCTGTCCACACTCGACACGCTCGACTTGAGACGTGTGACAGTCGACCTCATCGCGGGCAAATGGACACAGAAATCGTGGATGATCCAGATGCAATCGTGAATGGAATGGCGCTTTGCAAATGTCCCTAGGCCAGTCTGCTTTGGTGCACCGAGTTGGAGCATACGCTCGTGCCGGCTGACAGTGTAGTGGGGCGGAGGGAGGAAGAGAGCAAGTCAATGTCCGGACCCTGGTCTAGTTTCATCGTCACTGCACCTGGCGACTCGCCGAGTGTGCATGGTGCCGTACTTTTGGAACCGCCTCAAGCACCCCGGTCGGGCCTGAATGCTTGATACTAGTTCGACCCCAACGCCTTTGCTGAGTTGCATCATCCATCGGAGCATGGAGATAACAGTCTCTGCAGGATGGCCTCTCTCTGACTGCATTGGAGCCCTGCGAGGGTCCTTGGAGCATCTCTTCACTCGTGTCTGTTGTCGACGTCGATTCTAGTGGGTGAGGACGTGAGGGCCCGAGAGAGCAAAGCAAAGCCACTTTATGGTGCAATCGGAATCGGTGCATTAGAGACGGCTTGCAGGAGGAGCATCTTCCATACGATGGCTTGGGGAAGATCGCGGTTGCGAGATCCAGGCACGTACCTAGTGTACTGAACCCCTCATCCGCTTTACGACTCACTTGCAGCGGATCCGTCGTTTCCTCTTCTCGATCGCTGATTTACTGCCTAGCCTCCCGGGTTGTCCTGTCAGAAGCATCTTGCTCTGCTCGCAGCGAACAAGCCATAAAGCCGGCGTACATTGCTCCACTACCACCCCTTGCTCGCTTTACCTCGTCGATCCTTTTAGCTCTGCCACACTGGAGCGAGTGAAACACATCGCTCGGTACACGCGCAAAGACGTGACTCTCGATTCACCTCTCGAGCGTTCAGCGAAATGTCTACAGCGGGCTCCCCTCCACCTCCTCTGACTCAGGGTGCTGGGTATGGTGTAATCGTTGGGCTCGGTGCGCTCTTCGCCATCGTCGTTATCGGCATCAGCAACGGTCTGCATCGCTTCGGCAACATCAAGCGGACGTCTGCGGAATATGCCATCGCCTCCAGAAGTCTGGGAGTAGGATTGACCGCAGCCGGAGCCGTGTCTGGTTGGACCTGGAGTGGTGAGCGAATGGCGAGAAAATAGGCGGCGAGAAAATGAACGGCTGACCTGTTGCCCACGCTTGCTCAGTGACGCTCTTGTCGTCCTGCTCCACCGCTTACAACTATGGCGTCGCTGGCGCCATGCTCTACGGAGCCTCCAACATGTCACAAATCGCCCTCTTTTCTCTCATGGCGGTCCGCTTTAAGCAAAAAGTTCCTCAGCTCCACACCCATCTGGAGCTTCTGAGACTCAGATACGGTACCCTGGGTCATTTGACCTTTTTGTTCTTTGCGCTCGCAACAAACATTCTGGTCTGCTCGAGTGTGCTCGTCGGTGCTGCAGCTGCCATCACTTCCATCACTGGTATCAACACGTACGCTGCCTTGGTTTTGCTGCCCGTTGCAGTTGCTGCTTACACCTTGCGGGCAGGTCTTCGTGGTACCAGTGAGTGCTGTTTGGCAAGCGTGTCCGCGCCAGACCGAATGCTGACGTGGAGCGCTGTCGCATTGCAGTCCTTGCCGATTATCTCCACACGGTCATCATCTTTATCATCCTCTTCGTCTTCTTCATCGTCGTCTACGGCACTGGAAGCGAGATTGGGAGCGCCGCACGCATGTGGGAACTCCTCACTGAAGCTGGCAACAAGAATCCTTCCGCAAACTACAATGGCAGCTTCCTCACCATGAAGAGTATCGGAGGTATCGAATTCCAGTGGCTGAGCTTGCTGGAGTACACTGGTGTCGTTTTCAATGATGCTTCCTTTCATCAAAAAGCTTTGGCCGCTGGTCCAGACACTGTTGTCCCAGGTGCGTCGCAGATGTTTTGTGGGATGCAGACTTTGCTTTGGCTAACGTGCTCAACGCCTTGCGAAAGGTTATTTGCTGGGCTCGCTCAGTTGGTTCTCCATCCCTTGGGCGTTGGCAACCACTGCTGGTCTTTCCGCTCTTGCCCTGGAGACTACATCGCCAGCTTTCCCGACCTACCCTCGTCGCATGTCGGAGAGCGAGGTCTCTGCTGGTCTTGTGCTTCCGTACGCTGCCAACGCCGTCCTCGGAAAAGGCGGTTCTGCGGGTGTGCTGCTGCTCATGTTCATGAGCTCCACCAGTGCCGTATCGGCTCAACTCATTGCCGTCAGCAGCATCATTGGCTACGACATTTACAAAACTTACTTTAACCGCAAGGCCACGCCTGATCAGATCTTGCGCTCTCAGCAGTACGGCGTCATTGGCTTTACGGCTTTCATTGCCGCCTTTGGCTGCTTGCTTCAAGGGGTCGGCGCGGACCTCGGCCTGCTGTACAACATTACGGGTGTGTGGTCCTGCGCTGCACTGCCCCAGCTAGTGTTTAGCTTTTGGCAAAGCCGCACGCCCAAATGGACCGCGTTCCCAGGCATCTGGATCGGCTTCTTTGCTGGTCTCGCAGTTTGGCTTTCGCTCGCAAAGCGCCTCGAAGGAGGTGTCAATGTCACTACGCTGGCAGAGATGGATCCGAACATTTATGCTTTCGCGACTTCTATCGCCACTGGTACGTTGCTGTGCACCATCGGGAGCATCTTTTTTCCCTCCGACTTTCAATGGGAGTCCATCAGCGTCTCTTCGGCGCACGGAGGCCAAGGTGGCGAGACGGTGGATGAAAAGGAGCTCAAAGAGATCGAAGAGGATGCTCGTTGGAGCAAGGAGAATCTTCAAAAGTGGCTCGTCATCGCTCTCGTCTCGGCCTTTACCATCTTTGTCGTCATGGTCCTCATCTGGCCACTTTCTCTGTACAGAGACTACACCTTTCCGCTGTCTTTCTTTGGGGGATGGGTGTGGGTCAGCTTTGCATGGTCCGTCATCGCCTTTATCATCGTCGGCTTGTACCCTCTCTACGAAGGATTGCCCATCCTCATCCTCATCAGCAAGGGCGTCTACGCTCGACTTGCGGGCAAGCCAAACCCTACCACTGCCAGCGAGGATGGAGCGGAGGAAAAGTCCACACAGCTCACTGCCGGACAAGGTCGCGATGCCTCGGGCGAGTCTGAGCCCACCACGCCAATCGACGAGGATGCCCTGAAAGCGAGAAAAGGATCGGCCACTGGATCGGATGACAGTCCAGCAGAAGAGAAGCCTGCCGCTGCCCCAATCTCTCAAAAAGGATAAACGCTTTGAGATGAACGCTTTGAGAGGCTTCTTTGATCCGCTACGCTGTTTCGCTATCCCGCGTATTTGTTTCGCCAATGCAGCATCTCCATGCATGGGAGAGCTTGTTCTCTTTAGATTTGTGCGCGACCCGCGCGCGCTTGCCACAAAATGCTAGTTGATACCAGTTCGGGACCCCTTGGACGACGTTGTGTCTTGTACGATGGAATGTGAATGCGACTTTATCACGCTCAACCACGACTGGGCTTGCCTCGTGTGATCGGACCGTTGTGCTACGCCGCGCGCGCAAGGCGCAAATGGTACGGTGCCGGGAATGGTACGCGCATGCGTAAAGCCTCGTTCTCGTGCGTGATTCAAGATTCACGCTTGTTCGCACGTCACCATTCGAAGTTTTTGCTTGGTGACGACTCACGAGTGAGATGATGCGCTGTTCTGTCTGTGGTGCAAGGCATTCCTCTGCGAGTATTTCATGCCATTCATCTCTCAGAGCAAAACGACGGACAAGCATTTGTCGCACCAGTCCATGTTCATATGGCAGGTGTGGGCCCGGTATGCGATCGAGTGGTTTTGAGTAGCTTTACGTTCATAGAGAGCGCGCGCGACAGTCATGTACCCCAAGGACCGGAATCGGCGAGAACATCTCGACCAGTACGTGTACAGGGACTCTTCAGAATGATTCCTTCTCTTATTGAATGTGAGGTCGAGGGACACCAATCGTGTTCAGGAAGGATCTCGAGCTTGTTATGCGCTCAAATCACCAAGATCCCTGTCATGTGTCTGCCACACTGACTGCGCTCTCTGTAGTTGTTGATGCTTGTCTGCTGTACACAGACAAGCGTTGACAAAAGGCATACAAGGAGGCCTTCTTCTGGCCACCTCCTCTCTCAGATTCATGCTTCTTACCACCACCTTCTCCTACAACCACCTTGTCTGAATGGTGCTTGCTTGACAACTGGCCTGATCACCTGGGTGTCTCTCTCTTTCTCTCTCCTCTTAGCTCTAGCATCAGCTAAAGCCTTGCTAGTTGTAATGTTCTGTTCACTCACTGCTTGCTCCCTGCCTGGAGTTTGACAAGCGCAAAACCTTACCTGTGCTGGTGACATCTCTGGTCATCAATGCTGGGTTGCATCGTCTCATGCAGCAAGAGATGGGACATGCTTGTGACAGGGGGTGCAACAGCAGATGAGGATGCTAAATTTGGCTGAATGTGTGCTCTTGTGACCTTATGGATGACTATGACAGCATTCCTATTTCATCGGCTGCCTAGCTCAGTGGTAGAGCGTCAGACTTCGATTGTTTGTCGAATTATCATCTGAATGTCGCGTGTTCGACCCACGTGGTGGTCTTTTTTTTTTGTTTTTATTTTACGATTGCACCGCGCAAGGGCATTGGCAACTAGGGGCCGGGCCGCCCTCACTTTCGTTGCCCACGGATTGGTGCAATTCACCTAGCCGACGGGCAACGGAACTTTCATCTTTTTACTCACGTGACTCCTTGCGCGCCCTGGGTGCGCCTGACCTTCGTCGCCCGACTTTTGGTCCTCGACCAACATCACCTTGGCGCCCTCGCTGTGGCATGCGGGTAGCAAGCGTCTGAATCAGGGGAGAGGGATGGACCTTGGTGCTTAGAGTTACCGCATTGCCGCAGCGCCACTTTGTAGTCAAGTGCAATGCCGTGCTGCCAAGCTCTCTCAATTGTTGGAGCTTGAAAGACAATTGTTGAGCAGCCTGGCATATCTCTGCTTCCGTGTTTCAGTCGAAAGGTGGTCACTCTGCTGGTTGAGATGTGTCATCCCGCGTGTGGCAAGCTTACAGCACTGAGCATAAATTGCAACATGACATTGCTCGAGTTTGCACTGCAGAACGCTACGTGGCAGCGCATGGTCTCACCAGGAGGCGCCACCCTTCAAATGTAGCTCATCTGACAATCTGTGCAACAATACTACTCAGCATTGATGACCCAACTTGTCTTCAGCACGTGACAGATTATGTGCTCGAGAGTAAGAAACAAGCAGCGAGTTGACAGCGCAGACAATGTACCCTGGGCGCCAGATTTTGCTGCGGTATCAGCGCAAAGGTAAACAGAAAGCGGCCATTGCGATTGTTGTAATGAAAGACTTGGATCTCGAGGCTTTTTCCCTTGACCAGCCTCTTCCCCCTCCTCCCCCCCCTCGCTCCCTTTGCGAATGAGGAAAGCAAGCAAAAGTTCAGAGAGAGAGAGATAGAAGGAAGATCATCGCCGCTCTTGCGCTCCATCGCCCCACATCCGCCGTTTGTACGCAACAAGTCCAGAACGCTTTGCTTTCCCCCTCATCCCCCAAACGCTGCAGTGCCCAAAAGCCCTGCATCCCTGCCTCCGAATCCATACTCTCGCCTCCCGCAACAATATACACCGCAACCCGCACCCGCCACCTCTCTCGAGTTGCTTTCCCCGCTCGCTTCGCAAAGCATACACATTCACGCACGCAATCCCAACGACTTGCTCCCAAGCCCACCTCCGCTGAACCAATTTGCCGCATCACGCCCAATGTTCCCACCTTCCCCAGGCAAGCACGAAAACCTGATTGCGGATCAACATATGATTGAGGGGTTAAGTGTTGAATGAAATTCATTTAGAAGGTTGAGAGCAGGCGCATGTCGCCCCGCTCCTTGCTTTCGAGCACCCTCCGCGCGTGGCTCCTTGGCGCGAGGACTACAGGAACGCTGCTTGGCCTCGTCTTGCAAGCTGGGGAAAAAGAAGACGGCCGAGAAAATCCCCGAGTCAGCATGTCATGCCTGCTTCCGCGTTGCTTGCGGCGCTCTTGACGAGCACGAGCACCCCCCCCCAGCTGGATCCGATTTCAACGCAACACGGCCGTCGTGCCTCACCCTACACGCTCCTCTTCGCCACCGCGAACGCAACACGGCCGTCGTGCCTCACCCTACACGCTCCTCTTCGCCACCGCGAACGCAACACGGCCGTCCTGCCTCACCCTACACGCTCCTCTTCGCCACCGCGAACGCATCGCACCAGACTCACCTCTACCACCTTCCATCCTCCCGTTATTTCGTTGTGCATCTCCTCGTCGACTCGCGTGAGCACCATGGCATACCGACAGCTATCCGTCCTCTCCTCGCTTCCCGCCACAATCTCTCCCGTCTTGGCATCCTTAAAGTACATGAGTTCCTGCGTCGAAAAGCTGACGATGAGGACAGGCACATTGTTCTCCAACATTTTGGCTTGCAGAATGTCCACATTCTTTAGATCCAGCAGTCTGCCGTTTGCGATGGCGCCCTTTTGAACGTAAGGATCGACGGTGGCCATGAGCACATTGAACGTCGCTTCTCCGCACCACTGTCGTAGCAGACCCCTGCTGGCGGAGTGGTACGAGTCGATGATTTCCGGAATGACGTATTCCCTCAGTTCGCGCGTAAAGGCGTCCAGCGTGAAGGAAGGCTCCATCATCTTGAAGGCGCCCACCACTCTAGCCGTCTCATTCTCCGCAAACCATCCCCCCACCGTTTCCGTGATGCCCCGGAGCCTCTCGACGAATGGATTCTCAGACTCGTCGTAAGCCTCTCGAGCTTCGCCCATCTTGCGAAAGAGGAAATTGGAATCCTTGAAATCGGACCATGCTCGTTTAAAGCCAGCTTCTTGGCGCAGCACCAACGCTTCGCCCGCGTTTGGATTTTCCGCAATGCCACGCACACGCACGGCATAGCCGCGAGGTTTGGGCTTTGCTTTGCTGCTGCTGCTGCTGCTGCTGCTGCTGTCGCTCGTTGGAGGGGATTGGTCCGATGTCGCTTCTGCGCTGCCTTGTTCAGCACCGGCACCAGCAGCGTCTTGAGCTCGGGCCTGAGCAGCGCCTGCTGCACCGGCCGCAGCACCTGCCGCTTCCGCCTTGACCAAGGGATCGTCCGTCGCCTTGGCAGCAGCAGCACCAGCAGCAGCATCTTCGGGATCCAGCAGCGGGGCTAACCTTCCAATCTTTCTCAATCGTGCTTCCCTTCGAATGCGCCTGGCTAGCCTCGCATCCGCTTCGTCGTTGGAGTAGAGGCGCAAGGATGAACCTCCATCGTCGAACGCTTCGATCAGCGTGGCCGAGAATGCCTTGTAGGCTTCCGTATTGCGCACGGGCGCTGTACTGTCTGCCAGCTGACGTGCTAGTCGAGAAGAGACCGCACCGAGCTGCAAGGCGTAAAGGGCACGCACGTGTCAGTCGCTCGAAAGCGCGCAGGCACGCACGCCAGGCACGCACGCACGCCAGGCATTGCGCACTCACCCCTTTGATCAGTTCGCTCTCTTCCATTTGCTTGAGCGTGGCGTTGACAGCTTCGCCCACGTGACCACCATTCTTTCTCAAGGTTTCAGCGGCCCTCATCAATCTAGGATTCTCCTTTAAGCTGGTGACGATTCTAGCCCTCTCGTACACTTCCCTCATCCTCTTCATCGTCTCGCTATCCTGCATCTTGCCAGCTTCGCCAGACAATTGTCGAATATTGTCCTGCATATCTTGAGATTTGCGCAGCTCTTCTCGAAGCGTGTCGATAAAGGCTTGAAAGGGCGATTTGGGTGGTGCGTCCCTGTGTGCGCGAGTGGTGGAAAAGTGGCGGCGCGAGGGTGCTGCGGCGCTTGTAGCAGCGGCCATGCTCGACCGGCTTGCAATGCTAGAGTTGGCGCTGGCGAGAGTGCGAGCGCGCAGAGACGCAGCGGTAGCCATGCATGCTGCGCTGCCGCTGCTGCTCCTCGTCGCCATCGCCGTCGCCGTCGCAGTCATCATCTCTGACAGGGCATTCTTTGCAGCAGGTGCGAGGGCAGATGTGCTTGGATGTGCCATGGCTGATGTTGCGGAACTTTGGGGGAGATTTGAGCTGCGGCGGTTGTAAGCTTGAAGAGTTCCGCCGGAATGAAAGAGTCGTAATTGTGCTTTTGCAAAACTACGCATGCAGGGACGAGAGTAGATGGATGTGGCTTGGAACGTCGACGTCGATATTGAATTGCAAGCTTGTAGCTGGCCCTCCCTCGCACCTTCCCATGTCCTTCTTGCACATGCGCAGATAGATGATGCTTAACCCGTGCTCATCCGCACGCTCCACCAAATTTTGACCATCTTGAATCATCACGCGCGCAGAAGAACCTTCTCGTTCGCATGCATTCAAGATTCTCACACGTGACAGAGATCTCTTGATCACGTGATCAGACTCGGACCGCACGCGCCGGGGCGGCGGTCCGCGACGACGGAGCATGCGCGGAAGACTTCGAATTTCAAATTCGTGCACGAACGACGCGATGATATCGATCGGTGATGCCGCTCGCTCGCTCGCGTCGGCAGGGCAATCGTGAATTGATTGATTTCGAAGGAGCAGTCCGCGCGGGCAGCCTGTGGAAATCGAAGAATCACGATCAGCATGGAGAAGCAATCGCGAATGAACGAGCGCAGCAGATCGATGATCGGGTACACGCGCCAGCCATACTGCGGGCCGGGCGGTATGTTTTGTTGTGAAGAAAGGAAGGGGACACGAGTATTTTGCACCCTGACTGCCCCCTTTCTTTCCCTGCTGCTGCTCTCTTGACTCTTGACTTGCATCAGACAGGCCGCTCGCTAATGATGGGTTTGTCAGGCAGGTTGGCCGCAACAACACCCACCACCACCACCACCACCATTACACGTGCCCCAGCATTCGGGCTTACCAAAACGGCCAAGCAAGAAGTGCCGAAAGCAGGCGCCGGAGATTACAAACAATCAGGAATTTGAATTTGAAATTGATAACTTTTGATGCTCGAGATTAGGCCGCAAGGCGAGAAGGAGAAGCACATCACATTTACCTCAGCTCTGGGCCATGGGGCCATGATGGCCTGCCCCCCCCCCCCCCCCCCCTGGCCTTCCATTCGACTCTCGACTGGAGCCAGACGTTTGAAGCTTGCAGGAGAGGGGTCCTCGAGTGTTTTATAAGCAGAAGTTTGAGGCGCATTCATTCCCGTTGGATGCCTCCATCATACGCCATCTTGCTTTTCCTCGCTTTCCTCGCCTCGCATCCACAGCCTCTTTTCCCCCCGGGTCCTTCACAGCAGTCCCACACCCGACATCCTCAGCTGTCACCTGTGGCCCATCGGATCATGCCTCTGCACTATGCAGCGCACGCCAACCCATCCAACAAGCAGCAGCAGCGAGACGAAGATGAAGGGGTGGCAAGCGCAGAGCATAGCAAGCGCACTTTGCCTCGTCCCATGCACGAAGCAGACGTAGAGAAGCAGGGCCATGCTGATGATGAGGATCACCACCATCATCGTGCGACGACGCAGTGCAGCACTTGCACTTGCGGCAAGCATCTCCATCTGCCTCCTCCTCCTTCTCCTCCTCCTCGCCCCGATGACGACCTGTGCGAGCATCAGAGGCGCAACGCAGCATCGTTGGTGTGGCATTCGTTGAGCTGGATGGACAGGTTGCTCTCCCTCTTCATCATCCTCGCCATGATCATCGGTGTGCTCATCGGCGTGTATGTGGAGGATGTTGGGCAAATGTTGAGCAGAGCTGGTTCGCTCAAGGGTGTAGAGACGCCATTGGTGTTGGGCCTCATCATCATGATGTGGCCCATCCTCACAAAGGTCAGTCTAATAATGCTAGCCCACATCCCTCGCCGCTTTCGTTGGCCCCATTCCGTACTCGAGCTCACATCCAGACGATGCCGGCTTTGCTTGCTTGCTTGTGCGCAGGTGCAATACGAGCGTCTACCTCGCGTGTTCAAGACGCGCAACATTTGGTCTCAATTATTGCTCTCACTGCTTCTCAATTGGATCGTCGGTCCCTTTCTCATGCTAGCTCTGAGCTGGTGCACCCTGCCCGACCTGCCGACCTATCGCACAGGCATCATCATGGTGGGTATAGCGCGGTGCATAGCCATGGTGATGATCTGGTGCGATTTGTCCAAGGGCGACACGACCATGTGCGCCTTGTTGGTCATCTTCAACAGCATCCTACAAATCATCCTCTACGCTCCCTACAGCGTCTGGTTCGTCCGCATCATCTCCCGCGTCGACAATTTCGCCCTCAGGTACGACGAGACGGCCATCGCTGTGCTCATCTACCTCGGCATACCCCTCTTTGCAGGATGCGCGACGCGCCTAATCATCCTCTTCTCCTTTGGAAGCGCATTTCTGCAAGAGAAATTCCTACCCTGCTTTGGTCCCCTGTCCCTCGTAGCGCTGCTCTACACCATCATCATCATCTTTGCCTCTCAAGCTCGTCGCATCTTGGACAATTTGGGTCCAACATTTCGAACATTCGTGCCCCTCATCCTCTACTTTACAATCATGTGGACTAGCACATTCTTGTTCGTTTGGACTCTCAATCAGAGGAGAGCAGCAAAGAGGAGCAGCAGCGGCGGCGGCGCGGAGCAGCAGCAGCAGCACGAGCGCGAGCACGAGCACGATGTGCGCAGCGTAGAAGAGACGAAGTGGGACTATCAAATGGCAGTCGTCCAGGCTTTTACAGCTGCAAGCAACAACTTTGAGCTGGCCATTGCCATTTGCGTCTCTGTGAGTATGATCCGGCAACGTGCGGGCGTGTGCAATGCTCGGCGCTCAGCACTGGCCCTCGGCATGAGCGGGGCATTGAAAATTTGGCATTCCATTCGGCTTCCCCCCCCTCTCCTCGTCTGCACGTCCTTGCCTTTCATAATGGCGCGCCCGTCTCTTCTTCCCCCCGCCGCCGCATCCTTTGCTCCACCCAAAGCTGATACTTTCCCCCCGCACTCGCATTCGTACGTTGCAAACCAACAGATCTTTGGCGCGGATTCGGACGAAGCTCTGGCAGCTACCATAGGTCCGCTAGTCGAGGTGCCCGTGCTCCTCGCCCTATCCTGGATATCCCTCTACCTGGGTCAAAAGTTGCACTGGGGGGGCGCAAACAAACGAGATGCGCACTTGACTGCGCGCATCGATGGGCATGCAAGTTCCTAAACATTTCCCCCCCCGAGGGGACCGCAAAAGGAAAAAGCGCTTGAATCGCCGCGCCATCCCCCTCCTCGAAGCTCTGCTGCCATCTTTGGGCCCCTGCCCGGCCTCCCCGTCCTGCCGGGTAGTTCGGCACTCCAGTCTGCTTGACAGGTTCAGCAAGTCCCGCAGTCTCGACGTAGCGTGGGTGTCTACAAGCCGACGCATGGGGCGCTCAAATTCAGCAAGAGAGAGCAGAGGCGCAAGAAGAGACGGCGCGCAAGAAAGCTAGAGGGGGGAAGGGGGCAAAAGATCGAACTAGACCGATGGCCTCCCGCTGGCAACGTGCCTTTGGCAAGGCCCGCCCGTCTCGTTCTGCGACGACGAGCGAATGCGCCGATAGCAACCCCCATAGCTCTGCGGGCACGCATGCTCGCTCGCTCGCTCGCTCGCTCCACCAGACGTGCTCGACGTGAACCACCGTATGGATGATACCATCTGCATTTGCGCACAAAAGTTACACGCCCAATCACTCGAGTCTGCCTCGGAGATAGGAAGAGCAGCATGCATTCCCAAGTCGTCTAGCAGGCGGTGCGGTGCGGTGCGGTGCGGTGCGGTGCGGTGCGGTGCGGTGCGTGCATGGGGGAGGCCAAGAGCGAAGATGATTGGGTGAGATTTGCAGTGGTACAAAGCGTGTACCTTTTTGCCCTTTCGAAAAAGTCAATGTGCTCGATCGTGCATCATCATCAAGCCAAGTCCATCATCCCGCTCTTGCTCTTTTCCAAGACCGATCCCCTTCCTTCGGCTCTCCACAGCGGCTCAGCGAGCGCCCTGGCCAGCTCTTCGCCTCCATGCAATAAAGATCTGTACCGACGCACGTGCTTCATCCGAGCAGCTCTTGGTCCAGCTGCTTCTGCGCTCGCACCATCCACCTCGTCCGTAGAAATGTCCAGCTGATGCGCCTCGCCTTGGCGCAGCAGAGGCACGCAGAACCGAGCTTGCAGGCCCCTAGAATGGTTCGACTTGCTCCTCGCGTCCTTTTCCAGTCTGCTGCGTCGCACAAAGCCAGCGCCTCGTCCTTCAACGCTTAGCGCGCCGCCCATGCGGAACGGCGCATCAGCTGGCTGGCGTAGCCCAAGAACGCGCGTCTCTTCGACCATCGAGGTCCCAACTTCGTCTCGCGCTGACAGCTTCGCCGATTCGATTTGTGCAAGACCCAAAAGCTCGTCTGCTCGGTGAAAGACTTCCTCGCTGATCTCGCTCGCAGTGCGCAGGTACTCAAACGAGATGCCCCCTTTCCCCACAGGATTCTTTTTGCTCTTGAGTGCAGCAACAAGCTCTTCGATAGAAGGGTCCGCCGGGCTCTCCTTGTCTAGCGCTATCGTCTTGCTCTTGCTCTTGGCTTTGCTCTTCGCTTTGGCTTTGCTCTCCCCGCGCACCGACTTGCCCCTACCGCCCTGCCACTTCGTACGCCTTTGTCTACTTTTGGCCCTGTCGATCTTTTCGCTCAACACTAATCCCTCTCTGAGTGCCTGGCCAATCATGCAGCTCAAGACGCCCCTCTCCTGCTCCACCCTTCTACTCTCCCTCCTCCAAACCTCTTTTCTCCTCCTCTCCTCCACCTGCAACACACCCAACACTTCGTATCCGCTCGTGCCCGTTCGCAAAGAGCACTGCTGCACGTGCTTTTGCTTTGCTGGTCCGCTGTGCGATTTGGGAAAACGATAGCCGCAAATGATGCAGTGTGACAAGATTCTGAAACGAGCGGTGGAGATGCTCGACAAGCTGATCGGAACAGGGGACCGGGGAAAAGGAAAACGTCGCAGGGAAGGATCACGTCAGCCATCATCTTTCGCTTGCCAAGCTGCGCGCGCTCCCAAGCACTGCCATGAAAAGCCGTTTCCCCTTTTCCGCGTAGCCACTCACTCGAGCTCAGGCTCGGTCGATAGGGCGGTGATGCGAGTCTCAAGAGTCGTAGACGAGTCGCTGCTCGGAGCATCTCGAGCATCGTCGGTAGCTGCCTCTTTCAAGACATTTTCCTGTCGCACTTTGCCGTGGATGTTGCGCTGCTCGCAACCAGCAGCGCCTGCGCCAGACGCGATGCTCGTGTCGATTTGATCATCGTCATCCAGCTGCCCGCGTCCTCCCTCCTCCAAACGTTCCGAGGACGTCTCCTTTATCTTCGAATTACCGGACCCCTCGCACTCCTTGACAGCACCACCAGTGTAAGTTTTCGTTCCCATCCTGCTCTGCGAAACAATCTCCACCGGAATGTCCATCGGCTCGTCTCTTCGACGTTCGCAGCGAGGTGCCTTGGTCGGGCAGACCATGCCAGGCAAAGAACTGCTAAGCGCTTCGCGCACGTCTTGAACGTGCGAGCGTGATCCTGCTTCTCGCACTCTTCCGCTTTCACTTTCGTCTGCTCCTGCTCCTGCTGCTCGCGCAGTCCCGCGTCGGAGCGCCTGGTCGAAGATGCCGTCCAAGTTGGACACGTCCTCCAGCGTGGACAGGATCATCACTTGACCATCCTGCAATCGCTGCGCGCCCCCGCTAACCTGCTCATTGCCGACCTTGCAGGCCCTCTCGAGCTTGTCGATCTGCCGCCATTTGCCTCTCGGCACCTTCCGGCGCGCATCCTTCGGTGCCACTGACCTGCCTTTCTCCATTCCGCTTGCGATCAGCGATCCACTCTTTGCAACGTCCGCGCTCCGCCTGAATTGTCCTAGACGCGCTCTGAAAGCTTGCGAAGCCGTCGGCTCTTCGTCCTCCTCTCCCTTCAGCGAGCATGAGCTCGACTCGAGCCATTGCGCGCTCGACACAGCACCTGCGCCATCATCCTCTTCGTCGTCCTCTCGCATCTCGCTTTGGCTCACAGAAAGAGCTTCAGCAAGCGGCGCAGACGCTCGGAGCGCGTCGGAGTTGGCAGCAGATCTCTGGCAATCGACAGCGCGCGAAAGCTCCGATCTGCGCGCATCTCGTGCAGCAGGTGGCTCTTCGGACGAGCACAAAGAGGCAGCAGCCTGCTTTGTACGTGGCGAAGAGCTCGCATGTCGAGCTTGTGCGGATGATGTGGTGCATCTGCGATTGGGATGCGCGCTCCTCTTCTGCGAGATGGGCGGCGCTGCTTCCATCGACGATGCACACGAGTACGTCATCTCTACCACTTCGCAGCATCCCGAGGCTCGTCCGTCAGACGCCTTGGCAGAGACGCGCGGCGCCACCTCTCTGCGCAACTCTGACCGATCGATCAGCTGCGAGGCTCTGACAAAGGCGCTAGAGGCTGCTCTCGCACTGGTAGCGCGTGAAGGCGTCTGCGGGCGCGAAGAAGGGCTAGCATCAGGCGAAGAAGAGATGAGGTCCACCTTGGACCTGGTATTGGGTGGATGCAGAGGCTGCTGCAAATCGACGTCGAGTGGCAAATGCCGGGAACAGGAAGCAGAAGCGCCTCTGGCGACCAGCAGCGAAGAAGCGGATGGCGACGGGGCAGGTAGAGGGACTGATGAAAACTTGACAGACTGCGACGCGTCATCGGCAGATGTTTGGCTCACAATGTGCGCTCTCGACGTGTCGTTTATGCGCGAGCTCGTGTGTTGAGGATAGTGTGCGAGTTTGCGACGTTGATGAGGTCTGCTGCTCGGAGAGCTGTCTTGGCCCACCTCTGGGGGAGAGAGGGAGAATGTTAGGCTCTTGACTGGACTTTGCTGCAGACGCGGCGGCGGCGGCGGCGGCGCCTCCTCGACCGAGGGAGCACGAGAGCGACTAGTCAGAGTCTTTGTTGCCTCCTTTGGTGCACGGCTGTTGAGCACCTCTGGCCGACTGACAAAGCGCCCATTGGAACGCGGCGTGATGCGCGCAGACGGATGAGGTTGAGGCCGAGTTCGAGTGGCGGATGTGCTGGCTACAGCGTCAACAACGGTGCTGCCGGATGGAGGAGCAGCGCGGGTGCAAGCGATCAACTGGAATCCAGGACTTGATCCATCCGATGCGCTCATGCTTGCGTGCCCTGCTCCTGCTCCTGCTACTGACGCCCGAGACTTCTGCACAGCAAGAGAGCGACGAGAATGATGATGGGATGTGGGACTCATCAGAGCCAAAGGCGAGCTGGAAGCTTGCACCTGCACCTGCATCCTGCTGCTCAGCCTGCTCAGCCTGCTCAGCCTGCTTGCATCCTCAATATCCAGCCCTTCATGCCCGCGTCCACAAGACTCAGACTGTTCGAGCGATGAATGTGATGCTATCAAACCTAGCTTGCTTGGGGGTTTCCTGTTTTTGAAAGATGGTGGATGGCATGGATCGCTGGACGAGCGTGAGGCGTGGCAGCGTACGTGCGGTCACAAAGTCAAGCTGAATTGTGATTCCTCCCACAGCACACGCGCGCCGCGGACGGACCGGACCCTTTGGAGTGCTGATGCTTGCGTGCGCGTAAATGAGATCCAGCATCTGACATGCAGCACGCGCGCGTGGGGCAGGCAGCAGGCAGGCATGACGCGCCTCAAGCCGCGGCGTCATCATCCTCACGTGCGTGCGCGCGCGCATGCGCATGTGCACCTGCACGTGACCCTTGCATCCGCAACTCGCGGGTCGCGCTTGGTGATGGTGAAATGCGACTTTGAATCTGACTGCTGACTGCAGCCCGACATCGACGAGATCGTCAATGCGACCCACAAACGCATCCTTGTCTGATTGTGCATCGAGCCTCCTAACCATAGCTCTATCTGCACAACCCCGTGAGTCGCGACTCTATCTGCAGAAGACAGATAGAGCTCTGCTTCGGTCATTCTCGCTCCAGCCCGCAACAGGATTCGACCATCAAGATTGTGCTCGGCGCATACCGCGCCTAGACAGATCACGTTGGATACATACCAAGTCCTAGTTCGGCTTGCGCACACCCGGCCCGCTGATCAGGGTGCACAAATCGCAGCACGTCCTGATATCAGCGCGCCATAGCTCAAACCGGCGCTTGCGTAGACATCACCTGTGTTGCTCGCTGGCATCGATCTGCAAGAGCTACGCATCATGGCTGTCAGACCTCTGGTCAACCCCGGTCTTGGTGAGTGTACAGTGTGGACGCCGCAGCGAAGGATGATCGGACATTGCGCGGGAAAGATCTGCTCACCATCTCCTTGCTTGACCTCTTCCCTCTGCGCCAAACCTTCGACAGCCGGCTGCTGCACCATCCTCTCGATTTTTGGCATTCTCTCGCTCGGAGTCATAGGCTACGGCTTTGCGCACAACTGGGAAGCTTTCATGGGCTCCATCAACGATCCTGTGGATGGTCAGGCAGTAGCTAGCACCTGCTACGTCGCTGCTCTCGTGTTTGTGGGATTTGTGGGCTTTTGCGGCTGTCAGTTGGGTCATGCTAGGTATGCTAGAGGCATCGCTTTGGATTGAGGGTTGTGCCTCGATGCACGCCTGACATCTTTAATAGGTGAGCGCGAAGCTGGCAAAGGCTAAGGGGTGCATCGATGGAGAAGCGATGGAGTGGTGTGGGACAAGCTGGCTGGAGACGACTATGCCGACTATGTGCGGAAACAACAACATGGAAGACCATGCAAGGTGTAGCGCGTACCACATGTAAGCGCTTTTCCAGACGTACATCACGCCTTCGGCGAAGGAACGCAGCCGCAACGTGATGCGGCGTGGTCAGCCACGCCTGTGAGATCGCCGTCATCGCGCTCGTTGGACATGGACGTCTGCCGGGCTTCAGCATGGAATCTGCGCTGACACCGAGCCCATGCACCTCGCCCTCACGCGACGCTGTGACCTTGCCAGCCGCGTTGTTGCTCTTGGATTCCTGCGTCAAGTCACCAAATCTTTCGACGCTTACCTGCGCTTCCGTCCTGCGGTGCCCTCTTCATTCAATGTCATCTCGTTCAGTCCGTTCGTAGCTGTCCAAGAGGGGCGACTTTCTGAGTACCCACCGGCACGCACGCGGACAAGGTTTAACATCTGCTTCTTCACGCGCCAGTGTGGTGGAGTCGCGGTGACTCTCGCTATTGTAAATGCAGACAAGAGAGGGTAGGGGCGAGGCAGATGCAGGAGTGGCAATGGTAATGGTAGCGCATACACAAGCGAATGCGCTGGAAGATGGACAGTCTTTGGAAGAAGAGAGTTCTTGGCACAGTGATAAGGTGCATCGCCACACTGTTCGACACGAAAAGCTTGGCTGTCATCTGAGCCTCCGGATGAGTGACTTTGGCTGACTGACACAAATTTGGTACAACGACGTGCACACACATGCACCCAAAGCGATGGCGGTCTCTCTCCGCGCGCGAGGAAGCAAGGGATGGTGCAATCATCGTCGAGGCGCGGCGGCATCGCCACCACCTCCGATGTTTCCCGAGCCGAACCTTGTTCAAATTTCCAGCCCTGCCGTGCTGCGTGCTGCGTGCTCGTCTTTGCCACGAGAGGGTGGAGCGCGACAGTGTACTCGATCTGACACAAAAAATCGCAAGGGTCTTCTATGTTCACACCACGCATGATTCGACGCCGTGGGCGCACCTCATCCTTCTCATCCGCAGAGGGAGCGGAATGGCAAAGAGAGACACGCGTTCGTGTACCGGTATGCTTCTTTCGCCAGCGCGCTGTCCCCTTCGGCGTCGAGGCAGTCAACGCGGAGGTTGGTGCCAACTGCGCCCCGACGCTGATCGTTCGTGGTGATTCAAACTCTCAAACAAGGTCAGCGGCGACTAGAATATATGTGGCCACAGGCGAGCTCCGGTAGCTCGCTTGAAGGCGTGGTACAGAAAATGGAATAACGCAATCACGAATGGCGCGACACCTCGGGAGCTTACTCGTGCGGCGCCACCGACAGCTCTGCGCCATTCGGGTGCTCGCCACCTGCCTTCATAACAAGGAATTTGCACATTCAAAACGCGAGCCGAGCACACGATCAACAGACCCGCAGGAGTCCCAATCGACCGGACAGTCGATGTGTGGACCAGAGACGGTTGTGCGGCAGCGCAGACCCGTTTTGCTCTCGCCACCACCGACGCAGCCCGCGACCATTCCCACTCCCGAGCGATGGACGGTCTCCGTGGCTGGAAAGGTATGCAATAGTCGAGCTACTTACGTGCCGTCGTAAGCACTGGCGAAACCTGACGGCCTCACCCGAATGTCAAAGGCGCTTGCGGTGGGCGACGACGAAGACAGGAGGAGGACGCGCTGTCTACGAGCGCTTGACACACGCAACAAACTGACGACCATCGGTGGCGACAAGTCTACATGGCGTTGCGGTCTGGTGTGTGCGTTGATGCGCCACCCAACGCGCCTCACACAGGAAGAATTCGCCACGCACACATCTGATATAGGCTCTTGGTGGCCAGACGCATATAAATATAAGGAGAGTCCCCGTCGAGAATCGCATCCCTCACTTTATTGCAACATTTACTCTACTTTCGACCGCGCTACTGGAACTGGCTTCCATCAGCTCGCTACAACATCTGCACTTGCACTTACATTCCAAATCTTTTGGTGGTCGAGCACGATGCGCTTTCTGTCTTCTTCGACTATCGCGCTCGCGCTGGTCATGAGCTCCACGTTCGGGCGCCCAGTCATAACCAAAGATGCGGACGGCAATCCTTTGGAAAGTCATCCCGGCTCGCCCAACCACAGCTCACCAGAGCGTTCTCCATCTCCAAGCGGGTCGCCGAAGCACACATTCAGTAAAGACGTGGTTCTTTGGCATGACCAGCTGAAAAAGCAACTTCCACCAGGCCAGGAGCCGGACCTCTCCCACGAACTAAGAGGTGGCCCGGAAGCACTTAAGCAAAAGCTCGCCGCGGCGCGCTGGAAACACGAGTACAAAAACGCAGCGCCTGGCTACGAAAGGGGCTCGATGATAGCCAATCTACTCAGCGATTATGACGGTGAGTGAGCAAGCAAAGAGCCTCTCAAAGCGCAGCACCAGCGCAACATATCGCCTCACACCGCAAAGTTTGAGAGAGTTGACATGTGCCCCGGTCTGACTTGTAGCGAAACGCGGTAAGAAGCCACTTCAATTCACAGGGACGCCGGAAAACCCGTTGTGGCGTATTCCCAAATCCCCAAAACGCGTCGACCCGCCGTCGTTCCTGGACAGTGACGGTCGCCCATTCCCAACTTCCTCGCCTAAGTCCAGCCTCAAAATGACCCCCACGGAGCGATACTTCATGGAAAAGTTTGGTAACAAATCACCACCACTTTCTCCTGTATCACATTACCTAGCGGACCAGTATGGTCACAAGTTCCCGGCAGTTTCGCAAAAGCCAAGCTCAACGCATGCCTCAGAGTCCAAGCCACTCGCCGGCCCTTCGCAACCCGCCTCCACCACTAAGAAACCAGGCTTCTTCACGAGGGTCAAGAATACGTTCCGCGGCAAGACTAGTGGCTCTGGCTCGACTTCTGCGGCTAGCAACGCGCACACTTCTGACGTGTCGCATCTTGCCGACGACGCAACGAGCGCCCTCAAAAAGCTGCCCGGGCATTTCCGATAATTTGCCGTGGCCATCGTGTAGGTTGATTGGGCTTGAGCAATTCGTTGGCGAAGCGATCGATCGCCGTCTTGTCGAGCAAGCCTTGTAACGATTTCTCGGCGCGCGACTTCTTCAATTTCATACAGTTCACTTTTGCCATGCATGAAAAAGCCTGGGCTCATCTTCTGCTTGCTTCTTCAACTTTACCACCGTGAGCAGAACCGGAAATGTTGTCTGGGGCCGTTGCAAGCGCGCTACGAAGATCTGGGCTCACTTCGGATGGCTCATTTGGCGGGTTGGTGGGCTTCAAGAACCTCTTCTTGGCGGGCTGCTAAGAGCTGCTCTCTCACGCTGACGAGAGAATTCTGAGGCGCTTTTTGATCAAAAATTTGCTCGTCTGGTCGAGGTGTGGGCAACGTTCCGCCATCTTTGCACGCGCTCGTCTTCACCTCTGTCGTCGTCGCGCTTCTTCACTCCATCTCCTGCTCGCCGTTCTAGCAAACGCATCGTGTACTTTCTCTATAGCCTTCTTCCAGTCTTTGAGCTCCGCTGCGTCTTCGAAATTCTCTTCGTCGAACATCTCATCTGCACTCCAGTTGTTGTGCTCTAGCTCCTCTTCATAGGATTCGACTGGACCTCCTTCGAGATCACACTCGCACCACGGCATTCGGAAGTCCTCACAAGATGCCTCACGCTTGCCTTGATGACTTCTGTACGCCTGGGCCGCTTCCGGAATAGAGTACAAGGACGCGCCAGAAGCCCATTCCTCCCGCTCGAGCGAGATCTGATTGCCTCCTTCCTCTCGCCGAATCAGTTCGAATTCTTTGCAATCGAGATACTTCTCTGGCAGAGCTTCGAGAACCTCTTTAAAGTCTTCGAACGAGCGCTCATCTTCGCCGACCAACTCCAAGCGTACGCGATCGAAGGGTGGGTAGACTTCACCTCTTCTTCTGCGTAGCTGAACCCTGGCAAAATGGACGACCCAATTGAGTGGCCACTGGGGCGCTCTGCGCCTGCTCCAGTCCAGGCGGCCCTGGACAAATCTCAAGGCGACATTGCGACCGGTCCCGTCAAGCTTGTCATCCGCAGTTGGCAGGTCTTCTAGCCGAGACCAGTGAGCCGGCCGCATCGCGTGGGTGCAAGTGTACAGCGTCAAACATTGCCGAACCCGCAGGCGTCGCCATAGAGGACCAAGACGATAGTCGGACCCACTGAGAGCTAAATGATTCACGGTGATCTTGCTCTGAGCAGCCATGTTCTGCCAAAAGCGCAGGTCAACGTTCATACTGTCCATAGGTGATGGATTGTAGAGTGGAGCAGCTCGCGAATCGCCTGGCCACGTGATGTGCACCGAGCCCACGAGGCGCGCAATGGCGCTAGAAGAAAGGGCCAGTCCGTCGAGTCGAGACCGGCGAGAGTGGGCATTACTAGGACTGCTGGACACTCGGCTCGACCGCGCCGCCTCGAAGGGAACGACTTGCTCCTCTTGCTGGTCCTTGCGAAATAGAAAGCTGAGCAAATCGGTCCAGATCTTCAACTCTTGCGCCACCTCTTCTGGCCTCTTATCCCACCTCGTCTCCTCCATGAGAGTCTGCCGAGCCTCGGTCCTCTCAAGCAGCACATCATCCACCCTGACCAGTCCCAGCGTGGCGACGTTTCCCTGCCTGTTTCTCAGAAAAGCCTCCACCTGTCGCGTGGTGCAGAGAAGAGGAGAGTGGGCAGAAAAGGCTAGCGAGACGTTTCGCGCGAGGTGAGTCACTTGCAGCAGCGTCTTGCAAACACGCATGTCCAGCGCGCAGGCTTGCTCAAAGATGCGAAGCAGCAGCTCGGCGGGCAGGCGTGTGGGGGTGGATGCTTTGCCGAGGTGAGCGCTCAAGCTGTGGACGTCGGATCGCTGCGCGGACATGGTCGGACAGGGCGTGGCATGCCATCGAGACTAGTGTTGAGGTGGAGTGAAAGAGTGTCTATGGGTAATGCCAAAGAAACAGATCGGCCTGCCCCCCATGCGTGTGCTCGGCCGTCTTTGCGAGTGGTGATCCTACGACACCTGTGCCTACAGACCAGCTGCAGATCTACACGGATAGATGCCTTGCCTGTGTAGAAGGCATCGGACACGTGCTGGAGGTCCACATCGATTGCTGGGAGTGCGGCATAGGCAAAGCAGCACTCAAAAGATTGCTGTTCCGAGCCCAGTCTGGCGTTCTGCATAATCTCGTGCCCGCGGACACGCTTTGGGTCAATGCGTGGCAAGTCGTACGCGCGTGTCGTGTGCTGAAGGATGGATGTGAATCACGATGACTTACGATGAGGCGCTCGGATAAAGGTGGACAGCAAAGCGCGGAAGAAGCAAGCTCTCAACAAACATGCACGCGAGTCAGAGTGGCGTACCGCGTCACGCGCATGCATCTATACGAGTGCATGGTCTAGCACACAGCATGCACCTCCCTCCCTCGACGATCGGACTGACCCACGCGCACGGCGGAAGCCGAGCACGCGGCGTACACGCATCCAAGCATGCGCCTGGCATCTGTATACGTGCATCGAGCGACGACCCTCCACGTACAGTCAAGTTTTCTCAAAGTCGCAGTCCTAGAGGCAACGTAGGTGCTGTTTGGGATCATACCTGATTCAAGACAATCACGATGACTTCTGTATGCGCATATGCGCCCAGAACCCCCCGAGGTGAGCAGACACGTCACAATTGCCAAAGTATAATTGTGCCAATCTTGAATCGGAAGTTGAAAGTATCTATTGCGAGGAGCCAAAGAGGCGTGGGCAGTGTACTTGGGACGAGGGCCAAACGGAGCATGCAACCTGATTGCGGCAAGTGCGAAACGTTAGGGGGACATTGCATGGGCATTAGAGGGGCAAGGATGCGGCGGCGGCCTTTTGTGAAAGATTGCGCAAGGGTGGATGAGACGCGCGCAGCGCAATTGGGAGGAGGCAAGGTGGTCGGCACGGAAACAAAGCCAGCGCAGCTCATGCCTGCAGAGAGGTGCAATCGTGATATGTTTCATCCTGATCGTGACGTGACGAGTGCTTGCACAAAGTATCTTCAAAGACAAGTTTAGTCGTGCTCTATCGTGAGTGATCACTGTGGTGATCTTGCGTATCGAAACGGGTGGTTGGTGACGAGTGTGCATGATACGTAGACTGGTCAACTCCTTGATCGTTCCATTTCGATCTTGCGCCGCCAGAGCCAAACTCGAGACTGGGTTTGCATGAGGCCGAGAAAGACATCCGGGGTTGATCAGCTGGGGAAAGCGCATTTTCTAGGCCAGGGAGATGATCCGGTAGTAGAAAAGCAAGCACGGAGTTGCCGTCGGTCCAGTGGCAAAAGGGCCGGGTCGTTTCCGCCGACGTTGTACCAATCAGCTTTGATCAAGCGGCCTAGAAGGTGCATGATGCTGCTCATGCTGATGATGTCTCTGCAACAACCTCTCAATCGCCGCAATGTGCTTGGCGTGTCTTCTACTCGTGGCCAAGTGCGGTCGAATAGCCTCCTGCAGTTTCTTGTGCTGCTCTTCCGGCGCCAGTTCCAGCACTCTCTGAAGGACATAATTGGCGTACTGGTCTGTCATCATTTGTACAGCTGCCGGAATTTGGCTCAACGTTGATGTGCTACCATTGCCATTGCCATTGCCATTGCCATTTTCGTTGCCGTTGCCGTTGTTGACGACCGCTGTGGATGATCGAGGAGCCGAAAGTCGCGCTAGAGACGCATCCACCAACGTCAAAGTCTCTTCGATCAGCTGTCGCCTTTCCTGTTCCGAAGCAGCCCTGAGCACTGCCTCGACCACGTTGCTCGCGAATTTGTGCTTGCTGAGCTGAAGCACCTGTCCCTTGGTTTGCAGAATGATTCTGTCCCTGTCCGCCGCTTGTCCCTTGTAGAGCACCCACTGGATCACGTAGTTACCATACTGGTCCCTCATCAGATCTTTCGCTTCCTCGTGCAGCTCCTCCAACAGAGGCCTGCTCATGCGCTCTTCGCAATGCTCAAAGATCCTCTGTAGCACCCTGCACGAGTAGCAATGGGCCGCCAGTTCGCCCACTCTTCCCCTGAAGGCTTCAGCGACAAAAGCAACATCGCTCGAAGGTCGCACCCTCTCCAGCACCTTTTGCACCACGTGGTTCGCGTTCTGATCTTGCACGCACTGCAGCACGTGCTCTCGAAGTTCTTCAGCCATGGACAGCTGCTCGTGAGGTGTCACGTGGTCAAGTGCTTTTTGCACCACTCGGCATCCGTACGTGCCAAGAGAGAGAGAGAGTATGGAACCTAGTATGTCGGCTACCAGAGCACTGCGCTGCTCCTGCGTCCCGTGCTCGAAGAGCTTTTGTATGACCTGCAGCCGATCAACGCCACGCGTCAATACGGTACTGTCGCAACCTTTCCTATGCAACTCACGTAATTGCCAAAAACATCGACCATGAGTTGCTTCGCAGCCGGCTTGAGCTCCTCGAATACCTCGTCTTTCTGCTTTTGATCCGCCGAGTCCATTCTCTCCTGAACGAATCGACTTCCATGCTGATCGCTGCTGAACTCCACCAAGTGTCCTCTCAGATCTTCGAGCTCGAACCGTCTTGCACGTCCGCCCATCAAACCTCTGCTTTTAAATTCTTCCAAAAGCGCCGATCGGTTCGGCGGTGCCGCATTTTGACCTTCGTTCGCCAGGTCCGAGCGTGTCGATAAACCCCCGTTGAGGAAGGCCGATCCTGCTGCTAGACCCGCAACGTTACGTCCGGCAAGGTGTGGCGGCGGCAAGGCAAAAGGCGCAAAGGAGACGGAAGAAGCGTTGGAGTGGTTTCTAGAGTGTCGGCCAGGCGGGGCAGCGTTGTGACTTGTTGAGCCAAACCGAGCAGTACTGTAGAAGCCGGGCTGAACAGCACTGTTCTGAGGATGAGCAGCGAGTGGAGATGCTTGAAGAGCGCCCGCGCCGAAAGGAATGGGCGCACCGGCAGAAACCGATGTGTTTGGCGAGGTGTGCATGGGTATCATGGAATGAGCAGTGGGCACGCGTCGATGATTGCCCGTGCCCGTGGGCGACGAAGGAGAGCTAGGTATCATACCAAGGCCGTATTGCGAGCTTGCACCATTTGATGCGCTGTTGGGTGCCAAAGAGGCATTGGTGAGAGGACCACCAGGAAAGCCAGAAAATCCCCCCATGCCTGCAGGATATGAAGTGTCGCCAGCGAAGGAGGAAGCGTAGGAGTCCTGTCGTCGGTGCGCTTGACGCGAAGCGCCGCGCTGCAGCGGAACGAAAAGGGGAAAGGCTCAGTGAAAGCTCGAACGTCGACGCGCCAATCGAGAGAAGCTACACCTCACTCACGCGATGATGATTGTTCCTGCTCGCAGGTCGACTGCTGGGGCCCCAACCGAACATGTGGCTCTGAGTGCCGTACCAATCGTGTGAAGCGCTGGCCGGAGAGGCATGAGCAAGACTAGGAGAAGGCATGATAAAGGGGGTCATCGGTGGCGCATATCCATACGTCGTAGCAGCATTGGGGTCGTGAGAGAAATGGATCTGAGGTTGATGCATCTGTCCATATACCGATCCTCCGCCGGTCAGTTGTGGCACTAGACCAGCAGGATACGTTGCATTCGGATAGACGAGCACCGGTCCGGTTCCAACGAAAGATTGATCGTCGGTCATCGCGCCGCCCTGCGAGGTGCCTGCAGAAGGCAACATGGGAGGACTTTGTTGAAAAGCGGCGCCAGCTTGCACATACGGCTGCGCCATCATACTGCTCGACCCGTGCGCTAGACGGTGCATATGCTGCGGAGTGGGCGGCTGAGGAATGGGAGCATAAGGATCCGGTGTGGTCCTGTACGATTCGAAAGCGGCCATGTCCATCGCTTGATGCGGAAGCAGCATTGCTCCGTGTTGCGCGCGACTGGGCTGACTCATGGCACTCGAATGGCCGTACGACTCGGGACTCATAGGCTCTGGTTCAAGCTCAGGAGAGGCATAGTACTGTTCTTGTTGCTCGTCGTGGTGCTGCCCGCCGTCTCGCGAAGCGGCAGGGGCGTACATGGTGGTACTTCGATGAGGACCTGCTCCACCCAGATCGGGATGACGAGTGGCATGCTGCGAGGCAGGAGCCTGGACAGCAGCAGACGAGGAAGGAGAAGTCTCATCCGCTCCTCTCGCCTCTAGCTGGTGTACTTGGAGTGTTCCGGGATCCAGAGTCGCAGCTCTTACAGGCTGCTTGGCCACTCGGGGACGACCGTTCGAGGATGATGCCGCTTCGCGAGCAGGATTGGACTCGACAGAGGCGCCACCACTGATTTGAGCCTGTTCGACCAGCAGATCCTGTCGCTGTTGCTCAGGACTGAGAACTTGTGCAGCGCTTGTGGGAGACGCAGTCTGCATTGATTGCAGCGCGACGTTCGAGAGTCTAGAGGCTAGGGAAGCATCCATGGCGTGCGAGTGCGCAGGTTGCTGCTTGCCAGACAAAAGACCCCGAGCAGCAGCATGCGCCGCTCGTGCTCGTTCCTGAGCGAGAAGAATACAAGGCGGAGCTCAGTCGCAAAATCATGTAGAGTCGGGCGACCTACGCAGCTTCATGAGCCAAGCGTCATTCAACCACTCACCTCGTCCTCTTCGAGCTGATCTTCAGCAGCGACGCCCTGCCTTCTCGGAGGTGCGCTAGTGAAGGATCTGGTAGGCAAGGGTTTGGCCCACGCATTAGGTCTCGGTGCCGCCGCGTCATCGGCAGCGACCACACCCGTAGGGTGCTGCATGTCGCTGCTCGTGGTCTGGACTGCTCCTTTCCAAGCGGGACTCGAGGTCGCGAGGATGGGCGGAGATTTTCTAGCTGCGGCCGCAGCAACATTGGCCGCACTGCTGGACGATGCGACTGGATCAACGGTGGCTCGACGTTGGGGATGCACTGGCGATTGCGAAGCGTTGGCACGGGCGCGAAAGCTAGGCGACGAGGTCTGAGCGGATGGGTCGGTCATATTCGCGGCTGTTGCGTGAGCCTGAAATGCAGTGCGCAATGATGATGATGGCCAGCAAGGAAGGAGGAGGACGAGTCGGTTTGAGTCAGATGAAAAATGCTGCGACTACACCGCGTGGTGTTGCGGGGGCTGCTAGCCAGCCAGCAAGGGCAAAGAAATGGACAAAAGGCGCAGCAATCTGTCTCGGCTCGTCTGGCCTGCCTGGCGCTCTCTCCGCTCCTTGTCCTTTTTTCTAGGTCACGAACCGCCCGATACTCGCCGACCTAGCGTGCAAGGATTCCTGAACGCGCCGGTTCTTCTATGCGCCGATCTCCTCCTTGCCGCTCCTGGCCACCGATGGCTGCGGTGGAGGTAGCGATGAGCAGCACCACCCGACTTGGCCGCTGATTGGTTGTCCAGAATGCTCTAAGATCTTACGCAGAGATCAGGTGACCAGGCGTAGGTTTGGAGGGTATGATGACGGAGCACTACACAGGCCAGATGAAGAGTTCTTCGTCGCTTTGTGCCTCACAATCGTTGGCCGATAGGCAGCCAAAATGGCTAAATTATGTGAGAGAGAGATAGATTTGGTAAGCTATCGCGATTCGTCAAGCTAAAAGGTGGCTCGTGTCCAGCTCGCGCATCGCTTCTTCACTGCTTCCTTGTCTGTCCCACTTTGTGTCTGATTTTCCGGCCACACACCATGCCACACAGGCAGGACATGAGCCACGAGCTATCCGCTACAACAATGGCGCTTTGTAGAGCTCGAAACGTCGACGTAGCGCCAAACGCCACGCATTACTCAACAACGCCCCGACTCTCTGGTCTCAGCCCGCCCCAGGAAAGAGATGCTGATGGCATCATGGCCAGCGCTACGCCTTCTTGACCCCGAAGCAGCCACGCATTCCGCTATTGTGATTGCTCGCGCGCACCCCTCCCTATCGAATTGTCCGCCCCTCGTCACACCCATTCACTCACTTTGTCGCACGTGCTGCAGATAGCCGAGATAGCAGCTTGTCCTTCGCCGATGTGTCTTGTGGACTCGGCAAGTGGAAAGGAGCGAAAAGCAATACTGAAAATGAAGATTCTGTCGGAACTTGCGAACGTTGATTGACACGGGATCGAGTGGATGGCGGAATGGCGTGCGGCAAAGTGTTACTGCGCGGGTATCAGTACAGCCCACATCGATGCGTCTGGAGTGTTGAGAGAAGTCGGGCCAATGGAGGAAGCACCGCGAGTGACAAAGCTGGGCCGTGGAATGCTTTCGTGCGCGGGTCTACTCTACGCTCCTCTCGACTCTGACTGGGTCGGTGGCTGTCACGTTTGGAAACGCGAGCGAGCTGAAGAGTAGTACGCTTGCTTGGTGCGTCAGACGGCGCCGCGATTCTCCTCACTCTGGTATCTGGATTTATGACTGCCTGGTGACCATGCTTGGTGGTGGTGTATGTGTTACAGATGGCAATCGTGGATGAGCATCGTGAATGCACCGCAAGCCTTCGAGTCAAGCCACCTCAGGTGCTTCCTGGTTGGCATACCTGCTTATCCTGTATCGTATACTCGATCCTGACTCACACTGCTGCGCAGCTGAAATATGTGCGCACGAGGCGCATCCGTGCTCAATTGCATCTTGCGTCAGAGCGCGTGAAGGCGAGCGGGCGCTCCTCTATCCGCATTCCACGCCGGGCTGCCTATGCCTGCGCCCTTCCAGCAGTCACAGTCATAAGTGATCTTCTCATTCACGCAAGTCTTGTACTGATGCGGTAGACCCACAACACTGCCTAGACCCACCAAACTGACTCGCGACTGCTGTACTCATTATTATATAGATGTAGGGATACTGACCGCGTAGAAAGTGGCTAGAACAGCGCGAGCGGCTGTACGTGTTCCAAGTTGCGCTCAGACTTGGAGCTTCGAATCCTATTCAGCGCCCGTCCAAGCTTGGATGATCATTGCATGTTCATTCACAATTGTCACCATCATCCATATCTGCCTTATTCGCCTCATGCGTAATCCACAGCTGATCAGTCAGATTCACCACGGCCACGCTGGGCTTGTCCAGCCGTGTGCTGATTTGGCAACCATCCAATCCAAGTGTCGACATTTTGTTCCTCTCTTCACTCAAGCTGGCGCCGTTGGGGCCTGATGAATCGTGAATATCCTGATTCCATTCACCATTCACCATTCACCATTATTCAACATTCACGATTGATGACTGTGAAGCGCGAAATCACGAATCACGAATGTGACTAAATCTAGCGTGCAGTGCAGTGCATGCATGCATGGATGGACCTTCTGGATTTCTTGATTCCGAACGATCCGAGCGGGCCGAGCGTGCGCGTGAGTGCGAAGCGATCATGGCACGTGCATACCTTGCATGCATGCAGCAGCAGCTTCGCTTCACAGCCACCAGACACGCGCGCGCACGCGCCATGAGATCTGCCCCCCCCCCCCCCCCCCCCCCCCCCCCCCCCCCCCCCCCCCCCCCCCCCCCCCCCCCCGCGCTCTTACCGCGGCCGGTGTGCCTTACTTGCACAGTCAGCAAAAGTATCAAGGTCGCGTTGGCCCCAAGCTAGCCGCCAGCTTCTGATGCTATCTATCATGCAAGAATTTATGAAGCTCCTGCATTCAATTCTGATCCACCATTCTTGATTCGTGATTCAGATTGATCGTGGGCTGCGCGTAGATTCAGAAGGATCCAGCGGTCATCTCGAGGACCTGGTGCTGCATCCTGCGCATCCTGATTGAGACGCAGCATTCCACCACTGCTTCCACTGATTACGACCATCGAAAGTAGGCCCCTCGATCCTCGTCTTGAGCCGATGCTAGTAGTAGCAGTGATAACTGCGAAGCGAGGACACGTGGCCCACGAGATGCTGCAGTCATCACAAGCCAAGGGCATTCGAATCGCGACTGATTGATGAGGGTTGCGAGATGGATGCACGCGCGGAAAGCCCGGATGGTCACGCACGCGCACAACCACGTGAGGCCGATTAACAGCTAGCTGATCATGATGAATCGTGCCTTCAACATTCTTGATTCTTGATTGCTGGATCAAGTGTCCAAAATCAAGAATGGTAGGACGAGAAGAGTAGCCGCTACAAACTAGTCAGCTCTTCCGACATCGCCCTTGTGGGTACTCGACAATGCCAACGTGTATGCGACGGTGCCATTTCGTGTCTTTGCGCAACCGAATGGGTAAGGCGGGGCAGGGCGGAGCTCAGACGTTCAGAGTGGGCGCAAAATTACAGCAAAGCAAGCCCTAAGGCGAACGCAGCAGCCAAATGTGGTACCAGAAGTGCCGAAGGATGCTGGAAGATGGAGCGAGAAGCAGATGAGGGTATCATGTCCTTGGCGCTCCCAGGTCGCGAAACATTATTTAGTCGGGCAGCGGCTTCGGCCACGCCATTTTTGGCGGGCGTGTCCCAATAGCTTGGTACCGATGAGCTGGTCAGCGCTAGCATACGAATGCATACCTTGCTGTACGGCACGGGAGGCGACTCACTCGACCAAGACGAAGGTTGCGCGAGTCCTCGTCTCCGAAGCACAGCGCTGCACTGTGCTCACGATGCCGTTCTCTCCGTCTGCAGAATTGGTCGTAGAGGTGGCATTGCGGTCAGGAGTGGAGATAGCCACAGTGCTACCCAGTGGTTGAGTGTTCTTGTTATTGTTCAGCAGTGCCAACGTGCCCTCGGTACGGCCGCGATCGACGGAACAGTTGAAAGGCAAGTCTGCGGGCACAAGATCGCTGTGGCGGTCAGGCCCGCTGCTCGAACACCACGCACAGACTTTTCGTGTGCAACCTCACCAAGCTGATCAAAGGGGTTCTCGTAGATAGAATCAAATTCTGCAAGAATCCAGGAGACCTGATCGCGATCTGATGCGTAGTCAAGAAAGATGACCACCCTCTTGTCTTGATCAATCATCTCACCAAGAGTCGGCCACTGATCTCTTGAAGGGCTAGGTCCGTAGCTGCCATCTGCGCGCTTGTTGTCTGGCCACCACGTATTGCTCGCATTGAAGCCAGTCGAATTGAAGCCGGCCTCCCAGCGTCTGATGTCCACTCTATCCGGATTTGTCATCAAGATCGTCAGGACTTCTCGTGGATTTTCGTTCAGCCAAGCTCTGACGCTTCTCAAATAGTCTTCGAGGGAGCCTCCATCTTGCAACAGACAAGACGTGTGGCATAATGAGAGTTCGCTAGGATTGGACTCGTTTGATCGAAAGACGCCGTAATTCTCATGCGCTTGCCCTTGGATCAATCGAATGCCGCCTTTCAGAGTGGTTGTGATGTTCACCGCCTGATTGTCGCTCACTCCATCTCCTACAGCGTAGCTATTGTGCGCTCCGATGTAGACAACGTCGGCATAAGACTTGCTGCAAAGCTCAGCATGACCGTTACATGTAGGAGCAGCGGCCAAATTTGTCGTCGACGTGGCTTTGTCGAAGTACCAAGCTGGCAAGAGGGAAGCGCTCGCCTGCAAAGCTGTCGACAGGAACAACAATGTTGAGGCGGCGGTCAAATGCATTTCGTTCCTGGCGGATGTAGGTATGTGCACGCACCGTTGCGCGCTGATCAAAAAGTATTCTCGATGAGTCGTGAATCTCGTAAGGTAGTCGTAATTGTCGAATTGGGAGTTTGCGATCAGTCGTCAGTCGTGAAGGATGATGAGGGGCGTTTGTCCAAGCCATGGGTAATCCGACGGACGGAGGGGGGGTTGGTGTGTGGGAGGACAGGTCAGAGGCCGGGCAGATGAGAAAGATTTGAACGACCGTCACATTGCTACATTCACGATTTCCCCGAAGCTTTTGCAGTCGTGAGTGGAGATGTACCGGTACATTTTCTGAAAGGGGTTGCGTGCCGTCAAAGGGTCCGCTCAGACTTGTTTGCTAGGCAGTGGGTCTTGTTAGCAAGACAGGAGTTCGCCTTGCAGCTGCTGAACGCGTCTTTGTCATTCACGATTATGCCGGCATCTGTGGATCTGAGCTCCACAAACGACTTCTGAACTCTTGATTCAACTCATGACTGTTGTGCATGTGAGCTTGTGTGCAGCGAGAGAATGACCACACTTGACTGCAGGCGAGTGGGCCCCATGACTGACCGCACTCATCCCAAGACGCACGACTAGCGCGCTACCCATGCAAAGAGCGAGCAATCAAAGGGGCGAGGGCACGGACGTTTGGCAAGTCTTCGCGCGCGAATCTTGAATGATGATGGCTTAGTCGTTGCTAGGTCACGTGGCAACGGAACGGTGAGTTCCGACAAGCGTGCCTTGACTCACGACTCATCACCACTCGTGACTGCATCTGCCACCGATCTCCCGCAACATTGCTTGCTACCAACTCTTGACTTTGACTGTAACGGGAAGTCAAGCGGCTTCTCGGTCGTCTTTCTCTGCGAGACGCAGCCAGCTGCTTCAGACTCCTCCGTGGCAAGGATTTGGTGGTCGCAGGAGGAAAGCCTGTCTCGCGGCGCTCACTAGTGAATCAGAATGTTGTCTGCAGCTCGGGAAGGCTTTTAGCGCGCAGCGAATAATGACCGGGACCGCCTGGCAGCAAACAGCAGCAGAGGCCAGCGTTCGTCTGCTAGCTGCTGCAACGCGTCCGTAAAAGGCCCCGCGCGAGCACGCTTGCCAAGGCCAGCAGATCAGTCGTCGGAAAGTCAAGTCACGCTGTTGGAGTCACTCGCGCGACTGTAGCTCCGACTCACGAATCTTTGCGACTCACCCGCTCGGGGCACACCTCAGAGACAAGATCTCGGCAGCCGGTGCACGCCTCCAATTGTGAATGAAGTCGACACGCTGACTGCCAACAATCAAGAATTGCAACCAGCACGAGCAGTAATCGTGAATCGACTGCACCTAGAGCCTGGCCAATCCACCAGAGTCCATCCCCACTCGTGAAGCTGTCGCACACGAAGCCCCGACTCGAACAGCCTCATCTGCATGTCCGCTGCAGCCCTTGCATCTCTGCGCTTACTGTATCCTGAACGAGTCCTTGGCGGACGTGGAGGACGCCGCGTGCCTAGCTGCTGCTGCTCCTGGTGCTGCATCTCTTCTGTTGCGGAGTCGCGACGTTGGCCTGACTGAGTGTTCCACACACGCGGCAGTCACCACACCCTTTGGCTGCCGACCCACTCACCGCACCCCGCAGTGACATCGACCTTGCTGCCAGAAGGTGGAAAAGCGAGCCCAGTCCCCGTCTTGAAAATACCACCTCAGCATCCCCGCGCTCCGCATGCAACCTTCTCCAGGCTCTCCTACTCTCTCGACCCCGGAAACTCTACTCTCACACGCGGATCAGCAGTCACCATCCTCATTCACTTCACTTCGACCCTTGTCCTCCTCCGTCCGCGCAAACACTGCCAAAACACTTGACCCTGCTTCTCGAAACGAGAACGACGTGGAGCTGCGGCGAAGGCTGCCTCTGCCTCGAGATCACCAGCACGAGCGCTCATCACACACCACAGCAGACCCCAGTGATCTGACTACGGAGGGCGGATCCTCTCAAGCCACAGTCGGTGAACCTCTTGCGACTGCCGATGAAGTCTCTCGGCCAGGCAGAGTAGAGGCCCTTTTCCCCGCTTCATGCCGGCAGCCAGAGCATAATCTTCGACCTCCCGCCCAACCACCGGATTCGGACTCGGCGCGAGCGCACACGATGTTGACATCGAGGCAATCGTACTTGCCGGTGCCAGGCAGCGCTACTCCTGGTGCCTCCAATTTGATATCCCGGTTGATACCCAGACGAAGAAGCTTGCTTTGCACAATCATCCTCGTCTTTTTCTTTGCAAATGTATTCTTGTGGGGTCCCGATTTTGCGGGAGAGGAGCGAATGCAGAGGTGGGGCGTAGACCGTGAGTGTTTTTGCTGCGATTGTCACCCATCAGGGCGTCCTGACTTCCAACGCTTGGCGGCCGCTGCTGAGACCGCTTCAACTCCGTTCCTTCGCTGTCGGCCTTGCAGATTGGTCAGACTCGATGCGCCCCTGGCTCGGACACAAGCCGCCGCCGGGCTCCGGTAAAGAAGTTGGCTTCCCTTCTGACCCAGTTGAAGATGGCTCGTCCGCTCCTATTAGTCCACTTATCGTCGATGACTTGGGCGGCTTGCCCCCTTCTGCAGAGTCAGACAAGCTCTACCTGGAGTCTAGCGCCTTTCCTCCGCAATTAGCCAGCACCTTTACGGCTACCGAGTATCCTGCTGGATCAAATCCGCACAGAGGCGAAATTGCTGCTCACCTGTTGAGCGTGCTCGAAGCGCGCAGCAAAGCAGAGCGGAAAAGACCACCTCATCCAGGCAAAGCACCCTGGGAGCCCACCGGAGACGTCTGGAACACTTGGAACAGACCAGACAATGGGAGCAGGAGCACTCGAGCTGATGCGATGCGCCCTGCTCAGCAAGGATTGGACGTGGATTGGCGAGTGGGTCCTTTCGCGGGTTGGAGGCCGCCTCTGGCCGAATTAACCAGCTTCTTAGATTCCAAGCTTGGAATCAAACCTCTACCGAGAGTGCAGCATACATTCCAGGCGCCTCATAGACACAGCGGTGGTGACAACGACGAAGCGCGAGAGACGCTCATAGCGGAGAGGCAGAAGCTGGTCAAGGCTGCATTCTTGCACGCCTGGGAGGGGTACAAGACGTACGCGTGGGGTCATGACGAGCTCAAGCCGGTGAGCAAGAAGCCAAACGACAACTTCAATGTGAGTGGGTATTGTGTATCGCAGGATGTTGCGCAGTGATGCTCAAGTACAAGATGTTTCCCACTCGTAGGGCTGGGGTGCTACGATTGTAGACGCTTTGGGCACATTACTCATCATGGATCTACCTGAGGAGTACGATCTAGCTCGACAGCACGTCCGAGACATCGACTTTGGCCTTGTTGGGGGTTCACGCTCAGCGTATGGCTCATCCGATGGGCGTGTACCAGTCTTTGAAACTTCCATCCGATATCTCGGTGGCTTGCTCTCTGCCTACGACTTGTCAGGGGACGAGCTGATGCTGGACAGAGCGGAAGAGCTCGCGCAGCTGCTTTCGCCCGCTTTCGAAACGCATTCTGGCGTACCTATCGGTCGTCTGCGGTTCGGCGAGCCTCCTTCTCACAGCGCTGGAAGCAGCGCGATCCTGGCAGAGGCCGGATCTATGCTGCTCGAATACACCAGACTTTGGCAGGTGACGGGTAACCGAACCTACTTTGATAAGGTGCAGCGAACGACAGATTGGCTGGATAGGAATATGACCAAAGGCGCGGACAGATTGGGAAGCCTGCTCCCCACTACTCTCTTTCCGGAGTCGAAGAATTCGTACGGGTCCTATTCTTTTGGCGGCATGGCAGATTCGTATTACGAGTATCTGATCAAGGAGCATCAGCTGCTCGGAGGGGCTCTGCAATACGGCAGAATGTATGCGGAAACGATCGACGACGCGAGGAAGCACCTCATGCGCTCCATCGGAGCTGTTCCGGCGGCGAGTAGCCTTCTGACGATCGGTATCAGTAATGGGCACAGCTAGTGAGTGTCGAGTTGTTTGCGATTTTGTAAACGTGATTGCTTACACACTCTCTATGAGGCGTTGCAGCACACCAAAGCTGGAGCATCTGGCTTGCTTCTCCGGCGGGATGCTTGGTCTCGGCTCCCGACTGCTGGGACGTGAGCGCGACTTGGCTAATGGACGTCGCTTCACAGAGACGTGCTGGTGGTCCTACAATGCGACCGCGACGGGCATAGGGCCCGAAGAGCTTGTGTTCTATAGTGACTCCGATCCAGATCGCTTCGAATTCATCTGGGAGAAGGATGGCACGTCTAGACGGGGTAAGCCGAGAGGCAGCCCGATGGTCGGTGTGCGGCACATGAGCACCGATTATCGCAATCGACCAGAAGTTATTGAGAGCGTGCTATACATGTGGCGAATCACTGGCGATCCGATCTGGCAGGTGAGTGGCGAAGCCCGACACAGGCCGTAGGCTATTACCTGATTACTTACACCTGCTTTCGGGCAATTAATCAGGAGAGAGGATGGCAGATGTTCTCATCATGGGTCACGCACTGCATGACGGATGCCGGATTCTCTTCAATCTACAATGTGAATGCTGTGCCAACGCAGAAGACCGACTCAATGGAGAGCTTCATGTTTGCAGAGGTAGCCAAGTGAGTAAGATGAGCGCAATCCGGCGCCAACGTGTGGCTTACGTCACTGCTTGGACAGGTACTACTATCTGCTATTCTCTCCGCCTGATCTCATATCACTGGATGTGAGTTCAAAGCCGTAGCTATAGCCGTGGACTCGTGCTGATGATACACAACACGAATTTCTCCTAGGACTACGTGTTCACTACAGAAGCACATCCGCTGCTTCTTCCCAAGCGAGGTTCCTGGGGCGTGCCTGGCAATGGCCCGCGCAAGCACTGGGACCCAGCAGCGGCGCACGTGCCGACAAAGGAGTCTGGCCTATACTCGGGGGGCGAAGGTGGTCACGTTGGTGGCCTGACTTTCAATCAAAAGACCATCATCGCCGAGAACTTTCGTATGCAAGAGGAAGCTGAACAGCGGAAAGCGGAAGCGCTCGCGGCTGCAGCAGCGGCAAACAATGATCGTGCCCGCGCGCCTCCAGTCGGCAGGGCGCTCGATTCTGGCAGCGACGCAGCGACAAGTATCGGCGCAGCTATTCGGAAGTTGCTGAGCAGTGCCGTAAATAGCGCGATAAGCACTGCGCCTGGCCTTTCAGGGACAGCAACAGAGCAACCGCCGTCAGGCTATGGACATGTCAAGCCAATCGGAAAGGAAGGCAGTGCCATGTTGGCACTTCTCGAGGGTGAGGAAGGCAATGTCGAGCGATGGGCAACGCTTCACGGGTCAAGCCAAGCCCACGATCCCGCAAAAATCCTGATCCCATCCTCATCTTTACGCTTGCACGAGCCTCAGCCGGTCGTTGATGACGATGGTGACGATGGTGCACAGATCGTTCAAGCTGCAGAACAGAAAGCACACCACGAACCTCACGTGGACAAGCACGGTTTCCCTTGGGGACATCCAGGAGCGAAGACGTCGGCCGAAGCTGTTAGATTTGCAGAGCTGATAGCTAGTGAACGCACTCAGCGAGCCAACCTCGTGAGCGCAATACGATCGCTGCAGGGAATGTCCAGGAGTGTAGGCCGCAAGGAGGAGATGGTGCAGCCGATACCCGAGGTAGACGACCACGCACAGTGTAGAGTCGGTGAACAGCCATCGGCCGATGAGCAAGAGCAGTGGGTGATTGTGGATCAGTACGGCGATCCATTACTCGAAGTCGATCTCTCAGAGACCCCGCGAGATAAGCACCCGTCCGCGCCCGCTGGAGAGGTAGCCCCGCCGTTGCACGAAGTAGCGAAGCGAGACACAACTACCTACCAGTCATCCGAGTAAGAGGTATTGCCTCCCGACCTTCGTTCTGTGACACTTATTCCCACGGCTCTTTGCAATACATTTTCATGCATCTGATCGCGAGCACAGACATCGACACCGCATTCTTGCTGCGTCGCAATGCCCTGGCTCAAATACAGATTGCGGCCACAACAATGCTGGCCGTCGTCGACGCTTCTCTCGGGTACCGCTGATAATCCACGGGTACAATTTTGAGACGCCAACATGGTCAGGCAGACCCAGGCCAGCAGCCAAATAAGGCCGGCATCCGGCGGCATTCACAGTGAGTCTCTACCTGCATCAATGGAACTTACGTCCCACAGCCGTCGGAGCTTTTATACCTTCTCGATCGATTCATCGCTTCGCTTTGTGTGCTATGAACGTTCGAATGGACAAGAGCCAGCTTTCACTCCAGAGTGCCCGTCAACTGCTTGCGCTTCCCAGCCTCGTCCCTCTGAAACTATGGTACAATCCAATCCTGCGAGCGAGAGAGCCAGGAATTTGCATCCAGCGCAGCAGCTGCCCGAATGAGAAGATGGACCAGCAAAGCGCACTCTCCGCACAATTTCGTGAGATCAGCATGGGCGCTCTGCATTATTCGCTACACGCTGGACTACTTGGGCCCTGCTCCGACCCTTCTCCTACGCGATCTTCAACCTCTCTCAGAATAAATGTGTAGCAAGCTTGCTACCCTTCTCCAGTCAAGTAGAAGCTGCCTCCGGCGAAAGCGCAGAGTTCTTGCGGTCCGCGCTCCTTTTGGGGCGCAAACCTCACGCGGCAGCGACTCCTGCACTTTCCCCGCACGCATCATCAGATTGTCCCGCGTTCATCAAGCTGCATCTGCCGTGTTCCCATCGGTAATCTCCAAAGCTTCATCACTGTTGACCTGCAGCACGGGCCGCTCACACTGCCGCTAGCATCAATGCCTCATCTACGATTTGAAGATCGGCAATTTAGACATTTTCGCCGTTTCACAAGCCGCTAGGAGATCCCCAAGTCCCCCTTTCTGAGAATCCCGACGCGTGGCGACGAGCTTCCTAGCGTAAAATCTCTGCCACGCAGTCGCTCGCTCCCACGAACGCAGAGTGACCTCACTGTGAGAGAAGAACTCGATAGGGAGTGAACAAAGAACCACGATGCTGCTTGTAAGCTTCCCTTGTGTGGCAAGGAAGTCGCTTCAATGAGCTCCGCTGGGCTGCAAAGAAACATTGACTGGTGCGGTAAAGTTGTCGCGCTACGTCTTGCTTTGCCGGCAAAAGGCTGGCGACGCATCTGTCATGTCAAAAGCAGGATATGCGCCTCATTTAGCGAGCGACCATTGACAGCATGCGATCGCAACTTGTCCTCTTCTAGCCAAGGCAAGTGTCGTTCGTGTGCAATGCCGCCAATGTCACAGCCAAGCTCTACGATCTGAGCAGAAGACGCGCTGCAGTCAAAGCTGGCCATGTGAGTGATTGTGACACTACTTCAGAGCGGATGGCCCAGTATGTTTGCACGTCTACTCGATTCCTATAAAGCTGGCTAGTGGATGTTAGATCCCGTTGCGTGCCTCTTGAAAGTCTACTGCGCAGATCGCTCCCCGGCTCCGCTGCCTTACAAGATGATTTGCTTGACATTCCATCTCATACGCACCGTTGCCATAAGCTTTGCTGTGGCAACCATCACTGCTCGAGCTGCGACAATCGTCTCGGGACAACGATGGACCGACACATCTGGCAAGTACATCCAAGCGCACGGCGGCGGGGTGCTCAAAGTTCAGGACACCTACTACTGGGTGGGCGAGGATAAATCCGACGACTCTGGCACATTTCAAGGATTCCACATGTACTCGTCCTTGGATCTCGCTGCTTGGAAGGACGAAGGGCTCGTTTTGCCTCCGAGCAACAAGACGACATCGGTCGGCGAAAGGCCCAAGATTCTTTACAATGCTTCGACCAAAAAGTATGTCCTATGGTTTCATGCCGAGGACTCTGGCTATGCCTTGGCGCAAGTCGGTGTCGCGGTATCCAATCAGGTCACGGGCCCATACGAGTTTCAGGGGGCATTTCGTCCGCTTGGTCAAGAGAGCAGAGACATGAGCGTCTATGTGGATCCCAAGGATCAAGCGGCTTATCTGATCTTTGCGACGAACGACAACAAGGATCTCGCGATTGCTAGTCTGAGCGCGGACTATCTCAAGCCCGACAAACTCGAGTACACGATTGCCAATCAGCGTTACGAAGGTTCCGGCATGTTTTCGAAGGACAACAAGTACTGGCTCATCCTCTCTCACCAATCGAGCTGGGAACCAAACGACAACATGGCATTGGTTGCTGACTCGCCCAAAGGACCGTTCGACTCCCCCACTGGCATCGCACCTGCGAATCTGAAGACGTACAATTCTCAAAACCATTTCGATCTCGTCATTCGAGGTTCTGAGCAGACCTGCAACATCTACATGGGCGACAGATGGAGGTCAGACAAGCTCGGTCAGAGCACAGAGGTATGGCAGCCCTTCGAGTGGAACAGTAGTGGTCGTCCCTATATTGAGCCCTTCGAAGATGCTTGGGATTTGGATGCCAAGACTGGCACTATTACGCGCTTTGCTCGGTCTACCTTCAACGTTGCTCAGAACGCCAAAGTCTCCGGCAACACAAAGATTGAGGATTGCGCAAAATGTCCAGGCGGTAAGATTGCAAATGGTGTTGGTGGCTCGGCGAATGCGACAGTCACTTTCTCGGGTGTCAGAAGCCCGAACGGCGCAGCCGGCAAAGTTTGGGCAGGCATCTACTACAATCATGCGGACAAGTATCCCAAGTACCGAAACGCTTTCGTCAGAGTAACGGGCACATCAACCCAGGATGTTGAGGTCAATTTTGCCCCTGGCGGCAGCGTTGACAGTGGCTTGCAGAGCTCACCTGTGATGCTCGATCTCAAAGCTGGCGACAACGATGTCACGATCTCCAATGCTCAGGGATCGGGACCTAATGTTGGCTACCTTGTAGTGTATCAGTCGGCCTGAGACGGCACACTCAACACAGCAATGATTGTCCTTGCAAAAAGGTTGGTCATTGTGTGGCAAAAGTATAGTCTTTAGCTTCTCCTGTATCGCAGCGCACGTCGCTTTGCAGCGTTGTGAGCCGATTCGGGGAGACACAAAAGAATGGTTCTTCGTAAGCTAGCCATCGGAGAGCAATTTGTATGTTTATCGAAAGCATGAAATTGCGCGCGCTACAAATACTACTACGTAAAATTTGGCAAGAAGTACGAACTGCTTGGTATGAAAAGCGCAATTGAAAGATTTGTTTGGCCTCATGTATCTGACCACGGTTGCGCGCGGGCAGCGACCGCGCGTTTCAGGTAGTAGACGAGCACTTTGCCCGAACAAAGGTCTCGGCTACCTGAGGTCCACCAAGTCTCAGGCGTGCCAAGGCTGCTTGTGGCCTTGGATCGCGTGCAACTTTGTCTGCGTCGTCTTCGTCGCGCTCACTTGGCGCGCCGACACTTATGTGTCGTTTATGCGACTTTATGTTGTTGTCCAAAGAGCAAACGAAATGCCATCTTCATCTTTGCGGGGTCTTGTCCCTCTTCGTTGTTTCTCTTCCATTTGTTGATGCGGAGGCGGCCCGTCCATCAGGTTGAGGATGCCGGCGAGATTAGTCCGCCGATTGAACCTCCTTGCAGCCGCCTGCGCTTCCCTGCATGCAGTTGAGACGCTGTGAGGTTCACTTGCGCGCCAGGTGCATGCTGGGCACCAGAAAGGTCTGTCAAAAGATTCGACATAAGCCCCGTTGCCCGTGAAGGGCAGCCTGAAGAACCCAGGCATGATGCATTTCTTGTCGTTGATGGCTGCCCACCTGGGCATGCGAGAGGCGATGAAGATGATGGTTCCAATCTGCCCGTTGTCGCACTCGACGTTTCCACGAAATGATTGCATCTGAGACCACGCGGCGCACAGCTTTATGTTGTGCATCTTGAGTGCATTGCGGATCGACGTGACCAGGAGATCGGTGTCAGCCATAGCGGCTGCTTGAAGTCCATCAACCATGCCGACTTCCAGGCCATCTGCCAGCTCCATCCCATAGCCGTCGAGCGTCAGAGAGTGTTGTTGGTACGAGAGGTCCAGGAGCTCAGCCGATTCTTTGTGTTCTTCTGGGATCTTGATGTCAATCCCAAGTACGCTATCGCCTCTCTGGTAGAAGCGGAGCTCTGCATTGAAGACGCCGTGTTGGTTAAGCTGAGCCATTGTCATCATGCGGCAGTGCGTGAGCTGGTCTGCATTGCCGTGTGCCGCCAGCCGGAAGTCGTCGCCGAGGGCAAAGCGCAGCCACCCTGGCGCGATCAGATATTGCTGGCTTAGTGACGCGAGGATGACGTTAGGTGAGGGGACCTCATCCAGGTGAGCAAAAAGGTTAAAAATGGGACGGAAGAAATGAAAAATCTGCGTGCCTTGAACGATCTGTTGAATCAGGGCCTGATTATTGTCATGAGCCTCCTCAAGGGCTTCACCCATGACGTCGGTGACCTGAATGGTGGTCATCGGCTCATCAGCGGGTCCGTCTTCACCAGCGACGCCATCCTAGTGTTCAGATTCCAGGAGCATGCCTGCGAACGACTCTTCATCTCCCATGGAGTCAAGGAGGTCGCCTCCAGAAATACGCCCTTCACCCATGACGTCGGTGACCTGAATGGTGGTCATTGGCTCATCATCGGCTCCGCTCTCACCAGCGTCGTCGTCCCAGTTGTTGCCTACTTTGTCCAAAGGTTTTGTCCGGTCCCACTTTTGAGTGTGACTTTCACGGGAAGTCTGTTTGGAGTCGCAGCACTCACAGGGGCTAGACCATTCCAAAAGGATTTTAGGAGGACGAAGGTGACTCCTCCCGAATGCTCGCATCGTCTCACTTGAGCAGTCGCGCAAAGAGATTAGAGGCGGGAGGAAAGTACTGGAAGATTTGAGTGCCTGCGACGATCTTCGGATCAGCGCGTGCGCAGCCAATCTGGTGGGATGAAGACTTGAGAAATTGTTGATTCTGTTAGATCAACGGTGACCATGGATGCAATCATGATTGCGTCGGATGCATGTTGTGAAGTCGTGGTTATATAGGCGTGATCAGTCACAGCGGTCGTCCGTGCCACGCATATTATACCGTACCGTACCCGCGTGATCAGTCAAGCGTGGGGTCACGATTTACGATTACATGTTGATGTGTGATCGATCAGGCATCATGCGTGGGCGTCACGATTACATGCGTGATAGATGAGGCGTGCATTGCATGGCGTCACGATTCCATGCGTGATCGGTCAGGCTTGCGCGCGTGCCCATGCGTGACAAAAGAAGCGACGCCGGAACAAAGGTTCGGCGATGGAACTTCGTCCTGTCGCGCAAAGAAATTGATGAAGATGGGATGACAGTACTGGAACATCTGAGTGCCTGCGACGATCTGGTCGATGAGAAGGCACTTCTTTTTGTTTTGTTTAGACTCTCGTCCGCCAGGTCCTTGCAGACACTCAAATCTTCCAGTACTTTCATCGCGCCCCAAAAATTTCACGTGACTCGAGTGGGACTCGAACCCACGCCCTTTCGGACTACGGTAGACCCAGGCAATGCCTGATACGGATTAAGGTAACCTTAACGTAGCGCCTTAGACCACTCGGCCATCGAGCCATGTGGAGGGCGATCATCTTATAACAATATGACCACCGCCAGTACAAAGGCCAGATTGATTGCAGCTGCCGGGTTGTCCAGCGTCGCTGATGTCCACTCGACCGTGACCATCAAGAATTCGAGCCTCCCAAAGACCTACCTTTCTCCGTGTCAAGATGTCGGTACCGTACCGGTGACGTCCAAAGCCGATGGAATTGTTTTGCTGCGAACAGCTGCTGCGACGGCGGTCATCCAAAATTCGCAATTGGTGACGAGGTCGATGAGGATGACAGTGATGGTGGTAGCGGACATTGCGGATCGCTGGTGTTGATGAGGTGCCCTCGTCGAAGTCGGCTGTAAAGCGCCATTGATGAGAGGGGAAGGGATGTGCCCATTGGAAGTGAGCGCTTGGGCAGAGAGAGCGAGTGCCAGAGCGGATGGTGGGAAAAAAAGGGAGCGAAATGAGGCGCGCAATGGGTTGATGGTGGATTGTGAAGAAGAGCTGAGCAGAGGTCAGAGGCATTTATACTGACTGCGCGAAAGTTGCCAGGCGAGACGTAGCACGCACACCCAGACTTTCTTCGTCCGTAGGTCTGCGTGCCCAGCCGGCGACCGCCTGTCGTGTTGCTGCGAAGATTGTGGCACCGCAGTGCGGGTGCGGGTGCAAAAATTCCAGCTCCGACTTGTGTGCTGCTATCGCAAAAGGCCGTTGAAGGCAGACTTACATCGGAGACCCATTCACTGATTCCTGCTTACTTGTCCGCGATTGGGCTCAAGAATGTCATGATGACCTTGCCTGGACACAGGCGCGCACGCATCTTGGGTTGGCACGTAGCTACGGGCACCAGATACTGGTCCACGCAGCCTTCTCATGACTATCACGATCAAGCGCATCCATCACAATCCAGACTTCGGTGCGCGATCATCAGTGCACGGTCGATCCTGTGCGCGAAGATTTCGCGAAGACTACTCAGACACAGTCAGTCTTGAGCAGAGCGCGTGAGCTTGGGCTTGCCCCCCTTTCCCTTTCGGTTCTCTTCATTTGACACAGCGATGCTTTGTATCACCAAGACGAATTGAATCTTACCCAAATTAGCTAGCAGTCTTCGAGAAGTTCTCCCCGCCGCAGGGTCGGTGCGAAGCAATCTGCGCGAAAATGCGTACTCACAAATGCCCCGGGCTAACAGAGGAGGTCTCGCTGCTGGGCCTGCGCAATCCTAAGTGAATCTGCTCTGGCGCCGCTTCGATCTCGCGCATGACGCTCTTCGCAGCAAGTCTACAATGCGTCTGGCGTCCGTATCGCACAAGTGCGATTGTGCTATGGTCCGAGGACGCTCCGACCCGCCACAATGTAATGCTGAACTCAGAGGCTTCTGATTCGAGCAGATGCCCACAATTCTGGGCCTAAAAATTGTGCCGCATTCTCATGGCCCGCAAAAGATCCCAACGTGCAAACGTCACATTCGCTGTCAGACAGTATGACATCGTATGAACTATTTGATTAGCCAGATTAGCGCCTCGTCATGGCGCCCATTCCATCTCAGGGTCGCCTCCGTGCTGAAGCTTCCTGCTGCGCGCTAGCTCTGCTTTATCGGCGTACCGCCTCATCTCTCGCTCTTTCCTCTCCAGCTCCTCGACATATTCTCGAATGGAGCTGCGTAGAGCCTGCGCTAGCTCTCTCGTCGCAGTTGCAGAGGAGCTTCCATGTGGCGGTCTAGAATTTGGGTCTTCGGATTGCTGCAGAAGAGTGTCGATCAGGTTGTAGGGCAGCCACGAACTGCTTGCGTGCTCATCGAGACGCTTTGCCTGAGCCTAGGGAGGGAGTTGACACAGTCAGCAGCGTTCGACGGGACCAGACGTACATCGAAATGCGAAGATGCTCACCTCCTTGACCATACTATTTGCGTGCCGTAGAGCGTCGTCTAGTAGACCACATCGCATGCACGACTGCACCAACATCGTCGGCTGATTTTGCTGAAGTCGCGTAACGGGAATTTGTCGAGACGTAAGTGATCTGTGCAAGGGTGCAGTGTGCACTCTGCATCTGCTCACCTTGAACCAATCCAAGAGCCATTTCGGGATGAGGTGTGCGGCTCCGAGGCCAAGAACGCGCTCAAGCACCACGACTCGATACTTCCATTGTGAGGCGCGTGCGTCCTGAGCTTCCAGGTGCAGCTGTAGATATCTCCACGCTCGGTCCGCTGCTGGTCCTTGCCAACCAGCGCTTCGTTCAGCAGATATGAGAAACGCTGCTTCGCCTTCGTCGCCGTCTGCATCCTCATCGTCTCGCAGCTCCGCCATGAGAGGGTGCAAGGCCTTGGCTCCGATTTCGGACGACTGCTGTGCTCGTAATCTCGATTGACGGCCTTGAGCAAGGCCAACGCATTTTGTGGCAAGACTGTTAAAGATTCCGCTCATGTCCACCTGCAGTGCTCGTGCTACCGAGATTGCCTTGTCGTATTGATCGTTACGAGTGTACAAAAGTACCACGTTAGATGAGTCGAGGTGCGTCGCTAGCAAGGTATATCGAAAGTCTCAGCAGATTGCCCGAGAAACTGCAAACCGGATACTGAGCAAGACTCACCGGTCGTAGCGAATTCGGGGTAGAGCTGCAAAAGCTCGAGATGTGCCAGGGTCAGGCGATATCGGCGCTTGACATCACCAGCAGAGACGATCTTGATTTCCTGAGTCTGATTGCTCCACAGCTCGTCGGGAACGTAGGAAGTCAGACTTGTTTGACTCTGCCGTGGTTTGCGAGCCTGACTAGTGCTCAAAGTGTATGGCAAGAGATCATCTTCATCCTCGTCATGGCCTAACGCAGCGTCTCCGAACCAGGCATCCCTCTCGGGCACGAGAGCAAGCACGTTGCAAGCTGCGAGGTATGAACGTGCTTGCAGAATGGCTACTTCTGAAAACGCATCCACAGCTGATTGGGCAGAGAAGAGCGTAGATCGCTCACGCTGCAGACTGGCCAAGTGCTGAGCATGCTGATACATTGTTGCACCAGCTGACAGCGAGAAAGATGCAACGGAGGTCTCAGTCAGGACGAGTCTTGCGCGATGCCCCATACATAGCCGACTCACCACTCTTCAAATCACCGCGATGAATATGATAGGCGTAGAGGATGTAGTAATAGTTCGGTTCGCCTATAGGGTCCGAATTGCGTGCTTTGAAAGCAAGTGTGCGCTCCATCTCGGGTTGCAATGTCGGGAAAGAAAATGCAAGGAGTTGATGGACCTCGCCGGACTCGCACATGGCTCCTACAAGTTGCCTCAGCAGGTCGTTGAGCGACCTCTCGCGCGGCGCAGTCAGTAGCAGCGCATGAGCTCCTGCAAAATCGCCTTCTGACAGCCTGATTGCAAAAACGCGGGCGTGCATGTCGATACTGTGGGGCGTCGGAGGCAAAGACAGCGCCTTTTCTGCAAAGTAAGCGGCCTGGGACGGAGAAACAGTCATTAAAATGTCTGAAGTGTGTGCGTAGAAGGTCGCTAGCCTGGAGTCACCGGGCGTCGCTTCGCGGACTTGCTGTGGCAACAGCAGCGCTAAATCTGCGCCCTCCCCATCTTCGTCATCCCTCATGAACAGGTCGTCGTGGGAACAGAGCCACGTGGCTACTAGTTCGAAGGAATGAGAAGCGAGCCCGGCTTCACCCAGTGCTGCAAGGGCAGAACCCCGCGCGAAATGGGAAGCGGCGCAAGACTCGTACCTATCGACCATCGTGAGGGCAGCGCTGGGTAGGCCTAAGGAGAGGAGTTGCGCAGCAAGCCGAACATGAGGTTCTGTGAGGTGTGCCTCTGTTCGGAGGTCATCAATCAGCGTTTCCGCTGTCGCATGAAGGGCAGCAGGGTCGAGCCAGCGCGATTCACGCAGTAATTCTCCCGCTGCGGCTCCTGGATGCGTAGCGTCCAGTAGTGGTAGGAATCCACAGAGAATGAGGCGATGAAGCAAGCCAGATGTCGCGCCATGCAGCTTTGGGCGAGCCCGATGGAGCGCGGAAGTGTGTCTGGTCGCTTCCATGCTCATGTCTCCCAAAGCCTGCACAACGGCGTCGGCGTCATTGGGCTGCGCTTCTTGGAAGGTTTGCACATCGACTTCGGTCTCCCCGCTGATTTGGAGAAGCTCCACAAGAGTTCCAATGTCGTGTAAGGAGACAATTGCGCGGGCTCTGATCGCACGATGAGCTCCCGTGTCCAGATTGTCCAGAGGATCGAGCTGGGCCAGCGCAACAAGGAACAGAACAAACGACCGAGCCACCCTCTCGCGAGCGAGCAGTGATCGTTGAGTCGCGTCGGCTAGAAGGGCAGCATGAAGCCGCGTGGGGACTTCAGCCAATTCGCTCGAGCCAGACCTGCGGTCGCCAGTGCCACTGCAAAGAAGTTTGCCGAAATCATCTAGCGCCCGTAAGAGGTCGTCTCCAAGCGATGCGCAGACTTCGCGCACCGCGTGTAGATCGGCCATCTCGGGCTGTAAATCGAGCATCAGAGAGTCTCCGAGGTCCACAAGCGATACGTCAAGAGGTGTGACGGCATCCAACGCGAGCTCAAGATTTTTTTGGAAAGAGAGAGACGCGTTGGTACCCAGGGCAGCCTCGAAACGCGCTGCTGCTGTGACCAATTGCCAGTGGGCCCGAGTCCGGGCCTCGTTTCGTGAAAAGAGCCCACTGGCCTCGACTCGTTTCTGGAGATTGTCTTGCTCAATTGCCGCGCGAAGGACAGCTCTGCCCTTTGCAGCGGTCTTGCTATGCTCTGACTCGGCGCAGCGAGCTAGTAAGCTAGCGGCGTCCGGGCTCGACAATGTCCCGATTGCACCAGCGAGAAGCAGACGAGGAGTCGCTGTCTCGCTAGGGAGAAAGGCGAGCGGAGCTTGATCTTCAGCAGCCCGAGCTTCCAAAGCTCTAGAAAACGCTGTCCATTCTCGCGCGACCGCCGCTTGAAATGCGTCCGTTCGCCACGAACCTGTATGCGAGTCCGTCCGAAGCTGCACACCAGCTGCGACAGTCGACGCGATGCGTTCGGCAATGCTTTGGAAGACTGGCTGTCCGCGTAGCGCCGGCGGTCTTGTCGCTGAAGGATCCAAATTAGAGCTGAGTGCACTGGCATAAGTGTCCAAGGTGCTTGCCAAGTAAGGCGCAAAGCGCGAAGTGTGCAAGATGCGTTTGAGAAAGAAAGACGGAACGTCATCTGATGCTTCCAGCTCGCGGTCAAAGGAGGGGCCGTGCAGAGGTGGATGAGCTTGAGCCACGTACGCGCTCGACCAGCTACAATGCGCATCCTCGTTGTCCTGTTGAGGGGCTTCCATAGCATTGAGGGGCAGCCAGGCGATGTGTGCCGCTACCTCGTCTTCCCATACACCCCACAGGGTCTCGCTTGATGTATCTGCGTAAACCTCGTCCGTCTCTTCTTGCAGCGTGCCAAGGTGCATGTCTGCGAGTCGGATTCTTTTTGTTTCCGAGTCTTCCTCCCTCGTCCACGCGAGAGAGACATCCCCAACAGCGCCGGGAGCGTCGAGCAGGGACACGTCGAAGCAAGCAAAGAACCGCCTCGATGCCGCAGGAACGTGGATCAGCAACCGAATGTTGTGAGATGTCGAATATGCTTTGATTTGCGGCAGTGCGTTGGGAGGGAAGGATTGCAGAGGTTGATTGACGTCTGAAGGGTGCGCGGAGGCGGGCAGTGCGATCTCTCGAATGCAGGAGGCTGATATGATATCCCAAATCCGTAATCTGGCGTCTGCGTGAACGCTGAACACGAGCGAGACTGATTGAAGAGCAGCTGATCGCAGAACGATGTTCCTTTCACTTTCGTTGGAAGAAGAGCTCCTCGCGCTGGCGATGGAGAGTGCTGTCCGATCAGATGAGATGGGTGCAGGCGCCGAAGACGCGTTCTGGCTGTTGCTGGAGCCTGGCGAGGTCGGCGCAGGTCTTGCAAAGTACCTTGTCAATGTTCGAAAGAAAGAGCCCGCACGAAGATCCGTCGTCCTCCAAGGGCCTGGGTGTTTGAACATTCAGAGAGGCGGTAGCGCAGTGCGATTTCAGTCGCGCATCCACGTTTTCCCTTCGCATATACAAGTCGGCGCCGACTTACCTTCGAAAGCGCCGCTGCCATCCCCAGCTCTGTTCTGTTCCGCTATGAGAAGCCCATTAGCGCATTGCACGACGACCCTTCCCTCCTCGCACGCGTGTATCCTTTGCACCTTGTCCAAAGCCAGCTCTGCATGCCACTCTCGCTTGAGCTGCGCAGACTCTTTGCTTCTCGGGGCTGTATTAGGAACTTCGCGTCTTTGCGATCCGCCAGACGTCGAGTTTTCCTTTCTGTCGCTGTGAGGGCCATCGACCGTCGAAAGATCTGCAGCGGTGAAAGAGACGCGATGAAGAGCAGTCGATGTTGCTGCGACGATGTGAAGCGTCTGCCTCGCATCAATCCACACGCTGGGCTCTGGCAAGATAGGTGAAGGGAATCGAAGCAGGATGGGTTGTGCGAGTTGCGAGAAGGCGGGAGCTTTGCCATCTTCAGGTAGGCGCGAGGAAGGGATGAATCGAATCTCAAGAATCGCAGGTGGTAATGTTCGTAGAACGATCAGACTTCCATCAGCCAATCCGAGCGAGCTTCCAAGTGGTTGTTGAGGAGCCGAGGATGTCGAAGCTGGCACTTGCGACGGCACGCCCAACAGTCGCTGGCTTTCCACGTCACCGCTCCCGCCCAGTAGCCACAGCGGCGCTTGAGTGACATGAAGGAGCATCGCGAAACTCGTCTCGGGGAATACAGCGACACGCCCAGTGACCACTAAAAAATTGTCGAAAGGTTTGCGGACGCACTAATCATCGGTGGACGCAGTGCGTGTCGAGAGTCGAGCAGCGCGAAGGACGGGAGCGCGTCAGCGCGAGGGAGGTCTCGTCGCAACCAGGTGCGACGTCACGAAGTGGTGGCAAGTCCAATGGCGAGTCTGGTGAGAGATGCGCGATGTCGACGTGGTGAGCTTCGACCTGATGGCTACCTTTGACTGCGAAAGCACCGCTTCGAGCTCATCGCGCAACGGTGGTGTGTGCAACGCTCGATCACTCGTGCCTCACGACTCTTCATGATTCGCGCTCATGCACGCGTTCTGTTTGATGCGCTTCCAAAGCGCTGCACAGAAGAAAGTTCAGATGCCGTCACGTGACCTGCAGTGAACCCATTTTTGAATGCAGAATCAATAATCAGACAAGGATTGGCGGGCAAGAGAGGGAGAACATTCGACACGAAGTCTCAAGACTACTTAAGACTCGTGATTGAGATATCACCTGGCTCGTGGATAGCAAGCGCCTACGGAACCGTCACTTGCAACCGCCAGATGATGACGAGCCGAGCAAAGAGATGGAGAGGGAGGAGGCCCTTCGGAAAGCGTTCGCGGCGCAGTGTCGGGGAAGGAGCGCGTTCATGCAAGTGAAGGTTGACTTCCGATTTCGGTTGCATTGGGACTGACTATAGCGTGCTACTCGTACAAATGAAGGGGTACAGACGATGGTGGGTGAGGTTATCCTAGTCTTGCACCGTAATAGACGCGTGCGCATCGATGCTCTCGAGGTGTTTTTACGAGCATCCCGGGCACAAGTGCAATATCTCATGAACGTAGCTATCGCACTCTATGCAAAAGTGCGCTTCGCACACTTCGCAAGCGTACCTGCCTGTCGGAGATACAGTTGAACTTTGCGTGTTGTTGACGGCGGCGCCATTTGACCGGCCCGAGGTGAAAGTGGCATTACTATTCGCTGCGGCGGCCACAGCCGTATTGACCGCAGATGCCGCATTCCGAGAGTCGGGTCTGTTCGTGGATTGCTGCTGCGCTGGCCTCTTGGCGGCGTGGGGAAACGCCGAATCACATCCTTCACAGCAAGATGAAGCCGATGGATCCCGTTCGAGCCTTTGGAGATGCGCGAAACGATCAGACGCGGTCAGCAGGACTATCCACGCACAGTGATGCCTACAAACGAAGACCACTCACTCTTCCCAGCTGACAGGTCGATAGTACGGTGTCGGGAATAGGTGATGATAACTCCGGGCCAAGTGCGTGCTCAGCACCACAGTGATACCGCATACAGGGCAGTCTGTAGGCACATCGCATATCTTGGCTTCGCATCTCGGACATACAAAGCTGACTCCATGTTTTACCCGTCCATGACAAGCGCAAAGGGACGGTTTCGAAGACTCGGGCAACCGAAGTGGAAAAGCCATAGCGAGCAAGTCTGCCGTGGATTGATCGTCCTCTTCCGACTCCATCGCCTGATCTCCTTCTTTCTTCGTCTTGTTCGCCTTGGTAAGCTCGGGAGGGGGTACCAACTCGAAGAGCGCATCGTGCAAATGCCCTTCGTTCAGGGCCACTGCAAAGGAGCCTCCTGTTCGCAGACACACCGTCTTGCACACCTTGACTTCTGCAGCCAGGCATACCATGGACACGCGTATCTGCTCGGTCGCTAGCGTAGCAATAGTTGTGTGGATGTTTGAAGGGTCGCACGTGGTCAAACTGCCAAACAAGACCACAATTTCTCGCGAGGAGGAGGATGGCAGATGGCTGAGGCAGAAACGAAGCGCCGCTTATTCAGGCCACGGAGCTGGCACTCCCCTCAGCACAATGACTCACGACAGGTTGCTGCGTGCCATTTCTAGAGCGTTCTGCAAGCTGGGCTCGCCTTTTGGCTCCAGCCGTCGAGCATTCGACAAAGCAAGGGTGTGCTCCACCGCATTTCCTGAGTGAGGATGCATATGGTCGCCAACACTATGAGCGATAAGCATCCATTCGTAGTCCAGATACTGCAGACGTGGTGAGCCCCACTTACCGCCCAGTGGACCTATGCGCTCAGCTATCCCATCCCTCGTCACCACGATGCCTAATTGGCCAATCGGATTCTGGTCGAAGTACTCCGCCACAAATTCCTTGGCGTACTGCAGGCACAAAGCGTGCCTGCTGGGTCTGAGATCGCGCTCCGACATGCTCTCACTCAGATCGATGACCAACACCAAATGTCTGATGATTCCTCTCTGCACAGCTTGAGCAAGCGGTCTGGCTTTGCGCCTCTTCCATTCCAGGAGGCCTCTCACTGCAGCTTCGATGCCGCCCGACTCATCCTCCCTGACCGCATCCCAGCTGCGCTTGAAGCTGGCTTCCCAAGCGTATCCTTGCTTGCCTTTATTTCCCTTTCGTTGCTTTGATCGATTAGCCGATGATGGGCCGGCATCCGCGCTTGCGTGTTCGATTCCATTTGTCCGACTGGAAGTTTCTCTCCTGCCCCGGGTATCTAAGCCAGAGCGTTGCGCGCGACTGTTGCCGAGGCTGAAATCCGGCTCGGAATCTGATGCAGAGCCGACGAACTCGTCTTCATCGTCGTCTGCGCCGCGAGCCATGTCGATCCAAAATCAGACCTGTCGCCGATGCGTAATGTCGAGATGAGGAGTGTGTCAGCACCTTGCGTCGGCCCAGATTGAAGCGTCAGCAGAGGAACATTGCTCCTATCAGTGTAGCGCCTTCAAGAAGACCATAGAGGACAGATCCACGCTTGAAGTACAGGACTGAAGCATGATCAGACACCTCCGTGTGTTCACAGTAAGGCATGTATGCCACCATATTTACTCCGCACAGGCACGAGTGCACCTCAGCATAAGGACGGAAATAGGTTGTGTTGCATCGTGCGGAGCAGAGTGAACCCAACACGCAACAGAGACCACTCACTCAAGCAGCAACCTGGGGCCCAATTGAAGTGTGAGGTCCGAGCAGCACTGTGGTGATCACTTTTGACGTGTGACCAAGCTGAGTGAGCCAGAGATGTCGTGCGACTGCCGCTCGCGCGCTTCGGTGGTCTGCGAAGTAAAAGTCGTGGAGAGTACGATTGTCAGACCGCACGTATCTGCTGCATGGTTCATGGCTGGGCAACTGGGGTGTTTGAGGAGATGCGTGTGGTGGCGACGTGCACAGGGAGTCAAACGTAGAGTCAGAGTCACAAGTCGTCATGACTTGGGATGCTTTGCAACGCATACCTTAGGTGCTGAACGCGCGAGCGGTCTGTTGGACAATCACGTGACTTCCGCCAAAGCTTCGGGCAAAGCACTCATCAAACTCACACTGGCGGGAAGAGAAGGGTCGAGATTTTCGATTGCGTTGCCGGCGATGCGAGAGAGTCCGTGCACGCAAAATACCGCGACAACTCCACATGAACGACCTCGAGGTTGGCAATTTCGTGCCACCAGCGCATGCACGAGTTGCGCCACATATCAGCACCCTTATTACCACCAACTACTGGGCTTGAATCACGAACGACGAATGGAATACCATCGGTCACTCTGCTCTGCTCTGCGCTCCATCCATTCGACCGCCGCCACACTCAATCATCATGACGACTCCCGACCCTTCGGGCACTGCACACGAAATTGGCCTTGTGGAGGTGTGGGGTATCGTAAGTAAGGACATGTGCATATGCCCCTTTGCATTCATGGTACCGCGACTCATCCGCTCTCCATTTCGTCGTGACTTTTGCTACTTCTGCAGCCCTTCAGCACCTTCACGCGCACCATCACGAGCGGTCTTCACGAGCTTGGAGTGCCCTTCGTTCAGCATGCTGTCCCTCCTCACTCATCAGAGGTCAATTCGCGTTCTCCTTTTGGTTTGTTGCCAATCTTCAGACACGCTCCATTTCCACTCGGCGGCGTCGACGACCAAGATGCTCAGCCTTTCGAGATGTTCGAGACGCCCGCCATCCGGGCATACCTTGATCGAGAATTTGGGGCGTTGAGCAACGAGTCGAAACATGGAACAAAGTCGGCACTGTCGCCCCTGAGTCCCTTGTCCGCTCGTCAAGCAGCGAAAGTGGACCGCCTCGTTTCACTCGTGTGCACTCAGCTTTTTCAGACTCTAGAGCATGGCGTGGTGAAGCCTCGTCTAGCGATGGAATCTAACGGGGCTGACGAAGCTTCCATCGGCGTCGCTCTCGAGGGTAACCTGGACAACCTTGCAGCGCTTCTCGTAACGTTCGAGAAGCTCACCCATCACGACTTGGAAGCGGGCAAATGGATTGCAGGCACCGAAAGTCCTAGCTGGGCAGATCTATACGCCTATCCTCCCCTTGCTGACCTGAAGGCCACACCGGAGGTGAGTTCTGCTGAACGATATAATGGCGCGCACTGAGCTTAGCAACTGACCTTGTTGCGCGTATACGCGATTGAAGGGCTCGATTCTGGCTCAAAAAGCTCCAAAGCTGGCGGCGTGGACGGAGCGCATGTCTGAGAGATCTAGCATTGCGAAGACCTGGAAAGGCACGTTGGACTCGCAGCGATCAGACAAGGGCAAGGGAAGGTCGTAAGGGTGTGGGCCTGGGTCGACTCTCGAATACAATGCGGTGACGAGTGTTGTTCCGTGGGAGTGAGAGTGTGCTGACGGAGCGTGGTCCAGCAGTGTTCGTAGGCGCTGCAATATCAATACTATGCGCCCTCTGCTGTCGAGATAAGTGGGTGGGGGTCGATGCTGCCACTCGCGCTGCTCTTGGGCGTGCGATCCAACAACCCAGAGTCGGTGGGTACAGATGTGCTGTAAACAGACGAACCATTCGAGGCTCGAGGTAGCCCCTCCCTCGGCCGCTGAAGACTCGCAGCACCACTCGACCAGCTAGGTGACCCTCCGTAGCTGTCCGAGACCGTCCGAGAGAACGGAGCTCCGCCCGTGAATCCGGGTGTCAAGGGAGTGACTGGCATGACGGAGAGCCTGAGAGCACCCCGGTCCTGGACCTCCGCGCCACTCGAGTGCGACGCAGTCAATCCCTGCGCTCGCTCGCGTTCCGTCAATTGCCTAGCGAAGGCTAGACGGTGAAAGATGTTCAAGCTTTGAACAAATTTGCGTCCAAGCGAAGTAGTGCACAATGAGCTCAAGAGCTCGACCGACGCGCCTCTGACATTGCTGGAAGGATGCAATAGGCCCACCGCAATTGACGAAAGACTGCCTGTATGCGGCGCATGCAACGCCAAGAACTACGAACATGACGAACCCGAGTAAGCTCCGCATCTGAGCTTGTTCAAATTTAATTGCTCACCTCCGTGATCTGCTTGGGTGTTCGAATAGTGCTGCTTAATGTAGCAAAGATCAGCTCCGCCTCAGCGGCAGACATGTGCCGTGCACGCTTCAGCCTCTGCACTTGATGTTGCACATCGTAACCGACAATTGCCCTCAGTGAATCGCTGCGAATCTCGTCCTGGGCGATCAGGAGGTGTTGGAAAAAGTCAATCAGAGACTGTTCAGACAAAGCAGACAGCGTTCGAAAACTCACAGCACGGAATAAGCGACACGCATCGGTTGTCAGCCAGCCCGCAGCGCGCATATTGTTGGCTGAGATCTCCTTGAGCTCTGTGTCTCTGTCTGGGTAGACTGCGCCGCTGCCGAGCTGTCCGTTCAGAAATGGCTGGCTTGGCGGAAGACCAATGGTGATGTGACCATAGAACTGCTCTTGATGCTTTGCTACTGCGCGAGCAAACGAAAACGCGAAGTCGGTCCAGCGTGCCAGAAGGTATCGATCTCCGCAGCGAGCCGCAGCGGCATTCTGCAGCTCCTCGATGAACAGAACGTCTTGCGCATCTGGTCTGGTCTCTATGTTCACCCCGGTCCGATCTTTGCTAGAACCGCTCTTGATGCTGGAACCGCCTACAAAGGCAGAAGACGTATGACTGCTGGTTCCGCCCAAGATCTGAGAGCCATACTCGCCATAGTCACTCGATGCAGCACCAGACACCAGCGCATCGTGACCTAAGCCCGTGCTACCAGCCATGCTAGTAATGCTCCCGCTTGAAAACGTTCCTCTCGAGGGCTGTGGTGGAAGATGGGGTCGCAGGGGTGGAGCCGGCTCGACGTCCTTTGCGACTGTGACCTTTCCGGTATCCGTGTTGTACAGAACGTCCCAAGCGTGGAGATCCTCGAAGCGTGGATTCGTGACACCTGCGATGTAGCCGGGGCTGAATGGCGGTGTGAATGCCTGTAAGCGTTCAAGGCCTTGCGAAGCATGGGCTGCGATCACTTACGTGCGCTCCAGCTCGTCCATCATGCCTAGGTTGCAGTACGGAAAAGCCCTTCGAGTCAAGCCACGAAAGACAGCACCTCCACCGCTTGCCAAGGCGCAGGCAGAAAGCACGTGCGTCGCAACGGTATTTGCGGGCTGACCGTGGCCCAGAAAGATGACGCGCTTGCCTGTGGCAACGGCATTGAAGAGCATGATCAAAGCAGGCGTCTGGGAGCCGTTGGAGTGCAAATGTCCATGCATCGGCCCACTCGGCACGGATGAAGTCCCACAAAAAGCCGAGTGCAGCGACATCAACGAGTACTGAATGGGGGAGCTTGTCAGCACCTAGGATGCTGCACCGCGCCGTCTTGATCCCCACTCACATCGCCGACTTCTTCTGGAAAGGTGTGCAAGGGTATTCGCAGTAGCACCGACTTGCCCTGATAAGCAAGGCTGGTCTCGTAAAAATGCGTGTCTCGAACAGGAAGAGCTCCCTGGCTCGCACTGGTCACCGACGCCGACGCGCTGCTGTGGTTGCCTGCCATACCTGAGAAGAGAGTGGCCGCAGACCAAGAGCCCTTCCTCGGCCTGGATTGCGACGAGGTGAGGGGGGCGGCGTCAGGATCTGCCGGGCTGTCCAAAGCAGCTTTCGCTGAAGCGGAAGGTTTGCGTCGCAAGCTCGGAGAATGCTGCCTGAGCGATGCCGCGCTCGTCCTGCGTGGCAAAAAGGCCTTGCTCGCGACGGCTGGCGCAGACTGATCCGAGTCGTCTGGAGGGTCCACATCCACGATCGGAGGCGTTTGCTGGACGGTTCTACTCCCTATTGATGAAGACGGGCCGCCATCCGCAGCCGAGAGGAGGCTTGCTTTGCTGCCTTTTTGTTTCAGACTTGGTCGCGCGCTCTCCTCTTGAGTGATGACAGGTTCGAAGCGCTCGGCAAAAAGATCTCTCGAGTCGCTCGCTCTCAGGATAAGCTTTTCGTCTCTGCTCAGCTTGGGCATGGCGCTGAGATCCAGACTGTTGATCGCTTCATATAGCTTCGACAAGGGTTCTTCCCGCGGCTTGGCGAAGAAGTCGTCCAGAGCCAATTGTAAGACCGGCTGCAGAAGATGTGTCCATGCGCGCATCAGTTTGGCATGCTGGCGGTTGTTCTTGCCAAAACACGCACCTTGAATACCTGTATCCACGGATGCGAGGTGCCAATGGCCATAGCTCGCACAAGCGCACCTCTGTTGCAAGTCGGCAGCACCTCAGTACGAGCGACAGCGGACAGAAGCGGATCCTGACCACTCACCTCCTGACAGTGTTGTCGTGCTTCGTCCTGACCAGATTGAGCACGTGCGTGAGCTCACCGCCTTCGTCGGCGTCACTCAGCTCTTTGCTGTGCCTCCGCTTCTCGTCAGGATCTGTACTACTCTGACTCGCTGCCAGACTTCTGAGTGGCCGTTTGTCATCCAAGAAGAAGACCGTCCAGTCTTCTGCTCTCGCGTGAGCACCGTCAGGTAGCATCAGCTCCGCGAGCATGTGGTCGTCGTGCTCCAGAGGCGCTGGATACTGGTAGGAAAGCGTGCTGCCCTTGTCAATGTTAAATTCCGCCAGCAGCACGAAGTGACAGTGTCTGGCGCTCCCCGAGCCTCCTTTCTCTGTCGAATCCATGGCGGGGGCAACCAAGCTGGGCGTACCTGATTCGGGATCGTTCATGCGTCTAGATGCCGCAGAGGTCCCTTCCTCAAAATTGGACACTGCTTGCGCCGGTAAGGGAGCAGCGTGTCCGGCAGACGAAGATGAAGGGGATAGTGTATCGCTCGCGGTGCCTCCAATGGCGTGGGCAGCGGGCCCAGGTATAGAGTCGAGCGAGAGCTGCTGGGGGGTAGCACTACCGTTCGTGCTTGGTGGAGTGGGGTGGCTTAAGGCACCCAGAGCTTCCCGCGAGGATTTGACGCGCAGTCGAGAGACAGGCTGCGCAGCGTTCGATCTCCCAGGCGAACGAGGCATTTCACTCGCCCTTCCCTGATGAATGTTCGTTGACTTTAGCGCCATTTGCTCATTCGCAGCAAGGATATCGACGGACCGACGTGTGCCGGAACTCTTGGTCGAATTTAGCGGGACTGAGCCCGACGAGGCGCCGATGGAGACCGGCGGAGTAGACATTGCGAGGGCTCACGTGCGTATGCCCTTGCTTTGGCTTGTACACCACCTCCAGCCGGTCTTCGTGTCACTCGTCGAGCAGACACAGTAGTAGCATCGGGAAGGGAAAGTCAAAGTGCGCAATGAGTCGACAACGGGAGGGACAGCCGCTGGCGATGCAGTCGTCAGTCGTGACAGTGGTTCAAGAGTGGGGCGAAAGAGTTGAGATGGTGTCAGCTAGGAGATCTTAATCGCGGATCCAGACTTTGATGCGAATCAAGCACTCGTGATTCACATTCAAGGATTCAGTGCGAGTCCCGGCTGATGCTGCTGCACCAGGAAGGAACGAACGAACGCGAGGCGGGGTAGCGGGGTCAGGTGCGCGCGTGAATCTCGAGTGGCTCGAGCGCCCCTGCATGCGTGCCAACATGTACAGTATATGTATGGAGCAACCTCCGCCGCGCACACGCCGCTATTAAGACTTTGCGCGATTCTAGCCTGACGACTCATTTCAGCTGCATCCCTAATCTCAAAGGCGGAACAGCAATCATGATCAAATGGTTCACGGAAGTATCACGTCCACTGAATACATTGCTATTCCGTACTTCTTTGCAAGGATCTTGTCGCGGTAGGCTTAGTTTAGCACGCCATGCGGAGCGCACTTCGAACATCTCGAACATGTCGAAGCGATGGTGGATTGGCCAGGGGGCCTGACAGGTACTGACTTGGATGGCCTGCTTTCAAGGTACTGGCGACCATGAGCTCGTTCGCACATCCGTGGAGGCTATTTGCGAAAAGTAACGATGGCGTATTAGTGCTGGATATTGCAGCTGGCGTGTTCGGAGCACTCGAGCGCTCAAGGTCGTCATGACGGCTGTGTGGTCAAAGCAGCAGCTTGGTCGGCTGCAACTACGTCCGAGTACAGCGGCAGCTCCAGATTGGCTGTGCGCATGTCCTCCTGATTAGGTAGCGTACTTGGTCAACTACGGACGGGCTCCCTTACGCGAGAGCTCTGCTACTCACATCCACCAGCGTGATAGATCTGCCGAGCAGCGCCGTCTGCGGCTCGTGCTCCACGGCAGAGCCACCGTCCTCAAGGCTAATTAGTCTCCATTCTATACGCGCTTCGATCTCGTGAGAAAATCTGATCTCGCTCCTCGTCTCCTGGAGCGTTGAAGGCTGCCACTCCCACTTCTTTGCAGGGCCTGTTGAATCGCCGTTGTGGTCATCGACCTCCAATGGGGGTGTCGGAAACAGAGCTTGCAACCATACAGACATCGAGGCTCCACCGCACACGTTCTCTAATTTGGCATTGTTCACCGGTGAGCTGTCGATGCCAGATTTTTGGAGATCTTCGAGGCGTCCGTGGCAATCGCTGTTCCCATTCAGGGTTTCCGACACGCGTGGCTCGCTGCTACCGCCACTGGCCAGCTCCGCTGGTGTGGCCTCGCAGTCTAGATAAGGATCAGGTGGACCATGCGTACCGAATGAGGAAGAAAGCTCCCTGCTCGCTCCAGCATCTGAGCTTGGATGCAGATGTGACGTGCCGTGGATCGGGAGTGATGAAGACGTAGCAAGCAGAGGTTGAGCTGGAACCTCGGTGAGCTCGTACTCTGCAGGCGCGAGGCGCATCCACTCTGGGCGAAAGTCATGATGGTAGCGGTGACTGCTTTGTTTGCCCGGCTGGAGCGTTTGTCGACACTCAGCCGGGATGGCGCACTGATTTGTCCACTTGCACAGGCTCGACTCCAGCCCTTTTCCTGTCCTGACGCTCAAAGGCGCAAGATGGGCGTTCGGTCCATTCCAAGCCCACATTTGTCTAAGTAGCAGATCAACACGTTCTATGCGGACATAGCAAGGCTCAGTCGGCTTCGGAGACGAGTCTTGCGGGTCCACACGTATTCGCAGGCTGAAGCAGCCGCCAAATCGAGCATTGATACTATCGAGCGAAGCGCGACACTCAAAGCCGGGCGGGCGTGCTATCAAGGGCAGCAGATTCAGGTCTAAAAAGTTGAGTCGGGACGGACCTTCAGTAGAAGGACTGAGAGGAACGCAAGCAGTGCCTACGTCAGCCAAGCGCGAGGAGCACACCGCAAGCACTCTATTCGTCGGAATGGTGACTTACTGGACGCCGAGCCGCACGCTACATTTCTTGCTCGATGTATGCTCACTGGAGGAGGCTTTCAGCCAGCCCAGGCCCCTCGACATAAAGCTTCGACTGTATGCTGGCACCTGAATAGCCTCGACGGAGGCAGCCGCATGCCTTGCGTCTAGCTCTGACTGACGATCCGCCGTCCATAAGGGCTCCAGTGATGCGTTCGGACTGGGATCAGAGCTGCTGACGACCGTAGCAATGACCTCATAGGTGATCCACTGGTACCCGTTGCACTGCGTCGGAGGAGCCCATCTAGGAGGAGTCACAGTAAAGGCAAAGCTGAAAGCTGGACTCGTGAGCCTGTGGTGCCTTTCGAGCGCTCGTCAGAAGGGAATGACAACTCACATGTGCTCGCCCTTTTGAAGCTTGAGATTCTGGTTTTCGGGCTTGATCAATGGCTTGTCAATGAATACGTAGTGAATTTGGGCATCCGTCTGACAAATGACGTTAGCTGGTCTGGCGCGCGAACTCAAGACCAGCCTTCCAGCATCTCCAGCGCGAGGCGGATGGTCGAATTCTCTGACCAGTGCCACTTTTGGAATCTGTATGCCAACCAGACGGACGCGGAGCGTGCTGACGATGCTCGCAACTGGCAGTGTGAATGACAAATGACCCTCGATAGGCGCGCGGTCCGACGAAGTCCTGTTGGTGGACGTGCTAGAGGCGGCGTGAAGCGATGCTGCCTCTTGCTCTGTAGCAGCCAACGAACGAGGGCAGTGGATGTACAATCCTTGCCGCGACAGTTTCAGATCAAGTCTTTGCGCCATAACGAGCGGATGCGATCGGGCCAAGGGCCGGGCTTGGAGGAGATGTGGATAGCCTTCAAGGCGCGATGTGCGTCTGAGCTGTGTAGCTGCGTGACTGTGGCGATGCACGCCGTAGGCGATTCAAGTGTCACCAAGTACTTCCGAGCTGCTCATGACGATGATGGCGTGGCTCTGAAGCATGTACGCTCATCGCCAAGTGAAGAGCGAGGCTTCACGTCCGAAGCACGTCTCCTGCGGCGGTCGATCTTACCCGGGTAAGCCATGCAGCTCACAAAGCGTGCTCGAGGCGAGATCGTGGTCCTGCGCATGAAAGAAAACGTCACCTATCAAGAAATGAAGTCGCGAGTTCATCGCGAGTTCACAAGGGCGGGACGGGCATTTCGCGGCCTCCATGCATGGACGTGCACGCCGCTTAAACATAGTCGATCACGTGTTCAATGCGTCTTTCAGTCAGGTTCTCGCGCGGGATTTTTTTGCTTTGCATGGCGGCTTCACAACTTGCACACGAATTTGTCCTCGACCTCTCGATGTCAACATCAATCGTGAATCGTGTATCTCGGTCTCAGTATCCAGCTCCAAGGAAGACGATTCCACTTCGAAACCACATCCCCTTTCCGGCACCTGTAGGCCTTAGCACTAGCTCGCACCCCTCAGGCGATCATGCCTCCTTCTGCATCATTCCCCGCCAAGAAGGCGAAGAAGAAGCCGACGCGCGAAGCTGCATTCAGAAAAGCATTAACAGCAGAGAAGGCGGCGCGGTCGGCCACGTTGGCAGCATCCGGCAAGGTGGCGTCAGCAGTGACGAATCCAGCCAAATTGCAAGCCAAAGCCAAGGCCAAGGCCAAAGGCAAGGACCGAGAGTTGGCAGACGATCCTCATCCATTCAGGTATCGCTCCTTCAACGATCGGCTCGCCACCGCTCACATTGGCGCATCCAAGACCGCCCGCAAGCATGCGCTCGCGGGACTCGAAGCTCACGGCCCTTTGGCTGCAAGCTCATCCTCTTCCACTTCGCACAGGCTAATGGACGTGGACGATGATCTGGATGACGAGGCTACAGCCGATGCGGTATTCTCCGAGACTTCGTTCGGCCGGGCGCTGGCGGGCTGGCGAGAGCTCAACCTTTCTCTGCCGTTCACCTCTTTCGCTCAGCAAGCCGCACCACTGGCGCAAACGCTGCCGCTCTTGCTACATCACCGCGAGAAGGTATCATCGTTGCTGGCAGACTTGCTGACATCCCACCACCCCGATGCTTGGCTGGCATACGACGCTGCCATCGACCTGGTGCCTCGCCTGGCTTTGGATTTGCAAGAGGAGTCCGAGCCAGTCTATCCAGAGCTGCTGGGCGCCCTGCTCCACGCAGCCACCCTGTCAAAGCATCAATGCAACCAGGACGAGCGTCTTGCGGCTCGACTTGTTGAGAATGCTTTTGATTCTGCAGCAGTAACTCTAAGGGTGGTAGCGCCTCTGCTCCTCAGACAAGAGGATTCAAGACATTTGCTGGCCACGTGGGATCTCGTAAAGCCGTATCTTGGCTGGTACAGCTCAGAGATGGGCTCTGGCCAGTTCCTTAACCGAGCCACAGAGCGACATGTTGATCAAGATGACGGCGACGATGACCATCTCGAGCGCGACGGCGAGCAAGAAGCGGAGGGCGACGCCGAAAGCTCAGCGGGCGCAGAAGATGCCGCGGCAAGGGATGTTGAAGCTGGCGACGACGCCTCTAGGCCGCGCAGCCGACCACGCAAAGTTCCATCATATACGCGACGCTTTGCAGCGGAGGCCCTGGCGCATCTTGCTCGGAAGGCACGAGAAACGCAGCTGGACAACCTGGCGAGCGCTATGATTAGGGATGCGTCGGCGTTGTCGAGCGCCACCTTCACGGTCGGCGTGGCGGCAGTGTGGGCAGAAGTCTGTAAGGTGAGGCTCTTGTCGACTTGATGCCACGTGTAGCCATGTGCTAGTTCCTGATGACACTTCATGACTTTTTCGGTAGGCTTCCGATGGCCGTTTGCAGTCTGGCGCAATTGCGGTGCTCGAGCGGCTGCTCGCGTTGAGATACTTGAAGCCCGACCTACTCGCAACCTTGCAGCATGTATTGGTGCTGGTGTTGGTCAATCTTACGCACCAGGTGTATTCGAGTCACCTTGCACAGGTGGCTGAGATGCTCATCACTCGCGCGGCCTCCACCTTGAGGTCGTTAAAAGCGTGTTCAGATCAAAAAGCAGCAGACACGTTGACTTCGGAGCTGGCGCATCTGTTGCAGCTAGTGGGTGCCTATGTTGGGGTGAGGAAGGGAAAACGCGTTGATGGTGAGTGTCTCAGCCTTGGATCGATTTACCAGGCAGGCAGCAAGGACTCTCATCACTCTTTCCTCTCATTCAGATTCTTTGAAACCAACGCTCTTCGCCTTTCTGCTCGAGTTCTCGGAATGGGCGAGCCATTACCACAGCTCTACGAATGTAGCAAGGCGGCTCTTATCACAGCGCTCTGTGGAGCTCCTGGCCCTCTCACTGCCGCTTGGCCGCATCCAAGATCTGGTGGGTCGAGGGATCAAGATCATAGATGCTTTCGGGGCAGCGCCTGTACTCTCGCCTCACTTCGCAGCGCTGGTCATGGCTTTGGGCTGTTCCGAGATTACTTGGTCAGGCTTCAAGCAGTTCGTGATGCCAGCTGTCATGCGCCTCACGACCGCCGCTTTGACGTCACCAGCTGACGGCGGTCAGCAGGCCTCTGCTCTTGCACTATTGGATGAGCTGAATCGGCAAGGGAGTCTGGGCGAGACTATTGCGTCATCTGCAGCAGCACCTCATGTTGCCAATTGGTGCAGCAACGTGACTGCAGCTGTGAATGATCAGCTGTCATCGCTCGTTTTGCGCGTCGAGCAAGTCGCAAGAAGCGAGCAAGTCGCGGTCAATGCTGTCGTTCAGCCGGTCGACCTTGCCGCCATCCGATTATCGCCGACTTTTGCTCGGCTGCAAGCGCGCTCATTTACAACATCGCTGCAGCGTCTTGTTTCAGCGGCGTTGCAAATTGGCTTGAACAGAGATTGGAGAAGCTCGCCACTGAATGGTCTGCTCATCGCTGCCCTCGCCATGGACGCGCTTTCAGACATTCTCGACTCGGACGTGAGCAACAAGGATGCAGGTCAGCACCTTTCCTCTCTTCTGGGTTCTGAGGGAGCAGTTACTCTCGTGTTGTCTCACCTAGCCGATCATCATCTCGCGTTTTGCGCGGCTACGAGACTAATGACCACCGCACGAAGCAAAGGGATCGAGTGCGCAAGTAGATCGCCTCCTTCGCTGATCTACCTCAAGGACGTGGTGGCGAAGCACGCGGCTTCGTCCGATGCACGAATGCGAAGCGCAATCGCAGATTTGCTGACAGCATCTCCCAGCCCGATCACGGACCTGCTGTCGATGATATCAGCCATCGAAGCACTTCCATTGACGATCGAGTGTATCCGGGATCGCAACGTGCGTACGAGGGCGCTTGTTAGAGAATTTATCCGACTCGGCACCCCCACTGCTTCCGATGCTGAGCAGCACGCACTGGCGGTAGACCTTATCGCCAGGTACCTCGTAGGAATTTTCAAATTAAATTTGAGCCCGCTGTGGCCCGAGGCTCGAGAAGCGCTAGTCGAGTTCTCGACCAAATACGGAGAGCAAGTGTGGGCGGTCGCATTCAGGGAGCTGCAAGACACTTGCCATGGTCCACAGACTCCGACCGACTGGACGGCGCCAACGCAGCTGCCCCAAAAAGACTCGGGGCGTTCTGAACCATCCATTTGGTTTGGCGATCCTCAAGATAAAGAATTTGACGACCCGCAGCTTCGCGCACGGCTGTTTGCAATAGCGGCAGTCTTGAACGCCGCATTGCAAGATGGCGCGCACAAACGGCAGAGGATGATGCACGAGTTAGGAGAGATTCAATCCATCGAGGGACGACTAGATGTTCAGAATTACCACTCTCAAATCTTGAAGCTCTTGGTGCGTCTCCCACGTCTGGTCGAAAAACACAATGCGCCTCTCGTGGAGCACTTCCTCGCTCTGGTTCAAGATACCGCAGCCATCACGGATGATGAAGACGAAGAAGCATTCCAAGCAAGTACAGCCACATCGAAGTCCGCCGAGACGCCTCGCCTGGGAGCTACATCCAAGGAACGCCGCGCGCGTCTGTGCAACTATCTGGAGCTCTTCTCGCAGTTCACAAATCCAAAGGCCCTTTCGCGCGCGGAAGACCTGCACCGGTACTTCATGTCGTTGTGCGCAATAGGCGATCCAAGCATACAACGTTCTGCGCTCGAGTGCGTTCTCACGTGGAAGGATCCTGCACATGTCCCTTACGCCGAGAACTTGCTGGCTTTGCTGGAGACGTCCAAATTCAGAGAAGAGCTTTCTTCTTTCAATCTCGCCGCTTCTGGTGACTCTATCCAGCCTGCGCATCGAAGTGGGCTGCTTCCTGTGCTCATCCGCATCTTGTTTGGCATCATGGTATCAAGACGCAACCGCAGTTCTTCCGGGGCGGGCCAGTCAGCACGCAAGACTGCCATCATGGCAGCCTTTGCAAGGCTTGCAGCAGAAAACCTCGGCACGTTGGTAGACCTAATGCTCGCTCCCTTTGCAGATCAGCGTGTCGTTGATCTGCCTGCGGACGAACAATTCAAATTCAGCTCTACCGCCAGCAGCGCCTCGCTCCGACGACAGAATGGATTCATCGCCCTCTTGGCAGACGTTATAAAGCACGTCAGCCAAGCAATGCGACCGTACTGGCCCCAGCTCATCAGCGTAACCTTCAATTTGGCGCACCACGCCTCCCTAGCAGCCGAGAAGGCAGAAGGCTCGACCAAAGCTCTGCGCAGTCTTCGGCAGGCCGGTCTAAGGCGTATTGCAGAATTCTTCAACCAGCCCGGCAAGGATCTCTTCAATTGGCAGCCCTTCTTGCCTGCACTCTTTGAGGGCTTCATTGACCCTCGTTTGCCGACTCTGCCAGCGGACAGTGCACAGGGATTTTCAGCTCTGCTAGATCTGTTTTACACTTGGTCAGGTCGTCTGGAATTTGTGCATCTTCTGCATTCTCAATACAACGATCGGCTGCTCCCAAGCGTCTTTGCTTGCCTTGCAGAGCAGACAGTCAAGCCGCCCGTCATCACGCGTATACTCGACATTGTCGATCGCCTTCTCGTCATCTCCACCCTCGAAGTGCAAGATGGAGGTGAAGCCGAAGTGGATCGCGTCCTCAGACCTAATACCACTGCATTTCTCAACAGCATCCGCCCTTTGATGCAACGGCACGGATTGACTGGAAGCTCTTCACCCAGAAGTACTGACGACTCTGTCCGCCGCCTGATACAGATTCTGGCAAGCCTGGCGCGCTATGTCGAGTCGCCCGAGGACGCATCGCAACTTCTGAAAATGCTCGGCCCCATGCTCCAAAAGAGCAACCACGCCGTCCCCGAGCGGACAAAGACGGATTTGCTGCGCATCTTCCGTGACCTTCTTGCCCTCACACCGGACTTTAAGGATCCAGCATCTGAGATTTTCACCGCGCACTACCACATCTTCTCGGCAGCTTTTGCCACGATGCGGTCCGCAGAATCTCGTCAAACATTGGTGGCGGCGTTTGGGCAGTTCGCTAAGATCGATACGAACCTTGCGCGGATTGCACGCTGGATAGAAGAACTCAACGCTTTCAGCACGCGTCGAGTGGAAGAACCCGATTTTGACAGGCGCCTCGAAGCCTTTGACGAGATTACGAGCTCCAAGCAGGACATTGCGCTGCGCGAATGGGTGCCGCTTTTGCAGAACATGATGCACTTCATTCAGAACCAAGATGAGCTTGCTATCAGATCCAACGCTGGTCAGCTGCTTCGTGTGTACCTGGAAGCAGTTGCTCGAGCCTCGGCCAGCGACGCGGACGGTTGGCGTCATACATATCGCACTATTGTACAGCCTGGCCTCCGGCGCTGCATACGTTCAAAGCACGAGCTGGTCCGCCGGGAAGTGCTTGGCGTGTTGATGAGTGCGATCGAGTACTTAGGAGACTCGTTCGACTCACTCGGAGACATGAAGTGCTTGTTAGCCGACGGCGATGAGGAGGCAAGCTTCTTCACCAACATCTATCACACGCAGCTGCACCGACGCGCTAGAGCGCTCAAACGTCTGGGGGATCAAGCTGAGGCGGGCAGAATACGCGGCAAGACGATTGTAGAGCTGCTGTCACCACTTCTCATGCACTTCCTGATCCCAGGAAACGCTGTGAGCGATCATAACTTGATCACCGACACCATCGTCTGCTTTGGTCGGCTAGCAGCCCAGCTGCAATGGGGCTCTTACAACGCTTTGCTCTGGCGATTCTTGCGTCTGGCAAACGAAACCGAAGGCTCCCAAAAGATCTTCGTCCGTGCAGCCATGGCTGTGCTTGACTCGTTCCACTTCGAGCTTGACGCACAGGTCTGCGGCGATGACGCTGCAGAGATCATCGAAGAAGGCGAACAGGATGCTGAGAACGAGTTCAAAGTCCAAAGTACGATGCACAATGACGCTGCGCAGCAGTCCGGCAAGATTCTAGATGCGGTCACGTCTCGCTTACTTCCAGCATTGATGGGCTATCTCGATGAGAAGGACGAGGCGGATGACGCGGTCAGGCTGCCTGTGGCGATCGGTGTGTGCCGCGTTGCGCTGTGCCTCCCAGAGCCGTCCAAGTCAAATCACATAGCAAAGTTGCTCACAACGCTAGCAAACGTGCAGAAAAGCAAATCGCAAGTCACGCGCGATCTTGGCCGCGATTCGCTCTGTAAGGTCATGACTGCACTTGGCCCCAAACACTTGCCCACTGCCATGGGGGAACTAAGGCGTGCGCTCGTCAGAGGTACTCAGCTTGCGGTACTGGCTTTCACGGCGCACGCTCTGCTGGTTCACTTGATGTCCCTGCCTGCGGATGCGCCTGCGCATCTCAGCCTACTTGAGCATGGAGTGGGAGATCTGGTTCATGCGGCAACCGAAGATATCTTTGGCCTCACTGCGGAGGACCGTGTCACCGTGGAAAATCGAACGAAGCTCAAGGAGGTCAAGCACAGCAAGAGTATGGATACTTTTGAAAGGCTTGCAAAGGTGGTCGCACCTCTTCAATTTGGAGTCCTTCTGGAGCCTGTCCGTGACGTCCTCGCCGAAACCGAGGCTCAGAGATCTTTGATAGCCGCGGAGGACGTGCTGCGTCGCATCGCATCTGGTCTAAATGCAAATCCACACTTTGGCGCGGAAACGTTCTTCACTCTTTGCCACTCCCTAATTGCCGGCAATGCGGCTTTTCTCCAGCCGCAGAAGAGCGCAATGAACAAAGGAGGAGCCAAGCTCAAAGGAGGCTACCGCTTCATTACACACATGAAGAGAAGGGATGTCGAGCTTGGGCTAGCTGCCCAAGACCATAGGGCGCGCAACGCTCACCGCTTTGTCGCCTTCGGTCTCGACCTTCTAGTCACGGCTTTGAGACGAGAGCGATTCAAGGATGCAGCGAGCATGCTAGCTGTGCGCCTCGATCCTTTAGTCAACCTCGCGGGTCACACTCTCTACGCCCCGCAAAGCTCAATCGTCGTCCTGAGTTTGAAAGCGATCAGTGGCCTGGTCAAGCACGACCTGCCTTCGCTCGATCAAGCTGCACCCGTCTTCGCCAAGCAAATACTCGCAATCGTGCAGCGCGAAGGCACTGCCCAGTCGACGATGGGCCAGGCAGCGATCAAATGCCTGACCTCGGTTTTGAGAGGCTGCCAAGACGCACAATTGCCCGAGCAGCAGCTGGCAGATCTCCTGAAAGTGGTAATCCCAGAATTGGAGGAGCCTTTGGCCCAATCTGCCATCTTCGCACTTTTGCGCGGCATCTTGTCGCGCAAGATCATTCTGCTTGAGGTGTACGAAGCGATGGACAAGATCGCGGAAATACTGGTGACGAATCAAAGTGCGACCGTGCGCGACTCGTGCCGAGCTGCGATGATTCACTTCATGCTAGAGTACCCGCTAGGCAAAAGCCGTCTGCGCAAGCAAATGCAGTTCATGGCGAAGAACCTGTCGTACACGTACGAAAGTGGGCGGCTCAGTCTCCTTTCCCTGCTCTCCTCAGTGCTCGCCAAGTTTGACATGGTCGTCATCCGGGAACACGCCGACTTACTCTTCGTGGCTTTGGTAATGGTGCTCGCAAACGACGATTCAAGTTCTTGCAGAGAGCAAGCAGCTCGGCTTATCGGTGTTCTCTGCACCTTGGTGGACGAAGAGCATCGCGGACGAATGATTCACCTCACTCATTCCTGGGCAACGCAGCGCGAGCAGTCGCAGCTCATGAGAGTAGCCATGCAGGTCTACTGTATATTCTTAGGTGCTGTTCCAGAGTCCGCCAGCGAGTGGCTGCCGCGTGCGCTGTCTAGTCTTGATGGTACACTGCAAGCGTGTGTGTCAGATCTCGTGGACGCCGAACACGACACAACGTTCGACAATCTCGGTGATCCAAAGCAATTGGACTGGCAGCTCGCTTATCAGGCTCTACAATTTGCAGAGCAGCTTCGCTCGGGCCAACAAGCCCTCGATATCCTTGAATCTCGCTCGACATTTAGCATCTGGCGATCCACAGTCGGTCTCCTCCTTTTTCCTCACGCATGGGTACGACTAGCGGCCAGTCGGTCACTAGGCTCGCTATTTGCGTCCGCGCCTGCTGCACAGCCAACCGAGGATGAGCCACTCAGTCTCGAGTTCATGATCGAAATCGCAAGAAAACTAGCGCTACAGCTTCAAGCAGATGCAGAAGAGGTCAACGATGAGCTCAGCCTTCAAGCGGTGAAGAACCTCTTGTACATAGGACGCTGCTTTGCTCTTAAGCCTGCTCACGACCGTGGCTCTTCGATCGAGCGGACGGAAGAGGCATCCGCTCATGACGAGGGCGATGACGAGAATGAAAGTATTCCCGAGGAGCAAGACAATGCGGCGGCAAACCCTCTAGCCTGGCTTTACACGAAGCTTTCGTTCACAGCGAGAGGGGCGAGACTCAGTGCTGGCAATGCGGAGGTGAGCTCCAATTCCTGCTCTGCCTTGCTTACTTGCACAAGCTGACCAACTCCTTTGCGAACTCTGTGCGCAGCCTCAAATCAATCGTGCTGCCTCTGTGCTGCGCTGGTTTGCAGCAATGGCTACGCAGCTTGAGTCCTCGCGCATTGAACCATTTCTGTCTCACATGATCGGACCGATCTTCCGCATTCTGGATGACGAGAGTCTCAAGGCGGACAGATTTGGTGAGCAGAAATTGTATGCAGTTAGGCCGTGCATTCCAATACTGACCCCTCCTGCCTGAATTCCAGATGAGCTCAAGTCTCTCGCGATGGAAGTTCAGGAGCTTCTCCAGGCGCAGCTTGGAGCCACTAGGTATGCCGCCGTGCACTCCCGCATCAAGCAAGCGATCCTCGAGAAGCGCCGCGAGCGCAAGACGGCAAGGTTGATGCAAGGCATCAGCAATCCCGAAGCAGCAACAGCCAGAAGAGCGAAGGAAAATACGAAGAAGCACGAAAGCCGGAAGAGAAAGAATGCGAAATTTGCGTAAGTGGTTGCGAGCGTGTTGCGAATTGTAAGGGCCGCGTAGCTTGCTGACGAGCAGCTATCGTCTTCTATCCCTTCAGAGATACCAAGATGCGCAACAAACCCTCCAAAAGATCGCGGGTTAGCTAGGTGTGCCCCGTCTTACTCTACTTGTATTTGTACAGCGAACCGCGGCAAATGCCAGCAGGCACTCCTCAAGTATGTCTGCAAAAATCTTAATCTATATTCGTGCGTGACGGCATCACGAGGTATGTGAGCGGGATAGGTCGAGACGATAGCACGTTACAATAGTAATCATTACAAATGCGTGTGGTCTGTGTGATGTCGGAAGCATTAAACAGGGGCATGATGACGATCTATTCTGTGGTTTATGGTGATTTGAAACCCGGAGCAAGTAAACATAAAAGGGTCGCGCAGGGTCGTGAATTGATGTGAAGGTCGCGTTCTTCCGAGTTGCGAACGTCTCCACAAAGTGAGGAGCTTCAGTTCTGCAATCGTCTAGGCTGCAAAGCTTGTCCAACGACGTCTTGCGGGTGCCAGGCGGCCTCTTCCCGATAAGCTTTGATGGCATCGACACTCTGCTCAGCAGCTTCGAAGCCGATCTTGATCATGCGAGTATGCAGCTCGTGCTCCCTAACGTAACGCAGACCTTTGGCAGTGGAAGCGATGGTCAGGTCCAACATCCTAGACCGAAGGGCGAACTTTTTGTCTATTGCAGCTACAGTTGTGCTCAGTTGCCTCGTCAGACGGGTAAGAGCGCTAGGGAATGGTGATCGCTTGATTGCTCGCGCGACGTGTGACACGAGATGCTCTTGGCGTTGACGTTCAGGTGCGCTATCAAGCTCAGATTTCTCGTCGAGAGAAGCCTTTTGCTGTCGCTGCATGTGCGTCCCTGACGTGCTTCTTGAATTAGGAGGTGCTGCAGCTTCTAATTCGAGAGGTTGTGGGCGAGGCGACGAGGAAGGACTCAAACCAGCCGCGAGCTGCTTGAGCATAGCGCCACCTGCAAGTTTTGCCAGAGCTAATGGACCTTCCCATTCTTTGGGAATGGCAGTTTGCGGCCCCTCGGCACTCGCACCTTCGTCGTGGTCCTTAGTGCTCGCTGGCTCCACTCGGCTTGCAGTTGCTGCCAGGGTGGCAGCAGAAAGGCTGAGCGAGCGCAGCGACTCTTCCTCTGCTTTAAACCAGCCAGGCTCTGACTTCCTTTGTGTAGTATTGCCGACTGGTGCAGATGAAGCGCCGCAAGCGCAACGGCACGTGCACTCTGGGGAGGATGAAGATAAATTTCCCCGTCCTACATCGCCATGTCCGACCAGTTGATTGGCGGTGTAGCGCTCTGCCGCACTGGCCGCCATGCTCATGCTTGCTGCAGCGAGCGTCAAACCAAGCTGGAGAGTGGGAGTAGCGAGCTTGTCGAGTACCATTCTAGGGACGAGCCACGTTGCTGACGAGCGTTGTGGTATCGTGACGGACGTGCTCGAGGAATGGATTTCTGTCAGAGTCGCCGTCTGCGCTTCGGATGCGGTCGGTAGATGGTGGTACACGTGGTGATGGTGATCGACACGATGACAAGCTTGGTCCTTTTGTGTTGTGTCGTGGGCACCAATGACTTGCAAGTCGCTCGCCAATGCAACATTTGCTGGTTCAGCCAAGCGTTCGAGCGCGCTGCGCAATGTCGAAGCAAGCGCGTCTCGCTGTCTAGCAGGTAGAGAGCGGGCCAGACCCTGCGGCATCGCCTCCAGTAGGTGGGTGATGGAAGTCATGTAGAGGTCCAATGGCAAGCCTGGATCCTCGTCATCAGCAGAAGAGTCGGACGTGCAAGAGTCATGTTCCGAGGTTTCCAAGGCCGGCGGCACCGCCACAGGCGAAGGCGAGAGTACAGGCGCAGCCCGAGCCTGCGCTACGATCGTGGATGTGGAAGCACATAGATCTGTCTCATTTTCCTGCGGCGCCAAGCGCGGCGAGGGACAGGCGGAGGTCGTGCGTGAGGACGCGCGCAACAAGTTGATATCATCAATCTCGCTGACGAGACGGCCTTTCGTTTCGACCTCAAACAAGCCTTGTACCGGCGATGCAGCCTCTGCGGAGCTGCGATATTCACATGCCTCTTCGTACTCGCTCGAGGGGCTAGCACGTCCACTCGTACTTCCACCTCGCAGCGCGCCAGCCAGCCAGGCAAAGCTTTGCCTGCGCGATGGTAGGGTCAAGAAACGTGAAGAGGTTCTAAGCTCCGGATTGGGACTCATCTCCAACGCCGGGGTGCTAGCTGTGGATGAGCATCTCGAATGTGCCGGTGCTAGACGAGCATTGGCGGAGCTGTTGGTATCCTTGGGAGCGGACGGCCACGGGACAGCGTGAGTGCTGGTTGGAGGTGCTGCAGCTTGGCTAGGCAAACGAGATGCGGATGCCACATGGCGTAGTGTCCTCGGGCGAAGGTCGGCAGCGGACTGCAGACCCATAGATTGAGACGATGCTATGGCGCTGCGCGTACGTTGCCTACGCTCGCGGCCCGAATCATGTGATTCCATGGCGCATTCAGCCTCATCACCTTGACCAAAGTCCAGGCCGAGCCCGTGACTCGCATCAACCCAGCGACGAGAAGCATCTGACTCGAATGGTGAGGCTTGAAGCGTATTGGCGATGTGATGGTTAGAAGCAGCAGAGCTCAACCTCTTGCGTCTTTTCTCCGCTCTCGAGCTGCTTCGCATAGCATCGTCTAGTTGCGAGAGCGTGTTAGATGTTGCTCTGAGTCTACGCGTGGATAATTTGGGCGTGGAAGCAAGAGCAGGAGAGTCTGATGTGGTGATCGCCTGATACCGGTCGTTGAAGTTGAGAGCATGCATCGAGCCCCTCGAAGTCTGCTGATTCCGAACGACCGGAGCGGTGGCCTGAGCCGCAAAGAAGTCGGCCCCGGGTGCGTAGCCTGGCGCTGCGTCTGCCCACGCACCCGCAGCCCCACTTCGTGGCCATGTCCTAGCAGATGCAGACTCGTTCAAATCCGCTCCATGCCCTACACCACTCTCTTCGATGGCAGTGTTGGAGGCAGACGGCGCCGGAGCCGGCGAGACGGGCCTCAAGAATGACGAGAGGCTGGGCAGCATTGCGGTGCCAGGCGCGAGAGGTTGGTGGTGTGAGGTCGCGTGTCGAGTCGACTCCGGGTCCTTGAGTTTGTGCGTGGGCGAAGAAGCCGTCGAGCTGAAGCTTAGAGGCAATACACGATGTCAGTCAGCGTAGCGAGGAGCGTTGCGTTGCTCCTGTGAGCCAAGAAACATCGCGTGGACGTCTCGACGAGGTAGCCTTCTGCGCAGATGTGAAACTAAGCGCACCGATGGTAAGCGCAAGGCGTCGGATGCAAGCACTGTGAGGTTGGTGATGACATAGAGGTTGAAGTGCGGGGCCCGTGGGACGAGGAGGAGTGACATAGCAGACAGAGAGAATAGGAGGGCTGTCTGTGAATGGAGTGAGCTAGCCCGTCAATTTCACATCGCTCAGATCGGATCCCCGTTTGCAACAAAAGGCTCGTGAAAAAGATGCAGATAACATGTCTCGCGCGTCGGAGCCGATGGTGTGTGCATGCATGCATATTTGCATTCACAACGGTCCGCCGATCCGCCTGTGCATGCGCCCTCGGCGGGGCTCGGGCACCGGGCACCGGCGCGCATGCAGCACCTTGTCCCAATTTTGGTGGACATTTCCGCCGCGGACTTGGGCGGTGGGTTCAAGTTGCACGACTCGCCCACCGTTGCTTGCCGGGTACCGGATATGACATGCTTTCTTTTCCGTTGCGCAGCAGAGTCCGTGCGCAAATCGTAGCACCCTCTTCGCTTGACTCTGGCTGCGTGTTCAAAAGTCATGTCATGCGCGCCAACTTCAGCCAAAGGGCCGGTCCTACGACCGGTGCGTGGGGCCCTGGGCTGGTGAGAGCAGATTTCAAGACTGTGCAGTCACGGCCCGCGTCGAAGCATCGTCTTAGGCGTCCTCATTCGTGATTCGCGTTGCATAGATGCTCAAAAATGATGCTGTTGCAACCGTCGCAAATCCACACATGGAGCAAGGGCTTTATTCGTAGGCTCTAGCGCAGGTGTGGAATACATGACGATCAGACAAAAAGTCCCTTTTCTCGCCCTCTGCGTCTTTCCACCTCTCGACGCTCCTCCTCCACGCTAGCAAGCTCAGCCCCTGTGCGTGCCTTCTCAAGCGCTTCCAAAGTGATGTCCCTCTTCAAACTTGCAGCTTCCAACTCCCTGTCCGCATCCTTGACATCCCTTTGGGCTGCCCTCAGATTTGCTCGAGCAGAGTATAGTCCAAACACTGAGGTCAGTCGCGATGTCTGCACAGACAGTAACTCCAGCGCGATGTTCGGATCCATTTTAGGATACAATTGCTGTGCTAGCGCAGCTGTGGGTATTTGCAAACCGTTGCTGGTCAGCCCGGGCGGCTTTTGCGATTGAGACCTGGAAGAAGGCCCAGTAGGGATCGCGCCGTCATTTATACCGGCGGCAGGACCTGTCGGTGGTCCGCTGAGGGACCCTCCTCTGGAAGCGAGTGGTGTGCGGGAAGAATACGCAAAAGGAGTGCCCGGCACAGCAGGGGTGTTTGGAGTCACGTTGCTGAAAGTGCCTCCAGGCGTCGGTCTGCCGCCCGGGGTGGAGCTAGCGCTTGTCGCGATCGGATTCAATTGCGAAAACGACAATCTAGAGAGACCAGGGGGCGGCGCCATTGCCGGTCTAGCTTGCTGCGATTGTGAGCCTGTTTGCTGTCGCGAGTGGACGCTGCTCTGAGATGCACTCGCGAATGAGTCTTGGCGGGCATGCTCCGCAACCGCAGGCTCGACCGATTGGCCCACGGACGTTTCCGCCTGGGACGCCTGTTGTTGATGTAGGTGGGAGTGATATCGTTCCGCCTCTATTTCTGCGTTGTCGCGCAACAAAGAATCTGCCTGACTATGTTCATCTGAATAGGGGGGATACTCAGGGTGCAATTCGCCTTGTTCGGGTTGCACTGCTTGCTCTTGTTCGCCGGCATCGCGCATGGTCACCTCGGATTGTCCGGCGTGCAGGTAATTTGGCACCGGCAGCAGGTCACTGACGAGTGGTGCGCCACCAGCATCCTTTTTACGCGCAAGCGATCTTGCTGGAGGGTCAGGGGGTCTGTGGAATGCAGTTCCTGCTGGTCCAGTGCTAGCGTGGTGGTGTGGCCCTCTGGGACCAGAAACAGGAGGAAGTCCCATTCTCCTACGATACGAAGGGCCAGTGGGTGGTCGGACATTACCGAAAGTGCTTGCCGGACCAGTAGGTGTGGCTGGTTTAGATGCCTCTGTCTTTGCAGTGTCCGTGGAGATTGCGGGACGTGACGAGCCCGTTCCGTTGGGCGGGGAGACATGTGAGACTTGCGGTTCGCGGTCATTGCTCGCCCCGACCCCGGCGGAAGACTTGCCGGCACGCCGCTCTGCCTCAGACGTGGTGGTCGCGTGGCGTGTGCTGGCTTCTGGAGAATGCGATCGGTGCGCAGGGCTCCGCGCTTGTCTCCGCGGTTCTGAGGGAGCACGTGAAGAAGCGTTCTCCCGTCGATCTGGCGTTCGATCCCTTTGTGGTCTTGACGAAGCCGGCCAGAAACGAGCAGAATCACCATCGCGCTCGTCTTTGCGATCGGAGAGTGCAACTCGATCGCCTTTTGCCATTGGTGCACGCGCAGAGTGAATCTCTCGGTCTCGCTGGCGCTCCCGCTCCCACTCCAATTCGCGATCTCTTCTGTCTCTCGCTCTGGTGCGTTCTGCATTGGCGTCCCATTCGCTTCTCTCCCTTTCGCGGCTTCGAGGCCGAGCACGATCGAGTGGACTGACTGCTCGACTAGCTGTACGGCTGTGTCCCTGCGACTGCGACTGGCTTACTGGGCTTCTGCTCGTCCTGCTGCCGAGTCTCGAAGTCTCGGCATCTGGCAACGCTTCGTGTCGCGATGGCGTGGAGTAGCGGCTGCGATTTGCCCTGCCCCAATCTCTGTCGGGGTCTGGCCCACGCCTATAGCTGTCCATGTCCCAATCCCTCTCCCTCTCCCTTGGCCTCGGTGCGCTGTTGTAACCTCTGGCAATCACGGGCTCGTCGTACCGACTTCTTGGAGCTGCGCGTACTGGAGAGCGGTGGCGTGGTTGATAGGAGCTTCGAGAATACCTGGGAGGCGACCTCTCTCGGGGTCCTCTGACAGCGCGCTCTTCGAAGGGCCTGTTGCGCGGGTTGAGCCTATCAATATCTGCGGTGAACGACACCGAGGGGCTCGCTTGACGGGTGGAGTCGCCGCGCGGTTTGGGAGAGCCAGGAGGTGACGGCGCGATCTCACCAGCTTCTAGCTCGTCAGAGTCGCTTCCTTCCTTCTCTTGCGGCTGGTGTGCATCTAACTTGGCAGTGGCGTGAGGTGACTCGGTGGCGGATGTGGAGCCAGCGGTAGGAGTCGCAGCAGCACCCCATGCACGCACTGGTCGACCCGAGGCCGCGCCAGAAGCGGCGGCGGCAGCATCGATATTTGCGCCGGTCAGCTTCGGCGGTGCGGAAGGATCGTCTCTGGCGCGCTCGCCCCTGCTGTAGTCTCGAGATGCCCTTTCGAAGCGATGATCCCCTCTCCCTCTGCCCCTGCCGCGTCCGTAGCTTGGCTCCCTGGACTCTCCAGAGAACCGCCCTCGTCCTCTATACATGGCGACTCAAGCAGAGGATGGCACGAATGAGGACGAAATGGGCTGCAGTAGTATCGGGTCAGCTTGGCAGGCCTGGATAGGTATGATGAAGAGATGCGCAATGGAGGGGCATGATCTGATGGCACCCGAGTGCGGGGGTTAGATCATGGATGGCAAGGGGTTGCAATCTGGTTGCTGCATAGTCGTGGGTGTGCAGAGAGGTATGAGTACTCGTGACTCACAACTCACGACTAGCAAGCGCACTTCTTCCATGTCGCGACGGCCCTCACGTGACTCGATCTCTGCATGCTATTGAAGATTTCAAATTCAACATTCACGATTTGTTCATTTCACATGCACTCTTCTTCTTGAATCCGTGCTTCGCGACCATAAACGACTTTGGGGCCATGCCTTCAAAGAGGATTCGCATCCACTGCATGATGGATGCTGATGGCTTCCGGCCACGGTCGTCAATGCTCTCTGACTCTTCAGCCTCACAACGCTCGGGAAGGCAAAGCAAGGAGCGCACTTGACTTGTGCTTCAACTTCACTCCCGACTGCTGTGGCAATCGTTCGCCGATTGCTCCAACGCGTATAGGTGCCTGATGGCTGAGAACTTCAAGCTTTTGGCAGATAGGCAGGCATGCCGCAGGGATCCTCAACTCGTATCGTATCCAGAATCGTAAAGGTGAATGAAGGCAGCGCCAGTGGCCGTTACCAGAGGCTCCCGTTGCCTCGCTCGTGCTCGTGACGCATACCTTTGCTCTTGGGGAATCTTCCTCGCGTGAAGCCTGTATTAGATCGGATCTGTTCCCGCCACCGCCACCGCAAAACGCCTCAGCGGTGTGTTGTGAGCCGCATCAGGGAGGTACTGTACACGACGACGGAAGAAGTGATATTGTCAACATCCTTACCATTCAAATTGTGAATTGTGAATTAGATGCCAATCACAACCCTGATATGATGAGTCTGGGTGCTGCTATTATTTGCAGTCTCGGCCCATGTCCGGCTTGTGCGGACAAATGGCCCTCTGACCGCTCTGCCAGCAGTTTTGCCACCCAGCTTCATTCACCATTCTTCGCGGATAGTGTGTCGCGGTGGCACCAAGATGCGCGCAATGACTTCATCCAGGTCTGTCTCATCCGCTCTCTATTCTTCTGTACGATTGTTGAGTCACTCGAGCCCCTCTCATAACGATCGATCGATATCAACCATAACAAGATGTCTTGGAAATCGATCGCACTCCATCTGCTCGCCGCGAATGCCTTGGTCCTTGGGCATCCGCTTGGCCATTCTATGTCGGCAGCAGCAGCAAAAGCGGAGAGCGAAGGGTTGCGCGAAGCCGTTGCAGCACCAACAGCTCGGGTCATCACCACCTTTCACCACACGCACAAGGTGCCGGCCAAGTGGGAGCCTAATCGCAACTACCTCGAAAAGGTCAAGGATGAGATCAGCCTTTCGGAGCACGTATTCTATCGTCATCATCCAGATCACGGTTGGACCGTGTTCAATGGCAATGAGCAAAAAAAGCCAAAGACGGAGCCTCCTTTGGACTTCATCGTCAGTATGCGCTCCTGTGTGGAAGTCTCGAGTGGAGGCGATATGGTCACAGTGTCGGCATTCGAGTATCTGTAGCAGCGTGCCAACTGCGTGCTCATCCCCTTTCTTACCCGCTTTCTTACAGCGCCAAGCGTACGGGCCCTCCATGAGGGTCACGGAAGAACCGGTAGAGAACATCCCCGCAATGAAGTCCCGCTACTGATGATATCAACATCCCAGAGCCCAGGCACGGTGCGTGCGCCTATAGTCGATCAACAAGTAGATTCAAGCAGATCCAAGACAACCACATGCACGATACACTCGCGCCTACACACGCTGCCTGCGCTGTGACGCTAGAGCGCCAACAGGCACGCGGAGTGTGAAGATTGGCGCTGCATATTTCCCTGCATGTACGCGGGTGCTGACCGTCGTTGACCTTTCGCTACTTTGCCCCGCACCCGCACCGCGAATTGTTTTCTTGGCGATCGTCGAGGAAGCTCACCTGGCAATTACGGGTCATGAGTGCGCGTTGAATATGATCGTCAGGCAGCGCCCTCCTGACGATCGGCACGCCATTCGTAGACGTGAGTGGACGGAGCACATGGAAGCGGTCGCCGAATCGTGCTGCTATTCTTGAGTGAAGGCTCGTGGTTGCTCCGGCATCCACAGCTTGAGCCTCGGGCTCGAAGCATCCAGTCACACTCCGAGCAGAACTTGAGCTGTGTGCCCCCACAAGGGGAAATGTGGGTTCTGGCTAACGCCGCGATGTGCGCACGCAAGTCCACCCGTTTGTCAAGGCTAGGAAAGGGTATCTGCGCTCACGGCAAATGTAGAGGGGGCTTCTGTGAGAGGTGAACGAAAGCATCGTTCTCACTAGCGCTCCTATCGTAGGGTCCACCGCCGCGTAGAGGATTGTCCGCTCGTCGTTGCCAAGGTCTTGCGTAGCGCTAGATCGAGCCCAGGCAGTTCTTCGCTCATCGTCATGCTCCATACTTCTCGACTGCTGTCCGCGAGGCCAATTCCTAATCGATGTCTTGGGCGCGAGAGCTTTGAGACCACGTCTCAGTCTGGCGGCTTGAGGAGGGCTAGAGCGAATTAGCGACGGAAAACAGCGTTCTAGCTGTGGGGCCGAGAGGAAGCAATTTGTTGTGTCATCTTCGCACCCTTATATTCAAACACATACGTCTTCCTGGACCACACGCTGAGACGCCACTCTCACCTCCCACGTTCCACCTACACCAAGCCGTCGCTCCGGCCAACTTCCTCACCATGAAGCTCGATCAATTCGCCATTGCAATTACCGCCGCCCTGCTGATGCTCAGCTCATCAGCTGTCGCATCGCCTCTCGACACCTCGAAGCTCACCGTGCGGCAAGCCAAGCACGAGCAGTGTCTAGCCAACAATGCGCAGAATCGTGCTCATCAGCTCAAGCAGATGAGAGATTCGGGTCTCATTCCAGAAGCGCTACCCGAATTCGATCCAAAGACGGTCATCACCCAGTCCTTTTCCGGCAGATTCTACGAGACGGGAGATGGTGTCAATCCGCTCACTCAGACGCTCTTTGCGCCTGCCGTATACTTTCCGCCGGCCCGCGGTGCCGATAGAGACACGAAGTACACCCTCATCATCAACGACATCGATGCTCCCCCTCCTCTTGGCATTCCTTCCTTCCTCCATTGGTTCAGAAGAGGTCTTTCGGCTTCATGCGGCCGTCCAGCTTCCCAATCAGGAGAAGATGTGAGATTCGTGAGTAAATTTGTCCACTCGCAAAGCAACGCTTGGGCAATCGTTGATCGTGTGTCCGCGTCAACACCACAGTACTTTCCCGCCACGCCCCCTCCCAACCTAAGCAACCCAGCCGGTCACAGGTACACCGTCAGCGTATTCCGCGAGCCTGCTTCCGGTTACAATCCCTCGCAGCTCGAGTATCTGCTCAAGTTGGTTAGCTTCGATGTGCGCGACTTTATCCAACGCACCGGTGCGGAGCTGGTAGCGGCAAGCTACTACACTGCCGCCATCCCTGCCGAGGACGGCCTCCTCAGCCCTGTTCTACCCAAATTGGGTGGTGTACTCTAAATCAACAGCACCCTAGCTGCCACGCGGCGCCGCCCTTTAGCCCAGAATTCTAACCCGTTGTTGCGCTTTTCTTTGCTTTCCTTGCTGCCCACCGCGTAGTGCATACCTTTCCCTTCTCTCCCTGTCCTGCGCGCACCGTGTCAAGACTTCGGTGCCCCTTGTATGCGATCATTTATGCCGACAAGACTGCCACATCTACCTTGCGCAGCTGTTTTCCAGACATCGAGAGCAAGTTATCGATTGACCCGGCCACACGGCAGCGGAAATGATGTACAGCCATTGCGGAATCGCTCCGTGTGTTGTAGAGTCATTTTCTTGTTTGGGATCAGCGATCGCGCAAAGCTATCGCTCTGTCTGTTCGCTCGTAATGGGCGCTTTAGATGTACTGCGAGAGCCAACGGAAGCCCTCGCCGTAGCCCTGGCGCATGACGACTGAGCACATGAACATCTCAATAGGTCGAATGTCTGCGACAAGGCAACGATTTGGTGTCAGCAAGCTATGTATGCATGAATGCAGCTGAGCCAGACTCACCCTTAAGAGGGACCTTGCCCTGATTTGCGCAACAGGTTGAGTGGTAGATCGAGCAGAGTCAGCGCTTGCCACTCAACCCGAGCGAGTTCGAAAAATGAGGCAGATCCTGGCGCTTGGCATGTCGAAATGCGCGCTACACCACTTGAGGACCACTTTGCACTCGAGCTTTGACCTCCATCCTACCTCCTACCGTGACGCAGTGTGACAAATTCCAAGATACTCACCTTGCCAGTCGTTTGGTACAGGCCAACAGCAGCTCTCAACTCCTCCTCGGAAACAGCGCCCTCGGCATCGATCTTGTTTCCAAAGATGAGGAAAGGAACCCTGTTGAGCTCCTCGATGCTCAAAAGCTGATCCAGCTCAGCGCGCGCCTCTCCAAATCGCTCGTGATCCTGAGAGTCGACCAGAAAGACGATTCCATCTACTTCGGGAAAGTAGTCTCTCCAAAGACGTCTCGCTGCAAGTGCGAGGAATGTGAGCAGATGCTCGCTACGTGCTAGTGGTCCGAGTCAGCTCACCTTGAGTGTGACCTCCCAGATCGTAGGTGGTGAATTTGACAGCTCCGATGGCAAGCTCTTCGGAGGCTGCGAGACGCGAAGGAGATCATTTGTGAGGAAGCTCTAGTGACCTCGAAGTAAGGGCAGATACGCACTTGGATGCAAAGTAGGTTGGAGCGTGGCGAGACGGTCGTTTTTCAGCATGTGCAACAGCGTCGTCTTTCCTGCATTGTCCAGACCCAAAAACAAGATCTTGGCATTCTTGTGAGCCAGACCTAGCTGGGCAAGTACGTCCTGTGGGAGAGCAAGGTGTACAAGAAGAGGCTCGTCAGCAATTCCGACATGAACCAACTACCGAGGCTGAACGAGCGGACCAGTGCGCTCGACTTTTGAACCTTCAAGCGCACTTACCCAGAACCAGTTGATGATGAACATGGTCGCCAGCTGTTTTGAGTATGATACACAGCTGTGTCTTGAGGCCGCGGAATTCACGTCAGCTTGTGCCGTCCGATGATCAAGCAGCGATAGTGACTTTGATGTGGTGGTGATGGTGAGCACCTATATAGCAGTCTTGAGTTTGGAGTTGCCAGTCGAGGTAAATGGAAACTTGTCGATGTAAGTCGTTGTCGTCTCATGGAAGCAACCCGATCGCCTTTCAAACACAAAACGCACAGCAATTTCAAAAGTTCGAACTGTCCGAGGCGGGTTTGTATGTATGCACACCGTCACTCATGCCGCCCCCTCGCGTCGTTTCGTGCATGCAATCGCCCGCCAAAAGGCTTGTGCGCAACTTGCCATCCCATACCTTCGTGCGCATGACACGCACATGGGGACCGTTGACGCGCTTGCATGCTAGTAGTGGTGCCAGCTCCTGCTGCACGCCGTGGTGGTACCCCGCGTAGCTTGGTGCGAGCTTGCGTTCGCCACCACATTATTACGTGGAACTCTCACCACGTGGCACAGGTCCCAGCAGGCGGCAACCTCACACTCGGACTTGACGGTAGATGGTCAATCAGTATACTCTCATTCGATGAAGCCGATGTAATATTTTCACACAGACAGGTCGCCCAGATCCGAACAAGTTGGACAAGCGATTGAGCGAGGCAACCTGAATTGCTATTACTGCACGCGAAGCGCTACCGCACCGCGTTGCTCAGACGTCCGTAAAAGCCCGCGAAGGGATTTCTAACACGCTGTACGTCCCTTGTACGACGAACGATCAGGAGGAAGCTAGCAGCCGCAGCTGCAAGAGCGCAAACCTCGGTGATCTCAAAGACCGACCTGTAGCACTCTTCGCCTAGCGGGCACTGGTGCACACTGCCGCTTCCCTTGGACACATGGCTATCGTAGATTTTGCCAAAGAGGAGGTTGAAGATGTTTCCCGCAATGACAGGCGACAGGCTGACGTAGCCCCAATTCTGCGAAAAATGCTTCAAGCCGAACCATTCAAATGTTAAGACGGGCGCCAGACCGAACAGCGCGCCGTACATCCATCCAGTGCCGAGCGAGATGATAATCAACCTGTGCACGGTCGTGATCGTGTTTGGAGCAGCTGCGAGCGCTTGACTGCCCACAGCGAGTATGCACACCAGGACGAGCAACCAGACTCGCATCCTCGCATCGCCTGTGGAGCTGACAAATAGATCCGAAAGTAAACCTAGTGGGCGAACGACAAGAGCTCTCAGCACTGGCCGACATAGCCCAAACATCGCTGCAGCTCACCCATGATAATGCGGCCGCTGGCGTTTCCAAGTGAGATGGCGCTGACCTGATGTGCTTGCGCTTGCTGGACGATTGCCTTTTCGTCCTTCGTGAGGATGTCTATCAGTTCGCGAGGTAGATTTTGTGCGTCAAGGGCTATTTCAGGCACGTCTTTGCGACCCTTGTTGTATTCAAACAGTGTCCGGGTGATTGTGCCGATGTTCTATGTAAGGTTGTCGTTTCAGCGATCCCATCAGCTTGCGGAGAAAGCTCACGCCACTCACATTGATGACCAGCAATCCAGTTCCGCTAATAAGCGACATAATAAGAAAGAGGAGCAAAAAGTCTGCTTGCTTCAAGAGGTTGAAGTTTGTGACATCGACACTGCTAGGAGCGCCCTTGTTCCCCTCAGGTGTCGCACCCGCACCTGCATTCGAAGGGGTCGTAGCAGGCGACATTGCGCGAGTATTCATATCTTCCTCATCTGCACTAGTTGTATCTTCGTCGGTAGGTGGGGCGTTGAGGAAGGCTCTCGCAGAAACTTCACTGCTGGTGCGCCTTCTACCACCTACATGAGGTCTCAATCGACCCCTCTCCTCATCCTCGTCCTCATCTACGTCTGCATTCTGCTCTAGGCGCCCGATCTCCTCGTCATCTCCAGCTGGTGCCTGCGTCCATGCACCACGACCATCACTGCCCCGCCGTGTCAGTAGCGGATTCGCATCTGCGGGCGGCAAGATCCGAATGAGCAGCACACCAACCAAGAAGGAAGCAGCGCACCCGAATGCTAGCAGCAAGAGGTAGTCGGAGGTGTTGCCAGGAAAGAGTTGGTGTGAAAGGGTAGAGTACAGGAATGCTGATAGGCCAAAGCCGGAAAGGACGAGGGCTGTAGCTGAGCCGCGTCGGTTACCATCCCAGCTCTTGGCTTGCGCATTCATTGCCGCTGTGAAGGCACCAGCATTCCCCAAGCCAGTCAACAGACTTAGCACGGCCAGCGTCGAGGGCGAGGCGTCTTGGAACGGCGCAGTGTGCGTGTAGGACAGGGATAGCCCTCCAAATCCAGCCAGGACGAGGGCACTGCCGACCAGCAGTGCGCTGCATGTTGAGTCATAAATCGTACGCATCAGCGCATCGCATTGGCACATTTCCTCTCCGCATACACTTACACCTTTGGACCTTGCTTGTCCACCCATCGGCCCCAGAATGGACCGGATAGGTAGACGCCCATGTTTCCAGCCACGCCCACCACATTGATCTGCGTGCTGGTCAGCTGCAGCTGCTCCTGAAGCTGAGGCGCAAACGAGCTGAATGCGTAGTTGACTCCAGCTGAGCAAGCTACAATGAAGGATCCAATGAGGGATGCGATTCGTCGACGTTTGAGAGATTCGAGAACGGCTGCATCTACGGGCGCGACCTCGGATCGCATCGAGGCCCGCGATCGATGCCGATTCAACCGCGACATCGGTGCTTCTTATTTGTGTTGGCGTCGTGCTTCGTCTGAGCCTCTATTGATCGTGACGGTAAGGCAATGCGAAGGACGAGATACGACGCAAACTTCGTCAGACACCATATATACATGCGAATCGCAGGGACTGGTGCCAATGTGAAAGTGCTAGCTCCCCAGCAGGGTCGATACGGGCACAGGTCGAGGGCGCGGGTGCGCGCCCGCTAGTCACAACAGCTATACTGGTACGGTACCGTCTTATATATATACATAGTCGAGTCGTGAGATGCTAGCCGTGATGCATGCATGCATGCAGCATGATGTTGATTAATTGTCGGCGCTTCCGCGTGTGCCGTCCGCGGCGCAAGAGGTCGCTCGCGTCTTGCGCGAGTCGCGATCGCACGCGAGCATGCCGCGGCGGCGCCCCGTGCATGCAGAGCATGCGTGGTGACATGCTCCAGCCCAGCAATGAAGCGATGCTACGGATCTCCGCGGACCTGAGATGGATGGATATGTGCGCTTTAACTCAGAACGTGCTCTCCAAATCAAGCGACGCACCACTGCGTTCAAATTCAGATTTGTGTGGATATACTCTCAGACTCTGACTGTAGTCTGGACTCGTCGGCGCAGGCCGGATCAGGCCTCCTGGTTGATAACTACCATCACGTCTGAAACAGAGCTGACCAGCCATGCCGAATGAGAAGAAGCAGCCAAATGTGTTGATGGTGGGGACGGGAGAGTACACGACGGGCTTTGTGGGCGGGGCGCAAAGCACGAGCGACAAGAGTGAGCTGGCACCGAGGAGAGAACAAGCGGAGGTATAGAGGCAATGCTGATGAGAGGTTGGACATGGCTCGGAACTCATGGTACTGGTGCGTGACGCAGAGATCGGCGTAGTCGCATTGGTTCTCTTCGACCTCAGAAGAAGAAATCTGGTGGGTCAGTACGCGTGTATGCTTGCTTGTCCAAGTGATCGCTGAATGCACGGCGCCCCTTTGACCCCGCTAGGCAATCTGAGCATGGTAGGCACCAATGGAGATAAACATGTACAGATTAGGCACCATTTTGAGCAGAACATCGCTGGCAAGTGAGGTGCTCGTCGCGCCATGAGCAAAGCGAGCAGCCACGAGTCCGCTAACATCACGGTGCCCAATCATGTTGCAGATATCGCGACATGGATGTGTCTTACAATGCCTTTCCCCCAGCTGGACACAAGGATGCAGAAGCTTGTCAGTGCTGCAGCTCGACATTTCGCATCTCTCGAAGCAACCGAAGCTGCATCTCATTGACACTCTGCTCGACTCGCAGACAAACTTGCCATCGACGCACTATCACCGGGTGACGCCATCACCATCTTTACACCCGACAGTACACATTTCGATATCGCCAAATACGCGATCACCACCAAGAAGCTTCACGTGCTCGTCACAAAGCCAGCCACGCAGCGCCTAGAGCATCACCAGGAGTTGGCATCGCTCGCAAAAGAGCACGTAAGCGGCTAGTTGAGGTTATGGGTCGAACAAGAATGCTATGTGCTGATGGAGAAGTTTGTTTGCTCTCCCTCAGGGTGTGCTGTGCATGGTCGAGCATCACAAGAGGTGCGCCACAATTGCGCGCGCTACGAAGCTTCCATCCGCTCACACATGTGCGGCATCCACACAGATGGGATCCCGTATACGCAGACGCCAAGGACAAATGCAACGGACTGGGAGACTTACAATTCTTCTCGGCCTACATGTCCCAGCCAAAGGTGCGTCGCATCACAGTGACCCCGTGAGCAGTTGCGCAGCTCGCTGACGTCGCTTCGCGATTGCAGACTCAGTTAAAGACCTTCAAGGTGAGTCAGCCCGACATGATTGACACGTGCGCCGATCTTGACTCTTTTGCTCTCAGTCTTGGGCCGGTGTGGACAGCGACATATCGTGAGTCGCTTCTCCTCGACTGAAATCGAGCTCTGCATTGATCTCCTCCAATCATGATGCCCGCAGGTACTATCTCAACTCTCACCACGTCGACATTCTTTTGTGGTTCACCAAAGCTCGCGCGTTACCTGTCCGTGTAACAGCGAGCGCCTCACGTGGTGTAGCCACCGATGCTGGTTGTGCGGATGGCACCGAGGACACCATCACAGTGAGCATTCTCAATCAAGGGAAGCATGTATCCTGTGCCACGCTCTCGATGATCCGCCTGACGCCCCTCGTTTGGACAGCTGCTTGTCGACTTTGGGAATCTCGATGCTCAAGATGAACTTAGAGCTGATAGTAGAGGGACTGCAGTATTCACAGCGAGTTGGGCAGCGCCAAAAGGAGCAGGTGTGCACTCGGAGCAGAATTTCCGTACGTCTTCCTCTTTCGCGGTTTCTATACGTTGAGAAGCTGCTCACACGTCTTTGGCTCCCAGACTACATTGGTCAGCGAGGAGAGATCAAAGTTGACCAAGCTCACCGTGGCTACAGCGTACTCCCCGAAGATGATGGCACGGGCACGCAATACGTCAATCCTTTCTACATGAAGTACAGCCCAGATGCCGAGGGCCACTTCGATGGTCAGAATGGCTACGGATATCGAAGCATAGCAGACTTTTGCCGCGCTTGCTCTAGCATCAATCAGGGCCGCAGTGTTTCGCAGTACGATCATATTGTCAGTTGATGGCAAGTGAGCGGGCTTGGCTCGAACAGATCTAGCTTAACCTTTGTTCTTGACTTTGCCGACAGATGCCTACTATCCATGACACGGTGCTGACTACGGCTATCCTGGACGCTGGAAGGAGAAGCTTGGACGAGCGCAGGCCCGTAGAGCTGCACCGGGATGACTCGGGCGTCTGGTCATTACATTAAGATTGGGATTGCCAAATATCGTGGTCGTGCAAAGAGTGCAAAATCACAGAGAATTCAATGGGTGAGACAGTCTTGAGAGCATTCATTGAAGCGGAGCGTCGAACCAAAAAAAAAAAAAAAAACGTCGTCATGAGGAAGTGGGAATGTGCCATGTGCATGTCAAGCGCAGACTGAGCACGAGCCTGCGGCCGACAGATCTTCACAGCCGGCCTCCGCATCTTCGCGAAGCTAGTGGCCCATTGCGACCGGTGCTAATGTCCCACGCGCCGCGCGCTCTTCCGCGCTCAGCTTTTCGTGGGCGTAGAGGGGTTCTGGTTTGGATGCTCGCTTGCCCGTCAGGCGGCTCGCGTAGTACGATGCTTTTCCTGCTTGGTAGATCGCGTGATCGTGGTTGCTGACGCCAAAGACCGAGTCCAGCTCCTCGAGCGTGAGTCCTTTGGTCTCTTTGAGGAAGAAGTAGGCAACGACGAATGCGACGCCGTTGCAGCCTGCATAGAATGCAAACGCTCCCGTCGAGCCTAAGTTGCGTTGCATCGACGGCCACGTGAGGGAAAGAACTCCGTTGAAAAACCAACAAACAGAGACTGTAGAAGGGGTCAGACGTTTGACCGCGACAGCGATCAGTAGCAGTCCGAGCGGGGCAAGACGTTTCGGAGCACCTGTCTCACCTGCCCAAGCCATTCCGCTTTCTCGAACATACAAAGGGAAGCTCTCGGCAGAGTACGTAAAGGGGACAGGACCGGCAGTAGGACTGTAGGCTAAGCAATGAAGGTAGATACCGACGGCCACCCCTCCGATACGGCCGGGGGAGCCTTGAGGGGCGAGGAATGAGAAGGCCGAGATCAGGAGGCACACCATCATGCACGGATACCCGATCAAGAGCAGCGTTCGACGGCCAAATTTGTCGATCGAGATAAATGCAGGAGCCGCAGCGAGCCAATTGAGCACACCCCAGCCAAAGCTTGCAACAAGCGCGTTGCGAGGAGTGGCGCCTGAAAGAGAGGGCAAATCGAAAAGGATGATCAGCTTTTAGCTCTCACCAATTTCTCGACCACTTCCTGCCACTTACCTGCATCTACGAAAATTTGCGATGAGAAGTACGAAATCACATTAATGCCTGCAAGCGTGAAGTGCCAGCTATTGGTCAGCCGCACATTTGCAAGGCACCGTTGGCTCATCGTACACCACGCTTACCGCAGAATTGCTGCCATTTTCGCATAGGATCAATTGGTGAGTCCGTGCTCAGTCAACCACACGTACACATACGCGCTCTACCCACCTGCATGAACATCACGAACGAAGCTCTGGAACGTGATAAGAGTCAGGTCAGCGACGCGTGCCGAGTAGTGTGCGCGATCACGGATGGACTCACCCTTCTACAGCTCTTCGGTTGCGCGGAACAGATGCGAGCTCGAGCAAGGCGTTGCGCTGCTTGTTGGCGCCAAGGTGCTTCTCAGCTTCGAGCAATTCGTTGGCGTAGTAAATGTCTCGTGCGGCTTCCAACGGTGTGTTTCGCAGACGCCTCATCGAGCGGAAGGCTTCAGCTTTTCGTCCTTTGCCCAGATACCAACGGGGCGATTCGGGCGATAGATAAACGAGCGCCAAGACGGCAAGGGGTGGCACAGCCGGAGCACCAAGCATCAACCTCCAGTTGAGACCCTCGATGCCGCTGCTGTCCGGCACTCCGTAAAATGCCAAGGAAGCTGCTTGTCCAAGTGCGATGCCGAAAGCCGTCCAGGTCTGCCACTGCATGCCCAAGAGTCCACGGATCTTTGCTGGTGCACACTCGCCTGCGCATTGGGAGATTCTGTCAGCTCCGCATTCCCGGGCGCTAGCATGTTCGAACCAGCGAGTCAGACGCACCTGCATACAGGGGCGTTGTGGCACTTTTGGGAGAGATTCCCAGACCGAGGACAACCCTCGAAGCCAAGAGCAATTCCCAACTGGGCACGACCGCTGCCCAGATGCAGGTGACCATGGCAATCACACACGTGATGGCAATGGTCCCCCTTCTCCCAAAGTAGTAGTTCAATGGCGAGCTAAGGAATGAGAAGATGGCGCAGGAGAAGTAAGGCGCAGCTGAGATGATGCCCGTCAGCCACCCATCGTATCTGTCGGCGATTCCGAACTGCTCCGGGAAGAAAAGCAAGCTGAGATGGGAAATGGCACGCGAGGATCAACGAAGAATTCCAATCGAGCAGCCACCGTGCTGCGCACCCACCTTCCATTGATAGCGCTTTGATCCATGCCCTGCACCGCTGCAGAAAGCGAGACCGTCAGTACCAAGAGCCAGAGCGCCTTTGGTTGACGATAAGGATGGTCTTGCTCAAAGGTGAGGGCATCCTTCTCCTCTTGCGACAATTCGGGCATCTCGTCCCAGCGAGTGGGATTCTGCGCCACGAGCGCAGCGCGGGCAAATAGCTCTCTGTCCTCGCCCAGGCCAGCTTCGTCAGCCCAAGCTCTGGCTCTCTCTGCCACCTCTACTCGGCTGAGGGCTTTGAGCGGGTTGGCCAGAAGGGCATTGGGATCTTGTTCCGAAAGCTTGCGGTCGCCTTGCTTTTCGTTGTCCTTTTCGTTCAGAGAGCTGTCCTTGTCACTAACCTCGGCGTCGTCACGGTCATTAGTCGCGACGTGCACGCCGCTTACAGTCTCTGTTTCCTTTTTGGCTTCTCGATCAGGCGTGGATGGCCTGCGCATGTTGTTTGCAGGCATCTTGACGGTGGTTTCTAGCAAGGAAGTTTGGTGATACCACGATTTTTGCTGCGGAGAGCGCAGCAAAGCGCATCTTCTGGTCTGCGCCTTATATATGCTCGTAAGATTCTCGGGCATTATCCCCTCGCACGCACACAACAAGGCACTCGATCTTGGGCGAAGATACCCGTACAGGCACCATTTTCTCCCAAGGGACGCACAAGACCCAGGATTTGCGTCCCCGCATCCCCGCACTTGCTGCACTGATTCAACATGACGCAGGTACCGCTCATAGACTTGTCAGCATCAGCACCTGCTGGTGGGCCTACACTGTCCCTTGCAAGCACCCGTCCAGAGCGCTCATCGCCTGAAACCTCGATGGAGCGGGGCTCCACAGCGCCCACATGAAGGGGTCATTGCTCCCGATATGCATCCTTCTAGCTCGGCCTTGGCGCCGAAGACTTTCCGACGCCCATCTTGGCAATCTTCTGGCCAATTGAGGGTGGAGAGAGACTCTTCGCCACTGCTGTTCGGCTCGCTGCATGGGTACCGCGGGATCAACAGCATCCGCAGGCGGGAATATCGCCGTGAAGGCGGTTCTCCGCACCATGACGATCGCCAATCTAGCAAGCAACAGGACCACTGTACTGGCAGTCTCATTCGACGCATCGAATCCTACATCGACAAATCAGGATCTCTCAATCAACTCCAAGCGTCCCGGTCCTAGCATGACAGCAAAAGCCGCACAGCGGCGTTCTTGCTTGGGTCTAAACGTTACGCTTGTATGCAGTTATGCTGCTCAATCGATTGCTTCCAGGTGCACGCTTTGCGTCCGGGCGTGTTGCAGTGGCGTTGACGACTGAGCAGGCGGATCACGAGAGTAGGATGACTGGGCTTCAGTACCGCTTGAGACGAATGTCTCAAGCCTCGATCGAGCCGTATTTGCAGGGGTGCATGGATGCAGCAGGACAACTTGCAATGACTCCCTCGTCGGTGTCTTTCTGCGGTCACTGTCCGCGTCGCGCTCGCAGCCGCGCAAGACTTGGCGCCAAGAAGAGAGGGCTTGGCTTAGTCGACCGAGCAAACGCAGTCATCACTGAATGTTCGCGAGTGGCAGTCCTCCGTGGGACGCGTAACGTGCTTTTCAGTCGCCCGCAAGTCACTCATTCGATCACGCGACTGCACGTCGCAGTTGCGCAGCACTCTTCTGACTTTAACTTCTTCAGATCCAGATTGACCTATTCTGATTGTTGATGGCACAATTCACCGATTCTGACTTATATACCACAATCCCTTCCACTGGCCCGAATCGCTGCGTTCCTCACACTCTCTCAAAGAGTGCAGACTCGCATTCAGAGCTTTGCTTGTTCTGACTTTTGCATATCGCTACTGGCAGTTATCTCTTCACCTCTCTGGCGTTCCCGTGAGACCCACGGCTACGCATTCGTCCGGGAATCAGCGCGAGTAGTTGCAAGTGTCGCGCTCTGTCAGTACTTGCTTGCCGACATGTCGGCAAGTTCGCACATTACCATCAAGTGCTTGCTCGAAGCAGTGGGCCATATTGTCACCGTCGAGGTCAAAGGAGGCACGACTTACAGAGGCAAGCTCGTGGATGCAGAGGATTCGATGAACATTTGCATGGCGGAAGTGACTGTCACTGCGAGGGATGGAAAGCAGAGCAAGCTGCAAACATGCTACTTGAGAGGCTCACTTATCAGGTGAGTCTTGGCTTCATCGCTCGAAGCGGTTGCGATGCAGGGGGGCAGCGGCGATGTACCTATTAGAGGACGCAGGCCTGCATACATCCACCCGTGGCGCTGGAGGGCGTCAAGATCAATCAGCGCACGCTTTTACGGGCGTCCTGAAACCCCAGCTCGCGCTTCTTCGTGTCGCTCGTAGCCCAGCAATGGCAATTGCGGTGTCTTCACATTTGCTTTTTGGGAAAGAGGGAAGGTCTGGCACGCTGTTCCACACAGCACGTTTCTCGTGAATTACAAAGCTAACGCACACGTACTTTACAATTTGTGCAGATTCGTCGTCGTTCCCGACCTCCTTAGAGCAGCAGTGAGTCCACGCTTGGGCGATACGAGGAGTACTCAGTCAAGGTGCTGACTCATTCTGCATCGCTTCACAGCCCTTCTTGGCGCGCGGTATGGGTCCAAACGCGATGCGTGGCAAGGGTGTCGGCGCAGCTCGTGGCCGTGCCGTGCTACTCAGAGGTAAGTGGCTATCGACATACTCTTTACATGCTCATCACTCGGTACTCACACACTCCTGATCCTGTCTCCAGCACAACAACGCCGCGGACGTGGTGCAGGACCTCCTCGGTCCCAGGGGATTCGCCGATGAGGGATGAAGGCAGGAAATTGGTCAAGAACTGGCCGGATGTGCGATGTGCTCAGCATCTTCGGCTAGATCGGAGTGCGGGTCTTCCGGGCTATGATGACGACGTCATCGCAATCACAAGCGTCTTTGCGATGTCGACGGCTTTCCCGACCAAAATGACATGTTATCGAACTGCCTCCGCATGGGTCAAAGTCAGACTAGGCACTCCTGAGCCAAAACTTTTACAGATGCTAAAGTGCTCTGCTCGCTTAGAAATGGTGAGGCACCCAGCGGTGAAGCGAGGGAGGTGAAGGCGGCGATGGATCGCTTGCGCTGCCTGCGAAGCCGTCTCTTAAAGTAGCTTTGCGATGGTGGATTGTGCAGGAGCAGGGCGTGTGTCATCTAAGACCAAGACGCTCGCCATTCCAGATGCGACGCACTTCACCCGCCCCGCCTTGAGAGCACTGGCGAATCTGCAACAATTGCTCGCAGTCTGAACGGTTGGCGAAACAGGCAAATGCAACAAGAATGCGGATTGGTGCGTGCTGGTCAAATGTCACAAGATGGAGGCAGCGAGAGGATGATGAGGAAAGTGTCCGATCGTAATAAAAACAAGACAGACGAGTGGTCTGGTTATCATCTACTGGGTCAAAGCAAAGTTTTGGCTGAAGTTGTAGAGGTGCGTAGCCTCCTTGCCCTTGGGGCCCGGTTGGTTAAACTTGATTGTTCCCCAAAGGTTCAGCTTGGAAGGGTCGACGTGCGCAGGCGCATAGGTGTCCGGGACAGTCGTGGTGAAGGTCAAGGTTTTGCCATCACCTGGGTACGCTTTGTTCTCCTCGATGACGGCGAAAGGGATTTGGTTCGCTCCGAGAGTCAGAGTGAGTGATGTCGGGTGGATGTTGGCGTAGTCCGCGCACTTCTGAGTGTAGGTGACGGTAAGTTCCTGCAAATGCGAGCCGCACCGGTGTAAGTCTGCGATCGATGTCATTATGTCTCCACCTGCGTCACTCACGTCGCCAATCTTAGCAGAGGCGGGCTGCACTGAAAAGGTGCCGAAGCGTGCAGCTTCCGAGCATCCTGCAGGCGGTGCTCGACTGTCCAGGGGCGCGGCAGATGCGATCGATGCAACGGCCAGAATGGCGGAAGTGAGAGCAATTTTGTTGGAGAACATCTCGATGGGGATCGATTTTGAGCAGTGCTGGAAACGCTTGAGAGACTGGGTATTGCAAGGCAAGCGTAAAGGCGATAGTAATCGTTCGTGAGGAGAAAAGATGGCTGTAGAGACGAGATACTCGAGACTGATGAGGGGAGTCTGGATTGTGAAGGCAGAATGAGCACACTTTATACCTTTGTCATTGCCCCTGACGAAAGGGCAGACGTGCGAGCGTGTCAGTCGCGACACTGTGCCGCATGACCATTCGCGATTGACGTTGTTTTACCTCCATGTATGCGGCATCCGCGACTCTAGCCGCAGGGCCAGACCGGCGGAACCGCCGATCCGGCATGCGCTTGCGGAGCGCGGCGTCAGCTTCCAGCTCATGTTTCCCTGGTGCCGTTCGTGACAAGATCAAGCGCGGGGTTCGCTCGAAAGTCGCATTGCAGTCGGAGACCAATTTAGGTAATCACAATCCGAATCACGAATCAAAAATGTCGGATACTTCGCGGACTCCGCTAATGCTAGGTCGGAGGTTGTGCTGTGGACGCGCGTTCAATATAATGAAGTGTGCCTTACGGTCGGTCACTTGATCTGCCGACGCGGCGGAAATCGATCAGCCCGCATGATTGCTCGATCCCCTTCTGTCCGTTCGTTGCTATTCAAGAGTGGCAGCAGAAGCTGGGAACGCTGGGCCAGGTCTAATTTTGTACTCGTGGCTGTATACAGCCAGCTTGCATGACTTGTGAGCGTGATGCCTCGACTCCAGCGGCAGGTTCACAGCACGAATCGAGCGCTCGCAATTAACCTTGATTTCATCCGAGGTGCACGATGATGCACGATCGGGACGTCGGAATCGCGAGGAGGGCGTGCATCAATCAATCACGAGTCGTGCACGTCCATCGCACACATGCGCGATTCGGAATCTAGTCACGAATTCATGCAGCAAGAGTATACAGTCGCAGTACCGGTATCCCAGCTATTTCCGTGATTAATTCGTAGCATGCCGAACCTCGGAGCTGCGCGCGAAGCCTAGCTGACGGTGACAATCGTGATTGATCGACGGACGGCCGGCCACAGGGGCAAGTTGACCATGAAAGCATTGTGCATCGCAGAAAAGGTCAGGGTGAAGGCCTCACGTTCAGACTTCGCGACTTGAAGAATCATGATTCAAGATTCACACTTCACGATTGTCGATGACCAAACAAGATCTTGTGTGAAATGCATGACGGTCGTGTCCTCGCGAAGGCGGCATGCGCTTCTCTCTTCTGGCTGTCTCGGGGGCCCGTCGACTGATGCAAGCACAGGGCGCCACGCGATTTGGCAAGCCTTGTCGGAGTTTTGCGCTTCCGGAGATGATCGCTCACAGGCTCGGTTCATATCTTATCTATGGTGCATATTGGCTATAGGGGTCCTTGGTGAAGGGGTATCATCTCTGCTTCGGGATTTAATAACCGAGGAAATTGCAGGTGGCCCGGGTTCGAGTCCCGGAGGACCCCATTTTTTTCCCGCGGCCGAGCTCCTTTGGACCCACTCAACCCTCTCTGTGTCAAGCAGATCCATATCTACCAGAATTTTGCAAAAAAAATTGGGTTTGATACTCTCAGCAACGAATGGTGACCTTAAACGATTTTCTCCTTGCACATATATGTTGCTGCAGAAAACACGCGCCGCTCGCGCGCCTGCGCCTGCGCGCCCGCGCAGCAAAGCGGACAAGCATCCTGCTCGTCTTTCTGCTCTCCTTTTTCACCACCATCACTGCGTCGCCGACACCACCATCATCTTGTTGTGCTGGCATCATCTACATGCCCAACAAGACCTAATGCGCGAACTCGACCGGGTCAGCTCCCATGCCGAGGTTGATCCTATGACTTCATGACGGCCTCGCGCGCGTACTCGACTGGTTCGAGTCCTGCGTGGCAGACTATGCAAGCGAGACGCGTACGACTGGTTCGAGTCCTGCGTGGCAGACTACATGCAAGCGAGACGCGTACGACTGGTTCGAGTCCTGCGTGGCAGACTATATGCAAGCGAGACGAATCTGCCACTCACACTCCTAATTGCTTGCCGTCGCCACAGAGTTCCTGTGCGCTCCCTCGGGCGACAGAACAAGTCGTACACACCAGACGCCGCCGGTGCGAGCGCCTGGACACACATTAGCGTAGTACATCCAGCGTCACAGACACTCAAGACTGCAATAAGAAGGAAAGACCGCGCGGTCATTGACTTTTCTGTGAATGTCCCTGCTTCCAAAATTTGTCCGTCCATGTTGCCTAGTCTGACAACTGGGCTGGGGTCGACTCATGTCTCATCATATCGCCGCCAGTACATTTATCATAGACGTCTCGTAGCCCTGCACCAGGCTGTTCGAATGGGAAATCCAAGCCGAAGGAAAGGTGACTATATCGAGCTAGGGCCTCGCCCATACTCTGACACCAGCTGTACGTAGGAGCAGGGCTTCACCAATACAGAGGCCGCCGTTGACTACAACGCCACATTCAAAATTGGCTCCCAACACATCGCTTCGCGATTGCCTGTAAATCGAAAATGCACCGTACCAGAAGCCACGCGCGTCTACGTTCCACGTACTGCGCCGGAATCGGTAAAACCAGAGCCCGTAAAAGACGAGCGCAAAGCCACCATGCACCATCGAATTGCGCTAAGGCCCCTTCGTTCGGCAAGATTCGTGTGAAAAGCGCGAGTCGCGCTGTCGACAACACCATCCTCAGAGTGCTCCACTCCGACCTCTTCAGCACCGTCTTCATCCTCCTCCCGAGGCCGTTGAGCCCTTGCCTTGCGCTCGGACTGGCAAAGGCACCCAACTGCAAGTCGGCATTCTGCTTCAGACCGGACGCCCTCATTGTTATCGCTCTAGCAGCCAGCAAGGACCTTGCCGTGAACCGAGCCTCGCACAAAGTGCGGCATGCATGGTCACTACTTGTTGGTAAATATGCCAGCTTCAGCCGGACATCGAGCGCAGACGCTGAAATTTTGAAGACGAGACTTCCAGGCGCCTTTCCACGATCGGAGCGCGATGAGCAGGCGGATCCGAGATTCACAAAAGCCTCACACGAGTTCGAGGAGAACTCTTCAACCGCCGGTATGGGCTCGCCTCCAACATCCGGCCTCGCACCCTCGCAGAGGCAAACGCTCGGATGCGACTGCTTCGATGTGCAGGGTCATGGACATTACTGACAATCCTGAGCGCATCCGCAGTACCTTTTCGCGTTTCCTTGTACGTGGGCTGAAGGCATGGCATCCCGTCCGACTTCTTCGACAGACGCTTCTCAACAACTGCAGACGCCGTTATTCACAATAATCCGCATTGTCTGGGCGAGTGTCCGCGGCTCTTCCTCCTCTTCGGCGAATTCAGGACATCCATACTTTTTCCGCTGCTTCGAGACTTACACCGCCACATGCATTCAGCGGTCTCGCTATCTGCGGCACCGTCCTCATGTCTCTCGAGAGCTGCATGCGCGCGATCTCTCCGGAAATCAAAACCTACAAAAGGCTCATCAGTGAAGACGTGACTGCAACATCAAAAGCCACCCGGCATGGGTCAAGGAGTCAAGATCAGACGAGTGGCGCTGGACAAAGGCGAATCATTTTCCGCAGCCTTTCGCGATCGCCCTTCATGGCAGCCGTTATATTGCCGCATCAAGCCATCTAGATACGCCTGATCCTCCGACCTCTGATTAAGTAGGCATGGCGAACTCCGCGCACACACATCCGGATGAGTCCCTCACTTTCGGGCGGGGCATCATAGACCTGTTCCTCGTCAGCGCAAGTACGAATGACCTGCTGTTGGACGACGAGTCTCTGCGACATGACACCACACTCACCAACAAACTCCGAAGCATCCTCTCTTGACCTCTCTCAGACCGCGGACACGAGGAGTGAGACAAAATTTTTGGCTTAGCCAGGCCAACGTTGTAGACGGGTCGGCACTATGACAAGTACAGCATTGCCCAGCCCGAATACGCCATCAATGTCAGCGCGTCAGCGCCCGGCCCGCAGCACTGCGCTCGTCCATGGCCTTGGACTCCCATCGCAAACTTGATGGTTGCTGGCTAAGGCACACGCTACCCGAATCAACCCACTACGATCAAGAACGCCGTCACAAAAGTCTGAGATCAACAAGACCGACGTGATATTAGCGGCTCGGCTGGGAATTGACGCTCAAAAGACAGAAGCGGAGCATTTACAGCCACCGTCCAGCTCGCGCAATACCAATACTACCTATTGCGACCATTAATGTCGCCGCATTTCCACGGTCCTTGCAACGCTCGTTTCGGATTCCTGAGAACAACGGATCGACTCATGTCAGTTGGCTCACTAAGTGGCTGGACACTCACAACGCGTGCCGATCTACCACGGAACAATGACAGCGCTCCTGCCTCCGCAGCTCCGCCCACTTGGCTCAGCGGTTGATGATGTCTCAAATCGCTCCTGGTAATGGCAACGACTAGGCGCCAGAGCGCAAAGACCAGGTCTTGGTAGCAGGTAAAGTCACGCTCGCTCGATTTGCCTTACGGCTTTCGATGTGCGCTAATTCATCTTCGCCAAGGGGCGTGACAGCCTTGGAGACGGGTGCGCATGCCAAAGACCATCCCCAGACGTTGAAATGTCTGGGGCAGCACTATCTACAGCCAGCCGCATCACTTGAGGAGGAGTTTGCAGCCTTCCTCCATGCGAGATGGCCCAGCCACGATTCTGACGACTGAGCGCCTCGACTCCCAACTCGAACTCCCACTGCCTCTAAGGAAAGCCATTCCTGATGAATAAATAATGAGCATCAGCTCGGTAGGTCCGGCGCAACCTCTATGAGCGTATCCGTAACGGAAGATCTTGGCCGTGGACTGAACAGCGAAGACGGGCTGACAAGGCTGTCGACAATTCCAAGTAGTGATGATGGGCGAAAGCGTGGAGATGAAGAGGCGTGAGCAGCAAAGTTGGACCAGCTGAAGGAGACGACTCGGCGCCTGGCTCGTGCGGGTGCAGGATACTCGAAGTCGCCGAGCCTAAGGCAATCAGTCGCAGTCACCTTGACCCAGACAGACCGTAGTCACTGTGAGTGTGGGACGTGCTGCGCGGCGAACCAATTCAAAATTCACCATTGTTGAATCACAATTTTGAATCACACGAATGATAAATAGCGGCACTTCACGCGCGATCGTGAGCGGGCCTACCGATGCACGCGCAGGCGCATGAACAGTCCTGTGAGGACGTACATACAGATAGAGAACAAAGGAAAGCGCGTACGCACATCAGGTACCCTTCACCCCCTCATCATCCATCAACCCCTCATCATCTGTGACGCAACGAATGATGGCCCAAGCAACAACCTTTTTGCAGCGCGTGCCCGCTGCGCGTAAGGCTGGGAAGGGAGAGTGGGAGGAAGCTGCCTGGTGTTCCAGCGTTGCTGCAGGCGAGTGACTTCGGCAAAAAGTCACTCGCCTGCAGCAACGCTGGAACACCAGGCAGCTTTCCCCCACTCTTCCGTCCCAGCCTCACGCAATCCGAACTTCCGTCGCAAGCGCTCCCGCTCGAGCCCCTCACGATGTGGATGGAAACAAGCAAATGACCCTTTGACGCAGCGATAAGAGCAAGAGCAGAGCCGAACGTGCCCTCAGACCTGGCAAGTAAGGATCTCGGCGCCACATCGACTTGCTCCTTCGAGGCCAGGCTAGTCGGAGACTGCTCAAGACTCGTGATTCAAGACTGCATCCTCACATCTGTGTCAGCGGGACCGTCCGCACGCAACGCACGCGTCTGACAGCACGTCACCGCCAGCTCAGCACGCATCGCTGGCATCCGTCTCTTCAGCGTCCTTCGCCCTGCTTCGCTGTCGCTCGCACATAAAGCATGCGACGTGCACGAACGAGGCGACCGCACTTTGCTACCATCCCTCCTCACAAATACCATCTTCATTCATCCACGTCTGCTTGCCTGAGCTCGAGAGCATCTCTCCTCAACAAGAGTCTCGTACACTCCAGTCAGCATTGCCTGCCCCCCCGGTGTACACCTTCTTTTTGCCGTGCTTACCCGGCGTAGCCAACAAACACTCGATCCTCGTAGTTGAGGTGTCTCTTCGGGTCTCTTGCCCCGACGTCACTCGCAACTTTCTAGCAACACTGGCAATGTGCACCAACACAAAGCCTCACCAAGACCGACTAGTGATGGGTAGCGCAGTCCTCGCTCTGGAGCCAATCTTGTCGATCGTGACACGATTGGTCAAGAGACTCCGGATTCAGGCCCTCTACCTTCTCCACCCCTTGCGTTTTTCGATGAAGACACCGGCAAAGTACGATGCTATTACCCCAACTCTTAGGAGCGGACGTGCGCCGCACAGGAAGCAGGACAATTCACTACCGCTTAAGCGCTACCCTGCGGTCGGCAAGAAAAGACGACAACAGGGCCGAAAGACAAGTGAGACACTCCAACGGTGCGGGCGCCGACTCCAGAACCCTCTACCTTCTCCACCAAGGTCGCTCCGGGGACCTGTAAATGAAGGCGCTAGAGCTCGATGGCCAGATGCCCACCATGGCCAACGCATCGATTCGCTGTGGGGCATCCAGGAGCTTTACCAGACGGCGGACGGCAAGGCCACCGTCCCACGCTTCAACAACTCGTTGTGTGGGATTAGCCAAGCCAGGAAGCCGGATGGCATTGCCCAGCCGCCTGGCTGGGTCTCCTTGCCCTCGTCGGGAAGATCTTGCCAGATCTTCTACTACGATCGGCCCGAGTGGTGCACGTCCTGCGTGCACACCGCGGACGCTCCACACCCAACAAAAGATTGCCGCAGGCAGCACCAGGAGCGCCGAAGAGCTCTCCGAAGCATCCGTCGCCTGGTAAACACCGTCGATATCAGCTTTGCCGGACAGCTGCGACGTCTGTCTCTGCCTCGACCGCCGCTGTCGCGGTGCCAGCAGCTCAGCAAGCTATAGGTCCGCCGGCGCCACTGGCAGCAGAGGACGTGGAGATGTCCGAGAACACTGGACAGCAGTCTAGTGCGCTGGACCTTTCCACAGGGGCTTTTGCAGGCCTCAGTGAGTCGGCGAGGGCCTACCTGCGGGCAACAGCCCGCTCATCCGACGTGGAGTCGCGTAGCCCCATTGAGGGAATCCAGAAGCGCCCACGAGGTCTGGCACTATCTCAACCATGTCCGCGTGCCAGCAGGTTTCTGTCGTTTCCCGGTCGACTCAACAAACCCAATCTCGCTTGCTACACCGCAAGCGAAAACAGCTGCTCGAATGACCTTCGATGCCCAGCTGCGCAACGTTGGCCTCACCTCTTTTGAGGTGACGCTAAACAACCAGAGCAACACTCTGCGCTCTGTCGACATCCGTCTGCTCCCGCCCGTCACCGACTTTCAGCGACTCGCTCTTCGCTCTTCCCAGCTCCAACTACAAGGTGCTCGCCTGTCTTTCGCCCTTGAGGGCCGAGAGATCCCACCAGGCTGCACCTTCTTCAACATCTCCGATGTCAGCGCAGCAACACTCGAGAAGCCTCACCAGCTTTTCACTTCACTGGACGGCCAATTCGCTCACCACGGCCAGCGCATCGAGGCTCTATGCTAGCCCTAACCCTAAATCTAAATCTAAGCCTAGGCGCCCAGCTTTTGTGCTAACGAGCACCTTGTCGGTGAATGGGCACGACCCAAAGCGCGTCAACGCTGCTGCAAACGCCTCTTCGTCTTCGTCACTGGTGCCCGTTGCCTCCACCTCTGCATTGTCTTGTGTCGTAGTGTAGTCGTGGTCTCCATCCTGCACGTATATACGCGACGACAACATCACTAAGTTGTAAGTATTTGAGTCTCTCCTGCACGTATACACGCAATAACAACATGAGTAACTTCTAATGACCACAAGAACGGGGCAGGGCCGCAACTCTGCAGCTGATCCAAGTGCTGATGTCTTAGATTCACGATAAGCTCATGTCGTGCTCCGTTCTTGATTTTGGGGCATTTGTAGCCGTACGCATCCTAGAGAGTACTCATGACTCTTTGCCTTCTGTGTACTTTTAATGTGGATCCTTGTGCGGTCCACAACACGAATGTTGACACAGCAGTAGGTGACAGCTTCAAGTCAAGTCGGCCCCAACAAGACAATCGGGATGTGTCTGACTGAGAAAGGAGTTTCCCACCTACAATACCGAAGCGGCAAGGCGACCATTCTCGATACACACACACACACACACACACACACACCAGTGTTTGCATCCCATGCTTCCTGTATCTCAGAACCAAGAGGACTGACTGCCTTGTGCGTCCGGCCACTCACACACACCTCGTCTCTCATCCCGCACAAATCATTGACATTCGTCTTGAGGCAACCTTTCAGACCGCTGAAAACAAGTACGCAGCCGTCGACACCTGCTGCGATGCATCTCGTACTCGACAGCATCTTGGCATGTTTTCTCAGCGATATAAGCGGTGATGACCCCTACAAATGGTGGTGAATCATGACACCGGTCGGCGGTATTGTGACTGTGGATGGAGATGCTGCCGCGCGAAGGTGTTTGGCAGCACGCAGGCGGAAAGATCTGCTGTAGCTAGGTAATCGTGAATCCGGCACGCCGCACGCGCTCTGCACGCATGTGGAGGCCATATGGTGATGTGAGGTGGACAGCAGATTGGACGACTTCTTCCCGCTGCCCTTGCCAGACCTTCATCCTTCCATCATTGCGCGGACTCCAATCCTTCACCTTGCCCTTCCCACCCTTTCAGCTGGTTCAACAGCCGCCAAGAAGCTACAACATGAGACACGCGCATTCGTGCCTCGCTTTTGGCAGCTCGCTGTCGTGTGGTCTGCCAGCGACACCTCAGCCTCGGCGTGCGGACCAGCTTATCAAGGTGCTGCCGACTTTTGCCGAGTCATCTTCCAGCGCAGCCTTGCGGCAGAGTTTGTTCAGAGGTCGCAGCGAGCGACGTCGACTGTTTCACTCCAGCTCATTGTGCAGAGACTACTACAAGACTCTCGAGGTCCCTAGAAATGCCTCGACTCGTGACATCAAAGCGCAATTCTACCGAGTAAGTGTTGGCAGGGGTGCCAGGACCTCTCGCCCAAGTGGTGATGCTCAGCTTCGTAGACCGAGCAACTCATATCGCCCTGCCCCCGCGCTCCTGCTTGCCTCAGCTCTCAAAAAAATGGCACCCTGATGTCAACAAAAATAACGAGGGAGCAAAGAAAAAGTTTCAAGAGGTGTCCGAAGCCTGGACCACGCTAGGCAATGAGCGGAGTCGGTGAGTGAGACCTGGTCTAGGCCATTGAATGCAGTGCGGGGAGGCCGGGGAGCAAGGCTCAGCTCTGATGGTCTCCACCAGACTGGCTGCGCTGACGCGACTAATGCTGCTCATTAGGCGCGACTACGATCGGCGCTCGTCGGAAGGCGCAGCTAGCAGCAGCGGTGGAAGCTCCTCAGGGCCAGGTTACTCCTACGACTCGTCGTCCAACACGCAGAGGCGAGCGAGAGCGACGTACGCCTGGGAGTACCAAAGGAGAAGCTCTTCTCCCAAAGCTTCTCGCTCTTCAGCCCACACCAACTACTCTCCGCATGGCGCTTCTGCAGGGGCAACGTCGTCGGAATATGCTAGGGCCGCCTTTGGAGCTGGAACAGAAACGTCGGGCGCTTCGCAAGAAGCTCAGAGGGCCGCATTCGACAGCATGGTCAGATCACAGAGGGCGAGGGAGGAGTTCGCGGCGAAGAGAGGCAGGCCCCAGGCGTATTCTTCGTCAGCAGGCCACGGCATGGCTCCAGAGACTGAGACGCAGAGATCTAATCCTCTCATCAAGTTTGCTCAGGTCGTGACGCTCTTCTTGGCTACTGCCTGGCTTGGCAGCAAGCTGGCTGCAGGGACGGGCTCCAGCACAATCAAGGCGGATGAAGGAGATAGAATTGTAGAAGAGGACACGTCATAGAGCGTAATTAGTGCTTGGAATTGCGGTTTCGAGCGAGTGCGCGGTGTAGCGTGTGAAGTTGTATTCGTCGGCAGGGTCAGACGATACATCAGAGGCGGACATCTGAGGTCCACGAACTGTGAGAAAACTTCTCGAAAAGTCGCGCATTGACGCCGAAGCCTTCCTTCTAGGGTCTAACGAGCACGACTATGCCGCTTGGACCTCACGGCTGGATGTCGCGAGGACAGCTGCGCGCTCACATAAATCGTTTGCGCCGACACATTTCTCACGTCGAGTACTTGTCGTAATCCTCTTCTGTGAGCTGATAGGCCCAGTGAAACAGCGTCTGTCGCACTATCGCGCCGTCCAAAGCAGGTCGCCGCAGTGTGAGCCTGGCTGTGCAACGTTACCGTTCGATTCCATTTGACCAGACTCACCAACGGGCGACACGCCTTCGTCGTCCCAACGTCCGCTCGAGACCATCACCTTCCCGACAAGGCTTTTCTTGAATCTGCCATTCGGGCCCGCAGCTCCCAACCATCGCGTTATCTGCCTCTCATCGTCAGCTGTGCGGCGACCAGCATGGAAGCGGAAGTACCACTGCAATTGCGTTTTGAGCAAGATCGTTCGAGCTTATCAGCTCGTCATCGTGGCGAAGTGGCGAGGTGGGGATCCGCACTCACCTGAAACCATCCTCTTGGGTCCTGCTCATGGATCCATCCATTTCTCTCCCAATCGCTCAAAGTCTGACCAGCCTTGACTCCGAACCTGTTTTTGTCCACATCGTAATCCGGGTTGTAGAGCTGTTCCTCGGGTATGCCGTCAATCTCGAATTCTTGGGCATCTGAGTTGCCCAGAGTGCGATGGAGCACGCTGCTGAAATGTTTTCTAAGAGAAGCGTGAGGATGACTTTTAGTGTGTCAGTCCAAATGGACGAAGGACAAGTAGTGCATCAGAAGCTTCTGCTCTCGTATCGATATTCACCTGAACGGACCGCCTCCAAACATTCCACCTTCGAGCATCTCGCGCGGTGTGAGATTCGGGGTGAAGTGCTCGTAACCCTTCTCGAAATGGATGACTTTGCCTTTGCGCTTTGGCGGCGGCCCGTCTGGGAGTTGCTCGGCCTTTTTGAGTACGCTGGTGGACGAGCTGCTCGGGCCCGGACGATTGACGGGCAGAGACTTGAGCTTGAAGTTGGGTCTGATGGACATAGAATGTCCATTTCGACCCGCACCGTCCGATGCTCGTCGCATCGCCCTCTCCGCGCGGGTCAATGTGGAGCGAACGTCGCTGAACTCGCGCTCCGCTGCATAGTAAGAGGGCGCAGAGACTTTGCGCGAAGATCGTCGAGTCGGCTCGATCATTGCCGCCTTTTGAGATCTGCCATTCGCTTTCGCTCGATGGCTTGAACGACCCGTCTTCGGATTTTCTGTGCTCTGAATCCGACGCGCCATCTCGACATTCTGTGGGCGACAAGCACGTGCAGCATGGCCAAAGGCGTGACCCGGTTCTGGTCAGCTAGAAGCTCATTCTAAGGCCCACAATCTCGGGCTTACTGGTGCCGCAAGGAAGGGACGCACAGCCCAATGGCGGCGGCAGATCCGACTTGCCATGCGCCGACTCACATTGAGGCCGAGACTGGCCAACAGCTCGGCATTCTCTTTCATTCGCTTCATTCTTTCCGCTTCGTAGTCAGCATCATCCACATCGCTGTCCCCTTCATCCTTGAGAGCAACAGCTTCATTCAACACGTGATCGGCGGCAGGACTTGGACTGGCGGAGAGCGTGCTGACCACACCTTCATCCGTCTCGCTAGCTGGCGCTTTGCCCAGTGACTCTTGTACAGGTGTTTCAGACGACGCTACTTGCTGCCTGGATGATCTGCCACGCCTACTGCTGATGCTTGTTGCATGATCTGAAATTGGAGACGGGCTCGGCTGTCGGAGCTTGTTGGACGCTTGCCGTGCTCGCTTTGGAAATCGATCGTAAGTGCCATCGAGTGAGGATGCAGATCGAGCCAACGCTCGTGCGGGTCGTGTGGCCATACTGAATGCGCGATCAATGAAGAGGTTGCGGGCGCAATCCTGACTGTTTTGGATGGATTCCAGCGATGTATGCGCGGAGAGAATGACTGCTGCGGTGCCAGAGACAGCAGATGACGTTCCTTACTCAGCAGGTGATTGTTGGTAGGAAAGTCCAGGATTAGTATAGCTGTGCAGGCGCTCTATAGGTCCTTTTGACTGGTCAGGATAATCGTTGTTCTATACAAGTGCTTCTTCTTGTAGAACGATTTGCATGTACCATAAGCTGCAGCTTCTCAGTACTCTGCCTGTCTCACTGACCGTGAAATCTGAGTCAAGCTCGGGATGACTTCAGCGTGATTGGATTGATGGTGAGTCTGTGAGCGTGTGAGCTTTAGCAGGCAAGGCGCGGATGGATGTGCCGGCGCGGCGTCTTCATCCTCTCGTCTTGAATTCGCTTTTCGTGGCGTCAAATCGATAATTTTGGATCTAAATTAAGAATCACGAATGTCGAGCGCGCGGTTTCTTGTCGTCTCGCGTCGATCGCGCCAAGTGGAGGGAGCCTATACCTACAGCGTGAGCATATGATGCACAAAACGCGCGCGCACCGCGGCATTCACATGCACTGTGATCCTCATGCCGCCGCTGCTGCTGTGACGCTCACGCGTGCGTGCGCGCGGTGCGTGAAATGATGGCTACAACCGACGCGGCAGCACGCGCAACCAACACCGCGTCCATCATGCCATGGCAGATGTTGTGCGCATGCAGGAGGTGTACCTATAGCGCCCCGCCTACGCGGCAGCGACCCGCGAGAATAGTGGGATACTCTTGAGCCCTCGCTCCGGACTAATGCTGTCAATGCTACACCATTCCTTGACCTCTGAGTCTCGACCGGACAGACTCACGACCGGCCATCCACTTTCCCACTTCCTTTGTTGGCTGTCGGCGCCATCTGAAAGTCCGCAGACCTGATCCATGCACACGCCGCCTCTAAACAACTTGATCGCTTCCAATCGATCGACCACCCGCAACTCGTGTTTGCGAAAAACAACGCCAGCTCACGAGTTCGCCTTCGGCCAACATGTCATTCAAACAACATCCCGGACTCACCAAGGAGTCTAATCCTCGTGATTGGGCATACAATCTGGGTGCGTAGGGGGTGCATGTCATTCAAGACGCAGTGTGCGCTGGACGCGTCTGCTCCGCTGCCCTTGGCCTCACGAGACCGATGCCTGGCTCGCGGACTGTTCACACTCTCCTCTTGTCTATGGCCCAACTTCCCGCTTACAGGTGGCTTGCCTCAGGACGACTCCATCATCTTCACAAAGAAGAGCTTCATCGACTTTTGCAAAGCATACAACATCGACGTCTCGCCTAGCTTCGGAGAGATCAAGAGCTTGCCCAGGTGAGTAGTGGAACGCATGAGCTATCGGCGACGGGTCGCTCGTGGACGAAACGCGATTTGGCATACACCTTGGGCACCAAGCAGCACTAGAGGCAGCGATTGGCTCTCGAGCGCTGTGCAAGCGTCCGCGTCGGGTGAACTGACATCAGACTTGCAACCCAGTATCTGCACTGACCACCATTACACTCATGTGACAGGTTCGCTCAGATTGGCAAGCTGACGCTTTCCGCTGGGTCTTCAGCTGAGGTCGAGTCAGCCACGCAAGGTCTTCAAACAGCATCTTTGGAAGAGCCAAGACGGGCACCTGCACCCCCGACCTCATCTGCCGGAGGCCAGCTGGGCGAGCAGAAGAATGTGGTTCGCGACCCTTCCGGAGATGCTTTTAGGCCCACGCGACGAGTGCGGTGAGTTCGATGGACAAAGCGCGGTGTGAAGCGACCACTGATAGGAGCACGGCTGCTGCCTATGCATGGTCCATACCGCAGTGAGCTCATAGGAGGTGGCTCTTCGGGCGTGACGGCGCTCTTCAGCGAGGCTGACGACGAGGAACAAGCAGCGGCGGCGGCCGAGTCCGCAAGGAGGCGGGGTCTCGCTCCTACCTCTTCGGCGCCTCCTCCTCTCACTACCGCTGCGCCTGCTTCCACCAACCAGGGGGAGTCTGCGCAGGACATACTGGCGCGTGAGCAGGCGGAGAAAGCTCAGAGCGCTCAGGCTGGATTCAGACCCACACGTAGAGTTCGGTGAGTGTAGGCACAGCTCGCATGCTGTTAGAATTCTACTGAAATGCCTGTTGCCTCGCCTGAAAAATCCGATCCTGATCCAACTTCTCGCCCTCTTTCGACTTGATGCTCTGGCAGCGTAAGTTGATCGGCTCGACGCAAGATGCAAAGCGCCCTCGTGCGACTCGCCACGCTGCTGACTCGATCAGGCCATGTCTTTCATCCTCAGGAACAAGTGGGGGGTGGATCTGATGCTATGCAAGGTATCTTTGGAGGCAATTAAATGGCTCGAGAGCGATGCATCTTGCGCCGCTATAGCAGCAAAGCGTGGCTTTGGCTTTAGCCAGCCGCGAGAAGTCGCTCTCAGCAGCGACCAGGCAAGCAGCTCGACGAATCACGAATAGCGACATGAAATAGCGATACCTCTTGTGCCCTCGCGCACCCCTCTCTTTGGCTCCCTGCCCGCGAGCGAATTCATCTAGACTGACTCGCGCAAGGGCTCATACGCCACCTCGCTGCACAATAACGTCGTCGACTACTCTGTTCGGCCCTATCACGGCCCTGTGCAGAGCGTAACGTCACAATCTTGATGCCGACCTATAGCTTGAGTGAGGGGGCAATCACGAACCAGTAGATCATGGATCAGAATGAGGCGAGCACACATGCACCATCTGAGCGCGCTTTGATGCTGCGCCCACCTGCAGCGCAGCAAAACTTGATCGTCCGCGCGCGGGCGCGGGCACGGGACGTGCCCCGCCATCGCGTGCTGCTATAGGTTAAGGATGTCACGATGATTCAAGATTCACATTGTGTGCATGTAGAGAGGGAGACCTATGTAGCTATGCCCGTGTATAGCTGCCAACCAACAAGCAGCTAGAAGACTCGTGACCGTGTGAAGAAGCGATGTGTCCACATCTTGCTACTTCAACATCCTTGACACTCTTCACTCGACTCGGTGCACCGGCCGCTGATCCCCCATCCACCTCCTACAGCATTCACAATCACAAAGGCAAGGACTGCATCAAGATTATCGGGCATCTCTGAAGGAGGAAGAGCTGGCGGCCAAATTATCTGTTTTCTGGGCACTGCCTTATTCTCTTTTGGCTTAGCGAGGCTACCTAACGCAACTTTCACAAGCTCTGGGAAGCGTAGACTCCGGAAAAGGTCCGCATACAAGGCATCTGCCGGTGTATTGACTGGACCAAGCTGCGCTCGCCATGTCAAGCGATCCAGTCGCTTCCGCCATAGCTGAGCAGTCCATCCCTCACGAAGCCTCCGCCACACGTTCTGAACCCATATCTCATCACGCAGCAGCCGAAGAGGTCAAGCGCGCTGCAGCCACCGAAGGCAGCGATGTTGGTGATGACGACGATGATGATGAAGAAGACGGGCCGGTGATATTCGACGAAGAAGATACTTTACCAGGTTTCGCCAGCCGAGAGGCTTTGGCTGGACCTAGCAAAGCATCCTCTGGTATCCCTGCCAGTCCTGCTGGCACTTCTTACAGCCACACAGGCAGCGTGCTAGGCACGCTCGCATCAGCCAGGGTGTCCCGAGCCAGTCTCGAATCCGTAGGCTTCAACTACTCTCAGCATCTCCTGCCCTTGTCTCTGTCGGGCAGCGGCGAGGATGATTCGTACGACTACGATTACGAAGAGGAAGAGGAAGAAGATGAAAGACTAGGACTTGCTGATAGGCCGGGCAATGCCGGCGGCGATGAAGAGTCTTGGGCAGCACGCGGCAACCGCAGGAGGGGCAGCAGGGAGTACGGAGAGAGGGAAGGCGTCAGGATACTACCTGCTCCCGGGCGGAGGAGGAGGCGAAGAATGGCAGCTGGCGCCCCTGGCAGTCCTATCAGGCCCGATCAGAGGCGCATGGGCCTCGTTGATGGTGAGTCCAGCTGTCGCTCTACGCGTCACCTTGAGACGTGCCCGGAAAGGCCCCGAGCAGACTGACGCCCCTGTACGACTTGGGCTATTCGTGGCATCTTCCCCAGGCATTGCTCTCACTGTCGGCTTGCAAATCGGGTCAGGCATCTTTAGTTCTCCTGGCGTAATCACGCTCAACACTGGCAGCATAGGGGCAAGTTTGGTAGTGTGGCTTGTCAGTGGCGTGCTAGCATGGACCGGAGCCTCGTCATTCGCCGAGCTAGGGGCAGCCATTCCCCTCAACGGCGGCGCGCAGGCCTATCTGAATTATTCTTTTGGACCTCTTTCGGCATATCTATTCGCCTGGACTTCCATCGTTGCTCTCAAATCCGGGTCTGGAGCCATCATAGCTACGATCTTTGGCGAATACGTGGCTCGCGTACTCTTCCACACGACGTCGTCTGCTGCTGGCGACCCACACGAGCAAGGCTTGGATGGTATCCCTGGTTGGAGCATCAAACTTTCTGCTTGCATCGTTGTGGTGCTTATCAGTGGCCTACAGGCTCTGAGCAGCAAGTTGGGAACGCGTGCGCAGGTAGCAACGACCGCCGTCAAGCTGGCCGCTCTAGTCGCTGTGCCCATTCTGGCCATAGTACAAGCGAGCCGAGGTAAGACACCGGAGCCTTCAAGACAAGCTATGAGGAGCTTCTCTGCGCTCTTCGAAGGCAGCTCCACTAGTCCTAGCAACTACGCGCTTGCCCTGTACTCTGGGCTATGGGCTTTTGACGGATGGGATCAAAGCACCATCATCGCGGGAGAGATCAAAGTGAGCACGATCAGTCGCACGCGAGAAGGTCTCCCTGGAAGTGATGCTCAGCTGACGTCGCATGCACCCTCAGAATGTCACCCGGAATCTGCCACGCGTCATTCACTCGAGCTTGGGTATAGTGCTGGCCATCTTCATGAGTGAGTGTCGTTGCGCGTGGTGTGCCTCGGGCGTTTTCAACAAACTCAATTACCTCGGCACTTCACCGCAGCCACGGTCTTATCCTACTTCCTTGTGCTTCCTCCGGCTCTTGTGAAGCAAACAAACACTGTAGCACTAGATTTTGGCTCAGCCATCTTCGGAACAGCAGGCGGAGTGGTTTTCGCCTGCTTGGTTGCTTTTTCCTGTCTTGGCGCGCTCAATGGACAATTCTACACATCTGGTCGATTCGTCTTCACTGCTGGAAAGGAAGGATACTTGCCAAAGGTTTTTGGAAGGATCAACACGAGGACCAGAACGCCGATCTGGGCCATTGTGCTCCAAGCCAGCCTCGTCCTCCTCTTCATCCTGTTTGGTAGCGGATTTGCATCGCTCGTCAATTTCTACGGGTAGGTTCACCAGTCATCGCTAGCACGCTTTATCTTGACCCGCTTGCTGAAGCGCAACACACCCGCAGTGTATGCTCGTGGTCTGGCTATTTCTTCACTGTGCTGGGTCTTCTTGTGCTGAGGATCAAGGAGCCAAATTTGGAGAGGCCTTATCGAGTAAGTCCTTGCGGAGCGGGTTTGCCTAGTTTTGGCCCTCTTGTCTGAATCGCGTCGATTTCTTCCTCGCATTCTCAAGACGTGGCTCGTCACGCCAATCATTTTCTCTGCAGTTGCCCTTTTCTTGCTCATCATGCCCATCTTCTCCTCCCCGCTGGAAGGTGAGCAACGATCGGCCAAGACCGGCTGGCTCTCTGTGGCCGCAGCTGACGTGCATCCCTTCTCTCTGCAGCTATCGCCGCTTTTGGGTTCATCCTGGCAGGTGTGCCCATGTACTACCTCACGCAAAAACGAGTGCTGTCAGGCCTCTTCTCCAGGCAGGCGGAGAGGGATACTAGCGCATCACTGGCTTCTGCTCAGCAAGACCGCTCTTCCGTCGACGAGTATCGAGCGTCCAAGGAAGACAGGACATCAGCAGACGACGACGATGAAGAAGCCATGGAAATGCTTCCACGCGACTCGCGCCATGATCCGGAGCGGTGACTGCCCGGGGAAGGGGGGGTGGGGGGCGTGCGAAAGTGCCTCGCAGGGCTGCAAATATCTGGCTTGAGTCCTGTCATGTGGGCGGTGCTATCTGCTAAGAGCATTGCAGCTCTACGACGATCCTCACGCGTGATGCATTGCCAAAATTGTCCATTGCATTCCAAAGCAGGGTGATGTAGAGCGAAAGATGAAAGTTACAAATGCAATCGGATACGGCGAGGGACAACGAGAGCAGACGGAGCGACCGGCATCATGAGCCGCCCCACTCGTAGCTCTCGGTGACAAGATCGATGTAGGGTGCTGTCCCGCCTCGAATGCCACTCGGATCGATCTGCCTCGACACGATGGAGCGCAGAAGACTAGAAAGACTTCCAGGTCCGCAGCTGGTCACCAAAAGGCTCTGGACGCTTCGTGATTGACTTCCGTAGCCCGTGCCTCGCGCTGAGACGAGTTTCTCGGACTCCTCGCGGACAATCGCATCTAGGCGAGGGTGACCTGGTCGCGCTAATTCGGCTACCGCCCTCATGTCAGCGTCCTCGAGAGGGTCCAGGTCGATCGGCGCGTCGAAGCTAGCAGTGCCGGGCGGCACCATGCCGTGCTCCAAATCCACACCTGCGCCACCGGCAGGGCCCTGCGCAGTGGCGATGAGATTTGTGGTGCTCGCCATGGGCGTGACCAGCATGCTGCTTCGATAAGAGCTCAGGCCAGGTCGACTTTGAGGGAAGAGATTGGGGGATGGAGGTGCTGAAGGCGTGAGTGCGCCAGATGGAGTGAGCGTGCCGGGCGTAAGCTTTCCGTCGCCACTCGTCATATACGAGGGTCCATGCGGTAGGAGGTGATGACTGCTTGGAGTCGATTCGGGTTGGCGCCGTTCCTGAACTGCGGGCTTCGAATCTTCAGTCTCGCTGTCCTGGCCATACAGCGCTCTTTGGCTATTTTCAGTGATATCAGCAGCCCAGACGTCGGGACTCTGCTTGGCTTTTCGTCCAGCTTTGCGCACAGACTGCTTCCTGGTATTGGCTCGTCGCAACTTGCCTTCCTTGTGCAGACGCTCGTTGAGCCGAACCTCTGTAGCAGAGGGCGCGCTGAAATCCTCGCCGTCAAATTGCGTCAAGTCGTAGGCAGACACGTCGTACTCCTCCCCTTGACCTGCAGAGGCTTCGGTGAATCGATTGTATCCAGGAGCATCTGGCATGCCATCACCATAAGCCGAAGCGCTTCCGTTATTCATCCGATGACGGACGTCCGACTGTGTACCGTAAGCACTGCCGTCACCGAGGATGCCAGCAGTCGGACCTCTTGCTGCGGGTCGCCTGGTGGAGGGCGTCTCGAGGTTGTTAAGATGGGTGACGTAGAGGTCGATGCGCAAATAAGCTGGATCCACAAGCTCGATGCACCTTCTGAGCGCGGAGGCAATCCACTGCAGATGACTGAACTCGCGTAGCATCCACACGAAGCGTACTCTAGTCAGTGGCATGCTATCCTTGGAAGTTCCAGCGCTCGCCATTCTGGCGCAGAGATGCTCCAGAACGGACATGCCGAACGAGACGCCGCTGCCTCCGCAGATGATGAGCACAGTGCCATTTTCCTCCCAGTTGACTCTAGCAGAAGAGCCGTAGGGACCATCTACGAGCGCGCGGATGTGTACTCCAGCGGTCGCTTTGTGAGCGGCAGCACCGGCCTCGATGAGCTGCGCTTCTCTCTGCGCGCAAACGTGATCCCACAAGTGTCGTGTGAAGCCGTGCCGCGCTCGTAACAGCAGCACGATTGTCCGCTCTTCGCCAGGCGCGTGAGTTAGACCAGCGCCTGCACCTGCGTCATACGCTGAAGCAATGGTGAAAGGATGACTTTCCCACCATCGCACACCCGGCACATTAAGATTGACGTATTGTCCCGGCCTCCACCACATTCTGTTCGGTGTTCGCAAGGTCATTCGGACAGTCTTTCCTGGCAGCAGCTGAGCAAAAGCGAAGCCTGGCTTGATCACTGCAGCTACGTCAGCGGCGATCGCTGGCCTTGCTGATCGCTTCAAGAGTGGACGTGATGCGGGGTTTGGGTGAGTGGCCTGCGCAGCGGCGCCGCGAGAGTCGTGAGAGAAGTGCGAGTGGGAAGCTTGCATTGGAGTCGCGCTCCACTGCGCGGCAGGACCTTGCCTTGCGTTCGCGACGTTCTCGACGTTCGCAGGCGGGTCTATCCCTTCCTGCTTGTACATGTCAGCACTGCTCAGAGGACGTGCGTTGCGTGGTGCGAACGGAGGGCGATAGTGCTGGTTGACGAGGTGACCATCCGACAGTTGCACCCCTCGTTCTTTCGGCGTCACGTCCCCTTGCAGCGTCTGACGGCGTGAGGCGTCAGTGTCAGCATCGGAGTAGTCATCAACGACGTCTGACACTGGGTCGTACTGCGCGCTGTCAGGCGTCTGACGCTTGAGCTGAGTTGGAAGATACTCCGTGATTACGCCCCGACTGCCGCGATTGGTTTCATTCCAATGCCCATGCCCATATCCAGAAGCCTCGCTACTCGAGCTGCCATTGCGGTCACCGATTGGCTTTCCTGGTGCCTCGCTACCCACGAAAGTCGAAACGGTGGCTGCTGAGAACCGACGACGGGGATCGATGCCGGCAGACCCGTTGTGGCGAACTCGATGTCCATGCCCATCAGTAGTAGAGCCCTCCGACCTCGGGGCAATCGATCGGGAGTACGAATCGATTTTGTTGGCGGACGAGTCAGACTCATAACCCCAAAGGCTACCCAGCGAGCTGAACTGTTGGCGCTGTGTAGCCGGCTGGCCGCCAATATGCCAGCTCTTCTCCTCGTGTGGTTTATCGCCAGTGGGGAAGGGCGATTGCGGCCACCCAGCGGAAGTAGGCGTCGTCGGCATGCGGTCCGCTTGCAGAGGCCTCGGCTTTCTGCCACTGAAGCCCAGCCCATTTGTCCAAGCGGTCTTCAAGGCTCTATATGCGCGCTCCGCCAGCCACCAGGCCAGCGCTGCCCACATCCAAGCCCCAAGTGGAGGGTGATGAAGAGCTGCAGCGATCATCGTGCCAGCTGCGCATACAATATGGCACACGTAGAAAACTTCGTAATAGTCTCGACGCAGGGGCCCCAGACTCAACAAGGTGAGTAGAGTCAAGAAGCCAAATGACTAAATGTGTACGAGAAGACAAGGGCTTCGCTGTCAATATCTATCTCTTGCTACGCCCGGTACACGCATCATGCTCACCACAAAGCCCCATCTGAAACGATTCCATAGAAAGACGAACGCCCACATATCTCCACCAAAAGCGTAGTCGAGCTTCAGCTGTACACTCCAAGTAGCTACGTGCACAGCAGCGAAGAGCCAGACAATTCTTCCACCCCACTTGTGTACGAACGAGAGCCTGTCGAAGGAAAGCCCGCCCAGCAAGCGAGTGCTGAAGATAGCGAAAGGCTGAGCTTTTAGAGCGACGACGACAATGAGTGGCGTAAGGGCATTTGTCATGATGCCAGTCCGACCACCCGCTGTCCACCAAGTCCGATATGGTAGTGTGACTGTGGCGGGGGCAGTTCCGATGTTCTGAAAGGAACCAATGCCCCAAGAGAGATGTCGGCGGTATGGCCCTTGTGATGCTTCTGGGATCCCATCGAGAGCACCCTTACTTCGGGCGAAAAGTGGCGTTCCCGGATCTGTGATGTTAGGGAAAGAGGCGGACATGTCGAATATGCCAGCCGTTGGTCTGATGTAGTCGGCGCCAATGATGGTCAGAAGAATAGGGATGAGGAGCAAAGCACACAGGAAGAGGCATCTCGCAACAGAGGGCAAGATGATCATCCTTCTTCTGGAGGGTGGCCGCATCTGTTGGCTAGGCTCCGGAGCTGGCCACCCTAGCATTCGAGCGGCTGCATTCTGCGTAACTTTCTCCGCCACAGGCCGGGGCCTCGACGACGCCTCCTTCTCGCCAATCTTGATGACTCGATTCCTCACGCCGACCTTTTGCCATAATGCTGCCAAGTATGGGGTGCGTTTGCTTAGGTGCAAGTGATGCAGTGCTGCTCCGAAGATGGCGAAAGCAGCAATGATGAACCACAGCAGGTACATGTATCTCCATGATGGCTTGGAGAGCATGTGGGCATTGAAGTAGCTGGCCAGATACACGCGCTTGTTGTCATCGGGGGAGAAGCAGCCGCCAGAGCAGCTTGCACGCCTCAACATCTCCCCCATCTTCGATAAGCTCATAGAGCTGCGTGTGGGATTCGTAGTTGTGAACAACACCAAGCCCTCCCGCGCCACCCTCCACGTCAATGCCGCCGTCGAGAAATCTCTTCCAGTAGGCTTATCGTGTTATTCGAGGGCGATGGGATGGTGCTGAGACGATGTTAGCAAGCGCGGACCAGCCGTATTGGGTAGAAGGACGCAAAGAGTGAGGGAATCTGCGATTACGAAGGCAAGCACCGAGCCGGGGGAGGATGAAGATCGAAGTTCCAAAGAGTCGCAAGAGTGTACGAGGTTGCCAGGATCGAATCAGCAGTCGATGTTGAAGCGAGCTGGAAATGCTCGTGTGATGCATCAACGCCTGGATGAGGGAAGCGATCGTTGACGGAACGCTGAATCGTGAACTATACCCCGACGCCGAGCCGTGAGTGCGGCAGTCTGATGAGTGTACGATGCTTCCCAGCAGACAGCGATGCGTTGCGTTGCAAATCTTGAGGCGCAGGAATACCGCGTGCTGCACTCAGCCACGGCGTGGCCTGCAGCTGCAGACAGGAGCGCTCGCTTTGGCAGGGCTTGTGCCCATGCAGAGACTTGCACTCTGACGACCGATGCAAGCCAAGTCGCATCTCTCCACACTCATCAGACTGCTGTGTACACTGCGGTAGGTACGAATCTTCGGCAAATCGTGAATGCGGCATGAAGGCACACCAAGATCTTTGCTGAATTTGCTGAAATTAAGACACTATATAAGCGGCTCAATCACGAATTGCTGCTTGCGTATATACGCTGACCCTTGCCTGCTGAGTATAGTAGTGGTGCTGCCTCTGATTATGTAGCTCGGAGCAGCACTGCCGGGTGCGGTGTCTTTGCGCAGACACCATAACGTGTATTCCTCGTCTCCGCACAGCAATTCAGCCACAATGTGAAACAGCAAGCACACGAGATGCGCGCGCGCGGTGCACCGCGATGTTCAGTCGACGCATCGCGTATGGGTAGTCGTGAGTACGTATAACTCGATCGATGATCAGTAACGAGTATAGCCGATCAGAGTATTTGGCCACATCAACCCATGAGCAAAGCACGCGGCTGCAGCGTCAGTAACAGATCCGTCAAGATGTGCTGCCAGAGCAACGGCGCGCTTGCTGCATATGCTGTGCTGAATTTGCCGAAGTGGCCCGGCCGATCCACCAGGCGCAGCAAATTGATACGTTGCACCCATGCACCCTTAATTTGCAGCTGTGTGTATATGCCTCGATGCTACATCATCCTTACCACGTACGCGCACGCCCGATCGGGCGCGACCAGTCAGCCTAGCCATGCTGTCTGTGTGTGCCGGGTTTGTCGTGGACTTTGTTGTATGGCGTGCGACAGCGCGTAATAATCTTTCACAACAATCGCGAACACATTTGCGATTCGCGGCCATCGGTGCCATTCAAATTGTCGCTTAACAGTCACGAGTACCTTGCATACTTGACTCGACTCGCGACGACTTGATCACTCTGGAGATGAAGCGGGCCGTGCTACCCACACGTGCCTCGCGGGCGATGATGAGCCTCTTTGGAGCCAATAATCTCTTTCGCGCCAATTAAGGTCAGCCTCATGCCAGACTTGTTGCTTGAGCCTCTTCATTCGCTCGCTGTGGAGTGTGGATGGAGACCCATCGATCGTGGATGCGTATCTCCATCTGCGTGGATGCGCTCGAGCTACTGCAGCGACCCTCAACGACACTCAAAGACTTCACATTGTATTTGATTTGGGCGCAATCGCAGACGTCTTACTCGAGACTCGGCTATACAGCACAACGAGTAGTTACGTGTATCTTCTCGCGCCTCATCCATCCACACATCGCAACGACCAAATCTTTGAAGTCAACCTTCACGACCCGCGCGGAGTCGAGAGTTGCCGAACGCCAAGCCCGCTCCTGCGCTGCTGCTGCAGCAGACCGCGCACATATGCCGGCTGGACGGATGCGAAAACGCCGCGCGAGGTTTAGCTCGGACTTCTGCCCGGCCGGCGCCTTTCCACCACAGGCGCAGCAGAAGCGGCGAATGTGCGGTCGGCCGATCGAGCTCCGCAAGGTCAAGCGCGATTTGTATACAGTCGCGAGTCGTGCGGCCCGGTTGAGCGAGCGCTATGTATCCCGCGATGTAGGTACAGGGACAGCTAGGGGTCCCTGCGGAGCGATTCTGTCGACGCGCTGATGACAAGGCTTCGCTTCTCTTTCCGAACCGGAGCCACCTTCGGAGACGAGCAGCTTGTTGCGCACTCACGAGTCGTGATTGCTCTATGGCCACCCAGCCACTTACTACTACTTCTTGCTTTGCTTAACGGTCGCTCCATGCCAGCAACAAGATGCACATTCAGTGACAAAATGGAAGATCTGCAAGCAGGCTGTTCTGTGTGCCTGTGCGCGGATCGAGCTTCATGTCAATTTGCCAAGGAAATCACCAAACACGACTGTGGCTCGTGAATGGAAGAGTAACGGATCGCGGTCCGCCACGGGCATGGAGGGGGTATTGGGGGTGCGCAGATCCGTAGCATACATGAATGTGCTGCTGGTGAAGATTCCCCTCACGGTAGGTGATCGATTGCGAATACATTCAATGAATAATGAATAGACAGACCCATTCAGGACTATTCTAATTGATTTCTACCGGGTAGCGTGTCCCGGTGTCTTGAGAATCGACCAACATGGCCACCAGCGTCGTGCAACGATCGCAGATGACACATCATTGCGATCCCAAGCTCTTCGAGCGATGCTGAGACCCTGCTCCATTTTTGCCGTCTCTGTTCCTCTCGAGTTCTTCCCCGGTGAATATGCCCAATCGGCAACATCCCGAAGCTGAGTGGGAGATGAGACCTTCAAAGCTCTTTGAATGGAAAGATGCGATCGTCGTCAGGATGATAGCAAAGAAAGGCTTGGCTAATGAAGGGCCCGCCGGAGTTTACAGGTGGTGCAAGCTAGTAGTAGGATCAGTCTCGTCCGTCGATCATGCTCTCAAGATTAGAGCAATAGACGCCATCGTGAGTCCGTGCGCCTAGGAGTGCCACGATAAAATCATACAGGCGATGGTGCGTCGAGCGTTACACTCAAGCTACACAACGCAATTCCGCTCCCGATATCGTACGGTCCAAAGGGCATAGCACATTCGAAATTTTGCATTCAATGAATTGTCCTCGCGGCATTTGTGTGCAGGAAAAGGACGAAAGACGAGCGTGTAATGCGCCAGCAAGAGCAGCTGCGCAATGACTATTCCTTAGAAGACAAGGTACATTGCGAGAAGAACAGATATGAAAGGCATGCGATCGGAGGACTTGGGATATTCGGAGGCGCGCTCCATGGTGCTGTGGGAAAGAAGAAGGAGAAATTCTAGTATTTACTTTGAAGACGGGCGCCGCAAGTGCGGTCCGCTCAAGAGGACCCTTTTTTTCGACGCCGAGGGCCTGCTCTCTGTCGTATCGAAGGCTTGGTGCTTGAGCTGCGCGCTTTTGCGTACTCTGATTAGAAGCACTGCTTCCGTCCGATCAGAGTAGGGTGGCTGCACCAAAGAGGACAGCGCCTACAATGGTCATGTGCGCCTTGGAAAGCTCCATGTTCAGGCCAGCTCCGCTACCACTACCGCTTCCCGAAGAGGTGTTCTCGTTGTTGCCGTTGGCTGCAGGGGCCGAGTCAGAAGTGTTGCGATTGGTCTCCACGTAAGAGTCTCCCAAAGGCTTCTTCAAGCAGGTGATGATGGGTACAATGTTCTGCTTGGGGCTCTGGCTCAATGCTTGAGGCAAGACGATCTCGGTGGCGAGCTTGACACTCTGCTCGTACAAGTCATGAGCGAGCACAATGTAGCCGTGGTCGAGGGTTGAAGCGTTTGCAATGATGCCATCAAAGACGGAGACGACTTCACCAGCAGAGACGACACCACTGCCAATCTTCCAATCGTTGGTGTCGTAGTTTCCACCGTTGGCCGAGGTCCAGATGATGGGGGTCAAACCAACGGCCTTGGAAACGCCACGGACACGGTCGTCGATGTCACCGTAAGGAGGACGCATGGTGTTGGGAGTTACACCGGTAATGTCGTGAATGATCTTTTTGGTCCAGAGAAGCTCGAGTGCAATGGCCTCGTTGGTTTGAGTGGTCAGAGAAGTGTGACTCCAGGTGTGGACGGAGAGTTGGTGGCCAGTCATGTACTCGTAAGCAAGCATGTCAGGGCGGGAAAGGGCACGAGAACCGACCACGAAGAATGTAGTCTTCAAGTTGTTCTTCTCGAGGTAGTCCAACAGAAGAGGAGTGTAAGGCGAAGGTCCGTCATCGTAAGAAAGACCCCAAGTGTTCTTGTCTGGGCACTGGACAATGTCTGTGTCACGCGTGCAGCCTCCGCAAGTCCACCAGCAGTTGCCGCTTGCTCCGGCATTAGCCAAATTGGCCTCGTTTCCCGCCTCGCCGCAGCCAGCAGCTCCCTGGTTGAGAGGGACATCCTTGACGCCAGAGAGGTCGATGCCAGCCAGAAGCTCCTCGGAGCCTTGGAAGCTACGAGGAGGAGGAGCATCGAGAGGCGGATAGTTGGCGATCGTCGGGGCTATCGATGCGGAAAATGAAGAAGATCTAGGGTCAGAACCGCGCTTCAAGATAGCGTTTAGCCACCGCGCCTACTCACCAGAGGGGAGGGGAGGTGCACCCGAGATGTAGGTGTTGGTGGCACCCGCCTGGAAGGTGGTCGGCAGCGGGTAGGTGGGCTCTGGCGAGCGAGTGCCCGGCGTCAGGGTGGCGACGATGCTCGAAATACTAGCAGGGAGAGAGCCGGTGAAAGCGGGAGGGCTGGTCACGGCACCGCTGCCAGATCCGCTTCCAGCGGAAGCGGTTGCAGTTGCCGAACTACGGTGGCGACGCGAGCTGCTGCTCTCAGCTTGGCGACGCTCTGGGCGCAAATCGGCAACCGCCACGGGAAGAGCCATGGCAGCTGCCGCAGCGACGAAAAGCGAGGTGCGGACCATCGTGAGGATTACTGTGTGCAGCAAAGCAGATATCGCGATTGTAAGCTCGGCCCTTCGCACGCGTCTCTGCTGCCCGTCCGAAGTACGTCAGCCGAGCACTCACATGGATAAGGTATCTGTGTGGGGAAAAGACTGACTGAGATCGACGCGATGATTTGTTTGACGTGAATGCAAGCAGACTGTCAAGACGTATGCTGCTGAGATCGATAGGCAAGATGTCGTATCCGTAATCTGCTGTCAACAGCGAAGAGAACGATGATCGTCAACAAGACTGCGCAGTGGGATGGGAGTAATGGAACCGTGATGGAAGCAAGAGTGGATGGCGTTGCTGTAAGCACGACACAAAGTCTTCCGGCAAGAGAGGATGGATGGCGATGGGTGAGGATACGGGCACGAGGGCCTGGCAGGCCAACCATGCAGTCGTCTTCACCAGGCTGGGACTCCGCTCGCTGTAGCAGCCCCAAGCTGTAGCACCCGAGCAGCAGCGGAACACGCGCAGAAGAAATTGATTTGTTTCCGCAACACGGGCAGCTTACCTGCCAACGGCCTTGCTGATGATCCGATCCTGATCTTTGATTCTGCCTTGCACTACTACTACGACTGCCCAGATGCCCAAGACGATGCAGGTGCGGCGTTTGAAAGTCAGGGGAAGGGGGCGCAGCACTTTGAATTGTGGGTGGCAGCACCGCGGGTGAGGGAGCGCAGCAGAGAGAGCGGATTCGTCTGCTGCTTAAACGACGGGCGAAGCCTCTCTCCTTCCCTCTGAGACGAGCTGCCCCCCCTGATGCATGGCCCCTTGGAACGCGCCCTTTGTTTGGAAGAGACCAAACCTCAGCCTGCAGGCTAAGACACGCGCGCCCTGCTCATTAGCTCTTATTGTGCATACATGGCTCGCAAGCAGCATCGAGCAGCAGAGGTACACAGTCACTTACAGCGCACGCCACGCCGCACCTGGACAGTATATACGCAAACCGTGGGCGCCAGGACTGCGCGCTCATGCGAGGTTAACAAGGCGCGTCCTGTGCAGATGGACCACCCATCGGGGCATTTGAACCCTCGCGCGCTGGGCTTTGGATCGCGCGTGCAGCTTTGCAGGATGCCAAGAGCGCAAACGCGCGCGCACAGCATTTCCATTCGTGATTGCAGTGAGTCCACCGAAAAGCTCGCGCATGACTTAGCGCTCTCAAGCCCGCGGCCGCGACTGCACAAGTGTATGCTGGAGATGGCAATGCCGGCGCGCAGCTGTCTTTTGGCCTTGGCTATGGAGGGGAATCATGCACGAATCACAGCAAGCAGGCGCGAGGATCCGCTCTCTTTTGCAAGAACCGTTGAGAGGTACAAGCCGCCGGCACAGAGACTGGATTCTGGATCTCAGGCACAATAGTAGTGCTTGGAACAGACGTCGAAAGGCTGGATGAATTTTGTCGGACGACATCTGGAGATGATTTGGCTACTCGATTTCTATATACTCGGGCAGTTCTGCACTCATGACTGTTGCGAAGCCAAGCACCGTGCAGTTCCGAGGCGCTTGCATAGCCACACATTTGATTTCGAGCGCGACATCGCCACGTGGCGCTCCCGCTTAGCCGTGCCATATCCTTACTCAAGACTCTTCCAGCGCGCTCAGCAGCCACTCCTGCTGCTGACTTGGTCGGGCAATGTGGCGGAATCGATCGATTGATGAAGCACCAGAGGGGACGTATGTTTGTGTTACAGAATCTTGAAGGTACGGGGACAATAGAGAGGTGTGCAGCTTCGCCTAGAACCGGGACTAGGGGCGGGTCATGTGCATCGAAGCTCGCTAGGTTGAGGAAAATACGAGTGAGGAGACGGGACCAGGCAGGATCGGGCTGCGGAGAGGTGCGCGCAGAGATGAAGATGCAGAATGGTGTTGTTCGCAAAGTGGGGCGAAGTCGTGCTACAAGAGGCGGCCAAATTGAAGACAAAAGGAACTGATGGGAGCCTGAGTAGGAAAGGACACCCATCAATAGTGCGACGTCGATTCTACTGGGGTCTTGATCTCGGCCCACCCTTCTTGGCAGACAAGAGGGAATGCAGGGTACTGATCAACTCTACTCTTCGAATGGGCTTGGAGACGTAAGCGCTCATACCTGCCTGCAGGCACTTCTCCTTGTCGCCAAGCATGGCGTGCGCTGTGAGGGCAACGATGGGGACCCTGTCATCGGTGGGCAGGGTGCTCTCGAATTCTCTAATCGCAATTGTAGCTTCAATGCCTCCCATGACCGGCATAGAGACGTCCATTAAGATCACGTCGTACTTCCTCTTCTTGACCGCCATGACTGCCAATTGGCCGTTGTCTACCACATCCACCTTGTGGCCTTGATTTTGCAGGATTTTGCAGGCCAGCTTCTGGTTGACGACGTTATCTTCCGCCAGAAGTATGTCATAAGACACCTCGTTGTTGCCCTCTGATGGGGCTGCTGCACTGCTCTCGAGCGATGGCAGTAGGGTTGCGAACAGGTCGGCGAGTGTGATGGGCGTGTTGGTGTAGGACGAGATGCCGTGGTCGAGACAATAGGTGAGGTTCAGAGTGAGTGCCGAAGGAGAGACCAAGTTGATCGGGATGTATCTGAGATGCTCGACAGTTCGCAAATCTTCGATGACGCTGAGTGAGTCGGCAATGATGGCATCGATGCGTGGCATGTTGCGTTTACGCTGAGCCGCTTCTTCAACGCTATGTGCAGTGAACACCTTGAGCCCAAGCTCCTCCAGCATACCTTGGACACCCGTCCGGTCATGCAAGGTGTCAAGGTAGAAAATGTTCCGGCCCACGTACGGATGCATCTTTTCGTTGACCTGCTCGCCATCCACACGGTCCAGCTCGACGAGCATGGTGAAGAAAAAGTCGGAACCTCTGCCGTAATTTGACCTCACCCAAAGGTCACCGCCCATGAGGTTGACCAATCTGCGCGAAATAGACAGGCCCAGGCCTGTGCCACCATACTTTCTGGTCGTAGAGCCGTCAGCTTGACAGAAGGTGTCGAAAATGACGTCAAGCTTGTCCTGCTTGATACCGATACCAGAGTCGGAAGCGCAGAATTCCAGGAGCGCCGAACTTGGCGAAAGCATCTTGGCCAGCGTACACTTGAGCGCTACCCGTCCGCCGGCATCAGTGAACTTAATGGCGTTACCAATCAGATTGGTGATGATTTGCTTGAGGCGAAGCGCGTCACCAATGAGGGGGTCAGGCACCTCGGATGCCACTTCGTACATCAGATTGAGCTTCTTCTGGGTCGCTCGGACCGACAACGTCTTGAGGACGCTGAAGACGATGCTTCGCAGAGAGAAGGGAATCTCTTCAACATTCATCCGACCCGCTTCGATCTTGGAAATGTCGAGGATATCGTCGATGATGGCAAGCAAGTTGCCTGCCAGCGTTGAGACGGTCACAAGATTCTCGCGTTGACTTCTAGATAACTCCGTCTCGAGTGTGAGAGCAGTCATGCCGATGATCCCGTTCATCGGTGTCCTGATCTCGTGCGACATGTTTGCCAAAAATTCGGACTTGCTGCGATTCGCCAGCTCGGCTGCTTCTCTGGCGGCGGTATTCTTCTGAATAGAATCGCGCAGACTGTAGACCATCTGATTGATCTTAGTCTTGAGCGAATCCATTTCTCCGGAGGCTTCGACAGTGACGAATCTGGTAAAGTCTCCATCCGTTGCAGCTGCGGTGATTTGTGCGAACGCACGCACTTGCGACGTGAGGTTGTTCGCCTAAAAAGATAAGAGCAAGTCAGCGCTGATTCCGCACAAAGTTGGCGATCATTCACTTACCATAATGTTGACGTTGTCCGTGATTTCAGCCCACTTGCCCTTGATATCTTTCTTTTGTGCTTGTACACCCAGTTTGCCCTCGGTTCCTACCTCTCGTGCCACCCGGGTCACTTCTGAAGCAAAGAACGACAGCTGTGGAGGGGCAGTGATCAAAGGTCAGCGCCTGCTCTTCGACAAGCCTCGGCACACTCATGCCGTGAGACTGACTTGGTCAATCATGTTGTTGATGGTGTTGACCAGGTCGAGAATCTCTCCCGATACGGAAATGGTGACCTTTTGGGTGAGATCGCCTCGAGCGACAGCGGTCTGCGAAAGGGCATCGCAAAGTTGTGAGTTGAGTTCGGAGGGCGCTGGCATCACGCTCAGTGTGCAACTCGACTTACTGTAGCGTGGGCGATAGTTCGCACCTGCAGCGTGAGATTCGCCGCCATCGTGTTGACAGAGTCTGTCAAGTCCTACAGGAGGCAACCACTTGAGCGTCAGCTGGGGCAGGCACACGTGCCTCAGACATACCCACTTTCCATGTTCCGCCAACGCCGAGCACAGTGGCTCTACCACCCAGCTTGCCTTCGGTTCCGACTTCCTTTGCCACACGAGTAACCTCTGTGGAGAACGTTCGAAGTGACTCGACCATATTGTTGACAGTAAGCTGTAGAAGGTAATGACGTTTCAGTTCGGACACCTTCAATCGACAGAAGGCGCTGTCTGTGGACATACTTTGAGGTCGAGGAACTCTCCTCTGACTTCCACATTGATCGTCTTGCTAAGGTCGCCGCGGGCGACAGCTGTAGTGACGGTGGCGATTGATCGTACCTGCGTCGTCAAGTTGCTGGCCATCATGTTGACTCTTTCGGTGAGAATTTGCCATTGTCCTTTCACATCGTCCACATTGGCCTGACCCCCAAGTCTACCTTCTGTGCCGACCTCGACAGATACTCTGATGATCTCATCAGAAAGCGTCTTGAGTTGCCTGACCATGTTGTTGACTGTCATCTTGAGATCCAGAATCTCTCCCTTGACATCCACAGTGATGAACTCGGTGAGCACACCTTCGGCGACACATTTAGTAACGCGAGCGATCTCTCGAACTTGACTCGTGAGGTTGTCTGCCATCTTATTGACAGTCTCTGTCAGGTCCTTCCAGGTGCCTTCAACGTTCGGAACATGAGCTTGGCCTCCAAGCTTGCCGTACGTTCCGACTACAATGTGGGAGTCAGGCAGCAGGCGTCAGTGATTGAGAACGCGTAGGAATGCTTTGGCAGGCTACGGGGCTAGCCTCACCTTCCATCGACATGCGGACCACCTCGCTAGCGAACACCCGGAGCTGGCCAACCATCGAGTTGACAGTGTCTTTGAGCTGGGCCATTTCACCCTCAGCCTCGATATCAATGACCTTGGTCAGGTCACCCTTGGCGACGGCAGTGGTGACCATACCAATGGATCTGACTTGTTCGGTAAGATTGGAGCACATGCGGTTTACCTGGTCGGGCACGAGTCGCATGCTTCAGCAACTAGCTAGGAGACACCTCTTCTTAAAACTACTTACATTGACGGTCAATTCCTTCCAGACTCCTTGCACGCCTGGCACATGCGCTTGTCCACCCAGCTGGCCACGACTGCCTACTTCTCTGGACACGCGGGTTACCTCGTTGGCAAAATGCCTCAGTTGATCGACCATCACATTGATCGTCACCTTCAGCTCCAAGATCTCGCCATCTGCCTCTACTTCGATCTGCTTCGAAAGATCTCCTCGTGCAACAGCCTGACAATGGATTGGCGGTTGGAAGGGTCAATATCCTGAGCTGGGATACTGACCAGTCTGCGGATCATGCTCACCTTAGTGACTGAGGCGACACCTCGGACTTGAGTGGTAAGGTTCTCGGCAAGTCGATTGACGACGTCCTTGAGCTCCTTCCAGCGACCCTCCACGCCTTCTACTTCCACCTGCCCACCAAGCTTGCCTTGGGTGCCCACTTCGAGGGAGACGCGAGTGACCTCAGCAGCAAAGGTGGATAGTCGATCCACCATCTGATTGATGATGTCCTTTAGCTCTACCATCACATGGCCCTGCACGGGCACGGTGATATGCTGAGAAAGGTCTCCAAAGGCAACCGCTTTGCACACTCTGGCAATGTCCTGAACTTGCGCTTTCAACAGTCGAAGCTCTTCCTGCGCGCTCAGACCACTCTCGTCGCTGTACTTTTCGAAAGCTCCAACTGCATTTTCCGGCGCATCAGCTGTGCCTCTGGCTGGCGTGAGGAGCACCGGTCCATCGCGACCCATGCCCAGGGGGTAGGAGAGGGGGTACGTCGAAGATTGAGGGTGAGCGCCGGACAGCGGGTAAGGAAAGCCAGGCAAAATCGAGGACTTGGCCTCCGTTCGAGTCTCGTTGGGCGAAGAAGCAGCTGAAGCAGCAGCTGGTAGCGAAGAAGCGTGGGGCGACAACACATCACCCGCTGAGCGCTGCACCGACGCGAGACCGGCATGCTGCGTTGCAAAGATTGGCAGCGGACTTGCATGGCCAGACACTGCGCCTGTAAGTGCTCCCGCAGAGCTCACACCCGAAGCTGCTGCCTGCTTGAGCAGTACATCTTCCAGATCTTCCTCTGCTTTCCAAAGCCTCTCCACTAGACGACCCAGGTTCGACTCGATCTGCTGAGTGCGCGAGTCTCCGTCATCAAAGTGAAAGCGCGGGAGCGGTAAAGAGACAACACCTTCACTGTGGTCTTGCAAGTCCGGCCCTTGTGCTCTGTGCAGCCCATTGCTAGGCCCTGATGCTCCGAGCAAGGAAGCTCTTTTAGCCGAAGGTGAGCCATGCCCAAGCGCGGTTTCGTACTCGCTTCCGACACTTGCACCATCCTCTGATTCCCCAAGTTCTTCGGCAGCTTGACCTGGAGCATTGGCAACATCATCCTGTTCCGGCGGCGTCGAGACCGCGGGCGAGATCCTCGTCAGTCCCGCATCTTGCAGCCTTCTGAGCGCCACGGGTGGCTTGGTGTTGACTAGAGATTGGGTGATGAGGAGTAGATGGTCCACAAAGTTGTCCGGTAAGTGACCCAAGTCTGGTAGAGGAGACGAAGTGGTGCGCGACATGCTTGAAGCGCTTCTTTGAGGACCTGAAGAGCCTACGCCCACATTGGAGGGCATGGACACTGCGGCTGCCATGGCGCCTCGAGCTGAGCGTTGGAGGAGCTACGATCAGCAGGAGGATATCAAGTTGACTTCGATTGCGCCAAGAGTCGCTTCGGGTCAGAGAGCACCTCGTAGTCGTAGCAGGCTGGGAAGAGACTAAGCCAGAGGTTAGACCGGCGTTGTTCGCGCACTGGAGCAATATCTCTTGATCGCGCGCAATACCGCCGCGCGAACGGGTTTGCGTGGACGCAACGCCGAGAGCGTGAGAGCGAGCCGGGCTGGTGGCCGAACTGAGCGCCACTACTAGCTACCGGTAGCGATCGCAATCGCGATGCTCGCGCACACTTCGGACGGAGCAGGATATGACGTCGACGCCTTGTGCTCTCGTGATGATAGAGTGCGCCCGTGGCCAAACGCTTAAAGCGAACCGCCAGCGGTGAACCTTGAAGGGGATACTGGGCTGAGGGTTGCCTCAGATGGCCATGGAGGAGTTGGCAGCCTCTCGTTGTTAGCTAGAACAGCTTAGCCAGATGATGATGACGTTGCGTACAGAGGTGTGAGGGCGATTGAGATGTGGTCAAATGTGAATGTATGCGATGAGCGAGCGACCTTTGCTTGGGAGCTGTCACGAGTTGTTGTGGAAAAGCTCGTCTTTGTTAGCGTTCAATCAGGACACGCATAGGCTCCGGCGTCATGAGGGGACCCCTTCGCTTGTGATCGATGCCGCGCACAGCCCGGATGCCGCTGGCTCGAGTCGACTGCGAACGCGAACGCGCGCGTGCATCCATCCATGCACATATGCAAGCCGTTCTGCCGCTCTGTTGCGTTGCGTTCCTCATCGCGAGCGCAGGCCGGGTCTTGCGCCCGTCTCCGGACTTATTGTTAGTATCCACCCACATGCTTGATTCATCTTGACTGCAAATAATGTGCCGTTCGTTGAAGTCTGCGGGTCCAGTCTGCTAGCCTGCAAGGGAATTGATACGCCGACACGCTACCACACACCCATCAGAGTTTGACGATCAGACTCTTGACTTTTGACTGTGCGATTGTAGAATAATCATCGTGAATAGGGGAGCGCCGGTGCGTGCTAAGCCAGTATATGCCCGCATACACGCTGCCCACGGCACCCCGTGCGCATGCAGAACCTCGCGCGCATACCTGCAGCAGCAGTCACGACTCACGAGTCACGAGTGTGAGTCTGAGTACGATAGCCGTACGCGCGTACGGTTATGTTTAAGTGAAGTGAGTGGTACGGTTGCCGTGCCTGACCGGTACGCTCGGAAGGTAACGACTGCACAGCCCGCTGCCGTTGCGCTTCCCCCGCAGCGCGATGTGTACCGGAACCGGTACAATTCGTGATTCTTTTGACAACTGACAAGCATATAACAGCCGACGGACTTTGCTTCCGTTCCACAGATATAGGAGCTCAACCACAACGCTTGACGCTGATCATCATCATCGCATCGACCCTGCGATCTCTGCGAAACCGCGATCATGGTAAAGCTTAAAAGGTGATTGATGGAGATTCACGCTTCATGCCACCTCTCTTTGCAACGCGGGCACCTCCTCTTCGGAGAGAGTCCGAGAGCTTGTGTCTAGATCAAGATTGAATTGTCTGATCTTTTCCATGGTCTGTACCGGCCCTACTCACATTGACCAAGCTGGTCGAGAGTAGGAAGGCAGAGAAGTGCATCCGGGCTCCTGCATCTTCGTTTCGACTCCTTCATGCCTCGATCGGACGGCCGCCGGGTCAAGAGGACCCCGAGCGGCGATACGTGCACGTCTTCTCTCGACCGTGAACGTTGAGGAGCCTCGTGATTTTTGTGTGTGCAGCCGCAATCCTGCCATGTCGGGGGACACAAAGAGTGTTCGAGCAAGGCAGTACTTGGCGACATTCTTCAAAGGCTGCGACTGCCTGTTTATCACGAGTGCGGCGAGCATCTAATGGGCTCGGCGAGCAACGCACCGACCCCTGCTCGTCATCGTACACCAAATTTACAGGCTTTCCAGGCGGATGTAAAAGGAAACAGCAATAAAAGTCCACTAGTCATTACGTATGTCATCTTTGCTACACGGTCACTGAGCCCTCACAGGCATTGATGATTGCGCATGCTGAACCTCGCAATGAGAGACTGGGCGCCATCGTGAGACACCAGCGTTCGGTACTTCGTTCCCTACCGCCTACAAAGATTGCGATCGACCTGCTTTCACAAACCAGCACTTGGCTGATTTCCAGGGAAGAGTGGATGAAGGACAAGAATATGCGAAGTGCAGGCTCCATAAGGAACAGAAATGAGTCGCGATCAAGGAATTTCGGATGACGAGAAGTATACATGTGACGGGCGATTGAGAGCAGGCTGAAGGGGGAGAGTGTTGCTGTCCGAGAACATTCTCAGCGGCCGGCGTTGCATCGTGTGAGTCACGCGCGGTCGGAGCTTGCGCGTTGTGGAGATCCAGAAAAAGCCACGCACATGTACGTACATGATACCCGCGCCCTCGCGCGCGCGCGCGAAGGCGAGAAAGAAGAGCACACACAAGCACGCATGGATAGCGCGCGAGGTTCGATCGACGGTGCTCTTGGACGACGGACGGCACGATAGCTATGACTCACGAGCAGGACCGTTTCTTCCTTCGCAAGCACATGCTCCCGCTTCCGCAACCAATCCCTCTTTGCCTCAAGCATCATGCTGGGTCTCGCGAGCATGGCGGCGTCGCGGACAGCGTTTCAGGCAGGCAACAGTCTGAAAAACGTCTACTCTCGTCCACTCTCTCGACGATTCTCGCTGAGCAGTTTCCTATTTTCCGGGGCGCAAGGGGCAAGCGGGGGAGGTCGAGGAGCAGGAGCCTCATCACCTTCCTCGACGGATCCCAACTCCCCAAATCATAATGCTAGCGCCGCTCTGGATTACAAGCTGAGCCATAGGCTTAGGAAGTTGCCCCCCTTGCCCAGCCTAGAACCGCCAAACTTGGACGCGGGCGAAGCTGTCAGCAACATCCTTTATAATACTCCACCTCCCAGCAAACAGCCGTTCAAGAGGTGAGCAAAAATGCAGGCCTTGAAGGTTCTTGCTCGCCCGCATGCTGCAGCAAGCGCAATCTGACAGCTGCGACTGACCGCCTTGCGGCCCCCCACTTCATGCTTTTGCAACACAGGCACATCCTCAACACGCTCGTGCAGAACGAACCAGGTGTGCTCTCCCGCGTAGCAGGTACCCTTGCAGCTCGAGGCTTCAACATCGATTCCCTGGTCGTGTGCGCGACGGAACATCGCGACCTTTCGCGGATGTGCATCGTCTTGCGAGGACAAGATGGAGTGGTAGAGCAGATCCGCCGCCAATTGGAAGATCTGGTTCCAGTCTGGGCAGTGCTGGACTACACCAATACGAGCGTCATAGAGAGGGAAATGATGCTTGTCAAAGTCAGCATACTGGGACCAGAGTATTTTGAGGAAGCTCAATTGGCAGCTCAAGGTGCTAGCGCTGGTGCCAATTCTAGCAGCTTGTACGCATCCCAATCTGCCCCTGCTCCTGAGCTCTTGGCCGAGAGGGAAAGCAACGCTTCTGCCGGCTCGGGTCCTTCGCCTGCAGGGACGACCGGATCGGCCGCTTCTTCATCAGACGCGGCTTCTGCCGTCGGCTCAGCAGCCACTCACTCCCATTCCGCTCAACATGCTCCACTCACACCCACCGAGGCGCTCAGAGTCAAGTCGGACAACATGAGATCCATCATTGCGTTGGCGGAGCAGTTCAAGGGCAGTGTGGTGGACATCAGCTCTACAAGCGTTATTGTGGAGGTGACTGGAAAGACGAGCAGGTGCGACGCCTTCCTCAAGCTGGTCAGGCCATACGGCGTGCTCGAATGCGCCAGGAGCGGTAAGTCTAGCTAGCCAGCTCCACAACACAGCTGTGCGCGCATGTATGCTCATCGAACGCCCACGAATTTCACGCAGGAACAATGGTGCTGCCTCGCTCGCCCATCACCTCTTCCTGGACTGGCTTGGACGAGCTGAGCGACGAGGAACTTGCGGAAATTGACCCCTCGCTCTTGCCTCCTGGCTAAGCTAGGCTACACGAAGCAGGCTACGTCTGGCATTGCGGCCAGGCTTACAGATGGTGAGGTGCACCGCAATGTGCGCAGTAGGGGATAGGAGAGGGCAGGTAAGCTAAGTCATGGGAACGAACGTTGCATTGGTTCACGACGGGTGCGACTTTAGCAATGTCGAATGAGCTTCTCAAACTTCTTGCGATGCGTCTCCAGCGACTTGCGCACTTATCCTGTGATCTGCCCAGGCTGACTTGCACATTGGTCTGGGATGATTGTGGGTTATCCTAGAGATCTGGGCGATTTCGTGCGCTGCACATGTTCACTCAGGCAGCGCGTTGATTCAGTGACATCGACAACGGACCTCAGCAAATGCGTCGAGACCTCTTCAAAGAAGACATGAACATTCTATGATGTGTACGTGCGTGGAACGAAGCAGTCGCGAGGCGGACGGGCTACAGAGGCTTTTCCTTTCTTGGAGCGTGGTGTGTTGCTCGACAATCGCGCAAAAACAACCATGCCCGAGGACCCGCAGACGGAAGAAAGAATGGCGTAGAGTTGGTGAGCGACAGGAAGAAGAGAATCCAACAAGGCGGCGGGCGCATCACTGTTGAGCGCACTGAACGCCAGGTCCTCCTTCACCCTCTTCATCTTCGTCCATGCCAGCTCCCTGACCAGCTCCAGCTCCTCGTCTAGCCTGATTAGCCTCGCGCTCATCCACATCATCCATGATGACATCCTCCACATCTCCCTTGACTTTGCTAGCTTGCTTGCGAGGAGGCAGCGCCTTTTCAAGCAGAGGGAACGCCTCAGGAGGCAAAGAGTCTGGGAAAGCCACGCTGAGTGTGCAGTACAAGTCTCCCAACTCGTGGTGCCTGTAAGAAGGCATGCCCTGTCCTCGCAGAACCTTGATCGCTCCTGGCTTGACCACCTCTCCAGCTGGAATCTCGACGCTGAGCGCATGATCATCCAAGTGCTCAATCGTGACTTTGCCTCCCGCTAAAGCAGTCAGCAGATCAACCTCAATGTCGACGTACAGGTCGTTCTCGCGACGTTTGAAACGCGAGTGAGGCTTTTCGTCCACCACAATGACGACATCTCCCGGTATCGTGTTGGGCGCTTGATCTGCTTCCTCCTTGAAAGTGATGGTCTGACCATCCTTCATACCCTTGTCGATGCGAACTTCGAGCACCTTGCGCTCTTGGTTGACCTTTTTGCCGGAGCAAGTCTTGCACCTGTCCTTGGCATTGATCTGCTCTCCGAGACCTTGACATTCGGGGCAAGTCTGTTGCAATTGCTGCACCATAGGTCCGAGCTGCCGGAGAATGGTCTTGACACCGCTACCATTGCAGCCACCGCAAGACTTGACAGCTCCTTCTTTGCCTCCACGTCCTTCGCACTTTCCGCAAATGACTTGCTTTTGAAGGGCAAGCTTTGTGGTTTTGCCGACGTACAACTCTTCCAAAGAGACCTTGATGCGATGGACGAGATCCTTGCCCTTGCGAGGACCTTGGGGTCTGCGAGAGCCGCCACCTCCAAAGAAACCTCCGCCGCCACCTCCGAAAAGCTGCGAGAACAAATCTTGAGGGTCCATTCCACCCATGCCGCCACCTTCGCCAAGTCCTGCTTCTCCAAATCGATCATACCTGCATGCAGACAAAAATAACAGCGGCTCAGTTTACGATTGGGCGATATGCGCTTACGTACCACTATCACATGGAACCTTACGCACATGTCACGCTTTTGCGGGTCTGATAGCGTCTCGTATGCGGATGTGACCTCTTTGAACTGCTCGGGGTCGCCTCCCTTGTCGGGGTGAAGTGCCAATGCCTTTTTTCGGTACGCCCTATAATGCAGTGCGGTCAGAAGGCGTCAGAAGTGACGGAAGAAATGATCGGAAAAGCAACGGGGCGGGAGACAGAACGCTGGTAGATCATGTCTGGGAGGGATGGCAGCGTGTATGCGCTTGCGTTCCCATCGAACCAGGACGCCAAGAAACATGGACAAGGGCGCCCCTGAGCGCCCTTACCTTTTTCTACCGCGATTTTGACCTTCAGGAGTGCAAGCCACTGATGCAACTCACTTCTTCAGCTCAGACTCCGAGCAGTCTGGCTTCACGCCAAGAAGGTCGTAGAACTGGTCAAGGAGTGGCCAATTTCAGAGTCAGTGCAGCTCCCAGAGAGTGTTTTGAATCGTTGCTCAAGCTCACCTTTGTTTCGCTATGGCACATGCATTTCAGAGTGGATGGGAAAAAAGAGGTACCGGGAAAGAGTGTCAGCGATGGTAGGTGCCGGCTCCAAGGCATTCCAGGTCTTCCAGCTGCATACGCACGACACCATCTTGGCGACTGTCTGCCTCCGTAGGGGTGTCAGGTGAGCTGCTGCTGCTTATTGAGGCGGTCGAGTGATAGCCAAGTGCTCCTGCGACTGTTCTCCTTTGCAACTCGAGGTATATGATCTGGTGTGGTGGGGATGAGTTTGCCGTTCCTTTGATGATTCCCAAGTGCGGATGATTCCTCTTCGTGTATAGCCAGAGAGATGTGTTTGCGCACGCGTGATGGTACAGGAGGCTTTCGAACAACTCGCTGTAGAGCGGAGTGGGATGAATGCGAAGGGACTGACGCAGGTGTCAGCAGAAGAGGTCTGGATAAGCACACTACAAGATCTCACAATCACGAATCGACAGCCCACAACAGTTGTGAGTCTTGATGACTGACGAACCTGTGAGCTCGAAATTTCTAGACGCGCATGCAGGTGCTGTGGTGGCACGCACCGCCGCCGCCCTTGTCCGCGCACGCGATTGCTCGCCCGACATCAATCTTGAAGCTGCACGCGCAGCAGCAGCAGCAGCAGCAGCAGCAGCATCATCTTCATCTTCAGCTTCACATGCGTGACTGGCTGCTTCCAAATTCTAAGCGCAGAGCACACAACAGAACACCGTGTCTCTCTCACTTTCAGGATTTGCAAGCAGGCAGCACACTAGGGAAGCGTTTCATCATTGGTATGCGCTGCCTGTTTTCTTTCCTTTCTGCGATCTGCATCGGTGAGCCCCGAGCATCAGCAACGATGCTCGTCGACCCAGCCAGCCCGTTGCATCGCCGTGAATGGCGGCGGTCACGATACATCATCAGCTTTACCCATCAGCACATGCAGCACCTCCTTTGATCGCGTGAGAGCCGGCAAAGGAGTCACGCGCCTATTTTGCCAGTTAAAATCTCGAGTTTGACTCGTCTGCGTGAAGGAAGTCGAGCGAAGCTTTTACCCTGCTGTGCCTGTTGTTGTGCTCAGCTTTCGCATCCGCACGGACCTGTGGGCGATACGCTGCCTGCACACTCTCGTACGATAACAGACGGCTTTGCTTTCTGCAGCGCGTGATTCGCCGAACATCATATCACGTGCGTTGGTTTCCGTTTAGCGTAGCGCCCGCTTCGCCCGCGCACCTTGCGCGTCTTTTTCAGCACACAAAGGACTCGCCACATTTTGTGGTGCGCTTTCGTTGCAGCAGAGGCAAGAAGGAAGGTCACGCGAGGCAGGCAATCAATCTCCTTCATGTTCTTGATGATTTGTCCATCCGGCCACGATTGAAACGGGTCCTGTCTGATTCTCGCTGCACCACTGTCTGCCCTGCGCAACCTTTCCATCTGTCAAGGCTCGGCTTGCACGATGTCTTTGTTCCGCGCTTCACAGCGGATCACTGTCTCGACTGCACGCAATGGACAGCGAGCGCGAGGATTGGCGACTCCAGCAGCTGGTGGTGTACCCTTGGCATCGCGACACCCATCTCGACGTCCTCCATACGAGCGACTGCTGAAACAGCTCAAAGTGGTGCGCGAGACCATCGACAGGCCCTTGACGCTAGCAGAAAAGATCCTCTACTCTCACCTCATCGATCCTAGGCAGACACTCTCTGGCGCAGGCAAAGATCCAAGCAATGTCAGAGCTAAACGATACTTGCCCTTGCAAGTGGACAGACTGGCCATGCAAGATGCTTCAGCGCAAATGGCCCTGTTACAGTTCATGACTTGCGGCCTACCTCAAGCAGCAGTTCCTGCATCCGTCCATTGCGATCACCTGATCCAAGCGTTCGAAGGTGCAGCGGCCGACTTGAAGAGGTCCATCGCTTCCAATTCGGAGGTGTTCGCCTTTTTAGAATCCGCCTGCAAAAAGTATGGCATCGAATTTTGGGGACCTGGAAGCGGAATTATTCATCAGATTGTGCTAGAGAATTATGCAGCGCCAGGCTTGCTCATGCTTGGTACGGACTCGCATACACCCAATGCCAGCGGCCTGGGGTGTCTCGCCATAGGAGTTGGAGGCGCAGACGCAGTGGACGCATTGACAGCCACGCCGTGGGAGCTGCAAGCGCCAAAAGTCCTCAACATCAACCTCACCGGTACCCTGTCTCCATGGTGCACTCCAAAGGACATCATCTTGCACGTAGTAGGCGCTCTGACCGTCCGAGGGGGCACAGGTAACATCTTGGAGTACACCGGCCCTGGCTTGTCCACGCTTCCCGCTACCGGACTGGCCACAATGGCCAACATGGGAGCCGAAATGGGCGCTACTACATCTGCATTCGCGTACACTGAACCAATGGGCGCTTATCTCGCAGCGACAGGGCGAGGTCACATTGCCAAGGATGCGCAGGGCGCTCAGTCCCTCTTGCAGCCTGATACGGGCGCAGAATATGACTCGAGGCTGGAAGTGAACCTGGATAATCTGGAACCCACTATCAATGGTCCCTTCACACCTGATCTGGCCACACCCCTGTCCACGTTTGTCGCTCGCGCCAAGGCGGGCGATTACGTCAAGGACGCAAAGCTGAGCGCTGCGCTCATCGGAAGCTGCACGAATTCAAGCTATGCAGACATGGCCAGGTGCGCTAGTCTTGCTCGCCAGGCTACCGAGCGAGGAATGAAGGTGGCGACCAGCTTTGATGTGACGCCGGGAAGCGAACAGGTCAGAGCGACGGTCGAGCGCGATGGCATCCAGGAGGATCTTGCAAAAGCTGGCGCACGGGTGCTAGCCAATGCTTGCGGTCCTTGCATTGGACAATGGGACCGCAGGGAGCTGAAAGGCGAGGAGAATGGTGAGTTTACAGCGGCAGACCATGCAGCGCACGCTGTTGCGCCCGGCAGTAGTGCTGACAAGTCAAGTATGACGCTCTGCAGTGATTTTGACGTCCTTCAACCGCAATTTCCGTGGAAGGAACGACGGCAACGCCAAGACACAGAACATGCTCGCTTCGCCCGAGATCGTCACCGCAATGGCTTTTGCCGGTAGACTCGACTTCAATCCCATCACCGACACGCTCAAAGCTCCAGATGGGTCTGATTTCCGGTTCGAGCCGCCTAGCGGCGAGGAGCTGCCTTCTCGCGGCTTCACGCCGGGCGACGAGAGCTACTTGCCACGTCCCTGCCCCGAGCCCATCGCATCCACACCCATTGCTATCTCGCCCACCTCGTCTCGGCTTGAGCCGCTCGAAGCTTTCGACACTCCCTTTAAGAGTGGTAACTACGAGCTGTCAGACATGAAATGCCTGCTACGGATCAGGGGCAAGTGCACCACAGATCACATTTCCGCAGCTGGACCATGGCTCAAGTACAAGGTAAGTCCACGTGCCAAGCAGACACGCATATTGCCCGACACCGCTGAGTCATTCGCGCATCTCCGCGCAGGGCCACCTGAGCAACCTGGCGGAAAACACCCTGATCGGTGCCATGAATGACCAAGATGGACAGGTGAACTCTGCGCACGACCTCGAGGGCGACGTAAGGGATACAATTCCTTCCATCGCGAAGCGCTACAAGGCTCGCAGCCAGCCATGGATGCTTGTAGCTGACCACAACTATGGCGAAGGGTCGGCAAGAGAGCATGCTGCGCTCCAGCCGCGCTTCTTTGGCTGCCAGCTCATCCTCGCCAGGTCGATTGCTCGAATTGCAGAGACGAATTTACGGAAGCAGGGAGTGCTGACGCTGCTCTTCGCCGACGAAAATGACTACTCGAAAATCGACGCAGGAGACGCCGTTCAGACCGTCAACCTAGCAGATCTGCTCAAGCCTGATGGTGACTTGGAGACGCAAGTTCGCGTCCGCGTGACCAAACCCGATGGCAAGGCGTTTGAAATTGCTACCAAGCATTCCCTGTCGCCCGCACATCTAGCATGGATCCGAGCAGGTTCTGCACTCAATTTGATTCGTGAACAAGCGGCGTTGGCGGCTTCTCATAGCTCTGCACCTTTCTCTGCTACCGGCAGTGCGCCTACGCCAACTCCTCCATCGCCTGCTGGAGGCGCACGTGTAAGGAGCATGAGCACCTTTGCTCTTCAAAAGAGGGGTTACGCTACAGCGCCGAAGAGCTCTGGCGGAACGTACGGACGCCCCTCCAACGACGGTCCGGTGGACAGCAACACGGACTCGATGCGACGAATGATCTTTCCTGATGCTGCGCCGGCTGCCGGATCAGCTCAAGCAGCTCTGCATTCGGCCCTACCTTACCCTGTCGAGGTGCACGACACGATCATGAGGGCCTGGAACTTGCATCGCAGGGAGCAACGGGAAGCTCAAAGGAAAGATTTGAATGTCAAGAGGAGCAGGATGGAAGAAGCTTGCGCTGCGCTCAAGAAGCAGTCTCCGAAATTGTTCGCCCAGGCCGCTTATCGCGTAGCTCCAAACAAGAGGCATCCGGACGAACAGGCGAGATTGGTCAAGCTGGGTCTGGCAGGTGGAGAGGGCGGAAAGAGCGAAGAGGGAGAGACCGTATTGGTAGGAGCTGAAGCTAGACGAAAAGCTAGAACGCTAGCTAGTCAGAGGTTGCACGGCCTGTTCCCGAGGGAGATGAGGGCGCCCACAGATACCCCTTCTAGGAATGGCTGGCCGGCTTACCAAGCTCCTGATGAGTCTTGATGCACCTTGTTCTCGAGCCCTGAGGTAATATCATGAATCATCGCATAACCAACTCGCAGGCACGCGAGCTACTGAACGACATCGGGCGGTGGACATCCTGACCAGCCACTCACGAAGGCCACTGCAATTGCTGCTGGCTGGAAGCGGTACTTTGGGATGGATGCGACAAGGATGTTCTAGAGGGCGGGGGTGGCAAGGGCAGGTCTCTGGACTCGTTGGCTTGTCTGGTCGTCGATGATTCGATTGCGGGATCCTTTGAAGAGCCTCGTGGTACGTCTAGCGACGTTCTTGAAGCGACGAGGGTATTCGTCAGGATGAGACCTGGCCAAGGACTGAAGCGGCTCGTGCTTGCGGCGCTCTGGGAGCCCGGAGCATCGAAGCCGTCGAGGGAGAGCACGTCGATGGTGGCTGTGGCCAAGCCGTCTTGCGCCGACGTGATGGAGTGATCCTTTGCTCGCGATGGCTCCTCCGCTGCGACGACGGGCTTGGCGGACGTGGAGGTGGGTGGAGGAGGCAGAGTACGAGAAGCGGGAGCGGCTGATGCGAGGCTCGTCGAGGTAGGGCTGAGCTCATCGCGAAAAGTCGATGGGGTTCCAGATGATGCCAAAGACGTTGCGAACGACAGCGAGGGTGGCTTATCATCATCGTTTGCACGCTCCGGAGCAGCACTCATCGCTGCTGTGGAGCTGCTGCCACCGCCGCTCAATATCTCCTGCTGACGTTTCCTAACGATTTCTTCCCTCTCCGCCCTGAGCTCCTCCTTCATCCTCTTCTTTTCCTGCCTCTCGCTCTTTTCCATCTCCTTCTTCTCCAACCTCTTGCTGAGCATATTTTCCCACTTGTCTCCAGCCGAAGCGAAACCTTTACGAATACCCTTGCCAGCCGAGAGAGCGCCAGACCCCACGCCAGTTTCGGCTTTGCGCTGCAAGGATGGATCAGTCACTGCTGCAGCAATCTTGTTCTGAGACATTTCTACAAGCTGGACGATCGCGTCGACTTGATTGTCCGATAGAAATGGCCCGGCTGTCATGTTCAGCGCCGTCTCTACCAGCGTCGGCAGCAAAGATCTGTGAGGGAGCAGTCGTGAGTGTGATTGGCGCAGCGAGGGTAGGAGACCTCAGTCAACTTGCACATGCTGCGTGATGCATCCAGCATGCAGCTGCATCGCGATGAACAGACGGCGCAGCACTTTCACCGCACGACGAATCCATTTTGACTCACGTCTCGGATATCTGAGACGAAGTGAAACTCGAGCGTCAGCTCGATGAAGATCAAAACTCTCATGTCAGACATGCAGTCGCGTCGATCGAGCGCGGTGCACTGCAGTCGTGAGTGCAAAAACGCGCAACCAATTCACATTGGAATCTGTCGAGGAGGCAATTAAGCCGATTACCCCATTCACTTGATGATTCGCCATCTCGTGGATGTATAGCGACGACGACGTTTGCATGCCGTTTCAGGCACTCACCGCCTTCTGAACCCAAGCGTTTCTCTTTCCCCTCTCAGCCTCCTTTTCCCGTTCCGTCATCAAGTTCTCATCCTTTTCCACTTCACCCGCCGCCTCCTTCAACTGCACCCTCTCCAATCTAGCAACGATGGCCTGATGATCATCTTGACTTATGCTCGATGAGCTCTGCAGCTGTGAGAGGATGAGAAAGAGCTGATTGAAGAGGAAAGCGGCGTGCGTTTGAGATGATGATGCGTAAATGCTCCGACTTGCGCCTGCTTGGGCGGGACGAGGAGCTGAAGGTAGGGGCGGCGGTGCAGCTCGAGTGGTGGACATCTTTCCGCAACCGCCACGGCGTGGCTAGGCAAAAGCGGTAGAAGATCAAGTGGTGCCTGACGGACGTGATCAAGGACGAGATTCAGAGCGCCAAGTTTGGCGAGCATCAAGGATGGGTGCAGGTATGCTGGGGCTACAAACAGGCATGCTGTAGGCACATACTGTTGTGGGTGTCACGTGGATCGCTGTTGTACACTGTATGCATGCCCTCCACCACGCATGTGCATGGAGCTCACATGCGCACGCTTTGCCTGCCAAAAAAAAAGCCGAAGAGATGAGGGCGACGCCAGATGCACGCACCCATGCACGCACGCAGTTGCCTTTCGCATCCCACTCACTCTACGCTCAAACTGCCCATCAGCAGATGTGCGGTGCGGAGCGGTCACCGGCCGGTGTACTGTGTATACCTGCGCGCTTTTGTGATTGCGACTTTTTATTGATGAGGCATGCAGCGCATGCATCCAGTCGTCCAGCTATACAATCTTGAATCTTGAATGGTGAGTGGTGAATATCGATGCGATACCCATGGGGCCCAACACGAATTTATTTAAAACCAAATCTCGATTGGCTCCCACGCTTGTATCCTATCGAGGTTCTACTCACCACGCCATCAACTTCAACATCACATCCAGGCTAATCTCTCGCTCACTCAATTTCTGCCATTCTCATCGGCATCGATCAGTCGCTATTCTCGTGATCTCCGTGACAAAAGTCCAGGCACGCGCTCATTTTCCCTCGCTTCCATCGCGACCGCGACCCATCCATCGACTTGCGCACTGTGAAGGGGCGCCAGTTTCTGCCTTGGATTGATCACTAAGCGGTCGGTCAGAGCTATAGATACCAATCAGGAGGGGATAGGCGTATCGAGTATTGGAGACAATGTCGGACAATGAGGGATACGACAAGTGAGTCGAGCTCGATGAGGTTTGAGGAAGGGTCGCAGAACAACGCCCCGACTCCAAGACTACGCGCATATCGACAGAGACGCAGAGGAGAGCGCTGAGCTTCATCCGTATCATCGCCTTCCTCGGGCGTCCTTGGCTGAACCGTCACCTCACACGTGCAACGCAGCTACGAAGAGCAGTACGACGAGGTGGATGATCAGTATGAGGAGCCCGCCGAAGGGTATGCGGAGGATGCAATCGTAGAGTCTGGGGATCCGGATGGAGCGCAGTTAGGAGGAACTGCCAATACGGAAAGGATCACCACGCCCTACATGACCAAGTATGAGAGGGCTAGGATCTTGGGGACAAGAGCTTTGCAGATTAGGTGCGTGCCGGGCCTGCATGCGAATGGAGAGAGGTTTGCGGGGACAAAGCAGGAATGGTACCTGCGGCTTGACTTTTGATCTCATCACTCGTGCTGATGCGCCAACGCTACACCGCACGATACCGCAACGTCGCGCAGCATGAATGCGCCAGTGCTGGTGCCTACGGATGGGGAAACGGATCCTCTGAACATTGCTCTCAAAGAATTGGAAGCCAAAAAGATTCCTCTGGTGGTGAGGCGCTACCTGCCCGACGGATCTTTCGAGGTGAGACTTTGTCGATGCGCTGAAGACTTCCACTTGCATCTGATCCTCACAAATTGCGACTCGCAAATGGCACTCTCTCACTCGCTCCAGGACTGGGCTGTTTCGGAACTCATCATCAACTGATCATGCGCATGGTCTCTGGGGCCGAACCGCGGTCGAAGGAGCGCTTGCAACGCTTCACAAAAAAGATAGACCCACATGCCGATCTCACTGCTTCTTCTGTGTCACGCTTCTGGGTCGACATCCCGTCCCTTCGCCAATGGAATACGTCGTCACGTGCATAACTTCGTCTGGGCAGGTCTCGTGAGAGTCGCAATTTTGCAAGACATATTCACGATCAGAGCATGAATTCAGAGTCATCAAACCAGAAGGGCCTCTTTGCCTGACAGCGGCGCTCTAATGAGCGGGAAAAAAATGCAAATGGCAAAACTAATGTTGGATCCTCAGCTTCCCTGTCCTCGCGCCAACGATGAACCTTGCTCAAACCCGAAGGGACCAAGACACCAATAGATGCTCGAGATCGGCTTTGGATCCTCATAGTTCGCAGCTGCTTCTCGCCGGATTCGAACCGACGACATGTAACAACTTAAGAGAAGCGCCGCCACTAGCGCACGTGCGCTAACAACTAGATCATAGGAGTAGTGATGCAAAGAGGGCATCCACATAATTTTCAACGCAGAGGCCGATTGAGAGGTGGGAGGGGGAGGGGGGCAGCGAGCTTGCATTGCGAGCGCAGGTTCGAAAGGGACAAGGTCAAGTCTTGACATCCGCATTCGAGCCTTGACACTTGAAGTCGACGACGGCTGCCATTGCGCGCCCAAGTTTGCTTGTCCATCGCATCCATGAGTGAGCATTTGACAATCAGAACATCAAGACGCTATGCGCGTTCACAGTTGCAAGATTTAAGACAGCAAAGAGTGCTGGCAGACTTGCACTAGAGCTCCATCTACATCCTCGCGGCGTCGGCACTCGCGACCGGTCTATAGTCAAGAAAGTCGATCGAGGTTGGATCCAGATCGTGAGTCTTGGATGAGCTAGTTGAGTCGCGGTGAGGCACCAGCGCGAGGCACGTGACAGCCCATCGAGTCTGTCACACGCGCGCGAGTCGCGCCGAGTTCATGATTTCGCGACTTGTGAATGAGAAGAGCGCGAGTGTCGAGAGTGAGTGAGTCGAAAGTCTTGAGCAAGTCGTCAGAGCCGCGTCAAGAAGATTAGGATCCAACGCTCATTCTTCTTCAACCTGATGAATGGTCCCCTCGCGTCTGCTCAAGCAACCCACCTACCTTTAAGGCCTTGAACGAACTGGAGAATCATCCTCACCACCATCTTCACCATCTATTAGCAGAGAGTGAGGGAGCGAGAGAGAGAGGAAGAGAGAAGCATCATGTCTCTCACCAAGCGTCAAGCGACGCACGTCTCGTTGCAGACGACTCAAGGCACCATCCTCCTAGAGCTGTACACCCAGCACGCACCTCGAGCCTGCGAAAACTTTAGCACCTTGGCATCTCGCGGCTACTACAACGGCGTAACCTTTCATCGCATCGTTCAAGATTTCATGATTCAAGCTGGAGATCCTACAGGCACGGGTCGAGGAGGCAACTCGATCTACGGAGGCAAATTCAAAGATGAAATCGATCCTCGCTTGAGATTCACCGGGGCTGGCATACTCGCCATGGCTAATAGCGGACCCGATACCAATGGAAGTCAATTCTTCATCACGCTCGCTCCTACTCCATTCTTGGATCGAAAACACACAATCTTCGGGAGAGTGGACAAGGGCATGCTGGTAGTGCAGAGATTGGCAATGGTCCCCGTAGATGCTAACGACAGGTGAGCATGCCCAGCATCGAGGCGGCGCGGATGGATGCGCTCGATCAAGACGTGTTGATCCAGCGTAGGCAGCGGGATCATCTATCCACATCAGCTGATGACATCGCTTCTCGTTCCCCTTCAGGCCCCGCGACGAGATCAAGATCCTCAGTGCTCAAGCAATCACAGAGTGATGGCTGAGGATCGCACCAGATCGCCTCTTGGGCAAAGCACAAATCAGAGCACGCCACACAGCTAGCAAGGGAGCGATTCGAGAGGCACAGCATCTGCAGCTGTTGGTAATGCGGCAATGAATCACTACCGCTCTGAACTGGGATCATCTACAGGCACTGGCGCGCCATCGCGCGTCCACAAGCAACCATGTTGTGGCACTGTTCGCACAGCCACGGCACTTGGGGCATCATTGTCGGGGCGTTTCGGTGGAGCGTCGGCCTGTGAACCCCAAGGTGGCGAGAAAGAGCGTAGAAATTCGGGCACTTGCACATTCATCAACAGAACGCGCTGTTGTCTTTCCTCGTCCAGCCCGTCGACCCATCAAGTGGTGCAGGTCTGCGCCACAAGGTGACAATGATCTCAACAGCGACCGCACATTGCAACCAGATGGTCATTTTGTAACCTCTGCCCTCTGCCCTCCGAGGGTCATTATGATCGTGCGCAAACACGCAAAACCAGCCATCGTGGTTGGCTCTCTACAGACCATCGCAAAGAATCGCTTGTATCCACTTTTCGACCATGATTCACAGCATCCTTGTGAGCTTGTAGACTGTCGCCAGGACGCACTGACTCTTGTTGCTGGATTGAAAGCATGACGATGTGATTGCAGCAGACCTACGAGCACAGCATCATCTTTAGCGAAACGGATTGCCTCCAGAAATGGCAAGAGGGATTGGGTGGGTGGATGGATGAATGGATGGATGGATGATATGTGGGATGAAACGATTGCAAAAAGCCAGGTACGAGAATGTTTGAAAGGGTGCGACTCGGACTTCTACCCAGGCCAGTAACGAGAGAGTCAGAGGATATCCCCGCAATCAAGGCGCAGGGCTCTGCGTAAGATGAAACTTGTCGCGCAGAATGCTACAATATCTGAATTCCTTAGTCTTGCTCGATGCGCATCCTCCTGTGTCCTTGTTGACAGCGAGCTCATTCATTTGACAGCATCCGTAGCAACGATGCCAGGCTAAGCGAACAAAAATGAGGGTGTCAGCGACGCGCGCGGGACGATCTTTCAACGCGCATATCGATTCGGAGCGTTACTCACATGCGCTGGCTCATTGGCTTGACAATGAACCCGTCAAAACCATATGAGAAAGCCTTGCGTTTATTGTCTTCGCCGGAGTGGCCCGTAATGGCAAAGATCTTGGCTCGCGAAGCAGCCCTTAGCGCACCCGGCGTACCGGCAGGCGTCCTGGAGCCGGAGGGACCCGCGTGACTGCGCCACGCTGATGGTGCCGACGTTGCGCCCACTTGCTGTGCTGCCCGCGCTCTCTCGCTCTCGATCTTGCGAATTTGCGTCGTAGCTCCGATCCCGTCAAGCACTGGCATGGACAGGTCCATTAGGATGACATCAAAGTGATGAGGCGGATAGGACTCAAACACTCGCACGCCTTCCTCTCCATTTGACGCTTCCACGAAGTCCACATCGAGCTTGCCTAGAAATGCAGCGAGAACTCTGCGGTTGATGGCATTGTCCTCGATTGTCAATACCCGCATGCGTCGGCGGATGTGACTATTCTGCACAATTCGGGCACTGTGGAGCGCGGTCTTCAGCACGGCTCCATCACCGCCTTCTAACGAAATGACTGAGCCAGGCGAGCTGGGCGAGGACGTCGCTGGGTGGGGTGCCGTAGAAGACCGATCGGACGCAGCAGATGCAGCCGTCGCACCCGCTCCAAAGTAATCTGACGATTCAGAGCTGTCACGTCTCTTTGACGCATTGTGCGGGTGATGCGGCGACATATGCACATGCCTTTGAAGCCGAGGCTCATTGAACGTAATGCTCCGGGGTGGCATCAAAGGGCGAGGATTGCTGCCTTTCTCGGACGTGGGCGACATCTTTTGGATCCGGTCGTGATCAGAATGGCGCCTCAGAAGCGTGCTGACTTCGTTGTCCAAGGGGGGTAGTGGTGACATGTGGTTCTCGTAAGCGCCTGGTGTGTGGTCGTCCGGTCGGGAGGCGGTGGAGCGATGGGGCCCCGATGACTCGCCCCTCGGCGTTGCAGTGGCGTTGCTGAAGTAGGAAGACTCGCGCTCGAGCTCGGGCTTTCGATGAGGCGACTGGGCAGGGGATGGCAAGACCATGTCGTGCTTTTCACTGTCACGTAATAGCGGCTCTCCCCGTCTCGCCCTTTCTAGGCATTGCAGCGAGAAGTCGACCAGAGCCTCGAGCTTTGCGGGACCCGCAGGCTTGAAGAGAAGTCTAGCCACTCCTCCAGCTTTGTGGTACTGATCGCACGCAGCTGTGGCCTCCGCATCTCCTCTGACACTTGTCAGCAAGATGGCCGGGGGCAGCCACCCACTCTCTGGGGATTTGCTCTGCGAGAGCTGCTCGAGGGTGCTGAAATCCTCGTTGACAATGACAATGTCACCACCAGTCGGCACCAGCTTGAACTTCCACCAATCTTCCGTGTAGCTTCGCAGGACTTCTAGCAAGTCATTGTGGCCTCTAGAAGCTCGGTCAAAGCCAAGGAGCGAGATGGAAGTCTCTTTACCAACATCGAGAGCTGGCCTGTATATGAGACCCTCGGCATCCGCAGCGTGTGCTATCTCCAGCTCGCAGGTAACCCGCATTTCCGTCCCTTGTCCTTGCGTGCTCCAGACATCTATCTTGCCGTTGATCGACGGTGATTGAACAATGCTGTTGACAATGGAGAGACCGAGACCCGTTCCAGGTCCCAGGTGATTCTCTTGCGTGAAAGGATGGAACAACTGCTCTTCGAGGAAGGCTCTCGAGATACCCTTGCCCGTGTCCGTCACGCCGAGCTCCACCACCACATGGGTTTCGGAGCTCTGCACTTCTCGAAGGGAAACGTGGACGAAGCCTTCCGATGTGAACTTGAGCGAGTTTCCTATCAGGTTCATCAGCACGCGACGAATGCCAGCCGCATCGCACTTGACAAGCCAGCCTTCAGGACGACAGGTGATGTCGATGACAGTCTCTACAGCAGCATGGGCCAGACCACGACCCAGGCTCTGTGTAGTGCCAGAGTTTGAGCTGCCTCCAGATCCCTGCGCGTACGCGCTTCCGATGCCCGAAGATTGGGAGCTCTCCAGCTTTCGAGCCATTTGTCCGATCCAGCTGCTTTCACAGACTTCCTGGACCAGCTTGACCAGATCGCAGCGTTGAGTCGGCTTCGCAGAGCTCTGTTTGGCGTGGGTATTGCCGCTGAGCTTTGTGAAGTCGAGCACGTGATTGACTAACTCCAACAAGCTTTTGCCACATGCCTCCACGGTCTCAAGATATGAGCCCTGAGTAGCGTTGATCTTTGTCTCTGCCAGGAGCTCGGCTGCAGCCAAAATGCCGTGCAGCGGAGTCCGGAGCTCGTGTGATATGCTGGCAAAGGGATAAGACAGCATGAGCGTTACTTGCGCTTAGCTGTCCGAGGGAGACCCGCGAAGACTCACTTGGAGATGAAATTGCTCTTCGCCTTGTCGGCCAACATGATATCCTTCTTGAGTATCGCACTCAAAATGATTGTACCCATGGCTCGAAGATACTGCAGGCCGGACTCTTTGATGTCTTGCAATTGCGGTCCATCGCCTGTTGACTTCGAGTATGCGCAGAGCAATGCGAAAGGCTGCTTGTTCAGGCCGAAGATTGGAACGAGCAGGAGATTTGTCATGCCCTCAGGAAGTAGGTGCCTGAAGGGTACCGGTGCGAACGAGTAGTAGCAGCCTGTGCGATGATGACGCAAGAACTCCGCTACTTTGATGTAGTGAGCGAGTGGCACGGGCGCGTCACGTCGCGAAGGCGGCGGTGAAGACTCTGACGAGCCAAGAACAGCCATCGGCGGGACTGCCTTTTCTTTTAGCTCGTCTGCACCTCCCGCCGAAGGCACGCCATCCGTCTCGAGCACACCTTCAATTGTCGACGGATCATCAAAGCTCGCGTAAGGAGCCGCGTCTGGATTCTGATATGGCGAGGGGAAGAAGATCTTTGAAGACGGTGCGTCGCCCTCGAAGGCGGGCGCATCCACCAGCTCAAAGTGCGACAAGTCAAATACGATTGCGCCTGATGCTTGCAAGGCTTCGCGCATGCCTTTAGCCGCAAACGCATAGACTTGGTGCAGGCCAGGACTCTCTTCGCCATTTGCTGACTCGTTTGACTCCATTTCCAGGCACTCGCGAGTGAATGTCTCGATGGAGTGTTGCATCCGATCACGTATTCTCAGATGGATCTGTCACAGCGATGTCGTGTCAGCTGCGTCCAATCTCACTGTGTCCAGCTGGTGGCACTTACTGTATCGCGAGACAATTCCATCTCCCGCATCACGACTCTGGCAAACTCTCGCAACGTGTGCCTTTGCCTCGGATTGAACTCCGTCCATGGCTTGTCATCAATGATGCACAAGCTTCCAAGATTATAGCCGTCTGCGGTCCGCAACGGGCTGCCTGCGTAGAAGCGAATGTGTGGTTCGCCAACAACTAGAGGGTTCCCTGCAAAACGCCAATCTTTCAAAGCGTCTAGTACCACGAAGGGCTCGTCACTGTCCTGCAAGATGGCATGTGCGCAGAACGAACAATTGCGCGATGATGCAATGCTGTCCAGATGAGGACGCGGTTGCGGTCAGTCTTGATCAAGCGGAGGAAGGTCGCGGACAACGGTGCTCACCTCTGAAGCCACGCCGCAGATCGGGACGCGCCGGCGGTTCCCGCCTGGGTACGGAAGTGCTGAGTCGACTCGCCCACGAGCGAGACGAGAACCAATCTAGTATTGAAGACCAGCTTGACCAGGTGTGCCACTCGATCGAAATTGGCGTCGCTGGACACCTTTGGCGGACCGTACCGCCGCAGGGCACCTCGCCGGTCCAGATCGTTTGGAGGCATGATGGCAGGCAAATAACCGTTGATTCTGTAGAAATCCTCTACCCTTCGACCCACGTTGTAGTACGCGTGAAGGTACGGGGCAACACCACTTCCTTGCGGATTCTTTTGCCCAGCAAGCATCGCCGCAGCTGCTTGAAAGTCTTCTGAAGCTCTGCGCACTTCAGAGGCTCGACGTGACATTGGGGCCGAGCCTTTGGAGTCGCTAGCCTGTGGAGCTGCGGGCATGGGACAGGCCGCAGCTTCAGCGGCTGCTTCATTCCACCGATCAGCTTCGCTGAGTTGACGGCCGCCTTGAGGCGATGCTCTCAAGCTGTCAGACCTCGATCGACTGAAATTCGATCTCATCTCAGGTGCGGCGTTGACCTTTGGCACCTTCTCGCCCGTGACCGTCGCTTCCTCTGCATCCAATACCCGCGTGCGCGCCTCGCCTGCGTGGTAGCTTTGACTGTGGGTGGGCTTCTCCTGCCTTCGCTTCTCTGCAGAATGACTGTCGCGGCGCGAAGTAGCGCGGTTTGCTGCTCGCCTCATTCCGGCCACTGTCGATGTTTCAGTAGCAGATTCCAGCCCGTGTGAGGGCCCTTGGTCATGACGAGCGCTTTGCACTGAAATATCTGGACCCGCTCGATTCCCACTATGTGAAGCCAGGGTATTGTTGAAGCTGTGAAGGTATCCCTCTGGAGCAGAGGACCAGGCCGTCGGTTCTGGATGCGAGCCATCCAGCTGCATAGGCTGGACTGGCTTGGGTCCGGGTCTGACCTCGGTCGAGGATTGCGAAGCCAACTGTTTCGCAGCGGCCTCGACTCGAACGCTTTCGTCGTTCAGCAGGCCGCCCGCGATCCTTTGCAGCTTTACCTGGCCACGAGTAGCATCGATGTCGGTGCTGGACGAGTGGCCACTCGATTGCGCGGAGGAATACGTATGGTTGGACGCGGTCGGCTCTCCCTCTGATTGCAGCCTTGAGCTCATGTTTCCCATGGAAAGGTGAGCGGACTCTTGAGAGGCATGCGCTCTTTGCTTGGTGTTGCTGCCGTCTCCCGCGCTGCTTTGTCGAGGGACTCCTTGGCCAAGCAGATCATTGTCCACGCTTTCGTTCTGAGAGAGGCGTGAATGCCATACTGAGTCATCCTGGGTTCGTACCCCATCCGATGCCACTCCAAGAAGGCTCTGTCGTAGCAACTGATCTCCATACATCGTTGGCACTGATTTTGAAGTGTCAGACGAGAACTTTGAAGTCGAGCTCGACTTCGAGTCACTCAAGAGTGGCAGTGCCATGCCCATGTTTGGGGTACTCGCTGATGCTAGCTCGGAAAGCGGCAGGGAATCGAGAGCGCCTTCGCCCCCTGTTGCGACATTCGCATCGCTACGTTCAGGGTGGCTGACATCGTGACCAGACCAACGCGAGGCGGTATCGTGGTGGTATCCTCCGGACCGCCGCACGGGAGGGGGTGTCCGGGACTGAAAGACCGCACGATCCGGCCAAGGATCTGTGCTGCTGCTAGCATCTCCTGACGATCTCCGTTTGCCTTCTTGGAAAGGTACCGAGGATTGCGAAGGCTGCAGAGGATGTGGCTGGCCCATAGGAGGTGGCAAGTAGGACAAGGAAGGTCGTCTCAACTCGAGCCCATCAGGTCCCACGGCCGGCGAAGGGGCCGACTTTGGTGACACGGCGGCCTCAGCTACAATCTCCGCTTGCACGCCTGGATGTGCTGTAGAGCGCGATGGAGGCCAAGGGCTACGAACGGGGTCGAAGCGGCCACTACGATTGCGAAAGCAAGGTTGATCAGTCGAGCGCGGACAAACCGCATCCATTGCCAATGGCAACTTACCGCGCATAAGCGAACACGAAATTAGCCCAGTCGTAATTCCCAGCGATGGCGCCTCCCGCACTGGTCCAGGGAGGTGGCGCACTCCGGTCGGAGCTGATTGGAGGGCTAGCAACGTCCCCCGAAGAGGGCAGATCCCTCACAATGCCAGGAGGTGTGCCGGCCGGTTGCGGTGCGGATTGCCAGATGCTCATCTCTTCGTCGTCCGGGGCCGGCATCTCTGCAGAGCTGCACGAAGAAAGCGCAGCATCTACGACCGGATTGATGTCATCGGGATCCAACATCTCGTTGGATGGCCGGCTGAGCGCAATGGATGTGGATCCTTGTGGGGTGCAATTGCCCCCCAGGGTGCCTGAAGTGACGTGGTCACGATGGACGCCGTTGATGGAATCAGTGTCGGACATTGTCGCTTCGTATCTGCTTTCCGCTTGCGTAGAGTCTCGGTCTGCAGATGATGCACTGAGTGTTCTTGATCTCTCTCCCGTGGAATGCGTGGCGGTAGTGTTCCAGCTCTGCCTCCAACCACCTCCACGACGTACAGCGGCTCCGGCGAAGGATGGCATGGTGCCAGATCTAGGCGAGGAACTGCTCGTTGCGGAAAGTTGACCCCCAGCGACAGTCATGGGTGACTCTGCTCTGACGAGGTGTCGAGGAAGACTAGGCATATGATCTCGAGATCCTGCGGATGTGCGTGGTGTTGACGACGCCGTTACTGCTTCTGCGAGCTGCTCTCCGGATACAAGAGGAGAGCCAGAGGCTCCTCCGGCTGACACTGGCGCTGATGGCGCCCCCAAGGGAGAAGGCGGCTCAGGCATGGCGGACTAGGCGCGAGTGCCTCTCGAGACGAAGATGCAGCGGTGGGGATCGCCTCCCTTTAGATCAGCAAAGACATGCTGTGTGATATTCCGTAGGGTATGGGGTGCTGTGCAATCGTGACTGGATTTCTGAACGTGCAGCGCAGCCACCGGTTGTAGTGTTTAATGGCTGAGGCTGGGAAAGCCGCGACAGCGAAGCCCTTGTCGCTTGATCGACGCTGCGGACGCGCTCTGGCTGATAGGAAAAGACCGATTGGGACTTGAAGAGTGACTGCTGCGAGCGATCTCTGCTATCCAAGAAAGGAGCCACGAACCGAACGCGACGGCGGCTTCAAGGGCGGTGACAACGGCAAGCAACGACGATGATGACGGCGCGGTGCGGCTGCTGCTATGCTTGCTCATCGCTGGATTCAGTCACCACGCATCCAAATTGAGCGCCGCAAACAGCATATACTGTACATCAGGCTTGCACCGGTCGCGTCAGCCTGTACACCCACAGTCACGAGCAATAAGGCATCCACGCTCTGCTGGATGGTGGCACGCATGCATGCGAGGTTGCGTCGGTCACTCAGCAGCAGCGGTGGCAGTAGTCTGTATACCGGTACAGTATGCTGATGCGACTCAGACTAGCTGCAGCAGCCTAGCTGTCTGCCTGCTGCGTACGTGCGAGGCAATTACGCGCGATCGATCGTAGCTTGCTGATGCTGCTCCTGACTACTACTACTGCTGCTGCGTGCTGCAAATTCGAGGCGTGGCCCGGCCCTCTGCTGACGCGCGGCTGCTCCCAAAGCACATGGCACCGCAACGCGCGCACCATCAAAATGAGGGTGGCGAATCAAATGTAGCTATAGCTAGCTATACTCAAGCGTGGGTGTGGGTACGCGGTGCCTACCCGCACACATGCTTGTGCACATTTCGAGACTCAAGAGTCGCACATATGCTAACAAGCAGTTTTGAGTCTATGTGTGCGCTCAAGCACGAGCCCATGCGCATATAGCAGACATACGAGCCTTGACGAGCAGGAGCTTATTGCGAAAGCTTTGCTTGCAAAGTCTTGGTTAGCGCGCTGGATCCACGAATTCGATATGACGTTCCATCGACTCACTCACCACTCATGGCTGATCGAGAGATCACGAATAATCACGAATCACGGTTCACGGTTCGCGAAAACCGCTCAGAAATCAAGATCACGTGAAAATGTCAAGAAGGTCGCGCGAAAGCGTGCGCTCTACCATAGCTCATCAGTCAAAGAGTACCAGTAATAAGAGAGCGCTGCAAGTCAAGAGTCTTTCTGAGCTTACAATTGTGATTAAAAATTAGCAACCAGAACCAAGTGAATGTGAATGGAATTATTAAATGTGATTACTTCGCCCCAGAAGAGGTGTGGGGATCGCTCTGGCTGGACTTCAAGCGGATGTCGAGTCCGGGCGACCCTTGCGGTGAAGTCAAATCACGTGAAACGTGAGTGAATGGCCCGCTCAAGCAGGCTCACCAGACTGATGACTGGAAATCGTGACGTGCACGACGAAGCGCGAACAAGCTTTCGAGGCTCGTCCGACCGTCAGCGAACAAAGAATTTTGAATCGAGGCCTCTGTGAGCACCAGTCAAAGCGTCAATCAATCAAGAATTAGAAGCGTGAATCAAAATGGAGAAATATGAATCATAAAATGGAGCATACACATGCACCGATTATCTCTGACTCAGGGATAGTCATGAGTCTGTGGCCATCGTGTTGAGGGTGTCACCCATGCAAGCTTGCGCCGTTATCAGGTCTCAAGGATCGAGCGTCATTAAGCGCCTTGACTCAAGAACTGAACACACGACCTACCAGTATCTAGGTGGCTGCACACCTATCGTGGGTACGCTCACATGCGAAGTCTACACTATATGTCGGCAAGTATGTCTTCTGTCGTACAATCACGGAAACTTACGAAGAGACGATTTCACCTGTACATTGTCGAAAACGCTCACTCAAGACTGCTGATCTGGGTCTGGTGCTGAAAGTCTTGAGTCTCGAGTCAAGGTCTTTGCTAACTACGAATGAAGAAGCGACGGTTGACGAAATTTCTGAACGCACCGAATGAGTCGAGACGCTGCAACGTTGTGAGGCCGCCCGTGGCCTCACCAATGTCACCATCCCCGCTCGGTTCGCCGGTTCTTGGGCCGCGTTGATGGATCAATCCTCGCTTCATGATCTGCTGTCGCCCCACTTCCTCTTTCTGCTCGCATGCAACTGCTTAGCTGAGCCTCCGAGCTCCTGCAGGTACGCTGGTTGGTCTTGGCACACCCTGTTCAGCGCTCTCAAAAGCGCACTCACGCTTACCACAGGTGGTCAACCTCTGCTCTGAAGCCCGGCTCTTAAATGGAGCTTCTCGCAGTAATCATTGCATAAGTTGTCGTGCCGCCACCAGTGCACGTTTTAGGGCAGCCTCGTCGCTCATTAGGCGGGTTACTTACCTCTCGACTTTGAGACTGATCTGACCCCTTGAGCACCAGCAGCCTGCATCACCCTGCCCTGTCCCCCTTACAGCTCATTCAGATTTCATTGCTGCAGGAGGCCTCATCGAATAAGATCTGGACTCGACCGCGGAGTCATGCAGTGCAGATTGTCAGCCAGTCAATGCAACTCGTGACTCTGACTACGAGTCGAATGGCCACCGCAGTGGTGAGTGGGCGGCTGATGCATGTCCGCATGCTGTTTGCATGCATGCGACTTGCATCAGCTGCTCTGATGCACGAATGGCTGACGGAGTTTTAAGGCAGAGGAATCAAGAATCAAGACTCCATGCAGCAGCTGCAGCTGCAGAATAGAACGCGTCGCAGGTCATGCAGCTGCTGCCAGGCCCCGCGGAGAGCGGCAAAGACGTGCCTGAGATTCACGTTTGACAAGCCTCGCTCACCGCGAGCTTGTGGCAGGCACACCGAGACGACCATCAGCATCCCCTCCCGCACAGCTGTGGACGATCGACACCCCGGGCACGCTTGTTGTTATTTCAGGGCCCACAAGCCCCTGTCGCCAAGCCACAAGGCTCACTTCTCGACCTTCAAAGACGAGTGATTGAGTCGAGACGCAAACACGCTTGTCTGGCACAGCTCATCAAGGGACGCCGTGGGACATCGCTGCTTCTGTTTCGAAGTCTGTAGAGCCCCTGACAGTCGACCCCACACCCGCGCTCTCGTGCGACGCTTTGAAATTTTTGGGAACTCGACGGCTGCACCACCTTTGCAAAGTCGTGATCCGCTACGCGATAGACCAACACCTGCGAGGGAGGTTAAATAGAGCGCGTGGATCGGTCGCAGACTTTCCCTTCGGGCAACCACATCCTGCTGAGCAGACCAGCCCAACCCACATCACTCCACCTCGACGCTCATCCTCTAACGTGTGCACGGTCAAGATGATGCACGAACACCTGGTCGGAATGCTCAGCAAGAGAGCTTCGGCCTCGGTCGTCAGCGGACACAACCCCGCGACTGTGGACCCCAGCAACCCCCTCCAACTATTCATCATCCAAGCAGGCATGTGAGTAGGGATGCCGAGCCAGCTGTGCCCAGCGACGCTGCTATGGATGCATCTTACATCTAAGTTGGTTCAAGGCTGACACTGACGCTCGCTACTGTTCTCGCAACTGAATCGCTACCGCGGTACAGCATCATCATATTCACCAGAATTCTCGGCTTCTTCCTTGCCAAGATCAAGCAGCCAAGTGTCATCGCCGAGGTCATTGGCGGCATCGTACTGGGTCCCACGTGAGCTGAACTCCAGGCACCTTGCCTAGACCTCGCTGACTCGTCCTGAGTCCACCCATGCAGTGTGATGGGTCGCATTCCCCACTTCACAGAACACATCTTCCCTCAGCCGTCCATTCCATACCTCAGCTTGGTGGCGAACATCGGCTTGCTCTTCTTTTTGTTCATCATCGGGCTTGAGATCGACGTCAGCATTGTCAGGCGCAACGCCTTCTCTAGCACAGCGATCAGCATGTCTGGGCTCATTCTGCCTTTCGGCCTGGGTGCTGCGCTGAGCTACGGAATCTACAAGGATTTCATCAACCAAGAGCGCGTCTCTTACGGCCATTTTTTGCTCTTTGCCGGTACCGCCTTCTCCATCACTGCGCTACCTGTTCTAGCCAGGATTCTGGGATCGCTCAACATGGTGCAGACGCGCGTGGGGACCATTGTACTTGCCGCCGGAGTAGGCAACGACGTCATCGGATGGGTGCTCTTGGCGCTCACGGTCGCGCTCGTCAACGCGCAAACAGGTGTCACAGCAGTCTACATCCTGCTCGCCGTCGTCGGCTGGGCACTCGTCCTCTTCTTCTTGATTAAGCCTGCATTCATTTGGCTGGCCCGTCGCACCGGCAGCCTGGAGAAGGGACCATCGCAGCTGATGCTTACTGTCACCATCCTGCTGGTCTTTGCTAGCGGCTTCGTCACGGATATTCTGGGCGTCCATGCCATTTTTGGCGCTTTCCTCGTGGGCCTAATCATCCCGCACGAGGGAGGGTTTGCAGTGGCTCTCACGGAGAAGATCGAGGACCTGGTTTTGACTACCATGCTCCCGCTCTACTTTACCCTGTCGGGTCTTCGCACGCAGCTCGGCACGCTCGACGGAGGTCTTGTCTGGGGCTACACTATCGCCATCATCCTCGTCGCATTCAGCAGCAAATTCTTGGGATGTGCTACCGCCGCAAAGTTGTGCGGCTTCACCTGGCGGGAGACTGGCGCCATCGGATCACTCATGTCCTGCAAGGGTCTGGTGGAGCTCGTCGTTCTCAACATCGGTCTGCAAGCCGGCATCCTCGACACGCGCACATTCTCCATGTTCGTCGTCATGGCGCTTGTCACCACCTTTGTGACAACTCCCTTGACACAGCTGATATACCCGGCAAAGTACTACGAAGAAGAAGTCGACGCCATCCGCGCTGGCTCTGACTCCAAGCTCGTTGACGACTCTTCCGACCCTAGTGCTGGTCGCCGCTCAGCATTGACCGGTGCAGCGCGTCGGTTGTTGGTTGTACTAGATGGCTTCGAGCATCTCCCAGGTCTTCTCACCTTGATGCAGCTCATGCGTCCATCTATCGCCCCCAGAGTCGATCCCACATCGACTACAGGATTGCGTCAAAGACATTCGCAAGGACCGAGTGGGGCAGAGACTGAGGACGACATCTCCGAGAAAGAGTCCGCCTCGTCCACCCAACAACATCGCAGCAGCAACCCCAAAGCAGCAGTGGGCGTTAGTGCGCTGAGGCTGATCGAGCTTACCGACCGCACCTCTGCGGTCATGCGGGTTGCCGAGGCAGAGTCGACCCTGCGCGCAGACCCGATCATCAACGTCTTCCGCACCTTTGGTCAGCTCAACAACTTGCCAGTAGACAGCTCCATGGCTGTTGTTAACGCAGACGAGTATGCCAACACGGTCATTGCGCGAGCGCAGCGAGCCCAGACCAATTTCTTGGTCGTGCCCTGGACTGTTCCAGAGGGATCGAGTGCTGCTCCTGTCACCGCAGCTCTGCAAGAGCAAGCTACCAGCGCAGGTGGCTTCCGCAGCATCTCTAATCCCTTTGAAACCATCTTTGGCAACGCTTCTGGTGCCGATGGAGTCTCAAGATCACCCGAGAATATCGCCTTCGTCAGACGCGTCTTTCAGACGGCTCCTTGCGACGTCGGTCTCCTGGTCGATAAGTCGACGCCTGCTGCGCCAGGATTCTTGGCCGGACAGCAGCATGTGCTCGTAGGCTTCATGGGAGGGCCCGATGACCGCTCTGCCCTCTCACTCGTTCACGCGCTTTGTGAAAGCAACCTGTCCCTCAGAGTCACCGTCTTGCGCTTCCGCCGCATCGGTGCCGACGAAGCGGGAGAGGCTCCGATTCCAAGCATGCCTCCAACAGTCCACCATGCTCAGCACGCCCGTGCTCCTACTACAGGGGCTGGTGCACACGTTCAAGATACTATGTATCCGACTATGCAGGGCACTTCTTCCATCGAGGCGACTCTGGAGGATGACATTGCAGTCAAGAAGGTGGAAGATGCCAGCTCTTCGGGTGCGCTGTCCGGACGGCTCGTGGTCAAGACGATCTCGACCTCCAGGCCCCTGCGCGACTTCATCCGCGCCGTCGACGAAGTGCAACCTACGCTGATTGTGTGCGGCAGGGGCCGTCGAATGCCCACCATGACGCATCGCGATGAATTGCGATTCTTGATTCGCAACGGGCTAGTGGATCCACAGGCGGCGGAGAACCTCAACGACGATTCTGCCAGCACAAAGGAGAATGCCAGCACAGAACGAGCTCTCAGCTCGGAGACTTGCAAGACTATAGGCGAGCCAGCTATGGCCATCACTAGGTTCGCCACTACTGGAGCTTCCTGCTTGGTTGTTGCTGCAAGTATGCGAGCCAGGCACATCGCGCAAGCTTGATCTCGCTTCGAGATATCATTAACGACTTCCTTGTTTCCCGATCGTGAAACCGTGGCTACCTGACTCTACTGTAAAGCCGCCGCAATCCTATAACGCATCCGTCATCCATCGCCGTCACGACACGTATCCCGCACTAAAGTTCACCGTACCTGTCCCCCTGAACCCCGCCTCTACCGTGTACTCTTCAACTCCAACGTCACTGAAATGATTTGATGACCACTTGTAAGACGTGACTGCTGGCCAACGCTGAGGGAGGTTCTTGACACTGATATTCGAAACGGCCGCTCAGAAGGGCCTGGGAAGCCCAAGATTGCGGTCAAGTCAACGGGATGATCGTTCACATTTCCATTGGCTTCTCATCATGGCGCGATGCCTCGCGAGGCGCAGGGACGTCCAGAGTGCGAATTTTCTGTCATTGAATTGCTGCGCGCGAACGCAGCAAGCCTTGCAAAACATGACGAGGAGCGACACGTGCGAGCAAGCATCAAATGTTGCTGGTAGCGAGCGCTTCAAGCAAATGGGAAAGCCTTGTCAGCTCTTGCGCGTTCCGTCTCAAACGCCGCCGCATCGATTTCCCAGTCCCGTATCAGGCCAGCGTCGATCTGATCCCGATGCGCCTCGTCCAAATACCGCAAAGCAAGATCTCTGTACATCTCTGCCCCTTTATACTTGGCCGTAGCTTCAGGCCATTCCCTCATGCTCGAAGCCAATCTACCGGGCACGCCAGCTTCTTTGGCAAATTCAGTGATGGGCGTGAGGTAGGTTCGGATGGTGAAGACGATGGCTCCAGAACGAGGTAGTCGACGCAAGGTTTGCCGCTCTGCTCTCATGCAGATGCTTGCTGGATCCGTCGCTACTTGGGGACCTTTGAAAGCGTCCACCACCACCACCTCTTCCTCCTCCTCCTTCGCTTTGCAGTCCAGAGCTGCATCTGACTTGGCGTCGACGCGTCCAGTCGTCTCGGAACTCGCAGCGCGGGGCCCTTTGAGCATTTGATCGAATATCTCCTCAGGTCCATTGGTGGTGTGGCTCCAACTGAGTTCCGACCGATCGTACAATTCTCGACACAGCTCATCCGCTCTCATAGAGCTCGACGTTCGACCAGATATCGGCGCGCACCTCTTGTCGTCAGGCGGCAAGACGTCCGGAATCAGCTCGCCAGAGAGCAGGGCAGGAATGGCTTCCGTGTCACAGATCTGAAAGAAAAAGTTATCGATCCTTTCTGCAAATCAAGGAAGCTCCTGAGTCAGAATCGTCTTGGAGCTCGAAGCCAAGCGAGCGACGCACCAATGGGTTTGTCCGGCCTGAGCTTGGAGAAGAATCGGTCCATTGGATCCCGCACTGGTCCGAATGGTAGATAAGATTAGCTTTGGCTGTGACGCGTCACGAGCGGGGCTCCTCCTCCTCACGCTTCTCGTCGTACTGTGGCACGCCGCCCCTCGTATGAATTTCGCGGAGGGGCAGACCAAGCTTATCCTTCAGGGTCCAGAATCCAGCTGTACAGATGGACCTAGCACACAACGATTTGAGCGTGGAGCGGGCACGTCAGTTCGGCGCCAACCCAAACGGCTGCTACGTGACCAAAAGTCCAGCATAGCACTCACCCACCGATTAGTCTATGAGCATTTAGCGGGGCTTTCTCGCTCTGATATCCTGCTCTTTCTTCATCTGTCAAAGGTGTCTCTCTCAGGAGGGCCAGATCATCCGGCACGAGCTCTCCTGCAACTCGCATAGCCTCATCTGCTCCTTCTCCGAAAGGGCCAAGGTCTTCAAGCAGCCAAGTCTTGGCCTCAAGACCGCACTCAGGCAGCGCATTCCTCGTGATGCTGCGTACGTCAAATCCGTCGTTTCTTCGTTCGGAGCCGCGAGGCTCGACGCGGAAAAGGGAGGGATACCGACAAGCCAGGTAGGCAGATATCGCTCGAGCCAGCTCCAAGGCTGCTAGCTCGTTCAAGAAGTCACCTTCTCGAAGGCACGCACTGCTTGGCAGTATCTTGTAGCATCGTGAGCCATACACTGCGTGCCGAGCTTCTCGTAGCCGAATGTATGCAGGGTAGCTCTTATGCAGCGAGAGCCACTGCGTAGGGTTGAGAGGTTTGATTCCCACTGATACGACCGCGAGATGGGCAGAGGCGTGAGCAAGCCCCAATATTTTGTCCATTCGCATTGTGGTACCATGACGCGCATACTCACTGGTCAGACGGTGCTTGCCCCATCTGAAAGGTCTGAGCGCCAAGTCTTCGGCCATTTTCAACTCGAAACCCGGCTCTGGATCTGGCAAAGACCATGCTCGGTATCCGACGGGAAGAGCAGGCACGGGAATGGTGCGCTGAAGTCTACTCCATTTCCAAGCTTCTCGACCGAGCGCAAGGACGAGAGCTGACAGTGCGCACAGCAGAGCGAACTGAATATTGTCCATGTCAGTGCCGTCCGTGCGGAGATTTCGAGTCAATGGAGGTAGTTGATGCTAAAATTGCAGCCCTGTCTGGGCAGTAGGCTGACAGGCCTCCCTGGGCTGGAATTGAAGTGTCACTGGGTGAGGTTGTAGTGTACGCTTGCCCGGACGTTGGGAACGAGAGCTTTGATCTGAAAAGTATCGAGGGAGGGTCGTGAGGAGAGCGGATGGCTGGCACGACTAGATAGACTTGCAGGTAGAGCAGATAGAGTGTCGTAGCGAAAGGTGCTCGCTGTGTGCTTGAGTCAAGGCAAAGTGACCTTGAGCTGCTGTGCTCGAGTCAAAAGGGCGACAGCAGCCATGATCTCTCATCACTTCCTGAATGATCCGCGGCAAGATCAATCACGAATGACGCAGCATACACAGTCGCACGGGAAGATCACTTGCCTGAGCGGGCAGCCCTTTCGAGATCGCAATTTTGGTCGTAACTACTTCATGTCAGATGCATGCTGCTGGTGTGGGTATCTTGTTCGCGCGGGCGGCAAGAGAGCCGATGATGCTAATCTGCACTTTTGACTTCGACTCTTTCTCAAAAGACAAATATATCGGTACCGGTCCAGCCTCGATACGCGAAGGCTGATGTTGCCTGAAAAGCGGGGATTCGGCCCGCGGCTGGATGTGTGTCTCTGTTCGAAGATAAGATATGATGATGAGGGATTATCACCTGGAGTGGGCGAGTTTGAATTCGAGAGTCGCGAGTGGTGAGTGGTGACATCCTCGACCTCTCGCGCCGTACGTGCGCATCACGGTCGGGCCGGGGCTAACGGGGAGTCGAGCCGCGGCTAAATCTGACCGCGATATGGTTACGCAAGTGCGTGCTCGCGTGTGCAGCGATGTGGCTCGACCGGCGTCCCACGCGTCGCGCGCTGGACCTCCAACCTTACATCATCAATCACCTCAAACAGGTCGATCCCAGTCAGGACAGTCATCACATTCTGATTTGTCAACTCCACGGATGTTGGGCTAATCGAGCGTTGGAGTGTACTGTGGCCCAATCACCCATTCTACCCGCGAGACTCGGACGCTCCTTACAACGTCCGCGCCCGCTGACAGTCTTGCGTGCAAGCGCTGGCGATTACCTCGCAGACCGACATCTTCGACTGGCTTCGTCGCCATCGCCTCCAGCTGAGCTGAGCTGCCTGCCGCGTGCCATCTTGCGGCGTCTCCCTCACTCCACGAGCGATCGCACCTCGAGATGATTCGTCGACCACCCACCTCCCTGTCCTTCACTTCGGAAGACGTAGAGATGCTGAGACTGCAAAGATCAAAAGAGGTCGGAATGGATCTAACGCATCAGAGCCGAACGGAAAAGAGTGAGGATCTGGAAGAGTCATCGGACTCTTCAGCACCGCCGGACGCCTCAGAGGCTGGAATGGGCAGCACTAGAGCGGACGATAGACGGACGGTCAGCACTGCTGCTAGACATCCTGCTAGCGATGTTGCCAGACGATAGGCCCTTCACTCACTGTATTGCTAAGAGGCAGATGTACTGGAACAGACAGCGAGTGGCGGGCGAGCAATGCCCGCCTGCATCAATCAGCGCTTATTCCCCACTTGCAGCCTTACTTCGAAGCGCGTCTGTCCAGACTCCGAAAGCGTCAAACTTTATTCGTCGCAGAACAGCCAGCTCACGAGGAGTTCCGTCATCCCCGCAATAGCCCCTGCGACGGTCTTCCACCCGCTACGGCAGTCGCCGAGCGTGTTCTGCATGGTTTCCTCAGCTTCGGACAGTCAGTCGCTCGACCAAGGCCCAGGCTCCTGCCACCCCATGGAGCGATCAATCTCGCTGCCCTCATCGACCTCTGCGAAGGTCGCCCCAAGAGGAAATCCGAGCGTCGTCGCAAAAGTCGAATCACAGCCAGCGCATGATCGACTGACAAGACATAGGCCAAGCAAATCATATATCGCACTTGGCGACGTGAGCGTCTCAAAGGCCAACAAGGAGGCTACAACAATCCAGTGCCGCCAACGAAACGATCGCGTTTACAACACGAAGCTCATCGTACTGACACGCGCACGGCGCAAGTGAGAGCCTCGGCGCGCTCGACGCATACTTGCGGAACACACGAGGGTGGTAGGAGATCTTGAGGTGTGGGGAGATGGGTAAAAGGGAAGGAGAGGCGAGCGGGAGGATTTGCGGCTTTGCGACTAGGTCCTTTTCTGCCGACTTCTGCACGCAATGCAAGGGCGCTCACGTCGTCATTTCGTGTGCCACTGCCGGTCTTGAATGTCATCGCTCAGCAAATCACTTTGGAAAGCCTGTCCAACTCAGCCGAGACCGTATCAGGCGTGACGCGGGCCAATGACTATCAGAACCCGACCAGCCTTGTTTGAATTGGGAACGTTTGGGCCACGTGGGGTGATGCTGCCTACAATGAAGCCCTCAGGCGCTGCCGCTGATCTTACTCTTGGGGGAAAATTTGCAGCCTTGCCCGATATCGCTGGGCTGTTCGGCGCGGTCGTCGTTGAGTTTTTCATGATCTTTTACGAGTGTCTCCAAATTCATGGCGCCCAGGAGCTCTTGTCAAGACTCCTGCCAGCTCCTAGTGGCGCCACATGCCTGCTTTAGAATGACGCTCGAGGTGGAGGCTACATGTCTCGGAAGCTGAGGGTCGGCGGAGTGGATGGGGATCGTTCGGTGCGTCGCGCTCGTTCCAGTAAAGCAGAGACGTCCTCCTGCCGTCGATCTGCATAGGCGTGCATGAGCGAGACTTGTCGAATGGATCCAGCACGTCAAGTCCTCCAATTTCGCTTCTCTGCTCGATCACTATCCTCGATGATGATCGAACGTCGCACGAGAGCGCGGAGGAAAGGACAGGGGAGCCAATCCGTGCTGACCGATTGAAACGGGCGCCTCTTGGCCGAGGCAAACTCACAGGAGCCTACCGGAGGGCTGACTCGGCAATTCGGCCAAACGAAAGGGGATGCTGTCTCGGATTATGTGAAGGAAAGCAGCTACGGAGCTTTGGCTGTCATGCCCAACTGTATGCTACTCGCCGAGGTGGAAGTACCGATGGCTAAAGAGTAGTAGCGGTGAGGCCAAATCCCCTGGTCCACCCAGAGTAAGCCTTCCCTCTCCGTGGCATTTCGAAGCGCCGTTTCCGCTCTGTCCATCGTCCACGCCTCTTGCTTTCCCAAAGATGGCATGGCGGACTGTAGCGATTGAGCTGTCAAGTATGGTGTACCTTGAACATCCCGAGGTATTGACGCGGCATCTCTCGCGGCTGGTGAACCGCCATCCTGTGAGGTAAAGGCGGCTGACAAGAGCGAGAGCAGGACTGTGGTGCTGGGATCTAAAGCCTGCGGCAATGTCCTGACATACAAACTGCCACCAAGCGTCAGAACTTCGTAGCCGCATCCTAGCGGCTGCAAAGTCTTGAGAGCACGAAGAACATCTTCCACAGTCACTGCTGCTGCTCCCGAGCTCGCTAGGTTTGAGGTGCCGCTTGAGGTGCTGATGCTCTGGACAGTGGTGCCTGTCCTTATCCTCGTAACCGCATTACAAAGGTCTTGCATCTCCAACAAGCCCCCATTCAGGCTCCTAGAGCTGACACATATGTCGACAACTTGAACTGCCAGAGCATAAGTCCAATCGCCCAGCCCCACAGCTTCCCAGAGTTTTCCACTCTTACTGCCACCACCACCACCTCGCGAAGAACCACCAATGTCAGCTAAAGGATCCACACCCAATTTGGAACACATTTGTTGAAAACTGTGTCTGAACGATGCATCGCGAAGAATATCGTGCCTGTGACGCGTGGCGAAAGATCGAAGTGATGAGGAGAATGAGTCTAATTGGACTGTCAGCTCGGCCAGGGATGCGGTGGATAAGTCGGAGCCTAACGATTGGTAAGAGGCAGAAGAGTGCGCGGAACGATCCAGCGCCGCTAGACCAGGCCCTCGTCTCATCTTGACGAGAGGTCAAGGTCAAAACGTCGAGAGGTGATGTGCCAGCTCGTCGAAGAGCTGGTAGTGGTCGCCAACTTTATTGGGTCGTGCTGCCCGGAGTCGGTCTTTTTGCGTCTCGCTGTATCTGCTTGCGCACAAGTGGGAAGTAGCGACTCCATCCCTTTGCCAAGAGCTAAGGTTGTTGCAATCGTGAATGGTGAATGGCTCGAACGTATTCAATATTCTTGATTCAGACGCTTAGACGAGCACGATGATCAGTCAAAGAGTCACGATTGCTTGGTGGTCCAAGATTCGACCTGCCGGCTAGTTCACGAGTCGAATCACGTGACTTCTACGCTACAGTCAACATCTTCCGTATGGCATTGCGCCCCGCCCAACCGCGGCTTGTTGGCTCCCAGCGTGCTTCTCTAAGGCTCAGGTCAAGTCAGAGAGGAGAGGGAGAACGTTGCTAATGGGAGGAATACAAATTCGATCACTTGAATGTCATCCTTTTATGACCGTCTTCTTCCAAGCTTCTCAGACTCATCACAATCAAGAATCGTGAATCCAGAATTGGCTTACATCGTGAAATACGAGCCTGAGTCGATCACGAATTTTGAATTGACTGGTGAATTATTGCGAACATGTAACCGCGGGGTACTCAGACTCAAGACTCGTAGCTCACCTCTAGCTGCAGCAGACTGCTGGCTGCGCATGATCGTCCCTGCGCTGTCGATGCATGGGCCCTGCATGCGCAGCGCAATGATGTCATGCGCACGGTCTCGACACGGCTCGATGTTGTGGGGTATGCGGCGGATGCGCAAGCTTCTCTTCAGCAACACCCGCCCTCCTCATCATCATCAACAGCAGTCTGGAGAAGACCCTGACGAGGGCTGCTGCCATGCGCTGCATCAGCTGTGGCGCGATGCTGCTGCTGCTGCACGGCCTTCTTGCTCCATGCAGCAGCGCCTCTTCTGATGATGGAGTTCTCTCATCCATCAAAGCTGCATGCTAGCCTCGATCGATGCTCTCGTCTCGTTTGGGAAGCTCCAAGCGCAAAAGAGTACCCACATGACAGCTGCGGCGTCAGTCGTTGACCTGTGAATACACACGTCAACGTGCGCTCAAGGATACGTATCCCCGGGCGGATAGAGTTGGAAGATCACCTCACGCGCTTAGACGTATAGATGCTTGCAGCATGTTCGATGATGCAAGCCTAAAGCCTGGCAGCGGGGGTCGGGTCCAGAGCTCAGCTGCTACTAACAACCCAGTCAGCCACACGCAATTTCTTTCCTCGCCCTGCTGTCAAGCGTTCTTGCCCAAGGTGCAGCTCGTATACCGTAAGTGTGAGTCGTGAGTGGGATGAATGCCTGAATCGTGCGCAACAGGATGTGTCATGAGGGCGGGCGTCTTGCAAGCAAGTGCGTCATCGACAAAGGTGCAAGGCCTGCCCGCCGCTACCCGAATCTCTGCGCCAAGCTAGAAGACGCAACACGGCTATGCTCGTCTAAGAGCAGCCAACCAACATTTCACATCCACAAATGCGTTGCCTGACCGCAGAACAGCCTTTCGCTTCTGAACCACCACCTTCGCGACTTGCAACAGCTCAGCTTTTGACGAGTCACGTATCCTTCACTGTTGATCAAGCGCATACATCCGCATACCCACACAGATCACAGTACTCAAGATGGTCTCTACACGTTTCATCACTGTTGCCGCTGTGGCGCTGATGCTCGCCGGCTCAGCACCGCAGAACGCGGGTGTCGCCCGTGCCGATTGGATCCAGGATGCCACCTTGGGAGGACAGCGCGTGTTCCAGGCGGCTTTCGACACCTGGACCGAGAGCGAGTGAGTAGGAGCTAGCGATCGGACACGGTTAGCTGATTAGCTGCGGGTCGACGACGTTGCTTCGAACGCGTGAACAACGGCTGCCTGCCCGCATCTGATTCGCGACCTTGTTTCATGCCTACCGAATGATTGATCGTCTCTCTGCTGGCCCTCTCACTCTTCAGCCTCCGCTCTTACCTGCTCGAGCGCGGCGTGATTGCGCCCGGCAACACGCGCGAACAGCTGGCTGTGCTCGCAAAGCAGGACTTGAGCTCCTTGGCTTCTTCCGCCTACTCTGCCACCGGCTCTGCATCCTCCGCTGCCGCAGCTGGAGCGAGCAGCATCTACAACCTGGCGTCTTCCTACCAGTCTGTGGTGAGTGAGAGGTGGAAGCAAGCTTGCAATGGATATCTTCTTCGGCTTCTCTGTTTCTGATTCATCCATCTGTTCGTCGGGTCAGGCTTCTGCTAGCGCTTCGAGCGCATCGAAGGAAGCTTCGTCGGCTGCTTCGCGTATGAGCAAGAATGTTCCTACCGACGCGAGCTCTCTTTCATACGAGATCTCCAGCGCGGCTAGCGGTGTCAGCAAGAGCGCATCCAGCTTGCTAGCTCAAGCAAGCCAAGGTGCTGAGGATGGCGTGCACAACGGTGCTCAGTATATCTACGACTCGTGGGATGACTCTCAGATCAGAGTGAGTTGGCGAGGCAAAGGCAAAGTCGGTCTGAGGTGCTCGGACTCGTCGCTGATCGACTTGCTACTGCACTCTTCTTACCTCGCAGAGCTTCCTCGTCGAGAAGGGCGTTCTCAAGAGTCATGCTGAGCTGCGTCGTGACGAATTGATCCAGACCGTCAAGGATGGATACCTTGCCACCACCAACGCGCCTTACGAGCTTTTCTCGACGGACTACCTCAAGCGATGGGCCCAGAACCAAGGGTTGATCCGTACGCCAGCTGAGCAGACTCGCGATGAGCTCGTCTCGCTCGCCAAGGACTTTTACTACTCTCCCACCGAGACCATCTTTGACTCTTGGAAGGATTCTGATCTCCGCCAGTACCTCATTGACAACAACGTGATCAAGTCGGACTACGAAGCTCGTCGGGATGAGCTGGTTGGCAAGGTTCGAGACTCTTACACCGCCACTCAAGATAGCCTGACAGGCCTTTGGAGCGACTCGGACTTGAGATCCTTCCTCATCTCTCAAGGGGTGATCAAGTCTGATTACGAGGCAAAGCGCGACGAGTTGTTGGCTCTTGCGACGGACAACAAAGCTTTCAACGATCTGGTGGACACTTCGCGCGAGTACTACACCTGGTCGGACAAGCGCATCAGGGGCTACTTGCGTTCCACTGGACTCTCCACGGAAAAGACGCCAGTCACTCGAGAGGGGCTGTTGAGAGAGTTGAGAGCTAGATACCATGCGGCTCACAAGGGCGTCTTTGGAGCGCTCAAGGAAGCGGCTAGAAACATCTTTGGTGGTGTTCAGGATGTCCACGGAAAAGCCGAACAGAACGCAAAGGTGGCTAGCGTGAGCGTGTCGAGCGCTGCGAGTGCAGCATCGGCTGCTGCTAGCAGCGCAAGCGCTCATGCTCGTGACGAGCTGTAAAGGAAGGAAAGGCAATCCACGAATGTGTCCGAGCAGGTAGTGAAGTGGAATTTTCACTTTGCAGATGCCTTCAAACTTTGACTTTTTCTTTCGTCATGTCTCCCATCTCTGCTCCTCTTCTCCACACACACACACACGCGCGCGCAAGGATCGAGGTTGCACCCGCTACGAAATAACGATTTGATGATGTTGTCTCCGTTCTGCTTTCGTATCTCCCGCGCGGATAGCATGTCTTTTGAAAGTCTCACTGACTGTTTTGCTGGAGCTTTGTTTCGCCCGATCTTACCCATAGCTGCAGCGGATTTCTCGACAAGAGCTGGCCTTTGTCGAGAGCAATCGTACGGCTCGTTGCAGGGATCATCATTATGAATGGTGAACGGTCAAATTTGGGGGTTTGCGAGTGGTCTGGATGGTGACAGACCATTCGATTTTCGCGATCGTGTCATGCTGGCGTCAACACCGGGGCGCGTTGCACGCTGCAGTGTGAGTCGCGTTAGTCGCGATCTTATATAGAAGTGCAGCGGAATCAGCGACACCGCGCTAGTCTAGTGGTGCGTCAAGCGCGCGGAGTGGCCATCAGCAGTCACAGTCACGAGTTGCGGGTGTTTGGCTGTTTCGTGACTGTGACTGCTCTGCCGCAACTGCACGCATGCTGATGGTGTAGGTACCGGCGGTACTCGCACTCTTCTGACTGCAGCGTACCGGTGAACGGCGGGGCGACGAGCATGGATCAAGTGGAGGGATCCGCATGCTGGTGTCCGTGCACTGGCACTCAGCAGACACTAATGACTGCGATTGCCAATCTGAATTCAATGCTCTCACCCTTCGCTCACGGATGTCGATGGTCAGCTGCACGAGAAGCATCCTGCAGACGGGCATGAGGCATGCGTTCAACTTGTGATTCGATCGTGATGCTGCTCCATTCACATTGTGATTCGAAATGCGACGGGGCATGAAACGTCGTTCATGAGTGTGGTGATTGGGATCATCTTCTTCCATCATCAACCTCATGCCGGCTACACAACCCCCACCCCTACCTCCCGCTCTCTCGTCCACAAAACATTGCTTGCCCGCGAGCATCGAGGCGAAATGAAACTGTTCAGTGATCTGGTCGGTGCTGCTACGAGCGCTTCTGGCAATGCCATTTCCGCAGCGCTGGTGCCGCTCATCTGGGCCAGCTCGTACCTCCAAACAGACGTGAGTGCTTGAGCACATCCTCACAAGCCCTGGCTTGCATAGCCAGCAGCGGGCTGATGGGAGATTCGCCAACTGCGCGCCATCTAACGTTCACGCGCGATGATAGCCACTAGCAGTGGCGCATTCCATCCTCAAGACTACACCGCTCATAGATGGACACGTCGACTTGCCCGTATTGTTCAGGTACATTTACGGTGGAGATTTGGCCAGTCCCAAAGTCGACTACAAGGGCGAGCTGCAGGGCTTTGTAGATTTGCCAAGACTTCGTAAAGGCGGCAGTGGTGGCTTCTTCAGCATCGCGTGAGTGGAGCTTGCACTGACGGTGCATCCTAGCTTCTGCTCTGCGCCAAGAACTTTACGTAGACGAAGCAGCTGACGTCTTCCATCCTTCTTCATCTTCTGCCATCGATGCGTTCGCCAAGCTACGTGCCATGCACCAAGATTCCCGAAGGCGAAAGGGAAGACTTTAATGCGCCAACTTGGCAAGTCAGAGACACGCTGGAGCAAATCGATCTGACCTGGTCCTTGGCAGAGTACTACCCCGATGATGTAGCCGTCGTAACGACGCCTCAGGAGCTTCGATCGGCGTTCAAGAGCGGCAAGATCAGTCACTTGATAGGGATCGAGGGTGCACATAGTCTTGGCAATAGTCTTTCCACCTTGCGAACGTATCACAGACTAGGTGCGAGGTATTTGACCCTCACGCATACATGCCACAATGCATTTGCGGATTCGGCAGGAGCCACAGCAGGACAAGCTTTGCCGCCATTGCATGGAGGACTCAGCAAGATCGGCTTCAGGCTCATAGATGAGCTCAACAGGCTAGGAATGATGGCGGATCTATCTCACACTTCCGACGACACGGCAAAGGATGTGATCAAGCACACCAAAGCGCCATTCTTCTTTTCCCACAGCGGTGCCAGGGCCGTTCATGATCACATTCGAAACGTGCCGGATGTCTTGCTGGATCAAGCACGGGACTCGGGCAAAGATGGTATCGTCATGGTCGCATTCTTGTACCCCTTTGTAGGACCCGAAGGGAACGCTGGCATTTCCAAAGTGGCCGATCACATCGATCACATCGCCTCCAAGATTGGTCGGTCCAAATTGGGCATCGGAAGCGATTACGACGGCGGATTCAAGTTCGCAGATGGTTTGGAGGACGTGTCTACTTATCCCAAATTGGTAGCTGAACTGTTCAGCAGAGGTTGGAGCAGAAACGAGCTCAGAGGATTGGTGGGCGAGAATCTGATCAGGGTGCTGGGAGAGACGATACGTGTTGGCGATGAGGTCAGAGCAAAGGGTGCTTTGCCTGACGTGGCCACAATCGACGGTAGACCCGATAATGGACCAGGCAAACCGACGTTCGATTCGGAGCCTTGCAAAAGGTCCAATGCGGGTCTGGTGAAGTAAGACGAAGGAAGCGCCCTCCGCGGACCGATTTGCCCAGCAGGACTGTACCTACTCGCGAACTTGCTCCTACCTCACCGTCGATAGATGCCACACGTTTGGTACAGCCCGGAAACATCAATCATGATCTAAATTCAAAGCATCCGCGTGTGTAGCAGAGTGTCTTACTTGATGTCATTGCGAAGGAGCATAATGAGCGCCGCTATCATGCACACGAGGAAGAGAGAATTTGCTCATAGCCATGCGTCCTTCGACATCTCAATGACAATCACGAATGTCAGGATCTGCTTGCATGAAGACCCTCAGCTACGACGCTTAGGGACCGAGCGGGCGCCCCAAGGCGCGTGACCATCATTCGTCGATGCGACGTGCTCAAGCGAATCGTCTTCGGTTCATGAAGTCGATCTGCAAAGTGAGCGATTGAATGGGCAAGCGAAGGGTGAGGGGAGATGTTTTAACGCCCCAGCCTACAGGCAGGTGCCAGCGAGACACTCACGCTAAGATCCAAGCACAGAAGATTCTGCTCATCCTGAGTAGCTCCGTTCACGTGCACATTAAACTTGGCTGCGATGTCGACGTGGCCCCAGTCACGAGTGGTTTGTCAGTCATGTAGCCTGCTCGAACAATCTCGAGAACACTCCGCCCCAGCCGGAAAGACTCACCAGGCGGGATCTCTCTGGGCAAGGCGACGGTCTGAGTGATCTTGTACTCTCCAGCTTCCACTGGACATTGCACCTCTGCATCGTTCTTCTTGGCCTCTTCGCATACATCAAAACGACGAGTGAGGAGCTTGATCAGACCCAGCTTGACCACTACATCAGCATAGGTGCCTGCCTGTGGACATGGATGGCATCAGAGCCATAGACGAGTAAGCATGCAGTGAACTGAAAGAGTCGCAGGTGGTAGAGTGATGGAGTCTGTCTTGCGCGTCCAAGAGACTGAGCAACAAGACGGCAAGCACCTTCCCCCACGACAGCGAAGTTCCGATGTCTATCCACATGCGCAAGTGCGCCGGAGTGCCCTTCGCTCATAGTACATATCTTCCCACTACTCACCTCGATGCGACTCTTGACGATACCGCTAGCAGTGACGGTGAGGTTCTGACCCGGCTTGGGAGGATCGGGTGTGACCTCGATGCTCTTGACCTCCACCGCATCCGTCTCTTCTCCGCAAGATTTCCATACCCAACCACCAGGCGAGGGTCCATCCTGTTTTCCCACTTGAGCCTCCTCCTCCACAGCCATCGAAGCTTCGGAAAGCAAAACATCAACAAAGTCTGTAGGTGCCTTTGTGGACTCGGATTCGTCCACGGGGAGAGGAGAAGAAAGACCGAACACACGTTGAGAGGAACCGGAGAGGACCGAGCTGAGGGAGGAGGGCACCAGTTGAGGAGCTGGAGCGGCTTGCACGGCTATGTTGACCGAGAGTGCGGCAAGAGCCGAAGGCACGACGAAACTTGGAAGGTGCATCTTGATAGAGGCTGAGCCAAACAACCTGGGTGGCGTTGTGTAGATTCCTACTGCGCAAGAAGAGAGTCTCGAGTCCGCGGGTCGAATAGAAGGGGATGATGGTGGTTGTGAAGAAGGTCAAACAAACTATGGAGTGAGACAAATGTCCGTGAAGCGCTGCAATCGCAATGTGGACTGAAGATGATGGAGTGTGAGTCAGAGGGATGATCGAGTGGGGTTGCATCTATAGCTGCTGCTGCTGGATGTACTTGTAGGTGTGTGCGGATCTGAATCCGATGTGACGCGGCGGCATCGCCTCCTGACCTGCATGTTCAGCGTTCGCATGCACATCACCTCGATCATGAGATCGCAAATCGCGAGTCACGAGTTGCACCGCAATCAAGCCATACGCTGCTGCCCGCGCGTCATGCGCAGAGGACAATAAATAAAGAAAGTGCCTCGTCAGAGCTACGATCGAGGGGTCTGGCCCCGCGCGCTTTGCGTCGCTGCATGCGTGCATGCCGTGGAGGCCAAATTGCGCGAATGGCGAGGTTTGAGTCTTGATGAGCGCGCGTACGCGCGCAACGCTTAGCAAGCCACGATTTGAAGCTTCGATCAAATGAATCACAATCGCCAATAGCATCGCGATGTAAAGGCTGCCCCATTCACGATTGCTGCCAAAATTTCTGATGAGGACATATGTGGCATTTTCGGATGATGCTTCTGGGCCACATGAAGTCAAGCGATCAGCGCTAGAATAACGGTCACGGATGCTATACCCACGCGTGCCTTTCGTCATCGTGCGCGACGCCCATGTAGCACCACTCGCGCCAATCCTCTCGCACGAAAGGAAACCAGGGTCGGCGCCGGCGATCTGGCATTCACGTGACTCTCGATTTGCTGCTGTGTAAGGGAGCTTTGCGCCCATGCAGAGAGGGTTACTGCCTCTTGCACTCATCAGACTCAAGAGCCAAGATTGGGGATGAATGAGCAAGTAGGGGTCTGATCGATTCACGACTTTGACTGTGATCGTCCGCATTAGACTACTCTCGTTGATCCTCACTCTGGTATTCATACCCTTGTATATTGTGGCGGCTTCTTCAGACTTCATTGGCGTCTCGAAAAGACGCGCAATCGTCGGACGGAAGAGAAAGATCGGGAATCGAATTCATCACTCGGTTTTTGCCACATCCTTGACGCCTTTCCAAGGATCGCTCTCGCACACTACGAGTGAAGATGGGGAAGAAGAAAGGTGGCAAGAAGGGCGGAGGAGGAGGGGACGACGACTTCTTTGCAGATGGTCCTCCAGCTGACATCTCGGGCGACGAAGCACCAGCTCCTCAGCGCAAAAATGCTTTCGCAGCGATGACGATCGACGATGGTCCCGAAGAGGTGGAAGAGGAAGAGCCCAAATCCTCTGCGAATGGAAACGCAAACATAGGCGGAGATGATGAGGACGACTACGGAGGAGGCTTGATGGCTCAGGTGAAAAAGAGCGCTGCTAACGCTAAGAAAGGAGGCGGCAAAAAGGACAAGAAGAGCAAAAAAAAGCAGCAGGACGACGACGACATATGGGACCAGTTGGGTGAAGATGTGTCGGGTAACGCGGTGAAGGATAACAAGGGTGATGCCGATGCTATGGACATCGACAAGGCCCCCGAAGCTGGGGATGCTGCAGAGTGAGTCTCTTGTTGCTGCTGCTGCTCTCCGGCCTGAGAAGGCAGACTCACTGTGCATACCATTTTGCTCCATCGACAGCGAATTTCCAGACACCACTAAGTCAAAGAAGGGCAAGAAGGGCGGTATCGCCGCTAAGGAGGATGACGAAGGCAAAGACTCCGGCACTGCAACACCTGCTGGCGCAGAAGAGGAGCAGCCCGGCAGGATACTGTCCAAGAAAGAGAAAGAGAAGCTCAAAAAGGAGAGAGAAAAGGTGAGGACGAGTAGCACAAAGCGCAGAGACACATGCGCGCATGTGTGCTGACCATCTCCGACGCTCTTCCTTGATCGTGACAGGCAAAGAAGAAGGCAGAGGCTGCTGCGAAACAGTCGAATCAGCCCGAGTCAAAGGTGGACGATGATGAAGCTGCTGTAGACGCTGCAGAGGAACCCGAAGCGGCTTCATCAGCTTCGAAGAACAGTCAGTGGAGCGCTAATTTGAAGATGCTTGATGCAACGTGTTGCTGATGCTGTCCTTTCCTTCGCCATGTGTGCTCTGACAGAGAAAAAGAAGAAGGGTGGCGATAAAGGCGCAGTGAGTGAATGCGAAGCGGTACTCGCAGGTGGATGTCGCTGACGAGGGGTCTCTCGATCTACAGGTGACCGAGCAAGTGCCTGCTGCAACGCCCACGACTCAAACGGCTGCGCAAGGCAAGAAGAAGCCCTCCGCGGCGCTGGCAGCTCTTCAGGCCCGTGTAGCCGCACAGAAGAAGGCAGAGGAAGAAGCTAGGTGAGTGATGTGGGGCAACGTCGAGAGGACTGGTCTTCACTTGGCTAATATGGGTGGGAATCCTGCGACTGTCCCCTCAGAGCGGCGGAAGAAGCTGCGAGGAAAGCTGAGGAAGAAGCCGAAAGGCTGGAGAAGGAGGAAGCTGAACGCAAAGAGGCTGAGCGTCTGGCCAAGAAGGAGCGCGAGAGATTGAAGAAGGAGCAGCTCAAGAAAGAAGGCAAATTCTTGACCCCGAAGCAAAAGGCCGAAAAGGCGGCGGCAGAGGCTCGCATGCAGGCCATGATCAAAAGTGGGCAGATCAAAGTGGACGGATTGGAAGATCGCGAAAAGGATGATGCTGCGAGCGCAGAAACCTCGCAACAGCAGAGAAAGTCGAAAGCAGTCGACAGCAGGAAAAAGAAGAAGGGACCTTCCGGACCACCAAATAAGCTCGCTCCTACGCAGAATGCCCAGCCCAGCCCTGCCGAGCAAGAACAGCAGGCCACACGTGGCCCCGAACCCGAGCCTGAGCCCGTCAAGGCTGCGGAGCCCGAGCCTCCTGCCACCGAGGCCGCAACTTCACCTGCAGAAGACGTCAAGGATGACTGGGACGCAAACAGCGATGTTAAGGATGATTGGGACGCCGAGAGCGAAGATGAACAAGAGAAGGAGGCAGAGGCGAAGGCGGAGCTCAGCAAGGCAGGCGAAAAGGGTAAGGGAGTTGCAAAGCCATGTAAGTAGACGCTGGGGCTGCGAGGCATCCTCGGGCCATGACAGCTGACGCGGAGGTGACTTGTTCGTGTCAGCACCTGCTATCAAAGCCAATGGCTCTGCCAAAGGTGGGCCTGCTGTTGCGGAGCGCAGCGCTGCTGAGGGAGCTCGCGCTGCTGCGCAAGCCGCTCGGGAAGCTGCATCCAAAACCGCAGCGTCTGCACTTGCAGCCAAGAAGGCTGCTGATCGCGAGAACAAGGGCAAAGATGATGCTGGCATTGCCGAGAGCTCCGGTGAAGACGACTCGGATGAGGATGACGACTCTGACGACTCGGACGACGACTCGGACGACTCCAGTGACGACGGGTTGACAGCTGTGCAGAGACAAGCTGCGCAAAAGAAAGCGGAACAGGAGCAGCGCAGAGATGCGAGAAAAGCTCAGGCCCTGGCAGAACAGAGCAGGGACAACCTCAGAAGCCCTATCTGCTGCATTCTTGGTCATGTAGACACAGGCAAGACGAAGTTGCTAGACAAGATCAGACAAACAAACGTCCAGGGCGGAGAAGCGGGCGGTATTACTCAGCAAATTGGTGCCACTTACTTCCCCGTGGACGTGCTCAAAGAGAAGATCAGACCAATTGATCCCGATGACACACAGGTCTTCAAGACACCCGGGTTACTTGTCATCGACACGCCGGGCCACGAGTCTTTTACCAATCTGCGAACCCGAGGTAGCTCCCTTTGCAACATTGCTGTGCTCGTCGTGGATATCATGCACGGTCTTGAGCAGCAGACATTGGAGTCTATGCGATTGCTGAAGGACAAGAGGACACCTTTCATCGTCGCGCTAAACAAGGTGGACCGTCTGTACGGTTGGAACGCTACGCCCAACAACGGATTCCAAGACAGTCTGTCGAAGCAGAACAAAGCTACGCAGAACGAGTTTGACACCAGGTTGAAAGCGACCATGGTCGCGTTCGCCGAGCAAGGATTCAACGCTGTGCCTTACTACGAGAACAAGAATTTCTCAAAGAATGTCAGCTTGGTCCCCACGTCTGCACACACTGGAGAGGGTATTCCCGACATGCTTCGCCTCCTTGTCCAGCTCACGCAAGAACGCATGGCTGCTTCGCTCATGTATCTCTCCGAGCTCGCCTGCACGGTCCTTGAAGTCAAGATCATCGAGGGACTCGGCACCACCATCGACGTCATTCTGTCCAACGGTGTACTGAGGGAAGGAGACAAGATCGTTCTTTGCGGTCTTGGTGGTCCGATTGTCACCTATGTTCGTGCCCTCTTGACACCTGAGCCTCTCAAGGAGATGAGAGTCAAAGGTGCGTATGTGCACCACAAGGAAGTCAAGGCCGCGCTAGGTGTCAAGATTTCAGGTCCAGGTCTCGAAAAGGCCATCAGTGGTTCTAGGCTGCTGGTCTGTGGGGAGGATGATGACGAGGAAGAGCTCAAGGACGACGTCATGGCGGACCTGCAAGACCTGCAAAAATGGATCAGCACATCTGGAAAAGGTGTTTGCGTACAGGCTTCCACTCTGGGATCTCTGGAAGCCCTTTTAGAATTTTTAAAGACGCAGAACATCCCTGTCAGCGGTATCGAAATCGGACCGGTCTTCAAGGGCAGCGTCCGACGAGCTTCGATCATGCTGGACAAGGGTCACACCGAGTACGCAGCGCTGCTGTGCTTCGACGTGGAAGTTCACAAAGAGGCCGAAGCGCTCGCAGCTGAGATTGGCGTGCGAGTATTCTCCCGAATGACCATCTACAACCTCGTCGATGACTACAAAGTCTTTGCGGACCAAGTCGTGGCGGATCGTCAAAAAGCTGCTGCTGGCACGGCCGTCTGGCCTTGCAGACTCAAAATCTTGGCCGCTTTCGCAAAGAGGGAACCAATCATTCTGGGCTGCGAAATATTGGACGGCGATCTGAGAGTTGGGACGCCGCTTTGCGTCGTCAAGACGCACGCGGACACGAAGAAGAAGGAAGTTGTCACGTTGGGAAGAGTGACTTCGCTCGAGATCAACAAGAAGCCCAAGGATCATGTGACGAGAAAGGAACAAGGTGCTGGTGTGGCAGTCCGCATCGAGGCGGGCCTCAACGATCAGAGCAAAATCTTCGGAAGGCACTTTGACGAAAAGGTGAGCAGAAGTCTGGAAGTTTCTGCTGTCGCTTTGAATGTTCGACTGACCGATGCACCATCTCGGATCCGCCGGACGCTCAGGACGAGGTGTATTCCCTCATCTCTCGGAATTCCATCGACGCTCTCAAGGACCACTTTTGGGAGCAGGTGTCCACTGACCAAAAGAAGCTCATCAAGAATCTCAAGGCGCTTTTGGGCATTCCCTGACTTTGACTCTCTTGGTAGTATGTGCGTCGATTTCTGGGCTCGTAATGCATATCATCGAGTCGTCGGAGAAGCACAGCATTGTGGCACGAGGTGTTGTGAGATCGAATCGCTAGTAAGATACAGTAAGACATGGCCCAGTATCGACCGTCATGATGTCTTGCAAGCACGGCGTCCAGCACCGCTTCGCCGTCGTCTAGGGTCGTTGATGACGCAGTGTTTTATGACGCCTCAGATGGATCCTGCTCCTCGGCTGGTCTGGCACTATTAAGTTTAAAGAAATCGCTGGCACCGGGTGGTGGAGGGAGAGCATCTTCCGTCATTGGAGACTCGGCAACGGGGCCAGAAAAGAGTTTGCTCGGCATTTTTGGGCGCTCCACCGATTGACGCGTCTCAGCCTGAGTTGTTGGAATGGACCTTGGATGTGGTCTGTCCCTCTTCGAGTGATAGCTCGGCCGCGCTGCAGAGGTGCTCGACTTGTCGTCATCGCCCTCTGATTCGGGCTCATCGAACAATTGTGGTGAGACGGTATTCTCGGACCCTTTCGATGTTTGCGAATTGGCTGGTCGCGGTGTGGGTTCTGAAGCGATGTGCGTGTCTTTGACCTGCGTGTCCAAGTCCTCAACTGCTTGTCTGAGGTCGCCTGCAGGCTGGGACTGCTTCTGAAAGTGCTTCTCCGCCACAACACCTGCATCGCTCGAAGACGTGTCCGGAAAGTAGCCCGGTATCTTGCATGATGGATCTTCGAGGGAGAAGTTCCTTCGATGACCCAAGCTGCCCGAGGTCGAGCCGCCGGCAGGTGACATGGGGGTGGTAGCAGCAGATGACGGGTTGCCGCCATCTTCTGAACCTCCGTCTTTGCCGGTCCCGGCAGACACGGTGGAAGTGATGCTGTTCAGCCTGATGACGTTTTGCGGTCGTCGCTCCGAAGATGCCGATGGGGTGCTTGACTCTTGGGGTCCTTGCGCTTGTTTCGCCTTCGCCGAGACTCTGCTTTCAGCCACATTGGGCTTCTCTTCGGTACCAGGAGGCATCTGCGGCGGCGAAGAGACTTGAGGTATTTCAATTGCCGGGTTGGCATCTTCTCTGGACAAGTCTTCGCTACCCTGCGATTGTGACGCGTTCCGGCGACTTGACGAGCCCCTCTTGAATCGCTGAACAGCGCGTGCGATGGTGCTGCGATCGCGAAACAGAGGCAGCGAGAATGAGCATTGCACAAGCTTGGATACAGGGAGGAATTGGGACTCACAAAATGCTCGCGATGCGATTGATGGCGCAGTCGATTTCCTCCTTGGTGACTTCGATTACAACCTGTTCCAAGTTGACGTCTTGCGAAACCATCGGCATTCTACCACCGTCTGTGACCCAGTCATTTTCACGAAGTTCAGCGATGGTAATGCGTTTTGCCGGATCCTTTTTGAAAAGCCGTTGAAGAACGTCGACCAGCGTTGCGGAGAGATGAGTTGGGTATTCGGGTCTGAAAGAAGTGTTGTGAGCGAAGCTTAATAGGCGTGCACAGGAAGCTAGAACACTCACTCATCGTTCTTTATTGACTCGTAGAGCTCAAAGAACTGGCTTTTGTCGAAAGGGAGCCTGCCAACGACCATGCAGTATAGAGTGACGCCCGTCGACCAGATGTCATCCGCCCGCCCATGAAAGTCGCCGTGTCCTGCTGTGCACAATTCTGGACTCATGAATGCCGGGCTTCCTGCACTCTTCCTTAAAGTGTCATCGCCCGGTCGAAAGAACATCTCTGAGACACCAAAATCAACAATTTTGCATGTCCGCTTGTTGTCGGTGAGCAGAATGTTATCGGGCTTGATCTGCCGGATGAAGGCCAGAACTCGCATCAGCTTTGCTCGGCTCTGAGGGGGACGACTTTCTTATTCTATGCTCACATCGCGATGGACAATTTCATTGCAATGCAAGTATCTTCGTGCAGGACACCGTGAAGTGTCAGATGCTGAGGAAGGGGCGGTAGCTTGGACCAGCCTGTAGATGACTCACTCGATGCCCAGTATTATCTGTTGGAAGTAGTCCCGGGCCATCCCTTCCGACAGCGGCTCCACCGATTCGTGAAGTTTGACATTGATCACAGGTCCGTCACTGCGCGAGAGATCCATAGGTCAGTTCTCGCTTTCACGTCTTTAACCGTGTTTGCGGATACGCACGGGCAGTTCTCGAAGACCATGTAGAGGCCATCTTTGGAGGGGTCATCAAGCACTTCATAGAGCTGCACAACGTGCTCATGGCTCAGCTTTTTGAGAATCGCGACTTCGTGTCGAATCAGTGCCAGAGGATCGTCCGGGGCTGGAGACGACTGCTCTCCCTCTCCCTGGTTGCTTTCCTCAATGCCTTGACGTCGCGGCGTCATTCCAAGACCAAAGCCTCTGCCCCTGACCGCAGCACCAGGTCCTGCACCCCGTCCCCGACTCCGTCGGAATGCATTGCTCCTATTGTTCTTGCGCAACCTCGTCTTTCCGAACTCTTTGACAGCCTGCGTGCGAGGACGATCGAGGTGTGAGGACCAGTAGGCGCTATGACATGCACGCGTCTCTCACAAATTCGACGCTGTCATCGTGTAGCAGCGTTGCCCTGTATACCACACCATAAGCGCCTTGTCCTATCACTTCCTTGAGTCGATACTGATTGATGATGCGCGACCCGTCCTGTAGGCAGTGACATCCACAAAGCAAAATGAGCCGATCTGGAGACGATTGTGACGAGGGCAAAAAAGTAGCATACTTACCGCCATCATTTGGCTCTTAGCATCCAAGGTTTCCTTGTACTCGTGGCTTGCATTCCTACTGCCACTTCTAGAGTGCCCCATACGTGGGCGAGGAGACTGTGATGCTCTGCGCGAATCATCCTGACCCACTAAGCTGCTCGACGACTCGCTTCGATCGAGTGAATTTCCAGATGCTGAAGTGGAAGGCACTCCGAGTGAAGAGGAGGTCGAAATGGCAGAGTACGATCTGTTGTGGGCATACGGCACTCTGTTCCTTTCCGGCTGTTCGCTGCCCAATCGATGACTCGGCGCTCCACTCGAGCAGTGAGACGGCTGTTTGACACTGCTGGAACGTTCCATATCTGCAAAAGGCATGTCCCCTTCTGTCGGGCTCTGCGATACGCCATAGCTGAGATCTTGTGCAGTTGTGCTGGGCGAGGCGGCACTAGCTTGCAGGCCCCCTGGCACGGTTGCAGGTGATCCGCCTACAGAAGCATCATCAGCAGCATCCTGCGAGGGGCTTGAGAGCGGCGACTGACTGATCGGCTCTTCTGAGATGGGACTTGCGCTACTCATGCCGAGCAAGGAGGATGGAGCCCGCGACTCGTTACGATAAGGAATTTGGTGTTGAGGAGCTGTGGCTGTCAAGCATTGGGAGGACGGTGGGAGCTTCTGAGAGCGGACACTTGCGTCCCCTTTTTCCTACTTGTCACGCTTCGTCTTCAGGACCTTTGCGACGATGAGATGGTCTCTGAGATGTGGGGCATGGAGCAATGTGGATCTTGCACCGCACGTCGGGTCGTTGTAGTCAAGTCAAGAGTCTGAGTGGGTGGTGCCTCCTTGCTGCTTGACGACTTAGCTCCAGAAATTCATGTGTGGATCACACGCCATGCGCTTGCACCAGCAGCGCCGGACGATCGTGAGAGACAAGCATGCGTGCGAGCGCGTGCACAGATAGGCCAATCTTGAATTAACAGGCGCGTGTGGTGTTTTCAAATTCAAAGTTGAACATCGATACCGGTGTTTCACCACTAAAGCACACTCAAGACTTTGTATGTCGGTGCGGCAATCACAATGTGATTATATTCTTGATTGGTCAACAGGTCTGATATGAGTTAAGAATTTCCCTTCGATTCAACATTCTTGATTCAGATTCAAGATTTCTGATTCTTGATTGAGTGACTCAACGCAGGCTCAAAGCAACCACACCTCAAACGGGCACATCGATGTCAAATCAACTCTTGAACCGTCATGAATCAAGAATTTGAATCGAGAACAGAACACGTGACTGTGATAACAGCCCCAGCACCAATCAATAATCAGAATCTTGCAATTTACATTCAAATTCTGATTCAAGATCGAGAGTCGAAAGTGAATTTGAATCAGCACATCAGTCAAGGTCGTGAGGTAGCGAAAGGGAGTCACGAGTACCACTCTTGACTCAAACTAGGCTCCTGATGACTCAAGACTCACGACTTTAATTTCTGCCGAGAAGTATTCGCGTGCATCCATCGACGTTTCCTCCAGCTTCTCACCTACCCGTACTGACCTACGAGCTTGCCACTCAGCTTCAAGCCTAGAGCTGCCCCCGCAACGCTGTCCTGTCAAGCGCTCGGCTTGGGCGTCTCTGTGGCGCGATTCAGAGGGGATTGGAGAGCTGCGAGGTCTTCTCTGTACGAGTCGCACCAGTCTATGATCAGGACCCACATCGCTAGCATTCGCATTGTGGTGCTGTAGAGAGGCAGCTTCACTGGATGCCACAATCTAGAGTTCCCAGCGCAGCCAGAATGATTCACGAGCATCCGCGGAAGAGGCGAGCGGTGCACACACCCTCACCTTCACCCTCTCAAGCTCAATCAGCGGCACCATCCAATAGTGTCCACTCATGTGGCGCCCCGATAGACCATCTGTCAGACGAGCTACTTCTTCGGATCCTCCACTACCTCGACGCCGCCAGCTTAACGAAATTTGGAGCTTCTAATCGACGCCACTGGGGCATTGCTGGAGATGCTCTGCTATGGAAAGCCCTCTACTCGGCTGTGTTCAGCGCCGGACCGACGCTGTTACATCCACCGGATGAACGGTTGGTATCCGACCGCAGTTCTTTGCCCGTGTCTTACGAAGGCGGAGCTGGATTCTGCGCCAGCCCAAGACATGATTGGAGAAAAGCCTTCTTGTCGGAGAGAAACTGGAGAGTGGGAAGGTTCAGCGTTAGTAACCTCCACACACCTCCAGCGGTCCGGGCGACACCTCAAAGGCACGCCATTGGTGTCGCGGGCTCATCCTCCAGGTCGACAACAGCGGCCGAGGTGGACACCGAACGGATTGATGTGGCAAGGCGTGTCGAAGAGCATCCACGGCCCCCCATTCGTCGCAGTCAAGCGCGACCGCTGACACTGGTAGTGACGACGCCCACATTCATCCTCACGGCCTCAAGAGCGCGAGAGGTGAGGGTCGATCAAATGTACCCTCCAGTCCACGTTTGGGATTCCACAAGCGATGCAGCGGCACGGCGTGTTCGAGGGGTGCTCCAAGCCAGCACACATACACCTAGACCGGCTCTCACATCGTCGGGAATGCCAACCACTGCAGGGCAGATTGGCGTCCACGATCTGCAGGTGGACAGTTCCGATCCGAAACGAATTGCAGTTGTCTATTCGGATGGCGTAGCAGTGATGTACAGGATCGATGGTGCGGATGGCGAAGGCATCTCATACTCGGAGCAGCAACGTGTCCAGGTTGGCAAGGATGTGTCTGCGTGCTCGTTTGCAGGACCACTGCTGGTAACCTGTACACACGACTTCACCATCGACATTTGGTCGGAGGACCAAGCGCATACATCCCCTGACGGCTGCACTCAGCAGGAGATGCAGCTGATCAAGCGATTCGATGCTTTTGGAGCGCACTGGCCAGCCTGCTTGACCCTGAGTCCTCTTTCGTCGATATCTACGTATGGTGCAGTCACGTCAGGCCAAGACAAAGAAAGTGTGACGTACAGACTGTCGGTCGCATACACTGCTCATCTGTATCCCAAGCGCCTCAGCGTTGGTTTGCAAGAAGTGGATATTGCACTCCACAGACCTGGCAATTGGCCGAGTTCGCGAGGCTCGTCAAGACACGATGCAGCCAGTGGCTCCTCGAATACGGCTCGGAACACTTTCGAGTCACGAGTGGCCGGCGCGCCAGCAGCCAGTCTTATGAATACAAGCAGCTTCTTCAACCCTCTCATGAACAGCAAATGCTCGAAGGTCGCCAAGGCTGCTGCCAAGCTGCCATGGAACGATGGCAGGAACGGCCTACCAGCTTTCCTAGGTCTTCGAAAGCGCAAGCACGCCCAGATAGACGAGCACGCGGCGCAGCATTCGAAATTACCGGTTGATGCTCGATACGCTGAACACGGCGAAGGTTGCTTGGCATCCAGTCGGCCTGAAACCATGTCGCACGACACAAAGACCGGATTAATTGTTGTTGGTCGCAGCGACAATATCATGGATGTGTACAAAGTCTTCCGGCCGGGACAAGAGCAGGGCGAATCTCGATCCACCATCCGATCGCCGTCTCTTGCTCACCGAGCACGTCTGTGGTCCTCCACAAGTGTTCGCAGCGTGGCGCTCGAGGGAGGTCGATGTGTCAGCGCCGGATCAGATGGAGCGTTGAGCGTTTGGAGTGTTGGCGACCTGGATGGCGACGTCCAGTCTGGCGATCTCGACGTTGAGCATGGACCTCGATTGATAGGCACGCTCGATCCCTCCGAAGCTCAACGCGCGTTCGGTTCTGAGAGTGACCGGCGCACACCCCACACTCAGCCCAGCATATCTGTGGAGCATGCACGCGATGCCGAAAAGGAGCGTTTGGCGGCAGCAGGACCTTCTGGTCGAGGAGGCGGAGCGCTTGCGAAGCTGCGGAACATGGCACACGTCGTCACGCTGCGCTCTCAATCGCGTGGCAAACTCAATGAATCGCAAGACGCTCCAAACACGGTCTCAGAGAACACTGCGAGCACTTCTGATTCTCACCTGAGACCGGACTGCCCGTTTGTCTCCACGAATGGACCCGGCCACGCTACACCGATGACGCTTCCGCAGCTCTGGAGCAGTGTAGCAAGTACCTCTCATCTCCAAGGCCACGCACAGAATCCTGCTCAGGATGTGGAGGGGCGGGAAATGACCATGGATGCCCGCTTGACTACCGACCGAGACCTTGCGGAGCGTCCTTTCGGCGACCCTTCCGCCACACACGGCGGCCACCGAACCGTCGCCAATGCGTCGACAGCAAGCTGGGTTTCCACTGCGTTCGATCGAATCGTCAGCATCGAGTCAGTTCGCTCCGCTCCTCTTCCTCTACGTGCGTCTTCTCGTGCCGCCACAAATTGCAGAGCCTTAGGCACCACGGACGACGGCACTACACAAGAGACGGTGGCGATCTATACTTTTACATAGACATCAATGGAGCTTGCGCCCAACCGGCGCTTGACTGGTTGCTGATAGTGGCACTTGGTGCAGTCTCTCGTTGACCGTGGATGGAAACCAAGCCCGTCGTCATGCAAATCAAACTTTTGCAAACCCAATGATGCTCCAAAGAGATACGCCTCGCACAAGCAACTCCAGTGTTAGAGCACTGGCTCGCGCGCGTGCTTCACTGGTCTTCTCAGACTTGGATGTCCATCCCATCTGTGGCAAATTGAAAGGAGCTCAGCGATGGCGCATTGGGTGCCATCGATAGCGTGCAGTGCCTCCCGAATTCAATCGATCATTGCACTCCCTCCACAAGCGCGCCGGCCAACACCTTGCCGATTCGACACCGAATGATGACGCTGTTTTGATCGAATAACATCTCGCTTGGGCAATCGTGTTTGACTCTCTCGTTCTCTGCTGAACCTGCGGCCTTTGCTAGGCAGAAACGAAAACAGTGAAAGATTTCCTCAGCCTTGCTTGTGGCGGCAGTCCATGTTCTTCCTCTTTTTTTTTTGGTTCGCTCAGATGCATCCGCACCGCCTACCGCTGGCTTGGATCAGCACCAAAGGCGATCTTCACGCGTCGCGCAGAGCACGGGCGGTGAGGTGGGTAGGCCACGCGAACCCTTTCAAAGTTCATTCGGTCCCGTGTTGGGCGTGGCGGTGTCGTGGTGTCGCGTTCCATCCCTCGCTTTCTCGAAGCGGGAATGCCACCAGCAGAGCCAGTACGGCACTCAGCTGGTACAAATGCAAGACGAGGGAATCCTGTGCTGCGACCCTCGACTGGCCTTCCCCCCAAAACCTCTTGTTTGGTCTGAGCGGTACGCATCACGCCTTTGCTCCTTCACAAGTAACAGCCTTGTCCTTCTCGCCGCCAGCGTCGACCGATTTGACTCGGCGAGAATTGCTGGATCAGGTAAACGGTGCGAATCCCAATGATGTGCATATCCTGGAGACCAGCCGCACTCCTGGCCCTTTCCCTGTGCCTTATCGCCCCTTCATCTCGCGCTTTGCCATTCACGCGAGAGCCGAGTGGACTTGACGGGTTGCACGAGCTCCTCGAGCACTTGCCTCCTGCTCAGAGGCCTACACGTGCAGCGGTCCCAGCAGCGCCTCCTGCAGTGCATTCTCACCCAGAGATGTAAGTGTCTGCGATCAGAGTAGAATCGTCAAGACGCATCTTCGAGAGCTCATTAGGACCATGACTGGACTTTTGCCAAATTCCCCTGTTCGCACCCATCCCTCCCTTCGACGCTGGCACGAATGCATGTAGCCCTGCGGTGCGTTCCCAAAGTGCAGTCCTCGTCTCGCCTAGCCTTTTTGAAGCTGACAAGACGTCATCGCGGCCCTTTGTACACAACAGGTAGAGTTTCACTTCACTCTACCACCCCACAATCGACCCGTTGGCACGTTCGTCCCTTTGCGAGGCTGGACGCATCTAGATCACGAGCACGCGATGCAGCACGGTGGCAGGCCCGAGAGCATTCACGATGCTGTGAGTGGGAAAAGTTGCAGCAGCATCGAACCAATGCTGGAGTCACTCGTTCAAACTGCACGCTGCTGACGCCCAGTATTCTCTCCCCCCCGCTTTCCCTCCCTCCGTCTCCCTCTATCGCCCAAATGTATGGCGAGGGTTCAGATGTGCCGATGGCCCCATTGCGACGTGACGCTACTTCATCCTGGCACAGAAGCGCCAGAAATTGTGCGCAGTGCTATTTCGCACCATGCGCGCTCCGACCGACCGTCCACCTCTTCATCTTACTCAACTTCTCGATGAGCTGCCTGTTTCGCCATTCGCTTCCGTGAAAGCGGCAAGTCAATCTGACCGACCCAGAAGGCTCTTTAAAGCTCTAAGCTGCTAGCAAAACGCTTCACCCAATCAATCGTACTCCGCTGAGCGCCATCAGGCATTGTTCTGCCAGTGTTTCATAGCACCTGCACGTGTGGAATGGTCATCACGCTAGATGATGCGTGGCGTGGCGTTGTAGCAAATTCTTCGCGTTAGAAGGGGCAAGGTCGATCGATCGTTGGGCAGCGTCGACGGCAGCGCAAAGATGTGACTTGCTCAATAAGAAGATATTTCATCGACCTATGCTCTTCCGTGTGGACGATGCGAGATCGGCAGGATGGAGGGAATGACAGGAACAAGTCGCCTTGTCCAATCCTCATCGTTTGTTTATACATGCATGCGCACAATGCGAAGAAGCCATGATCGGCCGGACAAGCCCGACGATTTCCTCGCGCGGCCCCCGGCGCGCCGGTCCGATCGGACTGTGCCGCGAAGAGCACTCGCGTTTGCGGAGCAAAGTTTAGCCTGCCGTGACTGCCGCACATAGCGGCGCGAGATTCGAGGTGGAGCCGCTGCTGGAGCGCGTATACTCACGACTACTGGTGCGTGGCGTGGGGTCGCTGCGATGCATGTTGATCTCGCGGCCTGAGTGTGAGTGAACAGCAGGTCAGCCGGGCTATCGTGTCAAGCTTGGCTTGCGTCGAATGCGGGGATTCAGCGGGCAAGACAAAAGTGGGATTCTGAGTGGCTTGCAGTCGTGAGTGTGAGTGACGAAGAAAAGACCAGCAGGGAGGAGAGTGGATTGCGAGCGAGTGGCGGGTGGGAAGGGACACGCCCCTTGAGTGCGAAACGCATAAAAGAGGAGCGTTGCGAGCGAGGAAGGGTTCATGTATGCGCCCCCCCCCTCTCTCTGATGCGTTCCGCAAGGGAAGCTCTGACTCGTGCCGCTCGTCCCCTCATACCATTCAGCAAGCTCATCACGCCAGCTCCTCACACGCACACACGCGCGCACTCGAGATCTTCCAGCTCCTGTTCTCACTCACACATCCACGTTGCCCTCTCTCGACAAGATTTGCTAGGGGCGACCACCACACAGCTCTCTGCGACGAGTTTGTATTCGCGTCGCACACTTCGAACAGTCATGTTGCGTCAATTTGCACGTTGCGCAGCCCAGCGCAACGCAGGGCCCAGCGCCTCAAAAATTTCAAAGCTGTTTGCTCCGCTCTCTGTGCGATTCGCTTCCACGACTACAGAGTCCGGCGCAGTGGACAAGGTGTACGCATCGGCCGCCCAAGCAGTAGGCGACATTCGACCCGGTTCCATCGTCCTCTCTTCCGGTTTCGGTCTCTGCGGTACGCCCGACACTCTCATCGGCGCCATTTCACAAAACCCAGCGATCAAGGATCTGACCTGCGTGAGCAACAATGCGGGGGTTGGAGAAAAGGGATTGGGAAAGTTGTTGCACACGGGTCAGGTCAAGAGTATGATTAGCAGTTTTATTGGTAGCAACAAGTACTTTGAAGCTGCTTATCTGGCCGGCAAGGTGGGATTGCAACTCACACCCCAGGGCACCATGGTGGAGAGGGTGAGAGCTGGCGCGTTTGGTATACCAGCTTTCTACACCCCCACTGGTTTCGGCACGGCTGTGCAAACGGGAGACTTGGTCAGCTACTACGAACCGAGGCAAGAGGGGGACAAGAGCCCTCCTAAGCCCAAAGAGTTTGCCAAGCCCAGAGAGACGCGCACTTTCAATGGCAGGGGTTACGTGCTCGAGGAAGCCATCCACGCCGATGTGGCGCTCGTGCACGTGTGGAAGGCGGACAAGATGGGCAACTGCATGTTTAGGTGAGCGAAGTGTAGGCGCGTGCCATGCTTGCTTGCCCCCTTCGCTGACATCTGCTGGACGACGATTGTGCGCGCGCCGGACAGGTACGCCGCATCCAACTTTGGCGCAGCGTTTGCAAAGAACGCAAAGCTGACCATCGTCGAGGTGAGTCCGAATGAACGACGACGCGGCGCGATAAAGCTGTGCGGACAAACTTGAATTGACGACGTTCCGTCGGACCTCTCGATGACATGACGACGCAAGGCCGAGGAGATCGTCGAAACCGGCCAACTGGATCCCAACACTATTCACCTCCCTTCAATCTTTGTGAATCGCATTGTGAAGGCAACCGCACCAAAGGACATTGAAGTGATCACCATTCGTGACGAGGTCAAATCTTCCGCTTCGTCCGTCTCTTCCACCTCTTCGGGCTCATCTGCAGCATCTGACGAGAAGGCGGAAGCAAGAAGACGGCGAGAGGTCATCGCATCTCGAGCGGCCAAGGAGTTGCGACATGGCGACTACGTGAACCTGGGTGTGGGCATGCCAGCTCTCGTGCCTTCCTTTTTGCCCGAAGGCGTGGACGTGGTCCTACATTCAGAAAATGGTATTCTGGGAATGGGACCTTACCCGACCAAGGAACAATTGGATGGCGATCTGGTCAATGCTGGAAAGGAGACGGTTACGCTTTTGCCAGGTGCTGCGACGTTCGAAAGCTCGGAAAGCTTTGGAATGATCAGGGGAGGTCATGTGGATGTTACCATGCTTGGCGCTCTCCAAGTAGGCGCAAACGGTGATCTGGCCAACTACATGATTCCAGGCAAACTCGTCAAGGTGAGCTGCCAGTCCGCCACGAAGCGTCTTGGTGTCCCCCTGACAGCGATTGTTGACGCGCTCCCACCGCATCCTGTAGGGCATGGGAGGAGCCATGGACCTCGTATCTTCGCCCGACCACACCAAAGTCGTCGTCTTGACGGATCACTGCGACAAGAATGGCCGATCGAAAATTGTCAGCAAGACCAAATTGCCCTTGACGGGCTCGCGATGCGTCTCTAGGATCATCACCGATCTTTGCGTCTTTGACGTCGACAGATCCACAGAGCAGGGAGGCTTGACCCTCATTGAACTTCAAGAGGGAGTCACTGTTCAAGAGGTGAAGGACAAGACAGACTCGGATTTCAAGGTTGCCGAGGGCGTCGAGTGAACGAGGCATTCTGCTTACGTGCAATCTTTGCCAGCTTACTCATTTCAATAGCATAGCGTCACTTGTCTAGCCTTCTTCATTCTGGTCAAAGAAATGCGTTGCTCGCTGGAGCTTGCTGGTATGATACAAATGTGCTGGTAGACATGTGCGAGAAGCGCAGAAGAGAGCGGCGCATGATGCGCATGCCTACTCTTCGCTTTCCTCTCCTTGTCGCGCCGCGCTAGAGGCATGAATTGTAGCATCCTCTTCAAGAGGTCCTGGATTGGCATTCACATTGTTCCTGGCAGCTTTCTTCTTCTTCTTCTTCGCCTTGGCCTTCTTCGGCTCCGCAATGCCAGTGATGTCCCCTCCGGCCGCTTCGTGGCGAGAAGAGGACTCGGCGTTGCCATTGCTTTCTTCAGCAGCAATCTTGTCTCGTGCCGAAACAAAGAACATCCTGATGGGCAAGTCGTCGTCGAAAGCAAGTGTCAGTGGAACGCAGCGGTATGCTTGCGTAAATCCAGGAGACGAGCTCACAAGTCTCTCATCTGATCTTGCAAGTCAGCATTCTGCTTTTTCAGCTCTTCGACATCGTGGCCGAGTCGATCTTCCACGGCTCTGCTCTTCTCCAACCTCCTCATCAAGCCTTCGCCCACGCTCTTTTCTGCCTGGAAATCCTTCTCAAGCTTGCGAGCCATCTCTATCGCCTTTTGCATCCTCGTCTCGCTCTTGCTCGCAGATGACCGCGACGCGTCGAGCTCTTTCTCGAGGCCTGCGATCCGCGTATGTAGCGTTGCGCTTTGAGTTGAGGTCTCCCCCGCCGATAGGTGCGCGTTGTCCAGGGCTGAGAGCGCATCGGAGAGCTTTGATTGCACGCCGCGTAGCTGGTCCTCGTAGTAGCTACGGTCAGATGTTGAAGCTGTCAGTGAGAAAGCCCGCATTCGACTCATGCTCTGCTCATGGCCTTGCTCACCTTCGCTGCGTATCGAGCTGACTGGTAAGCAGCATCGAGAATTCTGCGCCCATCGCCTCCATCTTCTCGTTCTCATCGCGTCTGCTGGACATCTCAAGTCTTTCGTTGCCAGCGTGGGTACCATAGACTTGAGCAGATGCGCCAGCTTGCGAGCCTCTGACAGACGGGAGTTCTACCAGCTTGCCGTCCGCTTTGGACTGGATCAAACGGTGCACGTAGGCGTCTTCCACATAAGACCATACGCGTTGCGTTTCCAGCTGTTGTGACAAGTTGAAGAGGGTACTAAGGGTCAGAAGCGGAAAATGTGAGAAGACAAGACACATACCTCGAGAGAATAGGCATGGGCCGTCGAGTCGAAGTGACTGTGGGCATGACCGCCTTTGTAGCGACCGCATCCCACTGCGGCGCATATCAAACTGGTGGGGTGATGGAGGATTGTGGATCATCAGCTTGGCAAAGCCGGGCTCTTGACAGCCGCGCCAGGACTCACCAGACCCAAAGATCATCTTGAGTGCCACAAGAAGCGCATGCACTTTGTTCGGCACCCTCCTCTTCTTCCTCGTCGGGTCTTAGGCTGCTATGAGCCATAGCAGCCGAGCCTCGTTGTCCCGCTGCTCCGCGACGTCTCGATTGGGTGTACCGGCACACAGGGCACCTGTGACTCCGCGGTGGGCGGATCAGCGGGATCGAATGCTCCGTGGCCTCGACATCGGACGCACCTTGAGTCTTCCCATCTGCCGAGACAAGCACAATGAAACGAATGCTGGCATGTCACTGTCATCAATCCTGTGACGCTGCTGTCCATGCGGTCTAGGCATACTGGACAAGTGGGGAGCTCGTACTCTGAGTACTCGCTAGCGCCGGCTGGACGGCGGATTGGTAGAGGCCAGGGATCCGTGTTGGCGAGCGCAAGCATGGGCTGACCAAACCCAGCACTGATGGTCACGGCTGTCACATACACCACGCGACAGAGATCGTTGGGCTGCAGGCAGCAGAAGTTTTGGTCAGACTCAACGCAAGATGAATGAGGAGCGTATCTAAGATATGCCAGATTGCTCACGTGCATCGCGTTAAATGGTGCTCCATTGCTGTTTCAAAAGACCCAGCATGGAGGCCTGAGTACATATACGTGCGAGAAGCAGTCGGAAAGGGAACTCACAATTCCTTGTAGAAGAATTCAGCGTCCAAGGCATCCCGAAATTTGATGAGGATCAAGCAGCGTCCAGGAGAGGACTCCCTGATGACGGAAGGACCGCAAGAAGTCAGCTCGCTATGAGAAGGGGTGTCCCAGCGACGGCGATTCGGATCGACCCACCGAAGAATCCGGACATGCTCAAAGACCTCAACAGCGGCTTCGACAAAGGCCAGGAAGTCGGCTGCGTGCATATAAGCAGGCACGCCAAGAACAGCCAAAATTGTACCTGCATCTTCCTCATTGTCGTCAGTCAGCACTGTCGTAGACGGCGCGTCTTCTTTTGCAAGGTCACTCGCGCCCGCATTGGTCATTCGAGTAGGGGTTCCTGGGCCGTTTGCATTCAAAAGGCCGGATTCGCTGGAGGACTGTGGACGAAATAGGTGCACCAGACCGAAAGCGACTTCCTCCGATCCTCGTATCTCCAATGCTCGAGTGCTGTCTCCCTTCGCATTTGCACCGAGCACCCTTCTCTTCGCCTCCTTGTCCTCTCCTCCAAACGAGCCTTGCCATTCCCAGCGTGCAAGCGGCCCGCTCTTCTCGGCGACGGTACGCGGTGAGGCAGGAGGTGAAGAAGACGGGTGAGGGCTACACAGTTCGGCCACCGAGAATGGCGCAGGAACGTTTCTAGGTGGTGTATGCTGACCTTGAGCAGATGCGCCTGCGGAGACAGTACTTGCAGACGTGGACGCTTCGGCCGATGCCATGCTCGCCTCTCTAGAGGTGACGTCCTCACGGGACAGCACACGATCGACAGCCTCAATGCGCAAAACACTTCCTCTGAAGCCTCTTTGTGCCTCCTCGCCTTCGTGTGAAGGTTCAGCCTTCTTGGCCTCCTCGAGGGGACTGAGGTCGGAAGGCTGCCTTTGCGCACCTTTCGGGCACCTTCGAGCACGAAACGGATGCAACAGTAGCGCTGTTCTCGATAGCACGTCGTGATTCACTGGGGAGAGTACCTCTGAGCTCTGTGTGTCGGTGTCGACCTTGGGTGGCCCACTCAACAAGCTCAGGTGAACTCTGAAGCGTGGCTCGCTGCTGAGGTGACTCGAAGGCATGCCCGCAAGGGCTGGACGTGTTGATGAGCGTTGAGCCTGGCCATAAAGGGCCCTTCAGATGTTGGTATGAATGTAGACTGGGAGCTGCATACCTCATTATCATGCAAGGGTGTGATGGTTGCTGAGAGCAGAGTCCGTGCGAGGGGCACGCACCAGAACTTCGACTCGTGACTGCACAGGTAGCTGGCGTTCAATCTTGAATCTGAATGTGCACACGCGCTCCTTGACGAGCTGCGTGCCTCCACTCGTGAGTCGGACTCGCTGCGCGCCTTGCGTCCAAATTCTGACTCTAAACGTAGATGAATGATGACCTTGCCTTTGCCCATCCACACTACCATCGTCCCTGGCAATCCGCGTCCGCGTGCTTTGCAAGTTGCTGGGCAAGACTGAGATACCACTCACGCGATCCTCGCATTGCTACCAGCAGGCTGAGATGGCGGCTCTTCGAGCACTGGTGGACCGGTCAGCTCAGCAGCCTCCACTGGATGGCAAACACGATGCGTTCTTCTACGGCACACTGAGTGAGTGACGACGCTCCGCTTCGAGTCTGTCTGCATTGGCCTCCCGTGTTTACCTCTTCTCACGTCTGTTGCGACCAGTCCATCCCGCTGTGCTGAGACGGATCATAGGTCGCGCGTGTGACCTGCCCGTTTCCCTCGCCATACTTCCCGGCTACACGGCTCAAAGGGTGCATCATGCCGAGTACCCAGCCCTAGTGTCTTTGCCCGACTTACCAGACCTGCTCGCCAAAAGCGACAGGAACTCGCACAGCTACACCAGGGGCGTCTTGGTCAAGGGCCTCAGCGCTGCCGATGTACTAGCACTGGACACTTTTGAGGGAGACGAGTACGCGAGGACGGCTGTGGAGCTTATAGACCTGGGAAACCCTCAAGCCAATGACGAGCGACTTCTGGAATCCTTGCCGACTCTGTTCGAGCATCTGACTCCCGAGAGAGTCATACCACTCATCGCGCAGCATCGAGAAGCTCTGAGGAATGTGAGAAAGGGCTCCGCACAGGGGGCTGAAAGTGTGCCAACGATAGGGACGATGACTATAGCGCACACATACGTGTGGAGGGGCGACCCGGCTAGCGAGAATGCTTGGGAGTGGGAGACCTTTGTGAAGCAACACGCCCATCGCTGGGTCAGCGGCGAACGAAATTGATGGGAGCAGCTACTGTTCACGATAGCCGTCAGAAAGTATCTCCTCGCATGTGCTCGAGGGCACCACATCGCCTGCTGAGCGTGATTCGTCCGTGTCTGCCAGACCTTAATGGGGCAAAACCTGCCAGCATACGCTACACATCCGCTCTCAAGGCGCATGCCATCACTGCCCCGCCACACGGCTTGAGCAAACATCGAAGATGGTGGACATTGTGTAAGATGCCCTTGCAGGCTTCCAATGAAATGTCTGTTCCGAGATCTGTTCGTGTGCTCAATACCTGCCACGTTTGGCTGGCGGGCCATAGTCGTAGCCGCCTCCACCACCACTGCCCATCGGAGGACCGCCATAGCCCCCACCGGGAGGGCTTCAAAGACAAAGAGGAGTCCCGAGTAAATTGAACGTCAGCAATGATACGCAAGAGAGGCATTTACTACTGGACTTCAACTCACCCGCCTCCGTAACCTCCCCTACCGGGCGGACCACCGAATCCCCCCCGCGGTGGACCACCGAACCCGCCTCCTGGTCCTGAAGGAGCGCCTCCATATCCTCCGCCGGGCGGTCCTCCAAATCCTCCACCTCCAAATCCACCGCGAGGTGCGAACCCTCCTCGTGGTGCAAAGCCGCCTCTTGGAGGTCCTCCGAAGCCGCCGCCGCGTCCTCCAAAGCCTCCTCTGAATCCGCCTCTCCCTCCGAAGCCCCCTCGCATCCCAACTGTGCGTATCGCAGAGCAGGAACGATGAGACACATGAGCGCCAGGAGGTGTCAGCGAATCCGTCAGACGCTTTTGCTTCGGAGTGTGCAAACTCACAGCCGCCGCCAAATGCAGGTGCTTCGACTACTGCTTGAGGCTCTTTCTTCTTTCTCGAAGAGCCACCAAGGCCGCCACCCAATCTCATCGGTTTCCAGTCCTTCACTGTCCGTCCGCGCTCTACATCCACCATTATCCTCCTGCCATTGAGCTTCATGCCTTCCGCTTCCTTGTATGCGGCTAATGTGATGAAGGCATTTGAAGAGGTGAAGGTACAAAAATGATGCGGTCAGCTAATCGACTGGCGCATGACCGAGCTTCTTCGACTGAGAGACGTATGCTAGCAGTATGCACGCATGATTACTAACTCCTCATGTCTCTCTCGCGCTCGTAGACGATAAAGGCATACCCCCGCGGTTTTCCCTCCTTGTCCTTGACTATCCTGATCTTCTCGATGGGTCCATATGCGTCAAATTCTCGGGCAAGGTCCCTTTCTGTAAGGTCGTAAGGCTGTACAGAGAGAGTCGACAAGAGTCAATACTAGTTCCGGCTCTCCCACCAATCAATGAGACTCACTAGTCTGGCAAGGAACAGGGTTGTGAAAGGATCCCCGGCCGCATTTGGGTCTTTGGCCGGATCAACTGAAAAGAGGCGAGGAACACGTCAGCAAATTTCGCGAGCACAATATGCCAGAGCGCGAGCAAGAAGCAAGCGGACGACGATCATTACGCTCACATTCTGACTCTCCTCTCCTTCTGTTCTCTTCGTGCCTTTTCCGCCTCGACTCTTTTTTCAGTTCCTTCTTTACGCTCTCGGCCAATGTGAATACCTGCTCATCCTCCGCACCCTCTGTTGCCTCTCCTTTGTCAGCTGCATCTTGTCTGGCTCGCTCAAGATATGATGCGACTCCTTCGAGCGGTCTGATACGCTTTGATTCTTTGGGAGGCAGTGCGGGATCCTTGTCGGTAGCCAGTGGGACGGCTTTTGGCAACTCGGGCCGAGGAACGAACAGCCGGAGAAGGTTGGGCGGAAGGTAGCCTGACATTGCAATTCGAGCCCACGCTGATGTGAAAGGCGGAGGTATGGGTCGTTGTGGAGATCTCCAAGCGGGTCTATGGCGTCGCGATGTGGGACGAAGATGGAAGTGCCACGACTGCGCGCACCATGCAGTCAGTGACTCAGCCGCGTGAAGTAGCCAATTTGTTATGGGCGGGTCACGGGTCTACGAGTTTGACCTTTCTGAGCGACTCGAGTTTGTTCGAATGTCGCTTTGATCAGACGTCCTTGCGATCGCGGGTCCATGCCGATCGGAAGATCGAGCGATGACAGGGATGATGTGAATCCAGAATCCCATCAGGCGTTCCTTCTCAAGGCCTTGCGCTTCGAGGTACATCCACGTGGGTCACGCACCCCGCCGCGCGTTTGTGTAGCGGTATGCGCGCCCAGCATAGGCGTGACTGCATGTGACCGTTGAGATTGGCGCGCGGCGCGTGAGGTTCGTCGAGGTTTCATGTTGATTACATGGTGATTCACGACGGATGATGAGAGAGCCCAGACGCGCCGAACTCAAATCGAAGATGCATATACAAAGGCTCATCAGCGTTCCCCCACTACCCTTCCGGTTCATTCCACCATCATCACTGCATTCGACCATTCGACCTGTTGAGAAAAAGCATGTGAGCGACTCGTGAGTGCACCGCGCATCCGGCTTTTTGCCTTGCCAGTACAGTCCTGCCTGTCGCTTGGCACCATCACGACCCTGCTACCAACGACTGGCGGCTCGTAACACCCGGCCTAGGATCTTCGCGTTGCATTGGTACACGCTTCATCGTCCTTCCAATCCATTGCTTAGCGTCTCGCATCAAATCCCCACCTGGTGATACTGACATGTCTGCGTGCGGCTCAAGCCTACCGAGCGCGCCTCCGGCGCCGCTGACCGTCTCAGCAGAGGCAGGTCCCAGCAAGAAGCGGCGACTTGAGACACCTGAGAGCAGCGCAAGCCCATTGAAAAAGGAAGCAAAGAAACTGAAAAAGGAAGAGAAGGAGCATCATCAGAAGGAGCATCATCAGAAGGAGCATCATCAGAAGGAGCAAAAGAAGGGCAAGGAAAAGTCGCACAAAAAGAAGGATAAACCCGCAAAGTCGAACGGGAGAGAGGAAGTCCTTGACGCAGGTAAAGGGAAGAGGATCCCTGCACCTATTGCTCTTTCTGACAACAGCGATAACGAAGAACTCTCGCCTCCACCGTCCGACTCCGGTGGCAGCACTGCCGAATCCGATCACGAGCAACAGCTGACCAGATGGACAAAGTCAGAGCGGGAGCAGTGGAAGAAGCCATTGCCTGACCCTACTAAAGGCACGACACCGGATGGTTCATATGAGACGGAACGTATTCTCAGGTGGCGCAGGCGTCCCAGGACAGGTTGGATTCAGTATCGTATGCAGTGGACCAAAAAGGTACGTGCGGTCTGGACACCCTTCAGGCGTATGCGCGCATGATCGTTACTCAAGTTTGTCGTATGCTCCGGTTCCGCCACGCGTCCTTCCTGCCACGCAGGCTTTCGGACACGAGAGCAACACCTGGGAGCCAGAGGGAAATATTGCGGGGAGCGACATTGACGAATTCTGGGCTAAGGCTGGCCCTAGACCTCCGGATCTTCCACCATTGCCTCGCGATGAAGATGGCGATCCCATAGGCCCCGATGAGCACCATATCCCAAATGCCACAGATGAGGAGTTAGAGAGCCCCGACCCCGCCACTCGACGTGCAGCTCGTCGGAAATGTAGGCGCGATTGGCGTGTTGATGTCTTTTGGGAACGGCACTGGCAGCGCGAGGATTCAAAAGCAAGAGCGGCACAGAAGAAGCAGCTAGAGCAGGAAGCCGAAAAGCGCCGCCTTCAAAAGGTAAAGAAGGACAGTTTGGCGAAGCAACGGCTCAAAAATCAGGCTTTGAGCGTACCCTACGGAAATGCGGACGCAGGGGCACAAGAAAAGGCTGATCGCGAAGCCGCCATCGCGAAGCGCAAGACTGCTGCTGCATCCGCACCTACTGCTGCAAACACAAGTCTAGCCAACGGCGGGGGCCATGTGAAGCCGCAAGTCTCCGCTCCCCCGAGAATGAATCAACCCTTGGCCAGCAAGAACTCAGCAGCTACAACTTCTGCCTTACCGTCTGGGACTGCCAACGCGGCACCTCGCCCGACATTCAAAGCTACCGCGCCGCCACCTGGACGGACTGAAGATCGCGCAACGCGCCTTCCGGGTATCAGCCAAGAGAAGCGCCCCGACAAAGGCTCATGGAAGGGTGCGCACAAAACCGAGAAGCGAGGTGTCGTTGATATGGTGAGCAAATGACTGCAGGTCAATGCAGCTGGACGTCGCTCTCAGCACTCACTCAACACTCACGTCCGCGTACACAGTCCATCCAACCTCAGCCAGCGCCCATGAAAGCCTTTTCAGCTATTTTCCCAGAGCCACCCGCTACTGCGCCGCGCAATGCCAGTGTGAGTCACCGTCTGGTCTGACTTGAGACAGAATGGCATCGTACTCACCCGGAGATTATCTGCCTTTGTCGCAAATAGGCGAGCGCAATCGCGACTAGGCCGCCTGTCGCAGCCACGTCAAGGCAGGCTAGCGATCTGGTCAGCTCGACACCCTCGGATCGCGCCGCAGCAGGTCCTCAACCGCAAGGTATACCTACCTTGGGCACGTCGACGAATCGCACACCTCTTGGCAACTCAACATCTTTTCCTGATACTGTGGTGCCACCTTTAGGTCCGGCGAAGTGGAGAGCCCCTGCGCTTGCGCAGGATAGTGGCGCAGCCAGTCTTCCCGTCCAGCCCGCCCCACCTGCAAGTGCTGTTGCTCAGACTGCACAGCCCACGCTCGCGCCTGCGCCTGCACTCGGGCCCGCTGCCAATACCGGCGCCCTTGCCGGGCCGTCTCGCACTGTGCTGAAGTCCGCCCTGAAGCGCCCAGGCGAGCCTACCCAACAGTCTGAAGCACCACAGCGCCAACCTCAAAAAGCTGGTGTCACTTTCCCGCCCAGTCCTGAGTCTGGCGACGTACGGAAGCGAGGTCTGCAAAGGGCCTCCACGCCCGGCGCAGCAGACGCTGATAACAGGCTTCTCCCGCCAACAGAGAGTCCTGCGAGCCCCACTGCGCCGCCTCCATACCAGCCGCCTCCACCACCTCTATCTCCGGGCCACGACGCACCGGTCAACGGTTTGTCAGCGCGACCGGATCGACCGACGAGGTCTGACACCTTTGCCAATGCACATTCTCATCCTGCCTTGGACGATGGCGCTAGGCAGTACGCGCATCCCACCGCCAACGGAGGCGCGACGTCGCAGTACGCGATGCCACCTGTGGCCCCGAAGAGCTGGGATGCGCATGATCCAGCAGCGCCCTGGGCGCCACGGCCTCATCATCCTGTCCAGAGGTATTCGGCACGCGGTAATGATCGCAATCTCCCCGTGCGACCCCAAGAGGCCGGCATCCGCCAGTACGAACGACCAGCTCTCCCTCACAATGGCCAAACGACACCGATGCACCGGCCTCAGATTCAGTCGCCTTTGGGTGGCTTCGGCGAGAGTACATTTGCGTCCACGCCACTGCGCAGAGATGCCGCGGACGGTGATCTCGAACGGCTGAGCGACAGGTCTCTAGACTCGTCAAGATCCGATCTCGACCGGCAACAGCATTCTCGGCCCCAGCGACAGGCGCATCATGACGAACGAGCTGCTGACTCATATAAAGCGCAAATCCAGAGGTGGGACCCAGGGGAAAAATTGGTCAGCCGAATAACACGCTCGTACAATTGGGCAATGCCTGGATCTCCACCAGAGCTGCTTGGTGCCCTGGCATGGCTGTGCAAGTCCAAACAAGCCGTATACAATCTTCCAGATAGGATGCCATCGGTTGAAAAATGGATGGTGCCGAATGAAGCAGGCGAGTACCGCAAAATGGTAGTCTTCGTGCCCGATCCTTCGATCAAGCTTCCAAAAGACATCGCTGCAGCGAAAGGAATGCAGCACGTCTACTTTTATCACCTCACTGCGCGCGCAATTACGCAAATCTGGGACCTGCCCATCGAGGGACCCGGCGGTTACGCGGTGCCTTCATTGAGTGCATACGTCGATTACTTTTCGGGGGCCGACAATGCGCCTGTCTTTCAGTCAAGGCTCGGTGAGAGTCTCGTGTTCCATCCTTGGCATGCGCAGACAGTTAGCGCTTTCATCGAAGCAGGTTGTGCTGAGCAGCTTTTGCAAGAGCTGCTGGGTCTTGACGAGTCGGACGCCTTGGATCGCACCGCCAATCTTCACGACGCGATCAGCAACTCAGATATGCCACTGATCGACCTCGAGAATTCGGAGAGAGCTGTCTTGCCTCGCTCCAACATGGCAGAGCTCCCGCCCGCGGAAGCAGCGCGACTTGTGGACGACGACGTGGTGGAGGCGCTGCTTCACTCTCAGAAGACACAAGTACATGTGCGCATGCACGTCATGATTCTCGGCCTTGCTAGCCACGTTTCGATCGACGCTGGCATCACGGTTAGATCGAACTTTACAGATTAGGACATCGCTCGGGTACGTCGTCTGTGCTAGGGATTTGTTGTGTTTGCTCATCGTCGCGCACGCAGATCTGACGCCCGCTTTGCCGCCATTTTAGGTCCCTGGAGCTGAAAAGTGAGCTACCCTTCACAGAGAGGCTTTGTTCAGAGAAGACAAGCCTCAAGAGCTGCACTTGGGTGGAAATCTTGGGCTGAGAACTTCAGCCTTGCCAGCTTCTGGCTCCAAATTTCACGTGAGTAGAATATGCAGGGACAAGCCCCTTGCAGGTCAGGCATATTTGTCTTCCAAAAGTTCCAACCCTTACTCTTGTTCCCAAGCCCTTGATCTAGGCTATGCATAAGCCCCTGATTACCTTCATGCCTTTCTTTTGTTTCAGTCCATCCTCTTGATGCGACAATAGTCATGGCTTTCAATGCCCAATTCTCTCCCTTAAATGGCCCAACAATTTGGAAGGGTAGCACTCATTCATGTGTCTCTTTCAGGCTGATGTTCCCATTTCTGCAGCAAGCACTGCATGTCCATGCACCAAGGCTACTTGCTGAAGTGGCAGCTGATGGCAAGATGAATGGTGTCATCTTTGGGACAAGGATGGTATGAATGTGGGGTAGGCCAAAGCTGAGAGGTACCAAGAATAGTCTTGGGCCCAAGCATCCAGTCGAGCACCTTTGATGGTGACCAACTGCTTTACCTCCATCCCCTGGCTTCATCTTCATCCAACCAATCCTGATTTGTGGCCTTGTTAGCACAGCAATTCCTGGGCACTGGCATAGGAGATAGGACAGATAAAGATGCAGCTTACACCCTGATTGGCATCAAGGCACAGCAAACCCCAAGTAAGTGGGATGATGGAGCAGTGCGCTGCAACCTTGATACTCCTACCCTCCCTGCATCAGCAGCGGGACACCTGGCCACTTGGCATCCCAAGTGTCACAAAGGGATTTTGCCCAACCACAGTTTGACGTGTTCAAAAAGGCCCATCCAGACAGGTTGATGACAACCTTCACTAGCAGGCCTACTGTAGAAGGAAAATCAATCTTCCATATTGGCGCACTCTTGCACCTTGGGTGCATATCTGCCCATGCCTGCCATGCTGTTGAGAGGTCTCAGGGCTTCTCCTGTGCCGCTGCTAGTCAGCAGCATTAAGACTTTGATGCCGAGTCGCACTCCTGCGATCGCTAGATGAGCACCAACATACAAGCCAGCAAAGTGTGATGTACTCTCCCACATCAACTCAAAGGGACCAAACGTCAACCATCCTGCACAATCGTGAACGAAACGCGGCTACACACCTATATCGGTCTTTCGACGTGGAAATGAACAGCAGAAGCAGCATCGAAACCGTCTTTGTCCATATATTGCATGGTGCACGCTATCCGTTTCACGAAGCGATCTCCGTCAGCAAAATTTTCTTGGACAGGGTCAAGTACTTACCACCATGACCTCAGAACTTAGGCTTGGTGAAGTCCACTTGCTCAGCTCTAGCGCAGTCGGTGCAAGAACGAAGGGTAGCCGCTTGAATTTCTGTTCGTCTGACAGCGACCTACAATCCATCATCCCAAACGCCCCTTGCAAATCTCCCCCCCTGCGCGCCTCCAGACGGCGCGAATGGCACGCGTGGTCCGTCGTGGACCACATCCGGATATCTCCTCAGCAGCACATCCGTCCTGCTTCTCACATCGTCCTGCGCCAAGTAAGCTCCGCACATTCTTCGCTTGCCTGTGAAAGCTGATCGGCCATGCAGCACGCGCTGGTTGGCTATGGCTGATATCCAGCAAATCAGGAGTGCTGGGCAGCGTGAGCTCTTCTGAATCGAAAGTGATGCGCCGAAGTGATTCGACGAGGTACAGCCCTGAGCATCCTTCTTCCAACTCACAAAGCGCCGTGCCAGGTACCAGCTGTTGCCAGTACTCGCCGTCCGTCGAGGTGAGAATTTCGTTCCATCTGCCAAGCAAGGTAGCGAGGCCAGGCAGTGGAACGTGAACATCTCATAGACGACAGATTTCCGAGCTACCGTGCTCCAAACTCACTTTCGCAGAGCGTCATAGAAGGGCATGACCTCTTCTTCCCTCAATTTGAGTGTCGATCGATCATCGTTATTCTGTCGCACCAATAGCAGCTCGCCCGTCCGGTCGTCATGTTCCAAGATAGGATAGCCTCTAGGGTGCATAGGTCGAATGAAAGTGTCCTCATCGCCAGCCGAGTGGGTAGATATTCTCGTCTCGCTCAAGATCCTGTAAGCTTCGGGGTGAACATCCCTGAGCACCTTGGCAGCCAGAAAGCCATCCACCAACAGACTTTCTCCCCCTTTTGCTGGAGTGCCATCCTCGCTTGCTGAGTGCTCCAGTAGGTGGAAGAGCTGCAGACCGCACGGGTCCGTAAAGTAGGTCGTATCGGTGTGCGCCCCCAACGCGATGGAGGTGTATGCGGTGTCTCCGTGGGCCAAATTAGAGGTGAAGTCCCAAAAACCGCCATAGTGCGTCGGGCGGATGAATGCAATCTTTTCGATCAGCTCTTGAGTAGCTTCGGGGGTCACTGGCACGCCGGCGATGAAGCAGAAGCCGTATGCATCCTGCGTCGCAAGCGTGCGTGAGCATCAGTAGCCCGGTAGGTCGCCTCAACCTTTCAGCACTCACCAGCTTGCTAAGCCACTTTGCTACACCTCTCTCGCTAGCCAGCTCTTGATGCTGAACAGTGGGTGGATTAGATGCTATTCCCCTTCCCCACAACACCTTGCCTCGCCTCTCCATGCCAAGGTCGTCGGACTGCAGATCCCCAGCCCCATCCAAAGAGGACATGTTGGAGCTTAGCACCGGAGCGTAGGAGTTGGCACGAAGCCAGGACCAAGGGTAAAGAGATTGATGCTCGATTCCCGTGGATGCCGTCTCGGTCGTGGTGCTGGGCACACTCCCATCTGAAGCACCATGCTCGTGAGTCGTGTCGGCTCCCTGTGACGGCGCCCCACTCGAGACAGGGCCACCCAGACCGGGCCAAGTGACCAGCAAGCCTTCCATGGTGCTTTCGACGAATGATGGCGTCACGTCTTGAGGAATGGCAAAGGTGTCCAACAACCTCTGCTTGGTCTTGGGATGGTAGCACGTTGCACACCTGCAGTGGTCCCGTAGCCACAGATGATGGAAACGAGAAGTGACGCCGGAAGACCATGTGACGCTTGTTTGATTGGAAGCAAAGGACACTGAAGGGATTTGAAGAGAGCTGGACGCAGAAGGAGCGGGAGATGCGGAAAGAGTAGACGAGAGAAAGGGTGCGGAACTGGGCGAGGTGTTGGACTGGGCACTTGTGGCGTTGTCGGGCTCTCGTCGAACAGGGCTAGGCTTGAGCGCGCCAGAATCATTGCCCCACGAAGATGCCTTCCGAAAGACGGATGAGGAAGAGAATGGCTGAAGACTGATCGGACAAGGTCTAGAGGGTGCTCGGGTCAAGACAGGCATGCCCGGCCTGACGAGTACCGGCAACACCGATGAGTGGCATCTCGCAAAAGCAATCTTCATTGTATGCGTACAGTCCGTGAGCGTGAGGATGTGAAGTCGAGACGGAACTTGTGAGTGAGGAGACGGACGAAAGGAAGACGAGGAGAGGCGGGCGCGGGCTACGTCGTGGATGCGGGAGCAACCAACTTCAGGCTCAGCAGGTCGCGCGAGTCGTGAGTCGTGAGGAGTCTTAATCCTGAATTCACTGATTGTTTGGCGCGGCCATGCATGCGAAAGACGCGATTCCGTTGAGCTCGGCAGGCAACGGAGCCGACGTGAGGCTTGCACGCAACAGGTCTGTGGGGACGAACACGTGACCTCCACATGGGAGGCTGTGCGGACTTGTTCATTGATTCAAATCAAGTCTCCAAGGGGCGTTACCATGGCTGCATCGGTCTGCTTTGCCACCATCGCAATCTCGAATGTGGATCTCGCCTCAAGTCGACAGATGCAACTCCCTTCAAAGGAACGCCGAACCGCTCCGCAGAATGACACTCGCTCTGCCCCCCAATCTGGCTGTTCTGGCCGATCGCGTGGCTTCGGGAAGCGCCTCCAAACCTCCTCTGCGGTACGGCAAGAACGTCTACAACCGATCTTTGACCAGAGAGATTGAGCAATGGGTCAAGAAATTTCAAGCTCCTCCCTCTGCCAGGGCGCTTCTGTACTCGCTCAATGACGATCCAGAGGCGCATGAGGTGAGTTTCGCTGCAACCCAGAGGTGGATGCAAGGCCAAGGTGAAGAGTTCACGCTCGGCAAGTCGACGGCAAGAAGAGGTGTGCTTGCCGCCAAGCGCGCACTCTCACGGCGTATCATCTCTGCTACTTGAACACGAGGCTGACTTTGATTGCCGCAGATCGCTCAAGCAGATGAGGGCGATGCCACTTCGGACTTGCTGCACTCCATCCATCATCGTCGCGAAGGAGATTTCTGGAACTCCAAGTGGTGGATCCGGCAGATCTCTCATCCCGCTCTTCATTCCGTTCATGGAGGCTCAAAAGGTGCACAGAGCTTTGTCGATGCTGTAGAGAGCATCACCAAGGGCGCAGGAACGGTCTGTGGAGCAAAGAGGCTAGACGAGCTCAGGGATCTGCAAGCGAAGGAGTTCAGGGAACTCTTGAAGGCTACTTTCGATCTCCAGGGAGATACATGGGGAGATTGAAAGGAACGCAACGAGAATACCCCTTGATTGTGCTTGCCAAAATCAAGCCGTGATATCTCTCCTGCGCTTCATTCCGACTGCATGCAAGCAAGACACACACACGCTAAGTTGGTAGCCTCCCATCTCAGCAAGCAGATACGTGTACCTCTCACGCGCAGGCGATTTATATACATTGTTGCTCTGGCAAAGCTGTCTCGCTCAAAGTGTGCTCTCAAATCAAGGCGGAGCACGTGATGGGATCTCTCTTTCCAAATTGGAAAGTCAGAGAGCGCGAAGGAGCACCGCGTCGCAGCAGGGGGGAAAAGGGTTGGCTGCTGGCGGCTTACTCGCCATTGTTGACGACGTGAAGCGGGCCTCTTGGTGGTTCGAGGGCCGTATCGTCGGGCGTACCGGTGCGAGAGAGCTCTCCACCATGATGCGGCCCATAGTGTCCTCCAGCAGGCTGCACGACGTTGAGTGTAGTGCCTGATCGCTGAGGCATGGGCGGTCTTGCGTTGTGCTGATGATCGCTCGGATAAGAATAAGCTGTGCCTGCCGATGCTTGACGAGCCAAATGTGCTGCGCTGCTATTGCTGTGCTCCATCATTGGCATGTCGTTCGAGTAGGCCTGAGCATGAGGTTGATTCGACATGCTTCTCATACTGATCGAGTTGCTCAGCGAATGCCCACCGGCGCCGGAGCGTGCATTCACCGATGTGCTATAGCCCAGCCCACCGGGCCCCGTGACATGTACAGGTCCAGTAGCGGGCGAACTGTGCGCTGAAAGGCTATTCCCTCCATACTCTTGTGACGGGGGCATCATCACTTCGTAACCTGGACCATGCGCGTCGTACGATGCAGGAGGTGGTTGCTGTCCAGCATCATAGTAGCCTCCATAAGCGTCGTATCCGCCATACGTCGGGTCGTATCCGTATTGTTGAGGATCAGGAGCTACCTGCTCGTCACCGTGAGCAGACCACCCCGGCACGCTCCGTGCCCCGTTGTGAGGGTACATGTGACTATCCATCGATCGCATATGAGACAGACCTTGTCCAGCAAGGTTCGGACCGTACGCGTCGGAGCCGTGGGCATCGCTGTGCCCATACTGCACCACATTGTCATCGCTTCCCAGATTTTTCATTTCCACTTGGCTAAGATCTTCATCAGCAGAAAGCCCAGCGTTCGTGGCAGGCCTGCCAAACAGGGCTTCGGCCGAATTGTCTGTCGGCTTGTGATCGGCCTCGAAGGCGAGCCATTCGACCTGAAAAAGCAGGCAAGCGCGTAAATCACGGATCTCAAATGGACCGACAGGACGTTAGTTTGATGGCGCACCTCGCGTTGCTTTCGCGCACGCCTCCGGACAGGTAGCAATATCAGATAGGCTGGAAGGCAAAACTCGAGCATGGATGAGCTGATCGAGTTCGAGGAAGGCATGCGACATCGACCAAGGGACTCACTCAGCAGTATCAAGCCAGCAATACCACCCGCGATACCGCCGATGATGGCTCCGAGCTTAGTGAGATTGGCCCCTCATCGTCAGCTTCGGGTCGACCGACTTTGTAGCTCGCCCCGCCTAGACTCACATTGATTTCCTTAACGATCGAACAATAGCAGACCAGCCAACCAATCAGCAACAGCTCAAACCTTAGCGCCGCCAATCCTACTTACGGAGCCACCTCCGGTTGGAGGCAGAGCGCCAGCCGTGGCGACCGAAGTCTGCGTAACGAGGACTACATTCCCATCGCTCGTGCTCGAAACGGTAGCGTAGCTGGTGCTCAAGCTTGGGATGCTCGAAGTGGCCGTCATATTGGGCATTTGAGTCATGGATGTCGAGGTGGATGATGGAGCAAAGGTAGAGGACGAAGTCATGTTGGGCAAAGGCAGGCCGGTGGACGTCTGTAGTGGTGCAGACGTGCTCGACGTCGAGGTTGGAGCGGAAGTTGGACTTGGCAAGAAAGTGATTGGAGTATGCTCACTCCCACTTCCTTGACCGCCTGCTCCATCACCCTGACCCGTATCGCCCGTTTCACTTCCGGTCCCGGTCCCAGTGTCACTTCCAGTCCCGCCAGTACCGCTTCCTTTCGAACCATTGCTACCGGTGGAAGGTGAGTTGGGGCTTGTACTTCCTGTGGTTGGAGAGCTGGGAGTAGTGGGAGATTTTTTTGGATCAGTGTTTGGAGTAGTTGCGCTGGCATCTGACGGCGTCGAGTCAGTACTCGGAGTCGTTCCGGTGGCCGCCTTCTTTGCCGCGCCACTGTCCACTGTTCCCGTATTGTGGGAGCCAGTCGGAGTGACGGGCGGCGTGTTGGCGGCATTCAAGATGCCCGCAGCCTCTTTGCCACCTTGATCCAAGGCACTGCTCGGCGCTGCACCGTTCGCGATGGCATCTTGTGGAGTAATGGCTTGGCTCATGGCTCCAAGGGCTTCGCGTCCTTATGTCAACGAAGCGACAAACTTTGTGATGAAGCTGGAGAAAACGAGAGTAAATCGACGGGACCAAGATGATGGCGAAATATAAAGCAGCGAGATGCGAAGTAGCAAGGGCAGCAAGCACGCGAGACCCAAAGGCTTGGAGTCGTGAATTGAGTGGGTGCAAGCTGAAGATGGGCAAGTCGTGATGGCAGCCGTCGTCGGGCGAGCAAACAAATCAAGAATGACGAGTTGTGAATGCTCCAGCTGTATAGCTGCTGCGCTGACTTTTGCCTGTTGTGATGCCATGCGCGCACGCATTTTGCGAACCAGGTATAGCACGACTCCCCACTCAATTACGACTTATCAGACTTCTTAATTGAGCGGCTCTTGTTCGGCAAAGTCAAGCTTCGCCGACGACCTGAATCTGACTGCGAAAGCCATCGTCCCCCATTCCAGCAGCGAAGGAGTTTGCGCAGCATAAACGACCGCATGCTGTCGCTGCATGACGATGAATGCTGCGCTGTGCCATGGCATCGCAAACTCGTGACTCCTATTTTGTCTGCAGCGACGACCGCAACGACCCGTGGTGCGCTCGCATACGTATCAAATCCCAAAGACTCTTGTCTCTTCGACCTGATCATATGTGAATCACGAACAACGCCAGCAAAACGGCCCAAGACCCATGCAGCGCAGGATCTTGATCTGTTGGTGCTGATGCTGCTCGTTCGCCCCGCTTGATCAAGTCACCGCGCGTAGACTTCCCTGCAACGGAGACTCACGACTGTCTACGCAAGATATGCCTCATCCTTGTTTGAAGGGTAACCGAGCGGCTGTTCGTCAGCGCCCACACGGCCGCGCGTGACTTGATCAAGATGTCTGTGATGAATGTGCGTTGCGCTTTCCTGCACTCTACTCTGTGTCCTCACTATATAGCTGTGATGACTGTCGATCTGCTGACGCCTCGACCGGGCGCACAATCGATCAAGCAGCAAAGCTTTAGCGTGCACGAGGGTGCGCGGTGCGCGGTGCGCCGATGGGAAGCTCTTGAGCCCCGTGTAGCTGCGCTTGATCCAGTGTCTGCGCTGATCGACTTGCATCCTGACTCTTCAGTGCTGCCCAAAGTGAATTCGAGTCAAGACGCCATCCTCTTGTTGAGTCAAGTAGCGGCGGCGGAGAAGATAATTAGGCAACAGCCGTCATTAGGTGGGCGCATGGCCGGCGACCTCCCATGAGAGAGTCGGCAGTTCTCGACGCTGTGTTTAGCAAGCGAGGGCAGCAGCGGCGGCAAATTGACCGACAGCTTGTACCGGCCTTAATGACAAAGGCGATTGCTACATGGCGACGCGCTTCGTGATGCTCCGAGCTGTGCTATAGACGCTCGAATCGTGAATACGTCTCGACAAGCTGCGAGTAACGCAGTCTGACGAGTCTGTCGCGCCCGTCCGTGATTGTGATTCAAGTGACATGCGCGCCGCGGTCTCAAAGATATCGCCGCGCGCCCCGCCCTTGATGCTGCTGAGGCGTCATATCTCATATCATGTGCATGGATACGACTGAGCTCGCCGCCGAGTACCTGCTGCTGGCCCGCAGCATGTATATACTCGACGCCTTGTGTGTCAGCTTTGAATAGCTGACGATGCATTTTGCATCGCTACCTCCATCCATCGCTCTCGATTCGATCGCAGTAGCCTCTAGTTGCTACTCAAATTGAGCGCGCTTGAGCTGGGATGTGTAATCCGACACGGTCGCCAAGCTCATAGCGACCCGGTAGCAGAGCCCCTGAATCACGAATGTAGGCCAAAACGACCGAGACAAAGGCGATCCGGCTCCGTCTTTGCGCAACGATAGGCTAGCAGCAAAATTGAAGAGACACGAAATTAGGGGCTCGACTTGCGAACGCTCTGCGATCGACCCTAACTCGAGCCGCAAACTCAAAATGCGAAGCAACCCGCACAGCTAAGGATAGACATCTGCAGTGGTGCTCAGGACGTGTACTCACTTGTAAGGGGACCCCAGGATCCCATGCCTTAGACCCGAAAGAAGGCCAATGACTGAAGATGCCATCTCGATGGTGACAGAAAGAGACTTTTGTGGGCGCGCTGATCCGACGCAGTGACCGAGGCGCTACACAGTTCTTCTTTGAGACGTGATGGCAAGGTCGGGTCGATCGTGAGACCATGCAAATGCGTTGCGAGATCACGAGATGACAACTTGGGTGTATTTCTCCCTCGAAGGTGAGTCGTACTTGGCGCTATGAGTGATGGGTAACGAGCACCTCAAAGTGGAGAGGCGCTCGATGTCGCAAGTCTGCGAAAAGGCCGCTGGACCAGCGATGCTCCAACAAACCCTTGCGCCTATTTTCCGTGATGTTTGCGTGCCTCACAAAGTTTCTCGAGCTTGCGCCACTTTGCTCGCTGGAAGAGCTTTTCGGGACGCGCACCTCTGCTGCGAGATGCGGGAGAAACTGGAAATGGATGGATGGGAGCGAGTGTGGTTGAGGTCGAGCGTAGCTTGAAGATGGAAGCGGGGCAGAAGAAGCACTGTTTTTCTTTCACTCGATCCCTTGATCGCTTTTCAGCATGCTTGTTTGCAGACGCAGATTCGATCCTCACCATGCCTCGATTCTATCAGCGCAGGATCGAGGGACAGCCAGGCAGGGTTCCGATTGAGCTGCACTACATTCTGATTGATTGAGCGGAGCGACTAGTCCTCGGAGCTGAGGTGCGGGGCAACGTCCAGGACGTCCATTTGACCGCGAAATCCCGCACCATGCCGAGGGTCCGTCAAATTCGCTGAGTGTGACTACCGCTGCTGGCTATCAGACCGAGGCTGCGAAGCTCAAGTTGGAAGACGGACCTTTGTCCAGTCCACTGAGATGATCCAGGCCGGGGCCGGGGCCGGGTCCGCCACCGGCCCCACTCCATTCATCATCTCATTGCTGTCCTGCGATAGCCGCCGTACCGCTTCCGTTTTGCGATACGTGCGCTGCTTTCAAGTTTTCGAGCGAAATGAAGTCCCGGGAAACCATACGTCTTCTCGATCGCTGCGCTGTGTCTTGAAGCTCGCGTGCTAACTCATGCAATCTCGAGTCAGAAGACCCCGGAGATTTTGCATGTCATCGCTTGAGTGCTACCGCAGCGTTCAGGTACCCCACGTTGACACCTTACGTTTAGAAACCCTCTGCTTCTTGATTCGTGACTCTGGACTCGGTGTTGCTTCTAATGACTAATGGTTGTTCAAGGTCTTCACTCTCGCCCGGTGCGTATGACTTCCAATTTGTGAGCCGCCTGAGAGGCGACTCGGACTTGACCGGTCCGGTCCAGATCGGTCTCATCTTGTGCTACGGTCCGCATCGTCGCTCGTCCAGTATAGCTGCGTGACACTGTCGTGCACCTCACAAGGCACACCAAACGGCCATACAGGGACGAGCGACTCTTGACTAGCTGGGCATCAATGCTGCATGCCATGATCTTGAATCATGGAGTGCGACAGGACGAGGGTGAGACCTCTCAAACCTGGGCCCAAAGCTAAATTGGTGAAGATGTATGGCGGTACGATGGATACATGCATAGGCTAGCTGATGCAGGGGCGTGAGACGATGCGATGAAGTCGCGCAAGTTTGTATAATCGCTCAGCAGCTGGGGTCGTGCGTGCGGCCTGCCGCCTCCCTGCATGCGCATTCACTCATTGTGATTCAAAATCTTCCGATTATTCACGATCCATGCAGCAGCAATCCGTGATCATTCGTGATTCGCGGTCGCCTTAATTGCAATCCACGCTCACGCTTGCTATTCACCCTTGCCCACGCCACATTTTGAAATCTCGCATCCAACGAGGCGGCGTCATGCTCGCAATCGCCTGACTGGTTTGGCAAGCCAACCAGCATTCGATTCGCGTCGGACGAATCACGGTCATCGGGTGGCAGCTTCAGGGATAATTGAGTGTGGATGAGGAGCGAATCTTAGTCCAGCTTGTTGGTGGCACGCGTACCGGCCGCTGCTACATGTGTCAGTGACGAGCGAAGAGGAGGGTGGCGAGGAGGCACCTTCAGGTTCGAAGCTCGAGTGGGAAGTCTCCAAGCACGAATGTCAATGCTGTCCTCGTTCAACGTCAGACTCTTGACTGAGTACCGTCGTAGCCAGAAAATGGGGCCGCGGTCCGAGCTCAAATCGCCGCTGAGAGCAGGCACGGATGGTCGTTCGCAACGGCAGCGTGCTGATCTCGCCCCGCACTTGACAGCAGCGATGGAACAATTTGATTAGCAAGAAACACCTCTTTACCCGGTCTTCGTACATTTTGTGCATGTCCATGAGGGAACTTTGAATACTCGAGCTGTACCGAGTCACAAGGCGTGGATAGTGATGCTAGCACTCCCAGCTGGCCGTTCGAGTGTACGTCTCCTTCCATTTCCTTCTTGCTTGCTTTCTATTCTGTTGATGCCCTTTGTGGTCGATCATCGAGGTTGGGGACTGCTAGGAGAGCTGAGGGAAGTGGAAGTTCCGGCATCGCTCAAGGAGAGGCTGCCCCTACCGGCTCTCTCGGCTCTCCTCTTTCTCCTCCTGACCCTAGCTTCATCCTCTTCCATCCTCTCTCTCTCCTCCAATCTCTGACTGTAGTACTGTCCCGATTGTAGGATGATGATGCCCACCAAGGCCACGGCCACTACCGCATTAGAGGAAGCCAGTTCGCGCAGAGGGACTAGGCAGGCATCTAGAGGATCCGAGGGGTCCGCTCGAGGTGCCGGAGCTAGCGCCGGAAGAGCATTGAGACCTGAAAATAGCGCATCCACGAGCTCAGGTCGCCTCCCACTAGGCGAGCCAATCAGACGATTCGCACTCACTGGGCTGGATGCGCTGATAGAAGACGACTCCTACGGCCCCGTAAAGAACTGGTCACCGGCAAGCCAAGATGATTGAGAGCGTCAGCAGCCAGGCTCGACCATGTATCATGTGTCGTGAAAAACGGCTGCCCGTTTCCTCGCGAGCCAGCATGGTCATCGTTTCCTCCTTGCCCAACGGCTTTGCTCCGTCTCACATCCAAAAGGATCGCGGCAAGCAAGCTCCCTCCGCGTGCATTCCCAGGTTTGTATTTACAAGCGCATGACTCACAAAGACTAGCGCCATCGAACAACCAATTGCTCTCTCTTCCACCCGCAGCTTTGTACACCGTAGTTCCCACTCCGAGCGTTCCAACGATGTACAGCAGCCATGTCAAGCCATGCGGCAAATCCGTCAGAGATTGGGAGTAGTAGGCGTGCGCTTCGATCAGCGAGTCATGGGTGATGGGAGATTGCCAGAGCACCAAATGATCAGCTCTCCAGTGCATGGAGAGCGTCCCCAGAAGAAAAGAGGTGGAGAGAAGCACCAGAGCAGTCGTCAAGTCGCCCATCTTTGACACCAAGTCGCAAGGCAGCCTGTGTGGACGAGTCGATCAGTAGACGCGTTTGGATGCCATTGACTTCTGACCAGCTCGTGCTTCTGCCGATCGCTAAACTTGTGTGTGTTTGCGTGTGTGCGTCCAAACCGATGCAACACTGGAAGGTCGGCAACAAGGCTGGGTGACGCTGGTCGAGAGAGAATCTTGCGCAAGGAAGGGGGATAAAAAGCGAAAGGAAGAGGGAAGAAAACCCCACCAAGCTGGGTGAGAGGAAGTGACGATGGCGTTGAGGACAAGGACGATGGAAGAACAAAGGCGGCAGGATCGAGAATGGCTCTGAACTTCGCGCGGCTGCTGGCTTCCTGGCTGGCTGTGACTTCATGATTCCGGCTCGAAGCAGAAGCGAGCGCGAGCGCGGTTGTGGAGAAGCGCGCGAGGGTGCGTGGATGCGCGGTTCTGGGGTGCACGTGCGGCGGGTTGGAGACACCTGCATTCGCCTACGCACGTGACGCGAATCTGTGGGCAGAACCATGCAGCAGCAGCGCCACGACGCACGCACAAGCCAAGGCCTGCTTCTGAACCATTCTTGATTCGTGTTGGTGCTTCAGCGACGAACCAAAGGGCGGCGGCTGAGGGGGAGATGAGTAGCTGATCGTGCTGGTCGTGAGTCGTGAGTGAAAAGTCGCCAGTGTGACTTCGCATTCACGATTAGCATTGCTTCGCTGCTACAACTTTCCATTCGGTCGTCGACCTGTCAGCGTCGCACACAGTCCAAGAGTCACGCTATCTCCACAAGAGCACACTCACGACGGTCATTAGAGATCTAGCCGAATACTGGAGGATCTTCTCAAGCTTGCCAGATCCCCTTACACGACGCCTCGGAGCGTCTCGCATCTGCCCCCCCCCCCCCCCCCGGGAAAGCGCCCTGCCGCCCGCTGCCCTCGACACTGCGAGGCTCGTCAGCAACTCGACCATTTCGGGCAAGATGGCGCACAGACGATTAGCCGGGCAGCTGTTGTGCGTTCTGCTTGTCCTCTCGATCATCGCTCTCGATTGCGCGTCATTAGTCTCGGCCGCAAAGAAGCGGCCTCGGTCGAGCTCGAGCTCTGGCGGTGCCTCACCTGGCAGCGCTCGCTCCTCCTCCTCAGCCAACCCAGATTCTGGCGTTCCTCCGGCTTTCCTTCAGCAAGCCTCCACCTCTCCCCACGGCATCATCGATCTCCCCAATCCTCAATCTTTTGTTCAGATCACCTCTGGCGCTAGAAACTACTCTAGTGTGGTCCTGCTCACCGCTGTCAAGAGCGGTGTCTCTTGTCAACCTTGCAACACTTTTGCGCCTGTTTATGAGACCCTTGCGAAGGGCTGGAAGAGCAAGAGCAGAGGTAGCTCAAAGGCAGACGTCATCTTCTCGCTCTTGGAGTTCAAGGATGGTCAAGATGTCTTCAGACAGGTGAGTTGTTCACTTCGTGCAATGTCAAAGCTTTTGCACAGTGCTGACCGCGTCTTTTACTGTGCTGATACCGTACCTCCGTGTGTCATCTCTTTGCGCCTGCATAGCTTCAACTCAGCTATGCGCCAGTCCTGCTGTTCTTCCCTCCAACTTCGGGTCCCAAAGCGCGCGGATCTGGACAGCCCATCAAGTACGATTTCAACCGCCTAGGCTTCGAAGGTCCAGAAGTGGCTTCCTTTCTCAGCGATAATCTAGGTTTCGCATTTCCCTACGTCAAGCCATTTCCTTGGACCACCGTCCTTTCCTTCTTCGGTAGCGCGGGTGCGATTGTGGCCTCTATCATTCTGCTGGCTCCAAAGATCGCTCAGGCTAGGGGACAAGGTGTGGCGTCTATTGCCAGTGCAGGCAGCAAATTGATTTGGACTGCACTCTGCTTAGCGACCATCGTCGTCATGACCTCGGGCTACATGTGGAACAGTATCAGAGGAGCGCCCTACCTCATGATGGGACCCAAAGGCAAGCCCGAGTATTTCGCTGCTGGCTTCCAAAATCAGTACGGCGCAGAAACGACGATTGTTGGCGCATTCTGTGAGTGCGCTTTCGTGGAGACAGACAAGCTTTGCGCTCGCTGACGAGACAAAATTTTCGATTGGCCGCACGTCATAGATGCGCTTCTTGCATTCTCCTTTGTCAGCTTGACCGTGTTTGTGCCGGCTCAGAGAGATCCAGTCAGACAGCGCGCAGGCGTGTACGTCTGGAGCGTCATCTTCCTCGCTACCTTCAGCCTGCTCTTTGCAGTGTTCAGAATCAAAAAGTGCGTAGTTATGGAGATGCCTCTCCGGATGTGCCGCCTCTGTGTGGACCTAGCATACAGGCTGCTGACGTGCCAAACTACGCCTCTTGCCACACTCGGCTTCTTTCAGTCCTTCGTATCCCTTCGTAAGTCTGTCCCGGTGATCGCAAAGAGGCGCGTAGCTGACAAGGTACCTTATTACTCTTACGTCACAGCGACTCTTCTTTTGAGCGTACAAAAGCAATGACGAAAGGACAAGATGTGCACCCGATCGACGGAAATTCCTGTGAGGCTAGAGCGTGCGCGCAAGATGAGCCCCTGCGGAGGGTTTGAAAGTGTTCGAGCGTCTGTGGTGCATCATGCCGTACTAGGTGTATTAGTCGAGCATTTCAGCCCGATCCTTCTTCGCATTAGATTAACCGTCACCATTACGTGGACCAAGTCGCCCCAACCACATCGAGACAAGCCTTGAGCAACGCAGAGTGCTCTTGCGGCCCCTCTCTATCAAGTCTGGGACTTTGCAGAGGGTTAGCCCTGCCAATGCGTCCCAGTGAAAGTCCTTCAGGCACGGCCACCTCCCTGATCCCCTCTAACGGCTGCGAGGTGCCCGCAGCTGCTACGGATCCCAGCCCGGGCATTCCTATGGCGGACGCCTGCTGCGTCAGTAGCGAAATCAGTGTGGGGTATATGTTGAATAAGTGCGCTCGAGGGCTGGAGAGCGCCAATGAGCGCAAAGTGGGCTCCATGGTGTCAGAACTCTGACTGTTGCGTTCTGACGAAGTCTTTGCAGCCAACAAGCTACCGGGCCACAGATGCAGATCCAACATGGAGCTCAAGACGTAAGACAGCTCCTCTGACTGTATCCGTGGAGGTGGTGAGCTGCCTCGAAGAGGCGCGTTCGCAGCAAAAGACTGAAGCGCCAGCGACGTCCTTTTCATGAGAGCGGGTAACGCCAAGGTTGCCACGCGTTTGCGCTCCTCCACTCGATCTGCGCAATAGCGAGCAAGCGCCAGGTCGGGACAGGGTCAGATCTCGATTGCACTGCCCTTGTCAAGATAGGGGCGCACACACCTTGCCATCCATTCGAGCACATCAGGAAAAGGAGATCAAATGCCCAGTACGCGAAATGCTCGCGCGGCGTACCAATGATGGGCGCCACGGTTCCTTCGGGCGGCACGTCAGCCCATGCGCCGTTCTCCGCATGAAGGTGAGAGGCAGATAGCAAGGCGCTATCTGTCCGAGCGCTGTAAGGTGCCGCTAGGTCGCGATCCAGCTCGTAAAGGCTGGACGCTCGAGCCAAGCCAAATGCCAGACTTGCAATCAGAGATGCAGGCACACGAGCATCACCGAGGAACGGTAGCACATCGACTTCTAGAGTGCTGAGAAGGACCAAGTCGACGCTTTCGTGCTCTGCGGCTTCGGTCGTGGACAAAAGGCGGGCAGCTGAACTGTGGTAAGAACGGGCATCCGTCAGCTTTACTTGCGCGAGCATTACAGCTTCGCGTAATAAACTCACCAATCCGCGTCAAAGGCGCCTTCAAATGTTGCAAGCATATGTTTCCAGATACCATGGACCGCTTGATCAGAGAGCGCGCCACCCTCGCGCCTCAACGCCAAGCATGTGCCTTGAGCGATGCGGCAGAACGTGATCGTGGCCGTCTGCCAGAGCGGCGCAGCCCGAGGCTTCGCATGTCGGCTTGCAGGCGGACACTCATACTTGAGCTTGATAGGTACCAGCAAACGACTGAACACGTTCTCGAGAGCTCCACTCGCAAAAATTTCTTGACTGGATGAGAAGCGCGAGAAGGTGCTGAGAGCATCCTCGGTAGCAGCTTTGCACCACGCGACGAATGTTAGCTGGCTGGAACGTTTGTTAGCAAACGCTGAGTTTTCTCGCAATGGGCTTGTGCCCAGTGTGAAAGCGAGCGTAGAGTACTCGGCAAGATCCGACAAGATTCGAGATGCAAGTCCCGGCACCATGTTGAGAGATTTGATCGTCTGACGCACGAGCGTCTGAAGCGGAGTGAGCGCGTCGATGTCTTGGGTATGATCTGGGCTTTCGTTGTAGGTGACGCAAGCCATCAGAACGTCGAGCAGCTTCCCATGCTGCTCCAGATCGAATGTCTTTCCGATGTTCGCGTAAATCGGTGTCAGTACGTGCAGATAAGCGAGCAAATTGGCTTGCGTAAAGGTAGAGACCGTCGGTGCAGGACGGATAGAGTCGCCCGCCGCAGCCCAAACCTGCCAGGCAGCGCTCTTGGCGTACAGCAAGACTTCCGTTAACCTCGCCTCACTTTTGGGCGGCAGTGGCACGCTAGCCGCGAGGACCCAAGCCTCTGCAGCAGCCTGTGAAATTGCACTCGGGCCCGCCAGAAAATTTGTTCGTAGTAGACTCAAGGCTCGGGTCCATATGGGCTGAAAGTCTGCTTGACCAACAGCGGCAATTTTCGAAACGAGGAACTGAGAAAGCACCCTTCCAAAATTTCCCAGAGCCAGAACTCGGCTCTCGTCCCATTGCTTCTTTATGGATGGGAGAGTGCCCATTGTTGCCGCCGTCTCATCAGCCTGATCGACTTTTGCCTTTTCAATCGAGTCCGAGAGCTCAGCAAGTCGCTTGGTCTCCGCGTCCAAGTCGTCAAACAAGGTGTACACCACCTCAGCCATCACTGCTTGAGACCACGTTGTCGGAGTCAGCACTGAACCATACTGCTCGAGGACGCGAAACAGATTGACGATGGCACCGTTGCGGACCTCCGACCGATCGTCGCGCGAAACGCGCAAAAGCGATCGCAGCAAGAAGATCCATTGTGCCGTCAGTTCGTCCGGAATAGTCCCATCTCCTGCAGCTCTCTCGCCACGCGCGGAGAGCTCCGCAGTGATGCCCCACAGAGTATTGTTGGCAGTCAAGGCGACATTGACTTCCTCATGTTGCGTGCTGAAGGTTGTCAAGCATCCTATGCTTATCTCCAGCTGCGGAAGCGTCAGCAGCGCCAGCAAGTCAGAGCAGACCAACTGCAAGCTCGGGAAGGCAGCTTTTATGAGGGGTACAGTAGACTTTTTGGGTAGCTCTGGAGGCCTGTCAGCGTCTTCCAGAGATGTGCTCCCCGCGTTTTGGTGACCGCAAGTAGCGCTGCACATCTCAAAGATGGTTTCCCAGCCAAGACGAAGGCCGTGTCCGTGTGCCTCGAGCATGCGGAGAAGCGTATCCAGACCAGTGCGCCGGATGTCAAGGTCTGCTGCGCTCTCTCTTTTGTGGCTCAAGATCGCTTGCTTTGCCAGGCCATCGATGACCTGGCGTGTTATTCGTGATGGGTAGTCGTCTTGGTTGGCCGATGCGGAAGTCGTTGAGGCCTCTGCAGACGCGGGTATGGTCGCCATCGCGGCAAACAGGAAAGCGTCCAATGCTTCAGCAGCTTGGAGTCGAATCGTGGTCCCCAACAATTGATCGTTCAGAACAGACAAGTAAAGACTCGTGCTGATATCCCAACCTGAGGCTGGATCCGAATGCGCTAACCGAGGCGTATTCTGCAGCACTACGGCTTCTAGGTTGGCCAATGCAAAGCTTCTGCCATTGAGATTGAGCCGAGAAGCAGCTCGCAGATTTTGTCCAGCGTTCGCCTGAGATGACAGCGGTGTTCGCAAGCCGACAGTGCGTGCGCAAAGTTCGCACAGAGCTTCGATGAACGCGAGCAATGCCGCGTCGTCGAGTGCATGCGAATTTTCGAACACGCGAGTAATCTCAGCAAGCAAATGCTCAGGATCAAGATTGCTCATGGCTGCTGCTCTTCTTGTTTTTGGATCGAGGGCGCTTGCTGAGGTGAAACCGGGAGGTATAGACGACAGGGCCGAAAAAGATGCCATGCTGGCTCGAGGTGAGTACAACGCGTCGGTGTCGCCCTGATGCTCCCTGAGACCCTCGTTCTTGGAGCGCCTGGCTCGCGGTGCGCGTAAGACGAATTCTGCATCGCACAGGACAGAGACCACACTTTTCCAAGTCAAGGAGCCAGACAAGTAGTATGCAACTTGGGTGAATGCTTTAAGGCAGGCAGCGTTGCGCTCACTCAGCGTGGGTGCGCTCGTGGATGAATCCTCGTTGGCACCTGCTCGAGCCATTGCTTTGCGATGCTCTTCGACCCTGTTGACGACCGATCTAGGCACAGCGAAGTGCGCCAAACTCGTCAACAAGGCGTCGCGCTGGGCGGAAAGGGCCAGCACCCCTGTCGTGTTAGTAAAGTTGCGCCAAGCGACCAGAACTTCACTGAAGAGGGCCTCGTCCATGCGCGAGCCGAGGAAGAAGGTGAAACTTGACAAAATTGGTGACCATGCCTTGCTGATGATGTCGCACACCAGCTGTAGCTCGGCCAGTTTGGGACCACTGTATGCTGCAAGATCCAGTGCTGGTGGTGCGCGAGACGCGCTCTTGGGCCGCGAGTTGACAGATGCCGAGTAGACAGGCAAGACGAAAGCGGCTAGCGTTTGGGAAAGACAGACCAAGCTCTGCAAGGCCAGCAAGTAAAGATATGTGTTGGGAGCGGCTGGTGGCTCAGTCTTGTCCAGCTGATCCAGTAATTGCAGAGAGGGAACGCTCCCGTGACTCAAACCTGACGATGACGCGCTTGAGGAGGAGGAACTCAAGTCGGTTCCAAGCAGGCCGCTCACAGCACCTGCTGCAGCATTGTAGAAGCCAACCTGGCTACTTGCTGTTTTGGTGTGCACATGACCCTTGCTGCTGTCCTCATCTGAAAGTTGATGCGCCGCTTCTGCCATACCTATGAGTTGTGGGTTCTCCACGCTGATGTGGTGCAGACTTTCCACAAGACCCATGAAGACGCGCGAAGCTGCTTGCGTTCCATCGTACCAGCGCCACAAATTGCGTAAAAGCTCACCATCAGAGCAGAGGCCCCGAGCCGCTTCCATTGCGAGGATACGGAGCCAGGCGGGACTCGCTTGCTGGCCTTCGGCGCTCGACCTCCGAACATCCTTTGGAGCAGCTGGGTTCCCCTGGGATGACGCTTGAGACAGAAGTCGCTGCAGAATGCTCATCAATATCTCGACCTCCACTTTGAGCTCTGAGTTGAATTGTCGAAGAAGCACAAATAGCAGGCGCACTAGCCGTAAGGTGACTGGAAAGTCTGGTCGCTCGCTGAGCGCTCTGATGAGCAATGGACAGATTGACTGACGCAGGTTCAACAGCAGCTCTGGATGATTTGCCGGCTTGAAAAGATACGCGTGATTCTTCAGAATTGACTCGATGAGTTCCAAGGCGAATGTGCGTGGCAACGATGCCAGCCCAAGGAAAGGTGCCTCGTCGCCGCTTGCGAGGGCGTTTAGATCGCTCAAGAGCCTGTATGCGTCTTTTGAACTCGGGAAGAGGGTGATGCCATCGCTTCCTGGCACCGGAACCGTCATCGCTGCCAAAGGTGCGACGGCAGCAGCTTTCGAAGGAGCAGAGCAAGTCTTAACAGGCTGAAAGGAGGAGAGGGCGAAACGTGGACATTCTGCAAGCGACTCACCATCTTCTCCTCCCTCCTTGATGCCATCCAGAATTGCGTCCTCCTCTTTGACCTTATCGAAGACGGTCATGACGACCTGACTCAGCGTGGCGCCTGCAGCAGTGTATACTGCCGTCACCTTGCTATTTTCCCGCATCTGGAAGCATATCAACAACGTCTTTGAGAGTGAGTCGTCGTGAATGTTCGGATAGGAAGTGACCAGCGAAGCGACAACTTGTAAAGCCTTGAGGTGCACATCGACGTCTTGCCTCGTCTGTACCAGGCCTGTCAGAGTGTCTATTAATTCCACGAGCGCCGACTGTGGATGTAGACAGGCGTCAAGACTTGGGCGCGTTCAAGGAGGGAGCAATGCTTGCTGTCTATTTGCAAGACTCACCTCTGGAATCGCCTTCAAATCTACCACCCGCTGAATCATGCCTACAGCGATACTGGTCACCTTGGGAGCCGTCTTGGGAGCACAAGATAACAAAAGCGGCCTGAGCAGCACATTGTCATATGCCCGGATCGACTCCGATTTCGCTGCGGCAAGAGTCGCCGTCTGGTCTGATTTCAAAGCATTCAGTGCTGCATCTGCGGCGGCTCGCACGTCAGGATGCTTGCGCTTCGACTCTGAAGAGAGCAAAGCGAGCTCCGAAAGTAAGCGTTCTGACATTGTGAAGTGTGGTGGCCCTGTTGACTAGCTGGCTCGCATGCCGTGCAGGCAAGCTCGCTCAGATGAGACTGAGACTGAAACCTTTACTCGATGGGAGGAAGCGCGAAGGTGTCGATCGCGATGTCAAGTGAGAGTCTGCCGAACCAGGCTTTGCAAATCAAGGAGCGTGTGTATTCGCAGCAAGGATCAAGACGAGCAATTGGATGAGGTATAGCATGCAACTACGACTCACGAATCGTGAATCGTGAATCTCGAGTCTCGAGTGTTCATGCCCCGAAAGGTTGCCGGCAGATGCGCAGATGCGCCTATCTAAACGAGGCGTGAGTGTCAAGTCATGCAACGTCGGATCTTGTTTGACGCTGCGGGGGAAAGCCCGTGCGCGCCTGCCACTTGCGATATCCCCAGTCAGCACGTGAGGTACTGTGACTCACGACTCCACCTCACTTGGTCCTCAATCACACTGACTCACGACTCACAGACTTGAGAAGGAAGCAGCTCGCAGCTCTCTTCTGTAACACCAGTACCACCCGCAGACTCGAGTCCAAAAGCGTGGCCCGCCATCGCTGCTGCTGATCTGCGCCAGACCTCAGAGTCGCGGCCTCAGCAACAAGCGCATGTAGAGATCAGCTATTCGGGCTCGCCCGCCAAAATGTCATCAGACTCGGCAGATGCAGTAGACACCCGTGATATCGGCGGAACATCGACGAGCAGCTCTAGCCAAGCTGGCTTGCCCTCCCTGGATGGCTTTGGACAACGGAATGGCGAGCTTTTTGGTAGCAAAGGAGACTTCAAAACCAGACGCACAGAGTGAGTGTCGCCAAGCAGACTACTCGACAATGATGCGGGAGGCGTTTTGGAAGAGCTTGACATTTCATGCTGTCATCTCCTCATGCCTAGACTGCTCGCTGAGGCGCGCAATTTGTTACCGCAAGCGGCCGACTCGGGCTCGACTCATCGAGCAGAAGTCGCCTGGTCTACCTTTGACGATCCAGATGATCGGCTCGGTGGAGATGGCCGCGCGAGGGAAACATCTTCGGCCAGCCGATCTGCAGTCCTGGACTGGTCGGATTCCAAGCTAAGGGACGACACGCTGAAGCTGATCGAACAATTTCTTGCTGATGAAGGCTTTGGAGCGACAAAGCAAATGCTCGCGGAGGAATGGAGCGGTCAGGTGCGAGCGAGGGAAGAACAGAGCGCGGATGCGCGAATGTTACGCAAAGGAATCTTGGGTGAGTCAGGCTTTAGACGCGCACGCAGTCGTCGTGAGCAATACTTGTGAGCGCTGCATTACTCAGATTGCGTTCCCTCCTCTACATACCTGATAGAGGGTGCCTGGGACGAAGTAGAAAAGCTGCTATCCAAGCCTCTGGTCAGGAGCATCAATGCGTTCCGCTATGCGTGCTACAAGCAGATCTTCCTTGAGCTGATAGACGGTCGGGAATTTCAGAAGGTGCGCAAAGTATGTCTGGTCACCTTGTCGGGTTGAGCAGCTTCTGACCCTCTGCACGCTGGGGCTTCGTAGGCCTTCACTTTCTTGAACAAGAGATTACGGGGTTTGGAGCACTTTCAACCCCATGCCGAAGAATTCAAGGACTTATGCTATCTCCTCTCAGGTGATTTTCCGTTTGCTGCCGATGCTATTCGAAAGTCGCTGGCTCTGCTCACTCAATCTCATCGCAGCCAAGAGCATCACCGACGCCCCCTCTTTCAGGTCTTGGGAAGGAGCTCAGCCGGCACGAGAAGCGCTCGTCACTCAATTCTCAGGGCTGCTCGAGCAAGATCACCTGGATGCTGCTGCTGCTGCTGATGAGGCCACGGGTGGTCATACGAGCGACCCGGCTTCTGCTTATGTTCCACCTGAGAGGCTCAAGAGCTTGCTACATATGGCAGTGGCGTACCAAGTTGAATTCAGCAAGTATCACCCGAGGAAGGCACCTCGCGTCCGGAGCTTGCTGCATGACTATGGTGAGCCAGTCTGGTGAAAGCGCTCGCGGATCACGGCCGCCTCAGTTCACACGCTCTCCCCTCGTTTATCAGAGTCTTACGTCATTCCGGACAGCATATCGCAAGTGTTGAGAGGCCACAGGCGGAACGTGAAAGCACTGTGCTGGGTGGGATCCGAGGGATACTCGTTGCTCAGCGGCTCGTCTGATGGCTCTGTGCGTCTGTGGGATCATGCTTCTGGCAGATGTGAGGCGGTCTTGGAGCACGGAGGCAGAGTGTGGGACGTGGATTCGACCAAAAGCGGCGCGTATCTGATCAGCGCTGGTGGAGATGGAACCGCCAAAATTTGGGCACGAGACGCGTCCGCATCAGGCGGTGGTGCCCCTCATTCCGCCACTACGACCGCTGCTGGAAATGTGACAGGAGGCGCGGCTGCTGGCGTGGAGCTTAGACATACGCTCAAATCTTCGACTGGCGACGTATATGCTTGCCGATGGCAAGAAGATGGCAGCAGACTCTTGGCAGGTGGATATGACAAGCTTGTCCGACTTTACGATGCCACTACGGGATCGCTTGTCAGCACATTTACGGGCCACTCGCTGGGCATCACGAGGTGAGTCTAGCCGAGCCTCGTCCTATTATGTGACCTCATTATCTCAAGCACCGCTCCTCTGGGTTGGCACCAGTGTCACCTTCGATCCTGCAGCGAGGATAGCGATCACAGCGTGAGTGGATCGGCAGACGATACAAAGGTAGAGCAGCACACTGAGAGTGCGTCTGAATCATACGACCACCACAGATCCAAAGACACTCGGATACGAATCTGGGACCTCAACAGCGGCCTAGCCGTGCGCACTTTGCATGCCCACCTAGGAGAATGCACCAGCGTAGAGGTCGATCCGAGCTCCAGACTACTTCTCAGCGCGGGCAAGGATAATCACAGGTGAGCAGCGCAGCGATTCGAGTATGATCAGCTCGAGCGGCAGCTGATCCGTGGTGCTGCGGTCTTTGCAGCTTGGTGCACGACCTGCGTACGCTCAAGCCGATGGTGCGCTTGAGAGGTCCGACGAATACGCGCGCCAACTTTGTCAAGTCCCACTTTGCCCACAATTCTCTGGTAGCTTCTGGCTCCGAAGACGGGGTGGTCCACTTGTCAGACTTGGAGTCGGGCGAAGTCATCTCCACTCTCAATCATGGTCCTGGCGTGGTCTATGCGGCCAGGTGGAACGCGAAACAAGCTGCACTGGCTAGCTGTGGAGATGATGGCGTTGTACGCACATGGGCTTACCAGCCAAGCTCGAAATAGTACTTGGAACAGGTCATTCGCGGTCGGCGCACACGGGTGTCAAAGTGACCGAATCTGGATCGTCTGTGGCATTGTGGCATTGCAAGTTGGAGGATTTGACAGGTTCGCTGTTGTTAGAAGTGTAAGTGTCCATTTTCGTTGCCAAAAGCCTGGCAGTCAGCTAGGCGGAGGATGCTTTGCGCCTTTACTGGCCGCCGATGTACTTGAAGTCCGTCAGAGCGAATGTGCTTCCGTTGGATCCGCGCGGGCTGCCGGTGATGGCGCCAGTGTCCTTCTTGATGAAGTAACGGAAGTCCTTCTTGTTGTCCGCCTTGCGTCCATTGACGAACTCGATCCTAGCGTCGTTGCCAGTGTAGATGATCTTGAACTGATCAAAGAGACGGCTGCTGTCCTCTGCCGTTCCGCAATCCTTTGTGATGAAGTTGGTCACGCTAGTAGAGTCGTCGGACAGACGAGCGTCGGTAGCGATGCAAGTGTTTGAGTTTGCCAGTGCCAAGTGACCGTAGGTGATGGAGCCGCCCATAGCGCCAGTAGGAGCGTTGGAGTAGCCAAGGAACGATTCGGTGCAGTCAGAGAAGACGACTGGAAGCTTGGTGGTGCCAACAGCGGCAAAGAGCTTCTTGTTCTTGATCACGACGGGCGTTTGATCTTTGCCGTCCTTGTGACGGATGACCAGATTGCCCTTGTAGGTCGGCTTGCAGGTTTGCACCTGCACTTGAGCGGCGCGAGGCTCGACCACGGGAGCGGCAGAGACGATGGCGAGAGATGCCACGAAGGCAACGGCAGCAGCGGCAAAGGTGGACTTCATCTTGGTTTTGACTGATTGTCAAAAGGGGGGAACTGGCAGCGGAGGAGTAAAGGCTGGTAGCAGAGGCTTCGAAGGAGGTTGCTAGGACTGGAACTGAAGGAGGGCGATGCTGGAGCAGGAGCGGGATGATGAGCAAAATACTTTGTCAAGAGGGCGAGCATCATGGACCTCTTTATAGACTTCCAATGACCAGTGCGAAGCTCGCCAAGAACACGACTGATAGCGCAAGCCTGATGCACCAGGCGGGGTTACATCGACTTTGATCACTGCGGGATATGCATGGGTGTGCATTCTTCATTCAAGCGTGAGTATGGCTTCGAAGACATTCACGACTTGCGCCTCAGGGCCCATGACATTTTGATTCACAGGTCAGATTTCAGTCGGTCAAAAGGACCCGCGCATGTCCGACGACGATTGCGCGGGGAGGGGGGGCGGGACTTTATAATTCAGGTCAATCACACCACCAGCTTCATGTGGGGTCGCTTAGCAGCTGAGCAGCTGAGAACGACGATTCGTCACTTCCACTCGTGACTCAGTTGAGGGCAACGTCGATATCGCAGCTCAGGAACGGCTAAGCAAAGCAAGCCTGCATGCAACGTCTGCAACGTCGGATCGGGAAGGTCGAGGCGCAAGAAGTGGACAATTAGATGGATCATGCAGGAGGCTTGCCAGCACACAGACGGGTTCACGCCGCCGGCGAGCGCGCGCGAGGGCAATCACGAATCGTGAATGGTGAATGGTGAATCGCGCAGCGCCCTCGAAGCCGTCGCAACAGCAGAGGCCGGGATCTCCATCAGCATGATGGCGGGCAAACATCCATGCATGGAAGTCGGCCGCACAGGCCGCCGGGCGGGACCCTCAAAGCAGCAGCACCTAGCTTCCTCACCTTTGGATGCTGCTGCATGCATGCACGGAGATGAGCAGCTTTCATGCGCCTTCCCGCATTTGCGCGATGGCTTGAGGTGTGGCTTTTCCTCCGCGGAGAACCTGACGAGACCGTACATCGGCTCTTATGACATCCAATAGCCGCCACATATGCACGATCTCGGCGAAGGACGCTGATGGTAGAGCTAAAAGACCATCCAGAAAGCAGTCGTGAGTGTTAGACCTTCTTCGCTATAGCAATTAGCACGGCTCACATATTTTAGACACTGCTGGCTGTCAAAGTAGACGCCCTCGCCTCACTACGGACATAGGGCGAACCGTACATGAGTAGCCCAGGCTCAAATCTTACGGCTCTAGGTGCCTGACGCCGCAATGCCATCACCAGGGGTCAGTGCACAAAACACACACGCTTACGATCATGCCAGAAAGCGTCTCAAGACGTGACCTGCCGCAAGCAGCTGTGCAGCTGTGCATCAACGCTCGCTCGAGCCCCGAGTTATGGATCTGACTCACGACCACGTTGCCTTGAAGCTGGATCATCGTGGGCGCCATGTTCAGCCTCGCATTACAGCAAAATGCCAACATCCGAGCTTGCAAATTGTGCTCTCGAGGAGTGATACGCAAGACGGCACCAATATTAAGCTCGCGGAGTGCAAGTGCGTGGAGGGATCAGGGTGCAAGTTTCTGCGAGTCTGCTTTGCAAAGAAAGGTCAATCCGTCTCAACACGCACGCTAGGTCGGGATCATGTTCTTGGCCATCACGAAGGTAGTTGGCGCGACGAGCGCCAATCATCTCCGGGCCTCTCTTGGCACACCAGAAGCATCAATGGTGCATGTCATCGAGGTGGATCAGGGGAAGGGTCACAACAGCGTTCATCGTCCGTTTCGAGGAAATAATCAATCCAGGTTGAGTGCCGGAATACTCGGGAGCATCACCTATCCGTGTCTGATTAAAGAGGATCCCGATGCTCAATCACTACTCAATAGCGCTCTGTGAAGCCTCATCGATAGGAGCCAGATCGATCAAAGCGAAGGAGCTGCCATCCTCGTATGCAGTGTTGCCCACAATCTCACGGTTGTTGGCGCTAACAATGTAGCGGAATTGAGGTAGCGCATCCTCCTTGCGACCATTCACAAATTGAAGAGTCGCATCGGTAGAGTTGTTGATGGTGATTTTCCACTGGTCGAACAACCTGCCGCTGTCCTCTGCACCAGCGTGTGGAGCCCCACTAAGGATGAAGGGAGTGCTCTCACGCGAGTTGCCGTAGCGCGCCTGGATGGCGATCTGACCGTCTTCACGGCCGAGAGGGACCACAGCAACGTTTCCGTACTGCACCGATGCATCAGTGGAATTGTATCCAAGAAACTTCTCCGTGCAAGCGGAAAAGATGACTGGGGTTTTGGGTACGTTGCGCTTTGATGGAGCCTCGAGGGCATGCATTTGAGGAACGCGCAGAGTACCATTCTCGACTACTACAAGTCGTTGTCCTTGACCGTCTGGACCGCGGTAGACCAGATTGCCTGTGAAAGTAGGCTTGCAGCTTTGCAGATCGACTTGAGCAGCGCGAGATCCAATTGTGGGAGCGGCCAGGACGACTTTAGAGGCAACAAAGGCCACAAGAGCAGCGGCAACGGAAGACCTCATCTTTGCGAGTGCAAGCGTAGATGCGTTGGGAGGTTTTGCGAGTGCGAGCGCGAGCGCGAGTGGGACGATGACGGAAGAAGCCTTGACTTTGGTGGCTTAGCAAGAACTTTGGCAGGCGAGCGGGAGATTGTAGCTGATGGAGAAGATGGAGCCGAGAAAAAGAGCAACGACGAGCGGTGTTGTTTTATACCTTTTCCCAATGGCGCTGTCCATCGTAGTCTCTGCGCTTCGTCTATGCACAGCTTGGACGTGCTCTTGCAATGTGCGAGTAGGCTTGTGGACACGATCGTCGCAATCGCGTTGCGTACCATTCATACTCACGATCATGCAATAGCTAGCTAGCTCTGGCAGTCTTGAGCGCGCGTTGCGGTTTACCAATGCACGATCGAGTGCCGTGCATTCAACGTCCAGCAATCCATCGCTCGCCATTCCTGCGCCCGGCATCCCAAGTCGGCTTGATTCAGGTCGTCGGACCTCGAGATTCGACGCCATCCATGATGTTGCGGGCCCCGAACACTCAAAGTCGCCTTCTGCAGTCGAAGTACATGAGGAGAGCCTTAGCAATTGACCCCCGATTATGATTGTCGATGAGATGGTGACGATCCCGCCGCAACTGTCTTGCCCTCAAAATTGGTGATCGTTGCGCATGACAGCAACAGATCTATGCGCCCTCTGACTAGCGCGTGCATCTTAGTGCGGCCGGCGGTCGGGGCGCTCATACATTATGCGACCCTGGGCTGCTGCTGTCGGCCGAGCATATGTTTCGCGCCTATTCAGTGACTCACTCATCACTCACAATCTGAATGTACCGCTCACGACTCTGTCTGTGGTGACAGTGACGCGTACCTTTCCTTTCGCTTGGCCACCTTGCAAGGCAAAACTCGTTGCGCTGCTTGAGCGGCAACCAGCCACAGTCGTCAATCGCACGGTGGCTCGATCGGCGCGCAACAGGCTCTTCCCACTCTTTTAGCAGACGCCCGAGTCCACTTTTCGGCCTCGGCATTCCCTTTCTCTCAAACCCAAACCTGCCAACTTGACATAGGGACTCACGACGCCTGTAACTCACCGTCGTGCATCTCCGGTCACTCAGACGGTACCAGTACAGCGAATCTGTCATGCCGGCCGAGCTGGACCGGCAAAATACGCAGGTGCCAAATGAGACAGGCTCTTTGAGGAGTTCAGGCGATGCGTGCACCGAGCGTTCGATGATTTCAGCCGCCAAATTTCACACCGAATGTCTGAAATCTATAGCGAAGGCCGATCTGGATTGCTGCATTGTGCGTGTACAGGCATGGTACGAGACCCCTTCATTGCTTCCTTCTGTGCACTTGCAGCCTCATGGGTCTCGTCGGCGCTCTCCAATGGCTCTGGCTCAGGTCTGGCAAGGGGATGCTCTTCAAATCGTACGACTTGCCCTTATCGTCGACTGTCTGTATATCAAAGGTCAACAACACGGTCGACAGAGCAATGATGGTTTCGAGTTTTGCGAAGCGCATACCCGTGCATTTGCTGCGACGCGAGCGAGTGAGTCAGCGAACCGAACACCAACACGCCCCCCCCCCCCCCCCTCCCCCTCCCCAAAACGACGTCGCTTTCACTCACTGTCTGCCGCATCCCCATCCTAGATAGGTGTACTCGTTCGCACCCTCTCCCCGTTGATACCTCGAAGGATCGAATGACCAAGGCTCCGGGAACATGTCTGCATCGTGCAGGTTACAAGAAGGCGGAATGATGATGTACGCATCGTCCTGTTCCAGCATTTTGAAAGTCCCTAGAAGCTAAGCATTCTTGCACTGTACATTCTGCAATCTCGTCGCGCATGCTCACCTCGATTTCATGGCCCATAATCTTGAGTCTATCCCTGAGGACCCCTTTAGAATCCCTGCCTGGGCCGGGGTAATACCTGTTCAAGGAGTTGGTGAGGAGCAGTCGGATGGTCTCTTTGAAGCAGGCATGCAGGGTAGGGAAGCCAGCTTCCCATTCTTCCAACTTGACTCGATCCAGCTTTTCCGCGGTGGACAGATCGTCGTAATCATCTCCACGCGCAGCAGCAGCAGCTCGTAGTCCGGCAATGAGCTCCGATCGACACGTGGCTTGGAGTGAGGAGGAAGCGCCTACGAATGCGATCGTGTATGCCCCAGTACCAATCGTATTCAAGATCTTCCGAGAGCAATGAATGCCGTGTCAGCGAATGATGAGACAGGGCATCTCCACGAGCCATTGCTAGAGTAGGCCCAAGAAACAAATAGGACTCACCCCAGCCATCAAACCACCAATGACGAATCTGCTGATGTACGCAGTGCTCTGTTTCTGATCAATGAGTATCTGGGCAAAGTCGTCGAACCTCTCTTGCTTCTTGATGCGCTGATCAAGCGTCACCTTGACCATTCTCCAAAGCGTCACAGCCCCTACGATTCTCTTGATGAGTCGAGGTTGAGGTAGCCAAGGCATAACAGTCGTAAAGAATCCACTGTTCAGCTGAGTCGCCCAAAAGGCGTTCATGAGCTTCTTGAGCGAGGCAGAATCCGTGGCGTACTCCGTCATGCCCATCAGCCGTACGGTGTAGCGGAAGATGAGGGGGTAGTAGGCTTTTTGAAGATCGACTGTAGACGACTGGCCCGATGAGCCGCCGACCCAGTCATCAAGCAAGTTGATGGCGTCTTGGACGAGAGCTGGCCTCATGGAATTCAGACCTGGGACGGAGAGGGGAGACGTCAGCTCGAATGGCAAGTTCACGTCCACACGCCTGGATACAAGGGAGTGGCTGCCAAGCAAGTCGCACTTCGGAACATCGACCGTCCTTGCGTCTGGCGCCGATTCGTAACACGCCAGCAATCCGACTCGCCCGGCCACTCACGTTGTGGACTGATGGCAGCAGCCAGCATTTTCATCTCCTGCCTTTCCTGCTTGTCCATCTCTCCTTCAATGAGTCCCTTTTGACTCGCGCCCGCAATTCCAGCAAACAAGAAGTTGTTGCCCTGACTGAAACTGAGATCGGGATGCAAGGCGACCTCTTTGAGGACAGCGACGTCGGTGGTGCCCAACGTGTAGACAACTTTGCCTGTCAGGTTGAACTTGATCAGACCTTGCAGGGGATGACGTGGATCTTTGGTCATGTGCTCTGACAAGCTGGGACGTTCCGAACAGATACGGCGTTCAAGGATCGAAGTGGTCAGATACATTCGCTCGGCATGCCACTCATATCGTGAACTGTTCTGCACCCTCTCTCATGCCTCGTATAGCTCTCGGCAAAGCACTCACAAGGTGTATCGATTACCAAAAAACTCTCTACTTCCCAATCCCGCAAAAGGCCACGATCCAATCACCTTGACCCCATTCTTGCCGTTGAGGTTGCGCGGAGGCACAAAGACGAGGTACGTCAGAAAAGTGACGATGCCTACCAGCGCAGCAACGAGTATGGGAGAGTGAGAAGTGGTGTTCTTGAGGGAAAGGCCGAGAGAAGAGAGCAAGGCGGTGGCGCGGTCTGATTGTGTTTGCTGTTGCGCTTGCGAGACTGTGACTGATTTGAACCACGCTTCCGCGCGTTCGGACAGGTGATGAACCATTTGCGACATTTTGAATCAAAATGATCCGTTAGGCCACCGCGCCGCACCGGCAAGGACTTGATGTAACTCGTCGCGAACAGAGGATGTGAGTGTGCGACCTTGTCTCTTCTTGCGCACGCTTCGCTGCAAGAAAACCTTGGCAAAAGAGGGGCAGCAAAGTCAGCACTTGGGGTGGGCTGGTAGAAGAAGCAGAGGTTGATGCGATGGTGGTAGTGAGTAGTGACGGGCGAGTGACTTTGCCGGCCACACGAGAACAACCCAAGTCGAGTTCAACAAGACCTTTTGAAGTTGGTGAGTCTGAATCAGAATGGCATCTACCGTGCCCTGCTCGTGATTGAAGGCGTGGTGGTCAAGAGTACAGCTTCGAGGAGGTCAGCCCCGCGCGTACAGAACGGTGAGTCGGCGACGAGGATCGTAAGATGCTGGATCGCAAGAGTTTGCATGATTGCAACTCGGTGTCAAGGAAAGCTCGGGTCTACACTCGTCACGCCTCGGCAGCGCGCAGCATCTGGCAGCATGAATCCAAAATCACATCAAAGGAGGTGAATGTGTGAATGAATATGTTTGCACCGATGCATGCATGCTGCACCCTTTGCAATTAAGCTCACGCGCCCACGCTCCATCATCACCTGATTCAAGACCAACACGTAGTCGCCCGCCGGTCAAGTACCGGCCGGTACATGAATAGGTCGATCGATCGAAGGTGCGGGGTTCAAATTGAAGTAATCATCCCCATTATTATGAATAAGAATTAATCAGAATCACGAATGTGAATATTGCAGATCCGCTAGCCTTTTGCTCAGAGCTCCGCATCATCATCAAGCGAACCTTGAGTGCATGCATCGAGTGAGAAGTATAAATAGAAAGGGCAGCGGCAGCGCAAGGCAAGGCAAGCACGCGCATACAGCAGCATGTATGCTGGAGACTCTTGCTCTGCCTTTATCAGGCCATCTTGAGCGAAATGAAGTGGTTCGAGCAGCATGCAGCAGCAGCAGTCACCGAGGAGAGTCGAGTGTGAGTCGCGAGTCGCGCGTGGGATGAAGTCACGAGTGATGAGCGGGACCCGTGCCAGTCATGAGGGCGGGGTGGAACTCTGATGAGTCGTAATAATAATCACGAATAATAATAAGTGCGAGTATGTGAGCATGACGCTGTGGGTGATGAGTGCTCTGGTGCCCATCTGTCACACTCACGACTCCACATCCTAATGGCCAGCGTCGGGCAAGGCATGACGCAGATGCAACCCTATCAATCTTGAATCAATCATCCTGCCATTCACGATTCACGCGTCTTGCCTTTGCGTGAAAGCACCCACGCGTATTTCACATCTGCATGACCTGCTACGACAAGACCTGACCAATCCACCACCATCATCCTCGCCCCGTCTTGGGCCAGCTCTCCTGACTCCTGTCCACTTGCCGCACCAATCCGACCTCACTCGCGCACACTTGCACCTACTCTCTCCGGCCGGAACAATCATCGCACTGCCGTCTAAAGGGTCGCATCCACCATGTCGCATGCCCTCCATCGTTACTTTCACGCCAACGCAAGCGGTTCCACGGGGAGCAACGGCTCCTCTAGCGATGTCAAGACCATTGGAGCTCCTTATGCTCTCGTCACCGGAGCGACGGGGGGTATGGGCGAAGAGTGGGCTTTGCAACTAGCAGAATTAGGCTTCAACATCATCATTCAAGGTCGAAATCGGACAAAGTTGGAAGCTGTCAAGGCTCAAATCTCCAAGCGACATGCTGCTGCATCCTCACGCAACGCCGGCGATGCGGTCGATGTACGACTGTTGGTGTGCGAAGCGACAATCTACCCAAATGCAGGACTGACGGACGGACTAGCCGCTGTACTTTCAGACTCTTCCATTCGACTGACAGTTCTCATCAACAATCTTGGTGTCAACGTAACGCACTTTCCCAGATTGGAAGATACGAGATCGGAAGAGATTGCAGAGATTGTCATTGCCAACTCGTTCTTCCCGGCAGAAACCGCGAGGATTTGTCTGCCGCATTTGAAAAGGCATCAGCCTGCTTTGCTCGTCACTGTGACGAGCCTCGGCGCTTGGGCCACACCGCCTTAGTGAGTTTTTGAGCCTCTCTCTTCTCTTAAGCCAGAATGGCCGCTTTACTCGAGCACTCGGCTCATCCTACTCGCACCCGACCTGCGATGCTCCGGCTCAGCCTGGCTCCTTACATCGGAACAAAAGGCTTCGACGTGGCTTTCTCCGACTCTTTGCGCAACGAGCAGATCTCGGAAGGGACGCAAGTAGACGTGGTGTGCATGGCGCCGGGTCAAGTGCAAAGTGGAATGTGCAACGAGCCAGTAGGATTGATGGTGAGCACTTGCTCCAGCTTCGTAGCCTCTCTTCCGTTCTCATAACGTCAAATGCTGATCAAGCCTTGCCTCTGTGCCTCCTTCTTTGATGCAGATTCCCACATCCAAGGACTGGGTCACTTCCGCCATTGCTTCTTTGAGGTCTACGTGGTGGACTCCAGTGCCTGCTGCTGTGATCGCCCCATGGACCCCACATGCGTGGGGCCAGTGGTTCACAGCTCTAGCACCTAGATGCATCATCGGTCCCATGTCGCGCAACATCATCAAGGATCTCAAAGCCAAAGAGGTGGACGCGAGAAAGGGCTTGTGAGGTCTCGTACGATGAGATTCCAGTTTGACTACTAGCCAGCACGGAATCGAGAATCGAGGGCATCGATCGAGCTCGTAGCTCTGCTTTGGGTCATTCCTGCAGAGCCCCCGGGAAAGTCCGAATCATTTCGAAATGAAAGCGGGATGAATCGAGAATGCATGAGATACCCTTGCACCCTTGCCACCCTCTCTTTGTGCACGAGCCCAAGTGCTGATCTGACCATGAGCATCGAAGCGCATTCACAATTCGTCACTCACGACTCGAATGCAGGGAATGTGTCGAGTCGCTCGCTTCCTTTGCTCTGTATGAGGACCTCCTTGTGATCGCTTGATCCATTCATTGTTCCCCGAGTCGGCTCGCGAGTCAAGATCCAAGATGTTTTATGGATTCATCAGATTCAAATTCAAATTCAGATCTTTGATTCTTCATGGGTTCTGAGCAAAACGATCACGTGAATTTTTGCGACATCCATCAGCTCCCGCGGGTTGTGCTGGGATAAGCCACCTCCACTTGATGCATCGTTCGTCCAGCAGGGCCGACTTAAGCCGCGCCGAGTTCGGGCGAGTGCGAACTCTTGAGTGCGAGCCTGTACGTCGCGGTGAATCGTGCGTTTCACGATTCACGATTCAGCTGGGCTGTCTGATGAGTGTGAGCCGGAAGTGGCAGCAGCATCAGTCGTGAGTGGTGAGTGTACTGATGAGTGATGAGTCACACAGTAGTGATTTGCAGCAGCTAGCTGCTGCAGTCGCGAGTCCCAAATCTTCCGAGGTTTTGCGCAATCGGAATTCGAGGATGAGCTGCCTGCCTGCCTGCCTGCCTGCCTTCTTGTGGACCCTCGCTGATTACCTACACTCGCGTGACCGCTTTGCCGCGCGCATCTGTTGTGGTGTGGCTGCATGCTCTACCGTCTTGACGATTCAATATTCTCCCCATCATCACTCCGACACTATCATTCTTTCGGCGCTGCGCATGGCCTACGCTTTGTTCTCATACAACCTCGACGATCGCTCTTCAAGCCTACCGCACACACACATCCTCGTTGATCTTTGCGAGACACGTCGCTGGCCCGCATCTACGTCGACGTCGCGCCGAGTATGTCTTCTGGCGGCCGAATGACGCACGCCGAATATGGCGATGCTGCCTATCGAGATGCGTGAGTCCTCGCCCGTCCCTGTCTCCCGCCAAATCGTCCCCAAGAAGCTACTCTGACACCACGCAATTGCACCGTCCGCTCCCCCCCCCCCCCCCCCCCCCCCCCCCCCCCCCCCCTTGGAAAAAAGTCAATACAACGCAGCGCTGGTGGGAGGAGCGTGGGGAGCTACAACAGGTCTGGGCCTCGCTGCTCCTGCCGCCGTCTTTCTCCACAGATCTAGCACCAGTTTTAGAGGACTTAGTCTGCCCGTAAAGACCCTCTTTGTGGTCATGGCTACCGCCGCTGGTGGGGTCTGGAATGCGGACAAAGCGGGCCTCAAGTTCGAGGTGAGCCAAAGGACAATGGGCGGAGGCCGACGCTGCATCGTCGTGGAGTTGGCTGCGCTTTGAGGGTCTGCAGTCGCGTGGCAGGTCCATCGAGGGACGTCCTTTACGCCAGTCGGGTCTTGCAGATTCCGCGGTTGCTGATCACAGCCCCTCGCCTTTTGCTGAAATTCTTGCCCCCCCCTTGCAGAGATCTCACTTTAGAGATAAAGGAGCACAGGTGGTCAGACGAAGAGCGAGCGCTGAAGAGGACGCGTGGGAGCATCTGTCCAGGTCCGATCGAGCACTGACCTGGGCCAAAGATAACAAATTTGCCGTCGTAGCAGGCTCGTAAGTCGCACTCGACCTTCTAACTTCAATGCCATTGGTATGGTTGACTGACGTATGCCAAATTTCGTTGCCAGATGGTTCGCATCCATGGGCTTGAGCGGCGCATACATTCAAAGCCAACCATTGTCCTTTGCGCAGAAATTGGTGCAAGCGCGTGTCTTTGCTCAAGGGTTCACCCTCGTCTCGCTCTTGGCCATGGCGGCCATCACGCAAATACCGACGGAGGGCGATAGGATTCTGGATGCGAGGGATAAGAAGGGCGAACACTCTTGGAAAGACTTTATAGATGAAAGTGACGGAGGGAACAAGCATGGGCAGAAGGCATAAGACGCATCTAGCAGGACTGGCTGGCTCGAGGAGAGCACCACCACCTGAACCCAATTCTAATATACTGGTCATTCTCCACCTCTCTGAAGAGTGCATCCGCACCAAAAGCATATTTCTCACCTCTGTCTGGCCGTCGGATACACGCGTGCAGCTTCGCAAAGAAGGTGAGGGCGAGGCAGGTGCCGTATCGTCAAACTGACCATGATCTAGAATCTGTGCGCGCGTTTACCGAACACGTCGACTCTCTGGAAGCACGTTCGAACACGGCACATACGCCATCGGAGAAGGCATGGGCATACAAGTAGCATTCGACATCGATACGCTATCTCAAAGGTGGGGGACCGGTACAGGTCTCGAACAAGGAGTGCAAGAAGAGCAAGAATTGGTCAATCACGTGAACAAGGTCAGAAGATCCGAGCACTGTTGTTCCTGCCACTCGATCGCGACGAGTCGTGAGGCGAGGCCTTGCTTGCCATTGCTGTGCCGATAGCTCCCTTACTCCGTCGATGCGTTTAGAAAGTGGCCGCAACAGCGACGGTGAACACAAAGACGCCAGCCAGAGCGGTCGCGGCGGGAGCGACGATGAAGGCTGCGGCGTCGCTATGTCCAGCGGTGCTGGAGGAGCTACCAGTGGAAGATCCGCTGCTAGTGCCGTTGGCGGCTGCGCTTCCGCTAGCCATACCTGCGGGCACGCTGAGGGTGAAGTTGCCAGTGGCGGAAACGCAGAGCTGCTTGAGCTGCTCCAAGCCGCCAGTCAGGGCTTGCGCATTGGTATTAGGGCACGCCATGGAGCATTTGGCCGTCTCGTCGACGAATTCTTGCTTTTTGCTGCACGTCATGGTGTGGAAGAAAGGGGAAAGAAGAGGCGAAAAGGGATGATGGATGTGTCAGACACGCACAAGGCATCACGCTACGGGGTCCATGCTGGCGCTTGCATCCCCCTCTCCTCGAGGCTGTTCGGACTGCGGCCGGCACTCACCAGAAGCAAGCGGGTTCTCCCAGTCCTTGACATTTGACATCAGTGGCAGATTTTATGGCGCACTGCTGGAAGCATGCTTGGAGCTCTGCAGCTTGACCACCAGTGGCGGAGCCGCTGGCTGTACCGCTTGCGGAACCGCTCGCAGAAGGACTCGCGGCACCGCCCGCGCTCGCCGTACCGTTGGTGGCCGAGTCGGAAGCTGTACTGGCTTCGCTGTGATGATCGGCATAAACGCTGGACACGACGAGGAGCGCAGCGAGGGTGGCGAGCAGGAAGAGGTTGGGACGGAGTGCGAAACGCATTTTTGATCAGCTCTTTGGATTCTGGGAGGCGTTGCCGAAAGAGGAGGCGAAATTTGAGAGATGGATGGACGAGATCGGCCGTTCAGGCTGGATCGAGCAGGGTGTTTGTGGGAGAGTAGGAGAGGTCGAGATTGGGAATTGGGGAGAATGCGAGGTTTATATACGTCTGACGTGGGGTCGATCAGCCTCTGTTCACCGAGGTCCTCACTTTGTCGCAGGTGGTGCTTCGTGTCTGGAGGGGCGCTCAAATCTTCACGACCAGCGTGCAGCAAGCGGTCCGGAGCTGACTACGTTCATGCCGCTCGATTAGGCGGGGAATTTGGACTTCATGTAATGAGCGCAGACACCGAAATTGCGGCTCATCAAGTGCTTTGGAGGGTTGACAAGCAGCACGAGACCAGAACCCGACGCGATGCCTCCTGTCCCAAGTGTATGTCACCCGTCAAAGTACTTTCGACGGCCTGCATCCCTCCTTTCATTCCTCCTTGACGTCCTGGCACCTCGCCTGTCTTTTGACTTGTCCTGTGTCGTGTCGCGAGCGCGGTCATCTGCTTTTCTCTCTACGTAGCCTGTTGCTCACGTCAATGTGTCGGCTAGGCGGGCAGAAGGTAGCAAGCCACCTCGGTTCGGGCAGGCGGTACGGCCACGTTCATGAAAGCTCGCCGCTACCGCCACCGCCACACCCAAGCTCCAACCTTTCCTCCTCCAAGTACGAGGCTCTGACTCTTCTAGCCCTCGCGCACATCAGCATAATTGCTCCTCCTGCGCGTCCGCTCGCCCCTCTTCAAATTCATTTACAAGACCGTTTCTTGCGCAATAGAGCGTCGCACGATTGAGAATTCCGAAGCTCGATGGATGTATTCGGTGCTTTTTGTCCCGCGATGTTCGGCGGCGAGAATGGTCTCAAGTCGGCGGAAAACTCGCAGAGCGCCCCTCGTATGCGCAGTCCCGATCACAACGTTCCTTCAATGGCCATGGTCTGTTTGTCTTTACCGACATTCGCATTCTTGATTCGCGGACTCGAAGAAGGCATATTGCTCTTGTTCCTTCTGGTGCTCCATACAAACCAGTGTCTCGCTGGCTGCACGCGCTCCATCGCACCTTTGACTCTTGTATCGTGAATCACGAATGCGATTCATTACAAAGCTCGCAGAGGAAGTCCCCGCTCACCAAATGTATCGTACATACTTCCGTACCTCGTCCCGTCGCAGCCACAAGTTGGATGTGCGACTGCTGCTGCTGAATGGACATTTGTTCCCACCCTTCCTCGCCCCCTCCCTGAGGTCGCATTTGAGCCACAGCTCGCTCGCTGCCCATGGTTGTTGGTGAGACCCTGCGGCATCTCGCGAGCTTCGCTCCTGTCTGCATCTAGTCATCAAATGCAGTCGTGAGTGACTGCCTCGATGACTGCTCGGGCCCTTTGAGGTGGTCGGACGAGAACGACTCGCCGCGGATGGCGCAGAACTGAGGTCAATGAGTATAGTGGTCACAGTCTGCTGCTGAGTCACTCGTGACTGTGATTGTGACTACTGTCAGAGAGTGTGACCATCAAGTCTTGTCTTGCGCGGCTTGCGATCACCTTGCGTTTTGTGTGCGCAAAAGCCGCAGAGGCAACTGAGCTTGGCTGCGTGCGTCTCATGTTGAAATGATTCGTGAGACGTACGCATTCGCATCCATCCGTCATCGCCGTGAACCACATCTAGCGAGGGACGGTTTCGTGCATGGTACACGGCCTTGGCCACGCAGTCAAAGTCACGAGTCTTCTGATGAGCGTCAGGTGCAGCTAAGCAGCCAGCCACTCGGCCGCCGGGTGCAAAGGCAACGCTCAGACTCAGACCGCTGGTGAGTTGACCAGCCCGAAGAGACTGGCGTTGCCGGCTCAACTATTCGTGCTCGTCCATACAAGCACCGGGCAGGTTTCAGCTTGGTCAAAAGGATATACATGGCATGCAGGCTGATCGATTGCAAGGATTCTAGCGATGTAGATTGAGTGCATGCAGACGTGACACAGACGCGTGCACCAAGCGATGGCTTGCTGCCGATGAAGCATAGTTGCTCAAGGCACTCCCAGTTTGTCCAAAGGTCGAAAGACCCCACAGGCGAGGCTGCGCATCCTTCAACTCCTCGACCATGCTCCTCTAGTGCTTGGACTATCTTCTCCGTCCGACCGGAGTTGGCACATTGTTGGCAAAGGGCTTCTTGACATCGTCTACGCCATATTCGAGCGAAACTCCACCCGCATAGCAGTCTCGAGCTATTCTGGCTTGACGCTCCGTTTCCCTTACAAACGCTTCTTCGCATGCACCCCACACCCTCGTCAGCACCTCTGCAGCTTCGTCCACGGCAGGCTCCGCACTTCCAGCAGCTGCTGCAAGGGCCAGACCAGCTAGATCGTCGTCGTCCAGACCAAAGTGCTATGGGCGGGAAGGATGCAGGGATGAGCAAATTCTTGCAAGAGGCACTTGAAGCGCCCACACCAAGCTCACCTTTTGCACCCGCTTTGACAACGCTTCGATAGCCTTGCGAATGTCCTTTGCGCTGTTCTCTTTGACTAGTCGTTTGAAATTGCTTCTCGAAAAGGCGCTGTGAAGCGAGACCTCGTTGGCTGGCGTGGATCGCAGTAGAGCGTCGATACCATCGCCAAAGTCCTATGAGATCAAGCAATCTGCGTCAGGTGCTACCCGCGCTGCCAGCAGAGGACTCACACGTGCGCGAGCAACTCACCATGACTTTGCCGAGGGGCCTCCGCAGTACAGCGTTGACGTAAGCGTGCTGATGATCCTCGTAGATGGATTCAGCGCGCTTGATGAGCTGTCCGAGGGCAGAGTTGCGAACCCTTGAAGCTTCCTTGACGAAATGGTGCATATTCTCAATCAAGATGACGTGGTGATTCAGAGCCTGCTTGTCATCATCCGCAGCGCTTCCTGGCATGACCCCACCGCCCCCTCCTTCCATCTTCGCCATAGCTTGAAGCGCATCAAACATGGTCCTTGCAATCTGCTCATAGTACCCGTCAACAGCAGCGCGTATATTGAGGGTCTCGGCATTCACAAGCTGAGCTTCGATCCTCTCCACAAAGACCGGGAACACCTTGATGAAGTGCACCACCCCCTTGCGCTTCTTGACGGTAAGCTTTGTCTGCTCAATCGCTCTGATTTGCTCGCCGACGAACCTTTCCAAAAGGCCAGCTAGACGCATGTGCACCTTGGAAAGGCTACGGACCAAGAATTCGCTAGACATTTCTTCAGCGTCGATGAGCGCCCGATCGAGCGCAGCAAGGATCCCAAAAAGTTGCCTGCAAGGCGGAACATTGGGAAATGGTGAGAATTCGGAGGTTTATAGTATGCAGCAGCGGACCTCACTCACAAGCGATCGCGCTGCATTGCAAGGTCTGCGAATGCTTGCCACTCCGGCGCCAAGAAGCCAAAGATGAGTTCCAAAGCGCTCTTCATCTCTCTGAGAGGAGCGGACCCTTGCAATGTCTCAGAACCGAAGACAGCCGCAGCTCTGCGCCTGAAGTAAGGCTCGAGGTCCATATAGTCTGCGAAGGTGACTGCGTTGTCGTTGATGTGCAGCAGATCGGAAATGAAAGCTTCCTCCTTGGCGATCAGAGGCATGACCGAATGCAGAAGTCTTGCAAAAGCCTGCAAGCAGGAAATGTGAGCAAAGTCACATCCACCCAAAGGCTCGCGCACGCACGCCACTTACCTCTGCTGCGTTAGTATCGCCCATCGTATGTGTTCCTCTACCTCTATCCTTGCCTGCGCGCCTAATGGTACCGCTCCTAAGGGCAGCAGCAGTAGTGACAGACGCGGGCGATGAGAAGGTCGAATCCGCCTCCTCATCCTCGCTAGGCGTACGCATCTGCTCTTTCCAGACAGTGAAGAGCTGCACCATCTCTCTCCTGTACCTTTCGCTGGCACTCGCAAAGTAGCCTGCAGAGATCCTGGAGAATTGTGCAGAAGTGACCTCTTTAGCGTAGAGCAGTAGTCCACAATACCTGCCCAACGTGTCCTCCACTTGAGCATGGTTACGAAGGGTGGGATTCGGCGGAGAGAGTGCTGCTCGCCGAGTAGGGTCTCCAAGGATGATGTTGGTCTGCTCGTTGAACTCTTGCGTGAGGTGCTGCAGTAATCTCTTCGCGAAGCTTTCTGCCAAGCCTTCGTACTCCTCCAACCTCTCCGTCGCAGCTGCCATCATCGCTTCCGCACCTGCACCAGCTGCTCGCTCTTCCTCCGTTTTGCGAGCTTGCAACATGGCTTTGTACAGCGCAGCTGCCGCTCGTTCCACGTCTGCTATACCAGCATCATCCTGTAATCCGGCATACATGAGCGCAGCGACAGCATCGTCATCCACGTGAACAGTGGAAAGCAGTTTTTCGATCTCGTTTGCCAGCTGGCGCTGATTGGAAGTGTGAACTTGCAAACCGCGGTTTTGGGACTCGATGTGCGATATATCATCCGTCCGCGCATTGAGCTGTACCTTGAAGCCAGCAATCATGCTGTCGATCATGTCGAGCTGACCCAGTGCTTCTTCCATGTGCTGAACGACGAGGTTGACACGATCGTCGGACTCAATGATGGCGTGAATGTTCGCAGCATCAAGCGCGGCCAGCTCGTCAAGCAAGCGAGCCTCGATGACATCTGCCGTACCCTTGCCTGGCGCTCCTTGTCTCAACGCCCCAGCATGCGTGGGATCCAACATCAATCTTCCGCCGATTGCCGTCGCATTCGTGTGCTTCCACTCGAATCCCTCTAGCATCTCCTCAACGTTCAGCAATGTGGTATCTTCTTCCTCTTCCTCGCCTCCACCACCAACGACAGACACTGATCTGTCGTCAGCTTCAGCTCGAGCCGCCTGCGCTCGCTTGATGGAGTTGTTTTTCTTCTTCCTTGGAGGAGGTTTGAAAGGAGACGCATCAACATCCTCTACCTCCGCACCCCCATAAGGATCCTCCAGCTCTTCTTCCTGTTCTTCGTCACCTTCTGCGACTTCCCGCAAGCCTGTGCCAGCCAATAGCATCCTCTCATATGCTGCACCACCACGTACCGGCTCGACTGCGCTGAGACGCGCTCGAGCATCACCACCTCCAGACAGAGATGAGCCTGACGTGCTGCGTTGCTGGATGGGCCTAGGTCGGGAACGAGGAGGAGACGATGAGGGAGCTTTTTGCTCTGTTGCGTCTGTACCGTTGGGGCCAATTTGCTCGTCATTAGAGGCAGACTTTCTGAGCAGCGACGACGAAGTTGACTGAGGTACATCGGCGCGGGCACTCTGGCTGACAGTCGACTCGAGGGCGCCAGTGATTGGCGCCTTCAGCGTTTCAGAGTCGGCATCGCGCGGCTGGAGATGAGCCAAGGGACTTGGCTGCCGAGGGGCCGGACTGCGATTGGCGTTGCGATTAATGTCGCTGGGTAGAGCGTTGGTCGGAGTGCCCAGTCTACTCGAAGGGTCGGACAGCTTGATAGCAGGTACCGATGTCGACCCGTCTGACCTATCTCCGCTACGCATACTGTCAGTTCTTGTGATGGTCGGACGCCTTAGAGGATTAGGCCTGCGTGGAGCGTCGCTGGAGACGTTGCCGGTGGCGGCAACGCTATTGGAGGAGCCTGGCCTTGTATCTCGGACCTCTCTCGATCTCGGGTCGTAGAAGCCATCGGCTGTCGGTGTCCTGGCCGGTGATCTGGATGCAGTTGGAGACTCTCTGGAACGCTCCCTGTGAACATTCGTGTTCAGCGCTAGACTGGGTGCCTGCGAAGACTGAACGGCAGCGACCGGAATTGATGCTGCGGGTGCTGGTGCAGCTACGCTCGCGGGGACCAATGGCACAGGTGGCACGCCGGGAGGTGCCAAGCTAATGGTCGAAGGCTGTATGGAAGGCGTCATCTCAGGAGGGAACTCTAAGCCAGAACATGGCGGGCCATGAGGATCGTTCATGTACTTGCGCCAGATCTTGACGAGCGACTGAAGAAACACCTTTTGCTCCTTGGGCCTGTCAGTCTGCCATTGGTTTGGTCGCGACAATGTCAAGGTGAATGTGTCGGGCTGAGGCAGAGAATGTGAGGAGAGTAAGCGAGCATAGGCAGGCGTTGCACGTTGCTAGTTGGACGAGGCAGCGCGCCGCATCTCTCTGCCATCTACTCACAGCATGCACCGTGATCTCTCTCAAAGTGTTGATGTCCCAATCCTTGCCGATGCTGAAACTGCCATTCATGTTCCTCTTGGCCTTGTTAAGCGTCACCACGCCGGTTCCTCTCGCAGCTGCCAAAATGATGTACCTCGCTTTCCTCGAGCTTCCCGCACCACCGCCGCCTCCAGCCCCCTCCTCACCGACAGTCTCCCATATCTTCAAGTGGGCAATGTACTGATTGTTCGAATTTCTGGCCTTGAGAGCTGCTGTGAAGCCCTCCTTCGTGGACGGGATTCCAGCCGATTGAGGCGGGGCCAAGGTGCTCATCCTTGCGACCGTTGAAGCGGGCGGAATGCGAACTCAGTGATGCGTATAGATCACAAGAGTCTTTTGAGTCAGCATACGAAAGCGTGAATGAAGAGAGGGGAAATGATGTAGTTCGAGGGAGCTTTTGAGTCGGAGAGGCAGGCCGTTTGCAAAAGTCTGCTGCTGTTTGCATGCGCTCGATGATGGGGGCTCTCGGTGTGAGTGCAAGCAAGAGGGTCGTGAGCCGATCACTCTGTGGTCGCCAAGGTGGGCGTGCTGTTTCCGAGGGCACGAGTGGCGCCGAACGGCTTTCGCACAGCCGATGATCACAAATGTGATGACGAGAAGGTCGTGGTATGAGCAACTTAATGTTAGGCCTCGGCCGACTCAGGTCACATGGTCTGCTTTCCGGCAGGGTTACCTCACCCACTCGTCCTTGGCTCCCTGCAGCAGGCTGTGTAGGCTGCAGCGCACGACCTTACTCGCCGCGCGGCGGTGCATGGGCAGTCACGAGTCGCGGTGGCGCGTGCGCTTGACTCGTGACTGCACGCACTCACGACTATGCCCCATGGCCCGCCCTGCTGTGACCAAAGCACTCGTGACTTTGAGCCTTTCGCTATAATTTCTCGTTAGGGCTTGACAGCCTTTACGGCAACAAACTTGAGCTTTCCCATCACAGCGACTTGACAATGAGCGTGTGCTCTCCCCACCTTCGCCACACAATCTAGGCTGCCAAATGGGCAGGCTGGACAGGCACACGTCTGTGCGGACAAGTCAAGGAAGCACACACACGACTCGTGGGTTCTTCCCATGAGCAAAGAGCGTCTCGATTTCCAAGCGGCGGGCACGACATCCCAAAGATCTGTGTAGTAATGTAGAAGGTCAAAGGCTGACTCGAAATATGTAGATAGGATCCAAGTGTAATTGGGAAGGAGTGGGCGAGTCTAGTGAAAGAAGCAAAAGGAGGGTACTTTGTCTGTGGCAGACCATCCGGCTTCGGTGGAGCAGGAGGCTAGATCTGCCTCGCTAGCAGTTGCTCCTGCATCAACCTAGCCTGATGTCTTTCCAAGCTCATGGTGAATCCGAGACCCCTAACATCCTTGGAGGGGTCCTGCGCAGCGCCGTCCTCATGTGACAAGGCGGCCTGCGGTCCATTGAACGCGTACGAGGTCGCGCCTCTCGCAGGACTTTTGGGGGGTAGAACAGGCCTCTCAGAGTAATAAGGCACTTGAAGCGCTCGAGCTAGAAGACCCCGATTCCGCTGGAGGCGCATGATATCAATCTCTGATGGTCGTTCATCGATGCCTCCCACAGGCGGAGCATTAAGGTCGATAGATGCGAGCGATAAGTCTACCCCTTCTTCTGCCATGTGTCGCTTCTCGTGAGTCGCACCCGCCTCCCGATGATGCAGTTCCTCGATTTGAGCGCGTTCTTCGCTCATCTTGAGCGCGCGGATGATGTTGATGGCATTTCGTCGGACGTGAGTCATGTCCAGTCGATAAGCTCTAGGTGTAAGTCCTTTGCCGAAACTTGCATTGACGTGATTGGAACATAGCAAAGAAGCGGCGATGTTTGCGAGATGTACAAAGACGATGCTGAAGATGATGGTGTAGAGTCGTTTGAGAGCCGCCTTTTCGTAACGGTAGAGCTTGCCTTTGCATCCCGGCAGGGAGGTGCGCGGGTAGCAATTGCGGGAAAAGGTGGCTTGATGCAGAGGCGTATAATACCCGCAGCAATGCAGATTATTTTGCAACCTGAGTCGATCCAGATCGTCAAAGTAACGACTCCAAGCCATGTTTAGTTTCCTGTCCAACCTCAAATTTTCCCTCTTGTAGGATGCGTATCCGACGACCAGAATGGAGAGGAGCGTTGGCCAGAGAAGGAAAGCGTAGAGAGATAGGATGGGCCTAGAATTAAGAATCGTGCCGCTGATGCCAACGACGGAAGTGAGGACGCAGAGCATGGAGGCCAGAGTCAAAAAGATGAGAATGTCGGCGTCGACTACTGCTGTCACATCTGCCCTTTCCCAAGTCCGAGCCCAGGTCAGTAGAGAACCGACCAAGCCAGCCATGCCGTAGATGAAAAGCACTATGACGCTGACGAACAAGATCCACTTGAAACGGTTCCACTTGGCCACTCTCTCCTCAGATTGACACAAAGGTTGCCCAATGCCTGCATCTCTGCCAGTGTCACTAATGGCGCTAGAATTCTTGACCGGCTCATCCCAGCTTGAGTCCCCATCATAATCATGATCTTCGCGCTTGGCCGACAAGAAACGCAGCCCGTTCCTAGTTTCCGAGAGCTTTGACTTTGTGCTAAGCGTGCGTTGGTGTCTTCTCTCACCGTGTGGCCCATCACGGTGTACACGCGTACGATATCCATCTGCGTCAATCTCATGATCATGTTCCAACGCCGTCACGCCCAGATCTGAGCCTTGACGCCAGCTATGACCGCCAGACCAGTCTATGGTCTTTTCCTTCTCATCCTCATTCGATTTGATGCCTCCAGGGTGCGCAGCGCTCCACGCCGAATTTCGTCTAGCTTGGCCGTTTGGCGCAGATGAGCCACCCATAGCGCCGACACTGAGTCGACTGCTTCGCGCTCGACTCATATGAGCTCCTTCTGGGAATTTTTGGCTCCATCTCAGGGATTCGCCCAGATCAGCCAACGCTGAGCTTGCACTGTTTGGCAAGAGAAGAGAATTGTAGGACGCAGTCGAATTGCTCGACGCGCCCGTGCCGGTTCTTTCCATGTCAGGCGCAGAAGCAAAGGAGATCGAGAACGGGCGACTTCCAAGAGTGCTTGTAGCGTTCTGACGCTGAGGCGACAAAATCGAGCCAGATCTACTCTCTTCTCCACGTTGCAAATGCGTTGGATTTATGGAGTAATGCTTGACGCTAGGTGCTTCCGTCTTGAAGCGTCCTGCATTCGAGCTGACGTTCTGCTCTTTGTCCGGTGATGTAGTCTCGTAGATGCCTTGCTCTTCGAAGCGCTGAGTTGCTTCCCTGATAGAGGAAGGCGGCGGAGACCACATGTCCAGAGCACTGGCCAAGGAATTAGGGGATGAAGCGATGCCAGACTGTTCGAGGATGATGTTGCCTGCGTGGACAACTCGAATGGTCTGGTCAGGATCCATTTCATCCTCCGAGTCAGCATCTTCCACAAAGGCTCTCCGTGGTTCGCTCGTGCTGCGCTGATAAGGAACAGAGTGCTGCGCCTGCAAGGGCAGGTCGATTGGAGGTAGCAGCTCTGATGGTCTGGGCGAGCTCATTACCCCCTTGCCTTTGGTGTTTGCTTCGTTCGTGTCGACACCGGCACCGACGGGTCTACCCTTGAACCAACTCGACATAGCGCTACCCGTGATGATCTTTTGCGTAGCGCGCTGATCTGCTGACGAAGCAACAATCGGCGCATGACCTTCCGTGTCGGAGTTGGCAGTCGTTGCCGTGGCGGTTATTCCGAGAGCAAAGCTCCTGACCCGGCTGCCAAATGCTCTGGCAGTTTCCATGCCGATGTTACTTGGTCTTCTTTTGGCAGCATCGATGGCATCTGAGAAGCCCGGCAGGTTGGAAATGGTGGTGGCGGGTACAGGGTTGCGCTTGGTCTTGAAGCTATCGATGCTTCCCGCTTTGCGGAGGCGTTCTTTCCAATCTTTGCTGGATGAAGAGTTGCTGGAGTCGGCAGTTGGTATAGGGGGTAGGATGCGCTCGTCCGCATTCATCACGCTGCTCGAGGCAGGTGAGGCAGGACTCTCGAAAGATCTAGCCGGCACTCCAGATGGCACTCTTTTACGCATCGTCGTGGTGTTGGGGACAGAGTGAGCACTACCACCGCTCGCACGAATCGAGGACGACACGCTCCTATTGCTCTGCCTTCCAGCAGACGAAGCTGCAGAGCCCGAACCGCGCTGAGACGTAAACGGACCTTCACCCTGCGGTGTGCGAGGTGACAAGTGCGCGAGTCGAGGCGAAAGCGAGGTGCTGTGACCTTGACGCGCCTCCAATTGGGGCTCTCGAGGCGGCATCCCTGAGATTAGCTGAGGTGGGAAAATCTGGCGTGTTGGGGCAGAAATTGATGAGCGTCGAGAGCTGTGAAGTCACGCTTCATCACCTCGATCAAAAATCTGTCACGGTGGTGTGGTGAGCGTGATAGTGGAAACCGGGAAATCTTGAAAGAGGCGAAGGGCTGGTGCTCGCCTTCACCCACCAAGGCATACGAGTGGCGGGGGGCGTGGCCATGCTGAGCATCTGAGACGGCTCACCAGCATCCACCGAGGCCACACTCAGCGGATCGCTTTCCATTAAGATCACGAAGCCATGCAGCATGACCGCTACCCAAGCCCGGACGGTACGAGAAGATGCGGCATCCTCGACAAGCCTACGAGTTACGGTCTACTCTGACGCATGGCAAGATCTGAATGAGTGACGCACTGATTCTCGAGGCGTTGAGTCCGCTCAAAGGTGAGAGGTCAGGTCATCTGCTTGGACAGTCACGAGTGTTGTGCTGATGGTCGAAGGGACGATGGGGAGGCGTTGGATGTTGCTCGGCGGCCCGCGATGCATGCGCTTCGACCGAACCGTTGAACTTGGCGGGCGCGTCGTTGAGCGCAACTCGCAATCAACCCGCGAGCCGCGCTACGACTGGCAGCATCAAGAAGGATGCGTCAGAATATTCTAGAGACACGCGTCGCCACCGCGCGCTCTTTGTCTGTCTCTCTCCGCAAAGTCGTGGATAGTCACGAGTCACGCGCGCCGGCGCGGGTGTTGGTGTTTATGTCCCAATCAAGCTGTCGATGCTGCTGCATGGTGATGAGAAGCGTCGCGCGAACTCACGGCTTGCATGCTTCGAAGTTGACTTGCTCCACAACAAAGCGGAGCAGCGCGAGCAGCGGCATGGATCACAACCTCATCGTTAGCATGAAGCATCAGCCATCCGTACCGTCTGTCCTCCCTTTCTGCACAATCCGATGAGTGTGCGCTTTCGGGCGGGACAGGTACTGGCAAGTCTTTAACGCCATTTCTGCTGCTGAATTCGGCTTCGTTCGACCACCTAGCTGGCACCCTCACCCCGCTTCAACACGCTCATCATCACAATCGCAATGCAAAAGCTAGCAGCCACGCATACAAACCATCATTGATTGCTACAAAGCACTACACAATACAAGCTGGTCTCCTCTCTCTGTGCTGAGAAGCATCACGTCGGACGCCGTAGCTGAGGCTTCAGCGCTCAACGAATGGGCGATCGCTTCGCGGCGCTGGCTGGCTACGCTGGAGATGAGACGGTAGCGACGGATTACAACAGGACTGGGCCAGGAGGGCTGACCATGGCAGGGCTCGACACGACCGACGACTCGAGCATTGCTCCTGCTGCTCGCAGTAAGCCAAGCTCTTCTGCACCTCGGCCGCTCTCGCCACGCAAATCCAATGTACCCACTAACGCTCCATCTGCGATCGGAAAGCCTGTTGCGGGAGCGAGAACAGCTTCTGGCTCCAATGTCAAGGCTTCCAGAGTGCCGCTTCGCAACGATTCAGCTACCGAGCCTTCGACGCCTCAAGCTGCCATCGACAGGCGCGCCCACAAATCGCGCGTAGAGATACCCGCTACAGATCGCAAGCAGGATCCGCGCAGATTGCAAGGCATCAGGATCGTAGATGGTGAGGACTCGGTGGCGCCTTATGGCGAGGTCGACGATACTGGCATTCTGGAGGACAGCGATGCAGACTTCATTCGCGCACAGCAAGATTTATCGCGAGCCAACGAGACGTCGCTTGCGAACGGCGCGAGCCTTGAAGAGTCTGCGATCGGATTGACTGAGGCACAGGCAGAGAAAGCTCGCCGAGCAGCAGGTCTGAGCATGAAGGTAGCCACAGAGCGCAACGATCAGTTGACAAAGGAGAACAACGACTTGAAAATTGAGGTGGATCTTCTCAGGCAGCGTTACAAGCATTCGGACAATGATGTCATGCAACAATTGGTCTCCATCACTCAGGAGCACCGAAGGTTGCAAGCTCGTCTCGCGAAGCAGGATCAATTCATTCGGGAAGCGGGACCGGAATTGGCCGCATACAAGAAGCTCCAAAAGCGCATCGGCAAGGAAGACCCTGTCGCTCTCAGAGCCGAAGCGCAACGAGCTCAGGCTGAGGCTGAAGAGCATCGCTCAGCTCGCGAAGCGCTGGAAGAGGAGCTTGCGGATGTCCGCAACCAATCCGAGGTGAGCAGTAGCCAATGTGCGCCCAGAGCGAGACGCCGACTCATGTACTCATCGCGCCTCGCCACACCATAGGAAGCAAAGGCGGACCTGGAAGCGGAGAGGCAGGATCATCAGAGCGAACTATACACTCGCCAGCAAGAAATTGCCGATCTCGAAGACCAGATTGAGCAGCTCCAAGAGCGTGCAGAGACGCATGGCAGAACGAATGCCGAGGTTGAAGAAATCAGAGAGCAGCTGGATGCGCTGCAAGCCGAAAACAAGGCATTGACTATGGAGCTTGATCAGCTGCAAGCGAAGAATAGCGATCTAGAAGGGCGAGTCGATGACCTCGACGCGGAAAATGCTGACTTGGCAAAGATGGAAGGCGAGCTTCAACGCGAGCTTGACCAGGTGCAGCGACGCTTGGCCGACGTGGTCGATGAGCGCGGTGCGGATGAGCAGCACCATCAGCAGCAGATTGTCGACGAAGTTGGGGCAGCCACGCAAGCCTTGAAATTCCAGTATGAAGCCGATATCAATGCGCTCAGGGACGAGGGCAATGCGGAGAAGGTGCGCGTCGAGGAGCTCGAAGCAACGCTTGACGACTACGAGCATCGGATGGATGAGCAGCTGGAGCGCATCGAGCACCTTGAACTTGAGAACCAGAACACCGCCAAAGCGTTGGCGGAATCTGAAGCGGAGCTGGACGAGCTGCTTCGAGAGAAATCAGAGCTTGAGAGTCTCCTTGCGACCAAAGAGACCCAGCTGAACAACACCGAGTCTGCTCGGCAAGCTGCAGAGAGCTACCTCGAGGAAAAGACCCATCAGCTCCAGCAGTCTGACGCAGAATTGAGCGAGGCTGCGGGACGCCTAAGCAATGCCGAGGAAAGAATTGAGCGCCTCAGTGCGGATCTTGACGAAGCACGTCACGACACGGATGAGCTGTTGCAAAACTTTGGCGAAGAGCGCGATCGCTACGTCAGAAAGATTCAAGCTCTCAGAGAGCGTTTGGAGGATCGCGATAGACAGATCGAGGCGCTTCAAGCTCAAGCTGATACCACGCAGCACGATATGAACAATGGAGCGGAGGAGAGGGCTGTCTTGGCACATAGGGTGGAGCAGCTCGAAGAAGAGCGCGATGACCTTCGTGAAGAGACCGCCAAGCTGCACGCCAAGCTGGAGGACATGCTTTCCGATTTACGCACTGAGGAGCAAGAACGCGAAGACGAAGCTCAGAAACACGCCAACGCAATGGAAGACCTTCAAGATCAACATCGTCGTTTCGTAGACGAGAAGGAAGCGGACATCTCCTCAATCGAAGCTGAGCTTGAGTCATCCAAGAAGGCATTGCAGACGTGCAAGGCGGATCTCGAGACGTTGCAGAGCGTGTTGCGCAGCAAGGAGATGGAGAGCGACCGTCTCGGCAAGACTCACTCGACGGATCGACACTCTCTGGAGCTAGAAATTGACCGCCTCAAGAGAGACTTGACCAACTGCGAATCCGATCTGGAACGCTCCCGCAAAGATTTGGACCGCAGAGAAGATGCTCTGAGGGACAAGGAGGCGCAGCTGTCTCAACTGCACGCTGATATCAGAACGCTCAATGATAGGGTTGCGAAGGAGAGCAGCGGCAAGTCGAGCCTGGACGAGAAGCTGGAAAGCAAGGAACGCGCGATCGCTGCGATCCAAGCGGAGCTAGACGATGCTCGAGTCAGGGTTACTCAGCTCGAAGAGGAGCTCAATGACGGCGAACGTTCCATGATGCAAGATCAACAGCAAATACGCAACCAGCTCACCGAGCGCAACACTCTTTTGCTGAACGTGTACCAATTCATGGGCAAGATTCTTAGCGCTGACAGGCTCGGCGGTGCGAGCGGCCCGCGCAAGAGCGGCGCAAACGACAGCAAGCCTTTCACCAACTTTGCAGTCTTCCACGACAATTTGACGACGCGCATGCATCGCCTTTCAGATATTCAAGGATCGTTTGCTGAGCGCGTCAAGACGATCGAGGGCAAGTTTACGGAGCAGTTCAGTGCGCTGAAACGTCAACAGGACAGCAAGTTTAGGCAATTGGATCGATGCGAAGTTTCCATCAAGACGGCAAGCGACAAGTCGAACGCGTGGAGAGCTCGCATGGTGGCCAAGCAATCCGAGCTGGACTTGGCCAAAACGACCGCCGCCGAGCTTCAGACGCAATTGAGTTCCTTCAAGACCCGATCCAATTTGGCTTCGACGGGCGAGAACAGCAAAATGTCGGATCTGACCTCTAGAGCCATGATTGCGGAGAGGAAGCTGAAAAAGGCTCAGGACGACCTGCATCAGTGCAACGAACGGCTGGTGGAGGAGAAAAAGAAATCCGCAGAGGATCAGGGCAACTCGTCGGCTCAAATCAAGGAGCTCAAGATGAGGTACAAGAAGCTGGAAGAGAGGCTCAAGAGCGAACGTCAAGGAGCCAAGGAACGCGTCAGCGAGCTAGAAGCCGAGATGAAGTGAGTACTTTACAACGTGTGAGCCGCTCTTTCGGGAGTGCGTACACCTCTTTCTCACGCCTTGCACTTGGACTCGCCTGGGCAGACGCTTGAAGCAACAAGAGCTGGCAGGCACTCAGAAACGTCGTGTCAACGTCGGCAACCTTCACGATGCGCTCAAGGGCGCTGGTGCGCAGGACACTTCTTGAGGGCATCGTGTCGCTCGTGCGCAGGAGACTTTGTGCACATCTGTTCCAGTCACGTTCGCTCGGTGCATGCTCCATTCCCTACATTCTGATCTTACCAAGATACGCACCTATACTACCTGTACTTTTGATACTACCTACCTTTGATCGACACAAGTCGGCTTGCGCCCAGACTGTGGTCGCGGGACTCGGGGCCCAAGTAGACTTGTGAACTGTTTTTTTGCGCCAAGCAACCGTGTTGTGCACCTGATCTGATTTTCAGCCGAGATGTGTGGGTGACATGAACAGAGACTGGATGGAGACGCCGAGCTTCTTTGTCTGCAAACTCCTCATCCGCTGTTGCGCAGCACTACAGGGAGACGACGAAGACAATCAGTCAGCCTGGAAGAAAGGTCGGGACGATTCCGCGCAAGCATCATCCTCTGACTCACCGAGCACCACTGAATCCCCACGCAAAAAGACCTTGGAGAGGAAGCGGTCCTTCTGTCAGAACAAGCACGGATCAATGAGAAGGTGATCAGCATACATCTCGAGGCTGATGACCAGGCTCAGGGGCATGGGCTGTTCCATGGTGTCTGCTACGCACGTTGATGGGTTTCTTGTTTTTGGACTTTGGAATCTCTGTCCACATCTGGGCGCGGGGAGGCGGTGCGAGTGGGCAACCTGTCAGCAAAGATGCACAGCCGAGTCATGACAAGTCGCGGTGGAAAGCGAGGCCTTGCGATCTGCGCTTCGAGGCCTGACGAGGCACCGCGCTTTTCCCTCCTTCCGACAGAAAATGTGTGCTTCATGGATCGCCAGCTGGCTTGACCCGACCTCCGCGGCTCTACCGCTTGCATCACTGCTCGTGTGGAGTTTCGACCCGCTCCGATCACACGCAACGCATACAGCACCTGATCTGCGCCGCAGTGGTGCCTGAGACAGCAATAGAGCGTAGACAAGAGGCAGTGGTCGCCATAACTCGCAGAAAGCACGTACGCCCAGTTGCTGTGACCCTTGCTGACGGCACGCCCAAGAAGCGTGTCGCCCATGCATCCCGGCTCTCAGTAGCCGAAGCGCTCGAATTCGAACTCACCTCCTTTACATTCTCCAACACCATGTTGCTATGCCTATCGAATGCTTTCACCCTAGCCAACAATTTCCTATTGTTCCTCAAGCTGATCAAGATCTGAGTATTGTTCCTCACGCTCTGTTGCAAGACAGACAAGGGTCCTTGAGAGGTCTCGTACTCTTCCAACGCTCGGATTTGAGCTTCGTCCAGCTCCGATTTGGGAGTGTTGAGGTATTGACTGCGTGGTGGTGGCGCCGATCCCAAGGAGGAGCGATGAGGGAAGAAGAGGAATGTGTCAGCTTCGCATCGGCATACGATGCGAGCAAGGCGCGCTCGCTCAGCGCAACTGAATCTCCAGTCTCACCTCATATTGACTGTGGGCTGCTGCTGTGGAGATGTCAGCGGCGATTTAGTTGCGAACAATCTACCGATTGGTCGTGCGTGGATGCTCTCCGGCGATGAGCGGATGGGGTGGTCTGTGGAGTTGAGGGAGCCACGCAGCGGTCTGCGTCGACTCGTGAATTCTTGAGCAAGATGTGTGTGAGATCAAGGCGCGAGTTCCACTCATGGCTTACGGGCGCGCGCCGATCACGGTCGACACGTGACTTGACGCGAAGCGAAGCTTCCCACGTAGGGCAAAATTTTGATTCTGAGCGCTTCGGAACCTTACCTACATGCTTCGAGCCGTGTTCCTTCCGCCCACGATCCGCAATCAAAAATCAAGAATGAGTTGGCCAAATTTGCTGAACTGAGGAAAAAATCTGTTCAAGCATCTTGCAGGCCAAGAGTGGGCGACGCTGCGATGCAGGCACATACAAAGGATCACGGATCAAGGGATCTGCCAGGACCTTATGGCCGACACTTGCCGGATCCCAAGTGGCCCAACGGTGCGCACTTGGCCCTCTCCTTCGTCGTCAATTACGAGGAAGGCGGCGAACACACATTGCTGAACGGTGACGCCCATTCGGAGGCTTTTCTGACGGAGAATGGAGCGACGGGCACTACTCGCCCCTCGAGAACACTCGGCGTGGAGAGCGCTTACGAGTACGGATCGCACAGAGGATTCTGGAGAATATTGGATCTGTTCGAAAAGCAAGGCTTGAGCTTCACATGTTGGGCCATCGGAAGAGCTGTGGAGCTGAACCCTCAAGTCGTTGATGCTATGCAGAGCGCGGGATGCGAAGTCGCAAGTCATTCGTACAGATGGATAGATTACAATGATGTGCCCGAGGCAGAGGAGAGATCTCACGTGCACAAAACTATAGATGTGATCAGTCAAGCTTCTAAAAGCTCCACACCGCCCCTGGGATGGTATACGGGTCGTCAATCTCTGCAGACGCGAAGGATCGTCTACGAGACGTATCGTGAGAGGGGACTTGCGGATCAACTTTACGACAATGACGCATATGATGAGGATCTACCTTATTGGGTCCCTTGTCCTAGTCCAGCAGTGGCAGCAAATGCGAGTGCGCAAGAGTCGGATGCTCCTTTACTCGTCTTGCCGTACACACTCGACACGAACGATATGAAATTCGCCCAGACACCAGGCTTTGCGACGTCCGAGCATTTCTTCACCTACCTCAGAGATGCATTCGACGTTCTCTACGAAGAAGGCAAGAGTGGAAGCCCGAGGATGATGACGGTAGGACTACATTGCAGGGTCATTGGTAGACCTGGAAGGTTTGCTGGACTGCTCAGATTCATCGAATATGTCAAGAAGAAGGAAAGAGTCTGGATCACCACGCGAAGAGACATTGCCGCTCACTGGCGAACAAACCATCCGCCACCGTCTTTGCCAACGTCAGACGCCTGAATAGACGCGCGTGGTATGTGACTGTGTCCCTCGTTCATTTTTGCCCGCCACAGGATGGCGTGTATGAGCATACTTTATTCGGAGTGTAGGAGATTCGTGAGGAGATGGACGCCAGCAATTGTACCGTCGACGATCGTCACCGTCACGTTCTCATTGCGGCATGCTTGGCGTATCAAGGAAGCTCTGTCGCCCATGGCTTTGGGCCGTCATGAGGAGTCCACGTCAGTCAAGGCATTCGGTCGCCTGTGGTTTTCTGAGCCCAGACAAGGCGCTCACCGGCACATCCCAGTATGATAGCTTTCGCGCCTTTTGAAGCCAGCAATCCTGCCGCTTCAGAGACCAATCGATCTGCTTCTGTCTTCCTCTTCGGATCTTCCAACCCAGCCGCATTGACGCCCGCTGCTACAGTCCCAACAAATCTGGAGTGTCCGTGTCCGATGACGGCGCACGCACCTTCGTCGATATCATCCACCATGCTTTGCAAAGTTGTGAGAATGCCAAATTTTCCACCTGATGAGAGAGCGGAGAGGACTGCTGCTTCTAGTATGTGAAGGACTTTGAGATGCGGATGAGAGACGCGCAACATTTGAGCGAGGGGATGATTGGAGAAACAAGCGACTAGCACGGCTTGACTTTGATCGATGCTCGTATTCTTCATGCTGAGACGAACCCTCTGTTCAGGCCTTTGCTTGGGATCGCCATGAGGTGCCAGACTGTGTTCCCGAAATTGCAGAACAGACTTGTCGCATGCACTCTGTTCCACCTCTACCACGGATTCTTCTCGTAAAACCTTGAACTTTCCGTGAGCGATCTGTCGATGCACCAAATAAGCACTTGCGATTTCATCCACGAAATCATCGATCGATGGAGGTACACCAGCTTCTTTGTCCGCAGTCGCGAAAGCCAGCTGGACATCTCTCGAGATTCTGCCGCAACGATGAAGAGAGCAGAGCCTGTCGCGCATTCCCAAAGTCATTTCTAGCGAGCTGTTGGGATTGACAACGAGAATACACGGTGGTGTGACGTCCACGCTGTCGTGTTCGGCATTGTGCCGGTCCGCAACCTTGCAAGAGAGATGATCCCCTTCGTTTCTCGACGAGACGCTCATCATTGCGCACGCAAGCCGGTCTCTAGATATCGTCTTGCTCTGTTCGAAGTGTCACCTGGTCAAACTGTGTGGGGGCCAATGTGGACGAAGGAGGAGACCAAACGTTGCTGAATGGACACCTCTGCTTCACGCGAGTGTGCGGTCTCTTCTATCACGTGTTTCATGAAGCGCTTTTCAACGGTGCTGTGAATTGTCCCATCCGATCGGAGAATGCTGTGATGGTGGATGTCTAGGGCGTCTCGGATGGAGCGTGCGCACCTGACGTTCACACATCAAGTTCCAGGGGCCAAATCGCTTGCGGCCAGCGAAGAAAGCCCCCGACGAAGGTTCTGGAAATGTGACTTTGACGGAGATGTTCGGTCGAGGAGAACAAGAAGGACTCCGCTACGGACGATAAGATGGGTTTGTGTTGTGACTTGCGGTCTGACGCCTAGTCGCCAGCTTATAGGCCTTCACACGAGTGACATTCACGATTCGCTCCACGACTCGTTCCATCGCGCAAGCCACTCAGCAAAGGTAGGAAGCGCGACACCGATCTGACGCGTGTCCCGCGCTTCACGTCTCTCTTTCAAGTCGCGATCGAGTCGCGACTTTTGTTGCCCAGCAAGTCGGATGAGTCGAGTTTGAGTGCATCCGACTTGCACACATGACTCAAAACTTTGACTCGATTCCGTGCGAGCTGCAATAAAGATGCACGTACGCGCGTGTCGCACGCACGGTGGCACCGCACTTTCCGCACGCGCGGCATGCGTTCGCCTAGCTTCTCCTCTCCGCCGCTCTTGCCCAACAGAGATCGAGCTGCTGCTGCAGCCTGGAAGAAAGCTAGCACAGCACCAGCTTGTGATCACGGATTAACCTTTTGCATCGTGTAGATTCGTGTGCTTGGCTTGCTCTTCCTCTGAGGTGAAGCTATCCGTGCGAGCACCGGCAGGCCGATGGGCTTCACGTCAGAGCAACACCTCCGTAAGGATGCTCTCTGTTGCGATTTTCCCGCACACGCATCTGACACTGACGTGACGACGGGGAACGCAACGTCCTTGGTGCGAGCTTGTCCTGCTGAAGAAGAAAAAAAAGCATAAAGCCAGAGCAGCGCGGTCGCGCGGATTGGCCCCCCCTTTCACAAAAAGATAGCCTCTTCTCAGCACCCAAGATTGCAAGCATCTTTGAAAAGGATACCCCTGCGCCACCGCTGCCCTCACAAACAAGATGACAAGCAACACTTGGAAGAACATTGCGCTGGACCAATTCGCTCGAAAGCTTGGGTCCACTTCTACCGAAGTATCGTCGGTTGCGCTGGGAGGCGAGATCCTATCCTTCAGCGACGAATGGTTTGCTCCTGCTTCCGATCTGCTCAAAGTGAGTGACAGACAGAAGAGCATCGTCTCGACGTCGACTCGCGCGTTCGATGAGCCGAGCGCAAGCGCTGACCGTTCACGTCGCGATCAGGTGGAGGCAGCGCCGAGCCTCAAGGGACAATTCGGACCCAAAGGAGCTCTCTTTTCGGGCTGGGAAACTCGAAGACACAATCCTACATTCGACTGGGTCATTCTGCGTCTAGGTCCAGCAGCCGGTGCTCAGATACTCGGAGTAGATGTCGACACGGCTTGGTTCAATGGGAATGAGGCGCCCGAAGTCGAAGTGTGGGCATTGCACCTCGATGAGGATCAGCCTATTGAGGAATCCGACAGCAGAGTAAGCTTGCATTGTGTCGAAGCCTGTTCGACACGGCCCCAGTCTTACTGACAGTCGTGTTCGCATCCTTCAGTGGGTTTCCCTGCTCCATCGAGTCCCTTGCGGTCCGTCAGCGCGTCATCTTTGGATTACACCGGACGAAAAGCCTACGGAGCAGGTCTTTACGCACATCAAGCTGCGGATGATTCCAGACGGAGGTATTGCTCGTTTTCGTGTGTATGGTACAATCACTGCGCCACCACTTGGCCAAGGCTTTGAGGAGCAGACCCCAACTCATGCTGAGCCGTCGATTGAGGCTCTGAACTTGAGCTCGCTCGATTTGGCCCACGTGCTCAACGGCGGCAGAGTCGTCTTGTGAGTGGAACATCCTCGCAGTACGACGAAGATCAGTTGCTGAATTGCACAATTTCCTCTATTTTAGTACGAGCGATCAGCACTTCGGCATTGGGCCTAATGTCTTGCTCCCCGGTCGAGGGAAGGACATGGGCGACGGATGGGAGACCAAGCGCTCCCGTACACCAGGACACAAAGATTGGTTGATCATTCAGCTGTAAGTGTCTCGCCTTCTGTGTGACTTCACTCAGTATACAAATTCACACGCCGTGGGGCTCTTTACAAGGGCGGAACCTGCATACTTGTCATACGCCGAAATCGACACGCTCCACTTTCTCGGCAACTTTCCCGAATCTGTTGCGCTGCATGGGTTGGCACTCGCACCTGGCGCCCAACTCCCAACAGCTTTCGAGCAAGGCGACTGGGATGAGCTAGTGCCGAGGTCCAAGACGGGTCCTCACAAGAAGCACTTCTTCCGCATCAAGTCCTCTGCTGACTCGATCGCCGTCAAGTTCAAAGCGTACACACACGTACGCGTGGCCATGTTTCCGGATGGCGGGATCAAACGGGTTCGACTGATTGGCCGAAGAGCAAAGCACTTGGCGGATTGGCCAAAAGACAAGGTCTTGCCTGAGATCGCCTTGCCCATCGAGTCCGAGATGAGCGGTCGTGAGAAAGAGCTGCCCGCTGCTCCGGCGCCGCTCCATGCTACAAGCTCCTCCAACACCGCTCTTCAGATTCCGGTCGAGGAATTGACTACTGAGAACTATGCAACGTACGGATCGGTTGTGGGACATCCTTCACAGACATCATCCTCTCATATGCTAAGCTCCACAGCAGGCCCAGCTTTCAAGCAGGTGAATCAAGGCACAGCTGAAAAGTACGTCGATCAATCTTTGGTGCTCTCCACTTATCCTCAAGAATCGAAAGCTGAGACTGCGATTCATACGTACCGATGCTACCCTCATCCAGCGCTCGAGAGTAGCTCTGGTCAATTCTTTGATGTGAAGCTGCTAGAGAGACATAGGTACACTACGCAGGCTTTTCTACCCCTTGGCAATGGAGAAGATCAAGCGTACCTGGTCATTGTCGCTTTGAACGGAGAAGGTGAGCAATGCTTGTGATGATGCCCTGCACTGCGCTGCGCTGCGCGTGATGAGAGCGTCAAGCTGAGGGTGAATCATGTCCCGACTTTGTGCTCGAGCAGACGATACGCCGGACCTCTCTACACTCAAGGCGTACTCGGTACGCGGATCGACAGGTATCACTTATGCCGCCGGAGTTTGGCATCATCCAATGGTCGTGCTTCCCTCCTCCTCTGCGCTTCAAACACCCATCGACTTTGCGGTCGTGGTCAACGAAAGCAAGATCCATCCCCAGCTCGACTGTGATGAGCATCACTGGAAAGACTCGAACCCTGCTTGTCGAATACTTGTTGTGTAGTCTGTGAAATCTTTAGCTTGGCTCTACATTTGCGAATTTGAATCCATGCTCTGAGGTCTCGTCAGATCTGGTCAAGTCCAGTTCCTTCATACGTGTTGATCGTAATTCACGAGTGTTCGGCGGGAGCACGGGCCCTCTCCAACTCGGTGATCTGTCTCAGCACACTGACTGACGGCCATAGCAAGGGTAAAATAAAAAACCATCGTGAGGAATGACTGACAGAAGACTGACGTGAATGTTCTCACGGCCAGTGTGAATGATCACATCAGCGAGCGTCTGGATCCGCCTGGTGCCGCCCGCGTGCTGGCATGGCATGGCAGTAAGTTGAATGCGTGTAAGCCACACTCACGACTTGAGGGGGGCGCCGGGGTTCTTCGCGGATGGCACACCCACGCGACCGTCCATCATCCAAGCCAGCAAGCACGCACGCACGGTCTTCTACTTACGACTTCTGCGGGAAGCAGCTTGGCGGCTTTCATCGAGCGCTCGGGGTAAGTGAGATCACACCTCCACCCAATCACGGAACACGCACGCACGCACGCACGCACGCACGCGCGCTCATCCTCGCACTCACACTCTCGATCGACTTGCGGATTCGGCTGTCGGCCCAACGTATTTCCCCTCTCGTCTTTTGAATTCGCGCGGCTCTTTTGATGCTGCGCGCCACGCAGCAGCAGCAGGAGCAGCAGCAGGCCGGCAATCGCGAATTTATGATGCACACGAAACCGAACTTGGCCGAAGGTCGCAGCCATCAGCAGGGAGAAAGCGGCGCTATAGCGAACTAATACACAGGACCGCTCGCTCGCGCATTAGCTTATCTTCTTATCGCTCGATGACCTTTCTGAACCAACGCCTGATCTGACGCCTTGTGCAGCGGCGACGTCTCACAGTTTTGGCTTCGAGGACGGGAAGAAGGGAGGGTGGATGCATGTACCCCGCATGTGACCGAGCTGACGCCCATGTTCCTGATCATTAGGCTTCACGTCTAGACACGCGCTTTTCTTCATTTCCCAGTTTCAGCCAGCCAGCATGCAGCAGCTAGCTTGCAAGTTTCCGCGAAGAGAAGAGCGGCAGCGCATGGCATATATAACGATCGATGAGCATCACATGCGAGTGCTTTGCTTGCTCTGGTCTGACGCGCTTCACGAGATGTCCAAGGCGTCAGATCGTGGCTTGCGATGCCTCAAGGCTGACGCCTACCTGCAGAGTGTTTGCCTTCACACGAGCGTCACGTCCCTCTTGTCCCCTTCACCGTCGTCATATCAAACGTGTTCGGTGTGGCGCGGCGCGGCGCGGACCACGCACATCTTCCAAACGCACACCTCCCAACCGCGGTCTGACGCTTGATCACGTAGCTGCCACGCGTCAGACCGCAGTCAACAGTCTACCATGACCGAAATGCGTGAATGGTCGTCGCTGTGTAGCATGCTTGTTGCGGTCTGACGCGTCATTGTCAAGTCAGGAGCGTCACATCAGAGGTTCTTCGTTGCACTCTTCGCTCATTCTCGTCGGCAAGGAGCGCGATTCGAACGATAAGCTAAGCCCCCGGCCTCGAGCAGGAACCGATCCAGGCCTCTTACCTTCGCCCTCGCCCGCCACGCAAAAGGTTCTGGACCTTCCTTTTCCCCTTCAGGCCTGCCTCGACTACCTTTTTGGTGTATCATTTCTTCGTCATTAGCCGCAAACAACTTCCTACATTTGCTCCTCCTGACTTGACGCCTCTACACATTTCCTACCTTCTTCACATCAGTCTTGAGCACAATCAATCGTGCAACTCGTTTCCTTATCTTCGTTCCAGCCACAACTCGTCCGCTCGCCTTTCACGCATCGATCCCCGCACCCTACGACACAACCTCTTCCTCGCGACACATTGGTCTGTCAGACTCAAAATTGTACATAAGGAGCTGCAAATCAGAACCATTGCCCTCTTCCTTCTATTCTGCATCGCAAACCACTCGCGCCCTCTTCACCATCCACCTTACCCTTTGACCTCACCTCACCTCACCCTTTGACCTCACCTCACCTCACCTAACCCTCACGCTCCGCACTCAATCTTCCTCATTCCACCCTCAAAGATGGGTCGTGTCACCCGCAGACTGCGCGTCCCTGACGCCCCTGAAGGCACTCGCTCTGAGCTGTTCCTGCTCAATCATGACCTGCAACCTGTCCCAAAGGAGAAGAGAGCATGGTCTGCCCGCAACTTTGCCATGTTCTGGATCGCTGACAGCGTCAACATCAACTCGATGCAGATTGCCAGTTCTGGTGAGTTGGGTCGACGTGCACGCACGAGGCATGGACGCTACCCGACGCCGCAACCTGACTGACCCCTTCCGCTTCTCTCTCTGGCCCAACGCACCGCTCAAAGCCATGGTCGCTGGCCTTACATGGTGGGAAGCGCTCATCGCTACCGCACTTGGCTACTCGATCACTGCCTGCTTCATCGTCATGTCTGCCCGACTCGGGGCAGTGTATCATGTCCCCTTTCCCGTCATTGTCAGATCCTCCTTTGGTCTCTTTGGCGCCATCTGGCCCGTCATCAACCGTGCAGTCATGGCGTGCGTCTGGCAAGGTGTTCAGGCATGGATCGGAGGTACTTGCATGGGCGTCATGATGAGAGCCATCATTCCCGGCTACAACAACATTCCCAACAAGCTCTCACCTTCCGTCGGCATCGAGTCCAAGGACCTTCTCAGCTTCTGGCTCTTTGGTCTCATCAACCTCCTATGCGTTCTGCCTTCTCCACAAAAGTTGAGACACATCTTCACCGTCAAGGCTGTCGTTGCACCCATCGCCCTCGTCGCCTTCCTGGCGTGGACTTTGGCCGATGCTGGCGGTCTTGGTCAAGTCATTCGACAACCGGCAACCATCTCGGGTAGCACGCGCGGCTGGGCCTTTGTCGGCGCCGTCTTTGCTTGCATCTCCAACAATGCCACGCTCATCACCAACCAAGCAGACTTTGCGAGATTGTCCAGCAAGAAATCCGACACTGTTCTGCCCCAGCTGCTCACCATGCCTCTTGGATTCACCATCACCTCGCTCTTTGGTGTGCTCATCGCTGCGGGAGGCCAAGCGCTTACTGGCACCCTCTACTGGGACCCCATCGGCTTACTCAATGCTCGACTCGACCCAAACCCTTACGACTCCAAGACTAGAGCGGCGTGCTTCTTCCTCGGAGCTTCCTTTGTCATCGTCCAAATCGGTCTCAACGTCGCTGCCAACTCTTTGAGTGCAGGATCGGACTTTACCGCCCTCTTGCCTCGCTACATCAACATTCGTCGTGGAAGCGTCATTTGCTGGGCAGTCGGAATGGCCTACTGCCCATGGTTCATCCTCTCATCCAGCAGCTCATTCACCACCTACCTATCCGCCTACTCGCTCTTCCTCAGCAGCATCATCGGTGTGATGATGGCAGACTACTATGTTCTCAGGCGAGGCTGGATCGATGTACCGGCCCTTTTCAGAGCGCACAATGCGACGGGCGACGGCAAGTCTCAATTCTACTACAATTTCGGCTTCAACTGGCGAGCTTATGCCGGTTACGTTGCAGGCATTGCCATGTCCGTGACGGGCTTTGCCGGTGTGCTCGGCGCCAACGTTTCGATCGTCGCCGAGCGAATCTACACGCTGGCGTTCCCCATCGGATTTCTCGTTTCCGGCATCGTCTATCTCGCGTGCAACCACTTCTCTCCCGTACCCGAAACGGTCAACCTCAAGAGGGACCGCAAGACTTGGCTCGAACCTAGAGGACCTACGGGATGGGAGGACTCGTACTGGACAGGAAGCGAACCGGCCGCTACTGCTGCCATCGATGAGGAGAATCAGAGCTCGCAGATCAGCTCAAAGGACGAAAAGACGAGCGCTGAGGGTGCGACGATGACGAACAAACCTGCTGTTGCTACGGTAGACTACTAGAATCGACCTGCGTTTCCATTCGGCTCGTACACCTCTTTTTTCCCTTGCTCGAAAAGTGTTTCTTTCTGTCGTACCCTTTTCCCCTCACTCCCCCCACCCCCATCGCCTTTACGATCTTCATGGGATACGCTCTGTACATCATGACACTTGACCCCAAGATTTGGCTCGCACAACAAATGTCACACTTTACCGATGCCGAGTCGCAGGGCAGTCCTCTCGATGGCTGATTGATGTTTCACTTTTGATTTTCGTCTTCAGACTTTTCGCGTTGGAGTGTATTGCCGCCTCGCGGTTGAGTTTCTGCTTTGGGATGGGACCTTACCTCGCCCCCCGGTTTTCGGGCGGTATCGCAGTCGTAAAGTCACACCAGCCACGCCTTGAAACAAGGACGTGGGCGAGCCAACTGACGAGCGCTCAGCCTTTCGGTCTACGTTGGCACCGTGCATGGAGATGGACGAATCAAGAGGTGCGTGTAGGAGGTACATTTTTGGTTTGAGCTCATGCTTTGGAGAGGATCCGAACGGTTCTGTCCAAGCTAGAGACGACTAGAGAGCCATCCCTAGGGTCCCAAGCGCAATCGGTGCATTCGGCAGTGTTGCCGTCATCCGCAGCAAGCAATTGCCAAGTCTTGTTGGCATAGATCTTTGCATCCGTTCCCACCACGGCCAAGAAGCTAGCGGTAGGGTCGAAAGCCAAAGCCAAAACGCTTCCCGCTTCTCCTTTGGAAGATTCCGAAGCGTCGATGGTTCCGGCAACGCTGAGCTTTCGCAGATCCCAAATCTTGACTTCGCCCGAACCCTTTCCGCCTGCTGCCAGATAATAGCCGTTCTCCGAAAAGCCTAGCGCCGTCACGCCAGCGCTGGCCGAGTGATCCCTGAAAGTGCTGACCTTTTGAATAGCGCTCACATCCCAAATCCTCACCACGCCTCCAGCCGTACCTGTAGCGGCCAATTGTCCGTCCGGATGAAATGCAAAAGACTCGTACTCGTATCCGCCCGCCGCTTCTTCGGGCGTCTCGTTGGAGGGCGCATCCACTGCAAGGAGCCTTTCGCCCGTCGTCGGATCGTGCAAGGCCCACAAGCCATCTTTGCTGCAAGTACCAATCAGTGCGCCAGAAGGATGAATATCCAAGCCCGTCACTTCGGCTTTGTAACCCTTGATGACGTGCGAGAGAGCGTACTCTGGCGCAGGATCCCCTTCGCTAGCGCCAAGCTTCCATACACGAATGCTCTTGTCTTCCGAAGCGCTCACTGCGAACGATGGAGGTGGAGCTTCTCCGGCTTCTGTGCCTACGTCGGCAATGCCAGCGTCCAAAGGTGGCTTGGAGAAGACGACACGGGTGATCTTCTTGGTATGTCCCTTTAGCGTCGCGATCTGCCTTCCGGAAGCACGATCATACACTTGCACTTGCTTATCTGCGCCTCCCGTCAAAAGCAGATTGCCAGAAGAAGAGACGTCCAAGGAGGTCACGCCTGGCGGCTTGGTGCTGTGCATGGACGGTAGGCTCGCCGTCGTCTTGAATTCCCGCACATCCGCTGCTGAAGCGTAACCCGCTGGCGCCTTGCGCTTCATCTTTGCTCGACGTTGCGAGGATAGGCTGTCGAGATGGGGGGAAGTGGCAGTCAGAAGGGGGGCGCTATGCTCCTACCTGATCATTGCATTGTTCGGGCATTACTCACGTTTGAGCTGTAGAGGTGATGACTTGCGCAGCAGCGGGAGGTAAACCCCCCTTGGTCGTGGCACCGTCTGACATTTCCACGTCCCCACCTTGATTGGAAGCATCCGTGCCGACACCAGCACCAGCGGATGCACCAAGAGATCCCGAAATGCTCGCCAGCGCACTCCGAGCCTCGTCTCGTTCGGAAATGAGACGCGCGACCACACGATTGGCCGCATCATTGGCGTACAGCGCGTGTGCTAGCTCCATTCGCACTTCATCGTAATTCTTCTTGAGCGTGAAGAGTTCCATCATCAGACCGTCATACTCGTTCTGAAGCGAAGTGAGCAGGGATGGGATGGATGAATGCGTCGGTGGTCTGGGAGCTGCAGCGCGGGGACCTGATGAATTGACCTTGCGATGTGAGCATGCGCTGATCTGTGAGACGCTTAGATGCGATCCCTTCACTCACTAGCTTTCACCTCGATCAGATCATCGTGACTCAAGACCTCTCCAGTGATCGGATCCTTGCCATTCTCGTCGATGTACTTGCGTATCAATCTGGCTTCGTAAAGCTGACCGGATTTTGTCGAGATGACGGGCTGAGCCGGTGGTTCGCCCGAGATTGCGCAGAACATGGTCGGCAAAAGTTCTGCGAAGAGACTGTACTGGCAAGGGTGGAAGTAGTGGATGGTATCGAACCAGGTGCCTCGGTGTCTGAGAAGCTGAGCGAAAGCGTGCGACTTTGGAAGAAGTGAGATGTGGGCCATTGGTCGTCGCGTTGTCGCCGTGTAGGCGCGCTGCCTACTGTGATCGCGCGCGCGTATGGGCGACGCAGCACGTGGCTGCGACCACATCGAGATCTCTGCGCGTCCCACTCACCACTCATGACTCCCGACTCGTGCCTGTTGACTCGCGTGAATTGCTAATGATTATACCTTCGTAACAAAGCAATTTTGAATCAGGTCGACTTTGCCATTCGCGCTTCTCCAAGCACAACCCGGACCACGACCGCACTGGACCTCGCAAGCAACTCGGTCTTCTGACTCTCGGAAACAGCTACTTGCGTTGCTTTACATAGTGCCGCAATCATGGCCGCTTCACTTTCAGCCTCCTTCAACAGGCTTGCGGTGCGAACCCTCGCGAGCACTTCGGTGCAGCAAACCAGACAGCTGGGAGTCGGGAGGATGACGAGAAGCCGGATCGTCCCTGCTGAGAGCTACAGAGCTGGCAGGGCCATCTCGACCACTGCCAGCCATCGCCAAGGTGATGCAGCGCCAACACCACTAGCTTCGCGTCTCGCTCTTGGAAATTTGTCGCCGCTGCAGCCAAAGAAGGCGGTGAGTCTAATTGGCTGTGATGAATGAGCTCGACTTTATGAACGCTGACATTCAGAGTGGGACGCTTGCATGCTACCTTAGAGGAAAAGATTGGGAAGAGGAGACAGTTCTGGAAGAGGAGGAACGTCGACGAGAGGACACAAGGGTCAGAAAGCCAGAGCTGGGAATGGAAGACCGGTCCCGGGTTTTGAGGGAGGGCAGATGCCGCTTCACAGGGTGTTGCCCAAGAGGGGCTTTGTGAACACGTGAGTCGCAAAATGCTCTCTTCTGTATCACATGGGGTATGGTGGGTGGGGAGAAAGCTGTCACTTGGCAAGAAGGTTCCACGCTGACAATCTCATTTACTTCGTTCGTAGGCACAAGCAAGAGTTCACAACGCTCAATGTAGACAGGCTACAGAGCTGGATAGATCAGGGAAGGATTGACGCTTCTCAACCCATTACAGCTCGCGAACTGTACGCGAGCGGCTGCGTGACAGGGCGCCTGCGCGATGGCATCAAGCTTTTGGGCAACGTGAGTGGAAGGGCGCCTGCACGTATGCTTCGATCTTGTAGAAGCGAGTGCAAAGTGCACACCGCTTACTGACTCATACCGTCGGATGTGCCTCTGACTCGCAGGGAGCAGACTTTGTCTCCACCCCGGTCAACATCGTCATTTCCAAGGCGACACCTACAGCAATTGCTGCAATCGAAAAGGCTGGAGGATCGATCATGACGCGATACTACACTCAGCGGACTTTGCAAAGTTTGATTCATTCCGAGCGATATGCGGACCGGCCTCCTCCTGCGCATGCCCGTCCGACGCACAAGGATGACCTCCGTGAGTTCGAGCGCGAGCTAAATACCTCTGTTTGTGTGCGTGTGCAGCTTTCTGACGCGCATTGCACATTGTCGATGATTTGCATGCTTGGCAGTCTACTACTCAGACCCGAAGAACAGAGGCTTCCTTTCTTTCCTAACCCCGCCCGAGGTGGTTCCCCGCTATGATGCGGATGGCATTCTGGTCGCCGTACCGGACGCTTTTGCCAGAAAGGTGGCTACTGGAAGCACTGGCTCGACCGAAGCCGCTTCGGATAGAGAGTCCCTCGAGACTAGAGATGCGATGAGCGCATTGGCGAAAGAGGGGGTTCACAAGGTGGCGCAGACGGAGGCTTAGCTCGGACCTTTGTGTCCGTGTCGCTCGGAAATGCAGTGGTCATAAGATGCGTTCACACCCAAAAATAAAAGCTTGGTATCGGCATCGCGAGGCCTTGACCGGCACACCTCATCGCTCTGACCGATTTTTGTGATGGTCTCAGCGTTTGCTTGTTGCAAAATCTTTTGTGTGCTCTTGTCTTTCTGCCGAAGCGTGATCCTTGGCATGACGCTCAGAGCTCCAAATGTGAGAAGCGAATGGGGAAAGCAAGAATCGGACACTCGTGCAGTGGAGGCGGCAAGAGCGCGCGCAAGAGGTCAATCGGCGGCAGCCGCTCGCTCGACTTTGCTGCTGATTGGATTGTATGCTGCTGCTGCTGCTGCTGCTGCTGCTGCAAAGAAGCGGCGGGACGCGGCCCGTCGATCAGCAGACATGCGAGCATGTGATGGAGTTCAGCAGCAAGAGCAGCGAGCGAGCTCACGAAGCGCAGTCAAGTGATCAACGATTCCTCATTTGGTCACTTGCAACATATTCGCGACGGCGGTGTGCTGCGGTTTGTTGCGAGTTGATGAGCATCCTGGACCGCCCGCAAACCTCACGGAAATCCACAAAGATTTCTGAGAGTCGACTTCCTTTGACGTGGTTGGTGACTTGGGCTTTCTGCATCTGTCACCGGGTCACCATTCGCGATCAAATGGAGTGAAGCTGGGTTTGATCCGTCTGAACTGATCAAAGAACTGCGCTCGAATTTACGACTCTTTATGATAGAGAGTCGTGAAGTCGCTCGGTCAGAAGTCAAAGATGCTCTTCTTCGTTGCGGATGCCCATGGCAGAGCGACGGTAGGGCTTGGGTATATATCTTCAAGCGGTACCGTACGCGCTACCTCTATGCGTGCGAAGCTAGCGTGAGCGCATGGCGCTTATTGCTGGGTCGGTGCTGCATGGGTGGGACGTGCTGGGCGCTCAACCCATGCAAGCATGCATTACCGCACGCACGCACGCACGCACGCACACAAGCAAGCAATCTTGAATGTGCACGCGGCGGCTTAATGCTGCCGCTGCCGCCGCTCGAGACCACACAGCTTTGGCGCATATGATGACACGCGCGCTTGTAATGAAAATATATGTGATCGTTTGTGATCGCTGAAACGCACCCCGTGCACCGCCAGTCAAGAGTCAAGTCACCCACAAGTCAGAGGTCGTGATCAAGTGAGGCGGGCGCGCATGCAGGCGCTCTTCTATACATAGTGAGACGTCGATCCCGCGCGCGCGGATGCAAGCGTCCACGTCTAAAGTCTCGAGTGTCGAGTGTCGAGTGTCCAGTCTTGATCAAGTCTTGCTTGCCCTTCAACTCATGACTCACGACTCGACTTGTTTTGCTGCCTGCGCGTCGCTTTGATTCGATTCGTATAACACTCGACTTGCTTCCTCATCTACACGCATCTCCATCACTCTCCTCTTCACAACACGCTGCGTACTTGTCAAAGCTACGTAGACTGCTCTTTGCCCCGATCGACCCAACCGCTGACCCCATTTGTCTTTGATGAAAGCTCGCGCGCCCTAAGCCGTTCCTCGACTTGACGACTACCCTCATTGTAGAGGCAAAGCTGCCTTTTCCTCTTCGCACACACCTCAGCCCCAGCATATTTACGGGCCACGCTACTCTTCCATAGTGAAGTTGAATGATCAAGAAAGATGGCGTGGGGCATCCCAACCTTGTGGACCTTGATTCGGGTATTGGGAGGAACATTCATTGGGGGTTTCCTCGTGACGGCGGGTCTTCTCTACCGCTATCAAAATGCGCTCATCTACCCTTCCTCATTCCCAAACGGATCTCGGACAAACGTCTTGACTCCCGACGAGTTTGATTTGGAATACGAGGATGTCAGATTGAAAACTCCGGATGGACAGGAATTGAGAGTGTACCTCATGTGCCAGAGCGAACCTTCGGAGAGGGAAAAGAGGAGAGGCGAAGATGAGGGTGATGTGGCTACCAGAAGACCTACTATCCTCTTCTTGCACGCGAATGCTGGGAATATGGTGAGTGTGTGCGCCAAGGAGGCAGCCAAGTACCAACGGCCTAGGATGGATGTATGCGCTCCAGATACCAAGCACCTGCGCAGTATACAGCAATCGGATGGCTGCAAACAAGTCTCGCGTGACACGCCGTGCCGAGCTCTTTTGTCTCCGTCCATTAGAGATCATCAATGCTGACACTTAGCGACTTGCCGCGCAGGGCCATCGCCTACCCCTCGCAGCAGTCTTCTTCAAGAGATTTGGCTGCAATGTCCTCATGCTCTCGTACCGAGGTTACGGTCTCTCGACGGGAACGCCATCCGAGAAGGGCATCAGGATAGATGCTCAAACAGCTTTGGACTACATCAAACGTCATCCGAGACTGAAAGCTACTCAGGTGGTGGCTTATGGTCAGAGCATCGGTGGCGCTGTAGCCGTGGACTTGGCTGCAAAGGCAGGAAGAGCGGTGAGTCGCATGCATAAGAAGGCATGATTGTGGAATTGTGGAACTCTGCTGGGGGCATGATCGCATTGCGGAATAGCGCCGGGCTCCATGCGACTCATTTGTGATGTGCACGATGGGGTCGCCGAAGGTCTCGATTGTAGCGTGGGACGAACGATCGCTGATGGATGGACATCCGCCTCCTCGCCCAATGTGTCAATGCAGATCAGTGCATTGATTCTGGAGAATACGTAAGTGCATGACTATGGCATTTGACGTGCAAGCATGTTGGTTGACAGAACCCCCTCTCACCGCACCTCAGCTTCTTGAGCGTGAGCTCACAGTCGTGTGGTAGATGCAGGTCAACGCAACTCAACTGACGCACCTGCTTGCGATCGTGCCACAGATTCCCGAGTTGATTCCGCACGTCTTGCCACCCGTCAAGCCTTTCACGTTCCTTTGCCGTGAGTCGCGCCTGCAACGGAAATTTCAGAACAGATCCTCAGCTCAAGCAGCCTCTCACGCGAACCAGGCGAATTCTGGCCCACCGGCGACTCGATTATGCAACTTGGGCCCTATCAACCTGTGCTTTTTCTGAGTGGAAGGGCTGACGAGCTCGTTCCTCCTTCTCACATGGACCTGCTCTTCAAGCGATGTTCATCGAGCAAAAAGGTCTGGAAGAGCTTCAAAGATGGCACGCACAACGACACTTGCGTCAAGCCAGGCTATTTTGAAGCGATTGCGCAATTTCTGGCGACTTGGGTTGTTCCTTTGACGCAAGGCATCAGTCCTGCAGAGCTGCCTGATCCCGACGCACACGGAACGCTTCCAAGCCCGCGCTCCGCCGAAGCTGCCTTGGCACCTCACTCGTCATACTCAAAAGGCGGGGAAAAGTCTGGGGACCCGACCTTTAGCTCGTTCGGTGGCTTCAACGCCGACTCTGGACCGGTCAACCCCTCGGGAGTTGGAGGCGCGGTGAACACAAGTCAGGGAGGACATACTCGGCAGCCTTCCAGTCCGCGCGTCGGTTCACAAGGACCTCGTCTTCGACGATCAGCCTCAGCATCGAGCGCAGATTCGAGAGGATCGCTGAGAGATATGCACAAGCGCGACGAGGTGCGCGGATCAGGCGCTTATGCAGGCTCCAATTCTTCTCACTCGAGCTTTGGCGCAAATCACAGCGCGGCTGCTCAAGCGGCAAGACAAGCCGCTTCGGCTTCTTCGACGGCCAACGATGCGGCGGCTGCTGCTACGGCTGCTACAGCGGCCGCAGCAGCCGCAGCGGCGAGGAAGAGGTCTCCAGCTGGAAGCAGAGCTAGCGACGATAGCGAGTGGGTCGAAATGAGCGCGCACGATGCCACACCGGATCAGGGCAGATGATGCGGAATTGGGAGACGCAAAGAATCCATGTGCATTCCTTGTAGGATTCAAAATGACCCACCTCTTACTTGCATCTTTTCGACGCGCACCTACCTTTCCGCTTTGCTTGCTCTTTCTCTTGCACATAGTCTTTGAAAAAGAGCGTCCAAAGAGCACTTGAGCCACTCCACCTCGTCTCCTCCTCCCCACGGCTGCGGATCTCGAATGTTGTATACCACCCACGTCGCGCCATCGGTGCACAAGCCACGACAATCCTCACTCGGTTCGAGCAATTTGAAGGGGCGCCATGCAGGAAATGATCGAAACGTGACCCTCTTCGATCTCATTTTGCCTTTGCGCGAGGCAGCATGAGTGTCAAGACGTAGCGCGATTCCCCTTCGAAGCCGCTGCGGACAGGTTCACTGGTGTGATGCTGGCCCAGTGTGAGGGGGGTGCAGAGTGATACACTTGATTGTCAAGTCCAATGAAGGTGCGTCAGATTCAGACGATCAACGGATCATCTCTTACGATCGAACTGCTCTGGAGAGCTCTGAGCGCATGTATTGTTGAAGATGGGTTGATGTATCGCTCTGCATGCAAGGAGTCACAATAGACTTATAAGATGGAGCGGCACATTGGGCACTGATGAAGAAGTTTTGCGCAGATGAATAGGCTGTATCAGTTTACTCGCGCACGAGAAGTTATCCCCCGCGCTCGGACTCTTCGGGAAGAAAAAGACTTGTTGAACTTACTGTGCTAGAGCCGCTTGTCAAGCTCCATCTAAGAAGGCAACTGCTGTGGAAGGGCTTTTTGCAAGTTGCGCACTTTTTCGTCGGTAACATCAACGAGCCAGATTCTCCACCGATGATGCTGTAACAGATTGCGCATTCGGAGCCTTCGTAGCCTGCAAACATCGCTTCGGCATTGCGCTTGAAAAGCAAGAGTGCTGGCAAAAGTGGGGCGCGTCGGCTGTCAGCGCTTGGAATTTGATGCCATCTGCGCCCACAATACTCACCATCAAAGACCAGACCATTCTTGCCAGTCAAAAGCTGCTGCGTCGCAAGCAGCCAGGAACGCCATCTCGCCTCGCTGACCCCAACACGTTTGATATCTCGCACCTCTACACCATGCAACGGAAAGTCGTTGGGGAAAGAGACACCAATCTGCATGTCTTGCTCGTCCACCGTATAGGTAGCGACGACTTCATTGGCAGTGGTGATCTTGATGCTGAGACCTTCTCCTTCGAGCGTTGATCGCGCATCGCCTGATCGAAGGTGAGCCAGCTCGGCCCCAGCCAACACAGGAGAAAAGTGTCGCGTTGTGAGAGAAGTGATGGAGCTGGACAATGCCCTGTCGCGCATCGACATGACGTAATTCCGCACGCCTACGGCGAGATGCCCCAACGCTCTGTGGAACAGGTGGCCAGCAAGGAGCTGGAGTGTGCCAGGTGCATATGGATCCACATCTGTCGGCGTCAAGAACGCATCGCTTAGCATTTCCGGCTTCGTCTCAGGGCGATGAATGGAGTGCAATTTACTCACCATCAAGGAAGACTTCGTCTAGAGCCCAGCCACGCGGGTCCCAAGGTCTTCCAGTCGACCCCTTGCGAAGCATCAGTCCGAAGGTAGTAGGTAGGAAGCCAGTGGAAAGAAGTTCCATCTGCTCAATTTGAGCCGCAAAAGCGCTTTTGAGCGCCAGGCTAGCCTCTTCGAAATGCTCAAAGAGAGCAAGCCAACTCAGGAAGAAAGCCAAAGTCGTCTGAGGTTCTTCCACGGCCTCCTCTGCATAGCGACCGATGTCCGCGATGGGGAGACCGGCACCTGGTGCACTGCTACATTGTTGGGTCAGCTGTGCGGATAGCGCGGCTGCCTTGCCGGCGTGTGTCGGGTCCACTGCCGCCTCCACGACCAGGTCGCTGACTCGTGATCTCACAAAAGTCGCCAATCGTCGATAAGCGGTCAGCTGCACTCGTCTGTCGGGCGCTTGCAGCAGAGTAGTCAAGCGCGTCTCGTCGCCTTCCTGCTTGAATGCCGAGTCCGGCAACCTACGCACTAGCCTGGCAAGCAAAGCAGTCGTCTCGGACAAAGGAACGTTGATGCCCGACTCTAGCGGTTGGTCCAGGAACAACGGCCTCAACATGCTCAGCACATCCGCTTGTCTTGCGTTCCAAACTTCCCGCAGCGCTTGCGCCCGCGCTGCTCGTTGCTGAACCTGCTCCAAAAGTCGCAGGGCAGCTTGTGTCGTTGGCAGTCCGTCCGCAGTCCAGCCACCCGCCTCCAGCTGCGCCTCGAGCACGTCCAAAATGAGCTCGAGGTGGGAGCCGGGCATGTTGTCCACAATCGGAAGCAGTTCGGAAAAGATTTGTGATAATCGCACAAACGATTCGTCTCCGAGCTCGGCCTCCTCTGAAGCGTACCATTTCTGCACCGCTTGTAGCAGGAAGATGGCGCGCTGCTGCGGCACCAAAGCGACCGGCGCGTCCTCTGGCGGTGCAGCAGCCAGTAGGAGTCGAAGAAGCGGCAGTCCCTCCTTCTCCACACGCGTGGGTGGAATGCCAGCAAGGCGAGCCGCCAGCTCATTCCTCACTCGCTCGTAGACTGGCGAGGAAAGCACGAGCGGCTTGACGACTTTGAGAACAGCAGCTGCAGATGAAAGCTTGGAGTCAGTCGCTCCTTGCGCCAGACGCAACCAGGCTGTTCCCGCAGCCTCCGTCGCAGCACTGAAGCTAAGGATACCTGCTAGAAGCCTCGACAGGACTCGAGCCGCCTGGCTTTCGTTGCGATACCACAACGAATGCAGGGCAGCAGCAAGTCCCTCAGGAGCTGCGGAAGGCTTGCGGAGTGCATCCGTTGTCCCCAAGTGCCAATGGTCATCCAGATCGCCAGCCAAGCCAGATATCATGGCGGTAGCTACGTTGACAGCATCTGTAGCATACTTGGCAAGAGCTTGGGTGTGAGCGCCGGGGGCGAAGAAGAAGGGCGATGCAGCATGCAAAGACGTGGCATCTTCCGCAGCGATCGCGAAGAGGATGAGATGCGGCAGAGCCCAAGGAGTGGCGCGAGCCCCCTTGCCGGCCTTTGAAAGAACTTGGATCATGACAGCTACAGCGCGAGCGTATGTCGACAGTCCGGCTGCGTCGTACTCTTGCTTGCCTTCTGTCGCCGCCTTCGAATTGATGTCGTCGGCCTTGCCATAAGGCACAAGCGGGTCGAGCACGGCAAGCTCGGACCTTGGCCGAGAGGCGCAAGCCTCTGTGAAAAAGCTTGCCAGCTCCGCTTCAGATAGCAGAAGAGAGCTGCCGTCCGCTGTGGGTGGCAATGCCTCACCAGCTCGCAACAATGCTCTCAGTGATGTTTCAGGCTGCAGGATGCGCTCTCGCAGAAGCGCTACAGCAGCGACACCGGCGGTAGGCTCAGCTGCCAAGGCATTCCAAAGACGCGTTGCTGCCGTTCCATATTCTGGCGAGGGCTCGAGATGTGCCAAGCAGAAGACGGCAGCTGATGCGGGGCGTAGTGTGGGATCGGACACCAGCTTTTGCAGTCTTTCTCGCGTCGTGCACCAGGCTTCCAGAAGAGCAAGCAGCGTAGATGCGTGCCGCTTGCTCTCTTCGTTGGTACTTTGGGAACCCAATGCTTGGACCAAGAGACCAAGGAGAGCATTAGAGGTTGCCTGCGTCACGAATGGTAGAGGTCGATCCAGTAATCTGGACAGCACAGCTCTTTCACTTCCACTTGGTTGCTCGGTGCCGTTGAACACGGCCGTGCCGAGTGTAAGCACTTGTTCATCCAAACGCGCGCTGGTCACATTCTCCTCGCTGAGTAAGGAAGCAGACAGTGTTTCCGCGGCAGAGAACAGGGCTTCCAAAGCCTCAGCATCCAAACCAGCAGGCGAACTGATCGACTCCAAGGCGTTGGTCCAGACTTCTCCGCGCTCGTTGGCATCTTGAACCAGGGGCAAGTAAGATGCGTAGAAGTTTGCCGCTGCGGCGCCCGGCACATGGGCATCGCGCAAAGCTTGAGGCAAGACGTTTCGTGCAGCCGATGCCAACGCATTCGCTATGCCCTCCTCAGCATTGACGTGCGCTTCTGGGAAAGTGTGCAGGAGGGAGCCAATGAGGCTGACCAGTGGTGCGATCGAAGCCTCCTCTGTCGACGCGCAAAGAACATTTGCGGCAGTACCGGTGGAGTCCAAGACAAGCTCTCTGACGGCATTGTCGAGGCCATTAGGTGCTCCAGAAGCGCCGATCGCAGCAAGAGTCCGCACAGCTCGTGATAAAGCCAGCGAGCTGGTGCCCTGCTTGGCAAGGGCATGCAAGCTAGCTCTTGAGCGAGCGAGGATGGCCTTGACCAAGTACAAGTCTTCGCTGAATGCAGCAAGCCTTCTGACTGCTCCAGAGAATGGCTGAGCAGGCTCCAGAGCTGCTCGCGCTCGAAGCGGAACGTTGGCCGGGTCACTAGCCAGCGTCTCCCCCTCATCGCCCATCACGAAAGCGTTCCAAGGTCTAGCTAAAGACCAGTCAGCAAAGTCTGCCGCTTGTGACCGAGCGGTGTCATCGCCGGCGCGGAACATTCTGCCCGCAAGGAACGCAGCGCATTCGCAGTAGCTGGCTACGAACGCCCGAAGAGCCTGGGGATCGGCGCCTGCGCGAGAGGTCAGACCTGACCAGTGTACCTGCAGCAAAGCCTCTGACGCTTGAAAAGTGGGCGGAAGCAGCTTGGCTGGAATGCCCGAAATCAGCACGACTACCGCTGGGTACGCCAGGGAGGGCAATCCCGCACAGGCTGACGAAAGCCAACGCAGCAGCCCTCTCAACTCGCCAGCAACTGCGGAGATCGTGGCCACAGGACGGCCTTTCGCCTCGTCGTCCTCATCGTCTTCATCCCCGTCGTCAGAATCATCTTCTTCCTCTTCCGAATCTGAAGCTGCAGAGACTTCGTCTTCTGCGTCAGAATCGGAATCGCTTGCTGCCTCGACCTCACCAGGCACGGGAGTAGAGCGCGCCGGCGGCGCCACACTTCTCTCGAGATCAGACCTGTTTCGATCATCATTCTTCGGCTTTTCGAGTGACTGGCTCTCGTAAGCAGTTCCCCCTGCTGCTGCTTCGTCCGCTCCTTCTTCCACACCAGCAAGCTCCCAAGTCTCCGGCTTAAGCTTGAGGAGCGGTAAAAGCGCATCAATCGCAGCTCTCGCGCACGTAGCATCGCGCTCGGCCCAGAACGCTGGCATGGCGAGCGGCGCAAATACGGGCAGAGCAGCATCTAGCAACGCGGGTGTTCCAGAATTGACCAGTGATGAAACGAGCGACCATGCTCGGGCTCTGGCCAAGGGCGTTTCCGATCCGATGGGAGGCAGAGGTGGTGGAGGGGGAGGCGAGGGAGGCCGTTTCTTGTTGCGCTTGGCCTTCACGGCCTCAGGAGCTGGGGCAGGAGGTGCGGGCGATTCCAATTTGACGATGTCAGGAGGTGTCAAGAGAGACCACATTTCCGCAGAGGTCAAAAGCTCTTCAAACTGCTCCATAGGAAGTGGTGCCGGATGAGAAGCTGCAACAAAAAAACAAAGAGGCGTAGGCTCAGCTCTTGGATCGAAAGAACAGTTTCCGGGACGACTAACAAACGACCCAAGCTAACGCTCCCGCAGCTCCCGCGGCTAATCTGCCATCCGTCGCTCTGATATCTTCCTCGACGTTTGCATCATCCCGAGCCTTGGCGTCTCGGGCGAGACCCGAGTCGAAGCGAACAGGGGCATGCGGTACCGGGGTACCCGCGCCGCTCGCATTGTTGCTGTTGGCTGCTGGAGCAGTCTCGCGGAGAGCGGCAGCAGGAGAAGGGCTCAACAAGAGGAGACGCAAATGTGGCAAGAGGGTGTAAAGCTGCTCCCTAGCGTCCAATCGTTGATCCGCAGTGGCCATGGTCCATTGCACAAAGCCTTCCAAGGCCGTCTTGGCCCCCCTTGCGACGCCACGATCTGTGTCGTGCGCCAACACTACCAGAGGTCCGAGTGTTGACTCTACGTATGCTGGTGTATTGAGCATCTCGGCTCTGGTATGGCCCTGTGTAAGCAGGACGGCATGTATGCTTGCTGCTAATGATCGCAATCTCCTCGTAGGCGATATAGACAGTCTTGGAAACAAATGCGCCTGTCGCGTGGAGGAGCGAGTCAGAATGATGGCTTCGAATCAGCTCCGTCGAGGTCTGTCGTGCGACACGGCGCTTACACCGTTGGATCACGCTTACTCACCCAGCAGGGCAACCACGTCACTTCTGCCTCTCTCCTCTCGTCATCGCTAGCAGTGATGCCTTCCTCATCGCTACCTCTGACCCAAGAAAGCAGAGCCTCGCAAGCTCTCGTCCTCGTAATCACGTCCTTCTTGCTGGCTCTTCTCAGCAAGACGACCAACCCAGCAGGCAACAAGCTGGCCAGTCCCATGTCGTCCAAAGGATCTGGAGGAGGCGGGGGAGGTTTAGGAGGAGGAACAAACATCTTCTTTTGATTCTTCTTCTTCTTCTGACCCCTTTGCTGTTGCGAACCACCTTTGGATCCTTTGCCCTTTCCGACAGTGTCAGGATCAATGCCCTGCTTCTTCAACGCTGCCCTCTCATTTTTTTTCCGAGTGGCAGGAGTGGCCGAACTCTTGCCTTTGCCTGCCGTCTTGGGCATCTTGATTGGACAAAGCCTCGAGGAAAGAGAGGCTCAGCAGGTGGTAGACGCGTTCGAGCGCAAGGTGGAGGCTGTATTTCGACTTCGATGTGTAAAGACCCACCAGCGGTAGGACCAAGCAAAGTGACCTCGATCAAAGCAGTGCGCGTGGTGGTGCGCTACAGCAGTAGTTTTGCAGTTCACAGAGCCTGTCGTCGAGGGTGTCTTTCGCTCTTTGCGTCCTGCTGGAGGTGATGGATTGAGAAGAGGAGCGAAGATTTGATGCCGACACAGGAGGATCATCCAATGCTTCTGTCACTGTGCGCACGCGTACAGGTTATGGCCGCGCGCACACACCATCACCTGCATGCATGCACAGCATGATTACCTATATCCTACAGCACCAGCAGTCGCGATCAGCACGCGCATGCTCGGCTGCATGGCTCCAGCCTGCCTGCCTGCAGTTACGCGTCACACGACTCCACACTTTTGATCCTCCCTCAAAGGTAGGTGGGGTAGGCAGGCTCTGCTCGAGCAAACTCCAGCAAGGTTCGTGATAAAAGAGTGGTTTTACTGCTCGTCAGGCCTATCGACGACCATCGCACTCTTGTGGGTATTAGATTAGGCAAGGCCAAGTGCATGCTGTATTCACGATGAACATGCACAGGCGCCAAAGTTGCACGGATGTATGCGCTCCAAATGCAATTGGAAGCGAACCAAGAACGCTCGATTCATTCAGATTGATTGCGGTGATAATGTTACAATTGTCCAAAGCTTTGCATAATCCCTCGGATCAAAATCCATACCTCTCATTGGCTTTCCGCTTGTTACTTCTGTGCGCCGCCCATTTCTCTTCCAGCCTTTCCCTCTCCTCATCCGCATGAGCGAAAAGGGCCGAAAGTTGTCCCTTTTGTCTAGCTCTAAAGCCAGCTTTATCTTTCTTGTCCTTTTTCTTCCCGTCTCTATCTCCATCCTCTTCTTCTCCTTCTACAACGCCACCATTGGCTTGCGCTTGTTTCATCGCTGCGGCGACCGCTGCGTACCTAGCGTCCGAACGAGCAGTAGCAGCGGGTGCCTGTCTATTGCTTGCATTCGATGGCGCTTCATACGCTTCCGAAGCACTGCGTCCAGCATCGATCGTATACAGTTGGTCCGCCTTCAATCCGGCTCGAGCAAGTTCCGCATTCGCTTCTGCCGTGCCCAAGGATCGTCTTCCTGCGGATGAGTTGCCTGCAACAGCCGCTTCGGAAGACTGAGAGGAAAGCCAAGATGCGTATTGGGCGTGCGCTGCTGGAGTGATTGGCACCCATGTGCCATCCGGATCTTGAGTCCATCCAGGATACGCTTCTGCTTCGCCACTGTTGAGCGTAGGTGCCGCTTGTACTGAAAATTTGGACTTGAATCCACCAGGCGAAGCGCCGTTCGTTGTGGCGTGCGTGGCAGGCTCAGCATCCTCGGGGGCGTCTGCATGGTGGGAAAGAAGGAGAGCGAGCTGCGACGCTTAGCAAAGCGAGCGGCCAGACTACCGAGGCAGGCTCAGCAGTACTCACCGAGCCCAAAGAAGCCACCTAAAGCTAAAGCATCTTTCTTCTGCGCAGGAGATCGCTCTTGGGCGTCTGCATGTCGTGCTCCCACATTGACGCTCGATGAAGCTATGCGTGGCGTGGCTGAGGCAAGCCTGGGTATGGACATGGATGCCGACGGGACTTTGAGCACTTGCGACGAATTCGGAGCTGGCTTTGCGCTGGGTGGTAGGCCAAGCATGGCGCGGAAGGCATCGTTGCCTTTCGAAGGGTGCGAGCCAGATGATTGCGCACTGCTTGACGCTGCCAAATCCTCTTTCTCCTCCTCCTCTTGTGCCTCCAAAGCATCGTCATCTGCAGGCTCTCTAGTCTCTGGTGATCCACCTTCGTCGACACCTACTGCTGAAGAGCCTGAGCCGGATATCGCGCCCAACTGTCCGTTGGATGCTGTGACGGCCTGATCGGTCTTTGGTGGAGGTGGACCTTTGACAGCAGGCAGCATACCGAGCAGCGAGTGCGTCTTCTTCCCTTCAGAGCTCTTCTCTGCTCCATCTTCGAGCCGCGGTCGTTTTGTTGATGCTGCACCCACAGCAATCGTCTCTTCGCCTTCGTTCTCCACATTCGACGCTCTCAAAGAAGAGAGCGACGCAATGTTGATTTGCCGCTTCTTTGGTGGCGCTGGAGTCTGAACTAAGCAGTGCTTACTGCTCGAAGTAGTAGTGGGAGCAGGAAGCAGCGAAGCCAGGCCCTTCGAGACATTGCTGCTCGAAGGAGCGATGTGGCTTGCTGTTCCAGCAGCACTCGTCTGTTTGCTGGGTCCTGTAACATGGCTCGGCCCGCCCTGCTCGTCCGAGCCGGAGTCAGAATCATATCCGGACACGAGCGGCATGTTGAGCTTGTCTTGGAGAGGAACTCAGCACCGCGGTGCTCCTGAGTGGTGGTGTCGTCAGTCGAGGCGTAACAGGCGCACAAGCGCCTTGGTGCGCGCTCGGGTTGTAATCTATGTGAACAAGTCGTGATCGAGTGTACAGGTAGTGATGGGGGGAAAAAGATGGTGCAGGCAAGAGGTCGTGGGCTGGCCGACACGTGATTGCGCATCAAGAGGATCTGCGCGAGCACGAAAAGCGGCAGGTCCATGCATGCATGCATGCTTGACGTAGCAGCACGCAGCAGCAGTCGTGATCGAGTGACGAGTGACGTGGACACAGCAATCAAGAATCAACGCGCGCGGACATCCAAACTCGTGACTTAGTTGGACGGGCAGCAGCGGATCGGCGGTGTTCGTGCTCGTGGGGGTCCTTCCGTGAAGCGCATCATGCGCAGCTCTATACGGGCATGCAGGAGCATCAAGAGCAAGCACACAGCAACCGCCTGTCTGCCGGTTTCAAAACCGTAGCGAAGAGATGAGAGGATCATGCAGCTGCAGCAGGGACCGCTAGCAGCTGATGACTATCGTCTATACCCATGGTGGTGCTGGGCAGTCAGGCAGGCAAGCACTTATTGCTGTTCATCCGACTGCATCGCGCTGTTGCGTGCACTGATCACTGGTTGTCTCCCATCTTTCCCCCTCCCCTTCATACCTCGTTCCATCTGCTCGATCACCACCCGTTTTGTCCTCGTGCTTGTCAAGACATCAGAGGTCCTAAGTTGCCTCGCTCACACTATCTGCGCCACTGAGCGCCAGACCTCACGACCACATTTCTCACGCGGTCTCTGTTTTTTCTCACCTTCGCAACTCGGCCTACACGTGACGCACCGGCCGGGCAGTACTTGATCGTACACGTCACGTCTTCAAACGCCAAGCGCATACATTCACGACACCTGCAACGATTCCGGAAAGCATTCATGAGAGCAGCTTGAAGCCCCCACTACTCGGCTCAGCTGTCGTCACTACCACCGCATACGTTTCCCTCCTCCGACATGAGCGCCGAGCATTCTACCGATTCTTCACCTCCCACAGGTGCCGGTGAGCCTTCAACTGCCACACAACTCCAATCAGTGGGAGAGCCGTCAAGAGTGCACGCAGCAAAGCCATCCGTAGCAAATGCCGCCTCCCTCTTTGGTGCTGATGGCGATGCGGATCCATTTGCGAGCATAGCTGCCGAGCCACAGACCGTTGACGGGGCAGATGCAGGTGCTGGTGGCACCACTCAAGCTTCTGCGTTGAGCACCCTTGGAGAAGAAGCGGAGCCAGCATACAGCTCGAATGCGACACCTACCGCCCTGCAAGTGCCAGACAGTCACGCACATAACGACTCGCTGGCAAGTCCGTCAAGCTTGTTCGGAGAGCAAACAGCGAGCGCTGCTGGTGTCGATGACTGGTTTGGGGGCTCAGCAGCACATGCAACTGCCGACTCTACAGGCGATCAGCAGGGTCAAGGTGCGCACGGTGCAGACTTGGCAGATCCTAATGCTTGGCCATCCTACGATGACTATGCTGGACAGGGCGCACAGGAGTACGGCGAGCAGCACGATGCTTACGGCGCCTACGAAGGCTATGACGCGCAACAGGCCCAGAATGGACAGTACGGCTCATACGATCCCGCACAACAGGGGGCGTACAGCGCTCAGTATGGCACGTATGATGCATCTCAGCAGCACACTTATGATGGTCAATATCAAGCCCAAGAGATGCCTCAATCGGCGCCGCAGAGCGCTCAGCAGTATGGAGCGTATGGAGTGTCGCAGCAGCAACAGAATACCTATGAGGTCGGGCAGCACGATTACGGCGCACCTCAAGGTGGTCAGGGCTATGCGGACTATTACAGCGAAGGCTATGATGCTGCCGAGCAATCAGCTCAAAATTACACGCAGCAGGCTGACAGCTACGAGGCCGGCACTGGCCACCAGAATGGCTACGATCCAACTCATGCGCATGCGAACTATGCAGGTCAGCAATCAGCTCAAAGCTACGCTGCCGACGTGTACGGGCAGCAGTACACAACTGATCCTGCCAATCAGTATGGACTCCATTCCGATTACGCGAGCAACGCTGCGTACGACCCAAACGCCCAGCAAGGCGCTTACGACTACTCACGAGCACATCACAACGCCCCGCAAAACGAGCCCGAGGAGAGTTGGCAAGAGTCCCATCGGCCACAGCATGACCCATACGCACCTTCACAAGGTGTGGCGGGTGCGTATTCGAGCGACGGTCAATACTACCACCCTGAGAATGCCGAGACCAACAATTACTCATACGGCGCACAGTACGGCGATGCGACGCTTGTTCAGACAGATCCTTACGATCCTCACAATGGCTACTCTGCTCCTTACGCAGCAGGGCCTTCGGAAGTCCCGACACAAGACGTGGTATCTTTACCGCCTTCGGCCTCCCAAGCTCCACCCAAGGGCCCTCCACGCGGTCCACCAAAAGGCCCTCCGCGTCGCAAAGTGGAGACTGAAGCGCAGCCGGCCAGCAGCACCGCAGAGCAAATTCGAGAGCCAGCAGCCCCTTATGCGGCTGGTCCTGGATCATATGAGAACACAGGCGTGGAGCAGAATCCCACGGAACTTGATGGGGCGGCAGCTGAGAGCGGAGTGTCTGGTTACGCTTCTCCTCAAAGTTGGGCGAACAACCTGGAGAGCGCTGTGAGCCCGCCTCCACGGGCAAATGCGTCCAGTAGAGGGGCCAATCCTTCGACCATTGAGGACCAGATTGTGCCACAACCTCCTGCGCTTACCTTTAGCTCGTACGAGAGTAGCGGGGCCCTCGAGGGTACGCAGCCCAGTCAGGCCGTTGAGGAGGATGCGGATCAGACACCACCAGCGAACGTTGCGCCTCTGCCCTCGAATGGCCCGGATACGGAAGGAGCTGAGGCTGCTCTTCGAGACTTGGATCTGGAAGGCACAGAAAGCGCAGAGGCGCGTCAGCTTGCGGACGAGAACGGCCAAGACTCGCACCACGTCTACAGCGTAGCAGATCCTAGTAACGAGGCGTACGGAAGCTACGCGGCCGCCGCAGCTACTGCTGATGAAGGAGGCTCTGCCTACGAAGCTTTTGGAGAAGAGCCTGCGACTGCTGACGGGGAAGGACAAGGCTCGCTGTACGAGCAGCAATATCAGTCCGGCAGTCAGTCACAATACGGCTACGAGCACCCTCCTGAGCCTTACGGACAAGAGACGCACGTGTCTCAGTACAATCCCTACGCTCCGCGGAATGCCGGTGTGAATGGATCGTACCAAGACAGCAACGCTTCAAGCAGTGCCATCAGCGAAGATGGTGGTTACGGATCTTACTCGGCTTTCCAGAACGGCCTCTCGGTCGATGACCAGCATGAAGAGGCGCCTTATTCTGCCGGCCCGCCATCCAGCCAATATGCGGCTTTCCGCCATGAGATACCGCAGATCAACCACCCGAGCAATGCTGGCGAGGACCCCTACGCCGATGAAGCCCCGACGCCGCGTAGCGCTTATATTCCTGCACCTGGCAGGGATGTCCCAGATGGTAGTCAGACTGCACCTGTGCACAGTTCGTCGCATGACCTCAGTGGTGCACTCTCGCCGTGGGGTGCTGGCGGCGCTCAGGAGGCTAGAGTGCTCACCCCGAGCTCTGGAGGTACCACGATTCAGCCGCCCACCGCTTTCAAGAAGCGCATTCGTGACCTGGACCACTCAAGCTCTTCGGGGAGCTCCGGCGCGTACTCGCCCTCCCAGCAACCTGCGTCGTTGCCGCCAAGCACTGCCATGTCCTGGGGAGGAACGGATCTCAACGGAAGCGACTCACCTAGCGAAAAGTACGGCAGCACCCTGGGCAGATCTGGCACGGTCACTCAGCGTAGCGTCAGCTCTCAAAACCTGCACTCCGCACCTGTCGGGGCAACCGACTCGGCCTCATACTTTGCCTTGCAGCAGTCATCTGCGCACGCTGGTACTTCGCCTGGAAGCATTGGTGCGAGGTCTTCGTCCGTCTATGGAGCGAGCAGTACAAATTTGCATGCGCAGTACTCGTCTGGTCATCAGAGGCAACCGACGGATTCAGCTGAAGAGCGCCAACGGGCGCGTATTGGCATCGCCACTTTTGGTCTGGATGGCAAGCTCGTCACCTTTTTGCCAAACGCTGCTGCCGAGCCTGGCACCGGCTCGGGCGCGGGCGCGGGCACACCGTACGGCTTCGGAGCGGCTACGTCGCGCATGACCGTCCGAGTGAGCCAATTGTCAGCTGCAGTGTCTTCGCACACCTACGGCAAAGCGCTAGACTTTTTGCGCTTTCCTGGGCCCCTCTTCGATGGGACTCCCGGCGCAGCGACTGGTGGTGCGCTTTCGCGTGGAACTAGCGGAACTACGGCAGGCGCTAAAGCTAAGAAGACTGCGCTGGTGAACTACTTGAACGAAGCTGTCGCTGAGATGGAACGAGGTGTGGGCTACCTGAAAGGGAGAAGACCTTCCTTTGTTGGCTCACATGCTCAAGGCGCACCTGTGGTTGAGGATGAGGAGGGTGGTGCTGATGGGCAGCGCGCTGAAGATAGGGCTCTTTTGATGAGACTTCTGCTGGTGATGCTCGAACACGATGGTAACACGCTGAACAAGTGAGTGTGGCACTGCAACGGGGCAACTTGCCCGCTCAAGCGGTCATGCTGACTTCTCGACGTGGCCACCTATACAGTCCCACCTTCGATTCTGCAACGCGCAGCTTACTGCTCGAAGGAACACCGCACGTGACATCCGGGAGCGGCAGTTTCGGCTCAGCCGGACTGCCCTTTGGGTCCAGCCAAGGTCCAAATGCTGAGCAGACGTTGCAGATTCACAAGCTCAGCAGCGTCTTCCTCGATCGGGTTCAGACACTCTTGCGAGCTGGAGAGAGGAGAGAAGCAGTAGCTTTGTCAGTCGAGGGGAAAATGTGGGCGCACGCCATGGTCATTGCTAGTAGCGTGGACAGAGAGTTGTGGAAAAGCGTCGTAGAGCAGTTCACGGACTCTGAGCTGAGCGCACGGTCCTCGGCGGAAGGCCTTCCGCAGGCGACCGAGGACGTGGACCGCCACAGTCTACGCGTAGCTTACGCCCTCTTCTCGGGACAAGAATCCAGCACCAGTGAGTCTCGCGGCTGCATCGAGCCGGCAGTAACATATCTTCTGACCATCTGTCTTTATGCAGTTGCTAAATCATTCCGGACTTCAGAAGCTCATCAGCACGGCCTCACGAACAGCTACGACACCATCAAAGCTCCGAAGGGTGCGCCTCGTTGGCGAGAGGCTGCTGCGACCATCTTGGCGAATCGGGGCGTCAGTGGCGATTCGGCAGCTCTGACTGCTATGGGTGATGGGCTCCTGCAAGGTGGCTGGGTTGAAGCTGCTCACATTTGGTGCGTTGACTCGGCCTGAGCTTGCTCTGCCACCGGGCAGCGCTGAGGTGTTTCTTCCTGCGTGCACAGCTACTTGTTATCGCCACAAACAGCCGCGCTAGATGGAGTGGACGGACCCGCGGTCAGACTCACCTTGCTCGGTGCTCATAGCCCTGCTGCTAGCACGGACTATCTCAGGGACTTGGACCACATCTTGCTCACTGAGATCTATGAGTTCATTGGGTCATTGCGACCGGTAGCGAAGGGCGGGGAGGCCTATCCAGGACTGCCTCACTTGCAGGCCTTCAAGATGCTGCATGCACATCACCTTGCAGAGCTTGGCGACACAAAGGGCGCTCAAAAGTATTGCGATGCTGTCGCCAGCGTTCTCAAAGGAGGCAAGATGTCGCGCCATTATCATCACGCCTTTGTGGGACAGCTCAAGGAGCTGACCGAACGTGTGAATGGAGGTTCGCAGGACAGCAATGGTGCTAGCAGCGGCTGGATGACCCGCAAGATCTCTCAGAGACCCACCATGGATGGCATGTGGAGCATGCTCGAAGGCAGATTTACCAAATTTGTAGCTGGCGAGGACGGCGAGTCGACGGTCGACGCCAAGTCCAATGGCAAAGGCGCAAGAGCGACGGGAAGGAACGATTCTGCCTCTGGCACAAACACCGGTGCTGTTGGACCTTTCTCCCATTACAGCGCCATCACGCCGGACAACACATCTGGGAATATCACACGCGTCCAGTCTTCTGCAGACTTTCACGCCTCGAACGTGTATGGACCGGGCGCTCCGTCGGGCAATGGCAGCTTGCCACCGTCCCGTGCTGGCTCGGCCATGGCTTTCGATATAGGACAGACGCAGACACCCCTCCAGAGCTCAGGCTTCGAGACCAGCTACCCGTATGGTGCGCCATACAGTGCCGGTGGCTCGGAGTGGGGTCAGCCCCCTACGGCAAGCTCGCTCAATTCGGCTTATGCCAATCCGAGCCATACGCCTGATCCGTACAGCAGCGACAGGGGCTCAGACTATGGTGGGGGTCCCTACACTAGCTACGGAGCGACTGGGAACGCACCGTGGCCGGGAAGCACGGGAGGGTATGGCGCAGGTGAAGAAGAGCCACGCAGCGCCCTGCAGCCACCGGAGGAGCCGTACTACGGATACCAGCCGCACGGAGCTCAACAGCCGCAATTCTTTAGCAACGTCGGTGGCGAGTCGTCCAATGTGGTGGAGTCAGAAGATGGTTTCATCTCTACGATGGGCTCGTCCTTTGGCGCACCGGTTCCGACTGCCTCATCGCACGCTCAAGCCAGCGCTAGTACTGCTCGCTTCGATGAGCCCGACGACGAAGAAGATGACCTTGGCTTTGGGAATGCGAGCACCGCAAAGAAAGCGAGGGAGCGCGAGGAGGCGTCTAAAGCCGTTCAAGAGAGCGATCCTGGCAAAAAGGCAGACAAGGCGCCCGAGAGGCCCAAGGATGATTCCAAAAGTGGGGGAGCCCCAGCAAAGCCTGGTGAGTCCACGTGCACGCCGAAGTCCTGCCTTGCCAAGACCTGCACTCAATTTCGCGCCTCTTTTCGCAGAAATCAAACCCAGCGGCTCTTGGCTTGGCCGAATCTGGGGCCGCAAGGAGGCACCTCCTGCTGCAGATCCTCCGGGTGGGCACAAAGCACATTTGGGAGAGGAAAGCGTGTTCTATTACGACAAGGATCTCAAGAAATGGGTCAACAAAAAGGTGGGTGTTGTGGGTGCCGATGTCGTGACATTCGCTTTCGATTGCTTTGACTGATGCCCGAGCCCCTGCACGCATCGATGTAGGCCGGATCCTCAGCGCCTTCGGCGGCCGCAACGCCTCCGCCTCCTCGAGCTCAAACAGCCTCGCCTTCCGTGGGAGGTCCTGGGGCCGCCAAGCCACCTTCCCGTACGCCAAGCGCCATGAGCATGAGTGCGGCGTACTCAGCTTCGGCAGGTCCACCATCGAGCAGGTCTACGCCGCCGCCGCCGATCAGCGAAGAAGGTTCTAGCAGCCAAGAAACGTCCCTACGAGGTCTGGCAGCTCCTCCGCCCTCGGCATTTAGACAAAGATCCAATCTGGGCGATCCCAACCTGCCAGCTGCTTCGCAACCGACCATGCACCGATCGGCGTCGAATGCGAGTATGCCAGGCGGTGGCGCTGGACCACCAGGAGCCTCAGCTACGCCTCCTCCACCCCCTGTTGCCACCGGCACAGTCGGTCGCGGGAACAAGAAACGGCCGATTGCTAGCCGCTACGTCAAGGTGGATCCGTGATGGTCGGCTCGAAACTCGCTTGTTCGAGTAGTTGTAAATGTACAATATGTTGCAGATCCGCTCTTATCACCTTGCCCTTGCCCCCTTGATGCATTGCCACGCTGACGCCAAATATGGCTCTTGCCACGTCGACAGACGCGCTTGCGTGGCATGGTGTAATGACGATCACCATATCTGCTATCTGGTTGCGAAGGCGGAATAACTCGATGACATTTAGATTGCGGTGACGAGAGACGGAGCGGTAGAGCGTGAATCAAAGCTTGCTGGATTTGTGCATCAGCAACTCAACATGGTGGAATTCTAAGTCCCAGCCTTGACCTCTTTGCAGAGCAAACGGCCCGCAGCGACCTGTCGTCCGCACAACCACAGCTCGAGGGGCATAGAGACGAGCGCGGCAATAAGAATGCCAAAAGAGTCTGCCAATCCAATGGAGCCTATTCTGAATTCGTGTTCCTGAGACAGCCTCGTCCTTCTTTCCTGCTCCGACTCGGTGGCCAGACTCGACTCGCCATCAGCAGCACGGGTTGTCGATTTGTCTAGCGAGTTGGAAGAATCTCGTGAGAGTTGATAGAAGACCGAGACGCTGTGGGGTCGGAACAAACGTGGCGTTGAACAGCGGCTCGTATTCGCGCTCTCCGGAAGGAGATGGCTGCAAAGTGTACACTCACTAGGCGCTGCCCCCTGCGAGTCCCTCTAGGCACACGAGAACGATGACCAGGGGGCTGGCGATGTTCTGTGGCTTGACAGCAACGCTCAGTTTGTGTGCGTATCAGCTTCACGGACGGGCTGCAGACTGCACTCACGGGCGAGAACCAAGCGGAGAGACTCTCCGAGATGAGTATGGCCAGTAGAAGACCTTGCAGGATAGCCGGTATCCACAACAGCCGCTGAGGAATAGCTGGCAGACGCAAGATGCTGATAGACGATCTTGAGAGAAACACGAACGTCTGATATGTCAACTGGCTGCGCAAGGTGAGGGCAAAGTCGTAGACAACGGCAGGTCAAATTGAGATGAGTCTCGTGCGCATGGCTGACAGCTCGCAGCATGGCCTGGCACTCACTACAGAGGGTAGTAATCGCTAAGCTTCTTAATGAAGAGCGAAAGAATCCAGTGTTCGCTGGGATCCGGCAGTGGATAAAGCAGCGTAGACGCTACGCCTTGATTGATCGTGTATTCGAAAAAGTAGACCAATACAAGCGGAGCAATGTAGACAAGCAGCATGGGCTTGATCAATTGCATCTTTCGAGCAAAAGGGACCGACACTGCTGCCGAAGTCGGAAGGCCTTCCGGGTCTTCTTGATGGCCCTGCGCGCTAGTAGCTCCAGGTCTGGCATCGTCATTTTCCTCTTCGCCGTCCACAAAATCCGCGTCAGCTTCTTGCGTACCAATCGCAGTGTAGCCGGCTGGCACCTCGGCACCAAGCGCTTCTTTGCTCGGCAGGATGACAAAGTATGCCAGAGCCATGATGCCGGGCAGAATTGATAGCAAGGTCAAACCTCCTTTGACGCCCAGAGGTCTTACGATCCACCAAGCTGCAGCGCCTAGTAGTCCAGCAGCACCTGTACCCGAAGCGAACCAGCTGTTCCAAGCGAGTCAACGGGCCGACGATCAGTCGCAGGTTTCCCGCATGTAAGAGCGTACATCCATTGGCACTCACCCAACTCCGTCACCCGCTCCGCTGTGGCCGTACCTCGTGTTAAGCTGCAGGAAGGTCAGTTCGCCAAGACCGGAGCTGAAACTAGCCATACTGATCCCGATCAGTTTGTTTTCCAGCGAAGTCGAGAACGCAATGAGCTGCGAGCAACGTGAGTGAGCGCGGAAGCGAAGCGGGGTCATTTCGCGGTCAGTCCTGGATCTTTGCGACGCGGAGCCACTGGATTTGCAGCAGAAAGGTTGGCGCGACAACGCCAAAGGCCTGCAATGACGGAACGCAACTCACAATCATCCCCACAAAGCTGATGGTGGAGCAAGCGACGACCCTCCTAGCATATCGAATCTCTCCCTTGAGCACATAAGGCCAGATAGCCTTGGCAACGAGTGCAGGGGCGATGTTTGCAGCAGCCACCACGCCAGTCGGCACCCCTCTGGGTAAGAGCTCGAGCGCAGCAGTGAGGATGACGACATACAGAGCATTGTTGAGTAGACCAAAGAGAAAATTGGATAATCTGAACAAGATTCTGGTTCGGGTCAGGGGCAGGTGGGAGTCGGATGGAGAATGTGAATGTACCACGTATGCATGTGGTCGAGCAGGGGAAAGAGACGAAGCATATGGATGCATGTTGCGCAGCGTGGAGCTGGATGCGCTCGATCTTGCGTCTCCCACCGATCTTTGTAGATCCTCCAGTTGTATGCTGCCTGCTTGAGATCGAATAGACTCTGATTGGCTCATGAGTCACGGGCGGGAGATGAAGAGCATGTATGCGCCGATACTGGGGAACCTTCTGTTGTGGAGACGTTCCCCTGTGAGAGGCAAGGCGATGCGGATGATCTGAGCTTTCATCCGCGCTTGTGCTGGGCAGCGCTTTGTCCCCTTGAAGCCAGGCCCTGCCAACGTGCGTGTTGAGTTTCGCTCTAAAATGCCATCGATAGCCAAAGAACTCGAGGCCAAGGAGCGCAATACGTAGGTGAGCTCCTTCCTTCAGTCCAATCGCACTGTCGAGGAATGGTGAGCTGCGGCTCGCAAATTTCCTGGCGACGGATTGGATAGCTTGTGATGAAAGTAGTGGTGCGGTAAGATTAGGCGTCTACGGTAGGTAACGTATGCTGTGCATGCATGCATGCCCATACATGTGTGATCGACTGATCGGTCTCCAGGCACACGCATCCTCTGGGCGGAGCTATGTACGCGTGCAGCCAAGATGAGATCGCGTGTGCGAGCCACGTGGTTTGGTATAGCACACCGTCACCGTCGGTCTCCTCTGGGATAGTCGACCTTCGGCTTGTGCTGAGGCGAGGAAAGAAGCGTTGCATTTGTCATTCCAATGTATATGTTGACCATTCAGAATATGTTGCACCATGAGGTCCATGCCATAGTCGAAAATAATCCTCAGCCGGTCAATGAAGTCGGCTACGTGCGCTTGGCACTCGACTTGAATCACGGCTTTTTTGAAATTGAATGAGGGATCTCGATCTTGCAAGTTTGGCTCGAGAGTTCCGTAGCTCACGCCGCGCTTTAATGCACCATTCTTGAGCGATAGGGAATATTTTTAAAACAATGATATTTCAAGGGAGCGATGACGCCTCGTCTACGGAATTTATCAGCATGTTGACGATTGCCGGTGGTATAGGTCGAGCGCCAGTTGGGAGTGGTTTCGGATCTGCTCTGAGAGCGACGCGCGATAGGTGATCTCTTTCTCGTACGAGAAAACAACGAGGTGGGCGCTACGCGCGCCCACCGCCGCCAGCCAGCGTGCGCGCGCACGCGATGTGCGCTGCTGCTGCTGCACGCGTCAGCCAGCAGCATTGTCGCCTCTCTATTCAGCGCGGCCGCGCCTTTGACTGTCGCGAGAGGGCGGGCGCGCGTCGCCAAAAGTCATGCACGCACGCGGCGTGGCGATCAAAGCACGCGAAAGGTGGATTCGGTTGTGACGATGAAATCACGACTCGTGACTGGGCTGATGATTTCCGCCGCGATGGCGTACATGCAAGGTCTTTTCAGAGGTCCATGTCGTTCAGAGGGCCGAGCGTCTCCCCTCAATCTGCTTCTACACCTCACACACATCGCTTGTCTTCCCACTCATCATCTTGCAGGCTCGGCATCATCAGGACCAGATGCCGATTGAACCAGCTACACGAGTTTCAACCACGCGCTTCCACTCTCCCCCATCACTGGCTTCGATCGATTGTCATCGCTGCCACGTGCGCCTTGAGGAGCGTGACAGCGCGTAGCATACACCACCAAGTCATCTACACCACACAAAAGGGCAGCAAGGGTCTGCGAGTCAGCACCGCGTGAACTTTTCGAGCTGCTGCACCTTGGTCCGGTACCTCTTCTGTTCGCCGCCCATTTCGTCTGTGCGTCTCAGTGTCATCACTGTCCGTAGTCTGGGCACACTTGGATGCGCCTTGCCACCATGCCACCACGCCATCACCACAGTGGAGGGGCAACAATAGGCAATGCAGGTGGTGGTGGTTCTCCATTTCCACCTTTGGGTCTAGCAGCAGCGGGCGCCATACCTAGTGGCACACACACTCCCGCCAACAATCCGTCTACGTCTGGAGACTCGGAGGGAAATGCGTCTTCTAGAACAGGTCTGCCGCCCTCTACTGGGAAAGTGGACACTGCTGCTGCCCAGAGCTGCAGAGTGCAAGACGCGTATTGGAGCGAAGATGAGGTCAGTGTGTGCGGTACATGTGCATTCTGGAGAGAGCGGCGAGAGAGGTGCGTCTCATTGAACAGAATCTGCTGGCTGACCTTTGTCGCTTCACTGTCGTCCTTTTGCAGGAGGACATGGACTGCCCGCTGTGCTTGGAAGAGATTGATCTGTCAGACGCCAACTTCAGGCCTTGTCCTTGCGGCTACCAGGTACGCGCTTTCCGCCCACTGGGTGCAATCGTGGCACTTTGGCATCGGTCTACCTGCTAAAGCCTCCCCTCTAATCTCACTCAGATTTGTCGCTTCTGTTGGCACCACATCAAGCAGAATCTGAACGGAAGATGTCCGGCTTGCCGGCGCAAGTACAGCGATCAAGCCGTGGAGTTCACGCCAATGACCCCAGAGGAGTGAGTGTAGCATACATGCGCTACCTGATTCGGCTGTGCGCGTCGCATGAGAGAGAGAGAGGTATCGGCTGACACCGATCGCTCGCCTGTCAGGATCAAGCGCTTGACCCTTTCCAAACGGCAAAAGGAAAGGGAAAAGAGAGAGCTGGAGCAGATGAATCGAAGACACTTATCCAACGTGAGGGTGGTCGTCAGAACTTTGGTCTATGTGACAGGCTTGAGCCCGCGGTTGGCTCGCGAGGAGGTGAGTTCGTTTTCTTTGCAGCAGTGTCTGCATCGTCACAGACTCGCTGACTTTCCACATCGCCGCCGCCCGCCCCACGTGGATAGCTCATACCGACGCTGCGCTCCAACGAGTACTTCGGCCAGTATGGGCGTATATCCAAGATTTTGATCTCGAAGCGCACAACAGCATCAAAGTTGGTCATGGGCACCTCGGAGTCAGCACTAGGTGTGTACATCACTTACCATCGCAAAGAAGACGCCGCGAGGGCGATTGTGGCGATCGATGGGAGCAAAGGTTCCGACGGGCGCACGCTAAGGGCCAGTTTTGGAACGACCAAGTACTGCACCACGTACTTGCGCAACTTGCCTTGCACCGTGCCCACTTGCACTTACTTGCATGAGCCGGGTGAAGAAACGGACACATTCACAAAAGAAGATCTTAGCACTTTGTGAGTAGATCCGTCGGGCGGCGCTCAGGCCTCGACTGACCAGGGGCTTCACTCACTGCAGGCGCCACGCGACCAAGGACGCTGAATTCAAGCTCAAGCCTAGCGCGGCTGCGATTCAAGCCGCCACTCAGTCTACGCGTCGAACAGACCCATTCTCGAGTTCGGGTGCGCCGGGCTCAGATAGCTCAGCGGCAGCCTTTGGCACTACGCCAGAAGGCTCTGCACTTCCCAAGACTGCCAGCTGGGCTAGTGCAAAGGCTCCAGGTACGCCTATTGCGCCTACACCTGCTTTGCCCGTCTCGGGCGTCATTCGCGACTCTGAGCTGCCATCTCTTGCCGCAGCTACGGCCGCGAGGGAGGCACAAAGAAAGGCCAGCTCTCACACCAAGCAGAGCGCCAAGCAACAAGCAGCGCCAAGTCTCGATGGCTCAGCTCCCGCATCTCCGGCTCCAGTCAACGCGGCTCTCGCTGCGCCCACTACTCCCGCGTCCACGTCAAAGAGCCGAGCTGCGCAGCGGGCTGCTACCGCAGTGGCTGCCAATGAGCCGTCAGCTGAGCCAGAGCCAACCGAGCTGGCGGAACCTTCAGAAGGCGCATTGAAGGACCCTAGCACCGATATGGCGCCTCAAGCTGAGCCGCTACCAGCGCAGCCAGACGACTTGACTTCTAGGAGAGCGTCAGACTCGAGTTCGGGCAAGGCTGCTCAAGCAGGTGGAGGAACCTCCAGACCACCCGGACTTGCTCCGCCGGGCTTGATCAAGGTCTCAGCAACAGCAAGTGCGGAGGCGCCGCCAGGGCTCGGACCTCCTCGAGTAGCAACACCAGCAACTAACGGAGAAGTGGCAAGCCCGCCTTACCAGCCCAGCCTGTCTGCTCAAGCTCTTCTGGACGATATGCGGGTGCGGCGCGATGCTGGCCCGCGAGTGAGCCCATTTCCCTCCTTTGAGGACACACTGCGCAGCTTTGAGAGTGGCGGAGACTTCTCTTTTAACCTCAGCGGCGACGTCCAAAATTCAGAGAAGAGTGGTGCCGGAAACGCTGGGATGGGAGCCTCAGCTGCGGGCTCCTTTCTCTTTGGAGGCCCGCACGGCATCGCGCCATTCGGTACGGTGCCGTCTGGTCTGACCACCGGCAGCGTCACTTTCAACGGCTCAGCAGACCAAGCAGGCGTCTACAACGGCTCTTTTGATCCCTTTGCAGAAGATGCTGGCAAGACCATTATCGCTCTGAAAGGTCACGGTGACGATTTGGCACACGATCCAGCCGCGGGGCCCTTTGCAGCGATAGATCAAATGAGAAGGACGCTGTCCGAAGAGCGAGCCGGAGACAACGGCAGCAACGATGACGATGGTGCGGCCGACGCTGACACGAAGCAAGCTAGTCGGTTTGGATTCGCCAAGCGCAAAGAGTCGGATGTCGGGGCTGCAGGAACAAGCTCGCCATTTCTTCGACCGCGCTCGCAATTGTTCTCAAGCGCGGTGCCGCAGACCCAATCACAATCTGCTTATGCAGGTCCACCAGGCCTGGGCAGTGGTGGCACGGCATCCTTTGAGTCGCATGGTGACCCTTTGGCTATGAATATGCGAGATAACGCGACAAATGTCCTCGGCAGCGTGTTGTCAGATCGACGAGGGCCGATGGGTCTGCAAGGCAAGGCGCAAGACGTCTTTTCATCGCCACGTCTAGACCATCAAGCACGCTCTGGCAGCTCGGCCCAGTCTCAGCAGTACAATGCTGCTCAACAGTATGGTCAAAGCCATGCGTTACCTCTGAATGGATTTGGGTCACAGAACAGGCACGACTCTGACTTTGGCTCCTCCGCGCGCGAATCTCCTTTGTTGATGCACCAGCAACAGCATCGGACGACGGGCCCTCCGCCCGGTTTTGGAGTGCCTAACAATGCAGATCAGCAACACTATGCGCACTCTCTTCAGCAACAGCAGCATTCGCAAGCTCAGGGCCGTAGCAATCACGGAGGGTCGGTTGCAGGCGTGGGCTACGATTTCTTGGCGCAACTGCAGCGTGGCAGCGGACCCAACAATGTCGGTTCGGGCAATGGCAGCAACAGCAGGGGCCAAGCTTTCGCTTCGCCATATGCTGATTCCATGTCTGCTCAACAGCAGCAACAGAGGCACGGCAATGGCGGACCGACCAACGCCGCTACGTCGCCGGGAGCTAGTGGCAACGCTTCGGAACCGCTCTTGGCGCAGATCATGGCCGCAGCAGCAGCTCGGCCTCGATCGAATGCTGGTGGTGCTTATGGCGCGCAAAATGCGGGAACGCCAGGAGCTAGTGGCAATGAGGGCATGCCTTTTTTCGACCCTGCCATTATGAGCATGGCGAGATCTCAACAGGCGCAAGCTCAGATGCATCATCACCACCAGCACCCGCAGCACCCGCAGCAGCAACAACAGGGCCAAAATAACAATGCCTATGCTGGAGCCTTTTCGCCTTTCGATTCTGTGCCTCAACAGAACGCGTTCGGCAACTTCCAACAAAGGCACTGAGGCTCACGCTTGCTTCTACTGAGCCCGAATTCGAATCGACGCGACCTGCTGCGGTTCGTGTTCCGAGGCTCGCTTCTCGACTTGGGCCACTACTCCTTCGCTACCGCGCCGCTGGTTTCCTTCCTCACCTCTCTCGATGTCTCACGAGATTTCGCAACATCAAAGCGTACACCGGGCCGGTGCCTCCGCCCGTGCGCTCCCTAACATCATCATCATCATCATCATCAGCAGCAGCACCTATACACAGCAGACGGGGCAGGCGCAGCAGCACATTCATAATTGCACGTCCAACGCGCTCAGTCAATTTCATTCAGACCGACGCTTGGAGACCGCTCCCTTTCACGCGCGGCGTACGGATGTTCTTCTCCCAGCGCCATCCCCTTTTGAAAGTCGTATTTGTCGTTTCCTGTCCGTTCCGCGCGATACGCTTCTTTGAATAAATGAAATGAGAATATTTCCTGTGTGAGAGATATTCGCACGCGGCTCGATCGGATTCTTGTGCGCGCGCGTTTGTGCGTGTGTGTGCTTGGCTCGTGGTATTACGATCGAGCGTTCCTCGCGTGATTCTGATTTGCGGCATTCGGCAAGCTTACAGTGTCGTGTGGCTAAATTCACGAGGGGACACGACCGGGGCAAGAGTGGACCTGGGACGTGCAAAATGTCTGCAATAGCATGGTATGGCATTGTCAGAGTAGAAAATTGGTGCCAAGGGGGGGCGAATAGCAGCCCAATGTCAAAGTTGCTAAGCGAATCCTTGACCGCTCCTCTGTTTATTCCTCTTATTAGCCTTGAAGTGTTTTTTGCCAGCACCATTGCCCGACGCAAAGCTGGTAGTGCTCATCAACTCCATTTCCCTCTGCAACTGCTCCTGCGTCACTGGCGTGCCATCATCATTGATGCTTTTGCCCCTCAGCGCAGCCGAAGCATTTCCGCTTCTTCCTTTCGTCGTGTAGTGCCCCGCCGCACCAGATCCGGATGGGCCATGGTTCGAGAACATGCTGCTTTTGAAAAAGGAAGAATCTAGCGCGGAAGATTTGGATCCTTGTTGTTGTTTGCGCGCCGCCAAGGAGATCGCATCATTCTTTGCTCGTGCAGCTCTTGATGTCTCCTTTCCATCCGCACCAGCGCCCGCGCCAGTGGGTTGCTCTTGATGCTCTTCCGCTTCAGCCAACGAAAGGGCCGGCGCATACCTTTTCACACGAAGCGCAGCTCTACAAGCTTCTCGCTGCGTAGAGTTGAACACATCTCCATCCACACCTGGTGGTGCGTGCGCGTACAGCAATCGAGCATTGACGTAATCCTTGAAGATGTAACGTGCTGCGCGTGATTCGTCCGGATTGCCTTGACCCTGACGTACGAAACCTCTGGCGACTGCGTGGCGCGGTGGATCGTTTGAAAGGTTCGGTCAGGTCGGGGAGGATGAGTAACATGTAAAGCTAACAGCCTAGCTTTCGCCTCTTTCCTCTCTCTTTTCCCTTCGTCCCTTTCCCGCTTGTCCACTTCCGACTCACCAGCATAAGAAGTCAGCAACTCCAACCCGGTAGGTTGACCCGAACCTCCTTCTTCCCGAAGCTGCATCTCGATCCTAATACTATAAGTGCCCTGCAAGATATCCTTCGGTATCCTCCTCGCGATCAATTCAGCGGGAGCCGTGTATTCTCTCATCTGATCGATGGGTAGCACTCCATCACAAACCAAATCCGCCGGCGTCGTAGCAAATTGCGGAAAGACCAAACCGGGACAGTCGCAAAGCACCGTATTGTCGCTCAGATTGATCGTTTGGAAATGTTTGGTGTGTCCAGGAGTGGAGGAGACGGAGACTTTCTTCTCTCCTAGCAAGGCATTGATCGTGCTGGATTTGCCCACGTTCGGGTAACCTACCAGTCCTACCACCAATTTGCTAGGCGCCCCTTGCTCGGCCGTTGCAAAGTCGTCAAGAGGAGGTGCGCTCAGCCTGAAGAGCTCTTCGAGCTCCAGCACATTGAGAACGCGCGTGGGATCGCTATGATCATGCGCGTCGTCAGACAAAGTGGAGTCAACATCTTGTGCGGCTTGATCAAGGGCGGAAGCTGCCGCTGCTGCCGCTGCTGCCGTCTCGCGGACTTGAGCACCTAGACGAGCCTGTTGAGTATCCGCCCTCGCATTCACTCGCGCCTCCAAATGCTTTGCAGCGGAGTGTCCCTTCGCTGCTGTTGCCTGCTGCGCATCCTCATCTTCTTGCTGCTGGTCCTCCGCATCCTCCTCTTGCTCCTCTTCATCCACATCCAGACCTCCCTCTCGCAGAGCAGCCTCTTGCGCTTCCTCCTTCAACAACCTCTCGTGTTCCTCTTGCATTTCCCTCTCCAACCGTTCTTGCTGAACAGCAGCCGCATTAGCCGCGCTGAAAAAGGCGTACCTGATGCCGTTCTCTTCGAAGTATTTGGCCCAAATGCGTCTTTGGGATTGATCGAGCAGGTCGGCCTTGTTGATGAGCAGGAGGTTCCTTCTCGGACCTTTTTTGCGCTCTTTCAAACCCTCATCCTCCCCCTTCTCCTCGTCGTCAGCGGGCGAGGAACCAACTCTAGCAGGAATGTCCTCCACATACTTTTCCAAATCTTCGCACCTAAACCTCAGCGGGTTTCTAGCATCCACGATCTGAACGACCAAGTGACTGCGCTCCACAACTCTCCACAATTGTCTCCACACTTCCAGATTGCGCTCGAATGGCGTCAGTACGAATCCGCCCGAATCTGTCAGTTGAGCTAGAGATCTTCTCCAATCTAAAAAAGCTTCGGCTTCTAAGCGTTGCAGCTGAGATGGCGTCGTCTTGCTGTCCCATCGAGGTCTGCGTGTATGCGTGGGTGACGAGGCATGGGGAGGGGAGGCGAAGAAGGAGCGAGCAAGTCAGATTGGAAGCGATTCATGGTCCCCCATCCGCGACACGACGACGAGACGTGACTGACCTTCTAGGCACTCTAAGCGCTTCCTTGTTCCTCCTCTGCCTCTCCAACGATTCCCTTTCCTCTCTTCCATCCAACAAGAAGGGATTCCAACCTCTAGCATTGACTCCTCCCCCTCTCATCCCATCAGCAGCAGGCGCACTGACCACCGTCACATTTCTCCTCTCTGCAGTGAAATCGCTCTCGGCTAGTTGAGCCGTGGCGATGAACTCTTCCAAATCGCCTTGATGCGTGACGCTCTGCAATCCTCGATTGAAATCGGTCGTGTGAAAGGCGGATGCGTTGCGTTGAGAAGATTCTTTGGCTCGTCGATTGGCTATGGCGTGCCCCAAACCCGCATTCTTCTTCGAGGTGGGTAGTGGCATGATGGAGCGCGGTTGGATGGCGCGATGACGGGATGTGGTGGTGGTGTTGGTGTTGGTGGTGGTGGTAATGGTGAGTGTGGATGGCAAGCCATTCAGGCACACGTGTGCTGCTCTATCGAGCGAGCGAGCTTGCTTGTTCTGCCTGCATGCCTGCTTGCTGCCACGGCCGCATTCATGAAATTTCAGATTCAAATTCAGCAGCATTTGATTCGTGACAATCACGTGAATTCTGATTCAAGTGAATCGTACTCAGACTCAAGACTGTCCAAATTTGTGGCGAGGGCTGCCTCGGCCGCTCTCTATCGGCCGAAAGAGGCGCGCGCAGGCGGCAGGCATTCAAAATTTTGGGCAATCACGAATGGAGGCGTGCGTGCGTGCCCGGTGATGGGTCTTGGGTGTGAATTTGATTTTGAATGATTTACAGTAGATGGATGCGCATATGCACAGCAACACATCCTTTGGCCGCACCGCTCACCGCTCACCGCTCATCGCTCGATGCTCAAGACTGACTGACTGCCTTCACTCTGACGCTGATCAGCCTCTTCCCTCAGATGTGCACTTGCGAATCATAGCATACACGCCCGCTCCTGAAGCAAAGAGTTGCAGCTGCCAAACGCGCTCATCGACCAAAGCGTCATGGTGCGAGATTTTAGACCAAAGGACAAGTCCAAAAGACGATCTTCCCATTCAGGCACAGGCACAGGCACAGGCACAGGCACAAGCACAAGCACAGCTCCAAAGTCGAGCATCCATCTCAAAGCAAAGCGCTCCAACAATGCTCCTCCGTCTCGACGACAGCCAGCACCTCACAGCGAGAGAGAGAGCGAGAGCGATTCGGAGGTGGATGAAGAGAGCTTATTGAGAGAAATCGAACAGATGGGAGGTGATGCTGAAGATCTGAAATTGATTTCTACCGGGCCAAATTCCAAGTCCAGCTTCGGCAAAGTTAGAGATGGGCGAGGAGGTGCGGGGAAGGAGCAGGAGCAGGAGGAGGTGGTGGATGTGATCGATGTGAGTCTTTAATGTGGGTGCAGGCGCCGCCTCAAGGGGCGAGACTGACTGTGGAATGCTGCTCTGATTTGATCCTCACCTCATCTCAGCCTACGCTGGACGCGGATGTGAGATCTTTCATGAAATCGCTCAATTTGCAAAGTGCGAGTGCGAGTGCGAGTGCGGCTGCGAGTGCACCTGCCAGCACTGCAGCATCGCGGGTAGCGTCGGATGACAAGGCGGCAAAGAAGCATGCCAAGGCACAGAAGAGGGCCGAGGAAGAAGCGCAAGCCAATCAAAGAGTCAAGCTCAAGCTCGATGTCGAAAGCACTGCGGTCAAGTCGACGAGCGAGCAGGTCAAAGCGGATCCTGTCGTGGTCAAGCAGGACTGGAAGGCGGAGCGGGAGGCGAAAAAGTTGCAAGAGAAGCGGGACAAGGCTGCAGCCGCTGCTGTTCGAGCGCAATCAAAGTCGGACAAAGCAGCAGAGGCCAAACAATCGCTCCTCGCATCCTCATCCACGCAGCTCAACGGTATCGCACCCAGAAACGATTCGCGCCTGGTCTTTGCTCCTCAACCTCACTGGGCCGAAGCTTCTATGCCACAACTGCCACCTGCCACGATTCAGCTCGACATCGACGATTCACGCATCCTTTCTCTACAGAGCAGGGCCAAACAATTGTTGGATGGTGATAATAGCACGTACAGGCATCTGCTCAACGGCGGTCATATTCCAGCTGGAGGTTTGGGATCCATCTCCAATTCCGATGCCAAGTTCATCTCTTCCTTGTTGGGCGGAGGAGGAGGAGGAGGATCGGGCAGCGCATCGTCTGGCGGAACGCTGTCCGATCGTATTGCAGCTCTGACCTTGTTGATACAAAGCAGTCCGCTGCACAATGTGCACTCCATGGAGGCGCTGTTGGGCATGGCTGGGAAAAAGAATAGGGAAGAGAGCAGAAGAGCGACCAGGGCATTGGCGGATTGGTTCGCTTCGCCTACCGGTCTTTGCACTCGAAAATTGCGCTACTTTCGAGATCAACCGGGTCTCGCTGCTATTTTGAGCGACGGCGGCGCGAACATCGCTCGAACAGCTCAGGATCAGCACCTGATTCACTACGCCTTCGAAGACAAGCTGAAAAAGATTTACTTCGATTTCTTGCAATTGCTCCAAACTCAATCTCACGATACCTTGCCATTCGTTCGCAAACAAGCCGTGACACAAATCTACGTGTTGTTGAGGGACAAGGCGGAGCAAGAACAAAACTTGTTGAGGCTTTTGAGCAACAAGTTGGGAGATGGAGATAGGAGCGTGGCTAGTCAGTCCAGCAAGCATTTGCAGGAACTCTTGACGGTGCATCCTAATATGAAAGCCATTGTGGTTAGGGAAGTCATCGACATCATACTCAAACCTGCTCCCAAGACCATCGTCTCTGCCGAAGACAAGTCGAGAGGAAGAGGAGACGCGACACAGATTGATGGGACTGCGTCTGCTGCTGCTGCTGCCGCCTTCAATGTGCATGCTAGGTATTACGGAATCTTGACGCTCAACCAGACGCTGCTTACGCAGCAGGACGAAGAGGTGGCTAGCACGCTTGTCAATCTCTACTTTGAGCTCTTTGAGAGCTTGTTGCACTACGGCGCTGCGGTGGAGCAAAGCAAAGCGGATGAAGAGCAGCAAGGCGAGGAGGAAAAGAGCGGCAGCAGCAAGGACCAAAGGAAGGTGAAGAAGCAGAGGTGGAGAGATGAAGGGGGAAGAGGTAAGGGTAGACGAGGAAAGGGCAAAAAGGGAGGAGGGCAAGGGAAGAATGATACGATGCAGTTCAAGACTGTCAAGGATGCGGATGTCAAGATGGTCACTGCTGTGCTCACCGGCGTCAGGCGAGCTCTGCCTTTCTCCACATTAGGAGCAGAAGCGTGAGTAGCGCGCATTCTGCTGCGCGGGTCCTCTGAGATGTGGGTTGCAAACAGCTCCCTTGCTCAACGAATCTGCTTTCTCCCCACTAATCTTACTCGCCGCAGCTTCGATAAGCACATGTCGACCTTGTTCCGCATCACTCATTCGGGCACCTTCAACGTCTCCATCCAAGCTCTTCAGCTCATCTATCAATTGTCCATCGGTTCTTCCTCCTCTTCTCCGATCCAAACGCAGTCCGGGTCGAGCAAGCAAGACCGAGGGGTAGGGCAGGGCGCCCCCGCCCCGAACTCCGACTCCGCTTTCCCGTCGATGTCCAACATCGCGGATCGGTATTATACGGTGCTATACAGCTCCATGTTGGATGCGAGACTGTCGAGGACGAACAAGCAGGCAATGTATCTCAATTTGGTCTTCAAAAGCCTCAAGGCGGACGAGGATGATAAGAGGTGCAAAGCGATGGTCAAGAGGTTGTTGCAAGTCACCTTGTCCGCCGAAGCTCCTTGGATATGCGGAACTTTGTTCTTGCTCGCAGAGGTGAGTTGGCTTGCATGATCCCGCCTCGTCTCCCTTGTGCTCCTTTTTTGTCTTGCCTCTTGGATGCCGTCGAATCCTGACTTGATGCACGCACTGCCGCCCCCATCTCTACTGCAGCTCTTGACTGCTAGACCCGGCTTGAGAGCTCTGCTCACGGAGCCTGAAGACGATGAGGAAGAGCACTTTGTGGATGTGCCGGATGAAGATGAAGAGGCTCTCACCGTCTCTCAGTCTGGCCAAAAGGACACACTCACGACGACGACAACGACGACAAAGTCGCAAAGGAACTTGTACGACCCTTCCAAGCCTCATCCTCAATTTGCGGGCGCAGAGTCTACGTGCCTCTGGGAAATCGTACCGCTGCTTCATCATCATCATCCTTCCGTCTCCTTCAACGCGCACCGATTCCTCTCTTTCGAAGGTATGCTCAAGACGACGGGCGATCTTACGCTCAACACCCTCTCTCACTTTCTGGACCGTTTCGTCTATCGCAACCCGAAGAAAGCGCTATCATCGAGCAAAGGACCTAGCGCCATGCAGCCTGCTGCTGCTGCTGTGGGCACTGGAGGTAGCGGCACGCAAGCTAGCGTGGTGCGCATCAGGGGAAAGGGAATGGAGAGGGATCAGGTGCTGAATGAGGAGAGCTTTTGGAAGGGAACGAGGGAAGAAGAGATCGATCCGGATCAATTGTTCTTCCATCGATTTTTCAATCTGAAAGAGGAGAGGCAAGGGATTGTGAACAAAGGGAAGAAGAAAAGGGCGCAGGAGGAGGAGGAGGAGGAGGAGGAAGAGGAGGGGGAGGGAGCAGATGGGTCGGAGGATGGGCTTGTTTTGGAAGGTGAAGAGTCGGATGAGGATGTGGAGGAGGAAGGAGATGCGCAGCGGGCGGACGGAGTGATGGATTCCTCGGACGAGGATGATAGTCAATCGGAAGGGGAAAAGGAGATTTGGGAAGCCATGAAGCGCACCATGCCTCGCGAAGAAGGAGATGAGGATCTGATGCAGGATTCGCAAGATGATGATGAGGATCTGGATCAGTATGATTACGTGGATAGCGGCGAGGAGGAGGAGGGAGAGGAGGAGAAAGGATGGGTTGCTGGGAAGGAGGATGAGGACGACGATGAGGATGAAGACTTGTCGGGCTTGGAAGAGGATGAGGAGAATGTGACTTTGGGCGGCGAATCGGACGACGATGCGTTGCTCTTTGAAGAGGATGAAGATGATCTGCTACCTTTTCACAACTTTGACTCGGAGCAATCCATCAAGAATGGAAGGAAGAGGTCCGCAGATGATGCATCTCCGAATGAAGAAGAAGATGGAGAAGGAGAAGAGGCAGCAGCAGCAGCGGGGCAAGAGAAGGGCAGGAAGAGCAAATCTCAACTTCAAAGAGCGGAGAGGAAGCGAAGAAAAGCGCAGCACGCTGCTATGGGCGATTTCGCCAGTGCGGAGGATTATGCTCATCTGCTCGGAGATGATCAGGACGAGGATGAGGATCAGGGTCTCTAAGAAAACGGCCCCAGAGGCAAAGCCCCCTCTGTTCAAGTGTGACTAAAGTTGGAGAACTTTTTCATCTTTCGACTAAGCTCCCCCCCTCCTCCTCGTATCCTGCTTGTCTGCGAAGCTCTACCTTTCCCCCACCCCCTTCTGTACATGATCCACAGCGCGACTACGCTGATTCATCGTCCCCTCCGATCCCTTGACCTGTTCGCCGACCATCTTTTTGCGCAAAGAAAAAAAATAATAAGCCCTCCACCCCCCCCACACCACCGAACATTGCGCCCAAAAAAGGATCTTGAGCGAAAACTTGCATACTGTTGCGCGCCCCCTCTCCTTTTTCTTCCTTGGTGCGTTGAACACTTCACACGTGTGCGTCCGTCGTGCCTGCTCGATGATACCTCTCGGCTCGGGCCCACAGGATCAAAAGGCGAGAAAGAGAGCAAAAAGTCAAGAATTCTTGGGGTTCATTTCGGACCCCGCATCTTTCGTCCCCGTTTGCGTCCAAGATTTGGAACGGGCGGGGGGGCAGGTTTGCACCCAAAAAAAAGAAAAAGAAAAAGAAAGCGCACGTGTGCTGCTTGCTGGCAGAGCAGATGGAGCAGAAGGTCGCACGCGGGGAAGAAGAAAAATCGTGCGATTGCCCCGGTATTGCGCTTCAGAGGGGGGGGGGGGGGACCGGAGGATTTGTACGACGTAAAGTAGAGCGAAGCCGAGGAAGAGTCAAGGACAAGCGAAAGCGGGATGCGCGGGGCGGAAGGGAGAGGAAAGGGAAAGCGGCGAAATTGCAGATGTACGGCGTAGGGTGCGCGATGGGAAATGTGGTAAGGTTACCGGTACAGTAGATGGAGGATTGCATAAAGGGTGAAAGCGGAACGCGGCGTTCAAGGAATGTTGAAGAGACTCTTGAGCCAATCGATGAGTCTGGCCAACAAGCTACCTCTCCAAGCCTTCTTTCTGCAATACACGCTTCTCCTGAGCATACCTGTAGGTAGTCGAATCGATTTCAACCTGAGCGCGTTGATCCGCTGCCCCTCCACATCCGTGTCCTTTTCGTTCTTGCTCTGCTGCTGCTGCTGCTGCTGAGATGGCGGCGAGGTTTTGGGAGATCTAGCAGGCACAGTATCCGTCGCCGTTCTGAAATCTGGCGGATTTTCTTTAAAGCTTCGAGCAAAGACGTGAGAAGGGATGCAACGGGCCAAGGAACGCAGTTCGGGATTGGTGAGCGTGGCAGATACGATCCAAGCTCGGGTGAGCGGCGCGACGGAGGAAGCTGGATCCGGATCTGAAAAAGGATCGTCCAATTCCGTCGTTGCGGTGACCATACCGTTGCTGCGCAGGTGTGGACCCACCTCACTCCATCCGAGCGTCTAGAGAGTCCGTGAATTAGCATTGTACGCTTGCGCGTCAGTATTCGACCCCGCAAAAGGCGGAAAGCCGAAAGCGAAAAAAAGCGCGACGGCCACCGCCCGCTCTCACAACTCACGCCTTTGAGCGCTGCTACGGCCGCGTCTGTGAAAGCATCTCCACCAGCCTCCATGAGCACCGCATCGTCCAACTCCCACTCCAAGCAGACCTTGCCCGCGCCTGCATGCTGATCCACCAGCGCCTGCAATCTCAGCACGGTGGCAATGGCGGCGAACCAAGGGTGGGTGCCCACATTGTTCCTCTTGGCATGCGTCTGCACGAATCCTCTCCATCTCTTCAATCTCTCTTTTGAATCCATCTTTTCATCGGCGTGCGTAGAGGTGAGCAGATCGGAGAGGCGTTGACGACGGGCGAACGCTACGTTGGCGTGATACTCTTGTCTAGCTTTGGATTGCGCTCGCGTGTACGCTGCTCGATGAGACAAGGGGATGCCGCGTAGCTTTTCCTCTACTCGTTCGCCCGCCGCTGCGTCTCCTCGAAGCGATGCAGAGACGTTGATGGAGAAGGATGCCAAGTCGGATGCGAGCGGAGCTGAAGAGCCCGAGCCCGAGGCTGAGGCTGAGGCTGAGGCAGAGGAGCCGTGTCTAAGCGTAGGTGCGGGTGATCGAACCCGCGGCGATGTGGAAGCGAGTGGAATCGACACTGTGCGCGGGCTTCCTAGGTTTCGAGCAGCGGTGGAAGGGGATCGAGGAAGAGGGAGCGGCGCATGCAGCGGGGTATGGACATCCACTTTTGCGCCGCCCACCACCACGCCACCACTGCCGCTGCTCCCACCGACGGAAGATCGCTTCTCAGTCGTGGCGGATTGAAGCGATGCGGCGCTGCGTGCGCTGCGTGCTCGAGAGGCTGCCGCGCTCGAGCTATCGATGACGGAGCTGGCGACAGAGTAGGATTCGTCGTTGCCTCGAGCGGATGCTGCATCTGCCTGACTGGATTCGGACATGATGGCAAAAGTGCGAGGGGAGGAAATGCGGGAATGCTGATGAGCGCAAAGGGATGCCGCGTGATGCAAGAGGCGGTAGTTCGACGAGGCTATTCGATGGAGTGATGAGGAAGGAGGAGGGGGAACCTCGCTCGATTGCTGGACCTATTTGTGCTCTGTTGGGCAATCAAGGTGGGCGACCTGCCGTGTAACCAATCGCGAGGGATGCAAAAGCAACGCACAAACCTTGACGCACTTTCCTATTCCCAGCATGAGCTTGCTTGCTTGCTTGCATGGACGCGTATATGCGCGCACACTGCGGGAAAGCGCAATGTGAATGTGCACCAGCTATATATCTGGCTGAACGGCGAGACGTGGCTGCTGCGTACGTGATGGAGATCGAGATGGCAAGGACGAGCGCAGAGCGCACGCGGGGCCATGCAATTAAAGTCCGATTCGCGCGCGCGTGTGCTGTGCTGTGTATATCGAGTTGGGCTGGGCTGAGCCGAGACAATTGAGAAGTCACGCGTGTTGGTCTGAAACTTGCTCTTGTCGTCAGTCACAGTCCCGTGCGTGCTGCGCTGCGCTGCGCTGCGCCGGCAGTCCCGAATCAAGTGAAAGATCCGTCGCGGGCCGGGCGTGGAGGGTGTTGCTGCGCGCGAACTGTGGACAGCAGCTAGCACGACACAAACCTATCGATGCAGCAGTCGTGAGTGTGAGTGCGATGTGGGTGTAGCGCTACTTGTGTGTGTGTGTGTGTGTGTGTGTGTGTGTGTGTGTGTGTGTGTATAGGGTGCAAGGTTCATCTCCCTGCCGCAGCAAAGAGTACCGTATGCTCACAGTCGAAATGTGATGGAGGATGATGGCAATGGTTCAAGGAGAGATCGAGGAACAGCGACCGACGCGGTGAGGCGAGGGAGGGCAAGATAAAGGCAATCAAGGCAATTAAGGCGAGCGCTCTTGATTTCTCATCATCCTCAGCAGCAGCAGCAGCAGCGGCAGACAGCTTTTTGACCCGCGACGCGACGGGGCTTGGCCAAGTTTAAATTAGCCTCTGGGCACGCAGCGCAGCGCAGCATACATGCATATGCACCGCGCCGTATGACTCAAGATGCATATACGCGCAGTCACGCATACGCATGCGAGTGAGTGGCTTTGATGAGGCACCGTCATATTATTCATGCATGCTGGTGCACCGATACGCCGATAGCCTTCTGGGAGCACGTACGGAGCACCGCAGCATTGCGTCTTCTGTGCGTATCATCAAACTCATCCTTCTTAATTGCTCGCTTTGCTCGCTCATCGCATCCATGCACAACAATCACGAATCACGGAACTCGATCTCTCCTCCTGCTGCTGCATCATATATATGCTCCGTGCTGCTGCCATCCATCAGCTGCTCCACCTGCGCACATGCGTGCGTGCATGCGTGCATTTGTGGCTGGCTGCATTTCCCCTCTTCGTTCCTGCTGCCTATAGCTCTCCTCGCTTTGTCCCTGCATGCTGACCTCAGATGCCATACCCATACACACATCTCCGTGCAATTCCACGTCCAAGCATTCATCACTTCGCAATAATGGGCCATGCAGACTGCGAGTGCGAATGCGAAGCCCCATCATCCCCCCCCCCCCCCCCCCCCCCCCCCCCCCCCCCCCCCCCCCCCCCCTCCCCCCCCCCCACCCCCCTTTGCATCGTGCCAAGCCCTCACGCACACTTGCCTCGCTCATCTCTACCCTTCAAGCGGCGAGTTGGCATGATGAGCAGCTATATAGCTAGCTAGCTGCAAGGCGTGAGAATTTCGAGATTTCCGATCGGCGCGGCGCGGGATGAAACAGGGCAATGAAAGAGGGGCAATCTAGAGTCTTTCTTTCGCGTTTGCGTGTTTTCCAAGTCTTGATCGAGTTTCCCGCCACGGCTGGACTGCCATGGGAGCCTGTTGTTTGCCCAGCATATATGGTCTGTGCGTGCGTCTCCTCTCTGTATCTCGCCCGCTTCGCTCGCTCGCACAAGTCACACTCTGACTCGCATGCAGACTCGTGACTGGGATGCTGGTGCTCGAGCCATTGTATGCGATGCTTGACTGCTCTCTGATGTCGCTCATTGTCCAGCGAGATTGGAAGATAGCAGCAGCAGCAGCAGCAGCAGCAGGGAACACTTTGCTCAGCAAAAATCTTGAATGACATTCAGGTTCTGCGCAATCGCCGCGCGACCGCTGCGTGTGGAGGCAGAGGCGCAGGCGCAGGCGACGAGTGCACACACGCACGCACACACGCGCATGGGAATCTCGGTCGGTCTCATTCAAGTTTCGCCGGCTCATCGCGCGCATCGCGCGCATTGCCCTGCGGCCGTCACGTCTTGGCGCCCGCTTAATTGGCGTCTCTCCTCTGCATGCAGCGATTCGCCCGCCCCACCCGCTTAATCTAACCCTTTGGGCTCGCCTCACATGGTTCGCGCACTCGATGAATGTCTCTCCGCCTTTGCGCGAAGCGAATAGCAAGGGGCACAGCAGCGAGAAGAGAGGGGGGCAGAGAGAGAGAGAGCCGCGGGTAAGGCACTTGCTTGCGGGCTATATATCGAGTCACCGCATGTCGGCGCTTGCTTCGAAGCATCAGCACAGTGACACATCATAGCTTGCAATGAAGAGGCATCCACCCCAAAGCGTGAGTGCAGCTAGCTAGCTAGCTAGCTATAGCTGAAGCTAGAGACGACATGCAAGCCATGGCAGTCAATCGTAGAAATCAAATTCATTCATCGCTTTCACGCACATTGTGATTTTATGCTCGAGGGGGGGGGGAGCCCTTCCTTCCCATTGCCAAGAAATGGCGCAAAAGGCGATTTTCGACTTGACTTTTGGGAGAAGGAAAGTCAAGTGTGAAAGCGGGCGCGGGGGGG